CCCCCCCCCCAAACAACACGAACTCGAGCCGCTACGAAGACGGCGAAAAACAAAATCGAGCACCTAACACCCAAACAAACAAACTGCAAAAAAGCGCCAACCCACCCATCCCCCAGTCCACTCCAAATGTCTTTTTTTCCACACACAAAACCCTGACAAAGAAACTCTAAATCTTATACACAATGCCCCCCGAGAACATGACCTTATTCCGCTCACTCAGCGCCTCGAGCGCCTTCTCCGCCTCGGGCAACCCGAACTCAGCTTCACCGGCCCGCAGACGCGCGTTGACGGCCGCGACGAGCGGCTCGACGTCAGCGGCGTCGTTGGCGAAGAGCGGGCCGTCGATGAGCTGGCCGAGAGCGGTCTGGAAAGCCTGGATGCGCTGCGGCGAGATGGTGGCGTCGTCAGCATCGCCGCCCATTTGGGAGTCTTCTTGCTGGCTCTCGGTTTGTGTGGTGCCGAGGAGCTGTGACGCGGGCTGTGACGAGGCCATGGACATCTGCGAGGAGGTGCCGTTCTGGCCGCGGCGAGTGCTGCGGGTGCCGCGCGGGGTGGCGGCGGCGTAGAGGTCTTCGTCGTCATCGTCGGCTCCGGCGGTGGTGGTGGTGCCGTTGGCGGTGGAGCCGCGGGTGCTGCGGGTGGAGGGGCCGGTTGTGCGTTGGTTGCGGGGCGTGGGGCGTTCTCTCGTTTGCTGCGTGTTGTCGTCGTCGTCCGAGTCGTCGTCGGATGAGTCGGTCGACATGGCGTCGTCGGCGCGGCTGACCTTTCTCCTCTTCCTCCGCTCGTCCTCGACGACTTCCTTGAACAGGGCGAAGCGCAGGATGGCCTCGGCCACCTCGGCGTCCTTCTGCTCGACGCGGTTGGACAGCCTGGCCTTGGCGTGCGCGGTGGCGAGACGGATGAGGGTTTCGAGGGTACGGGCGGTCATGGGGGACGTCTTGCGCTGGTTGCTCTCCATCTCGTCGTTACGGAGGGCGGAGTAGGTGCTGACGATGTGATTGGCGGCGCCGGCGGTCAAGACGGGCTTGATACGAGACTTTGCGTACTGGATGTACTTCTTGATGAAGGGTATGCTCACGACTTCGACGCGCCGAGCAGAGCCCCTACCGACAGTCACGTTCACACCGGCGTGGAGCATGACGTTGAACTTCTCGTAGATATCCGTCGGGCGGTTCGCATCGGCGTCTTCGTCACGGCCGACACCGAGCATCTGGTTGCCTTGCTCACGGACCGGTGCGCCCTCCTCGGTGCCAGGCTGCCTGTATCGGTGCATACGCAGGACGTGCTCTGAGACTTGACGATCTCTGACATCCTCAATGTCATCGGTGACAACGAAGAGCAAATCGAAACGTGAGAGGAGAGAGTCAGGAAGCGCGATGTTCCGGTGGGGATCCTTGTGCGTGTCGTACTGGCCATAAATGGGGTTTGCTGCAGCAATGACACTGCAGCGGGCGTTCAGAGAGGTGTGGATACCGGCCTTGGCGATGGTGACGGTCTGCTGTTCCATGACTTCGTGAATAGCCACACGGTCGACATCGCTCATCTTGTCAAACTCATCAATACACACAACACCGCGATCACCAAGAACCATGGCACCAGCCTCCAAGCGACGCTCTCCCGTCTCCTTGTCTTGAGTCACGGCGGCCGTCAAACCGACACCAGATGAACCCCTACCGGTGGTAGCGATTGCCAAGGGAGCAGTGTTCAGCACGAAGCGAAGGAGCTGGGACTTGGCAGTCGAGGGGTCACCGACCATGAGGATATTGATGTCTCCTCTCAGATGGGTGCCGTTCTCCAGGTTCTTCTCCATACCGCCCAGAAGCATGAGCAGGATGGCCTTCTTGATGTAATCATGGCCGTGAATACTGGGTGCCAGGGATTGTGAGAGGAGGTCGAAGACCCTCTTGTGCTTGGAGAGTTTGTTGATGTTGCGGACATCGGTGTCGGTAATGGTAGCCTGGGCAATGCCACCGCCAGACTTGGAGGAAAGGAGGATGACGTTGTTTGCGAGGATAAGGGTGCGGAAGGTAGAGCTGGCGTTTTGAGCGTTGCGGTTTCCGAGAGACCTGTAGACACCAACGAGCTGGATTCTGTCACCAGGCTTGACCTTGTCGACCAGGTCGTCGTCCAGAATAACGTCCACGCCACGAGGCAGCTGGCCTGCAGGAGCTCGCTCAGGCATTTCTTGAATGGAGATGGTCTGGTGGTCGCGGTATGTGCTGTAGCCGTATTCGGTAACCAATGGGTTGCCGTCGTCGTCCTCGGTGGGGTAGACAGAAGTGCTGGCGGCACCCATGGTCATGGTCTGGTCTCTGTACTCTCTGAACTGGAATATTGACTTGGCCTCGTTCCAGTGCACCGACTTCACGACCTTGGGGCGCACGAGCGAGCACTTTGTGACGATACCCTCGAGGGAGACCATGTGGTTGAGGTGCTGGGAGCTGAGGGTACGGGGGTTGCAAGAGAATTCGCCGAAACTTCCGAAGTATGCGCAGTAGTAGATCTACACAGGTCAGCACTATAATATCTCGTCGTCTCTTGAAGCAGACTCACCACATCGTCGGCGGATTCTTTGGAGGGGCGGTTGGGCAAGGTGGCGACAATGTTTTTCAAAGCATTGTCGAATGCGAAGGTCCAGTCGAATGGCTGGTTGAGAAGGCTGCCAAAGTCAGCAACGGTCTCGGATTTTGGCCGGCGTTGCTCAACTTACCCATCGGCCATCTCTCTGTTGTGTGTCCTGATCTCATCCAAGCTGACCTACGCTCTTGTCAGCACGTCTAGCCACAGACAGTTCTGCGAAATGCCTTACATCTAGTCTCCTCAGACCGCGGTTCAGCATGATAATGATATCGGCGCGGTAGCTGTGGCGGCATTGTCAGCGGTCATTGTTTGTCGGGCTGGAGCAGCGATTCGTACGTTCGTGCGCGGGGATCATCTGAAAGCAATTAGCAACAGCTCAGCAACAATGAGCAGAGCAGACGTACTAGGATCCAGGAACTCCTCGGCGGCTCTAATGCGGTCGCGCACCGCCTCATCTCTCAGCGCAATGCCGTCCATTGTGTGGTGACGATCGGATGTGTGATTTCAAATGAGTAGTGGAGAGGAAAATGGCCGCTCGAGCACCCGCGCGACGTATGCGATCGGGGTTGTGGGGGGTATCAAAGGGCGAGGTTGAGTGGTGTTGTTGGTGGAGAGCGGCGGGCAAGCGACATGTTTTGCGCGGCGGCTCGAGCGATCCCACGCGCAACGCGTCAAGCACTTTGCTCTGAGCGCGACGACGCGTTTTAGCGCCTTGGCACTATTACACTTCCCAAAGTAGACTAGTCTACTTTTTGTGAGCATTCTTACTTCGAACATGCAATTATTCAGATGTGCTTTTCTAACTGCTGAATTATTATAGCAAGTCTAGTACTGTAACGGCGACCGGTATATCGAGGGTTCCCGCTGAGGGAGAAACCGCATACTTCCTTTCGCGGGGAATCAACCTATTTATTCACTTTCTTGGCCGCCTGCCTTTCAATTCTCAGCTCGCACCTCTGCCTCGTCGTTGTGCCATCTCTATTCATACTTTTCTATCATGACCAATAAATTAAAGTATTGTTTTTATACTAAACAAGCAATATCTACAAAGAAGTTTAAACTTATTTACTAAGCAGCGGTAGTGGTCTTCTTTTGGGACAATGTTCCAGAGCCACTTCAACTTTACCCCTCTTTAGCCAAGTAGTGAGCGCAAGTGCTAGAAGATTATTAGCCATGGTCAAATGATTCATTTGAGAAGCTATACCGAAAGCCGTGCATGTGTCTTTTCCCCGCTGTTTTGCTTCCCACCGGAAAAGAGAAGATCGGCCAGCTGCCGTTTCCGGTCTTGGACTTTCATGACATGCTGCGGAGGTCGCGAACCGTAAGCTTTGGTGTTTGAGTTGAAATTGGTGGGTTGTACGAACCTCTTCGAAGGAGTCTTTCATGACGAAGCGGATGGTGGTGACGGGTCGTTTCTGGCCCATTCTGTGAATTCTCGCCAATGCCTGATCCTCTGTTGTCGGGTTCCACTGTGGCTCGAGGAGGTAGATGCGGGACGCGGCCGTGAGATCCAACCTGGCTGAGGTCAGTAGGATGTCGGAAGGCAGAAAGTGAATGAGAGGTCCATACCCGACTGCGCCACAGCCGACTGTGATTAGCATGACTCTCACGCTGGGGTCATTGTGAAGACGGCGAAGTGCCACCTTACGGTTTCCCGAAGATGTTTGTCCGTCGAACCGCACATAGCCAACACGGTTATCTTCGAGGGCGCATTCGACTGCGTCAAGAGAAGTCGTCCAATACGAGAATATCACACTAATCTCGGAGTTAGACATATGTGTCCAAACGAGGATCTCCCAGTCTTACCTCTTCTCATCAGGATGTTCAAGTACATCCTCAACAAGCGCTTTGACTTTACTCGACACGGGTGATCCAGGTTCGGGTCTTGATGCAAGAGGTGTGCTCGGAGCAGAAGCAGAGGTGAAAACCGCCTCTGATGGGCATGCTGGGGAGTCACCGCATGCAATTCCGCAGCCTGATTGGGCATAACACGGCCCGCAGAGAACCTTGAGACATCTGAAGATGCGTGATGAAAGCGATGTTGGCAATGATAGGTTTTCGCTTGTGGACAGGTCTGTAGAACTTTCCACCTCCTGCAAGCAATTGAAACATTTGGCTTGATCCATGCTGAGTAAAGTTTCAAACGCGCTTTGAGCAGTAGAAACGCCCCAGGAATTCTCCGGCGGAGGGGATGCTATGGTGCTGGACGACGGAATAGCTGACACTCCGAGGTTGCAGATCTTCCGCAGGCGGTTGATGAGTTGGAATGCGCCCAGAAATACCTCAGCAGAGCTATCATAGTCGTCAAGCGCATTGTCTAGCATTTTCTTGATCGGAGACGATGCTTTGTCATAGAAATCCCGCTCCTCCGGCGTGAATTCAAGAGGGCGTATCTCGTCGTGTCGAGGTGGAAGCTGGATGATTGTCGTGCGGCGTCTTAAGACTATACAACCCACGAGAGTTTTCAGTCTACGGACGCCTTCTTCTCCGCAACCATCCACACAAGGAAGCGAAATGTCGCGCTCAAATGCCTTGTGGTCATTGTACGGATGAACTCGGAGAAACTCCAAGAGACTAGCAAAGTCCGTCATACGATTTTGAACGGGTGTTCCCGTCAAGGCCCATCTGCGTTCGGCACTCAGGGCGCGGATTGCTTTTGCTGTCATCGTGATGCGCTCCCTAATGATATGAGCTATTTCCTGTCAGCAATATACTGGCTCAATTATTTGAGTAACTGACCTTCATCAAGCACAATCCTCTTCCAGTGTGTAGTGAAGATTGGAGAACTTTGGCTCTTTCCATGCCCATATTCTGATGCGAGAGTTTGGAAGGTCGTGATGACTATGTCAGGCTGACTGGCTTGACACAGTGCGGTGAGGCGCCGGGGGCCATGGTAGATGACCCATTGCACTCGACCGGGATATGTGTGCCTGAGCTTGTGAGTTGACTGTAATTATCAAACCCTGGTTCTGTACTTACTGTTCGAGTTGTGTGTTCCAGACTTGAAGCACTGTTTTAAGTCAGATGAATTCACTTGGATGGATGTCGGCATCAGGACGACGTAGACCTACATGAAGAGGGCACAATTACGAGTGTAGCATTTCTGGACCATTCTTGATTGTGCGCAGAGGTAATGGAGCAGGGGGCGCTTTGCATCCTGGGATCTTTGTCCGACACAATCAACGCTATTGTGCTCAACGTCTTGCCGAGCCCCATCTCATCTGCCAAGAGACCACCTCGAAAGTCAGGAGGTGGATCCTTATGCAGATGCCCAGTGATGTTGTTGGTGAACCTGCCGACGGAGTAAGTCAAGATGAACGCGCACATGCATGGGTACGGAGAGTATACGTTTGGCCGAGAATGTCCTGATTCATCGTCCAAAGATCTCGCCGGGATCCATCGTAGATCCACCCGCCTTCTCGCCTGAGCATGAACGCCAAAGCCCGCTTCTGGTGCCTTTCAGAGGTCAGCCATACACTGTTTTACTGTAGAGACAATATACGTACGGAAGTAATTTTGTACGCAGGCCTTGAGGTGTATCCGCTTGGTCATCCTCTTCAGCCTCGAGGTTTGCGAAGAAGTCGGTGGCGCCCTGGAATTTCTTTGCTACATGCGTTTGTTGAATTTTGGGTAAATCGAAGGTCATTTTCAATTTCCCGCCTCTGGACATTCGATGAGGGTTTTGATATGGCAAGTTCCAGGCACAGCCCTCGGGGTCTTGAAGATATAGGTCGCATTTTTGGAGAAAGTTTCCCACAGGGAGTCCAATTCCAGAATTTCCGTAGACAATGGCCGATAATATAATCTCCGTGGCACTTTTGCCTCTTTTCGGCGCTCTTTGGAGTCCAAAAGCGCATGAAATCTGCAGCAAAATACCTTCCTGAGATGACAATATCCACAAAGCCTTTCCAATGTGAGTATCCGCCGTCCCTATTGGATTATACGTTTGCGCGTCCAGGACAGTGCCGTCTCCCTGTATAAAGCAAAGAGCGAAGGAGCTTTCCGAGTAGTGCGGAAGGTGTAGGCTCGGCTGAACTGAGATATCGGTAATCTGAGAGCGGAAAGTCAGAAAAGTCAGAAAGTCCTTGCCATTGCTCTGTTTGAGGACCTGGGAGAATGTACCATGCCAAAGCAGACATGATTAGGCGGAGATGGTTGCGTTTCGTTCCGCTGGAGGCTGACATTGTCCTCGAAGTTCAGGCAGCGGCGTTTCCTGGGTGGCTCCGCATCATCAGACATCATGTTGGGGCAACATCAGGCCTCAATGTAGTAGAGTGCTCCTGGTAGGAGAGGGGAACGTTGTCGAGGGAATGTGTAGATCGCAAAAGCGACGCGACGAAGGACAGTCAACGAGGCAGTGCTGCAAGGCGTTTCTTGCAGCCTCAGGCTTGCGCTGGATTCGGTGGGGTGCCACCACGCGCTGCATTGGTGTAGCACAGACTGACGTGGCTGTGGCTGTGCAGGATTCGCCCGGAAAGACGATTGTTTTGCTCTGAGAAACAAGGAGCCATCTCTGAAAATTGCCCGCGATATCCCCAGACACATGAGTAGTGTTTGCAATCACAAGCGATGTGAAGGACAAGGGAAAGGCTCATGACGAATTGGCTCGGCGCATTGCAAATATTTATTGAGCCCTAAACGGAGTACATGTGTACCCATTCAGAGGGCTGTGTTTATGCAGCCATGCTGGCAGTGGGGGCTGGAATCGCTTACCCCGTCATACTTGACTGGCTGCGCCCCGACCGATCGGCAACCCTCAGCACCCGACAAGACTGATGTCAGTGCTGTCTTGTGCAGACTCATTAAGCCTTAAACTCGTCGTGCCTCTCGAGGAGCTACCGACACACATAGCTGGCCTTTGACCACCGGCCGTCGTTTACGCTGCGCAGGGCAACATGGCCGTGCCATCTGCTCAAGCCCGTTCGACCATCAAGGCGGCGTTCGAAAGGTTCAAACGAAGCGTCACTGCCGACGATGCTCGCAGATTTCAAGACACCAATCTCAACGATGTCTGGGATACCGCCGCTGAGATCGAAGACAAGCTTGCCAATTCAAAGAGCTTGCGCAACATGCGCCGCATCGAGCCCTTCTTAAGAGGCCTCGAGCACTATGCCAGCGTCGTTGAAGTCCTCTGCAACGGCACGGATTACTTATCTTGGATATGGGTAGAATCACCTATTTGACTGCTGAATCACCGGATGCTAACACTCTACCAGGCTCCAATCAAGCTCATGCTTCAGGTAGGTTGCCGAGACAACAGCTCTCAATGTTCTGTTTTTGATGCCACTAACTTAAACTAAGCTCTCTTCCGAATACCTTTCATCACTCGAAAAGCTCCTGAAAGCATACGAGATGATCTGTGACAATATGCCCCGATTCGAAAAATTCGGTGTGGCATTTCAGAAGGACCCCGACTTTCAACAAGTCCTGGCACTGTTCTATGCGGATATCTTGGAATTTCACCGTCGAGCCTACAAATTCTTTCGTGCAAAGGGTAAGGAATCCTCCTTTCCACCTGTTGCAATGTTCTGATGGGACCATCAGCCTGGACTCGATTCTTCCACACGTCATGGGGGCGCTTCGACGGCCGGTTCAAGGCAATCCTGGAAAATATTGCCCGAGACAGCGAGCTGATTGATAAGAACGCCAAAGCCATCGATATACTGCATGCCAAAGAGTTTCGTGATAAGCAAAACGAGTACATAACTCAGCGAGAGAAACAGGAAGAAGCGGCCGAGTTGGCGTCGGCCATTACGTGGTTACAAATCAACCAGGTACACGACCAGGAAGAAGAAGTCGACCGCCTAAATAGTCGCTGCCATCCGAGAAGTTGCGACTGGATTTTTCAGCTCGAAAGAGTGAGAAAGTGGATGACAGATGATGAGACTCAACCGATAATATGGCTGCATGGCAAGCCCGGCGCTGGTGAGTAGTCCCTACTCTAAATTCCCATGACTACTATTCGCTCATTACTGCTTTACCAAAGGCAAAAGTGTCATATGCTCGAGCGTGATCAGATCTCTGCAGAAGCGAGATTCTCTGGTGCTTTATTTCTTCTGCACCTACCGTTCTCTTGAGTCCAGCAACACTGTTCACGTCCTGAGGTCTCTGGCAGCTCAAATACTTCGGAGGATACCCGAGTGTGCCGCCGATGTATATTACAACTACATCGGTAAGGGTGAGACCGCGTCCATTGGGAATATCCGCCAACTTTTACCCCACCTACTATCTGCAGCCCCGTTGACCAGAATCGTGTTGGATGGGTTGGACGAATGTGCTATCGAAGACCAAACGAAGACCCTCAAAGCGATTCTCCCCATGATTCAAGACGAGTCTCTCAACTGTAGGGTGTTGATATCCAGCCGTGAGGTCCCAGGAATTTCGCGGGCTCTTTCTCAGAAAGCAAAGATTTCCTTATCCGAAGAGAACAAGTCTATCAACATGGCCATCGAATACTTCATCAAGGATAAACTCGCAGACCTTCAACAACTTCAACAACAGAATGAATTGGTTGAATCACTCAAAAAGACGATGAATGAGAAAGCTCAAGGTAAGCAGCTGTAAATATTTCCGGAATCCAGCGATCCCTGATATAAAGTTTAGGCATGTTTCTCTGGGTCAACCTTGTTCTCAACAGCATGGAAGAGACATACAGCCTCCAAGACTTGCAATCCGCGATTGATACTCTCCCTAAAGGCTTGACAGACTTGTAAAGTACCTTGCAGCGTTTAAATGAATATATGCTCACTTTAGCAGGTATAGCCGTATCTTGAGCACCATCAAAGACCGGTGGAGCGAACGTAACCCCCGTAATCTTGAGAGGGGTATTCGTACTCTCCAGTGGATCCTACATGCAAGGAGACCGCTTCGAAGAGGAGAGCTCATTGATGCCATTGCCCTAACACAAGAAAGCTTGGTGATTGATGAGTCAACGAAGTTGTTCGAAGAGATTCTCGAAATATGCAAGCCACTCGTCGAAGAAGGACCAAACGATACTTTAGTCCTTATACATTTCTCATTGAAGGAGTATAATTCTCTCATCCTAATGAATGTACAGCAACTAATTTTGTTTCAGATACCTTGGTCAACCAAACTGTGGATTGCCAACATCAGAACGCGAGTCTCACCACAACATCACTCTGGCATGCGTTGCGATGCTCGTATCAGGGCTAGACTTGCTTGATCCTACGTATGGCGAGAGCCAGAGGCTATTGAAAACAGGGAACGGATTTTTGACGCTACTGCCATACGCCCACAGCTTCTGGACGTACCATCTCCACCGGCTGGCACAGCTTGATTCAGGACTCTCTGAAGATAAAGCTGTTCACGTCATTCGTTGCTTGAACGACTTTGCTTCAAAACATGACTTGATTTTACAGCGCTCCCCAGAAATAGCAGTTTCTCAGCCATCTGGAAAAATGTTGCAAGCAAACAATATCCAGGGCCTGGATTGCAGTTTCAGCTTTTACGATCTTGTCTCAAAAGCAATCGCATTCTGTCAGAAGTTGCAGAATGAGCCATGCGATACTGGGCCAGGTAGGCTCACCTCAGTCGACGAATTCCAACTTTCTAAGCCCGTGAGCTGACTCTGGTCCAGAGCTCGAACGGTTTGGACTGAACCATGACCCAACATTGTTAAGTCAGCTCATATACAGCTACGAGCAAACCGTCCAACGACTTCTCTCAGCAGATGCTGTCTCTGACTTGTCTGACAAGTCTCTAGCCGCTTTCAAACGGTTCCATGGTTCAGTTTCATATTTGTGCCGATTTGGCACCTGCCGTGGTGCCTCTCGAGGCTTCGCCACATCGGAAAAGAGGGATGAGCACGAAAGATCGATGCACAGGCGATTCCACTGTACAAATTCCACCTGCCAGTATCGCCAGATTGGGTTTAAAACTTCAAAACAGTTGAAGGAGCACTTACGCAGTTTTCATTCCGATTCAGGGGAACCGAGCATTCCCAACTCGATTGGTGCCAGCGGCAGCGGCGGCGTGGGTAGTGACACGGCTGCGGGGTTCATTCCGAGGCCGGGCGCGTCGCCGGATCCCGTAGGCCGTGGATTCAAGAGAGGTAATCACGTAGAAGGTGCTCATCTTCTCTCTGTGTGGAATGAGCCTTCACAGTTTCCCCTGAGATGAACACAAACACGATAAAGAGCGCTGCTGACACACGACAAGATCGGACGCAGGAGACCCCGACGAATGAGACTCACGGATATTCTATACATAAGGAAAAAGCGGTCAGTATTCCCACTAAGCGCATTATTCCGATAACCATAGAAACATCTTGGTAACACTGGGAACGACGCATAGCCACAGGAACGATCAGCAGCCAATCCGCCACCACAACAACGTCTCCAACAAGTTATTCTAGCTCAACTACGTCAATCTCACCGTCCGCAACGCGGAACATGGCAGGCGACCCTCAACGCAGAACAACGCGCAGGAATGCTGTGGAACGTGTTAGTTTTCTACGCTCTTCTGCTATGGATAGAAATTGATTTTTCAACTCAGTTACACCGCAATAAGGCTGGCGAAACCCGATTCACCAGATCAAAAAGTCCTGCAGATAGCCTTTGGGAATGAAAATGAGCGCTTCATCAAATCCGGGAGTAGAGTGAGTAAAGCCAACTATTGCTATATGCCTGGTATCTAATTACACTACGTAGGATGAATATGTCACCTCGATAAAGGGATTGCTACAACGACTCCAGGGCATGCGGCAACTAAACGAGCAGACCAAGCAATCCCACATACAAGTCGGAGACACCTTCTCAGGCTCGGATTCAGGCGCGGGGCCTCATACGGCCCTGCCGAAAACTGAAAGGATGCCCAAACTATTGACACTAGAAGATCAACAGCGCCTCGAGGCTCTGGCGCAGCAACTCAGATCACAGGTGACCCCGGACGAAGAAAATCGAATTAGAGCACAATTTGCACAATTGCCTCCAGAAAGACGGCACAGTCTCGAATCGGGGAGTGCCGATGTTGTGATGCTTCATTGCAAAAACAGAGCCCAGTCAATGTTGTTTTCAATAGAGAAGGGACAGCAAACAGACCATAATTATCAATTCGGCCAGCAGCAGAGCCTAGAGTCGAGTCTGTCTCCATCGGCCGATCAGGGCTACCAGAATCTTGCCGGTCTCGGTCTCGATGCCAGCTCGCCACCACCCAACAACAGCGCCTTCGTGCCCACTTTCGACTCCTCAAACACAGCGCAGCATCAACAGACTCAAGGTCAAGAGCACACCGGCGCGCAGGCTCACCGTGAGCATTGGTATCTCGAGGAAGTTGCTGCAGCGCAGCAGCGTGATGAAAATACTCGGCGTCTCATTCCGTCCGGCTCTTCGGTCGTCGCCGCTGCGTCTGGGCCATGGCATGATACCGGCGACGGCATCTTTGGCCCCATGTCGCCCGAAAGCTGGCCGGATGGCGACAACGACTTCCAAACCGTCCTCTCTTCGCTCGCCGGTAGCAACCGAGCCTACTCTAAGTCGCCAAACAACTCCTTGAACTCCGGCTACGCCCCGCCGCCCCAGCACCCCCTTCCCTACCTCCAACCCTACGACGGCGTCATCTCCAATGTCAACCCCCATAGATAATTTCTAGCCTATCTCCCTAGGCATGCCCGATCTTCAAGTACTACGTCTTAGTCCTCCCCTTGAGGGCGCACTACTCGTTCTTGAAGGCGCAGGGGAGTGAGGCAGAGGATTTCAGGCCATCATGGTCAGGCTTGACGGCGACGGAGATGGCGGAAGCGGTGGTCAGGTTATCGTCAACGGTGAGCAGGGTCATAAGCCGGCCCATCGGGTTTCTTTTTAGAGACGATGCTTAGCTTCTTCTATTTAGTAAATATATTACTACTATTTCTTTCTTTCTTTCTTTTCCCTTATACTAAATAGTAGTAGAGTATACTAGAATACTATATATATATTGAATAGTATAAAGTAATTAAATTATGTACTACTAAAGAGTAAAATAATAGTAGAAACTATCTATATATAATATATTAATTATTACGTATACTTGCTCTAAGTATCGTAAGTTTATTACGCTTAGTAGTAAGATAAATAGAAGTTTTATCTTAGTATTAAGAAAGAAATACGAGATATATGGCAAATAAACGCGGAGTAAAAAGTAAAGCACAGTCTGACAATATAATAATCTTCGTGAATAGCGATACAGCTTCTCCGCCGGGACCGCTTCAGCAGGCTGCTACTGCCGCCAGCAGTAGCGGTAGCGGGAGTATCTGTGAACGATGTAGCAGCATCACTATCCGCACTAGCCGCCTTCTCCTGCTTGATACCGGAAGCCGCGGCTTGTGGTTTCTTGCTTCCGAGTGTACTGGCGGACCGCTCTACGTGTATGACTCCAAACCAAGTGTGGGCCCATCACGAAAGCTCATATGTCACGGCATCTTATCCAAGGTGTGCACGCGTAGCGTGAAAGAGGGCCCGCAAAAAGACGCCTTGCTTGTTGAGCGCTATTTTCCCTCATCCTTTGCCATATTCTCTTCCTATGATGAGCAAGCGTGTCTGATGAACGTAGAGAGTGAAAAAGAAAAAGAGAATAAAATGAGACACGCAGCACTGTTCTTCCCGGTAGTACCCTTGCTACCGTTCCATCGGCAGTTTCCAGTGGCGAGTGTTACTTCATCGGCTGAGCATTCCCTTTTTCATTCTCGTTTGAAACTAGCACCGTCAATCCCATCCCTCGTAACCGGCCGGCCGGGCTTTGCGTTAATGCACGTATCTCATGCGTGCATGCATATATGTCGCGTGGACCCAAGACTCAGATCCCTGCTCTGCCCTTCTCCTTGTGGGACGTTCGTTTTTTTTTAGCTCACTATATCAACCATCCGTTATCCTTCTGATGCGGCGGCTGCGGGTCGTGTGGACGTCGTGCATTATTTCCGTCGGGGGAATTCAAGTTCGAACCGGCTTTGTTTGTGTGTGTCTGTCGCCATTTCCTATTCCGATCACGCGATGAGAGGAGAGAGCATTTGCCGACGCGGTAAACGCGTGTGTGGGAAGAACCGGAACCGCGCCGCACCACTTATTTCTTTTTTTTCCCTTGGTTAGTGTCGCTCATCACTATTATCGCAACGATATGCCACATGGCCGTGGAGCCTTGTGTACGTCATTCCCGTTCCTTCGCCTTGGCTCGGTGCTCTAAAATAGAGCCGGGCTGTTGGTGGGAGGTTCCGTTGCTCGACGGTGGCCACATATCGGTGATATTCACACGCTTGGAGGGCTGGGCATCGACGCGCGTTTTTGCGGTAAGAGGCTGTCGTGGTGTATGTGCGCATGCACATGATGGAAGTGGTCTGGCTGAAGGCCAAGTGGAAGGTATCATAATTCGAACTCTAAAATATTTTTTGTCCCCCTTCTTGCGCTGCAAAACACCAACGTGAATCTATCCCATGTCTGATGCCATAACTCAAATTCAACGAAAACGATCAATATGAACCTTGCGCCGCGCTCATCTACAATGACCCCTTTTTTTAGTGAGCAAAACGGAAGTCAAGACGGCGACTACCCGTGTCGGTGGTGTTCTTCAAGTAATCAAGGCGTTGCTCTTGGGTCATGGCGTTCCAAACACGCTCGCGACGTTTGTTCTTCCAGATGTAGTAGACCTTGGTGAACAGGAAAACACAGATGGACAGACAGTTGATGATGATCAGGTTGCGGTTACCACGGTGGTACAGCGGCTTGTCGTCCTCACGGTACATCTGGTTTGCTATCACGTTGCCAACTTGTACCATCACTGTAGGAAAGAGAAGTCAGATGACGACGACAATAACACGATCATGAGCAATATAGACTTACTGTTATACAGCGCCGCAGACACGGTTCTGGTCCCGACGTTGTTCGAGTTCCTGCTCGTCCAGGCGACGAGGATGGCGTGGCAGTACGGGTAGCTGAGCAGGACGACGACGAGGGCGTAGGTTCCCCATGCATTGGTCATGGCTCCGGGCCAGGTGCGCAGGGCGATGAGGCAGGGCAGCGTCCACAGGTTCTGGATCATCGAAACCAGCGTCCGCTCCTTGAGCCACCCGCTCAGCCGCGTGATCAGAAGCAACGTCATGATGTGGAAGACGCTGGATGGGATGGCGAGCAGGTTCGTGTTGAACTGGTGGTGTCGTCAAGTCAGCCGCACAATTCAAGTAGTGGGGGAAAGAGAGAGAGATAGAGGTTGTCACATACCGTGCTGAAGCCCAAGCCCTTGATGGTCAGCGTGATGTACGTGTCGACGGGCGACTGCGGGATGTACGCCATGAGACCGATGGCGTAGAGCGGCCACAGGTCGTAGTCGCACATGGCGCGCCACAGCAGCTTGGGCGTGATGGCCTGGCGGTTGTGCATGTCGCCCTTGGACGGGTCGTCGCGCAGCACGCGGTTGACGGCGATCTTGAGCTCGTGGTCGGTGAACCAGCCCTTGGGGCGGAACCATGTCTTGGTCTGCGCCGCCGACGCCGGCATCATGAACCAGGAGGCCAGGCCGACGAGGGCGGTGATGAGGCCTTCGATCAGGAACAGCCACTGCCAACCAGCCCAGCCCGACACGCCGCGCATGTGCAGCAGGGCGAAGGCGAGGAGCGAGGTGATGATGGTCGTCAGGGAGAGCGTGGTCCAGAAGTAGCTCAGGCGGACGGGCAGTTCGCGGCTGGTGTAGAAGTAGGAGAGCCAGAGGACGATGTCCGGGATGAAGCCGCCCTCGAGGACACCGAGCATGGCGCGCGTGATCAAGAAGCCCGTCTTTCCGGTGATGGCGGCCTGGGACATGGCGACTGTGCTCCAAAGAGTGATCTGAAGCGGAATCCATCGATCCGGTCCCATCTTCTTCGAGATGAGCTGAGAAGGGAGTTCGGCCAGCAGGAAAGAGACAAGGAAGACGGTGTTGCCCAGGTTGTAGTCTAGCAGCCGTCAGTAAAGCACAGAAAATATGCGGTCCGCCTCATATAGCCCAGGGGTCTGAGATAGTTGCTCCAACATTTGTAACATATTGAGAGCCGATATCTCACCCGTTTGAAAACAGAAAGAAAAAGAGCATCTAATCACTCACCATTCGTGTTCATGTTCAGATCATTCAGCATATTGTCCGAAACAGCCTGTTTCAGGTTGCCACGGTCGACTTGCAGGCCGAAGAACATGACACAGGCCCATGCGCACACGCGGAAATCGAGCTTTCGGATCAGCCTCTTCTCCTCCTCGGGGGTCCAGGTGTAGTGAGGATCGAAAATCTCGCGACATTCGTACTGGGCCTTCTCGTAGACGTTGGTCCAGTGCTCAGCCACCTCGGGATCGAGGAAGGGGTTGGTGGAGAGGGAGCTGTTGGAGTCGGTCTCGTCGGCATCGCGCTCGTGGAATTGGAAGCCATCCTTGGAGATGGGCTCCTGGTTGAACGAAGTCGCCTGCTGGTTGGCGGTCGCAGGAGGAGACGGCTCGACGCGCTCCTTGAGGGCGTCCGGGGCCACGCTGTCGCTCTCGCTGGAGGAGTTCCGGCTCATGATGGCGGTCGGGATGGGGTCGCAAGACGATCGCTGGGCTTGCGAGGTCTGCGGTGGAAAAAGATTTTATATGGCCCAAGCATGGCGTTGCAGTGTTTCGCCGCTCGCTATGGTGTGATTCCGAGGTGCAAAGATGCCAGCAGCTGCTAGGATCCTTACAGGGAGATGACCGAGGGCCGCGCATACGGACGATTAGATAGGGTCCGATTCAGTGGCAGATTACCAGGCGAGGAGCCCGATTGGGTGAACGCATCCTTCAGGTCATTGCCATGAGGAAACAGAGGCCTGGACTGTGGGTCGCCAAAGCCACCCAACAGCCTGGTTCCGCAGCAGCTCTCGGGTCTCTACTGCCCAGGGACGGAAGTGTACCGGCGGAGTAATCAGCCTGCTTCCGAGCGTGTTGCGGCCCGAGGAGCGGGGCTCCACCGCCGTGGTGATGGGGAAAGCATTTTGCGGCAGCGTCAAGACGTCTGTCACAAGGTTTCGCAGCATCGATGCTTGAGGCCTGCTTCCAAGCTCTGCTCAAGCATGTACAAGAGGCAAAGCAACCAGCATGGCTTGCCCTTGGCGAGCTTCGAGGCCTTGGGCGGAATTGGCGGCGAGGTGGAGGAACGGCCAAGGCGAAGACACCATGCAATGCCTGTATGTCGCGATCGCAACGGCGCGATGTCGTGATGGCGCGCCTGCCACCGACTCCCTGATTCACGTCGTTTCTTCTGCAAGCCATCGTGCTTTTTCTGCAGCTCATCCTCAATGCCGCGCTCTTGCGTCCCGCATCGTCGACGGGCAAGTGCCGAAGTGGTGTTGCATTCAATCCATAGCTTTTTCAGAGGAGGAGGCATCGCGCGTCTGGAAACGTCCGGCGCCGTCGCCTCGCGAACGTTGCACCGGCGGCGCAGATCCCCTTTGCCGTACGTACCGACGCCTCGGCTTTTCCCATGAGATTACTTCGGCGAACGCGGTATTGGGCATACCTGGGGCATCTTATCGCCAGCCACGCTTCCCATGTGGCGCTTTCCAGCTCATGGAGAGCCTGGTGGGGGACGTGCTGCAGGCATTCATCAGCTGTGTCGACCAACTTTGTCCGGTGCGGGCGCACGATACCTATGCGGAAGCCCACTCTGCACGCGCGGAGCTGCATAGATGTCGCTTGTGGCTGTTGGCACTTCATCGCTTCTGCGGCGGGCTGACCGAGGTGGAGACTTAAGTAATTCCTCTCGCTAAGTTAACTTGTGGTTTGATCCTTTCGCGGCCGAACTTGTGTCAGGAACCCGTGTTACTCATTGGAGTCGATTTTCCAGAGAAAAGTGCGTTCGACGACGGAGGTTGATGAGGCAAGGCGGTTAAGTATGTGTTGTGAATGCCAGGCAGACGTGTTTTGCGCAAGTCTGAGTCTGCATGACTCAGAATGACACATACCTATTCCATCACATCCCGTCATCGCCCAACATCTCCGCGGAAAGATTCATATATAAAGAGAAGACCTGTCGTCACTTCTGCATTGTCTTAGATCATTTTTACCATTTAAATAAAAGGCATACATTCACGTCGCGAGTGTCCCCAAAAATGTAAGAGCAGCAGTGTATGATTACCTTTTACTACTCATTAAATAAAAAAGATTCGATTGGAATAATGTTGTCAAACATCTACGAACGCTAGAGGCATACCAAGCTTTTTATAATGAAGCGACGCGAGAGACACGAAGACGGTTGAGGACTAGAATGAGTCGTCTAATCCAGGGTCTGTTCAGATATGTCACTCCTGGTAGGTACATCTTGCTGCTCAACGCACAAGGAAAAAAGAAAAGAAAAAAAAACCCGAAACCACGTCAACAGAGTAATATTAACAACAAAAGTAGCGCCGCCTCGGATGTGGCCGATAATAACATCTCTGGTGCTTGCTAAGCAGATATATCTCTTTCAATTCAAAGCCATTTTAAGCACTGCTTCAGATGTAGCCAATAACAACACTGCCGAGTGGAACCAAGCGGAAATCGGCTCCAAAGTAATATTTATCTCATTTTTACATCATAGCACTTTATATTAGGCCAGTAAGAAATCAGTTTGGCTGTGCCTTTGGCCGCTTTCCTAGTCTTTTTCCCTCTGTCCGCGTGTAGATATAACGTTAGTATCTACTTCTACGCAGAACTTAATTGGCTACATATGTAGCATAGATATTCTCTAGCGCTTTAGCCATTGTAACTTTTCCACGGCTCTCTCTTAGAAGCTATTGGTCGCATCTAAAGCAAGCCTTCGAAGACTTTCTCCGTATCAGCCGATCTGGTTCCAGGATGTACTCAGCAGATAAAATCACATGCCTGAGTGTGGAAGTAATATATAAAGTAGCACGGTAGTCGTGCCGTCCATCAATCCAACATCTCAATCAAATTACCTTCCGGCGAATATCACACCCGAACAACCATGCCGACCGACGAAGAGACCAAGAACTTGGCAGTCGTGACCGAGTACTTCACCGAGTACTGGGGCAAAGCCAACCCCTCCATCGTCGACAAACACTGCGCCGACAACTTCGTCCTCAACTACCCCATGCACGGCCCGCGCCACGGCAGGGAAGCCGCCAAGCGCATGCTCACAGACCTCAAGCAGGCAAGCAGCCACCACGACTCCCAAGACCCAGACACCAACCACCACACTAACACACACCGCAACAAAGGCCTTCCCAGACATCTCCTTCCACGCATACCAGCACCCCCTCATCGCGAGCGGGCCGTATGTCATCGGCCGCTGGATCGGCGGCGGCACGCACACCGGCGGTGCGTTCGGCGACCTCCCCGTCGGGGCGCTGGACGAGGCCGGTACGGGGAGGCGGATGCGCTTTTCTGGCATCACGATATTCACGTTGCGGGACGGGAAGATTGTGGACGAGACGGGCGAGGAGGGCGCGCTGACTGCGCTGCAGGGGTTGGGGCTCGTGCCGCCGCCGAATGCTGGGAGGGAGGTCGAGTTTTTGCATGAGAAGTAGCGGGTGGAGAATGGGTCTGGTTGGTGCGAGTGGATGGATGGCCGCCCTGAGCTCCTGTGGTTTTGGAAAAGTTATAACGCCTTCACTTGTAGTTGTATGTGCTGCAGACTGGCGCTTGACGCCGCTCAATCCAGAAAAGCATCTTGTTACCACCCCTCATTTCCGATTCCGGTCAATGTCAAGTCACCATTGCAACCTTTACATTCGTATTTAATGCTCCTGGTATTTGTATAACGCCGTTATGCCGCCCTTCATCTTCTGTGCACTGAGAGAAGGTGGAGGAGAGAGCCATGAACCGAAATCCGTAAATGTCGCGTGTGCGCTAATTTGTCTATAGGTGTGTTCTTACGTTGTGCCGGTCAGAACAGCTAGTATACAATAGGCTCTGAGAGTGTTAGCCAATCGTAAGGTTGTTGTCTCGTCTTTCGCCTTTTCCCTTTCCGAAAACACCTTGATGGCCGGACATCAAGGTACCATGGAACACCAGGACACCCCCCATGCAGCTGGCCTCCCACACACACAAACTGCAACGACAGCAAAAAATAAAATTCCCCACATTGATTTTCTCCCTGCCACCAACTGCGCGCACAACTTCCACAGCATCAACGGAAAACCACCTTCTCTCCTTTCCAACAATGTCCCACGAAACCGTCTGGTACTCCCGCCCGCGCAACTACGGCAAGGGCTCCCGCGGCTGGTGAGTCACACTCCGCCCTGTCTCTTCGTCGTTGCATTTCTTTTCCTCGTGTCCCCCCTCTACCATTGTTGTCGTCGTCGTCGCCGCCGTCCTCCACCTCCAATGGTGCATGTGCTGACGAACCGATCCCTCCCACCCTACAGCCGCGTCACCGGCGACAAGAAGAAGGCCGGCGTGATCCGCAAGTACGGTCTGAACATGTCTCGCCAGGCCTTCCGCGAGCAGGCCGAGGCGATTGGCTTCCACAAGGTGAGTTTTCTTGCCGAATGATTCAGCCCCGGTCTAGGAATCTGGTATTGATGGTTGGCGAAACAGTACCGCTAGAAATGCCATCGACGAGCGCGATCTCAGACTAAGGGAATATAAATCGCTGAAGTGGAGTAAAAAAAAAAAGAAGCTCCCAGCACTGGCTGATACAGGAGTATGACAATGGGAGATGTTAAAGCTTAGGTATCATCAAAGAAAAATCAATGCCCCATTGACCATATCCGTGACTCTTGCGCCCATCCCATCCCCCAGCAACCCAAAAACAAGAACCCGGGGAAGAGGGAAAAAGAATCATCTCTATCTATAATTATACCCCTTCTCAAAATAATTCCCATAACAATCGACCTCGCCCCCACCCAACTCCCCATCCACCCCCGCCCCTCCCTCCACCGTCCTCGGCGGCGGCCGAACGACCTGAATCTCACCCTCCCAGTACCCCTCGACCTCGACGACCTCCGCCTCACCCTCTCCCCCTCCCCCACCCCCTCTGGCCAACAGCGCCGCCTGATACGCCGCCCTCCTCCCCTTCCTAAACCTCGTCAACTCCGCACAAACGTCGATCCGGCGCCTAGCCTCATGCTGCACGAGGACCGGCACCGGTCCAGCAGCCGCGTCTGGCAGCACGACGACCTTCTCGCTCATCCCCGCGAGTGGCGGCAACGACCTCCCGCCCGGCTCCAACGACGGCACACCACACTCCTCGTCGCCAAAAAACGAAAAATCCCTCTCCGCCGCCGCCCAAAACGCCTCCGAGTCCGGGTCTTCCGTCGACGACTTGGACGGGTACTGGCGCCAGGCCCCGACCTTCCTCTTCTTCACCACGCCGACGGGCTCCATCTCCAGCACCACCCTCCTCAACCCAAACACCCCCCTCGCAAACTCGCGCTCAGCAAGCTGCCGATCGCGTCCAGGCGGCAGGGCGTAAGCCCCCCTTGCGGCGAGGCGGGCGAGGTGCGTTTCCTCGGCGCAGTCGGCGATGAACTGCGTCAGACGTTTGACGATGGCCGGGTTCTCGACTTCGCGCGGCACGTCGGTGAGGACGAGGGTGTCGAGGGCGGGGAGCATGCCTGGGTGTAGGTGGTGTTCGTTGGATTGGCGGAAGTCGAGGCGGGCGCGGCGGTCGTCGACGGCGAGGGAGGAGGCGCGGCGACGACGTTGGGTGTCGTGCGCCTGGAGGGTGGCGAGGGGTTCGGGGGCGGATGAGCCGTCGTCGGACGGCAAGGACGCAGGAGGCTCTGCTTCGGATAGTTTGATCTTCTCGGTTCCGTGGAGGAGCTGCTCCTCCGTGGCGACGGCATCATCGTCGTCGGGTTGGGGTTGCGGTTCGGGTGGTGGTGGTGGTGGTGGTGTGGACGGCGGCGGCGGATCGATCACGACGGCCGGTTTGGACGGAAAGTCACCAGGCAGTTCAAACACCTGGGACTCTGCCGTAGCAGGCAGCTCAACCGGTAGCACCTGATCCCCCGCCGGCATCTCATGCACCGCAGCGCCATCCGTCGGCGCCTCATGCACCTCATTAAACCCGTCAAGCTCCTGCGCTGACGACGGCGCGTAGATGCCGAGATCGCCCTCCATCTCGACCCTACCAACCGCAAGATCCGCAGTCGCTGTCTCTTCGGTAATAACAGCATGATTGATGCGCAGGTACGTCATGCGGCCCGCCGCGAACTTCTTGATGATGGGCGAGAGCTTCTCCGCGCCCGGCATAGCAAACTCCTCCGCAGGGCCATCCGCCTCCTCGAACGACAGCAGCGACGGCGGCCTCGGCTTCCGCGTCAGCCCCCTGGCCACGGTGCCCGCGTCGAGCACGTGGAGGCGCTTGGAGTGCAGCAGGCCCGAGACGCCCTCGACGGTGATGTTGTTGTCCGAGATGTACAGGTGCGTGATGCCGTCGGCGTAGGCGTCGTTGATGAATGCGTTGCCCGCGAACTCGCCCACCAGCTTCGCCCGCAGCACGCGGTCCAGGTCCTCGTTCGCGTACTGGTCGAAGACGAACGGGTGGCGCATGGCCGGCGACGACGGCGACGCAGGGGAATCGACCGTCTCTGAAGATGCCAACGGGCCGCCGTCAGGGCGCCGCGGTGGCCATGGCTTTCTCAGGCTGAAGCAATTATCGAGAAGAATGCGTGCGCTCGCATCTGTCAGTTGGTTATTGCGGACATCGAGGCTCTTTAGGCGCGTCTTCACGGCCGTCGCCAGCGCCTCGATCTCTGCATCCTTCAGCCCCAGCCCCCTTAGCTTCAAGATGCGCAGGCTGTGGCAATGCTTCAGCACCGACAGCACGTCGGCGCCCTTTGCCGACTTGGTCCGCGAGAGGTCAAGGTACAGCAGCGCGGGAAAATGCTGCAGCGCCTCGGCCAGGCCGCTGTACGTGGCGTTGGAGCAGGCCGACGCGTCCAGGTACCGCAGCCAGAACTGGGGGAAATCATAAGTCAATCTGCGAAGGCTGTCCGAGAGCGACGAGAGCCTTGGATTGCTCGGGCGGCGGAGGGTGATCAATGCGCCGTGGTCGAAAAACGGCAGTCCGTAGACGATTAGTGACTGAAGGCGTGGCAGATACTCGAGGATGTCGCGCAGCCATTCGGCGTGGGGGCCGTCGTAGATTTCCGCGTGCGCTGGTGGCAGGTGGAGCGTGTGTGTCAGCTCTCTCGTGCTCAGCCTGGCCCACCGGATGGTGCGCCGGAAACGAACGAGGGCGACTGCATTGGAGTCAGTAACGAGAAGGAATGCAGATAGCGTGGGAGCAGCAGCAGAACGCACCGTAGACGACATCATTTTCCACGCCGAAATGCGAGGCTGGATTGCCCCACAGCTGGCGGGTGAAGATGGCAGCCCACTGCTTGCAGACGAGGGCTGCCGAGCAGAGATCCGCGGACGATATGTACCGGGCGATGATGGACCAGTAGTCCCTGGTGTTCGCGGCCTCGTACGATGGGAGCACGTCGTTCATGACTGAGGTAAGACGACGACGGGAAGAGACCCACGGTCGCGGACCCGCACCAAAGACGAAGAATCGAAGTGACGTGTGGCGGCCAAGTACGATGGGCCGTCAGACGACCCGCGCCACGAATCCATTTTCGGCAACCCCACTAGTTGGCGTCTGCTCTTCCCTCAGGATCAGTGTCCAACAGTTCTCATGTCGCGCTGTTGGTTGGTGGAAGATCACGTGAAACGCACGTGCTGTTAGTTTGCGCCTTTCCATAAATAGAATCACTACGTCACGGACCACTCTACTACACCTCAAAGTTTCCCTATATGCTTAACGCCGGCTACTTATCCGGTAACTCGATAGCTAATTTCTAGCTTGTTCACTTTTTAGCGTCGACTGGGCTAGCTTGAACGAGTAGTTCAGGAAGCGGCGCCAGGATGAGTTAGACCGTTCATCATGACAGCACAGGCCGGACATTCCTCAATAATCTTCTTGATTTCTCCGATATCTGTACGCAGATTTTTAGCCGCATGGTATACAGCCCATTCGGTTTCATGACCTCATAAAATCATCTTCTCCCCACTTCAGACGACTTCCCTCCTCGACACTCCCTTCTCATCCTCGTCGACAGCCGGAGCAGCAGCTTCCGGGTGGACAATGCGCTCAATACCCTCGTGGTCCACGTTCGCCGCCTCCTCCATATCCGCGTCATGGGCAACATCAAATCCCCGACCACGATACTCGGGGCCGACCAGGGTCAAGATGATGACATAGGCGTAGACGCAGCCCATGAAGATGCAAATGACCTTGCCGTACTCATACCGAGCCGTCTTGCCCTTGGGGGGCAGCGGGAAGCGCTCGCCGATGGTGGCCTCGATGGTGCTGGACGCGCTGGACACGAGGTTGCCGAGCTGGTACGAGGTGCCGACGACGAAGGTGCGGAAGCTGCCGGGCGAGAGCTCCATGAGGTGGATGGGGATGACGCCCCACGCGCCCTGGACGCAGAACTGCTCGAAGAAGGCGGGCGCGATGATGCGCGTGTCGCTGACGAACGTGTAGGGGTACAGCAGCGCGCCGCCCACGACGCAGATGAAGATGATGCTGAAGCGGCGGCCGAAGATCTGCGAGCAGTAGCCGATGACGGTGCCGCCCGTCATCGCGCCCAGGTTGGCCACCACCTGCGTGACCGTGACGGCGTCGGCGCTGAAGTTGTACTGGTTCTCCAGCATCGTGGGGTACAGGTCCTGGGATCCGTGGGACTGAAAAGTCTTGTCAGCCTCCGTACCACTACTTCCTTTGAGTGAGTTAGATTTACCATGAAGTTGAATCCCGCCATGAGCAGAACCATGTAGATCAGCAGGAGCCAGTGTTTCTTGAGAGCAACCTTGCCCTCAGCGATGAAAGTCTTGCCGACGTTGTGGCCAGACTCGCGGACCTTTTCGCGCTCCCGGTACGCCTGGGTCTCGGGCAAACACAGACGGAAGAGGATGATCAGAACAGGCGGGCATGCACCGAACCAAAAGAGCTTGTCATAGGTTAGCCAGAAGCCAGTCTGCGTTCTGTCGGGACACCAAAAACTCACAGGTCTCCAGCCGTGGCTGGTAGTGTTGACGAGGCCTCTAGCAAAGACGGTGGCCAGGAGGTACCCAAACGCATAGCCCTGCTGCAGCATGCCAGACACTATACCGCGCGCCTGCTCCGGGCAGTCCTCGAGCGCCGTGGCCGCCGCGTTGCCGTACAGGCCGCCCATGGCGATGCCGAAGAGGGCCCTGACGCCCAGGAACTGTTCGTAGGTGTTGCAGAAGCCGGTGCCGAGCTCGAGGATGATGAACAGGAGGTTGTTGATGATGAAGGGCCACTTGCGGCCCCAGCGGTCGGCGGCGATGCCGAAGATGATGGAGCCGACGGACCGCAGCATCAGCACCAGCGTGATGCCCCAGGTGATGTCCTTCTTGCTCTTGCCGAATTCCTCGGCGAGATCCTCGACCCTGCGTTATTTTTTTGGTTAGCTGTGGACTCAGGGCAAGGGATGTTGACAGGCGGACTAACGTCAAACTAACGGTGAAGAAGTCGAACGCATCCCACGACCACGCAATGAAGGCGACGAGGAAAAACAGCCATTGCTGCGTGTTGAGCAGGCCCAGCAGCTTGAACGGATTGGGGGCACGGGCCATGGGCGGCTTCAGCGACGGGATGCGCGTCGCGATGTAGCGGCCGACGCTCATGTGCTCGTCGGGGAGGTGCGCAACAGTGCCGGTGACTGCGACATCCTCGACGCCCTCGGCGCCGTATTTCTCGGTCGACATTATTGCGGCAGAGCGCAGGGGAGGAGGGAATTGCCGTGATGAGTGGGAAAACACACAAGACTTCTTGCCGAGGCGAAGCTTTGCGCGCCAGGGTCGCCAAGCAGTACCAAGCGTCGACGCCGAGAAAGAGGATACAGGAAACAAGCAACGCCCAGCGCAGACACACCCGCACGAGGCGCCACCGCATCTTTATACCCGCCGCGGCCCACGCCGCCCGAGCCAGCGCCGAGTGCGGCGAAGCGGTAGCTAGAAGTCGATGCGACTGCGTCAGCCGGCCGGCCGCGATTCGCTGGACGGTGAAGCCATCGATGTCGGCCCAGCCGTTCCCAGGAATCCTCCGTCCCTCATCTGAGCTTCTCTTCCCCTCGCCCGGTCAGCGGCGCCGCCTCTGACTGGACAGCAGCCTGTCGGCTTCCTGTGCGCGGCCTAGCGGCGCGGGCTTATCAATGCACGGCCGTCGAAGGGGACGACTTCAAAAGCCGATCGCAAGGCTCGCCTGATGCGCCGTGCGTCGTCTCCACACCCTCTTCGGTTTATTTCCCCACGGGGCGGCACGCACGAACCCACACACGGACTTCGCCGCCGAACGCATAGGCCAGCCTTACGCACGAGCACACATAAAATACTTTCATCGTTACACCATCCATAACAATTTTTATGAATCCATCATCATCATCGTCATACCATAACAATTGTTCAAGGAAAAACACCCCAGCGCCGCCCCCGTGCTCTAAACATAGGTATGTAGGTAGCCCTCCCTCCCTCGTCTATCTAGTTTCCCCCCAACCACTCACCCGACTATCCCCAGTTCTGCCTTGCGGACTCTTTTGCTCTAGTAGGTAAGTTCTTTTGTTCGGGCGATTTTTTTTTTTCACGAGCGACCAGCCTGGCTATCGCTATCTCTGTCTCTCTCGAGCGCCTCCGTCAAGCTCTCCAACTCCGTCATGTGGAGCGCCTGATCGACGCTGCCGACGAAATGCCTCGTGCCGCCAGCCACCTCGACAAGGCCGCTCTGCTCGAACAGCCTCCACACCTCGCTCCCCTCGCGCGGCACGCGGCAGAAGAAGACGCGCACGCCCCTGTCGACGTAGTTCTGGACAATCTCGAGCAGCACCTGCGCGCCCGCGCCGTCGAGCGACGTGACGCCGTGCACGTCGAAGATGACGTTGCGGTTGTGCTCCTCGCGGCGCACGCGCGGCAGCGCCGGGTGCGCCGCGTTGGTGCCGTGTTCCTCGAGGCGCTTGAGGCGGTTGCGCAGGCTGCCCGTGTTGGCGAACGTCAGCGGCTCCGGGATCTTGACGATCAGGCAGCCCTCGACGAACTCGAGCCGGCCCGGGTCCAGCTCGGCGTTCTCGAACCGGTCCGTCGTGCCCGGCACGCGCCCCAGGATCTGGATGCGTGGCCGCGTCGCGTGCTTGATGACGCGCAGTAGCGAGAGGCCGATGCCCACCGCGATGCCCTTCTTCAGGTCCCAGAAGATGGTCACCAGGAAGATGATGAGCATCAGGCTCAGCTCCGACCAGCCGCGGATCTTGAGGAAGAAATGGATGTCGTGCGGCGCCTCTTCGACCAGGGAATACGCGACCACGCCAACCATTGCGGAGAGAACACCCTTCTGCATGTGCTTGTTAGCCGCGGCATGCGTTGAATCTGCATGGACTGAGGACTTACCGGGAGGTAGTAGAAGTAGGGCAGAAGGAAAAGTAGACACATGAGAGTGATCAAACTCAGGAAAATGTTGCTCATCGGGGTCCTGCCGCCCGTCGACGCGTTCACTTTGCTCCTACCATACCCGCCAAATGCGGGCAAGGCCATAAACAGACCTCCAGTCACATTGGCAACGCCCAACGCGACCAGTTCCCTGTTTGTGCTGGTGTTGACGTTTTGAAGGCCATCCTTGGCGGGAGGCAAACTCTTTGCGGCCACAGAGGACTCGAAAAAGCCAAGCAACGCGATGGTGAAGGCTGTCTCAAAAGCGCTCGAAACATACTTGAGGTGCGAGAAATCAAAGGGGAAGTGTACTTTGAACAAGTGGCCACCCGCTGTGTTGACGTTACCCAGGATAGCCAGACCTTGCTGGTCCCAGCGGTAGTGCGATGTAAGAATAACGGATAGTACGACGACGACAAACCGGTCCGGAATGAATGCAGCGCCGGGATACCGGGGTTGGAGGCGTTTTTTCAATTCCCTGTTCCATATTAGTGTCTGCTATACGGGGTGAGGTGTGAGTGCAACAAACCTGAAGAACATGATGGTGAAAAATGCGCTAAAGGAGACGGCACATGTAAGCTTGTGCACATTTCCAACGTTCTTGATGATGAAAATCAGCTTGTCGACAGCACTACCGTGCTCGACGCCGTTGGGTCCTTCTGCAAGACGGGCAATCCCCATCTGCGGAATAAGCTGGTCGATGAAGATGACGCAACCGATGGCACTGATGAAGCCCCGCAAAAACGGCCTGCTGAGGACATTGTCCAAAAAGCCGAGCCTGAACAGGCCACCCAGAAGGATGACGAACCCAGCGATGAAGGTCGTAATTCCAGCAATCTCGGCGTTGAGTTGTGCTTCGTCATCGCCGCTAGTTCCCTGTCGGATGTTTTCCCTGACCACTTCACCAGTGAGAAGAGAGCCTGGGGCTTCCGGGCCCACAATCATCATCGGCGCGGTTCCGAGTATGGCATAGATGAGGGGGTTGAAGAAGAAGCTGTACAATCCGTTGACCGGGGGGATGTGGCCAAGGTTGGACGCGTAGGACAGGGACATGGGAATGTAGAACGAAGCCATCGTGATAGCCGCCACGAGATCGCCGCGAAGGTAGCGCAACTTGTACTGCCGAATCCAGTTGAAAATTGGCACGTAGTAAGCCAAGTACCTGTCCAGAGAGCGTCAGCAGGGTCAGGACTACGGATGGGGTTCCATCACATACATCATCCTCTTGTTCCTAATACCATGCCTCTCGGCCAGCCATGAAGTTGTGTTGTGCTTGCCTTGGCCGCCCAGCAGGCCATCCGAAACCGAGTCGCCCAGCAACGAGGTCGAGGCATCTGGGGTGTTGGCCGTGTCGTCGCCGGGATAGCGGCCACCAAAACCATCGCGCAGTATTTCCGAGTTGAAGCTGCCATAGCTCCTCGCGGTCTCAGGCCGCGGCGACCTTGCGGGCGACATGTCGTAGGCGAAAGCAGGGCTCCTCTCGCCGTCGCGCAGGCTCAGCAGGTGCGCTCGCGCGGTCGACTCGAGGTGGTCGGCGGGGGCTGCACTAAATGCTGGAGAGCGAGCAGATGCTTGGGAGCCATGGCGAGGAGATGTGGGTGCGTTCGAGCTGTCGCGCGGCGGAGCCCCACTCTTGGCGCTGGAGATGCCAAAGTCGGTGTGTGTCGATTGTTCGGGCGAGGCGGCGGGATAGTGCGATTCGCGCAGATGGCTGGGGTTTGTCGGCGCGTGTTGGTTGACGGAGCGCGCCTCTGAGGCGCTGCGCGAGTGCGAGGGCATTGCGTGGTGGCTTGTGGGGAGCCCTGCAGTAGGCTAGCTGTTGTTCTTTGCAGACGGGTTGCTGCAGACTGGTCGCTATCTAATTTTTCCCCCGGGGTTTTTTTATTCATTTTAGTCTCGAGGCCACCTCACGCGCCAGCCGGGATGCTGCCCGTCACGCTAGGCGTCGCACGTTGGGGCGGCGGAATGCGAGGCGCATCCAGGCGCCTGCATGCGCGTCGTTGCGGGCGAGCGGTTGGTCTTTGTCCTGGTTCGGCGGAGATCTGCCGCTATGGTTACGCTGCGCTGAACAATACCCGGTCGCCGGGTGGTCCATCTGTCATCCAAACTGAAGGAGCCAAGGCCAAGAAGAACGGGAGTACGGCACGCTATTTCCATTACCTCAGACCCCTGCATACCAGAGTTGTCATACGGGACCCAAGCGGTCCAGACCGTATATCAATATGGTCCAACACGCCTTGCATGGCAACACGTTGTAACCCGCCAAAATGCATTATTCACTGCTTGGGAACCCCGCTGCGTGCTGAGCTACAGAAATGCTACCAACCCTAGTTTTGATCTACTTGACGCCCAAACGCCTCGTTTTGCCCTGCTGACCCAGTAGCATCTTACGTAGTAAGAACTATGCTTCGGCTTTAGCTGCCTTCTTCTGCTTCCGCAGCGTCTCTTTGCGCAGAGCAATTTCCTTGCTCAGGTCGGCACCCTGCGCCTTGTCCTTCTTGGACTTCTTGGCTGGCTTGTCGCTGCTTTCCTCCTTCGTGTCCTCAAGTGGCTTCCGCTTCTTGCTCTGCTCCTCCTCCTTGATCTTCAACCTCTCCGACTTGTCAACAGGCTTGTGCTTCTCGTCCAACACGTCCTGCTCGTCCACCCACAGCTCATCGGCCATCCAGATGGGCAGAGCAGTCGTTGCCGGACCCTTGATGTGGAGCGAGCGGATGTTCTTCCAGCCCTTGGGAATCAGCTTCTCCTGCGAGGTAAGTGCCTGGACGACGACCTCCAGGTTCTCCGCAATCTGCTTCGGCTCAAAGCTTGCGTTTGCGACGCGGATGGCAGTACTTGCGGTTGGGCTCAAGTGCACGAGCGCCGAGTCCAGGGCCTTCTGGATATCCTTCGCCACGGCGGCGGCCGAGCCGACGATGGTAGAGCTCTTGTCCTCGCTGGTCTTCTTCGGCTTCTTGCCATTAGCGTCCTTCTGCACCTTTTCGTTGCCCATCAAGTGAACAGGGATAGGACGCTTCGCCGTGTTCTTGTAGAAAACCTTGCCGAGAGCCGTCGGCAGGTAAGTGATGATGCGATCGTCGGCCAGGAAAATGTCATACTCGGCGTAGAGCTGGCGCTTGGTTTCATAAGTCTTGTATTTCGCCTTGAGCTTAGAGTAGCCAATGACGCGGCCAATGCGCTCGCGCAATTCTTGAGGGAAAGCGGATTCTTCAATCAGGTCCTTGTATGAGCGCTGGGGGTCTGCGGTGCTGCATGACGAGTTAATTCGAGCTGCGCACATGTGAAGGCGCGTTCTTACATCAAACATATCCTCTGACCAGGCGCGGGCAGAGGGTGCGGCAGCGGGATCTTGGCCGGCTTCAGGCGCTTCTTGTCAACGATGTGCTTTTTGGTAGTCACAATCAGCCACACGGGAACCTGGCCGTCGGTAGCGGCATCGCTGTCGTCGGAAGCGTCGTCTTCGAGGAGGTTCTTCTTGGTGGATTCGGCAGCCTTGGTGCTCTCGGAGGACTTGATGTGTGCGGTCAGGGCCTTCGCGGCGCGCAAAGTCTGCTTGGAGTCGAGCTGGTAGGGAGAATTCGACCCAGGCTTGGTCGCCACAGCATCCGAGGATTTCGCCATTGTTGCTAGAGGTGTGGGGGCAGAGTGCGGCGAGTTGGTGGCTCGAGACGCTGGGTGAGGGTGTCGCAGAAATTCTGGGCCAAAAATGTCGCGGCTTTCTTTCTGCCGCGCCTCACCGCCCTCGTCACCGCCGAGACCGCGATGTTGGCGCGCCTCACTGCAGCAGTCGAGGGATCTCAACTGAGACTTGATCACGAGCCCCAATGCAATAGAGTCGGTGAGCCGAAATAAGAACAGAAGGAAGAGAACACCGCCACACAGGCTCCAACAGCTGTTTGCACCAGGCGACGCTCATCTCAGACTCAGCGTGTGTTGCGACACTGTGGGATATACGACTCGACAGCGCTCGCGTTCGCGACTTGGGCTACCCCGATGTAGAGCGTTGGCCGTTGGGCGAAGCAGCCGGCTTCTGCGACGTTCATTCGTGCTAGCCTGGGGCCGGGCTGGACGACTGCGACCGGCCGCAAGCGGGAACAAGCGCCGCCGCCATGTGCCGGGCGTTCTGGATTTTGCAGGCGATCTGCAGCGCGCTGCGTGCACTAGACGCGCCGCGATGTCATGGTTGAAGCTCGTGAGCATGCGCGCGTGGCCTGGCCTGGGGCGGAAGCGGGACGAACGCGCGCGGAAGCAGAGCAAGACGCGAGAAGAGCGTGTCGTGCTGGCGTTTGGCGTTGTCTGCTGCGCCATCGGCACACGGGTGATTTCTTGCCTGAAGGCCCGGGGTGGAGCAAGTCTGAGCGTCCGCGTCGAAGCATCCACCACCGAGGCGCGCACCGCGTCAGGCTCGTTCAAATTCGCTGCCGGCCGCCCCCAGCCCTCTCTTCGTCTTCTTCTTCGCGCCGCCCTGACCGTCATGGCCGCTTCTCGCTGAGCCCGCCGCCGGAAGCACACGTTTCCTCTCGCTCAGCTGCCCCTGCCTTCCTCGCAGCTGCGGCCCCGTCCGCCGCCTGCCGTGCTGCCGGCCCTGTCTTCACGTCGTCGACCAGCCACCGTCACCCTCCGCGTCGACCTCCACCATGGACTCGCCCGCGCCCCGGCGGTACATTCCCTTCGCCATTGAAGAGTCGTCGCCATCGCGCCCTGTCCCCTCGAGCCCGCCGAAGCTGCTGCCCGCCTTTGAGCCTCTGTCGTCGTCGCCCCTGCCGCGGCCCCCCAAGCGCAAGTATGACGAGAACAACGCGCTGCCCAAGGCCGAGCTGAAGTACTACCCCACGCCAATGCCCACCTCATCCACCGGCGTGCTGCCCTCGTCGCCGACGCGCCAGGTCCGCCAGCCCCTGCAACGTACGCTGTCTGCTCTCTCCGAACGGAACCCTCTCTGCGCCGTGCCCTCGATCGAGGTCCCCGCGAGTGGAGAGCCGCTGCTCATGGGCCGCTCCAGCAATTCATCTCACCACCAGCTCTCTGCAAATCGCCTAATTTCACGCGTCCATGTCCGTGCCGTCTACCACGCTCCGACCGACGAGCACGCGTCCGGTCGCGTCTTTATCGAATGTCTTGGCTGGAATGGCGTCAAGGTGCACTGCCGCGGACAGATATACGATCTGGCCAAGGGTGATACCTTCTCCTCCGACCAACCCTCCGCCGACATCATGCTCGACGTCCAGGATACGCGTGTCCTGCTCGCCTGGCCTTACGTGTGCGATAGGAAACGGAGTATGTCGGCGGCTTCGGACACGACTTGGGACGAGGCCACCCCCACCAGAAGGAGGGCCGGATCCACCGCTGGCTTCAACTCTAGCCCTCCTCCCTTCGCCCCGCAATCCCCCGAGTCGCCCGTGCCCAAGGCCGCTGATGCCAATGACGAGACGTTCCTAGCTTCTGACCCTGCTGACCTCGAGCCCCCAGCCGTCCAGGTGTATGAAGACGGCGAGTCGGGCGACGACAAGGCGCGTGCTGCTCTTGCCGAGTCTCAATCGTCGCGCACTGCCTCCGGCTCTGCCCCCGAGGGTAAGGGATCTCAGACCAGTGCTTCGTCTTTTGACTCTGACGACTTCTCTGATCGCGACGAAGAAAACGATCCTGTGGTCCACTCGTTTGGTCCCTTTGGTGCAAACATTCTCTCGCGCATGCAGTCCATGTCCAACGTGCACTCGTCCCAGAGCAGGCGCCGTCGTCCTCTTAAGGACCCAAGGTCCCACCCCGAGTCCCCCGACGGCGCACAGAGCAATTCTGATGCCCCGCGCACCAACCTCTCTGAGTCGACCACCAGGATCAATGAGTCGCCGATCAAGAACCACGTCATCAATCAACTTGCCTTTTCCCGCCTACACTCGATGCCCCTGTCGACGATCCTTGGCAACCTGCCAGCGGAGCTGCGTGGCGGATCCACCGATGCTGCACGCTCTCGCCGCGCGAACAAGGGTTCCATGCTGGAAGAGCAGGCTGCCGAGTCAATGGCCAGATTGAGTGGCAGCGATCTTCAGCAGATGCTCGACGCCATCCCCTGCATTGGTGAGATTACTCGTGTCGGCAAGGATGCATCCGGCCATGCCTTGGAGAACGAGTACTACTACGTCCCCGAGATGGACTCGAACCAGATGCGCCGTGATGCCGTCATGGGTGGCATTGGTGGCACCGGCTTGCGCTCGGTAAGGAAGGCCCACAAGGTAAGACTCCGCCTTCACGGCGCTCAAAGGCTAGCATCACTGTCACAATTCTGTCTTGCTGATTCTCTCCCTCCAGCAATACTACTGGAAGCGCCCGCGCTACTGAATTCGAGACGCCTAGTTCAAGGTGGTGTAAGCTTAGCTCGTATGCTCGACACAAGTAGTTTTTGTTATCCTCCCCCAACGCATCGATGATGGTCGATTCGACAAGGCCGCTCCTGCTCCAAGACAGGTCACAATCGCGCTCGGTTCCAGCCATCTATACGGACCGACATTATCTGCGAAGCGTCTTTTCGTTGGGGTTCCCTGTCGTCTGATAGAGAAACAGCCCCAACATCTTCTCGGGGCCATCGATGCGACTGTTCTTCCGCCTTTCCCTAGCGAAAGATCGGTTTTTCCTCAGCTTTTTCAGCTATTCACGAATGTATGCAGTGTATTATCCTCTTTCTCGCTTCCCTACCGCCGAAATCCAAGCCGGTCTTGTTGTGTCCGAACTTTTTGCGCTTCCCACTTCATGTTCATGGATAACCTTTTTCGTGCTTCTTTTTTTTCCTGGCACCCTTCCTCTATCTACAAACGAAAAATCAAAAAACAGGCATGGTTACGTTACGGATCGTAGGAAGTTGGATGGTTTGGTATTTTGGTCTTTATGGATGATGAGAAGTTGGAGAAAGCACCCGGTGGTAGATGCGGTGGTTCCAGCAATGGCGTTTGCTAAGTTCTCGAGGATCATATGATGGTTTATCCTGTGGCCTGAAAGAGCGCACACACATTTTATTCAGATGACGACGGCTCGAGTGTGGGACCAGAAGGCCCCAAGTAATGCCCCTCCCCTTGTTTTTTTTTTTACTATCTGCACTATTCTATAGAAGCGAAAAAAGGGCAGCGGGAGCTTGATGGGTGGTAGCATTCGGTGATGATGATGGTTCTTGAATAGCATAGGCGCAGGCTTTTTTGGCGGTTTGATGATGAGCAAGCAGCAGAGAGAAAAAGGCAGGAATAAAATTTTGGATCATGTTTTCAGATGCCGGTTTTTTTTTCTTCCCTGCAACCCCTGCGTCATGCATGCATGCATGATGCATGTGTTGGATTTTGCCGACGATGGGAATTTGTACATACGAGTGACTAGCCATCATTGTTTCCACATGCTTAGGAGGGAGCGTGAAAACGTCCTCTTTCGAATCAAAGGCCACAATATGCTTCTATCCCCCATTCGTCCAGTTAATATGCGTCCTCGAAGCATATCGCTGCCCATTCCACTAGGCATGACTGACCCCTGCTGACGACTAATTCTCTGCTCGTGCGAGCTGATCTGTTACGTTTAAGCAAGGGGAGAGGGCATAGAAAGAATTTAATGTCGTAAACACAGAGTACATTATCTTTCAGAGGACACGGTAAGCGTCAAGACATTTTTCATCCTTGGCAAGAATTCCTGCCCGAGGAATGACACTTAACCCCTACAAATAGTCGGAAGCTACACCGTCTGGGCGGGTTCATGTATAAGTTCTTAATTTTACATTTACCTCTGGATAATAAGTACTTCGTTTGACTACCTATATCACGAGCTTAGACGCTTGTAGGTAAAATGAGCTAGGATGGCTCAGATCTGCCTGCGCGCAGTGGGAGGGGGAGAACGGCGAGTAGCTCGCGGTGAAAGATTTAAGCTTATCCATCCTGACGGATGCGGAAAGAAGCTAGAGGCTCTTGTTAGTTTACGGCGTAGTCCGCAATCGGCGTGGAGGGCAGCTGGTCAAATAGTGGGGATGGATGACGAAACGTCAGTTTATTTACACGGCGTTCATAGTCTATAGCTTCAATTATTGTACGACTCTGTTAGTCCCTTTATTTGTTTTAGTTCTGCGTGTAAAAATTAAATTTATATATATATCTCCTGTGGCTGTTTCAGGTAGTATAAGTCTAATATTGTTTTTCTTTAGCCTGTTTTTGTAGAACTCATTATCTGCAGTCATGTCAATTATTATAAACGCTTGGCTTCTAAGTAAAGAGGTACTCAACGTCATCTTTGTAAAAGAAGTCATTCGAGGCAGCACAACAAGCGCGAATAAATCCGAAGGACAAAATGTCTTGCTCAGAACGATCAATTCCATTTCTTAACATTTCTATCATCTTACCTCCCGCCGCCACGCTTTCTAAGGCCCCGCAGAAAACCATATCAGGCTCACAGCGCAGCAATCACCCCCTTCAACGCCTTCTCCAACGCAACCTGCATATCACAAAACGTATTGATAGCATACACCAACTTCCCCTCCTCCCTCCCCTTCCCCGCCCTCGTCAGCGCCATCCTCCACCCCGCCTCATCACCCGCATAACTCAGCTTCGGCGGCACAGGCGCGTGCGCGGCCGACGCGTCGTCGAACAGCGAATGCGCCTTCGCGGCGGGCGTGTCATCTCCCGTCTTCGTGGCGGCCAGCTCGCGCAGCAGGGCGGGGGCGACGGTGATGTGGTGCACGCCGGCCAGCTGCATGCACTCGGCGGCGCTGGTGAGGCTGGCGGGGAGGACTTGCGTGGGGAGGGAGTGGGCGGTGTAGTAGCGTTGGATGGTGGCGCAGAGGGGGAGGTTGGGGGAGGGGTCGGTGTAGCTGGTGACTTGTTAGTTGACGGGTCGTGCCTGGTGTTGGGGGCAGGACGAGGATAGGACAGGGCAGGGCAGGGCGATAGCAAGGGCAGGAGCAGGAGCGGGACAGGGCTTACGACTTGTCAAAGTGCACGCGCAGCTCGTTGACGTAGGGCGCGATGTAGCGGCAGCCGACCTCTGCGGCGAGGGCGGCCTGCTCGAGGGTGAAGAGGGTGGTGGCGAGGGTGCGGATGTTGTGTTCGGCTTCGAGCTGGCGGCAGGCCTGGAGGCCCTCCCAGGTGCTGGCGATCTTGATGCAGATGCGGGTGGTGTCGAAAGCAGAGTCGACGTCTTTGAAGAGCGAGACGATGCGGCGGGCGCCGGCGACGGTTGCCGCCGTGTTGTAGGCGTCGAAGGGGTTGGCTTGGATGTGCACGAAGCCGGTGAGGTGCGGGTAGACTTGGAGGGCGAGCAGGATCATCTGAGGAGAGACGGTGTCAGTCCGGGCGCCGTGTATGTGTTTTGAGGTGCTGTTGTTGTCCCAGCTTCTCCTTCGTGGTGGTAGGACTCACGGCAATCTCGACTGCCAGCGTCTCAAGCTTCACACCGGGGTATTTGGGGCTCGCATCTTTGGCGAGAGTGGCAGCCTTCTTCAGGAGGTCTTTATGCCGGTCTTCCTGGAGCTCAGAGCACGCAATTGCCTGGTTGGAGGTGCAGTCGACGAAGGGCCCCAGCTCTGCGGCGACGGAGGCGTCGAGGGTATCGCAGTCAACCGCGGTGCGCGAGCGCAGGACGTCGAGGAGAGTTTGAGATGCCATGGGTCTGCCTGGTGTGTCGTTGCAAGCTCGAGGAAGGTCACGGAACGGAATGGGAGTATAGGGAGGGTTGTCGGGCTGTCAGACAGTACGGTTTGGGTTGTGGCACGATGTTTGCTCTGGAGTGGCGGCACGACGGGGGGCTGACTGAGAATTGTGCATGCTCGGGGCCCCGCTGGCCGTGCATACACGGGCGTCTGTGACCCCAGAGCCGCGGGCGAAGGGGCGACAGTTGTGACGACGCCGGCAACCGGAGGAAGGTTGAGTCGTGGAAAAGTCGTGGAGCGGCGCCAGGAATTGCCGTCTTGGGGAGGAGGGGTAGGAGTGTGGGGAAAGTCAGCCGAGTCGAGTCCAGACCCTGGCCCACGTCAGTATGCAAGCAAGCGAAAAGCATCTGCTGTACTGCACTTCCACCACTTTGATATATTGGGGGGCGGAAGCTGTGATCAGTCCAAATTTTTTTTTGTAGCGACGTTCCACTGCCACCACATCTGCTGCCGTGCAAAATGAGTTTCCGACTACTACCCCACAGGCGAGCCCTTTGCGCTGCACTCCGCTCTGCCAATTCCTCCATTCGTCCCTCATCCCATCGTCACCTCTCCACCACCCCCGTGTACTTCCAGGCCGGCCGTAGCTTCCCCGAGCAAAGCACCAGCACCAGGGACGACGCATCACTCCCGCCATCCGCCGCACCCCCATTCCCCGAGACGATCTCCAATGGCCACCAGCCTCGCCTCCAGGGCAAAGTTGCCGTGATCACCGGCTCGTCGTCGGGCCTGGGCCGCGCCATTGCCCTGGCCTACGCCTCGCACGGCGCCAAGCTCGTCGTCTGCGCAGACCTGCGGCCCGCGCCCGCGCTGGGCGTGGAAGAAGGCGAGGATGCGGTGGTGCCGACGCACGAGCTGATCGAGAAGAAGTTCGGCGCCGGCAGGGCCGTATTTTCAGAGTGCGATGTCGGGACGCCGGCCGACGTCAAGCGAGCGGTTGAGATGGCTGTTAGTAAGGGCGACGGACGTATGGACATGTGAGTGCAATATTCCAGAAAGAAACTAAAAGGAGAAGCAGAAGAAGAGCGATGAAGAGAGAGAGAGAGCGTCGAGTAGTGAGCGTGTGCACGGGACTAACCAACACTTCGATGGCGTCAACTCTAGCATTGTGAATAACGCAGGTCTTGGAACTAAGAATAGATTCATCCGTGTGCACGAGGAGGAAGACGACGAGTTTGACAGAGTGATGTGAGTGAATCTGCACACGCCCGTCGTATGGCATGCTGAGATCTGTCTGCATCAGGAAAGTGAACGTTCGCGGAGTCTATCTCGGCTGCAAGTACGCCTGCGCCCAATTTCTCAAGCAGGGCCCGGATGCCACTGGCAGACGGGGTTGGATCGTAAATGTCGCCAGCATGCTAGGCTACGTAGGAATCACAGGCGGCGCTGGTGCGTCAAGTCCCAGGCCCTTACTTTCTACTCGAGAAACCAGCTGACTCTGGCAGCCGCTTATTGTGCGAGCAAAGGCGCCGTCCTTAACATGACCAAACAGATTGCCGTTGACTATGCAGCTGACAGAATCCACTGCAATGCTTTGTGCCCTGGTTGTAAGTCACCCATCCCATCGTTGCCCGGCTTCTCTCACATGCTCAAGTCACAAAAACGTCAATGACGCGTGGAAACTTCACCAATGCCGAGGTCAACGCATCCATGATCAGCACCACACCTTGGGGCGAATGGGGAAATGTGACGGATGTGGCTAAAGGTGCTGTTTTCCTGGCCTCGGATGACGCCGCGTGGGTGACTGGAATCGGACTGCCCGTCGACGGCGGCTATTTGGCGCAGTAGACTATACGGTGGAAGCAAAAGGTCTTCGATCCTAGACGTTAGAATTTGAGAAATCGGGGCGCCGTTTTGGTAGTCTTTAGCGGTCAAGGCTCAATTGTCTTCCCCAGAATCGATACCGCCTGCTAGCGAAGCTATTCACCATAGTAGTAATTTTCTCCTTCGCCACGACGCTCACGGTGCCTTCATTCCGAGTCTTGGGTGGATTGTCGTTGGGTATGCTTTTTTGCTTCGTTAAGAAAGTTCCGGAGTGTATGTAACAGCTCTCCTAAAGTAGCCCCACACCCAGACCCATTGAGCGCCGTAAAAACCCACTCCACAACCTTGCCATCGCCGCAACGAGACGAGTCGCTTATTTGAGCTTCTTCTTGGGGCGGAGCTGGTTGGTGTGACCGCACTTCTTCTTGCGGCAGTTGGTGGCACGCGGGGGCAGACGGGCCTGCGGTACTTGTCAGCTGATTTGGTCCCGGGAGTTGCGGCGTATGCACTGAGCGCTCGCAGCGCAAACTCGATCCGTGGGTTGAACGTACGTAGCACTTGCGGCAGATCATCTTGTCGCAGTTGTACTTGGAGGCAAGAGCCTTGAGCGAGGGCTCAATGATACCACCACGGAGACGGAGGACCAGGTGCAGGGTGGACTCCTATAGGGCGATGCGCGTTAGCATTCGATCGGCACAACAAATTTGCGGCTCGGTGTCGCGCGTGCGGCCTTTGGACTCTCCAGCGACCGGGACACCGTACCTTCTGGATGTTGTAGTCGGACAGGGTGCGGCCATCCTCGAGCTGCTTGCCGGCGAAGATCAGGCGCTGCTGGTCCGGGGGAATGCCCTCCTTGTCCTGGATCTTGCTCTTGACATTGTCGATGGTGTCCGAGGACTCGACCTCAAGGGTGATGGTCTTGCCCGTGAGGGTCTTGACGAAGCTGCGCGACAGATGCGTTAGTTCTCGTTCGGTGCGGCAAAAGCTGCGTGGTCGGTCGCGGGCATGGTGGAGGCTCACATCTGCACTGGATCGCGAAACAGAGTCAGCAAAACGCTCAGCGGCTCGGGATAGACGCGGTTAGGGCAACTCACTCTTTGCTGTTTCGTTAGTGACCTGGTGATGCGGACAAAGTGTCGTCGGGCAAGAGGTCAAAACCTGCGTGGGGGAGTTTCGGCTGCCCAGGCTTAGTGCGCGTTAAGCGAGCCGACCTGCGGCTCCACCCAGCGCCGATGCCTCACCAACGCTGCAAGTCACCTCGTACAGAACATTTGAGTTTTCATGTCTTTTGATGAATTTAATATCGCTACAATTATTGCATGCAGCAGCTTTCTTGTTGAGCTAACGTTTTTCCCGGGACAGGGTGCGCTATCAGAGAGCAAATTGTCCTTCTGATAGCACCTGTTCCTGGCTCACGTGCTCTTTGGTTCACCTTATCGTCCCGTCTCAATCGTACGAATGATGTTCCTCGTCGCTCTGAATCTCCGACCTGTGCAACGATCTAATGCTATAAAGTAGCTGTGTTAGGAAACTGTCGCCAGAGCTTTAAATGTGGGTGCAAGCAAATCTTCGAAGCGTCCTAATCTGCTTGATACGGTTCCTGAATTTCATTTGTGCTCACTGCTGTCGCTGTTACTTTGTCATTCCACACCGAACGCTTGCCGTTGTCGGCAATCGCATCCTAGAAGCGTCATCGTACATAAGCTTGGCGATTCATGTGCCAGATACTTGCCGCCGCTATCCGAGTTCCATTCACTCATTAAGGTATTGCAGCATAGTTAGGTAGTAAGCTCTTGTCCAGGTGGGTTTGTTCGACGTCATGCATACATCTTCGGATGGACGATTCAAATGCCCATGCTCTGTTGCAATAATAGGGACCGATCTCGTAGCACTTGACAGCCACAACCGAGACATGTAGCCCTGTCTGAGCTGACTCCGTGTGACTGGATTGATACTTTCTCCGGGAATGATGGGCTTTATGGTCTTGGGTGTAGATTCTGAGATCACAACAAAACCATGAAGACGTAGACTTCAACAGCTAATGTCAAGTAGCTTTAGGACGGATGTTGTAACTCGCGGTGGAGCAAGAAATCATTCCACTTTCCTGATCAGATCGGTAATATGTCGTCACTCTGTTCCAAAGGTCAATTGCGGGGATTGTTTCCTCCACATTCCGGAGATCAAATCGAAAGATAGTGCACACATCACTCGAGCGAAGAACGAAGACGTCTATTTTCCGTGACATCGTTATGATTTTTGGAGCCGGTATGTTTTCATATCGCAGCGCTGCCCCAGCTAATGTAATTCGCGCAAAAAGACCAAATCCACTCCTACCGGCCTCAAGCGACCGTTCAAGGATCAAAATTGAAACTGCCGCTGCTTCGATGCTACGACACAACACGCACATGCTCCGCTTTCAAAGAGCATGAGCTGTCGTGCAAAGCGCTCGAGTAGGGGGGCGTGCTCCAATTCTGGCCCCTTCTGCTTAACTTTCCAAGGAGAAAAATGTTTAAGCGCCCTTGGGAGCCTCCTTGGCGTCAATGCAGGCCTCCTCACCCATGGCGGTCAGAACAATGACGTCTGAGAGAAAGCGTTAGCTATCATGTTGCCTGGTCGGTGCAATTTCAGAGCAACTTACTGGTGTCCTTGCCCTCCTCAGAGAACAGCTTGTTGATCTTCTCACCAACCTCGCCGTCGGGAAGCTTGACATCGTCCTTGGTGGAGCCGTCGTCGGACATGAGGGAAAGGAAACCATCGTCGGTGACATCAAGCTGCAGATTATGTCAGAGTGGGGCACAAGCGAATCTTGGCTGGCGGCAACTTACGAGCTGGTACTCAGTGCGCCTGACGTTGGGGACCTCCATGTTGTGGGTGGACGGGGAAAGATCCTCAAGCTTCTTGCCGGTGAAGATGTCGATGGCGACAAGGTGGACCTTGGCGTGACCGTGCTTGCCGGTCTTGGAGGTGGACATTTCGACGATCTTGCAGGGACGCTGCTTGATGACGACGTGGCCGTTCTTCCTCAGGGCAGAGCACTGCATGGGGAAGGTGAGAGAGGCACCGGCATCGGCGCTCTCGAAGGTGTGCTCATGCTGCAGGCGCGAGTTAGCAGGCGTTGTCGTGGCGAGTCGAATGTCGAGTGCGCAGCGTCGGGCGCAACAATAATCGATAAAAGGTGGGGCAGGCGAGGAAAAAAATCCTGGGTGATGGCACGTACCTGGGCGTCGTCGGCCATTGTGTAGGTGGGAAAGCTGGTGGTGCGACGAGGCTTGCGGGAGAGGAAGAAACGGGCGGAGAGGAGTGGCAGGTGATGAGGGGTCGAGTAGAAGGATGGAGAGTTGTTGTGCGATTTCTGTTTGGACAGAGGAGGGGAAAAGACTGCCGGGCGCTAGCCTGCCGGAACAACCAAATCGCCGTCGACCCATTGGGCCAGCGGCCGCGCCCGTGCCAGGTTGCCCCAAGCCGCAGCCGTGTGCAGGCACGCTCCAGCCCCAGCTCCCCCGGCCACCAACGCGACGCCCTCTCCCGCGGCCCGCGAACACCATGCCCCACGCCCGAACGCTGCCGTGATGTGGTTCGCCTCGCACTCGGCGCAGCCTTCGCCCGCGCCCTCGCCCTCGCCCGCCCGCTCCTACTCGCCTGCCCCTAATCGCCGCCCGTACCTGACCCCGCTGCCCCAGCGCTCCGGAGTCAACCCGCGCTCCTCGTCGCTGTCGCTGCTGTCGCCCACCTCGTCCACCTCGAGCCTCCCTAACCAGGGCCGCCTCCCCAATGGCTCTGGCCTGCGCGTGCAGATCAACAGCTCGCCGCCCGCCGACGTTCCCGATCCGCAAAAGGTGCTCGAGGACATCCTAGGAGGGCCGCCGAAACGCCAGCTCCCCGAGCAGAATGACGAGTCGGCTGGAGCTGCGGTGGAACGTCCATCGGAAATCGCAGAGAACATTGATTTTGGTGGTTTGAGCCTAGCTGCGTTTGCAAATGCAGAATGCGAACCGCCACGGCAACCCACTGGTGTGCAAGCCCGCAGCGCCGAATCCGTCGAGGAATGTACGTTTGCCCTAGCTCGCCCCTGCCGGATTATGCTCATGCGAACATGTGATCAGACACGCAGGCCAGTGACAAGTTTGAGGACCTGCATCGCTCTGTGACGGTATGTCTACCACGAGAAAATATTATTCTGTGTAGCCGCAATGTGCTCGCTGTGCCGTCAAGCTGATTGCGTCCAGGCCTGTGATGAAGTGCTCAAGTCGGTCGAAACTTACCTCACAGGGTTCCAGGCTGACCTGGGTGCCGTGTCCGCGGAAATCGAAACGTTGCAAAACCGCTCGCTCAGCCTCACCACGAAACTAGAAAACCGGAAAGTGGTGGAGAAGCTATTGGGCCCCGCAGTTGAGGAGAACAGCATATCCCCCGCCGTTGTCCGACGCATAGCGGAAGGGCCGGTGGATGAAAGCTTCTCAAAGGCCCTGCAGGAGCTCGAGAAGCGATCAAAGGTTGTCAATGCTAAGTCGAATGACGATAGTAAGATCAAGGCACTCAATGATCTAAAACCACTTCTTGTAGACTTGACGAACAAGGTAATTTGCTTCCAATTATTCTTCCCCACACAAGCTGATTTAGCTTTCTATAAATAAAGGCTGTCGAGCGCGTCCGTGACTATATAGTTGCGCAGATCAAAGCGCTCAGATCGCCGAGCATCAACGCGCAGATCATTCAGCAGCAAGGCTTCCTGAAATACAAGGACCTCTATGCCTTTCTGGCTCGCCATCAGAAGAAGCTTGCCGACGAGCTCTGCCAGGCGTATGTCAATACGATGCGTTGGTATTATCTCAACCACTTTACGCGCTACCACGAAGCTCTTCAGAAAGTCAAGCTACATGTAATTGATCAGCACGATGCCATGGGCTCAGAGAACCAAAGGCGTGGTGCCATGTTGAGCAGCGCGAAAGTTCCCACAACCCCACACGACGCCTTTTCCATTGGCAGGCGGCTCGATCTGCTCAGAGGGTCACACCACAACGCTCTGACGTTACACGTTCTCGAAGAAGACAAAGCAACGCATTATCTGGAACTACCATTCCATACCTTCAACATCGCACTTATTGACAATGCAGCGTTTGAGTACACTTTCCTAACATCCTACTTCTCTCCGTCCCAATCCTATCATGAAATTGGTCGTACGTTTGCTCAAATATTTGAGCCGACCTTCGCTCTTGGCCGGCAACTCACAAAGTCACTGATCGACACGTCGATGGATGCCCTGGGCATTCTGCTGAGCGTGCGTCTGAACCAACACTTTGCTTTTGAGATGCAACGCCGCAAGGTGCCTGCCGCTGAAGGCTACATCAACGGCACCAACATGCTACTCTGGCCACGCTTCCAGCAAGTCATGGATACTCATTGCAAGTCCATACAGGCACTGACAGCATCATTGCCTGGTCGCCCGGCAGCGTCCACTAGCATACTGGCGTCTTCATCTACATCCGCCTCTGACGCTCAAAGCACGGCGCCGGTCGCCTTGACACAACGCTTCGCCAACTTCCTTCATGGCGTTTTGGCACTGAGTTCTGAGGCGGCAGATGACGAGCCTGTTTCGAACAGTTTGTGGCGCCTGCGTATTGAGTATGAGGCGTACCTGCAGAAGCGGAGCAAGGGAATTGCAGAACAGCGAAAGAAAGAGCGCTTCCTGTTCAACAATTACAGTCTGGTCGGCACGATTTTGGAGGGTACGGGTGGAAGATTAGCAGAGGAGATGCGGACGTATTTTGTCGAGCTTCGGGATCAGCATAAAGAAGGCGCCTGAGAGAGCGCTTCGAATCATTTATTGAAACCTTTAATCAAGAGATGCATTTTTGCTTCTTAGGTGCTTCCAGCATTTTGCAGAAGTCAGTATCCGGCTGTTGGTCTGTGCTCCTGTGCTACTACTCTGGAGGTGGGGGAAGCTGGTAGCGTGCCAGTCTATCCAGCGTTAGAAAGGCGGGAGCGACGCCAACTAAATGCGGGGCCGAGAGTTTATTCAGTAGTCTTGAACTCTATAACTGTTGAGCTAACGTGAACACCTCATCCAGTACATCGATAGCATTGACTTGACTCCAAGGCTGGGTTTCCCTGTAGTGGAGAAAGATCGGGGAGGTGGTTGAAGAATGTACAGATTAGTATCAGAGCCGGAGGCCAACGGGAAGCAGAGCAGGGTCTTAGGACAAGGGTGACTATGCATGGCTCCCCAGAAGAGGTAACCTTTCGCAATCTTTGAGAAGCAACACTCGACTGACCTATATAGGCAGTTGAAGCTATCGAAAGCATAATTGTTAATTCCACATCCAAGTTAGAATGATTGCTTCGATCACCCACAACGAGCTTGGGCAGCCGTCTGATAGGAAATAAATTCACGCTGGCCTTCGGTTGCAATGGCCCTTTGTAAAATCGCGATCGAGATTGAGAGCTTGTTGGGACAGCAGCTTCTCGGGGTAATGTGCAAGCATGCTTCGCCCGTTCCAATGCTCAAGAAGCTATGCAGATGTAGTGTCGGCATCATCGGCATGTCGAAAGTTGACCCCGTCTGCCTAGGATTGTGATGTCTGCCTTCAGTGAGCAACGCATGCGCACTCTACCCCTGGCAAATTCTACAACATGATTTGCTGTGCAACTGCCTGCGGATGGGAGGATTCTTCGAAGGATCATCACAAGCCACAACGCAGGCGTCGCGCTAACCTTCGAACGGCTAAAAGCTGCTGCGTCATCATCAGCTAGCCCATTTCGGGAACCCAGACGGAGCAATAATCATGCCGACCGACCGCATCGTTCCCCCGATTTAACCGTCACGACGCCCCGTCTCCTGCGAGGCTCAACTCGCCGTCCAGGTTATGGAGCAATTACAGAGGAGGATGGAGCAACTTCACAGCAACATGGCTTACCAGCCCGTGCGAGGCGCAGCATGGACAATCATGCCCACCATGATTATAAAAGAGCTGGGATGAGACGGAGAAGTGAAAGGCCACCACCACAATCAACACCACAGTCTCCAACACCACCGAGCAAACAGCAATTTCTCGATTCCCGGCAACAACAGCCTTTTTCAGCCATCAATCTCAACAACAACAACAGCAACACCACAACAATGTCCACCACCACCACCCAAACCATCGCCTTCCTCGGCGCCACCGGCGGCTGCACGCTCCCCGTCCTCGCCCGCGCCCTGACGGCAGGCCACCACTGCACCGCGCTGGCCCGCACCCCGGCCAAGCTGCGCACGGCGCTGATCTCGACCGCCGGCGTCGCCGCCGACGTCGTCGACCGCAACCTGACCATCGTCGCCGGCAGCGCGTCCGACGCCGGTGCCATGCGGTCCCTCCTCACCAGCGTCCCCGGTCGCGGCGCCGAGGAAAAGACGCTGGTCGATTTCATTATTAGCGGCATCGGCGGCGCGCCGAAGCTGCAGTGGAGCCTGCGCACGCCGGCGACGATCGACAACCCGCACATCTGCGAGAGCGCGGCGCAGGGCGTCGAGGAGGCGCTGCGGGGGCTGCTGGCGGAGGGGTATAGGGTGCGTTCTTCTGGAGCGGCGGAGCAGGAGAAGAAGCCCGTCATGATTACGATTAGCACGACGGGCATCAGCCGGCTGCAGCGCGACGTGCCGCTGCTGTTCCTGCCGCTGTACCACTGGCTCGGCAAGATCCCGCACGACGACAAGCGCGCCATGGAGGACCGCGTCGTCGCGGCCACGCGGGAGGGGACCCTGCGCGATTTTGTTATCGTGCGGCCGTCGCTGCTGGTTGATGGCGAGGCCAAGGGCCGGCAGGCGCTGCGGGTTGGGTGGGAGCCTGCGACGGAGAAGTCGGAGCGTGCGCCTGGCCCGGCGGTGGGGTATACGACGACTAGGGACGATGTTGCGGCTTGGATTTGGGAGGAGGCCGTTTTGAACACGGAGAAGTGGAGGGGCAAGTGTGTCTCTTTGACGTATTAGGCGAGATGCGGAGGCGGGCTGTGAGTAGGAAGATGGGGCTTGTACAGGCTTGGGATCTCCTAAGTTTTCGTTTTCTTGTTTGCTTAGATCGTTAGCATGATTTCCGCATGTCAAGATTGGTTTTGGATGGCTCTTATATCAGTTTGCTAGACTTTGTCCTTGCTCTTTGGCGCGTTAGTAATCGATACCAGTCAATCTAGAACTTCGCATATCATTTGATCTTCATGCTTGTAGATGATTACCAGGAGAACTCAATTCCAGCCACTTCTCTTGTGGTCTCTTCGCTGTGGAAAGCAACTATACTTTATGTGGAGCATTTGGCCAATGCCCTGCTAGAATTTGACTATCAGCAAGGCTAAGTGCCCACAATGCTACTAGCGCGAGTGCCCCGACAGCGCGAATCTGAGACATTTACCATGGACAACGTCTCATGACACGCGGATCTTCATCGTTGACTCAACAGGGCTAAACCATGGCACCATTTCAGCCCATGGCGCTTCGCCCCGCGTCAAGTGAGAGCCAAGCGTTTCCCATGCGCCTGGGACGAGCGTGTCGATCTCCCGTCAGACATTTCCGTTATACGTAGCAAAAGAAAATAACGCATGAGTTGTGCCCAACCTTGCAGATCCTCGGAGGAGTTCATGAGCGATTTGGGACAGGCTCCTTGCGAGCCCGACGTGATTGCCATATTTAGCCGCTTCCGGCGAGTCAGCACGCATGGCGTGACTTTCCCATCGTCTACGAGATAGGCTTGAGGAAAATGGTTACCGAAAAAATGTCGGCATCAGCAATCAATGACGATGTTGCGAAAATCTGCCGTTGGACGCGGGAAGAAGCGGGGCGCCACTTCGGGGGAACTTTCCTCAGCCCTGCATGGGTGCTCGAGCTTGAGCAGAGCTCTGTCCCTCACACAACCACCGCCATCATTCAATCCTCACCTCGCGCCCCCGCCATCACGGTTCTCCCAATCCCATCGAAACCCCCCAGGTAGACGACGCCTTGCTACTTCCAATTGACCCACCGCTCCAAACGCCCAACCCTCCTACAACACACCACCCACCATGCCGCCGAAGAAACGCGCCAAACAGACCGCCGCGACGCCGCACGCGTCGACGCCCAGCAAGACGCCGACCAAAGACCTGCCACCTGCTGGCGGAGCCACGAGCGCCAACGCGGCGGCCATCTCCGCCGAGACGATCCTCAACGACCCATGGACGGACGACCAGGAGACGTCGCTGTTCAAGAACCTGATCCGGTGGAAGCCGACGGGGCTGCACAAGCACATGCACATGATCCAGATCGCGTCGTCGATGACGCGCGAAGGTTTCAGCTACCAGATGCTGCCGCAGGGAGGAGGAGGAGGAGGTGGTGGTACAAGTGGTGGTGGAGGTTATCACCATTCGACGCACAACTACAACAACAACGCCCACCACACGCGCATCCCCGGCATCTGGAAGAAGCTGGCCGAGCTCTACGACCTCGAGGCCCTGGACGAGCGCGAGAACGCGCACGCCCTCGCTGGGTGGCCCGACGTCGCGGACCGCGGGTATGCCGTTGCTGTTGCCGTGCCTAGCAGGAAAAGCCGGAAGAGGAGGAGGGGAGGGGACGCCGACGTCGAGATGCGAGACGCTGCTACGGCGTCCGCGGACGAGGAGGGGGAAGAGGAGGCCGACAAAGAAGAGGAGGAGGACAGCTCTGAGGAGGAGGAGGACGACGACGACGATGTCGAGGTCGACGAGGGCCCGTGGTTCCAGCTGCCGGACGACGACTACGCGCAGCTGATGTGGGATCGCCGGGTCGCTACCAATCACCCAGGCTCTTCTTCTTCTACTTCTTCTACCGCCGCTCCCCCCGCAGCAGCCAGCGGCGGCAGCGGCGTTACCAGCGCGCCAGACGCCACCACCGATCCAACAGAGAGCAGCGGTGATAGCAGGCGCGGCAGACGCAAACCATCCCCACGCGTCATCGTCGTCAACAACGCCAGCAAACAGCGCAGCGAGAGCCCGCCCGCCTGCCCGGAACTCCTCCCCAAAGTCGGCGACCCGGCACCCACGCTAACAACAGCCAGCGCCATCGAACAGCCGCAAGATGCCACGGCAGAAGCCGTCGACACGGACGACGGCGGCACCGGCGGCGGTCGCTCGCACGCCGGCTCGCCCGCGGCAGCCGGAGGCAGAGGCGCGAAGGGAGGAGCGGGTGGTGCAAAAGGCGGCATGAGGGCCGCGGCAGCGGCGCGTAGCAGGAGCGGCAGGGCGGCGACGACGACGACGGGGCGCGGAAGTAGTAACGCTAACAAGGCGCAGTCGGCCGAGGCGGAAGAAGAGGACGAGGACGACGACGAGGAAGAGGAGAGTAGTAGCGAGGAGGACGAAGATGAGACGCCGCCGGCTAAGGACAGCGGCAGCAGAGCGGCACGTGGCAGGAAGACTGCGGCGAAAGGTGGCGGCGGAGGGAATAAGAGGACTAGTGGTCGGAAGAAGTAAAAAAGACAGGGTCCTAGTTTGCTGCTGATGTAGTACCATTGCCCTGCCCTGCCCCCCTCTTAATGTTTCTTCTAACTTACTGCCATAGCCGTTGCTTTTTTAAATTTTCTTGAAAAGATACCCACTGCTTCTTCAATCATCCAAGGCAGCATATGAATCAATCACCACCACTACTACTACCACACATGCTGAGCTAGCTCTCGGATCTTTGAGCTATGTCCACTCTGGTGAATTGCTGATCGACACCCAGAAATATGGGGTTCAGCTCGATCTCGATGCTCTACGCTCGGACGATGGGGGCTGCTGGCGTATGTCTGCCTGCGCCCCCCACTGCACACGACATCTCATCAGCGCAAAAGAGAGAGAGAGAGCGCCACCGTCTCTGGCAATAATGTCGTGTATTCTCTCGATGCCAGCCGTGGAGCTCTCTCTCTCTATCCACTACGTAGCACTAACGCAGCAATGTGCTTCCAGTTATCATCATGATATAATTGTGGTCACACTGATTCGATATTCTTGATACAACATATAACGATCATGTCGGTGCCAAACACTACTCTCTCTCACACAACCGAGAGAAAAGAAAAAAGAACATTTGCGCTTTCTTTATCATTTCGCTTTCGCTTTCCACATTCCGATTTCGCTGTTTACCACTTCGCCTCCTTCTTCTCCTGGAAGGCCTTGATGATGGCGACGATGCGCTCGAGGGCGGCGAGCCACTGCTCGAGCTGCTGCTGGACCTTTGCCTCGTCGTCGCCCAGCTTGGCGTAAAAGTCCTTGCGGTAAGGGGTGGCGCTCATGGCGGCGCTGAAGATGGGCTTGATGACGAACGAGTGGTGCGGCTTGAGCGTGTTGCCGTAGGCCGCGCGGAACGAGTCCGACAGCTCCTGGCTCGGGTTCTTGATGTTCTCGCGCAGCGCCTGCGCGGTGAAGTCGAGGCCGCTGGAGAGGGAGGTTAGCGTGGGGGGTTTGTTGTTGTTGTTGTGTGGTGGGTGGTCGGTGGCGTGAAGGGGGGGAGGGGTGGTGGGGGGCTCGAGAAAGGGCGAGGGGAGAAGGACGAAGCAATGAAGCTTGGAATGTTGCTTTGCAAGGACTTACCGGGTCAGCCACAGGAGACCCTCGGCGGCAGTGTGCTTCTTCTCCTTGATCTCGTTGACGACGAGCTCCTGCAGCGTCTGGCTCTCGCCGGGCTTCTCGACCTGGCGGTTGCGGAGTTTCTGTCCACACTCAGTTATGGGATGTTCGGGAGGGGGAGGAGGTGGTGGTGCGGGGTGGGCGTACGGTGATGTTGCCGGTCATGTCCGACTTGACGGGCTTGAAGGCGGCAGAGCCCAGGACATCTGTTTGGCGGGGTAAGTTGGGTTAGCCCGGTGCATTGGAAGACGATTTGGGAGCGGGAGGCCGGGTTACCGAAGAGGGTGGTGAGCGACTCGGAGGCATCGAGGAACTCGCTGGTGTGGATGGCGTTCTCGTTGGCGGCGTCGACAGGGACGTCGACGAAGGACTTCTGGATGGTGTCGAAGAAGGTCATGGTGGCGGTGTGGTTGGTTGGATTTGCAATTGGAGCTGGTGTGAATGGAGTCGAGGACGGGAAGCGGCAGGAGAGAAGTAGTAGTAGTTAGGGCAGTCAGGGAGGGGCGATGTGTCTACAGGCGTCGCGGGCCTAGCTTTAGCTACGGCTGGGCCAGCGGTGAATGGAGACCCTGGTGGGGCGGCATGACGCGGGGCGCGACCATCGCCGTGCCGCGAAACAAGCGCATCGTGCCGATCGCCCCATCCACTCGTTCGAGCTGACGACCATTGCCCTTCTAGCAGAAGCAGCAGCAGCAATGTGTAAACGGCAATTGAGGAAGCAGGCCCCCGCCCAGCGTTGCCGCGGCACATCTTTGAGCCGCATCGCCCCGCCGTCGGTTCAAAGTTGTTCGACGACGAGCTCCTTCTCCACACGTCATAAATAGAGCTGCTGAGCTGCTGCTCCATCGCAATCTCACATTGTGTTTTGCCCACATCCCTTAATATACGCCATGTCGCCGAGCCACATCGCCCAGACCGAGCGTCTGTACCGCATCGCCTCCATCCCCGGTACGTACATACTCCACCCTGTGCCCCATGCGCCCAACTGATGATGACGCTTCTTCAGGTGACGGAATCGGCACGGAGATCACCGAGGCCGCCGTGCAGGTGCTGAAGAAGCTCTCCGACGTCCACCGATCCTTTTACTTTGAGTTCACCGAGTTCGATTGGAGCAGCAACAATTACCTCAAGCGCGGCTGGTACATGCCCGAAGATGGCCTGGAGCAGCTGAAGAAATACGACGCCATCTACTTTGGCGCCGTCGGCTCTCCCGGTCAGTGAGCCCCGTCTGCATACCCAACAAATGCTGACCTTCCTGCTGCAGACGTTCCTGACCACATCTCGCTCTGGAATCTCATCCTCCCCATCCGCAAGGCCTTGAACCAGTATGTCAACCTGAGGCCCAACCACATCCTCCCCGGCACCACCTCGCCCCTCGCCAACTGCAAGCGCGAGGACCTGGACTGGGTCTTCGTCCGCGAGAACAGCGAGGGCGAGTACTCGGGCCAAGGCGGCACGTCTCACGAGCATTCCGGCCACGCCATCGCCACCGAGGTCTCCATCTTCACCCAGGTGGGCATCGAGCGCATCATGCGCTTCGCCTTCGAGACGGCCCGCAGCCGGCCCCGCAAGAAGCTCACCATGGTCACCAAGAGCAACGCCCAGCGCCACGGCATGGTGCTCTGGGACAAGATCTTCTTCGAAATCAAGAAAGAGTATCCCGACGTCGAGACGGACAAGATGCTGGTCGATGCCATGACCGTCCGCATGGTCCTGAACCCGACGTCGCTGGATACCATAGTGGCTACGAACCTGCACGCCGACATCTTGACCGACCTGGCCGCCGCCCTGTCAGGCAGCATCGGCATTGCGCCTTCCAGCAACCTCGACCCTACCAGGAAGAATCCCAGCATGTTCGAGCCCATCCACGGTAGTGCACCTGACATTGCTGGCAAGGGCATTGCCAATCCAGTCGGAGCATTCTGGAGTGCTGCCGAGATGGTACGATGGCTAGGCCAAGAGGCTGCTGCCGATAGTCTGATGAAGGCTATAGAAAACGTGACTGGAGCTGGTATCAGGACGAAAGACCTAGGAGGTTCTAGCAACACCAAGGAAGTCACTGAGGCTGTATGTGCCGAGATTGAAAAGATCGGAAAGGCATAATTTTTTCTGAGTCGGATCAAGCCACATGATATGTGGTGACCTGCAACAACAGGTCTAAGCAGTCCGCATGTGGATCAAATCTGCATCTGAAACCAACATTAGCCCTTTCAGTGGACCAGCAAGTTGCAATCGCTAAAAGACAAAGATCAAGAGCAGTTTCAGAAGAGGGAGCCGTTGTTTTCCGCACCGTTTCAGTGAACTCAGCGGACACGGGTTCTATTCGTACGTTTGCTTCATCACGCTGCATGTAGATATTTAAGGGCATTTTATACCAATGCAAAAGAGAGCATTGATACGTACCTTTCAGCAATTCGAGTTGAAACGAATTGTCCACTCGTTAGCTAATTTCAAAACGTCCAGATGCTCTGGCGTCACGGTTAACTATAACGCAAGAGTCAAGGTGAGCTTTGACACGAAGATGAGAATGCTCCGGCGCAAGGTCTCCCGTAGACATGAGGACTATCGCTCATGCAGACTTGGCGGTGCCAAGAAGGATGGAGCGCAGTCAGTCTCTCTACCATGGTCGATGCCAAAGCGCCTTGGGTGAACGCAGGTAGCATTGGTCTCGTAATTGAGACAAACCATGTATAAACTCATGGTTACAAGCCCAATTGAGCCAGTGTCGGATCCTTAGTCAGCATACTCCTGCGGCAGTTGTGCAGGGAACTTTGCCGGAATGACCCTCGAGTACGTTTTGAAGTTGACGTTGAGATCCGATACCTTTCCCATCCGACTCAGAGGCAAAACGACATACTCGGCACGGCCATTGATCAGGCCCATTGGGAGCTGAAGCAAAAAAGCAACAGTCAGCAGACAGCTCCATGCCGTTTTTCACGGCAATTGGCATGTATCAGCTGCCTGACTCACCGGCCCAAAGTCATTGCTATCGACGGTGCGTCTCCAATTGTCGCCCTCGACCCAGACATGGTTGTACGGCACGACGACCTTCTTGAACGGGTACCGGCCGCGCGTGATTACCGTGTCGCCGGGCAGCGCGACGAGGCGCTTGATGCTGACCTGCTCGGGGCGGTTGGGCGCGCGGAAGCTGATGATGTCGCCGCGGCGCAGCAGCTGCGGCGGCACCAGGCGGTTGAAGAAGACCTGGTCCAGCTCGCCGGCGTCGTGGTACCGCGGTGACAGCGTCGGCGCCATCGACTCGCCCTCGACGCCCGTCACCTCGTAGACGTGGTCGTGCAGGAACGCGATGGCCGCCACGCCCGCCGCCGTGTAGTAGGTGTACTTGCGCACGAAGGGGACCCACGGTCGGAGGCGCGAGAGGCGCGAGAAAAAGGGCGCCGCCATTGGCGCGTCGGGGGAGTGTTAATGGGCGGTGTACGACCCGTGGTGAAGGGTGGGGGGTTTTGTTGATGGTTGAGGTGGAGAGAGACATTCTGGCGGAAGCCAACGGCTTTCCACACCGCATCGCTGCCAAAAGTCGTTGCCGGTGATGACGTGATGCAGCAACTCTCCGCAACACCATCAATTTCTCGCCTCACGCACACCTAGCAAAGCTTTTCACTGTGGTAGTCTTTTCGAAAGCTATTCGACCAAAGGCAAGGTTTTGTTTCGGCGGCGGAGTCTTGCGGCTCCAATTGATTTTGCTGAGCCGCCGCATACGAAGACACCAGTCTATCTCACCGCAATCCGCGTTCATATGAAGCAGTACGCATCGAATCGACCAATTTGTTGTTTGAAAGCACACATATCCATATGGGTTGCGACAAGCTTGCCGGAGGACCAATTGTTGGCCGACTGCGCAGCCGTTTCAAGTTGAGCGCTTGTTCTGACGGCGTCTTTTCATCTGTCGATCCAAATTCGAAGACTGCTGCTGTCTTCTCCACTCAAGCCTGTGTGATGCGCGTATCTGCGGCTCGGAGGATCGTCAGTGTCCAAAGAGAGATCTGCAAAGGCCTCGCAATCTCTCTCGCTCCCCGGCAGAAAAAAACACCACAAACCTGCGCCGCCACTGTTACAGCCTCAGTCACAGAAAGCACGTCCACCCCCCTGAAGAGTGGGCATCGCAGAAAAACTTTACAATACGCGGCTGTAACGCCCGAGCCCGGGCGCCTCACGTATTCGGAATTCCAACAACCCAGCCTCCCAGCGAGGCTTCTCCCATGGCCGGAAGTCCCCACCGCGGCGGCGATCAAAGCCCGCCACCCAAAAAAGGCTCCGTGAACAAAGGGAGGGGTGGGGATGGGAACGCCCGCCTGAGGCTCCACCTTCCCATCTGGCTTCATGTCACCTAGATCGTATGTAGTAAGCCAAAGCCCTTCTCCGCACCGCTCTCCCTCCCTTGCCCCAAGCATGACAACGAGGCAAGCGATGGCAATACCCGGCTCAAGTTGTTCCACAGTGAGGGGGAGCCAACCACGCGTCAAAGAGCCAGAGCCTCCTCCTCCTCCTCTTTCCCTCCGTGCACTGGTGCTACTGATACACCAGAACTTCATTGCCCTTCTTCCTTCTCCACTTCCCCCTTTCCCCTCCAATCCGCGAGCGGCTACTTACCAACCACGCCCACCCACCCAACAGCCGCCAGCGTCTGACCGGCGGCCGCCGAACGAACTGTGCGTGTCGTACAGCACGCTGAGGGCTGTCAGAAGTGCGACAGTGTCTCGCCTCAGCCGGACGCGGGCAGCAGCTTTCAGCCCATACCTTCGGTAGTAAGTAGCAGAAGCAGCAGTGGCAGCAGCAGTGGTGGTAACCGCCGCCGCCCTCCCTTTCTTCCCACCCCCACCCCATGCTGCCGCCTCTTCCGTCCCCTCCTGGCCCGGAGTACCGTGTGCGAGAGAGTGTGTGTGGTCGGTGTTTGTACCCCCTCTGCCGCCGGCTCCGAACGAGATGTAAGACTTTGAGTCCAATGTCTCAAAACGCCACATGCCTTGCGAGACAGCATGAACGGATGGATACACACGCACAGCATTCAGGCAGCAAGTGGGCAAGGCAGGCAGGAAGGGGAACGAAGGAAGAAGTTGCATCAGACAAGACTGCTGAAAGCGAGCAAGCAAGCAGGAGGAGGGGGAAAATGCAAAGCAACAATGGACAATGCTTCTTCTCCCTCCACCACACCATCTCCTCTCTGCTTTTTTCGTCGGTGTCACATCATACATGCGGAGCTAGATCCTTTACCCCACCCTGAAACGGATGGAAAATGTAAGAAGAATGTACGTCTCGGATAGTAGCGATCAGTTAGTGTCAGGCTGACAATTTCTCTCTCTCTTCCTCTAGTACGACCCGATGTCACATAGGCATCCTTGCCCCGTCTAGAATATCCATCTAAGAAAAAAGAGGTTAAGTTGAAAGACTACAAGTAAAGATGATACAAAAAAAAGGAGGGAGACAGCCGAAACCAATCCCGTAAATTATGACTCCAATTGACTCCCTTAAGAAAAAATATGAAAGTGAAAGAAAAGACTCAACGAATGGACGAGAAAAAGCCGCCATAACCCCAGTCACACGCCTATAAATTCGTGCAAAGATCCAGCAGAGAAAAGCAATACGAAGCAATGGCTTAAAGACAGATCTAAAATACGCCACTTTCCAATGCGCTTCAACAAGAGCAATTCAGGAGCTGATCCGCGTGTTCCCAATAAATGTTAACTACATCTATCTAAGCATTGTGCGAGTTCCGCTCCTCCATTTCTTTCCGCTTGACGGCACGTTCGTGGCTCATGGTCCAGAAGATCAGACAGACGCCTATTATGCTCGACACGAACGTGATGCCGTACGCCGACCTGTAGCAGGTCAAACCCTCGGTGCACTCGCGGTCGCCGCCGTCTATGGGGGTGCTGTGGGAATCGAAGATGCTGCCGTAGCAGAGGTTGAAGACGTTGCCGCTGATGACGGGCGACAGCGTCATGAAGCCCCAGTTCTGCGTCATGACGTGCACGCCGAAGGCGTCGGCGACGATGGACGGGAACACGCCGAACAGCGCGCCGTAGCCCAGCCCCGTGAGGCCCGACACGACCCACAGGTGCGTCGGGTTCTCGACCTTCATGGCCGCGAACTGGGCCAGGGTGAAGATGAGCGCCGACACGACCAGGCACCAGAAACGCGACATGTTCAGCTTCTTGACGAGCCCGTCGGAGCCGATTCCAGATGCCAGGCGGCCGAGGAACGATCCGATGGAAATTATCGAAACCTGGGCAAGTTGTTGTGCTCCAATGAATTCCTTAGAGACGCTGTCGTCGTAATGAGACCACAGTGCTTGCGCCTTGACAAATAATTAGTATCAATGAGGCGCTTTTCGCATGTAGGGAAAGCTTACATCGTGACCAATGTTGCTGTAAAATAATCAGCATTCATGAACTCACCAACGGGCTTCTCAGGCAACTTACTTGATGGTCATCAAACCAATTCCTGTCAGCAGACCGAGAACGGTAAAGAGCTGCCAGCACTCCAAGGTGCGGATCAAACGAATGCCTGAAATATCTGGTCGATGTGAGTGGTGTCCATCATCATCATGACTGGTGGTTTTCGGTGGTGGTATGTCGCCCGGCTCAGAAATGAGGGAGGAGGACTCGGATGCCTCGTTGTTCGGCGCATCGGGCACCTCGTTCTCTGTGCAGCGTTGGGTCGGCAGCTGCCCTCGAGCAAATCTCGTGGACGAACAAATGAATGATTTTGCTTACCTGCATCTTCATAATAGCTCTTGTTGCTAGAAACGCTGCTCCTTGACTTGGTGCGGTGGAGATGGTGCTGCTCCGGGCGAGCCTCGCTGACCGGGAGAGCCGAATACGATGCTGATCCAGAGACAATGCGCAAGAAAAAAGCACCAACAAAAACCATAGCAAAGGTAGCGAATGAGAGGAGAAGAAGGAAGCTGGAAGTATCTCCGGGGAAGGCGATCCGAGAGATTCCGGTAAAAAAGAAGGCGCTGAGCCCGAAGGCGGACAGCGGAAACGCGGTGGCCGTGCCGCGGTGGTGAGGCCAGCTGAGAGCGGCTGCATGATGTCAGCATCAATTGACGCCTGCAGCATCCGAGAAGGCATACCTGTCTTCAGGCCGGCTCCCGACGCCGAGGAGCTACCAACGCCGGTCAAAAAAGATAAAAACGACATTGTCGTGACGCTCATGTAGCCGGGACCATGGTCGTAGGCTGCTGTAATATCAGCCACCGCTCATGCAGATGCGGACATGCCGACGGACCTTTCTGAAGCGGATAATATCCCAGAATCAAGAGCACAGCACCCAGGAAGGCGGCTGGACGCGGGCCTTTGCTATCAACCAGCATTCCCACAGGAATGCCGGTGGCATACATGCCAATGTTTCCCGCCGCACCCTGTCTTACTTAGGAACTGTTCGCAGAGTGGGAGAGCTGAGGCGCTTACGATCAGGTTGCTTTGGGTCGTGGTAAGCCGCAGCCTATCCGCGAATTGCGGCGCCCACGCTGAGTAGGCATACTGGCAATCTGTCAGAAAGGCAAGAGTGGGCTCGGGACGGGCGGACTCACGTTGGTTCCGGCAGCGAGGGCAATAACGACGGCGGCGACGGTTGAGAGGATGCGCGTCTTGCGGTGCAAGCGCTCGTCGGCAGGATCGTGAATCATTTTGGGTCGTCCGGGGTCCGGAAGACTCTGGGCGGCCTGTGGGAGTTTATCTCAACGGAGCATTGAAGCGAGCGACGTGGTCGGTGGAGCAGGAGGATAAGGCGGCGGGGGGGTGATAAGGAAGCGTGGCGGAAGATAGCTCTGCGGGGAGTTTCAGGCGCGGGTCGCGGGCGGCATGGCGGAATGGGAGGCAGAATACTCCTTAGGAGCGGGAGAGGGATTGACACGTACACGTCCCCAGCCAGTGCCCATCGCGACGTTATTTGCGACAGCGGAGATAACTGGAGCTCGGAAGCTGGTGCCGCCCGCAGCCCTGCGCCGCCGCCAAGCCACAGCCCGCGTGGCTCCTCGGGTCTCCGCTGCATGGTTGCGTAACAACATCTCTCTCATCACCGCCCTCTGCCATCGCCATCACCACCAACCTCGCCCACCATGGGAGCTGCGCTCTCCATCCCCTTCCTGGCCCTGCCCAGTGTGGGCACCGTACGTGCGCCCTTCCACCGCGCGTCGCGCGCGCTTCGCTGACGTTTCCCAGCTTGCCACCTTCGCCGCCTCGTGCTGCGGCGCCGCAACATGCTCGGCCGTTTGCAGCGCCTGCGGCAAGTGCCAGAACAGGTATGCGCCTACTGCCGTCTAGACCCTCGTGCGCCTGTCCCGTCGCTGACTGCCGCCCAGCATGGCCACCCGCATCGCCTACGCGCTCATCTTGCTGGTCAACTCGATCGTGTCGTGGATCATGCTCACCGACTGGGCCATCAAAAAGCTGCAGCACCTCACCCTTGACTACATGGACTTCAAGTGCGGCGGCAACGAGTGCTATGGATACGTTGCTGTGCATCGCATCAACTTCGCGTTGGGCTTCTTCCACGCTATCTTGGCCATCATTTTGCTTGGCGTTAGGTCATCCAAGGACGGCCGTGCGCCTATCCAAAACGGCTACTGGGGCCCCAAGATCATCGCCTGGCTGGGGCTCATCGTCATCAGCTTCCTCATTCCGGAGGGCTTTTTTGTCTCTTGGGGCAGCTACCTCTCCCTCATCGGCGCCATTTTGTTTCTGCTGCTCGGTCTTGTTCTGCTGGTTGACTTGGCCCACAACTGGGCCGAGTACTGCCAGGACAAGATCGAGACCACCGGCTCCAGGGTGTGGACCTGGATGCTGATTAGCTCGACCGCCTGCATGTATGTCGCTTCGCTTGCCATGACTGTTGTCATGTACGTCTTCTTTGCTCGCGGAAATTGCTCCATGAACCAGGCTGCTATCACTGTAAGTCCACGCTGCGCCGTCTCGCGCACGAACTGCTGCTAATCAGCGCAGATCAACTTGATTCTGCTCCTCCTAGCGTCGATCATCTCCGTCCATCCGATCGTACAGGATGTCAACCCTCGCGCAGGCCTCGCGCAGTCGGCCATGGTCGCCATCTACTGCACCTACTTGACCATGTCGGCCGTCGGCATGGAGCCGGACGACCACCAATGCAACCCGCTTATCCGCGCACGGGGCACCAGACGAGCCAGCGTTGTTATTGGGGCTATTGTTACTTTCGTGACGGTTGCCTACACAACCACCCGTGCCGCAACCTACGGTCTGGCGCTTGGCGCCCAGGGCAATCCCTATTCTAGCCTTCCCACCGAGGACTACGAGCACGGCCTCGTCGACCAGCAGCCCGAGAGCCGGCGGGAAATGCGCCAGGCGGCCCTGCGCGCCGCCGTCGAGAGCGGCAGTCTGCCCGCTAGCGCCCTGGACGACGATTCCGACGACGAGTCGGACGACGGCAACCACGCCCGCGACGATGAGCGCAACTCGACGCAGTACAACTACTCGCTCTTCCACATCATCTTCCTGCTGGCCACGGCCTGGGTCGCCACGCTCCTGACGATGAATTTCGACCCTACCGCCGAGAATGATGGGTTCGTTGCGGTTGGCCGCACGTACTGGGCAAGTTGGGCAAAGATCCTGAGTGCTTGGGCGTGCTATGGAATCTACATTTGGAGCTTGGTGGCCCCGGTCGTTCTGCCGGAGAGGTTTGATTATTAAGGAAGACTAGGGGAAGAATGCGTAGATTGATACCAAGGTGGCAATACCGATGAGTTATGATTTTCTCGGGCTCGGATTTGTACTATATTATAAATGGGTTTTCGTTTTCTCCTTCTGACCATTGTCTTGTTTAGTTGCCGACACGGCGCTACAGGGTGCGAACAATCGTCTAACCAGACAGCCAGGGAAAAGAGTTTCAGTTGCCCACACTGCCAAGCGAACGTCACACACATGCCCTCTAGGTACCGTGCCCCTTTCAAGGCGAATTCCGATGGTGATAGCCATGATGGTGTCGAGGTAATAAAGAAGAAAAGGCCGCTCACGAAAACGTATGCCGACTCGAGCCGAGAGCTAGAGTGTCTGCGCCTCGCCATTCGCCAATTCCTCTCGCCCTCATCACCGTCGTACGCGCGCACACACACAAGAAACCATTCACAATCGGACGATTGCCGCCGCTCACACTGTTGCTACCCCTCTTCTCTCCCCCGCCCACACAACACCAACACTTACCCCCACCCACCCACTACGGGTTCCAGGCCCCTAAGCTTTTTTTGCCTTTCCGAACCCCCCCTCCTCCCCCCACTACGCCACAATCACCTGACCGTCTCCCTCATGCGCGTCATCTCCGTCGGATCACTATCACGGTGGGACATTTCCCTAATGCGGCGACGACTTCCCGTCGCTTGTCTCACTTTTGTTCTAACGGCGTGTCTCGCGTGTGTGCTGTGCGTGTGTCGTGCGTGCGTGCGTGCGCGGCATATACGCGGCGTGCGGCGCTGCGCGCGCGCGAGGCGAGAACGAAAAGAACGAAAATGACGACGAGCGGACGGACGGGTGATTGGGGGGCATGGAGGGAGGTTGGGTTTGATTGGCTCCGTGCGGGCAATCGTAATCGCGGGAGACGGGGAGAGAGAGAGAGAGACAGAGAGAGAGGAGGGGGAGGGGTGTGTTGTTTGTGAAGGAAGTACATACATCCTACACATCCCACACATCCCCCCGGGCCGAACACATGTTCGCGCAACGGTTTTGTTGACTGTTTCTGTCGCGCGCCACGCCAATCATCAACAGAGAGAGAGAGGATCGGATCGTACGCAACGGCTTCTTCTTTCTTGGAGAGAGAAGGGGGAAGAAGGCGCGGAAGCAAAAGCCTCCTCAAGGAATCCTTCCCCTCTTCCGCATGCTTTCTTTTTTTTTCCCTGTCGCTTTTTTTTTATCGCGCGGCCCGTTGCTATGCTTTCACTCTCTACGTGAATGTTCACGATGAAAAACCTAATCGCTCATTAGTCGAACCATGTGCTTTCCCCCCTGATCCCAGACCCCTCTCTCCCCTTCCCCCTTCCCCGAACAATCTGGATGTTTGAGCGAGGGGGACGTGTGTGAATGCACAGACGCCCGCATCATCCGTAGGAAAAGCGCGCGGGCTATTCAGCCACCCCCCTCCATCTCTCTCTCGGCCTTAACGTATGCACTGTATCTCCATTTAACCTCGGCGGGGATTGAGGAGGCGGCAAACATAAGCGAAGGGGGTCAATCAGTTAGAGAAAAAGCAAAGCGATGGCGAATTTATCTGCAAGTCAAAAGTTTTGACGTAAGTTGCCGACTGGAAAAAGCAAGGCAGATTTGCAGCAAGCAAGCAAGCAAGCAGGTGGTCCGTGGGCCCGCGTAAGCAATATACACATAGGCCGAGAGAGGCGGGAGAGAAAGTAGTAGGATTTGTTCCTTCGGTTGGCTGGTTGGTTGGTTGGGGGGGACAACACACACACATGAACAGGATCGAAGGTAAAATAGATGAGGCTGTGTGAGGGGAACAGGGAAAAGAGGTTTCCTACGCACGAAAGAAAGTCAGAAAAGGAGGAGGAGAAGCGGACAAGAGAGGCAAAACAATCAAGCCTCGTCAACCGATGCACGTGGGGGAAGCGGGAACGGGGGAAGGGACTGCAGATTGCACGAGGCGTTTTCTCTCTCATCAAAGTTAGAGAGATGATGGCATGCTGCCGCCGCCGCCGCCGCTGCTGTAGCTTGGGCTTGGCAAAAAACGGCTGGCTGGTTGCCCTATCTGTTTTGCTGCTGCGCAATTGGCGCGGCCGATGCCTAACGCCGAGGCAAGAAGAGAGCCTGTTGCTGCGTGCGTGCTGCGGGGCGTTGTTGGCTGCAGCGCCGCCGCCGTCGCCGCCGCGTTGTTGCTTGCCCCCTTTCTTTTTTCGGTAAGTTTCTCAAGGATCGCTGTGTTGTGTGCCATCAGCCAATCTCGAGCGTGCATGTTGCCCCATCCCCGCTCCCCATCACTCCTCCCGTCCTCCGTGCAGGGCGTAAGTGACCGGAGGCATGGATGTGATGTGTTTGTGCGCGCGCAGCCCGTCGGCCCGCTCATCAGCTCCTTCTTGCTGCGCGTTGCAGGTGTGCTGTGTGTGCTGTGTGCTGTCTGAGAGTGGAGATGGAGAAGGCGGCGAATGGCTGGAGACAAAAAAGCAGTAGGTAGCACGGAGCGGCGTCCGGGGGTGGGCGCGGCGGCGCTCTAGAAGCCGCAAGTTGCAGTCGATCGCGGCCAAGAAAAAAAAACTCTGCTGCTCGACGTAACGTTTCCTGTGGGGACCGTTTGACAGCAAAGAGAGGAGGATAGGATTCTGGGCCCGCCGCCGCCGCCGTTTCTTTCCTGTTGCGCCTTCGTTACAGGGATGGAGTGGCCGGAGTCTGCACCCGAAAACGTCTCTTCTATGTATCAGATTGAAACTGCCGTACATCTGCGTTGTACTCACTTTTTAAAGTAATTGCCCCAACGCAAGGAGAGAGAGGACAGCAGAAAGTGCCGCCATTTGCGCCGAAAAGGGGCACGTGGAAAGAAACAAAAGGGTAAAGAATCTGGGTAACTTGCAGGGCCCCGACTGTGTGCGTGTGTACTCTGATCCCGGTTTGTTGTCCCAGCAGCGGCGGCGGCGGCTCCGCCTGCTGTCCATGTTGCAGACCTGTCAGATTTGCCCCGTGCACTGTGCGCCCTTCCCGCTGGTAACTGTAGTGCAAGGGTGGGAAGAAGCCGCTCTCGGCCTGATCAGAAGGGGAGAGGCTCTCCTGGACGTGAACTGGTCATAGACACAGTCACCTGTGGAAGAGGGCTCCGATTTGACAAGCATGGCATTGGCCTCTCCGTCATTATCGCCCGCCCATCGCAGGCAGACACGCGCACAGAGTCATGAGAGCAGCTGCCTGCGCTTGACCTGGAAAACCTGCCACTGGTTTTCCGGTCAAGGACCCAGCCTTGGATGGTACCTACGGACGAGGCTGAGTGAAGGGGGGGAACATCGGAACGCCGGCGCGAAAGGACCCTCTTTTGAGAGAGGGGGGAATGCTGAGTTGTCTTTCAGACAACACGGCCCGATGCTGACCGATGTCACCGGCTAAGTCTGCGTAAGAAAAAAAAAACAAGAAAAGAAAGGGAGAAAAAAGCAACTCGAGCTCCGATGTTCCGTCAACCTGGAGAGCGCACACGCGCAAAATACCCAGCCTCGTAACATCTAAGCCCCACTTCCGGCCCACCGGTGGTGAGGCTGTTGGTGCTGCCGTTGTTGGTGCCTAACCCTTTTTTCGAAGTGTGTGCAGTCGCCGCCCCATATCATCGACTCCATCGGCAGGGAGAGGGAAACACACGACCGGAATCGACGTTATGCGAACGGCGGCGGCAGCAGGCGAAGACTAAAAAAAGTAATGTTGCAGTCTTTGTGTGTTAGTATCCCGGACCGGGAATACGAACCAGCCTGGCCTATGAGAGCCCGCGAAACCATTTCCCGCGAGAGAAAGAAGCGCCCTAGAGGGGGCAACCCCGCCTAAATCCTTGTCTGGGGTGGAAGGGCCACCATGCGATTTCATGCCTTGATTTTTTTTTTTTCGTGTTGCTCATGTGCTCATAGCATCGTTAAGTCTATCTTCGTATCCTGCCATCGCATATCCTCTTATGCTACTAATGAGATATGCATATCTCCAGGAAAAAAAATATACCTATCTAATGTCTGAGTGTGAGAAGCGCTGCGGAACATTCCAAACCCAAGTAGGAGAGACTGTGTAAACGAGCAAGCGCTCCTTGCGACTAAAACCGCCGGGCTCAATGCGAATGGGAAAGAGAAACAGAAGATGATGTTGCACAGAAAGAGACAGAGAGAAACGCTAAGTCTAGGTATGCTATTGATTGGCCAGGTCCTTACTGGCGGTCAAGAAAAGTGGTCAGGTACCACGCGGAAAGACCGAGAAATAGTAGATAGTTGATGAACATATTCTTGATGCCAAAATAAAAGGTAAATGTCCGCAGGGGCGGAGATACAGGGAGAGAAGAGAAACACGACTGGCCAAGAGGGCAACAAGATGGAAATAAAAGTGGAATGACAATGACGCCGCCGTAATGTCCTGTATGCCTCGCCTGGAACCCAAAAATCCCGCCAGCCACCTTTCTGCCCGCCATGTGCACCGGTCCTGAATCTAGTTTACGCGACGCCGTGGGTCTTTCCCTATAACAAATGCTGGTATATGTATGCATACAAAATATGGGTATGGTGTGAGCGCAAGGAAAGTAACTCAAAATGGAGCCTGCCCGGTTTACAAACAAGACAAGGCACGAGCAAACGAGCCGGAGTCCTGCGCGCGGCACACGATCGCACGCCTGAATTGAAGGAAAGCGTAACCGTTACGGATCATGCAGATATTACGCAGAGCGAGTGATAATAGAAAGAGAGAGGCGGGACGGGCGTCGGGAAAAGTCGCGCAAAGCCACCGCCAAGAAGCGAGATCTCGAAGGAGCTAGATGAAGGAAGCGGAAGCCGGGAGATGTGCACGCAGCAGGCTGAGTGGGCCGTATCACGCTGCGGCGGCTGCAGGGCTCCGGGGCCTGAGTGTGCCGGGGCTGCAGGACGGCCGACCAGTGGCAGCAGCGGGAAAGAGGCCGACGGGCCAGGGCTGAGGCGGGAGAGAGCAGTGTTGATGTCTGTCGTCGACGGTGTTGTTGGCGCTAAATCCCGCAAGCGGCTAGACCACCCGCCGGCCCCATCGGGCAGCACGGCGCATGATCAACGTCGTGCTGATCAGCCGGACGCGCACCACACCCTCTCTTTCACGACCGCGAGGTCCGCTGACCGTACTGCTGATACGCCTCGGGCCCCGCCACCGAGCCTTGCACCCCCTCGGCCCCCATGTCCGTCCGCTGCAGCTGCAGCGCCTGCCCGCCAGGCAGACTCGTCGACCCGGCCGGCGATGCTTCGATGTATGCCGCAAAGTCCCACGAGTTTCGCCCTGCGCCCGCCGGGAGCCCTGCTGAGTATTGCGGGGGCGCGTGCTGTGTCGCTCCCCACTGCCCCAATGACGATCCGCCCGTGCCCAGCTGCGGTACCGACACGCGCAAGTCGGGTGGGCCTGCTGATTGCCCGAGGCCAGCTGATGTCTTGACGCTAGGCGACAGTGCCGTCGAGGTCATGCCCGAGGGGTACGTTGACGATGCTGCTGAGCTCGACGCTGACCGCGGCGACGCCGTGTGCCTCAGCTCTGTGCCCGAGTCTGAATGTCCGCCTCCGTACCCGCTAGCCACGGGCGTGGGTAGCGCGCCCGCCGTCGACGAGTAGCTTGCAGACTGTCGACCGTCAGCGTGTGCCAGTGATGCTTCCAGTGCCTATACTCACGTATTTGCCGATGATCTTCTTCAGCGCGTGCGCCAGGATTTTCCACGGAAACACTTTGACGTCCTTCTCGATGTTCCTCGGCTTGGGGTTCGGGAAGCCCATGATGACTTTGAAGAACTCCTCGCTCTCCGGCTTTGCCTTTGAAACCGTGAGCGGTCGGAAGCCCTCCAAGTTCCTGCGGATGCGGTTCTTCTCCTCCACCGTGAACCGCACCGCCACGAGCGACTCGAGCAGGTAGATCGTGTCGACACTCGTGACAAAGCACTCTTGCTTCTCCTCCCACCAGATGCAGCTGATGCAGATGCTATGCGGCGTTCGATCCTCGGGGGCGACCGATTTGAAGCTGGTCGTGATGGTGCTGCCAGTCTGGCTCCGGCGAAACTGGACGAGTCGCCGCTTGGCCTCCCACTCTTCCCGGCTCCAGTCCTCAGCCATGGTGTCCAGCTCTCCTTCGATCTTCAGTGTGGCCTTCGAGTTTGGATACATCGCGTACGGATTGAACGCTTGAGAGGCTCCTGGCACACCGCCCGAAGGCTGCAGCGTCGAAGTGCGAATGAGTGGCGGGTTCGCCAACGACGAGGGCGAGGGCATGGTCTGCGACCGGCCCAGCATTTGGTTTGAGTAAATCGTCGACGGGCTGCGGAGCGACTGGCCTGGCGATCCGTACGAAGCGTAGCTCGAGCTCTTCACTGGCCCCTGAACGACGCTGAGTCCTGGCGAATACTGGTGGTAGGAAAGCTTCTGTGCCTGCGGCTGCTGGTACTGTGAGCCGTACGACCGCGATTGCGGCTGGGTGCGGTCGTAGCTGCTGGGATAGGCGTAGGAAGTCGCCGAGTTGGTTTGGAGGTAGGGTGGATCGGAGTTTGGAGTGTTCGAGTAGACGCTCGGGGCTCTGCTCGTTCGGTGACTGACGAACTGCTGGCTGCTGGTACGCTTCGGGGGCGAGCGCATGTAGTCTGTGGATTCGGCAGAGATTTTCCTCTTGCGCGAGACGTCCGTTGGGGACGAGGCGCTGTACGACTGGTAGTTGGCGGCATCTTCGTAGGTAAAGTCGCCGACCTCGACGACGCCGAGGCTCTGGCCGTACTCGTCGTCGACGTTGAGCAGGATGGGGACCTGGCCGTCGATGTAGCTGGTGGTCGGGTCAAAGGGCGGGATCTCGGCGGCGATGGCATACTGAAAATATGGCGGGTTGTTTCTTTCGAGCTTCTGCCAGTTGGCGTCGCTCCGCTTGGTTCCAAACATTACGGAGAAGAAGACGTTGGGCTGGGTGGCGAGGTCGTAGGTGGTGCGGATGGAGATGAGGAGCTTCGTTCCATGCGGGGCTTTGGAGGGTGAGTAAGACGTTATTTCGGGAAAAGGGCGCGACCTTGTGTCGATATAAGAAGCCGGGTACGAGGCTTGATAGGCTACATCACGCGCCTCGAGCTGGGAAGCAGAGATGAAAGGCATCTGTTCGGAGGTCGAGGGACCATGCGACGGGCGCGCCTGCGCGCTGGGGTACTGCGAGGGGAAAGATGGCTGTGCGTAGCCGGGGTAGCTCTGCTCTTGATTAGGTCGTGTGGCGGCGTAATCTGTGATGGAGGGTGGTCAGTACCCGCCCTCACGTGTCCCCGTGCCGGGTCGATCCGGGCCAGGATGTTCTGGCGAGCGACAAGTCAGATGGGCCAGGCGCACTTACCAAAACCGTACGGTTCCTGCGTCTTTTCGTAGCCAGACATGGACAGAAGCTCGGCACCTAGTGCGGCGCCAGCCAGGGCACCTCGCTCGCCGAACTGCTGCAGCGACGACGGCTCGGAGGGGTCGCAGTCCTCGTCGACGATGAGGGGCGTCTCGAAGGGCGGGATGGGTCTGTGGCGCGGATCAGGCAGTGCGTCCAGGCAGCAGACCGGGGCCTGGGCGGGGCTTTGGCGGGGGCTCGCGCACTCACCTGGACGTGTGTATCATCAACGCGGGCTGGTCAAGTCAGACGGGTTGAGGGCCGATTATCAAGCGTTCGGGGTGAGATTCTGGAGAGTCGAGACATGCAAGGGATCAACCCCAATACATGTAGCATGGGGGAGGGAGAGCCGCGAGCAACAGCTGAAGAGGATGAGATTGCAGGGGTCTTTGAATAATGTGCGGCGGCGGGCTAGCGGTGCCACTGCGACAGCTGTTTCGGGCAGCGCAGGCCGTGACAATAGCTTTGCGGTGATGAAGGCAGCGGCTCGTCTCGCGAACGTGCAGCCGGACAAAGAGTTGGGAGAGTCGGCGGCGAGGTGGATGGTGCCGAAAGCGAGCGGGTGAGACTAGCCTCGATGTCTGGATAGAGGAGAGGTCAAACCGGGCAGCCGGGAATGGGGCGGATTGGCTGGGTCTACGGGGAGAGCTTGACGGGTGTCTGAACATGCAAGGAGGGCGAGCGGATGCGGAGGGTGAGTCGCTAGCTGCCGTGCCTGGGCGTGTAGCTGCGGGAAGGACATAACACTTACACAGTCAGCGGTAAGCTTTCACTGAGTCAGCCTGGGCTGGGGAGGGGGTGCAGAACGCGCGTAGGCGGTGCCGGGGCGTGCGGCTCTGCGTCCTCAGCTGTCAGGACGCGGCCGGGGCGCCACGCGGCGGGCTGGAGGTGGAGCGCGGGCTGGGCTGAAGGCAGAGGATGGGGGAATGCTCCGAGCGCTGAGTCACAAGGCGGCAAACGAGTGACGTCGAGGAGATTGGAGACGGCCCGCAGGCGGGCAGCGCAACGGGCGCGGGCGGGCATATATCACCATCACCACGGCGTGCGTGAAGAAGGGCGAGCCGGGGCCAGTGGGCGGGCAGCGCGGGCGCGGCAGGCATTGAGGCTGGTATGGCGCAGTGCGCAGCCAATGCGCGTGCGCTGAGGCGCTGCTGATGGTCAGCGCAGCGAGCATGGAGCAGGTCACGGGCGTCCCGGGGCGAAGGGATGTGCTGGGGGAGCACTGGGAGTTGGGATGGTGGTGGTCAGTCCGACCAGAGCGTCAACTGCAGGCACCCCTGCGCGCTCCACCGCCGCAACTCTATCCTCCACCGAACGCCGTTGTAGATATATTGCGCAGCGCGCGCCGTTGCTTTTGCGCCCAGCACCCGCCGCGTTTGCCCGGCGGAGCGCACTCGTCATCGCGGGGCCCGGGGCCCGGCACGCCGGCGCTCCCTTGCGTTTTCTTTACTTAGATCACGGTTGCCCGAGGCGGTAAGCCAGCTGAACGAGGCGGCTGTGTCGATCTCCGCGACGGGGGCCGCGCTGCTGCTACGCCACGATCGCACTCGCCCGGCGTATGCGCCCCCTTCACGCCTAACAGCACCGGCTTATGCAGGCACCGTCACCACACGACCACCGCCCCCGGCCCGCCCGCCTGCCGCCGCCCAAGCCAGCCTACCCGCCGCCCGCAGCTGCGACTTCTGCTCATCTCGCGGCCTGCGCGTTGCGCCATCCCCACCGCGGGCCAGACCTCCAAGTCCCCCCTGATCTCCGCCCGCGCCGACCGCCAGCCCGGCGCCGCGCGCCCTCACCGCACTCGCCCGCCCAAGCCTGCCGTGCCCGCTCCATTGGGCAAGGCCACGGCGCGAGGCGGCTGCACAGGATCGGTGGCGGCGCGCTGGCGACGGGCAGACGCGAGATGCACCGCACCACCGCGCCCGCCCATGGCCCCGGGTCGCTCGCCTACCGACAAGAGGTGAGACCTGCATCCGCTGGGACTTCCTCCTCCTCGACCGCTCTTCTTTGTCAGCCCAGCCCGCAAACTTGCAGATCAAACGAGCCTGCTCTGCTCCTTGCCGTCCTGACTTGCGGCGCCGCCCGCCTTCCCAGAACGGACACGTGCAGCAGAGCCCGCCAGCTCCTCGCATGCTGCATTTTCGCGCTGCCGGGCTCCGGCGTCATGGCGACCTCGAGTTCCTGGCCCGCTGCTGCCGTGCCCGGCTCTCCGTCCAAGCCGCCTTGGACCTCTACCCACCTCGCTCGCCAGACCGATACGCGCGCAAGCTGGCCGCCGCCCGGGAGAGCCGCCAGAGCGCGCCCAAGGACTCTTCCGCGCGCCCGCATGGGAAATTACCAGATACCCGGTTTGGCCGTCTGCATATTGACATTCCAGCAGATCCACCAGCCGGGGCGACGACGAAGGTCTGCTCGCGGCCGCCCACGGCTGGAATGCGAGCGCCCCGGTTACCTCCGGGGGCACGGCGCCCTTCACGACAGCAGCAGCGCGCTTGCTCTGTGCAACCGCCCCTTTGGACCTGGTTGTCGGTTCGTGGTCATGCTGTCCTCCATCTGAAGTGACGCAAGGGTGCTTTTCCAACGGCCAGGTTCCGAGTGCCGATGAGTAAGCCGCTCAGCGAGCACGTTCGTGCGAGATCTCAGGAAACGAGAGGATCGTGCAGTAAGGATGCGTGTACCACCACGTTTGCAAGTTGAAAACAACACGCTCCCCGGCGCCGTGCGTGCGTCATCGACACCTCCCCGGCGCGTGCGCGAGCCGAAGACGCCCCGACTTGAAGATGGTGCTGTGGCGCAGCAGTGCCAAACGCGTCCTCGCGTCGTGGCCGCTCCCCGGCCTCGACGACAGCGCTTGGAGCCCCCCGGCCCGCAAGAGTCTGTCGTCGGGACGCGCGTCCGAAAGCAGCCGGGCGCTCCGGCGCAACACGAAGAAGCCGCCGGACTCCTAACGGTTAAGGTGGACGATTTAGGGCTTTCGGGGAAGTCAACCGAGCGAGCCCAAGCGCAGGGCCGTTGTAGGGAAAAAGATGGAGCGCGCGCTCAGACCAGGCCCGCCCTGCGCGTCGTCGTCGTAGTCGTCGTCGTCGTCTCGGTGGCCGTTGCACGCCAGAACCGTTGAGCGGCTGACCGGTAAGTCGGAAGCGGTTAGTGTGGCCGTTTTACGAAGGCGGGCCTGGCTGCCCAGGCCGGATGTCGACAGGAAATGGGTTTGCCGGAAGTGCTTCCTACACGCTGCCGCTGACGCAGGAAAAAGGAGCGGCGGGCCGGGGCTGGCTGCTGGCTTCAACACGTTTGCGGGAGATGCGCGGCCCGACATGAATCGCGATCTTCCTGAGCATCCACTAATCGCCCGGCTGGCCAGACCAGCCATTACCCAACCAGCGGCCTTGTTTGCCAGAGCACTGTCGCACCGCCAATTTCCACTGCTCCCGCGCATTGATCTGAGCGAGCCACGATCCTCCAGGAGTCCTGGTAGGCTGCGCGCATACGGGCACCGTAATATCTACTACTCATTGAGCTGCAGCGGATGCCGTATTCGCTCGCCATGCACTCTGCACAGCTACCGGTCAGGAGAGATGGATGCCCAAATAAAGGGGAAGCCTATCCGACCATTGACAGGCTGCCAGCCCTCCAGCCGCCGTAAACTCCAATGCGGCCTCAGCTGAGCACCCTGTCCGGTTGCACCACCACTCATTAATTGCCTCGTAAGACGACGTGTGCTGGTTATGCGCATGTGAAGATGCACCAATGCCTTTCTCGCCTTGCCAAAGGTCGATAGTCAATCAAGCAAAAACAACCGCCGTTGCGTGGCGCAATCCCTGCCTACGTCAATTGGCTGATCAGAGAGAGCTGACCGTTCATGCATGACTATCCAGGCGAATACGATCCGAGGCTCATACTTGAGACGAGAGATCGCACTCTTCTAACCGACCTGTCCTGCTCAACGTTTTGTGTCTTTCACTTTCCTTACCATCGCAGCACCTCCAAAGCGTACCTCTCAACATTGTGCACGACCCTTCTAGCTACTAGCGCTCGCTTCAGGCCATCAACATGTGGACGCCTTCTTCGGCCGGCTCACTTCTCCCCAGCCTAGAGGTGCTGTTTTAGCCCGACTCTTCCAGCGCGCTGTCGCCACTGCTGCCCGACGGCTTGCCGGAGCCGTGATCAGCCCGCCCCACACTAATGCCAGCCTTTAAGAAAGAACCCTTATCCGTAGTGAGACAGCGATGCTGGGGGGAAAAACTTGATGACGGCTTCCGCTGATGCGCGACAGCCCCAGCTTTCCGTCTCATCCCGTCCAGCGCGCTCCGGACCGTGCGGCCGGCGGATGCCGGTCCGACGGCTTGCGGCCGGTGCCCAGGGCTGAGGCTGTTTGTGAAAGAGAGCTGGGCTAGATGTGATGATGAGGAGTTGCGCGAGATGCTGATCTGCGATGATCGCCCCGCCGTTTGCTCCTTTCTGCCCTGCTTTTTTTTTTGTTTCCTCACGCCCTTGACTTGTGTGTTTTTTTTTCTTCCCGGTCTTTGTTTTCGCAAGGAAAATGCCGGTTTTTCTTGTTGTCCTTTCCGAGACCATCACCCCAACCCTACAACCTGGGACTTCCGGATTTCCAGTATGACAAATTCTTACCACCCGGTGTTTCCGGCTCGGCTTTTGTCTCTCAGGTCACACCCGCTTCCTGAGACAGCGTGCGGGCTCTGGCCTCGTGGCGTATGGGTCATCTTCTAGGTATCACTTTGGAGAACGCCTCAGGTGTTCATGAAGCGGTCAGTTGACGTAGCTACGCATTTCACCCCCACACAGTCTGGAACGCCCCCAATTCCCTGCTGCCATTGTCACCTTCCGCACTAGAGTAGGGACCCAAAAATCCGAACCCCTTCCCGTGAATGATCAGGTGGGGGCATCAAGCCATCATGTTGCTAGCCGTCCCAAAGAAACATCAAGCCACGCGCTCTTTGCAAATAACAAGAAAATACGAATCATTGGCCTGCAGGCTTAGCTACACGCCAACCTATAGGGCCCGGATCGTTCCGCTTTTAATATCGTTCTCGCCAAGAAAATGTGCTAAAATTTCCAATTTGCGGGGGGAGGGTGATCCGATCCTAAGTCAAAGCACCTCGCTACGGGATTGACTTAATTTTCCGCGACAAACGAGGACAGGTCGGGAGCTAAAATTATCTCCAGGTAGTAGCAGTAGGTGGTTTTGCAGAAAAAAAAAGGCCTCACAGATTGCTGCGGTTGCTTTTTTCCCATGGATGCGAAATGACACTCAACTGTGCTGACTTTTCAAAGAAAAAATTTTTTTTTCCCTCTCGCCGCTTCAGCCAGCCCAATCTTAGCTGCGAGTCCTACACACCGGCCGTCTAGGTTGGCACGGCGCATTGACGTCTGGCAGTGGAGCAATTGGAAAGTGTTGGCGTGGGTGGATTCCAAGAGGAACGAACGCCCCAAGGCTCTCGCAACAAATGTCAGAACCTAATTCTTTCTATCAGCCCTACATGATGCAGCCACATCAGAAATGCACGGAGTAGTAGTAGTGTGTTGCTGTCGTCCACCAATGCTGACATGCCTTAACGCAGCCCAATCTGCCCCGCCGCTGCGCCATGTAAGCCCTTAAAGCGCAGCGGCGCGAACGCACTGCCTGGACCGCTCCTTCTCCTTCAAGCGCGAACTTGCGCGCTTGCGCAGCCCTACACGTGAAAAAGGCGGTATACTTTAGCAATTGGGGGGGTGGCGAGCGGGGGCGGGAGGATTCGTGCGGCGCGCATTAGGTCCCGTAGAGTTTCCAACCCCAACTTTGCGATTGCTGACATCAGACCGAAGCAACGTAGATACGACTCCTCGGGCCTATGTCGGAGCCCGTACCACCACCGCGATCACACTCAAGAAAATCTTGGCCCCCCGAGGGGTAGTAGAGCTGAGGTGTCAATCAAGCTCCGCCACGTTACATAGTGCTTATTTCTGATCTGCCTGGCTGTGCATTGGAAAGAAGATCTGCGCTGCAGAAGTGCATCCTACATCTTATCACACGCATGTTGATGGAATGGAGGCGAGTTGCAGTAGTTTCAGGTCCAGAACTACACAGGACCGGTGAGCACCGAATTGCTGTCCACAGGTACGCCAACTGCAGCCCAAAAGAAGGCCCCACCCCACCTTAGCTGTGGGATTCGATCCATCGTGAGTTTTTTGCGGTTGGGGGCGAATGCGAAGGAGAACGATATCCGTTGAAGCCGGTTCAAACGCCTCTTTTTGACGGTGAGCTTGGCGGTCAGCATGCGGTCGAACACATGAGCAGCTCCTCCTCTACTAGTTGCTCTATGCAAGGATAATCCTTTGCCACTTCTGTTCGACCACTGGTAGAGCAACTGGACAGGCCGAGCTGAAATGCTTCTTCCCGTCTTTCGTGCGCCAAAGTAGTCCACTGTCTCTGATCTTTGTTGCTGCCTGGCGGGTCTCCTTCGTGGGGTTCACCATTTCCCTCTTTCTGTCTAGCAGGGCTCCCCGACTTCGCTTTGACCATCGCCCCCAGTCCCCAAACGATCCCATTGGGCCTCTCATGTCTGAACTTGACGGAGGATCTGGTGGATTCGTGATATCGCCTCCCTTCGTTTGCTGTCTGCTAGTTGCCAGTTAGTCACTACATCGAATTCTTCTACTTTTCTTGTAGACATTCTATGGATCATCTTGCGCATCTTCTTTAGAACTTAATAGATTTCTGTCACTAGGGGCATACTGCGAGTGCTACTGAATATGAAAGAATGAGCCAAATTGAATCACTTCTAAAATTTCCAATTGGGCCAACCACTGGATACTTGAATCGCTTCAAAATTCATCAAGACCTTCACAAATAACGACCACATCCCTCCACCAAACAGCCGAATATTATCGCACTTCGTGGATATCTCTGGATAGGTAGTTAAAGAAGGCCTCACAACGAGCGCGCGTAATGATAGGAAGTGCATTTGTGGTAGGCGTTTTCTCTATTTCAACCTTAGCCTCCCCAAGCCCTGATTTTCGTAGCCATAGCATTCAGACACCTACTAGCGATGTGATGAGGGCAGTATATATTTCCTACGAAGTTTTCAAGGCAACTTTTGTCTCAAAACGCAGTGGTAGAAGGAGCGAGCGTCGGAAGTGACACCGGTATCTAGCCTTTGCTTCACCCTTGATTAATATCGAGAGACAAGCAAAATCTCCCATCCCAAGCCGGCGCACCACTTTGACACGTTCATGCCATTTTCAGACATCTACGTGATCCTGTACCCTGCCAGAAAGTTCCCGATCACCTCCATGTCCTCGACACCAGACCCCTGAAAAATGATGAGTGAGACGATAAGACATCTCCATAGCCCATAGACCCCTTAGCTACCAAATGCATACTAATTAAAAGACTTGCGTACTTCCCGCTCACGTCTATCTATCCGCTGCGGCCTACTCATGTTCCCCGATATGGTAATATCCTGCGTCGCCCTGCGCCGCGCCATGAATCTGACAACAAGGCTCTCATAATCAGTCCAAGGGGTAGGAGGCGTACAGGGTCGTCAAACCATTCACATGAAAGACGAACACACGTCAAGAGAACAGCACAGTCATCTTCAAAACATTCGACCCCGCCGCGCGTCCAACGAACGTCGCCCTCTGCTTGCCGGTGGTGGCAGCCGAAACATACACTGTCCGGTCGCACTTGTAGATACCGATTCACAAAGCACACATCTACACCAGCCCACTCACTTCAACCATCCCAGTCAAACAAGCGCACCGTCGCGCTCTTCACATAGCGCGTAGCTCAAAGAAAGAGTCCTACAAGCGAACGCGATAGCACTCAAGGGACAAGGCATTCGCTTCTAAAGCCACAGCAACAACTACGCGTCGTCGTCGAATCCACCAACAACCAGAAGAACAAACTATCCAGACAACAAAATTTGCTCAAGGGTGCATAAGCCGTGCAAGTCAAAAGCGTGAGGGAAAGAAAACATGCGAACAGCCGAAGAACCACAACCTCCGTTCGACCGACGGGTATGCATTGCGGTGCGGTGCAGCTCACGTCAGAAGAACAAGTATCACCACACACTGCATGACACGAGCATCATTAGACAACGAAGCCGAGAAGAGAAAAGAAAAAAGTTATTATTAGACGTTGTGTGTGTAAGGAGAAGTGAATAAGGGGGAGGGGGTTAAGGCTAAAGCTAAAATGTGAGGCTACTATCTACTTTGTACATGGGAATCAATCCTGGGAGTATCATCAACACCAATCAGACTTCCAAAAAGTTCCAATCCCTGAATTTCAGAGACTGGATTTTTTCCTTTTAAAGTTTCCGCCTGCCCTATGGGCCTTTATCCGAACCAGGCCATTTTGACGAGAGGGCCGAAAAAAATGTGTGAAAGTACTTGAGAAAAGAAAAATCGGAAAACCAGTCGTCCAACCATCAAAACCATAAGCCTTCGTTTGCACCATCGCCTTACGCTGGATATAAAACTAAACTCCCGTGGGAGGCCCCCGTTCCTAGAGGACGATTTTCTCTTTCGCATGAACCCATGAAAACCTGAAAAGAAACCGTGCGATGCCGAGTCGGTGAGACTAGTACTGGGACTAGCTCGGTGACGATACACATTAAGCCTGAAGAGAACCAGCCCTCTTCTTCGATGATACCATAGACTTCAAACGATATAGTCCCCGTACCGGCGCCTAGAATGCAATGCCAACTCCGCTCTGCCTGGTCCGTCCACGTCGTGCTTCTTCGTAGTCGAGATCGACATACTGGGGCGGCTTCGGGATCCCTTCGCCACTCTCAATCTTCTTGTCATCGAGACCCTCCACGACAGCGCTCCAACTCTTGCCCTGCCTCTCACGCATCTCCAACGCAATACCGAAACTCGGCACACTCAGGTTGCGAGTGTTTACGCGCTCCGGAACCGGCGAGGTGGCAGCGGATACAGTCGTATCGGGTGTAGAGCTGCGGGCGTCTGAGTCGTCATCGTCATCCTCGTCCTGATAGAGAACGTCGCGGACCGTTGAGATGGTATCAGGAAGAGAAAGCGTGGAGTTGGTAGGACAAGTGGCGGTTGTAGAAGCGAGGGATGGCGAGGCATAAGGACGCGATGAGGTGTCGGACTGAAGAGCGGCAATAGCGGGAGCGTGGTAAAAGTCACTGGCAGAAGTAGCGGTGACAGAAGAGGCGAAAGAGTTCAGGGTATCGTCGGTGGCGGTGCGAGAGTGGGTGAGCTTCGAGGAGGTGTAAGTGCGGAGCGTGTCAACCGAAGCATTGTTCCGGCGGCGCTGCATGAAGGTCGCAAGGCGCGACTTCGGGGTGTTGATACGACTGGCGCTGGTCGAGGCGGGCGGGGTGGGAAAGCGAATAAGGAGGTCGGTTTGAGAGTTGGTGAGCGATGGCATGGCAGGAGAGTCCTCGTTGTCAACAACGGGCGAGGGCGGGATGGAAGGAAGTGGCTTGGTGGTGAAGGGGACCGAAAGTGCAGAGCCAATGTCCGACAGAGTCTCGGAGCGGACATGCATCTTGAAGTTGGGGGCAAGAGCCGGGACGTGGTGCTGCTTCGGAGAGTTCGACGCGAGCTTCTTCGCGCGCTGTTCCTCGACAATCGAGTTGAGCTCGCTGATGGCGTCCTCGACACTATCACGTGGTGTCCTGTACGACGGCCGCTTACGGAGACTGCGGGATGAGCTAATAGGCTCCGTGTTTGACCGCATACGCGGAGAAGAGGGGCCCGAGATTGGAAGAGGTGAGTCGGTGTTGCGTTCGTAAGAGCAGAGATCGGCGTTGATCGTCTTGGGCCTGTCGGGAATGGGCATGGTGCTGGACCTCTTGACCGCGCGGAGCGGAATGTCGATGGTCCTCGCGTCATCGTAGTCGCCGAAGGAGCCATCAACATAGGATGGGATGGGTTTTCTGGGCACCATGAAGGCGGGTTCCGAGCACATCGAGTCTGTCCTGTTCCGGACGTGCGCTTGACCAGGGAATGGCAGTGCTGACGGTTGCTTGTCCCAGCTGTTCCTCATGAAATCCGGGAGAGGGGATAGTTGCTGCTCGGGCATGTAGATGGAGAGCTGCAACGGACGGAAGCTTGGTTTCCTGCGAAGCGTCGGTCCAGGCTGGGTGTCGGCTTGAACCTGGCGGGAAACCGGAGCGGGCATGGTCATAGGCGCATGCGTGCCGCTGCCGTCTATGTGGCGGAAATCGGTCGGAGCGGAGATCAGTGGCCGACTGCTGTTCTTTGCCTTGGCGGAACGCATGCTCAAGTAAGGGTAGCCTGGAGTGCGCGACTCTACTTGTCGATTGCCCACCCACTGTCTCATAGCCTGACCTGTCGACGGTCGCGGCAGCGGTCTTGCAGACTCGAGCATCAGCGGGCGCAGAGAGCGCGGCTGCTCGTCTGTGATGCTCCGTCTTCGTCCATTTCCTTTGGCGAGTCAGCACTGGCACATTGAGATCAGCAGACTGCGAGTAAGCTCACCGTGATTAATTTGAAAAGGGTCAACCTCTTCGTCTGCTCGCGAGCCAGATGCACAGCATCCGGCGAAGGGGGATGAGGCCAGCCATCCGGTAGTAGTGCCATCAACCTCGACGGAGTGATGGGCTCCCATATTTGGATGAGAAACTAAGAATACATCGCCCGGGCAGCGATGAGAGGGGAACAAGACGCGGCAGCCGGTCGCAAAGAAGAAGGAAAAAAAGAACAATAGTTAGAGAAGTAGTAGTAGCGCCCGCACAGCGAGGCCGGCAAGGAAAGAAGACAAAAAAGAGAAGGAGCGGGGGAAGGAGAGAGCCGTAGGGTCTCTCGGGCGCGACTAGCAATGCAGCGGGCGAGAAGGTAAAAGTTAGGAAGAGAATGGAAGGCGCGGCGCAGCAGGGGCATCGTGGGTTTTTCAAAACGGCAGCTGCGGGACCTTGTGCCTCGACCAAACGATGATGCGAAACAGCGAGCCAGGGCGCAGGAACAGGCATCGTCCATCGGCGACGGCCCAATGGGCTGCTGGCGGCTGGCGCTGGGCGAGATGAACGAGATGCAAGTAGCCCGGGGCGCTCCAATGACTGCGGACCACGACGGGCGAGGGCGTGCGTGGAGCGTCTGCGATGGTGTCGAGTTGAGCGCGACGGCGCGCATGATTGGCCCGGAGCCCCTAGCGCCGCAAGTTTGGCGCCCTGCGCCCTGCTGCAGCCCATCGCCGGCCGCCGCTGCGCCAAGCCGCATCTGTCCTGCGGCACGCTCTAAGAGAAACTCGGCCTCCTCGCCTGTCTGCCAATCATCCCCAGCGGGTCCGACCGACGTGCTGCTTCGTCCCAGCGCCTTGGCCCGCGAGAGTCCCCGGCGCGCTCTTCCGTGGCAATCATCCGCTGGGGAAAGCTTTTGCTTTGCTTAGGGCCTGGCACAAGAGCATCAACTGGCTTTCGCGCCTTCTTCGTGCGCTCCCCGCTCCGCTTTTGATGTGCTCCCGGAGTCCCAACCCGCCCTTCCCTCACGTTTCGACTTTCTGCTGATCGCAACAGCGCTCCGCTGGCGCTGCCACAAGACAAACACCGGTCATCGACACGTTGCCGGCCGCCAGCCCTGCGGCCTCGTCCCGCCGGCGAGCGGAAGAGTGAAGCCTACCATGGCCATCCAATGTACCTGCATTAGCCTCGCGGGCCTCTGCTTGCCGCAACACCATCGTTTCAGACCCTGGAATAATGTTAGCACTGGCCACCGCTGGCGACAACAACACCACCAGCGCGAGCCCTGCTAAGAGCCCGGTCGGAGAATATGTGAAGAGACTTTGACCGTCGACTGCAAATGAAGTGGTCGCGACTGGCGCAGCCCAACGCAGCGGCTACGTCAATTAGGGTGCCACTGGCTGGAAGCCTCAAGCGCGAGCCAAAACCAACGTCGTCCATGTCATGTCACCAACTCTCTCTTGAAAAGCCAAGCCTCTGGCCACCTGCCTAAGGCATAGGGACAGCCGCCTACTGCGACTGCTGTGCCACAGGTGCTGAGAGCGACAGTGTGGCAGCCATGGGATCCGCGCAATTTGCTGCCGCACCCGCAAATAGCAGCGCGCGTAGCAGTCAGTCGGAGCTCGCGCCACATCGCGCTCACACCTGCCCTTTTTCCCGTGATGCAGAAGCGCCGCTTGCCCGCATGTGATGCGCTGCACGTCCGGAGATCATCCGTGCCTTTTCTCGACTGCGCGCGAGCGCAGCTATATTACGTGCAGTTCCTCTCTGCTATAGCTTTACATATGGTGTAAAAATAGAAACGACCGGTCACGGTGCGTTCATTTGCGCCCACCAAAATTTTGCCCAGGGCGCGTTTCGTCTCTCGTGAACGAGGTGCAATCATTGAACCTTGATCCCTGTGGACATGCTCTTGCCTGCGGCGGCTCGGAGGAGCTAAGATCTCGTCCACAAATTCGTAACTCTGCCCTTGGCCAACTTACGCGCCTCTTTCAGTCAAACTTCGTTTTAGGTTGATGGCGTGCTCCCTAGCATTCCCCAGTTTGAATTGAAAAGCCTACGACATCAGGACCATGATCGCGTGACCCATCCGTTGCGTCGGGACACCTGTCGGAACTGTACTAATCACAGACGCACAAGTCGCTTGAGCAAAAACAGGTACGAGATGCTTCACAGCTACGACATCTAACGCGCATAATAATCAACGAAGGGCTCACGACCTTGTCTTAGCTTTCAACAGTGTGATGTAGCGTCAGACACGGCGGCTTCCGAGGAACACAGTTGGAATGCTTCAAGGATATCGGCAATGTCTTCCTGTGCCAACGCCAACGCTATGCCCTGAACCCATGGCGAATCCACCCCATCGTGGCCGAATGACGCACGTCACTCCGCCGTCCGTTAGTATTGCGCCGAATGTTACAGAAAACCCAAATTCCATAAGCCATATTCCAAATTGCGTGCCTAATCGTCCCTCGTGCTCCAGATGCTGCGTTCCTCTCGGAAGCTGCCGTAGTGCGGGCTGGGCAGGGCCTCGCGGTCATCGTTGAGATTGCGAGTCTGCCATTGCATTGCCTCGTCCGACTCGAGACGCACCTCATCGTTCCTGGCACCCGATTCCTCGCCCTCGTCGAGGGTGAACGGTGCATCCAAATTATGCTCTCTCTCCGGCTGGTGCGGCTGCGGTTCATCAGGATTGAAGCCTTCTCGAACCTCTTCTTCCTGCCCATCATTCGGGTATGTGCGCCTGAATCGCGTTAGCTCTACGTCCTTGACAAGCCCAGCGAATATACTCACACAAAGTGCTTCGGCTCGGCTTCGTTCCATCCGGGACCGCCTTCTTTGCGGGCTCTCACGCGCTCCACTTCTTCCGCTTCGTGGTCCTCTACAACCAGGTCTACGAGTTGGCTTCGCCCAGACTTGGATGAACCCACAGAAACTGCGGATGATGACGTGTCCTGTCGTCGCAGTTTGCCTGCGCGTGACTTGGAGCTCGACGACTGGCCTGTGCCGTTGCTCGCAGTACTGCCACGGTGCTTTCCTTTAACAACTTTATCCTGAAGGTCCTGGATCTGGCTCTTGCGGCACCGTTTGTTCTCTTTCGTTGGTTGAATGAGATTACGGTTAGTGGACGCGGTGATCATCTTCGGCGTATAGTACAATCTGTCTTCACGCGACGCGTAGTGTGCCGGTATGACCGGATACTATGCAATGTCAGCACCAAAGAAGGCTGCAGAGACTTACACCTGGGATGCCAGGTCGAGATAAGGCACCAATACGGTTGCACCGAAGTGTGCACGAGCGTATGAGCAGGCGGTGGAAAAGAAGAAAGCCACTTACGTTCCAGTCGCCGAACTCCAAAGCTCTGGCATTTGTAAAGAGCCGCTCGTCCTCTGGGTTGAGCTCTGGCTCTTCCATGTCGTCTTCGGTGGAACCATACTTCTTTGCTTGCTCAAGGGCTCTGTGAGCACCAGGGCTCATGGCCCTCGCTCTACTAGACGACACGAAGTTGCCCAGCAATGGTGTTCTGCTGTCGGTGCCTGGCTTTGGGATCCAGTACTTGCCTTTACCGCCTCTCTCATAGCGCATGCCCTCCATCATTCGAGCAACACGAGAAGCCGACTCTTCGTGGGCAAGCACATTATCACGGGCGTCAAAGTATCGGTACTCATAGTGCTTTCCAGCAAAGGTGTCCTTGGTGTCCTGGATGAGATCCATGGGGCCAAAGGCATCCCGCAGAGCGTACTTGACAGGCATTCTCGCAGCAGAAATTGTGCGGTCGGCGTAGTCGTGGTGCGAAAAAGCGTACCAATGAGCGATGGCAAACACGGGCATCTCAAAGCAAATGAGGGCATCCTGAATGGACGCTGCTAAGTTGTCAGGCGTATAGCCTGGGACATCGTCTGGAATGGCACCGAGCCAGACGAGGATAGACAAGAAAAAGCCCTGCCAGTAAGAGGCAAAGATGATGCCCTTGATGCACAAGAATTTTGGCATCGGGCGGAAGGGTTTCAGGTCGTGTGCCATGCAAACCCAGAACATGGCCAGAGCATACAGGCTCACAGAGATGCTGACGTTGTAGATCAGGCTGCTCCAGAAGTAGCCTGACGAGAGGGCAATGTAGCCCTCCTGGTACGTGCCGGTTGCCTTCATGATAATGGTGGCAATGGCAAGTATAGGCTTCACCCATGTGTACTGCAGTATCCCACGCTTGATGGAAAGGAAGGTATGAGGGTCCGAGATGTCGACCTTTGGCAGGACGTAGTTGAGAGGCCATAAGTGGGGGACCGGAGGGCGGCCATGCATCAAGATGATGAGGGCACGCTCACCGCCGATGAAATTGATGAGGAGCTGGAAAAAGGTGTAGATGGTGAAAGCCTGCAGGCTCGGTCAGCGAGCGTTGGTGGGTATGGCCTGAGCTGAAACGTACCTCGTAGACATCGCGGAGCGGGGCTATCCAGAAGGCAGCCGTCAAAGATATGAGGCTGGCCCATGATGCTATCGAGAAGATAGGTACCCTGGAAAACGTTAGCGATAAACCAGCACGGCGGACAAGGGAACGCACATCAACAGTATCCGAACTACATATCTCTGCAGCAGCGGTTTCCGGTAGTTTTTCCTGGAGGCGTGTTCAGCGTGCTGACCGCCATTTGCGGGAGCTGATCGCGTGCAAGGGAACTTACGCTTGAAGCCAGACAGACCTGCGGGCAGGAGGTTAGCAGACTGCAGCAGCATGAAAGCGTCGAGTATCCTTACAGAACGGTGAGGAGACTGGCCACTAGGGCAGCCACGCCGGCCACTATGACGACCCAGTCGCCGAATCTCCCGCCCGTGCCACCGCTGGTGGACTCCTCCCCCATTGCGGACCCCCGAATTGTACTGGATGCAGGCAGCAGGCGTGGAGCGGGCGAACAAGGACGCAGAGCAGCGGGTCCCAGGGCAGCTCGCAGGCGGAGGCGGCAGCCGGGAGCTCACAGGCAGGTGGATTCGGCGGAGGGGGTTGCGGTGTGGGTGGGCGAGGTGGGCGCAGGCATCTCCAACAGCTGTGTTGATCGCGGATGCACGGGCGTCGTCATTGCTCCAAAGAGCAGCCGCGGAGCTGGCAGGGTCACGCTCGCCAAGACCGCGACCGTTTGTCCCGCGCCCGCTCCCACCAGCGTCTGCTGACAACCACCACCGCCGCCATCTCTTGTGTTCCCAGGCGCGCTCGCAGCTGCCGCCCCATGCCCGTCCGCCCCGCGCGCGATCACCATGACCAGCGCCGCCCCGTGCCCGCCGCCCGGACTCAGGAGTAGCTCGCACAATAATGGCGAGCGACGGGCTGACTGCGCAGCCTCTGGACGCTCACCGAGGCCTGCTGTGGCAGTTCCTCGTTGAATTGCTCGTTAGCGGTATCCTCACCGTCTTTTTCCTGTTCTACTTCAACCGCCTGTTCGCCACGCTCGTCTCGTACGCCATCCGCGCCTACACCTGGCACAATTACCGCGCCTACATCGATATCCAGTCGCTGCAGATCTCGCTACTGGGCGGCCGTATCTTTTGGAAGGACATTCGCTACCACGGCCACAACCAGACCATCCTCATCCACGGTGGCTACATAACATGGCGCTTCTGGTACAGGAAGGTCAAGGGCACCGAGCTCTTCTGCGATGGCCATGCCACCGAGAAGCCCTGCTTGGCCGATGGCACGAGCGTCTATAGCAGTCCGTCGCGGAGCAGGAGCCGCAGCGTAGGCAAGGAGGAGGACGGTGGGAAGCAGAAGACGAAGGAATTGCCGTGCCGTGTGTCCATTAAGGTCTCGGGCATGGAGGTGTTTCTGTACAATCGAAGTCCCGCATACGACTCTATCATTGAGAACTTTGCGCGTGCCATGGGTGCCAATGGCGCACAGAAGCCTGCTGCTGCCGAGTCGCCGCCCTCTGAGCAAACCATCGCTGAAACTGCCACCTCCGACAAGGCCCACTCTGCGCTCCACCGTAGGAACACTAGTGGAAGCAGCAGCCGTTCCAGGCACCGTCGGGACGGCAGCAAGGAGGAGAAACCATCTGCCCGCAATGAGTCGGAGGATGCCTATTCAGCACCGGAGGTTCCGTCATTTCTCCGCCTCTTCCCCGTCCGCATCGACTGCAACAAAGGTGCTGTCATTGTCGGCAACGAATGCACCCCGTCGATCCTATCAGTGAAGTTTGACAAGGCTAGCGGAGAGCTCAGTGCCGCTCACGCCGGGCCACTCGACATATACAAGCAGTTGTTCAACTTCGATTTCGAACATCCTGTCATGCACATGAAACCCAATCATGACTACAAGAACCCACAGCTGGCTACCGCGGCGCGCCTGAAGAAGGAGGGGTTGGAAAGCACAGGCTCCGAGACCGTAAGAAAAGAGCATAGGACTGTAAGGCGGCGGAGGCTTTGGCACCCGCTACAAAATCTTTCGTCATTATTCGGTGGCTCGACGGACTCGCTAGCAAACTCACGAAACACAACGAGAAACCGTGCGTCAACTGTGCAACCGGCTTTCCCAGGCCAGGAGCGTTGGCTTGGTTTGACGAGATATCTCGACGATGACGACCACAACGAGCACGACGAATGGGGAGGTATCGAATACGCCAAATTTTCCTTGATTGCGGACCTTCCACGCCTCAGCATGAGTTTCTATTGGGATGTTCCTGGCTCTGTGCCCAAGGGACCGAGTATTGCTGATCGGAGCCCAAGTGTTGCTACCCTCGACATTAACGGCACCGTTCCTCCGGACTACGGCCTTGATTTGCAGATTCACGGCGGAATGATCAACTATGGTCCTTGGGCAGACCGGCATCGCGTCATTCTGCAGAACTATTTCTTCCCGGCCTCTTGTACCGATACCGTTCCGGCCGAGCCCTTGAACCCAGGAGCCGCTCGCGTCAACACGGTCTTTAAAATCTTCATCAGTTTCGAGGAAGAGACTGTCCTGCGCATTCCCGTTCGGGAGAAATCCAAGGACTGGAAATGGAAAGGACGAGCTCAGAATGTGAGTGGAACTGGTAAGAGTACCGAAACCGAGAATGTTCGTAGCAAGGGAAGAAAGAGGGCGGCAAGAAACAAAAAACGCGAGACGGGTGCTACCGGGCAGACAGTTCGACCATTTGGCTGGCTTGACATTCTGGTGGAGTCAAACTCCACCGTCAAGTATGTCATGGACATGGTTGCAGGTCCGCAAGGTTACCGCAACTCCCTGGATCTCGACATTCGCGAATCCAAAGTCTTCACTAGCGTCAACCATGACCTGCTATGGAAATCGGGACGCTTGGAAATGGACTGCAACCTCTCTAACCCTCTGAAGTGGAACGAACTGAGACGCTGGGCTTTCAATTTCAGAATCAATGACCTCCAGCTTTTTCTGCTCAGAGATCACATGTTTCTTATGACGGATCTCGTGAATGATTGGGGCTCTGGGCCTCCGCCCGATTTCTACACTTTCACTCCGTACAGATACATCATGAACTTGGAGTTTCCTAATCTCAAGATATTCCTGAACACGAACGACTCCAATATCATCAACAACCCGGCTGAAATCGAAGACAACCAGTTCATAATTTTACAAGGCCGTCACTTGGGCGCAACGCTGGAGATTCCATTAGACAAATTCCGGCCTATCGAGAATGAGATTTCCTTCCGTGCCTTGGGTGACCATATTGGCCTGGATCTCTCCATGCCCCCCGGCAATACCATTGCAACATTCGTCAAAGAACACCACGTCGCAGACCTGGGCGTGTTAACTCTCAATGGCAGCTACAAGTACTGGTCGGAAACGTCACCGGGACTCACTGACAGGCTTTCACTCGATATCGGTGGTAACAAGCTTGAACTCGCACTGTATGGCTTCCTAATCCGGCATTTCATGAAGATCAAGGACAACTACTTTGGAGAAGACATGCATTTCAAGACTCTGGAAGAGTATCAGGAGATCCCACAGAGCAAAGCTGGAGACACTCCCGGAGAGGCGCCAGACCAGGCGTCAAGCAAGTCCAACGATTTGGACATCATACTCTCCGTGTCCGCGGAGAAAGCCGAAATCCTCCTCCCAGCGAATCTCTATTCTGCCGAAGACCACGTCAAAGTTGAACTTCCCTACGCCAATGCGGACCTCCGTTTCACAAGCTACTACATGGATCTCATGGTTGATTTTAGTCCTTTGAGTCTTGCATTGAACATTTCGCACGCAAAGGAGGATAGCGGCTTTGATACCAACAACCGCACGCAGCTGTTCATTGACTTGGTCAAGATTTACGGTCACCGAACTTTTGGTCTGCCGCCGTTGGAGCCAACGTACGTCTGCAACTGGGACTTCGAAGTGGGAAAGATAACCGGCGAGTGTTCTGACAACTTTCTCGGGAAGCTTGGAGCTTTTGGGAAGTGCTTTGCGTTCTCGCTGGATGACGACGAAAACGCATTGCCAATCCTCAGTCCACTCCTGATCCATGATGTGACCTTTCTCAGGCTCCGGACGAGCACGATCAAGATTTGGTTGCATATCGCTCAAGAAGCTTTGCTGTTGAGCACTGATGCAATCAGTGTGGACTTCAACGACTGGGCTAAATCGACATTTTCTCAGCGTCTCGATGTCCTCATTCCCAATTTGGTCGTAGCTTCTGTCGATGCCAAAGCAGCTCTTCGCCAGCGCAGTCGAATTAGCAAGAGCACAATTGACACACAGGCGTACTTGCAAACCGACATTCAGTTGCACATGCTGAAGAGAAAACTCCATTTCAGCGAGGACCGTCGCGATCAGCAGAGTCATCTCAAGGAAAGCGACATGCGGACCAACAGGATACCATGGCTCCTGCTCGAGGATATGGAGGCATCTGAATACACAGTGCCCCCATCCAAGATAGAGCCTCCGGCGATGGCATACCCATACTTACCGCCTCCCTTGCGCGGCAAGTCTCTACTCCGGAGATGGAGTGGTACTGAATCTATGAGCTCCTCAGGGCTTTCTGCATCGAGTGCTTCCGTGGACACGGCTCCCAAAGCGCGCAGCCGACGGCGTCCGGCCAGTATACACTCAGTAGCAGCCAGCTCCTTGAAGTATAGCATTCACGCCAATACTCCAAGGCCTGGCCACCACAAATCAGACAGCAGGAGTACTCTTTCCGTACGCCCCCCATTGTTGGAGAGACGAACGACGGCAAGTATTTATTCCGACGCATTAGAGGGAGGTGAAGAGATTGTCGGAAAGATCGGCCAGCCGAGGTCCTCGATAGCACTCTCGAGCTCTTTGGAGACCCCTTATTTCCCCCTCGATGGAGTGGAGCTAGATGTCTCCGACGTGCCCGAGATCCCGACAGAAGCACATGGCTGGCACTCCGCGGCCCCTAATTCCTTGGTTTTCAACGATGTGTCAACAAAAACATTTGACGAAGACTTCGTTCATACTAGCTTCCTCTTGAGCTTTGAACCCGGGGTCAGAGCCCTTGTGACGCCGAATGCAGTCTCAACGGTGGTCAATCTCATAGACTCTCTCCAGGACAAGCACCCAGAGGATATACTTGATACGTTCCAGGTCGACATAATGGGCAAAATATTGGATTTTCAAAAGCGGATTGATGGCATAGGCACCTCTACGGAACTCAGTTTGAGGCTACCTTGTTTCCAGCTTCGGTTCATCAACAATATCACCGCCGATAGAACGAGTGCACCAGGCAAGGACCAGTACGACTTGATCTTGGACAATTTGTCCGTCTCTCTCCGACAGAAGAACTTTCCCTCTGAATCGGCCGTCAAGAAAAGCACATTGGCGGTTCATACAGTTCTGAAGTCACTGACGGTTTCTGTAAGGGAGAAACAGGCGAACGCGGCTGTGAGTGATGTCGCTGTACAAGCCATACTAACGGACATGCTCCTTTGGTTGGTGACTGGTAAATCAGTCTCCGTCAACGTGTCCTTCCGCGGCCTTGAGGTCGCAAATTCGAGCAAAAAACTGCAGTACCTCGCCTCTTTGATCCACCGCTCAACACTTCTTGCGGACGAGATCGAGGCCAAATTTGCAGCCGTCAGCCCGAAGAGCGAGAGACGGCTTTGCTACTTGGCGTATGCACTTACTACCGCCGGTGGAGACATTCCGGACCCAGCATTCATCACCAGGCCATCCTATGCCTTGCGCGCAGCCAACAATCACCTCCGAAATCACGACTCTTGGAAGATCATTTCCCGCTTCCGATACATATATGACAGTCTTCAGCCCAGCGTGAGAGAGGAGATTACTCAAAGATGTGTCGAAGGGTTAATGTGCTGTCCGGACGATGCCGAGGCGAAGGTCATTCAGATATGGGACCAATGGCGTGAATGGGATCTGTCCCACGTGAAAAAGAGCTTGGCGATGCGCGCATTGTATGGATCCATCGCGGACACGGAGGAAGCCACTGAGGAAAAGCCGGTGCCGCTCGACATTTCGGTCAAAACTGCCGGAATACGGATTGTCATAGATCCTGGTCCGGAACAAAGCGAGATACTGTTTCAGCTTTTGACCATCAATGCTGCACTATCACCACCCCCGGAACCTTCAGGGTTGATGTTGCTGAACCAAGAAAGTCCCACCAAGTCTACTGTCGTGGAGATTTCTACCAGGAATGTCCTTGTCAAGTTCAGCTGGGAAATATGTGAACTGGTAGAGAACGTTCTCACTCTCTTCCAAGCAGAAGCGCCACATGCGAAGGCGAGCAAGCAGGAACAAGACTGTTCCATTTCAGAGGCTTGTAGCAGCAAGGCTGCCAAACCAGAGGTTCATGACTTCCAAGTTCTCTTTACAACCGAAAAGGGCAGCATAAGCTTGGACACCATCAACTTGCGTCATGTTTCCTCTTCTTATGGAATGAAGATATCGGTTGCTGGCTCAAACAGGAGCGCAGCAGATGAGGGCACAAGCATCAGCGCCCTCGTCCATTCCGATGCTGCTGGATCTGAGCTTCGGTCACGCGGCAGACTTCTGATGAGGTCTGAGGTTGTCCGGCCCAGCATATTCATATCCCATGATGATGATGAGTGGAGACATCCCATGCCAGAAGGGTGGATGGTTGTTGGCAAATGCGAAGAGGTCTCATGGAAAGTCCAGGAAGACATTCTTGGAATCATCGAAGTGGCAAACTCGATCATCTGTGACGAGGTTGCCTACTTCGCACGGCAAGTGGAACGATTCAAGAAGCCTGGTAATGCAGAGCCCGCGGCCAGTGAGCCGAAGAAAGAGCCGAGCCTGCCTAATATTACTGTCGCTCTGCTGATGGATGCCTACCGCATCGATGTTGCTCTGCTCCAATCATTGACCTATGTGGTCTCTGGTCAGATGGGAAGAGTTTCGGCGGCACCTGTTCTTGGAGGAGCCCCTACCTTGAATGTCAACTTTGATCTCGACCGACACACCCATTACCTGAAGAGTCACGACAAGCACGGATGGCAGAACATAGCTGCTTTCACTTTCCCTCTTCACAACGGCCATCTGCAGCTGATAGATTCTCCTGCTGGACCGAAAATCCTTTTTAACAGCATCATGGAGAACTTCGTCATCGAGGCTTCCGCTGTCCACGGCCTGCTTACTACTATTCAAGAGCCTGAGGTCGAGAATGTCATGAAGACGATCAAGGAAGATATTGAGGTGCTCCAGTCGAACATCAAAGAAGCTTTGCCAAAGGGAGACAGCGCCGCAGTCTCTCCGGTATCGAGCGAAGAAAGCCGTCCGGTAGCATTCGACGCGAGCTTCGTGATGACCGGTATGAGTATTATCGCTCGGGCACCGACAAAACTCCCAGACTCGTCCGCCTCCACACTGGCCTTCGAACTCAACCGCATCCAAGGAAAGGCGAGCAACATTTCAGAAGACGGGTCTGTCCTTCCCCTTCCAGAATTTTCAGCCGCACTTCCTCACATCAGCATGTCCCTCGAACTCTCGGAGGGGGAGAATATCCGGCACTGCGGTAATCTTCTGTTCGGATTAGAGCTCCGCGGAACACTCCAAAATAGCGTCTCCGACATGCCGAGGCGAGACTACAGAGTCCGTAGCACAGGCCTTGAGATCAACGTGTTTGCGGACACGGCTTCGGCTGCTGTTGAGGTCATGAACCACCTGCAGGAAAGAATCAAGGTTCTCGACCTTTCAAGAGAGAGGAGGTATCTCCGGAAGCTCCGCCAGCCCAAGCGCAGACCTTCCCACCTTGCCAACACCATCAATGGCGACGACGATGGCTCGCCGAGCATTGCATCCAGCGGATTGTTCACCTCGGCTGCCTCACTCGAGCTCACCAATGTCCAAATCAGTTGGATCGTGGGGAACTCTGTTCCCGCGTACCCGGGTCGCGAAAGTGAGGATCTGGTCTTGTCGTTCAAGAGAATCGACCTCGCAACGAGAAGCGAGGAGGCAGCCAGACTTGCCATCGAGGACATGCAGCTTCAAATGGTTCCATCAAGCCAGCCCAAGACGCAGCGTTCGCTCAATTCAGCACTTCTTCCCGAAGTCGTTTTCAACGTCTCGTATGCTTCTTCAAAGACGGATCGTCGGTTCGCTTTTCATGCGGCAGGAAAGTCACTTGACCTTCTTCTCGAATCACGCTTCGTTCTGCCTGCGTCTATCTTGGAGAGGTCAATTTCTCTCGCAAGTCAAAAGGTGCAAGCTGCGACTGCGTCCTGGAAGACGGTTGCCACGCCGAACGAGGCGCCACGCAAAAGCTTGTTTAACAACAAGAAGCTCTCTTCGCTCATCGTTGACGCAGACTTTGCGGGCGCGGTTGTCACCCTTCAAGGAAAGCGTGAAATGTCACGCACAAATTCTCGTCTAACCAATGGTCGCTATCCGCAGTACGGACGATACGGACAGTTCGCCAGCGATGGATCCAACACGAGCACGACACTCCGTGCTCCTGGCATCTCGCTCAAGGTCGAGTACAGAGATGACTCTCTCGATCCGTCGCTCAATGCTGAGGTCAAGGTCAATGCCTCGAGCAACTTGCTGCATCCCACCGTGGTCCCCCTCATCATGGACATCTCGAACAGCATCAAGGAAGTCGTCCAAGACAAAGACAAGGACCAGAAGCCGAAGAAGCCCATCGAGCCCAAGCCATCGCAGAAGTTCCTCGACGAGGAAAGCCTCATCACAGCGGATCCGAGTGCCATTCTCGGAAAGACGCGACTCAACATGGGCCTTCGCATCTGCCAACAAGAGTTCAGTCTGAGCTGCCAGCCGATTGCCCGCGTCGCGGCTACTGCCCGCTTCGAAGATATCTACCTCACAGTCAACAGCATCAAGTCGACGGAACAAGGTCACTTCTTCGCTGTGTCTTCGACCTTTGACAATTTGCAGGCCTCGGTGCAACACGTCTACTCGAGAGAGTCCACGTTCAGCTTCGACGTCGATCGCATCGTGCTGTCCGTATTGAACAGCAAGCATCTAAGCGGCACGAGCGGCATCTCGGCCATCCTCAAGATCAACCCCATGAGGACCCACATCAACGCCCGACAGCTCCAGGACTTCCTGCTCTTCCGAGAGATCTGGGTACCGCCAGAGGTCCGCCAGGCCGCCTCGTCGAAAGCCGCCCCCGCCCCCAACCCGCCGCCTTCGGACGAGTCGCCGCAGGAATACCTCGTCCAGAGGTACCAGCAAGTTGCCGCGGCCGCAGCGTTCCCGTGGAACGCGACCATCGCCATCGAGGAGATGGCCGTCGACCTCGACATGGGCCAGGCCATCGGCAAGCCGTCGTTCAAGATTGTCAACCTGTGGGCGTCGTCCAAGAAGACGTCGGACTGGGAGCAGAATCTGTGCGTCGGTATCGACCGCGTCGGCATCGAGAGCACCGGCCGCACCAGCGGCTTCGTCGAGCTGCTCGACTTCAAGGTCCGCACGTCCATCAGCTGGCCGTCGTCGTCGAAGCAGCAGCAGGGAGGAGAAGCGCCGGCGCGCAAGACGACGCCGCTCATACAGGCGTCCATGGGCTTCGAACGCTTGCGCGTCAAGGCCGCGTTCGACTACCAGCCTTTCGCCGTCGCTGACATTACGGCGTTTTCGTTCCTCATGTATAACGTCCGCGGCGGTAGTGGTGGTGGTACGGACGCAGGTGGCAGCGGCGCGCAGCAGCAGCAACACCAAGACCGTCTGGTGGCGACGCTCGAGGGCGACCGCGTGCAGGCGTTCATGACGCCCGTCAGCCCGGCGCAGGCCATCGCGCTGATGCAGGCCGTCGAGCGGCTGGTGCAGGAGAACCAGACGGCGTACCAGCAGTCGCTCAAGGATATCGAGAAGTTCCTGCGGCGCAGCTCGACTAACAACAACAATATCAACAAGCAAAGGCGAACAAGCTTGGAAGAAATGTCGTCTTCGCAGAAGCCCGACGCTAGCGGCGACGACGACAACGACAAGCAACAGAAGAAGAAACAACGCGAAGCCCCCATCTCCCTCCACACAGACGTCGTCGTCACGCTCAACTCCATCAGCGTCGGCGCCTTCCCGGGCGCCTTTTCGGACCAGCAGATCCTGCTCCTCACCGCGTCAGACGTGCAAGCCCGCTTCGCCGCCGCGCTGGACGACTCCGACGACGACAACCGCATCCACAGCGGCCTCGGCATGACGCTCGGCCAGCTCAGCGTCGCGCTCGCCTCCATCGGCGCGCCGCCTAGGGGTCCTGCGCGTGCCGTCAGCGAGCTGACCGTCGAGGACGTGGTGGGCGCCGCGTCGGCGGCCAAGGGTGGGACGATTTTGAGGGTTCCGAAGGTCATCGCGACGATGCAGACGTGGCAGGCGCCCGGGAGTAATGCGATTGATTATATCTTCAAGAGCTCGTTTGAGGGGAAGGTGGATGTGGGGTGGAATTATAGTCGGATTAGCTTCATTCGGAATATGTGGAATACGCATTCGCGCGCGCTGGCGAATCGTCTGGGTAAGCCGTTGCCGGAGTCGGCGGTTAAGATTACGACGGGGGCGGATGGTGAAGGGGGTGGTGGTGGTGCGTCGTCCGCCGCTGGTGCAGCTAAAGGCGCGGCTGAGGGAGCGAACGGTACGGATGAAGCAGCAGCAGGAGGAGCGGGAGGCGGTGGCGGGAAGATCACGGCCGTCGTCAACGTGCCGCAGTCGCGGTACGAGTACACGGCGCTGGAGCCTCCGGTCATCGAGACGCCGCAGCTGCGCGACATGGGCGAGGCCACGCCGCCGCTCGAGTGGATCGGCCTGCAGCGCGACCGCCTGCCCAACGTCACGCACCAGATCGTCATCGTCACGCTGCTCGAGATCGTCAAGGAGGTTGAGGATGCGTATGGGAGGATTTTGGGGTCGAGTTAGGTGAGGGAGAGAGGGAGGGAGGGAGATGGGTGGGGTTTTTGTGTTGTGTATATTAATCTCTTTTTCCATTTTTTTTTCAGTTGCTATCTGTCCTTGCTGGTTTGTAGAAGGCGTTTTTTGGGTCCTGAGTGTTATTGGGTGAGATTGCTGCCGGCATATCCCTAAGCCTCGCGCGTGTAATTCTGTACGGAGATATAATTGTAGACTTTTCTCAACCGCCCCCATCGTATCAGGGACGTGCGAGGTGACGAGAGCTCAGTGTGGTGAATTTCTGGTGGTCTGGAAAATGGGATGGGGGCGAAGCTGTAGGATTGTTCATCTGATTTCATTATGGAACCATCCTCTCCGATGCTCAAGATGATCACGAGTGCTAACCATGGTAAGTAAGAACGGTGTAGGGTTGACATTCATCATCTACAGAAGAAGAAACAGTACGACTTAGCTGCGAGAAAAGGATTTCATGGAAATGCGGAGTAAATTCCGCAGATTGTGCATCAGTTGATACGCCTTTCGCCACCTGCTCTTCTCATCAATGGATGAGACTGAAAGAAACCCACTTAATATTATCTCTGCTACTACGCTCAATAGTCACCATCATACTTCTCGTCTTCCTCCTCTAAAAATCTCGCTATCAAGTTTACAGCCGCTATATCGCGCGGCATATGTATCTTGGCCACATAGAAAGCCTCTCTCTTTTCCTGGGCGAGATCAAGCGGCGTATTTCCCTCTTTGTTCCTCCTGTGCATCGTAGCACCGCAATGCACAAGGCTTTTGACCATTTCGACGCTCTCGTTTTGAACGGCGTAGTGAAGCGGCGTGCTCCCCGACGTATCCTGGCGATCTGAAGGTTTGCCGGTTAAAAAGCCGTTGAAATCGTCCTCGCGGAAGTCGGCTACAGAAAACAAGGGACGATTTTCCTTGTCTTCATTCCCTATTCTCTGAAGGATAGCAGTGACCATCTCGAGGCAGCCGCTCTTCGCAGCACGATGCAGCGGCGTCATCTTCTCTTTGTCGACCCTTTCCGGCTGGGCCCCGAGATCTAATAACAGTTCCCCCATGGGAGTATAGCTTTTCTCGGCAGCGTGATGCAGGAGTGTCATACTGTGGTCGGCATCCGGGATATCAAGGAACGAGCAATGAAATGTTGCTTTCCCTGCTATCTCCTTCACGGCAGCGACATCATTGAGCTCGACGAACTGGTGGAGCAGCGTTGCAGATGCTATGGCTCGCGCCTCTTCTGTTGATGAGCAGAAGGTGGCCTCCGGACATACATCAAAGAGGCGCCCGATTCGGCCTCCATCTCTGGCGCAGTCGACAAAGCTCTGCTTGTCCAGATTCACAGCCCCCTCGTCAGCGCCAGCTCGTAGTAGGAGCGCAACGCCGCGGACGTCGTGACAGCGCGCTGCGCGGTGCAGAGCGGTTTCGCCCTTGTCGTCTTGGGCATTGACATAGTCCACGAGGATGCCCGCGCTGGACGCCGCATCGATCAATAGCTCCGCCACGCTCGAGGTTTTGTCGGAAATAAAGTGAGGCGCGTAATGTAGGGCCGTTCGTCCGTCGTTGCTTCGAGCGTTCAAGCATTCGGTAAGGATCCCCGCTTGCTTTGCTACCCGGAGCAGATGCTTCATTGTTCCGGACGACACTGGTTTCTGCGCGGCGTAATGCACGGCGGTCATACCGCTGCTGTCTTTTGCTTTTAGTAGGCTTACTAGATCTGGCAGTCGTGTGGCGGCTCGGATAATCACAGACGCGATGTCATAGTTCTGCTGTATAGCATAGTGTAGAGCCGTTTGTCCGCTACCGCTGCGAGCGTCTAAGTATTCGATGAGGATTCCCACTTGCTCTGCCGCACCGAGAAGGTATTTCATGGCTTCAGGCGACACTGGTAGTTGCGCGGCGTAGTGAACGGCGGTCATGCCGCTGCTATCTCTTGCTTTGAGCAGACCTACAGCGTCCGGCGTCTGTGCGACAGTTTGGATGACCATGAGTGCAATATCCTGGTCATTCTGCCGCATAGAATTGTGTAGCGGTGTCCGGCCGCAGCTGTCGAGGACATCAATCGCAGCGCCGTTGCGTATCATGCTTTCCACCACTCTCGAGAAACCTCGGGAGATGGCTTCATGAAGCGGCGCTCTGTCGGCTACATCTTTCCCACACAAGAGGGTAGCTACGGTGTGAAAGCCACCTTCGGCCTGCCCGGCGCCGGATGCCGCGTTCTCAATAATGTTGAGCGCGACCTCCTGGCTCTCGAGCTTCAGGGCGCACAACATCTCTTCTCCTCCTCGAAGCGGCAGCGCGCCAGCCTCCAGCAATATCACCACAGTCTCGAAGTCGGACCAGACTCTATTGAGCCTGTCCACACGCGCGTCCATACGCCAGTTCATACGCCAGCACATTACAGTCCACGACTCCATCATTAGAGACGCGTTGAGGGCCGTCTTGAAGAAGCCGCCCGTGATGTTCGGATCTGCTCCGGCATCGATTAACCTCTGCACGACCCAGGGGAAGCCTCCTGCAGCAGCGGCCTGGAGCGCAGTGCCGAAATACCCGCCCGTCATGTTGGGGTCCCGACCCTCTTTCAGAAGAACTTCGACAATCTCCTCATGGCCCTCGAATGCGGCGGCCTGCAACGCCGTGCTGAACAGGTGCGCCCGGTGGACAGGTCCGGCCGGCGGTTTCAACAGGCGGTCATATAAGGACGCTGCATCCAGTGCTTCGCCGGAAGATTTGAGGGATTGTGTGGCAATATGTTCATGTGAGCTTCCGCCGGACTGACAAGGGAAGATGTCCGGCATCCAAGCAGACAACCGGCCCAAAAATGATGGCGTATTGGTCGGCGAAAGCGGTAGTGATAGATCAGCGAGATTGCGGAGGCCACGGCAGCGGCGCAACAGCACTTGCGCGACGGAGGTGTTGCCCCAGAGGGCTGCGTCGAAGATTGCAGACTCGATGGATGGCTGTGCGCTGTGCGTGAGGAAGCCGTGGTCAAGGAAGGCCTGGACTAGCTGCGACGAGCCTGTCCGAACCACCTGCCGCAATGCTCCCTCGAACCACATGGTGCTAGTGGAGCGCTGTTTCGCCTTTTCTACTAGCGCTTCGACGACGCCCACGCAGCCATTCGCGCAGCCAACGTCGAGCGCCGTCCCTTGGGGGCCACCAACCTCATCAACAGCGAAACCGGCTTCAATAAGCATCCTCACAACATCCTCACGGCCAACCTCAGCAGCGGCGTACAAAGGACTGATAGATTGGTGAATCCCAAGGAAGGTAGTCCAGAATCCCAAAGGAGGATTGAAGGTCTTTGCCTCACAGACACGGTATGATTCGCGCTCAAGGCAAATCTGCAGGTAATATTTCAACCCATAGCGTGCAGCAGTGTACAGGGCAGATTGCTTGACAATCTCCATCGAAGCGTGCCAGTTTACTCCTTTCAGATAAAACTCCCGTGCCGTTTCAGTGGATTCGTGACACAACCAGGTGCGGAATGCATCTCCACTCCGGTAAAAAGCTATGACTGCATTAACAGTCTCTTCTTCCGTACCAGCTGCACTCGCATGTTCGAAGAGATAGCGCGTGGCGTAGTTAGCTAGCGGAAATCTGTTGCCCAAGTCCTGGCCGTATGGATCAGCGTCCGGCATGGACAGGAAGTGAATGTACTGCAGACAGGTCTTGAAAATGGCCTTGTTAGCCTCAAGCTGTCCAAAAATGTCGACTTGCCCCTTCCACAGCGTGCGGTTGAATAAAAGATAATCCCTGACGCTCGAATGTGCGAGGACAATCTCGGTCCACTTAGTAACTCTATTTTCGGAATGCGGTCCGCGCAGAGTGATAAGGCTTGAGCAGTACCGTGTGACTTCGCAAGGATATTTGATCCTCTTGGAGACATTGAATCCCGAGCACTGCACGGATAAAAACTCGTTCGCTTCTAGGACACAGATTGGCCGTTTGCAGAATAGCAGAATCTGTAAAAGCCTATAAGCGGCGTTCTTCCTCGGTTTTGGTATGCGGTCTAGTATCCGATCGTATGTGTCGGTGAGGTCCTTTGGGAGTGTTCTCAACACCTCGTCAATCTCATCATCTCCAAATGACTCGGTTTGCGGGTGATCCAAGAGCTGATCGAGTTGGCACACGACCCACTGGAACCTATTTCCCCATTAGCCTCCAGCCTGACGGGCCTTAGTAGTAGACTTGGGCCCTTACATGCCGTTCGCCCGTCTGAGCAGAACATCTTGAATCTTGCGCAACGACTCTTCGGACCACCTCTGGCCTTTGTTGAGCTGGTATCCTGTGATACGCGCCAACACATACTTCTCGATGTCGAAACCCGCGCTCATTTCGACAAATTTGAGAGACTCGCACTTTCGGTAAAGCTGTTCCTCAATGTCTCTTTCCCTGCGGCTGGTGACAAGAAAGCTAAACCGAGTAGGATGCAGCTTTAACGTTTTCGTGATCCAGCCGCATACTGTCTCTCTCTGCCTGTCTTCCATTTCATCTAGTGCGTCAATCACAATCTTAATGTCACAGTGCAGTCTTGTCATCTGAAAGAGTAGTTCCCCCAACTCGCTCTCACATAGTTCGCCCTGGAAGGCTCTAAGGCGCTTGTACAAGTCCTCTAACATGTAGTCGTGCGTTTTCGACAGCTGAATCAGAAAGCTGCGCAACATGCAGCCCAATGGTCGCATGTTCTCACCCTTCTTCGATTCCTGAATGTCGAAATAGTAGTGTAAAACCACCTTCGACGCATTTTTCGCCGCCAGATTGCTTTGCAGGTAGTTGATCACGCTTGCGCTGAGGACCGTTTTGCCGCTTCCCGGCATCCCATACACCCAAAGGAGCGAGCCGAGACTGTTACCCCATTGCTGAAACTCGCTGCTGTCGAGGAACCATTGTCCAGCTTCTTTTATATCAAGGTTGACGCTTTGAAGGGTACTCTGGATCTCTGCGCCTTTCGAGTAGGTATTGGTCGTTTTGAGAGTGCGCTCGATTTCGTTCTTCATCGTATGGTATGCGATAATATTCACTTCAAATCATTTAACGATATCCACAAAGAACTGGCAATAAACTCGAAAGCAGAACGACTTATAGAGATGTGAGCTCACCTCTATCTTTCATCCAATCCTTAGCTATCACCGCCTTCTCCACCGCATCACGAGCCATATTGCGAAGCAACTCCTTCGCGAATGCAGCCGCAACGAGAGCAGCGTAGTTGTGCCAAACGTCATTCTTATGAGAGTCCGAATAGTCACAAATGCCTCTGATGACCAAGCAGGGGAAGTTGTTCATGACGCCAGCCGCCTCCATCTCGTAGCAAAGGCACTTCGAGGCGGAAGGATGGTGCTTGATTAGGTTTTCCCTGTCTTCTGCATCCTTGACCACGACATTACCGGATGCAATCGTTCCGTAGTGGACCTCGGGATCAGAACTCTTCCGCGGCTTTCGCTGGACCTCATGTTGCGCAGAGCAGTCCTCGCAGTCCAGGTCTCCTTTCGGATGAGCACAGGAGGGATAGAAGAGGCGGTCTTTTTTCTGGCCGGGATGCTTATACCCGCGCTCGTTGACCATGTAGTCGTTCGTCTTTTCCAGGTCGGCTATGATGTTCGGCACGTCAGACGGGCTTTGTTCATGCTTGGCCTGTAGGGCTGCCAGTCCATACAGGAGTGCAGGCGGCGGGCGGTTCAGGGAACCTTTCACTTGCGGCCCGTCCTTGGTGGCTTTGTAGTGGTCATACTGGATGACGCCCCCGCTGTTCCCGTCCGGCTGGCTGACCACGACGTCGCCGAGCCGGACGTCGGGATCATCAGGTCTCAGTAGTTGCTGGCAGAAAACGCCGCCCCCCTCGCGCTTATCGAAACGCGGGATCGCGCCACCGATCCCGACCAGGAGGCCGAAGCGGATGCCGGAGAAGGACGCCAGCATGCGCGTCGCGGCCTGCGCAGCGGCTGCTAGTCCGTCTGTTCCCGCCTCTAGCGAGGCAAGGACGACGTTGTGGTCGCCTATCTTTCCCCACGAGTAAACGAGGTGGTCGTCCGGAGCTTGATGGAAGTCTTTGGGAGGGCCGTGGACCTCGTCGCGGAGGGCTTCGGCAGCAGCGCGCTCACAGGGGAGCGGCGCAAACCATCCTACGGTGTACGACCGGATGCTGTATTGAATTCCATGGCAAGGCGGTGGAAGGGTCATGGCCGTGAAAGGCGGAGTGTTAGGCAAAGATGATTATTTGGGAAAGAGCTGAAGGCTTGGGACCAGGGTTCGTAATTGAACCCGCTTGCAAGCAGCCCCGTTTCCGCTTGGCTTGATGATATGCTTGACAAGCGCTTAGAAGTATACATATATGAGTAAAAAACTGTTGCAAGGAAAGGACGAACGCCTGTCTTCAAGTCTGTGTTGTTGGAGTGGGGCAGTACCCACCGCCATTCGAGCCAGTAAGAAGGCCCGGAGCGGCGGTGACGTGGTTGGTGTGCTTGCTGCAAGCGTAGCTATGGAATAATTAGTGCTGATGGTGAAATTTCGTAGTAGAAGGAAGAAGGGTTAATTAGAAGTCTTAACAGACAGCAACCTAGTAACGCAATGCTAAAAGAATAAAATGAGTGCGGGGTAGAGTTCGTGCTGCATAATACCTACCGCTTAAAGTAGTGTTTAACTGTTATAGTATAAGAGAAACAGTAAAATTAGCATAGATGTAGTTATGTAGCGACAAACTAAAGCGCAAACCATGCTTGAAAACAACCAGCCTAAAAAAATCATTAGGGGATCATGCCATCATGGATGGAAGAAAGAAAGAAAGAAAAAAAAAGATGATGATGAGGACGAGACTCGAACTCGCGCGGGTTGCCCCACCAGGAAACTTGTTAAGCTAACACCTTAACCTGGCGCCATAACCAACTCGGCCACCTCACCAATTGATAGGCAATCTTGAAGTGAATTTGGAGATTCACTGCGCGATGAAGAAAACCATAGACCAGTAGTGTATATGTAGCTAGCAACCAGTTGACTACCTGTTCGCACGATGTTGACTACCAGTGCACGGACTGTCCGCCTGCCTGAAGGTCACTTCCCACTTACTTTCGTTATCGTGGGATGAGAAGACTTCTGCACTTTTTTCTGGCAAGTAATATTGAAATCAAACGCGATGGTCTTGTTTCGCTCGGCTTTACACTCATCCAACAGCTAATGTGTTGAACTGCTCTCGGTCTATTCAGAAACTCTGTAAGGATATATAGGTATATTCTTTACACCGTCCCACTCCTTCGCAATGCGCTTCATATTATCAAATACAAAGGCAAACAAGCCCATGCCAACAAAACGTACAAATATACAAAAGAAAAGTGAGTCAACGCCACACACAGCCTCCAGTCCGCATCCCAATTCCCAATGTTTACTTACCAATGCAGGGAAGAAAAAGTCCTCACCAGAAGGAAATAACCTCTTCCTCACCAATCCAACCCCCCACCACCACCACAACCACCCTCTCCGCCCACCGCAACCTGCCTCACCTTCACCACCTCTCCCTTCACGCCATTCTCAAGATGGTGACTGGCAACACCATTCTCCCCACCACCACCACCAACCTTCCTCCCCCGCAACCCCTTCGCCGCCACCGCCGCCGCCGCCCGCAGCTCCACCCGCCCAATCCTCCGATCCAGCGTCTCAAACGGATCCTCCCCCGCCTCTCCCTTCCTAACCTTCCACCTCTCCGTCCCAAGCAGCGCATCCAGCTCCTCCACCGGCGGCAGCCTAACATACACCCACCCATCCGCCCTCTCCTCGACCTCAAACGTCTTGATACTAACCTCCGCATCATTCCCACACGACCCCGGTTTCTCGCCGTCGAGCTCGTAATTCCGCTTATGATACGGACAGCTGACCCACAACCGCTTCGACGCCGGGTCGTCGCCAACCAGCCCGTCCGCGAGGACGAAAGCGCGCTTATGCGGACACATCTGCTGGGTGCAGTAGAAGCGACCTTTCGCCTTGAAGATGGCAAGCTGCGTATCGCCGCGCTTAACAGCGACCGAATCCGCCGTCGGCAGATCGCGGAACCGCGACGCCTCGACGAGGGGCTGCCACGCCAGCGGGCCGGACCACTGATGGCCACGGAAGTCGACCTTCGCGCTGTCCTTGGGCCAGTAGGCGGGGCGCTCCTGCTCGCGCTCGACGACTGGCTCGACGGCCGGAGCGACGGTCTCGTCCGTGTTGGCGAACTGGGCGAACAGGGCGCGGCGGGCCGGGTTGGCGACGACCTCGGTCCACTCGCAGAAGAAGGACGCGACGAGGTCGGCCATCTGGCGCTCGAGGTCGGCCGCGATGCCGAGCTTGTCTTCGAGCACGACCTGGCGCAGGTACGCGATGCCGCCGGGCAGCCCCTCGATCCAGCGGGCGGTGCGCTGCAGCTTGTCCGCGGTACGAATGTAAAACGCGAGGTAGCGATCCAGAATCGGCACGACGTCGTCGGGCGGCACGTCCTTGGCCAGCAGCTCCGCGTGCCGCGGCTTCGCGCCGCCGTTGCCGCCGACGAAGATGTTGAAGCCCTTCTCCGTCGCGATGAGGCCGAAATCCTTGCTCTGCGCCTCGGCGCACTCGCGCACGCAGCCCGACACGCCGCCCTTGATCTTGTGGGGCCCGCGGATGCTCTTGTAGCGCTCTTCCAGGCGGACCGCCATGCCGACGCTGTCGCCGATGCCGAAGCGGCACCACGTCGAGCCGACGCAGCTCTTGACGGTGCGGAGGGACTTGGCGTACGCGTGGCCGCTCTCCATACCGCCCGCGATGAGCTCCTCCCATATGGGCAGCAGGTCCTGCTTCCTGGCGCCGAACAGGTCGATGCGCTGGCCCCCCGTGATCTTGCAGTACAGGTTGTACTTCTTCGCGACGGCGCCGATGACGAGCAGCTTGTCGGCCGTGATCTCGCCGCCCGAGACGCGCGGCACGACCGAGAAGGTGCCGTTGCGCTGGATGTTGGCCAGGAACTTGTCGTTGGTGTCCTGCAGCCCGCGGCGCGGCGCGTCGACGATGTGCTTGTTGAAGAGCGAGGCGAGGATGGAGCCGATGGTCGGCTTGCACGCCTCGCAGCCCACCGAGTGGGGATCTTTGCCGCACGCCTGCATGACCTGCTCGAACGACTCGAGTTTCTTGACGTGGATGATGTTGAACAGATCCGCGCGCGAGTATTCGAAGTGCGGGCAGAGGTGGTTCTTGACCTCCTGGCCCATCGAAGCCATGGTCTTGTTGAAGATGGTCTGGACGAGCGGCATGCAGCCGCCGCACCCCGTGCCCGCCTTGGTGCACGACTTGACGTCGCCGATGCTCTTGCACGTGCCGTCTTTGACGTTCTTGACGACATCGCCTTTGGTGACGTTGTGGCAGGAGCAGATCTGAGTGTCGTCGTCGCTTGTCTTTCGTTAGCTTGAGCGTGACCAGACACTGGCACGGAGTCACTTACAGATCATCACCACCCTCGTCATCGCCCTTCTTGGCCCCAACGATCAATTCGCTGGGCGGGATTTCGAGAGGCTTCTGGTTCTTCACCATCGGGACCAGCTTCACGTAGTCCTTCGTATCGCCGATCATCATTCCTCCCAGGAGATACTTGCCATCCAGCGTGAACAAGTACTTCTTGTACACCTGCTGGAACGGGTCCTTGTACGTGAGGGCCTTGACTTGCGGCGGTGCCGGACCCTCCTCGTTAAGCGTCTTGACCCGGTCCTCCTCCTTCTTCGCACGACGAACAACGGCCGCCGGCAGCTCCTTCGGCCCATCACGGTCAGCGAAGAAATCGCCAAAGCTCGCGACCTCGACGCCGAGCAGCTTGAGTTTAGTGCTCAAGTCGGGCCGCTTGAACTTGCGCACCGAGTGCGCCTTGGCTTGGGTGAGGTTGAAGGCGAGCACGTCAGCCATCTCGACGCCCGGCGCGATGAGGCCGAACGTCTGCTTCTCCCAGCTGGCGCACTCGCCGATGGCGTATACGTCCGGCGCCGACGTCTGCAGGTCGTCCGCCACGACGATGCCGCCGCCGCCCCTGTCGGCGCACTTGATGCCCGCCTGCCGCGCCAGCTCGTCGCGGGCCTTGATGCCGATCTGTTTTCCGTGTCAGCAACTGAAAGCATCCCTTCCTCTTTTCGCCTCCTTACCGCAAAGCACAAACACGAGCACTCCATCTCCTCCCCATCCTCAAACCTAACCCCCCTAACCGCATTCTCCCCATCGACGAGAATCCTCCCCACCCGCCTACCCAGCAGCACGTCCAGCCCAAGCCCGCGCACCTGCTCGACGACCATCGCCCCGGCATCAGCGTCCAGCTGCCGCGACAGCACCCAGCGGTTGCGCTCAATCAAACCAACCCGGCCGAAATCCTCGAGGTCCATCATGGCCTTGGCCGCCTCCAGCCCGAGCAATCCGCCGCCCACGACGGCGCCCGTCGTGCCCTTCTTCGTGCTCGCGTACTTGATCAGCTGCTGCAGGTCGTCGATGGTGCGGTACACGAAGACGCCCGTGGCGTCGTGGCCCGGCGTGTGGCGTGGTAAGAGTGCGTCCGAGCCCGTGGCTAGCACGAGGATGTCGTAGGTGATGCGGTCGCCCGAGGCGGTCGTGACGAGTTTTGAGTCTGGTGAGATCGAGGTGACTTTGGTGTTGATGTGGTGGGTGAGCGCGCCTGCGGGCATGCTCGAGTACTGGGAGGTAAATTAGCATGTGTGTGTTTTGGTGTGAGAGACAAGGGGGAGGGGGGAGGAAAAGGGCGCCGTCCAAACTCACCCATTCTTTTGGATTTAGGTACAAGTTCTCCACTTGCCTGTGCTGGAAAAAGCTCGTCAAGCCCACGCGGTTGTACGCCAGGTGCGGCTCCTCGCCGATGACCACGATGTCGTACTCGCGGCGTTTTACATCGTACTTTAAGAGCTTTTCTCTGTTTTTTTTTGTCAGTCATGCAGAAAAAAATCGACGTAGTGACAGATGCACATCGGGGAATATGGAAATGAACACTTACACAAACGCAATACCAACCATACCCAATCCCACGACCACCACTCTTTTCCTCTGCTCATGGCCATTTGGAAGGCCGTTCGCCTGCTTCAGCTCCTCTACCGTCTCCGGCAGCCTGTTGGCCTCTGGATCGTTCCACTCGCTGTTGCTCATTTTTAGGCGGGGATGGCGACCCTTTTGCAGAAAATCGGGATTGTGCCGGCGTTCTAAATCTTGTTCGTTTCTCCTAGCTCTTACTAAAAATTGATAGGTGTGCGATCAACGTCGTAGGGTCGATTTTCCGGACCGGCTTAGTAGAGGCGGCGGGGTTGACGAGTAAGCTCCGGGATTGTCACAAAAGCTCTACCTTACGCGATATGCGTTGCCGTGTTTACGTGAATGTAGAGTAGGAAAGCGGAGCAAGATTATTGACACCAAGTAAAGACCCTACCCCCCGAGACGAGAGAAGCGAAAAATGCTGAGAGTATGGAGGGAGAGATAAAGGGCCGCGATGCGCTTAAGCAAGCGTGTCAAAGAGCGCCTAGCCGGAGAACAGAGCCCTGCGAGGCGAAGATAGAGGCGCAAGCCAGAAAGCGGGAAGATAGCCAACAGGACCAAAACACTCTCCGACGGCGAAAGGGTTGATAATAAAAAGTAACAAGCAAAGGCTAAAAGCGCACAACAACGCCACACCTACTGCTCATGTGTCCAATCCGCGCATACCGTTTTGTCAACGAAAAGTACCGGACTGGGGCGTGCGTCACACAGAGGGCGGGCGAAACCTGGGTACCCGCACGCACCAGCGCGCCCTTTCTCCGCGCAAGTTCTGCGGAGGAAGCGTTGCATGCGAAAGTGCAGCTTTCCTTGCCCTCCCCCCCGTCAACCATACCCGCGGGTCGTCCGGCGTGACGTGACATGGCATGCCCTTCGTTGCCCGTCCGCTCCGACCAGGCACACGCCAAGCATTCTGTTGCGCGTGGGGAAACGAAGCGGGCGCGAGGGAGATAAGGAAAAGCTGTCAGCAAAAAGAGTTGAGGGCAGAGAAAGACGAATTGACGTCGAGGTTCCTCGGAGATGTTATTTCTTGCGGCCCGCCGTTGGTCGCAGATAAGAACACCACGCTAAGCCGCGCGCGGTAAGGCTCCATTGTTGCGTTCGTCTTTGCATGCCCACGATCTTCCTTCTTATCGCGGAAGGAAGATTTGCGACGTGTGCGCTGCCCCCTGGTCCAGGTTCAAGCGAAAAATGCTCGGAGAAAAACTCCGAGGAAATGCTCTCGACGAACAACGGGTGGTGGCCTTGACGTCGCGAGATACCCAACAACACACACAGCCTGGACGCCCTGTTATCTGGTGAGATGCCTACCAGTACCTCCGAGGAGCTCGACAAATTGCGGCCGCGTTCGCCGTTTGGGAAAAGTCAGGTCTTTGTTTCGGCTTGCCGTTGGCCTTTGCTCGCTACGGTGCCCGTGTTTTGCCAGTAGCTTCAAACGTAGTAGTCCACGTTGGAACAGCAGGGCGAATGGCCACGAGGGAAGTTGTGCTAGTACAATCTATTCTTCGGGGTTGCAATGCAAGGAGGAGAAACGATGTGAAGGTTGCCATTCCAATTCCAACTGCAATCCTGTGTTCCAATGTGGAACTTGATTAGTATCATAGCGGAAGACTAGCGTGAAGAACAGCAGGGCCTTTGAATATGACTGGAGAAATGGTACTTATTAATCTTCGTGGAAAACAAACACTCGACTTATATGCTGTGAAAGCTATTGTCCATAAAGGTCTATATTTCAATTTGACATTTGAACCTAGAAAATTGCTTCAACCGCCCATAATACGGGCTTAAACATGCGCCTGACATATCCACGCTAGCTCTCAGCTACAATGCTCTTCTGCACAGGCAAAGAAAAGTAGAAAACAAAGGGAGATAGAGGGAAAAGATATCTTCCCACCATCCAAACCCCATGGCCCCCGTCCCCCCCAAACGCCAAACGCTCTTCCCGCTCCCCATACAAAAATCCTCGTTCACGAAACGAACCCAGAACCAAAACCAAAACCCTTCCCGCTCAAAAAAACAACAAATCCTCATCCCTCCACCCAATCTCATTCAACGCCCTATGTGCGCTCTTCTCCAACGCCTCAGGCCCACACAACAACACCAAACTATCCCCCATCCCCTCCTCCCCCTGCCCCACCGGCGCGGGCGCAGGCGCATACTCCTCCAACAACGGCCCCGCAATCCTGCCCCTCCTCCCTACCCATTCCTCTGGCGCCTGCGTCAACGTATACACAAGCCTACACTTCTCCTCGCTCCCGCTCATCGCCGCAAAGGCGTCGAGGTCCGCCTTGCACAGTATATCCTCAACCAACCTATTCCCATCCAGCACCGTGCAGCGCGTGCGGTCGTCCTTGTCCAGCATGACGGCCCGCAGCACCTGGAAGATAGGCGTGACACCGCTGCCGCCACAAACCATGACGAAGCGCTTGACGCGGCGCTCGACGCCATTCACGCTGCACCGCCCACGCCCCAGGTACTCGAATTTGCCGACGGGGCCCTTGGCGTCGACGGGGTGGCCGAGCGGCAGCGCGTCGAGGGCCGTCGTCATCTTGCCGCCTTTGCGCTCTTTCGTATCTAGATACAGCTTGACGAGGACGTCGACGGTGCCGCGCTGCGACGTCTGCGAGATGGGCGTGTAGGCGCGGATGATGGCCTCGCGGGTGACCGGATCGCGTAGCCGCAGCATGAGGTGCTGGCCCGTGGGCAGGCCAAGGAGTTGGTTGGGGTGCTCGAGCTGGAAGGTGAAGATGCGCGTGTCCCAGGACACCGTCTTCTTGCTGTGCAGGGTCGCCCGGGTCCACGCGCGGGGGTCGAGGAAGACGGGGCGAGGTTCGGTTGGCGCCTCTGAGGGGGCCTCGCCGTCGCTGAGGATGCGTTTGGCTGCGTCGTCTAGGGTTCCGATGTGGTAGTGTGGCATCATGGCCTTGGCCGTCTCGCTGTCTGTTTGCTTTTGTCAGAAAACCGTTTGCATGTACATACTTCCCGAAGACGAGGGGGGGAAACTGACGTATAGCCATGAACTCATCCGTAGCATCCAACGCAGCCGCCGACACGATGCTCTGCGCGCCGCCCGGATGCCCCTGAAGAAAGCCGGTGCCGTCGTACACTTCGCCGTTGACCACGAACCACGGCTCCGTCTCCGAGTCATGCTTGCGGAACTCGTCGATCGAGATCAACCTCTCGATCTTGTCGTTCGTCATCTTGATTTCGGTGACTTTTTCCACAACTGGCGCCTCCGTCTCCTCTCCACCCCCGATCCTCTCGCCCCAGAACCCATTCGACAGGTCGCCACCCGCCTTCTTCACGCGCTCCATCCAACCCCCCGGCATCAGCGCCGGCTGCGTCGGATGCTCGAAGCGCAGCACATCATCATTCTCACGATGCACGACGATGCGGTACCACGGGTTATTCATCATGCCCAGCACGGACCAGTACATGTCTCTGGGCTGCACATTCATGCTCTCGTCCATGGCGCGCACGACAACATCACCCGCCAGCTTGAGCTCGTCGACCGCGACGTCAATGTCCCAGAAGCACCAGCAGAAGCAGCTCTCGCGCCAATCGACGTCGAGGCGGCCGCCGAACAGGTCCTGCGGGAGGGCCTCGCGGTAGCGGTCTTCGGCGTAGTTGATGTTGGCCAGCCGCCACGTCTTGCCCTGGTCGAGCGAGACCTCGACGCGGGTGACGCGGCGGCCGCCGCCGGCGTAGGCGTAGCCCCTGACGCTGTAGTTCTCCGAGCCACCACTCGCTGTGACGGACAGCCGCTCGTCGTGGGCGGGGTAGGCGACGGCCGAGTTGGTGCTGAGGTCGTAGATAGCATAACGCTCGTCCTTCCACCAATTCGGATCGTTCGCGGCGTCGTCCGGCGACACCATGGTCGGCAGGACGCGGTTGTCGTAGATGTGGTACCAGTTGTCGCTGGGCGCATCCGTGACGATCAACTTCTTCAGCCACTTGACGCTCCTGCCGCCAATCTGGCCGGGGATGACGCAGCGGAGCGGCCTGCCGTGGTCGGGGGAGAGCGGGTCGCCGTTCATCTTGTGGGCCAGCAGCATGCCGCGGTTGGGGTCGAGGGCCCAGTTGAGCTTGACCGAGGTGCCGTAGTAGCCGTTGGGCAGCCTGTCGGCGCCCTCCATGCACACGTACTTGGCTTTCCGCAGCGGCCGTGCTCTTCTCAGGACGTCGCCCATGACGACGCCCGTCCACAGCGCCGTCGACACGCCCGCCGCGCCCCAGGAGAAGCCCTGCGTCTTGCGCACCACGTTCTGCTCCTTGCGCCTGTTGCCGGCGCAGACGAGCGTGATGGGGTAGGTGACGTTGTCGTAGTCGGAGAGGAGCTCCTTCAGCGTGATCCGCAGCGGCTTCTCCACCAGGCCTTCGACGGTGAACTCCCAGTCCGGGATCTCTTCATCTCTGACCTCGGGCACCGCCCCATGGTTTCTGACATAGAAAAGCTCCGGGCTGGTCAAGAATCCCTCGTTGTACAAATCGGACAGGGGGGCTTCGACGTTGAACGGATGCACGCCGGTCAGCCGTATTAATCTTGGGTCGCGCGGGACGTGTGCATCCGGTGTTTTCTTGTCCGCCTCGAGAACTTGAACAGGTTTTCTCGGCGGCGGCAAAGGGAATTCCACGAGGGCTGGTGTTGAGCTCTCGCCATAGATGGTCTCCGGGGGCGAGGGTGGTAAATGTACGCTAACAAGGTTTTTTTGCGGAGGTTCCACGGCCATCATGCACGCTTTTCGCTGGTTGGAACAATCACAAAACTCGAGAGACGGACAATTGGAAAAACACCGAGAAGCAACGAGAGGTCGTGAAACTCGGAGCGCGCAGAGACAATGGATTTTGTCATCAGGTTGATGGGCCGGAGAATTTGCGAAGAGGCAACGAACATAGTGCCACGGGTGAGGCCCCTGCTCCAGCGGCGAGTGGCATGAGAATCACGTACGTCACACGCTTGACACCACGGCCAAGGGCAGTGTAAGTTCCGGGGAGAAAGCAGACGGAGATGGTGAGGCCCGCGGAAGTAGTGGGTGAAGAAAGGCAGAGTGCGCTAATCAGGCCTTGCTCTTGTGTGCGAGCTCTTATCTCTGCGCTCAGCGACTAATCGCCGGGCGCCTTATCACCCTTGGTCAGCCCTGCGAATCGGCTCTTTTTCTTGCGCGCACGACATATTGTGTCCATTTCGATCTCCATCTCGCAGCTCTGACAGCTGGACTCGCTGCAATGCATTCCGTCCTCAACGGCCTTCGCCCGGCATGTCGTTTTCCACCCGTTAATCTCCGAGATTGTCGCGGTCAAAAGGAAAGCCGTTCGGCGAGTTGGCTAGCTCTGCGGAACAGGCGCTGGAAGACGGGGCGATGACGACGGTTCGGCGGGCTGTGCGGGTGGGCCAAGACAGCGTCGGCGGTGGTGGGCGAACTGGAGCTCAGGTCGCTGACATTAGCTTGCGCGGTGCTCACGATAGAGTTTCATGCGGCTTCGTCGTGGGGTCGCAAAGCTGTTGGTGTAGGGCGTTGAGTGGTTCGCGACCGAGGGGTTGGAAATGCTGATTGGTAAGTCACGCTGCTGACAGCTTTTCCCACGCACCCGGTCCCGGCCTTTGTCCTCCCACATCTCGAACCTGCAACAGATTCCGTCTGGGGAAAAACGTATACAAGTCGTGCAATCAGAGAGATGCATCCCCCCCCGACAAGCCCGCTCCATCCGCCAGCAAGGCCGATGAAGTCGAAGGGTCGCCGTATGGGGCAAGCCTCACCGACAAGTCGCTGCGCACATCACGAGAGGCGACGCGTCGTCACTCCCCCAACACCAAACGCTCACCGCAAAAGAATAAGAGCTTCTCGAAGTACCCGAAAATAGACACAGAACATTGCCAATATTTGTCCCTACGTTTGACTCTCGACTTAGCGCCCCGGCGGCCAGCCCGATGCGGCAAATTCCAGTATTGCCAAGCCCCACGTCCGTCCTTCATGCGGCAAGCCATCGTCAACACCATCATCGAGAATCCAACTAACGCGCGCTTTGTGGGTGGCTAACGGCGGCGTAGTCGCGGTGCCTCAAGCGTGGCGGCCGCGTTGTGGGCCGCCCATCCCTGACCCGAAGCCCCCCGGCCTCGGGTACATGCGACCACCTAATAGTCTGCTCCCCAACCGAGTCTATTGCTTTCCCTTTTCTGTTGAATCTCGCCAACGCCTATAGACACGCCTCGTATAGCTGACTAAGTCCCAGAGTATCTGACTACGCTTCTACGCATGTTTTGAAATTCGAACAAACACCGGAACCCACACAAGTGCAACGTCATGGAAGTTTCGGGAAAGTCAAGATCCTTTGTCACCCGCAGTGACGCTGATTGCATTGCTCCTGGGCTTATCTAACTCTGAAAGCAATCCATCCCAGTTCCAGAGCTACCCGCAGATATCCGTGAAATCCTTTTTGAAGAGACCGCATTCTCCAACGAAGCTGGTCGTCTCGTATCCGTATCGTCTTTTCCACGCCTTTCGCCGAGGCTCCAAAGAAGAAGGATGCACCATGTGCAAGTGAAAAGAGAAGCAAAACCACGTGCATGTGAGAAGAGAAGCGAAGGACGCCCTCACTCAGCGACATCCTCGAAGGGGTTGACGGGAGTCTGCGCCTTAGCAACCTCCATCTTCTGGAGCTGCTTCTGCAGCACGGTGATCGAGAACTTCTCCGCGCTGCCGAGCTCCTGCATGCGCTGGGCGATCTGCTCCCACTTCTCCTGCTCCTGCTTCTGCTCGACATACGCCTTGGCCTCGATCAAATTCTGCTGGTCCGCCTCGCTCATCGTCGTGATGTTGGCGCGGAGGCGGGCGTAGCGGTTGGGCAGCGTCGACTTGGCCGGCGCCGTGCCCGTGACGGCCGCCCACGCTTCGCCAATCTCCTTCCACGACTTGCCCTGGTCCTTCATGCTGAGCAGGAGGCGGTCTTCGGCCGAGAGCTCGTCCTTGCTGGTGGCGATGGCGCGTCCGGAGTTCTGGGAGCCCCGTGTCAGAAGAATATCTCGTGAAGTGAAGGAAGATCTCGTCTTTTCCCGACGTTTTGCGACACTTACCGGAGTCTTGGTCGGAGCCTTGCGCTGACGGGCAGGCGTGTTGCCCTTGGGAGACGCCCTTCCCTTCGTCTTCTTCACCGGTGACTCGTCTCCGGCAGTCTCGGGGGCAGAACGCTTGGGAGTCTTGGGCGTGGCAGGAACCGGCGTTTCGAAAGGATTGCTTTCGGGAGTTTTCTGGCCATCGACTTCTTCAAGTTTGACCTCGGCATCGAGAGAAGCTTCGTTCTTGATGACACCCGTCTGTTAAATAAGTGGCAATCGGATTGAGTCTGGGGAGTCGATCGATATAACTTACCTTGTCGTCGGCATCCATGTCAGCGGGAACGTCGCTCAGGGGGGAGCTGCGGGCCGACATGATCTTGAAGTGGTTTGGGAAGATCTGGTGTCGGCTGGAGGAGAAGTTTGTGGGAGTAGTGGAAAGGTGAAGGAGGCATTGGAGAGTAAGATATTTACGTGCGAATGGAGATCCAGGGTCCAGTTTCCCGCACGTGCTGCGAGATCTTCACGCGTTTCCCAGTCGATGGTGATTGAAAGAAGCAGGTGCGCAGGTGCGTGGCTCACCTTCAATCCATTCTCCACTTCTTCATCACGGGCAGAACCTCTGGAAGCCCCGACGCGCGGATGAAAGCATCGCCATGAAGATCCACGAGACCAGCAGAGATATTCACCAACAGACCGTGATATCTTCTCGCGCAGTGATATCACCGAATTCGGCAGCAGCGCGCTCTCCTGACCACCAACCCGATTAACCGCACGTGGTCAGATCAGGTTTAGCGTCGTTGTCCTGGTAGGTGATCTGGGTGATCGAAGTGATCCAGCACCACCCTGGAATGCTTAAATTCCGCCCTCCTTCTATCTTCTACTTTCTTTCTCTTCAGCCCACTCTCTTTGCCTTTTGGCTTGGATCGAGTTCGTAACAAAAGCATGAAGAAAGCGACGGCCACGCGAACAGTTCATGCTGAGGTTTCTCAAAGCAAACTCGACAGAGTTACACTGAGTTTTCTGCCTCGGGTGAGCGATGAGGAAATTTTCCGAACTCCCTTCGTTGAACGACTGGACTTGCTCCGATCTTCGAGGAAGGGAAAGTTGAAGAGCTGGCTTGAATCATACGTCGGATACACGAACAGAAGTATCACGGACCTATCGAGATGTCAGAAAAGCATCAACAACGCCGAATTTCTCATCTCCTGCGAGGAGGCACTCACATCGTGAAAGGCTAAAGTGAACCTCTTTTCGAGACCTGTAGCGCTGGTATCCTTGCTTCTCCACTCTCCATAAAGCAGTATCCAAGAAAATAGACTTGCATGTATCTGATTTTATGGCACGGCTGACCACAAACGAAACGGAGTCGTCTGCTGAGTTGGCCGATGGAAGGTAGAAAGGAGGGAGTTCTGTGCGAGACGATTGACGCAAAGTGAGAGTCACTTGAAGTACGGACACTGCAGGCGTGATCTACATTCTTCCATGGTCCGGTGGTGTTGTCCCGGACAAGCGCATGTGAAGTGGGGCCGGAATCTATGCGGTTTGCTCTCAATTTGAGACTGGACAGCTGCGTACGACTAGTGGAAGCCTCGCACGAAAACCTTCGCCTCATAGGATGGGTTGGAGTTGTCTTGCTTCCGCTGCACGTTTCCGCCACAATCCACGTCAACCCGCCTCACTCTACCCCGCACCCACTTTGTTGCTTCAGCCTTGCGTTACCAACTCACCATCTGTCAAGACTGCCATCACTCCCATCCAGCTCACTCTTGCAATCTAGTATGTCTGGCCGATTTGGAACCAAACTCTACACAAGACTGGGTTTTATGAGACGTAGAACGTCACTCATCGGCCTTCTTCCAAAGACTCTTCTCTATATTGTTCTGCCTAAAGCTAAACGACGATGTTTTTGCTTATTTCAAATCGGCAGAACTTCAGCCTTCCTGCGGGTTAGCGACAGTCTGACTGCCAAGATGGTCAGCAGCCCCCAAAGCCCTCCCACCGGTGACCCCGAAGCGGACGATCTTGCCGGTCATGGCGCCAGCGAGTACCCGGTGCTTGCGCGATCCTGCAGCTGATAGTCTGTCGGCAAGGATCCTTTCCAAAAAGCCACGGTTTTTGGCTTCCGTCTCTTCTTTTCTTTTGTCTCACCTGAATCACCTTCAACAACCAGCCTTGTGTGATAAACACTTTCTTCAGCAACCGCACGGCAGCAAAATGACCGTCGCTTGAAAGCTTCGCAGCTCCAATATATCTCAGGCCATACGCCTTGCCTGGAGAGCTCGTTACACGACGGCGCCTGGTCGCATTTCTCTCGTGCCACAGAGGAATCCGCAAGCAGCATCGGGGACAGCCTTTCAAGGTAGAATTTGAATCTGCCTGCCTGCCGCCCGCCAGAAGAGCTGGAATCTTCGTAGAAATAAAGGAGCCGATAACAATCGAGCATACCTCCTTGCCCAGCATCTCTCACACAACTCCCACCTTTCCCCCCCAACCCCCACCCACAAACCCCCCCACAAATCCCCCCCATAAACAAACAAAAAAACAATGGCCCACCGCCCCGAACTCACCCTCCACCACCCCCACCGCGACGTGACCGTCCTCTGCGGCACGCGCCGCGCCGCCATCTCCGCGCGCCTCATCCGCGCTTATCTTCCGGCGGCCCTCCTCCCCTCGTCCTCCGCCACCGTCCTCAACCGCCGCCACCAGCTGGACCTGGACGACTGGATCGCCGGCGGCGGTAGTGCCGCTGTGCGGCACGGTCTGCTGCGGCCGAGCAAGATGCAGCGCGTCTGCCAGGAGCTGGTCGACATCCTGGCCGACGCGAGCGATCATCATCACCATCATGACCATCACCACCACCATCCCGCGGGAGGAGTAGCAGCAGACCCCGTCCCAGCCGCCCTGACTGACGCCCTAGCTAGGGCCCAGCTCGAGGACCGGCGCAGTGGAGGTAGCAGCAGCCATCCAGGCGGCGGCGTGCGCCACCCACGCACCCTGGCCGCCTTCCTCGCGCTGGCCGACATCTCGCGCGCCTTCGGCTCGCGGCGCATCGGCGCGGTGCTGGCGTCCTTCTTCGCGCGGCATGGGGCGCGCATAGTCGGCGGCGGCGGGTCGCCCTCTTCGTCCTTCCCTCCTCCTCCCTTCTCCCCCTCGTCTTCGTCCTCGTCCTCCTCCACCACCTCCTTCTCCGAGGACTTCGACGGCTACGCAGACCCAACAAGCGAACACCCCCACGCCGTCCTCCTCTGGGCCTGGAGCCTGACCATCGCGCGCATGCCTGTGGCGGCCGACGCCATCGTGGACGATGATGATGACGTTGATGACGTCGAGTTCATCGCCGACCGCCGCGCCGCCTGCCTCCGCCAGCTGCTGCGCGCGCGGCCGGACGTGCTGCTGAGCGGGCGGTACGACGCGTTCGCGGCCGCGGCGCTGCCGGCGGGCGATGCGGAGGAGGTGTGGGAGGGGGTGGAGAGGGCTGCTGCTGCCATGGCGGCGATGGAGAGGGGGAGGGGTGTGGGGCCGCCGCCGGTGGGGGGATTGGGGGGTTGGTGGGGGTGGAGGGGAGGAGGGGCGGCGGATGGGCGGGGGAGGGGGAGGAGGATTAGGGAGAAAGAGAGGGAGAGGGAGAGGGAGAAGGATTTCGAGCGCCACAGGAGGGCGGCGCTGTTGTTGATGGATGATGCGGCAGCGGCTGGCGGCGGCGGCGGCGGGGGTGGCGGTGGTGGTGGAATGTACGTGCACGAACATCGTGAGCGGCGCGTCGTTAGGAGGTCGGCTGGTGGTGACGACGACGGCTTCGGTGACGACCTTGGCGGCGGCAGGCTGCCGTTGGGCCTGGAGACGACGTACCACCGCGGCCACCATCATCATCATCATCGCCAGCTTCTCGACCCCCTGGACGACGACCGGATCGCTTGGACGCCGCCGCCGCCGCCGCGTGGCTACGGCGTTGGCGTTCGCATTGGCGGAGGCGGAGGAGGAGCAGGAGGGAGGGGCCTGAGAGGCGCTCTGGATTCGATCAAGCACGACCAGCGGGAGCTGCGCATGGACGTGCACGACGTGAAGGACGAGTTGGACGAGCTGGCCGAGCAGATCAACAAGCTAGGGCGGCAGCGCCAGGACCGGGGAAGACTGCTGCTGCGGAAGGGCCGGGCAGCGGCGGCGGCGGATTGGCATGATGAGCGGGATCATGTCGTGCAGGACTGCTGCTGTGGTGGTGATGAGCATGAGACGGAATGGTTTTCGGAGTGGTGGGATGATACTTACTGAGCTCTCTCTCTCTCTTTTTCCTCTGCGGATGATGGAGTGGGATCTGCAGCATTTCTCTCTCCCAAAAGTCTGTCTGAGGAATCGGGCTCTGTTTTGTTTTCTGCTTAGGCCGCGTGGGATATGTGGTGGTGGTCAGCTTTGGTGTATCCCACTTGGCATTTTCCTCAAATCGGATTACGAATGAAATATATAAGGAATCACTTAAAAGGATCCTACACTCGTTTAGCCCAAGTCCATGCTTGATTGGTTTTGATGACCGGGCAATAGCTGTTGATACAGAGGGAAGCCCGAGAGAGAGATCCCAAACAGCTTCAAAGCACACAAGAAAGCCAAACCTTAAAAGCTCGTTGCCCTTGAACGCCTTAAACGCCACAGGGATATAAGACAACCCTCCTCACACGGAAGAGACAAACCACCAATGGGTTTTCCCCCACCACCCGAAGCCAGACCCCGAAAAACGCCGCGCTAATCGCAAGTGTGTCCAACAACAAGCGCAAGTCGACTCACGCCTACCCACCTACCCCATCCAAAACCCCCTCTGACACCTTTCTCCCCCGCCTCCCCTTCCAGCGGCAGCACACACACAATCCCCCCTCGCTTCACCTCAAAAACTTCAGCACCAGCCAGCAAAACGTAAAGAAGATAACCACCCCCGCCCAAAAAATCCACTTATCCTGCTTCGCGCGGCGCTCAACCATACGAATCGTATCACCACTAATACCAAGCGTGTTGGCGACGCTGTACAGCTTGCGCTGGGTGCCCTTGAGCATCTCGCGCTGGTCGCCCAGGTCGCCGAGCACCGCGCGGCCGCGCTCGAGGAACTCGTCCAGCTGCGCGTTCGTCTGCGACATGAACGACTGCTCGCGGAACGCGTGCGCCTCGCGCGTGTAGTCCGACGGCGCTGCGCCGAGGGCCGAAGGGCCGCTACCGCCGCCGCCGGTGCCGGGTCGAGGGGCCCAGGGCGAGTTTGCGGAGGTGGAGGCGGAGGCGTAGGGGTTTTCGGGGGTCGCGGCGTGGTGGGGGCGGCGGCCGAGGAGCTCGGCGCGGCTTTGGACTTGTTGCTGTGGAGATTGTTAGTTGTGTCCTCCGCGCGTGTGGATGTCGAGGGATGGACGGAAGAAGGAGCTCACCCGTTCGTCATTTTCGGATTTTAGCCGGTTGAATTGTTCGCGGTAATCGGTCAATTCGGCGCGGAAATTTTTGATGCGTTCGTAGGCCTTTTCTTGCTTTGCAGAGACCATTTCCTGCTTAGCCAGGCGGTTGTAATCGTCTATGGTGCGGTTGAAGGAAGTAAGGGAGGCGTTGATTTGCCCTGCGTGGCAGTATTAGCTCCTGGACGAGGCAAAGCGCGGGCTATCATGAGCTCACCAAGCAGGGCGGGTGAAAGGGTATTGCTCTCGGCGAAGGCATCGAGATCCTTGCGTATGGAGGTGGACTGCCGCAGTGCGGAGTTGAAGAGGGAGTTCTGCAGGCGTTGTGAGAAGCCAGAAAGCCAATGTGGAGACGGGACTGCGAACCATGTTTGCGCGAAATCACCAGGATGTTTGCGAAGAGCTTCTGGCGAGAAGGGTACAAGGGCTGGCCGATGGAGCTTTCGGCTACGTGTAGGTAGAGGCGCGGAGTTGAGGCGCATTCACGACGTGTGTTCTGCCGCCTGTCGCCGCCTTGGCGATCGGCGCTCCGTCTCCCAGCCCGCTGCCTCTCCGCTGCGCTAACTCTACACGCACGATCTACGAAGAACCCCACGCCATCATTCTCTGAAAAACACATGTTGAGCTCCACCGGCGCTCATCTCAATGTTTGATCTTCTAGGTTGATCGCATCGGCTGACTTGATTGGTCAGAATTCGACGAGCCTGCGTTTCTGACTGCTATCTACCTCTTGCCGCGGCGGTCACTGCCGCGTCTTGGCCTCAGGCTATTCCGCGCATTGCCGGTGCTACTACGCTCTGTTGAGAGGATCATCTATTTCGATATACGCTACGTAGGAGCGGTTTTTTTATACATCCTATCTTTTTGCACACTACCGCGACAGACCGACTAGACCCTGATTCTCTGACCGAGAACCCAAATGCCGTCATGCTTTTGCGCGATACCGACCTTCCTTATCCGGCAATGAACTTCGATGCTTGGCCGGCGGTTTGACAACACTATCTCCAGGATTTTGCCGTCGAACCCCGGCCACAAGCTCGATACCGTTCCTGCCAAGCCATGAGCTCATTCATTGACACATTGTGAGGGGTAACTCTTGTGCCCAACTTCTTGCGGAAGCTGTCAAGATAAAGCCTGTCCGCTGTCGGAACATATAGTACCGGTAAGGCAGCCTACTTAAGGTATAAGAACGCTCCCCCTGCATTCATGTTTGGTGCCAATCTCCATGATGTTCACCGCCGCCGCCACGCTCTTACTGCTTGCTTCGACTTTAGCTCAGAATGTACCTCTTCCTCGGGACCAATTAGCATCCGCTGCCGCAAATGTTTCAAACTATGCTTCGTGCGCTGCCGCATCATGGCCAGCCTCAGCACTCGGCGCAGAGATATCCCCACAAGCTCCGGACGACGAGTTGCGGGCAATGCTGGACGAAGTCGACCCCGCAAACATTGAGGCCACCATCCTGAAGTTAGTTTCCTTCGGCACGCGGCACACCCTGTCAACCCAAAACTCGACCGTCCGTGGTATTGGCGCTGCCAGAGATTGGATCGCTTCCGAGATGCGGAAGTACGCCGCGACGTCTGAAGGAAGGATGACGGTCGAGGTCCCCGGCTACATCCAGCCCGTGGCGAACCGCATACCTTTTCCTGTGAGAATCAGCAATGTCGTCGCGCGGATCGAGGGCTCGTCTGACCCCTCTCGAGTTTATGTGATTTCTGGACACTACGACTCGAGAGTGACCGACGTGATGAACTACGAATCGGATGCCCCAGGAGCAAACGATGACGCATCCGGCGTGGCAGGTGAGTTTCGAATACTATCCCCACACGCTTTATCCCGGCTTTGAGGGCTTACGAGAGATTCAGTTGTCATGGAACTTGCTCGAGTCCTAGCGACACGTCAGCCAAGGGCCACAATACTGTTCAGCGCAGTTGCTGGAGAAGAGCAAGGTCTCTACGGCGCCAACTTCCTCGCCCAGTCTTTGAGAAATGCCAGCGTCAATGTGGAGGGAATGCTGAACAACGACATCGTCGGCAGTTCCACCGGCGACCAAGGCCAGAAAGACCCCTTCACCATCCGCCTGTTCGCCCAAGGACCGCCTCTGTCAGAAAGCGACGACGTAGCTTCCACGCGCCTCAGGATCGGCGGAGAGAACGACTCTCCCGCCCGGCAGCTCGGCCGCTTCGTGTCCGAGGTCTCCGCCAACGACGCCACCGGGATGAAGGTCGCCATGGTGTACCGCCTGGACCGCTACCTCCGCGGCGGAGACCAGACGCCGTTCCTGCAGCAGGGGTATCCGGCCGTGCGCTTCACCGAGCCCAACGAGAACTTCGACCACCAGCATCAGGACATCCGCGTCGCCGAGGACGGCACGCAGTTCGGCGACCTCCCGGAATTCGTCGACTACGCGTTCGCGGCACGCGTGGGCAAGGTCAATCTTGCTGCGCTGTGGTCGCTGTCGCAGGCGCCGGGCATGCCGCGGAACGTCACGGTCGACACGTCGACGCTGGGAAACGAAAGTCAGTTCTCGTGGGAGCAGCAGGTCGATGGTGCGGAGCTGGCGGGGTATGAGCTGGTCTACAGGCCGACGGCGGCTCCTCTGTGGACTCACGCGTACGATGTTGGGAACGTCCGTACGGCGACGGTGGATTTGAGCAAGGACAATGTGATCTTCGGAGTCAGGTCGGTTGGGAAGAATGGATACAAGAGCCCAGCGGTATTTCCATTTCCCGCTTGAATGATGAGGAGGTTGTTCTCGTTTCGTTTGTGGTAGAGTGCACGGGGCAGGAATGGTAAGGCTGCAGATGTCGAAGAAATTGTGCTTTGAAATGTCCAATTTTCTTCGACTCGTGTTGGCATGATGCCAGCGCAGCCATTTTTTGCTCAGCCGCCTGCAACGGGAAGCATCAGCAGATGTTGAGATGCTTACAAATGACACATACCTGGGCAATAGCCGTGGTCGGAGGCTTGTGCGTGACAAAGCATCAAAAGCGTTGCGTGTGTGGCTTGACTGTGACTCCACAGTCTTCACACCGCCCACGCCCTATTGCAGGGCCAAAACCCACCATGAATGACAAGTTGTCTTTGGGTAGGGCTAACTTCTCTTCTGAAAGGCGTGTTTGTCTTGGAGAAGGTGTCTTTGGCCTTTAAATGGCGTGTTGTCTTGTATGTCTTCTACAAGGCGTGCCAAGGCTGTGGCTTGTTTGCTGACGATACTTTGCAGGTCGAATTCTAGAAGGGCAGTATTATGCGCAAATCGAAAACATCAACTTTAGCGATGCCGAAATCGCATGTGGAGAATGCGCAAAGGTGAGTGCTGACAATAGCTCAGCGCCTTTCCATTTTAGGACACCGTCATGGTTGCGGGTGAGTCAGCCCACCAGAAGTGGCTGCCGGCACCTAGCGTGCAGAGCCGGTGAGGAAGGGCCACGAATTCCCCACATCCCCGCGCCAGCCGCGTCAATTCACCACACCACAACACTTACCGGTGACCACAGCCAACCGACCGCTGCCGCCTAAACTGGCGCGTCTCTCATTGAAGCATGCCGCAAGCCACAATGCCCTGCCGCGGTGACTCAACCTGTGTGTAGCGCGCGTGCCCTACGCCAAGTTCACCCATTCTAGCCCCTACTTGCGAGGCATGGTGTCCAGGCTCTCACTCCGCAATCCCGCGCGCTTGACTCCGTTTGGCGCCACCAAAGCATGCGACCAACCGCCCAGGGATCTAACTCCGACTTGCGCACGGCTTTCGAACACCGATGCCGTCCACATCACCGCCGCAATGACTGCTGGCTAATTCCGACATGTGTGTGATGCTCTGCGCGCTGACGACAATAGTGGCCTAAAAATTGCTTTCTGCCTTAGGTATGACTGTTTGCAGCCTGTTTATAAGTTTGGCTTGTCTGCCTGATTTTCCCCTCAGTCCAACAAAGCAAACACATCAGACTTCAATCAGTCTATCAGGCTCTTTGCCTTTACTACTTCACAACACACTCGATCTCCACATCCTCAAACTTTCACCACCAACCACCATCACCGACTCCAAACCTCTCAGCAGAAACCTGCATCAACCAGCCAAGATGTCCAACCCAAGGAATTCCTCTTCCTCCTCGGATGCCGCCTCCATCATGAGTAGCTCCACCGCAAAGTCGACCACCAGTCTCCTCAAGAAGGTCTTCCGCCGGGATTCTTCCGCCAAGCCTCCTATGACCGACGCACAGGTTGCAGAGGCTCAGCGGGAGCGCGAGAACAAGGCCAACTATATGACCGCCGCTGCCACCTACGCGTCGCTTCGCTAGCCCTGCGGAACAGTCCTCAGCCTCCCGAATGGTCGAGGCAACTTCTTCCTTTGACAACCGTATAAAACAGATTGGAAACGAATTTTTAATTTCGGATCGATTTTCTTCGTCTCGACAGCCACGTAGCGGTGAGTTTTGCCCGCTACGCGAGCTGTTGGGTGTTTTCATTTTTCAACCATGGATACACGGAACCGGCTGTTTGCATCGGCGTTGGGGCCTCAGGGTCTGCGTTTGAAGAGCGCATTTTGTACTTAGTATCTTGCATCATCTACGAAATTGTCATCTGTCGCTTCGCAACCCCTTCTTGCTTGACTTGTTTGCTGTTGCAATGCGTCCCGATCCTTCCGTCTCCACCCTCTAACCTCTTTCTGGCCAACATGAGTAGTGCTGACGAGATGAAACTTTAGCAAACACTACTTATTCAGTACAAGCATCTACCCTACTTACATTGGACACAGTCAGACTCAAGGTTTAGCACGTTTGCCAAGGATTGTACCATTGCCCCTGTCCATGGTGGCGCATTTCTTTGGACGGCACATTCGGGACGATCTGCGAGCACCCGAGGACCAAGTATCTTGAGTTCTAATCTGAATCATGTAAGACAAACTTCGTCCACATAACAACGCAGTACTGAAATGTTCATATGTTCACCCAGGAGCCTCCGAACCCATAAATCCTCAGTTTCTTCTGTTCACTGAACAAATCGAGTCTCGCACGTTCGAGATACCAAAGTCCCAAGCCACGCCTCAATACCATATACACGTTAGCTCGTGTACATTATCCCGCGGGAGGATATTATCGTTGATACTTGCGCGATGCCTGGGCTCTCTTCTGCGCGCATCACATCAAGCTCATGCTGCCTGTGGTAGTCCGTCAACAACTATCAGTTGCGATGCCCCGCGGCTTCTGTCCACTCTTGTCATGTGACGGAGTCCCCGCCTGTCCAATGCACTCACCTCTCGCCCTTGGGCGCTGAAGGGGTACAGATTGTGGTTGCTGCTCATTGAACCAGTCCTGTGAGGTATGCTGTCCATCAATTCTGGAAGATAGTGACTAATCCGTCCTGAAGGCCTTGCGTCCTGTGGATGCAGCTTCATGAGCCTATGATTAATGCAAGTCTTAGAGTGCTTGGAATCACGGGCTAACCCAAGCCGCAGCGGATATACGGCTCAGGCTGTTGAGTAGTGGTCCGTGGGAGTCACTGACCAATTGACATGTCTCGCGGAACGCAGCTGCACGAGACTGTCTGGCCAAATTGGATTGGGACCCAACCGCTCTGCAGCATTCACGAATGATGCGGCACGGAGTCGTCATTGGGGAGACGGGAATTGCTGAGCCCGTCCTCATGATGAAGTGCACGGTCACACGTTGAGGAACAGTGCACCTGCGCTTGCATCTGCAGCCTGGTGACTGATCTGCTGCATACCATGGTCAAAGCGGTATAATAGAGCCTTCGCAAGCATCTCGTCCTCGATTCTTCTTCAACGACGGCCACGGTTATTGACGACCACAACTCTGGCATCTTCAACCATCATTGCGCGAGACAGATCATCCCACACTTCCACTGTTTGTCCACCTCCTTTGCAGACCGCACGGAAACACCAAAGCTCAAGGACTGTCGAACGAATCTACTTGAGGCTCGTCCCACTGGGCCTGCACGTTGCCATCTCTCTGTCACCAAACTCAGTGTTCGGGGGCAGCATGGGCCAAACTCCAACCATCACCACATCTCAGCATCAAAAGAGCACATCAATGGTGACGCAGGTGCCAAGTACCTTGTAAGCAAATATCTCCGCCTTCTTCTGCTTCTTGTCCCCATACAGATTAACGCCTCTCTAACGATCCTCTGCAGCCCCGAAGACGCCACGATGCGCCACGGAAGCGAAGATTCCACCGACGACAATCCGAGCCCGTTCTTAAGCCACACCACCAATTTCCACGGCCTGCCAGACCAGCACGAGCGAAAGAGCGGAAACTTGGATCCAGTTGACACCGTTGATGAGCTTCTTCGCGAGGCGTTCCAGAAGCAGCCTCCTCAAACGGACAGCGATGGCGCATTCCACCAGAAAGGCTTCCACGGCGGCGCTCACATCGACAAGCGGTCCCGCTTCGGTTCCTCCTCTCCACCGTCGGAGCGGCATCTCGACCTCGCCCAGCTGAACCTTTCCGACCACCATGCCGGCGGCTCCTCCTCCTCCGAGCTTCAACCACCACCGATACCTTCGTCCTCCCGCTCTCGCGCTTCCCAGAAGAGTCTTAGTCTCGGATCGAAGCACAGAGAAGGAGGAGTCAAGCAACCGCGCTCCTCCAACACTCAGGCTTTGCGGAAGAAGCGACGTGAAAAGGATCGTCTCCACCTTCCAGACGCTCGCCACCAGCCGAAGTTCCCCGTCTTCTCTCGCAGCACGGCGGCAGCGAGGAGGAACGAAATCGCCGAGACTGAAGACGACGATGACGATGACTACTCCGGCGGCGTCCCACGCACCGCCGACATCTGGCCAGCCGGATTCCAGCGTCGTCGTCCGCAGCAGCAGCAGCCGATCGACACCGACGCCGACGAAGACAGCCTCTTCGTGACGCCCGGCCCGCCATCGCCGCCCCACCACCACCACCACCACCATCGTCGCCGTCCAGCCCCAACTCCACGCCGCGCGCGCCTCCCCCTCCCCCCTCCACCCGCTCCCCAACCCCCCACGAACACCACCACGCACCCCGACGACAACCCCACCCACCGCGCCCGCCTCCGCGCCATGGCCACCAATCCCCACGCGCACCCCTACGTCCGCAAACTCGCGCCAGAAAAAGACGCCGAAAACATCGAGATCAAGCGGCTGCGCACAGTGGAACGACTGCACTGGGAAGAAATCGCCGCGCGGATGAATAGCGCACGCGTCGCCGCCGGTCGTTCTCCCACTTTCACCGTCGCGGCCGTGTACGGGCGGTTTGCGAGGGTGGCGCCGAGGATAGCGGAGGAGGAGGGTGATGGGGGGTTTGATTATCGGGATTATTTGAATTTTAGGCATCCGCGCAGGGGGGATACCGCCCGGGGGGAGGGGGCAGGGCCGGTGTTGACGGGGGCGGAGGAGGAGGTGTTGGTGCGGTGCTATGAGGAGGTTGATAGGGAGAGGTGGGTTAATGTGGCGAGGAAGTTTAAGGTTGTGGCGAGTGTGGAGTTGACGCCGGAGCAGGTGGCGAGGAAGTGGAAGAGTTTGTAGGGTTAGAGAGGGATCATGGGGGTTCGGAGATTGCGGCTTTGGCTTGGATTGCTGCTGCTGCTGCTGCGGCGTCTTCGTGGTGGACGACGCATCATCATTGATGCAAGATGATCCCTCGCGGAGGCCTGGGGCCGGGTTGCGTCGATACTCTTGTCGATTATATTCGACAGAGAGCTGGACTTTCACTTTTCCAGCATTCCACCTTCGGTTTTGGCGGAGAACTGTCACTTTGCCATCATCAAAGTGCTGATTTCATGGTGTTATCATTTTGATATTCGGACTCAGGGCATGGAAGGCAGTCTTTTTTTTTTTTCAAGGATCTTCTATCCTTGGCATACTTTCCTTGTTTTGGCCGCCAGCCTTTCTGATGATTCTTCTACTGATATCCACCTTTGTTTTATTTCCTTACAATCACATGCACTGAGTTTGGCGCGTCAGGAGGAGCGTATTTGCAAGCCAAGTGTCTTTACAGTCGTTGACTGCACTCGGTCAGCCTTCGAAAGACAGTTTCAGCGCCAAGAAGAAGAGCATTGGCACACCGAGTTTTAGCATCATTACTGCTCTTCAGGATCGATTGAGTTGCATGCTGTCAAGCCATCGTCTTCGAGACGCGTGTAGTGCTAATGTTTCAGAACTTAGCACAAAGGCGCCAATGTACCGGTACATACAGTGGAACTGATGCAGAGGTACCCATCGCTAGCGGGCGCTCAGAGGCTCGCTATTCGTTCGTTCTATGCACTTCTCCTAGAGTGTTGTCAAATGTATGACGGCGTTACTGACAGCAAACACGCGTCCCACCCCGCGCGCCACGTCATTGGCGAATCCAGACAGACGCAGGCATCATCCCGATACCCGTCCGCACCCGTTCAGCCGTTCTTGCAGGGTCATTGGTGGGTGATGGTGCTGATCTTGCAGGGTGTAGCGTGCAAAAAGGGGGAAACACGAATCAAAAAACGGATTGCGCGTGGAAAAAGCGAGTGCCAAACCGGTGCAACTGGTCGGATGAGCGACTTTGCGCGCGGGTTCGGGCAAAGCTAAAATGGCGGAATTCTTGGAGTTGGCTGTATGTTGCTTTAAACTCTCAGATGATTCCTGCCAAGAAGTGCGGGCTCGGTTGCGCCAAGAGTTGACTGGCTGGGTTGCGGGGTCCGTGATTCGCCTGGAACAGGATCGACGTAATTCCTCATCATCACCTCAACCCAGATCTTGGAACCCGACAACGACAGATCCACATGCCGACACGACCCTCCGTTGCCGGCGAGCACGGAATGTGGATCCGTGACTGGAGCCTGGTCAGGATGACGATGGCCGCGGATACGGGGGATCGGTGCTCGGGACACGCGTTCGGGCTCCATCAGTGACGATTATTTACGGCCTGAAGGCATTACATAACCAGCAGACGGCGGGCTCGGGCGCTCCCGTTCCAGTAGCGCGAGTATGGGGAGAGGATGGAATCATGGTAGTGCGTGCACGGATTCCCGACTGACTACGCTGCAGATCGCCGAAAGATGTGCGACTCAGCCTCTCGCGCCGCCACCACACACGCTAGAAGCATGGGAGCAAAAAAGGGGAGCGATTCTAGAAGCATTGGCAATCGAATGCTGGCCATGAGGTGCGAGCACCGGTCAAGTTTTATTACGTACTGTGGCTTGAGCGCCCTGGGCGGTTGACGAGAAGGGTAATCAAGTCCCTGGCGAGCTATTCTCGATGTTTCTGTTACGCATAGCATCCCGCACGCGCGGGATTGCCTCGAGAAAAAAGAGGGCCCTCCGCAACCCGCGACACCATCTGCCTCCCCCGGTGACTCCGAAGTGAAAAACTGCGCTCCCAGTCCTGCTCTCGCCGTCGCCACGTGCAGAAAAGGCCCGACGAAGACCCTTACAAGTAAGCGAGCCTCAGAGGCGCCCTAGCCAGAACCCGCTATATGCGTCTTGGCTTCCCATCCTGGGCTAGTTCGTTATACATCACGCAACTACTATCCAACCCTTCAAATTCTGCCTATAACCTCCAGACTTCGCCCAACTCTCTATACCACCGCGCCCAGCCTTACTCAGCCACGACCGCGACGACGACTACACTTCCCGAGCCCGCCCTCACCGGCAAATGCTCAAGCTCCTCCGAAGCTCCGTGCACATCCCCAACGGGGACGAGTCTAGACCGGCCCAAATAGTGGCATCTGATTTAAAAGGATTTCCCAAGAACACACATCCCGAGGCCACAAGGAACGCAATGCACCTCCGCATCCCCAAGGCGCCTCTGACCGTCGTCGGCGACCCGTGCCAGGCCGACAGCGTGCCCCTGGCCGGCCACATCGAAGTCGCCGCCAAGCCGCAGCAGCACCAAGACATCACTTCGATCCAGCTTGCCCTGCTGCGCACCACCAAGATCAAGAAGCAATCCACCAAGCCGCAAGATGCCCTCAGCCTGGCTTCCCGCCGCCGCTCCTTCGGCAACCGCAGCCCCACGCGCGACAAGCGGACCTGCGTCGAAGAAATAATGCAGTGGACCATCGCCTACTCGCCGCCATCCAACAACGACAACAGCGCCGCCGAATCCTCCTCTTCCTCCCCATTCGCCTCGAAGCAGCGCCGCAACCTCCTCCCCTTCAACGTCCGCATCCCGGGCCACCTCCCGGCCTCGACCTCGACGCCCGTCGGCAGCACCATCTACACGCTGACGGCCACAGCCCTCTCGCGCACCACTCCCAGCAAACCCCTCTTCAAGACGGAGACGCCAGTCACACTGCGCCGCGCCCTCCTCCTGCCCCAGGGCCCCGCCGAGGTGTCGCTGCGCCGCCGCTTCCCGGACAGCCAGATGAGCACGCGCCTCTCTCTCCCGGGCGTGCTGCGCCCCAGCGGCGGCGACGAGTTCACCGCCAAGTTGACATTGTGCAACAGCATCTCCCGCCGCGGCCGCACGACGACGCGGCTCGCCGTGCGCCGCCTCGACTGGCGCATCGAGGAGCGCGCGCAGCTGGTGCCCGTCGCCGAGGCGGGGCGGCTGCCGCCGTTTGCGGAGACGGAGACGGGGGCGACGAATAGCGAGAGTAGTTCGCCGCAGCAGACGCAGAAGAAGAAGGATGCTCAGCACCACCAGCATGTGCGCAAGCTGGCGTCGGGCGGCTGGACGGGCAACCTGGATAAGTTGCCGACGCCGGCGCCCGGCTCGGGAGATGTCGAGGTGGCGTTTAACGTGGCGTTGCCTGCGTCGGCGAAGGCGTCGTGTGGCGTTGAGCCCGATACGTTGTCTTCGGCGCCGTCGAACGGCGGCAACAGCGGCGGTGGTGATGATGCCAACGCCAACGCCGCGGACAACAACAACGACAACCGCGTCGCGCTCTCCGTCTCGCACGTGCTGGTCCTCGAGCTCATCACGGCCGAGCTCAAGCACAACGCCGACACGGGCGAGCTCGTCAACATGTACCCCTTCCCGCAGCGCAAGTTCGGCGCCGTCTACGACATCACCGTCTCCAACTGGGACTACACGACCGACTTCGCCGCGGGGCTGGCGTCGGTGCCTGTTACGCCCGGTATCCTGACTCCCGACGGTAACAACGAGCAAAGAGATTCGTACTTTGATGCTGCGACTCCGCCCTCTTCGACTTCTTTTCCCCCCACGATACCCCCTTATTGCGATATTTTTGGCGAGATGCCGCCTTCGTACGATTCGGTTGCTGTAATGTAATAATTTTTGGACACTTTGTAAGAGTTGGAAAGCAATGTTTTGGATGTTTGATGGGATTGTTTTCTATGGCGAAAGGGATAAAAGCACCACTTCACGTTTATTACTGCAGAGGCAGTAGTAGCAGCAGCGCAGCAGCAGCAGCAGCAGCAAATTGGCACAAAAGTTAGGAGTTTTTGGGTGAATTCCATAAGGGTTGCGTCCGTAACTAACGGCGATATCGGAACATGGCGCAATAGTTTGTCTGTCGTCGTCAAGAAAAAATTTTGTGATCAGGGTGTGGCGTTATACAGTAACCGATGTTGGTGACTTGGCGTCCTGTATTGGTGTAGTCTACTATTGGTTTGCCGGGACCTTTTTTTCTTTTCTTTTGTGCCCAGGGCGGGCGCTTAAGCATAGGAGGTGTGCGTGCTCAGCGCGCGCACATACTTACACACGGACTCACCAACAGAGAACACTTCATCAGAGGTGATGACAGAATAATAGGAATAATTATCGATAGGGATGTTCACAGTCGGACCGTATCGGAGGTCCCGTGTGTCTCCATCTTTTGACGTGTTCTTCTTGTCTCTCCTGACTTGTGTGAGGAACGACTTGCTCCGTTGCCTTCTGCTCCTTGTTTCTCTTTTACCTCCTTCCTTGGTTCCCTTGTGACACACCGCTGACTCAAAGAAACATCCGATGTCTCGTGAGTGACGAAAGGGTTCATCGTCGGTCTCGAGTACGTAGTTCAGTAATCACGAGGCATGCACAGCAGAATGAGCATGGTGCCATCAACCGAGTAGGAAAGGAGGCATTCCCGTCTGTTCGGCACCGGGCTTCTAAATGCCGGGCGATTCATCTTCCCCGCGTTGGAAATTTGGGAACGACAACGGAGCAGTGCGGGTGGTTCTTCGCTTTCTCACCGCCGGCCCATGTTTCCCCACTATCCAACCATACTTGCCAAGAACGGTTAGCGCCGCGGATGTGCGTGGATTCTAGACGTTTCCCGTGCGCGCGGACTCGGCTTTTCCTCGCGCACGAACATCTACCGTGCTTTTTTTTTTTCTCTTATCGATTACTGTTGTGTCTGAATCCAGCAGTTGCAGGCGGAAGGGGTGGTTGTGATGTTCAGATGGTGTGCGAACATCTATCCCATGCATGTTTCGTTTTCACCCAACTTGTACCCCGCTCCCACACTCCGACACCAACACGCTGGTAGATTGCTCCTTCTTATGACACATTCCATGTGGACACCTCATAAGCTTCCCTCATGCGCCGCCCATTCCGCCCCCCGAATCATTTCCCGACAGCTGCCCAAGCAAAAAAAAAAAGGGCCGCAACAAAATACGAAATGAACAGGTCTCGTGAGCACTGCACGGACGAGCTTGATGAATCTGGCCATTCCTCCATTTCCCCCCCGCATCTGCACTCGTAAGCAACCTCTAGAAGCCGGGCCGGACCGACGCCCAAATGATGTGTCTCCTCCCCCCAAGTCATCCCGAGAGCTTTCCCGGGCTGGGAGCTTGGGCCCGTGTCCACCACCCCTTTCTTGGGAAGTGTGCCCTGACCACCTCGACACAGCTCTGCTGTTCGAAGATCTGCGCAGGGATTATGCATACAATGCTCGGGATATCCGATGGGAGCCTTTTCTTTACTTACTCGTTGTTTGCTCGGTACCTTGTATAGATTCTCTCATGAGTGCACGGCTTGATTGCTAGCTCGTCCTTTTGTGTGTGTGTGTGTGTGTGTGTGTTGATAGGACGTTCTTTCATATCATTCATTTGACTGCATCTTCCGCTTCGAATGCTGCTTATTTCCGGTTTAAAGTGTCCAATCTTTTTGTGGCACGGCTCTCAGCACTTACTATTTGTACCATGACAGTCAAACGTGAGGGCATTGAAGATAGTTTCTTGAGAAAATTTGACTTGGTCTAGAAATATGGCGTCCCGTTTACGCTAGTGGTTGAATTCAACGTGTGTATTCTATTTGTATATTTTTTTTTTTTGGAAACCCATAACGTCCGAACAGCATGCTGCTTCAGTTGCCCACCTGAGAAGACTGTTTAGACTAGCGTATGAGATGAAGAGTAACCGATATCAATTTTTAGCAGAGCAGTCACAAGATACATTCAATTTCTCTGTTTGCTCTTCCTAGCCGCAAATATATGAATGGATGTAGCGACCGTATACGAATGACGTCTTGGGCAGAGAAAAAGAGCTCAAAAAGCAAGATGACGGATTGAAGAGAACAAAAGAAATTGCCTAGCGGCAGGTTAAGCCTTGTTGCTCTTTCCCTCCATCTCCACACGACCAGTCTCACTCACCACCACTTCCGAGTTACATGAACGCCGAGCGTGTGCCTCAGCACAACATCCCATCACGAAGAAGACCTTCACCAACAGCAAACACATGAATCGAGAACAGAAATTCCCAGAAACCGCCATGAATGCACATTGCTAAACAAGAGTGTCTATCCTACCTTCCCCCCACCACCAACCCACGGCCGTACATACATGCACCCTTTCCCCTCCCCCCCTCCGAAAGCCAAAAACACAACAAGAAAAAAAAAACCACAACCCCACCCAGCAAAATTCCACCACCCCTCCATTCCCTCCAACTACCCTACACCCCCTTCAACTCCTCCAACACCCCCCTCAACCTCTCCCACCCCTCACTCCCCTCCCACGTCTCCTTACCGCGACTACACACGCCCTTGACCGCACTGCGCGCCTTAAACTTCCAATCCTTCATAACAACCTGCCCACTCCCCGCCGCGAGGCCCTCCGTGCGCTCGCGCGGCCCGAGACTCTCATACGCGGCCACGAGCTCGACCGTCGCGTCGACGACCTCGTTCCACGCGGCCTCGGGCAAGCTACCCGTCTCCCAGCCCGGCCTGCTCGCCGTCGCCGCGCGCCAAGCCTTCTCGTGCGCGTCGAGCGCGGCGGCGGGCTTGCCGCGCCAGAGGGCGAGGCGGGCGACGGTGGCCCAGAGGGCGCGGGAGCCCGTGATGAGCGGGACGACGGCCTCGTCGACCATGCGGACGAGCATGCGCGTTGGGCCGGGCCGGGTGGGATCGTAGCCGTTGGCGTTTTCGTCGAGCGCGATGACGTCGCGGACGAGGGCGTCGAGGATGGCGGCGTCGACGCATTTCTCGCCGTCCGTGGCGCCGCGGAGGTCGATGAGGCGGCGCTGCGCGGTGATGATGTCGGTGAGGGCCGGAGGGTTGAGGGACGCGGCGACGGTGAGGAGGTTGTCCCACATGCGGAAGTTGTCGAATTGCAGGTGCGCGGCGCGCTTGAGGGCTTTGAGGGCGTCGCGGCGGTGCTGCTGGGGGTCGCGCTGGCGCTTGGTCGTGTCGATGTGGTTCGGGTCGTCTTCTTCCTCGTCGTCGAGCTTCGGGGCGGGAGCGGCGGCGTCGGCGTCGTCGTCCGTCTTGGGCCCGAGGTGGAGCAGGGCGGCGGCCAGGTTGCTCCAGGCCTCGGCGTCGTTGTCGTCGAGTTGGACGACACGCGTGAAGGCCTGTACGGCGCGCTCAAACTCGCTGAGCTCGAGGAGTGCGCAGCCCAGAGCGAACCAGCTCTGCTGGTTGAGCTGGTTCACGCGGAGAGACTTGGAGTAGGCGTTGGCAGACTTGACGAAATCCTTCTCGGAGAAGTAGTGACGGCCGAGGGACCGTTGAGCGCGGGCGTACCGCTCTCCAGAGACCTCCCAAGCCTTCTCGTACATCGAGAGGTCCTTGTCAATGTCACCGAGAATGCAGTACAGTCTGGGCGCATCACCAGGTGCCGGGTCCCTCGGTGCACCCTCCCACTTCTCATCATCACCCGCTGCGTCATCGTTGCCGTCTGTTGCGTGGAAGAGCTCTCTCCGTATGATCCGCTTAGCCTTGTCCTCTCTTTCGGTAGCAGCCCAGCACAGCGCAGCCTCAGCCCACATGCCCAGACGCTCGTAGATTTCCAGCGCAGTGCGGAGGCCGCCCATCTTGACCCACGTTTGCGCCAGCTCGGATTCCAGCTCCCACCGTGCCGGCGTGCACAGCTGGAAGATGTAGCGCAAGCGCTCCGAGACCGGTGCGGAGTCTTCTTCTTGCGGCCGCGGCAGGAACGTAGAGACAGAACCGTCCCCTGAAGCATCAGCGGTGGACCCACCTCCGGCAGTGTCTGCAATAACCTGGTCCACGAGGGCTTGAAGCTGCAGCAGGCCACGCTCAGCAGTCCTTGATCTGTAGCCCTCGATCCTGCTGCGGACCAGCAGGGCCTGGGTGTAGACTTGCCAGTTGGAGCTACCACCCTCGAGCACACGAGTGGCATAGGGAACCGTTTCCTCTCTAGTCAAGCCGTTCTGAGGGGATGTATTCGTGATCGACGAGGCCAGCGAGAGCAGAATAATGGAGTCGAGCGGGTCGAGCTTTGGCTGGTTACTTGGATCCAGAGCGGCCAAGCTGGGCGGTAACGAGCTCTCGTCCTGAACATCCGTTGACGAGCTGGGCTTCTCCGTGAAAGATATTGACTCCAGCAGCGTGTCGTCGTTGAGATCCAGGTTCTTAGGCTTCGATTCCGCATCGCCGTTCTCCTCCGCGACAGCCTTGCCCTTCCCCTTGCCCGCCTCGTCTTCCGTCTCCGTTCCCTTACTCCTCGCCAGGACGACAAGCTGACTGGTATCCTTCTCCTGGTACTTCGTCCGCTTCCCGAGCAAGCCGGTCAACGCGAACTCGAACCCCCTCTCCTTCGCCGCCCTATCCAGGTCCTCCCTCGCCTTCTTGTCGAACCCGTGCAGTGTATGTATCGACGCCCTCTCCAACAAAAACGGCACCCTCACCTCCCTCACCCTCACCACCTCGTCCTCCTCCCCCTCCTTCAACAGCTCCCCCTCCAACGCCTCCAACTCCCCATAAATCGCCGCCTGCAAACTCGGCGCCACATCCCCACCCCCAAGCAACCGCTGCCGCAACACCAACACCCGAACCTTCGCCCAACACAGCGCCGTCGTGACGACCGCGCTCGCGCCCACCGCCGCCTCGAGCTCGCCGTACGCGCCCGCCAGCACCGCCTCAGCGAGGCACAACAACTCGACGTTCGGCGTGCGCGCGTAGGCAGCCGCGCCATCAGCGCCCAGGCTCTGGACGAGCCTCGCACGCGTCTCCCTCAGCTTCTTCTCCTTCTCCTTCTCATCATCGCCATCGCCATCGCCATCACTCGCAACCAACACGCCGGACGGCGCGAGCACGACATCCGCCGACCGGAACGGCAGCGGCGGGCCCGTGACGGCGGCCTGCACGAAGGCGCCCAGCGCGGCGAGCGCGACGGCGGCCAGCTCGACGCCGACGCGCGGCTTGTCCGCCTCGGGAGTGCTTTGCAGCAGCGTCGTCAGCCGGCGGTGCACCCAGTCGGTCCAGAGCGGGTAGTCGGCTGGTGAGGTGGGCGCGTCCGGGATGGGCTGGTGGCCGAGCAGCGCGCGGGCGGTGTCGGACTGCGACAGGAGGGCTTCGAAGTTGCCGGCCTCGAGAAGGTCGAGCTGAGAGCTGATAGAGGGGGCAGAGGCCGTCGCGGCCGTAGCGGCGCGCCGAAAGAAGGCGAGGAAGGCGTCGTCTGACATCCTCTCTCTCTCTCTTCTCTTATCGTCTCTTCTGCCTGTTTTTTTTTTTTTTTTTGCGTGCTCCCTTCTCTCTTTCTTTCCTGGCTCTTTCTTTTCGTCTGGTTGATTTGCTTTTCGAAATATCACACTCGATCAGTGCCCTTTTCCCCTCCTCAAACGCGGGCGCAAAAAAATTGAAAAGGTCTGAGGAGGTTCGGTGGGTGACTGTTGAGTTCTAAAAAGTCATTACCCAAGCAGGGTCCAGTGTTTGGACCGAAAATTCCTCCCGAAGAAATACCGGTAGGGCAGCATTTTGCCTCGAGAAACTTAGCCAAGGCCTTGCTGCCCCGCCCCCACTTCGCGCCGCATCGTACCGCTGGTCATGAAGCTTCGATCACACGAGGCGGATATGCACACGCGCGCGTCTATCTCAAACATCTTCAGACGAAATGATCTTAATTCATGATCCTAGCGCTAGGTACCATTCCCCAAGCCTCCACGGATATGAGGGTCTCTCCGCAACCCCGCCAGGAAAAGAAATTTAGTAAGCCAAAAGCATCAACAAAAGGAAAAAAAAAATTAAGGATATCGTGGTCGTCGTCAGTAGTGCCAATGCTCAGTAAAGCTTTCGAAGAAGCAATACGTCCCAAACGCAAAACCAGCTCAGCAAAAAACAGCAACGAGAATAATAGAGACCGTTGAAAGCCCATCATCCTCTCGTGGATTCTCACTACGCAACACAACAACGCTTTAGTCCGAGTCGCTCGACGAGCTGCTGCTGCTGCTCCCGCCCCTGCTCTTGGACCTGTGCTTGTGCTTGTGCTTGTGACCGTGGCTGCTGTAGCTGGGCGGGTAGAGGCCGCCGATGGCCGCCGACGAGCCGCCGTAGTGAGAGCCGTGGTCGCTGCTGCCGTGCTTCTTATGCTTCTTGTGCTTCTTCTTCTTCTTGTCCCTGCAGGTTTTGGTTAGCAACTACTACATTAAAGGGTGTGAAACCAAGAGAGAGAAAAAAAAAAGGAGGCAGAGAAAACCACTCACTTCTCATGATGATTCTCCAACATATTCGCCCCAATCGCACCAGCCACCATCCCACCAATCGTCCCCAACGCTCCTCCACCCATCTTGTGGCCCAAGAACGCGCCGCCCGCGCTACCCAGCACCGTCGCGCCTAAGCCGCGATCGCCATCCGCCGGCAGCGGAGTACCGTCGGGGCCGTACTGCTGCGCGCGCTCGTGCTCACCGCCGTAACCCTGCTGCGGCGGATACTGCTGCTGCTGGTGCTGGTTGTTGTACCCATACTCGCTACCACCTGGTGGAGGCGCACCGCCGTACGGCGCGGGCGGCGGGTAGGGCGAGTGCGTGTTGCTACCGCGGTTGTAGTCATCGCCGCCGGTGGGGTACGGGGCGGCGGTGACGGCGTTGTTGTAGCCGGGGGCGGGCGAGTAGGAGCTGTGGGGTGGGGGCGCCTGCGAGTATTGGTTGCCGTTGTTGTTGTAAGGGTCGTATTGCTGCTGAGGAGGAGGCGGCGACTGGTACTGGTTGTACTGGTCTTGCGGCGGGGGAGGATAGGCGCCCTGGTTGGTTCGCGCCGTAGCGGCGGCTTCTGGTCAGCCCGTGTCCATACTCATTCGCTGTGGGGGACGCCCGGCTGAAAAAGGCCGTTGTATTCGCATGCTTTGCGCGAATTCTCTTATGAAAAGGGTTGCGCGCGGCGCAAAACTCACCTGTTGCGGAGGATAGGGACTGTGACCGCCATATTGGCCTTGCGGCGGTGGAGCGGCGTTGTAGCCCTGTTGGCCGTAGCCGTAGTCTTGGTGACCGCCGCCGCCGCCGCCGCCGCCGTAGTAATCGTGACTTGACATGATGTCGCACACCAGTAGGTTAAGTGAGGTTGTTGTGTTCCGTGACTTGCAGCTGTTGTGATATGTTATGCGCGTGCGCTCCCGAGCTTTGGGGGGCCTGATGAGTAGTGGCTGCGGGGGAGGGGTTGGTTGGGAGGAATGGCCAGCGAAACGATCGAGAGATGGCAAGGCAGCGGCCGGATTTAATAGGAAGAGATCTCAGGTAACGTGGGAAGGAGCGGATAGATCCAGCCCGGTCAGCTGCTGACGTGCGGCAGTCATTCGGGCGAGCTGAAACGACGAAATGACCGCGGCTGATGATGGGCTTCGTCCTGATTACCCGGTTGGGATGCTGTCCAAATGATGCGGCTGGGGCTCAGCACAGCCGCATTATTTGATGACTGCTGCGCCATCCTTCGGCTTTACCGGCGCTACTGTAAAATGAGATCACCACCACCGAAACATTGATGCTACATCGTACACTTCATACAACCGACTACAGAAGTACATGTCTACCGAACAGCACGCAAGAATGAATGCCGCAAGGAAGAGAAATCACAGCCAAGAAGCAATGCTGCTCGCAAACGCAGGACAATCACGATGATGACCTCCCCAAACGAGCGACAACCCCTCTCCAAGTATACAAAACAGGCAGCAGCTCTCCCAAGTCAACAAGAAGACACTAGCTCGCCTCAGCCCCACACGCTACCAATATCCTCCTTTTTTTTTTTTTGTTTTTCTGTCCGTCACCTTGACGTACCCTTCTCACAGTTTGCAGTTCCGTCATAATATACCTATTTCCTGCCGCCCTTCTTCTTCGCAGCGACAACCTTGAAAGCAAGATCCTCCTTCGCCGCACTGGTCTGAGCAGCGCTGGCGGTGGAAGAGCCCTTCTTCGCGACCTCGCTCCAGCCACCGGAGCCGTTAGCCGGACCAGGGCTGGAGGTGCCAGAGTTCTCGATGATGCCCTTGTCGGCGAGCTTACGGCGGCGGATGAACTCCTGAGCGAAGTGGCGAGAATCAATGGTGCGGGACACAGAGTGAACTGCCTCGGTAACAATGTCGAGATCACTGGGGAAGCTGAGCATGTTGCTGACGAACTCGTTGGCTAGGATGGCGTTAGCATAACATTTTCACTCTTTTGACAACCATGAACTTACGATCAGTATCGCCCACGAGGTCATTCCTGAGCTCGTTGGCAGCCCACTTCTTGAACTCTTCCTTGGCATCGAGAGTGCCGGACGGTGGAGCAGCCTGAGCTGGGGTACGGGGAGCGGCGGCCGGCTTGGGCTTGATAGCCGAAATGCTTCCAGCACTGGCAGTGCGGGTAGCGGCGGGGGAAGCAGGAGCAGCAGCCGGAGCAGGCGTCTTGATCTTTCCACTCGCGCCCACCGTGGTCCAGGCACCGCCGGGAGCGTTGCCCGCAACCGGAGTCTGCTTGCTCGCGAGGTCAGCGTAGCGCTTGCCTCCGCTCACAGCCTGGGACAAGCTGGCAGTGGTAGCAGCAGCAGCGGCGGCACTAGCAGCACTGGCGGCGGCGGCAGCAGCAGCTTTCTGCTTGCGCGCCTCCTCTTCCTTCTGAATCTGCTGCAGCGTCTTCTTAACGGGACCGGCAGAGTTGGGAGTCTTGGCAACGGTTGCCTTGGACCAGGCAGATGGCGTACCAGGTGCATTGACCGGCGAGGCACTGCTAGCCCAGGTGGCACTTGAGGGAAGGCTAGGCTGGGGCTGGGCCTGCTCAGCCATAGCGAGCAGTTCTCTGCGCTGGGCCTCAGCACGAGCCGCCTGAGCAGCAGCCTCGGCCTCCTCACGCTGCTTGGCCTCTGCCTCTTGGATTTCCTTGAGAGAGGGACCCTTGGGTGCCTCAACAGTTTCCTTGGCCCAAGGAGCAATGGAAGCACTAGGAGTGTCGACCGAAGGGGTCTGAGAGCGGGAACGGGTCTCCTGGTGAAGTGCATCGGCGAGGTTCTGCTTTCTCTGGGCCGCTGGCGCCGGGAGAGGAGAGCCAGACTGAGGCGGAGGGAAGGGCATGGGCATGGAAGTGTCGACCTTGGCCCATGGAGACTGGGGAGCCGGTGTCTGCTTGGCGGAGGCAGCCTTGACTTGCTCAGTCAGGGAGAGCGGCTCGGAAGGCTTCGATGGGGTTTCGGTCTCCTTGACGGTTTGAGCAGCGGTTTGAGCAGGGGTGGACGGCTCCTCCCTCTCCTCTTGCTGAAGGGGCTGCTGGTTTTCTTGCTCCTCAACAGTGTTCACAGCAGTCTCGGCAGCAGCCGCAGCCGCTTCCCTGTCGTGCTCCTCCCTGAGATCCTTGAACTGCTGAAGACGATCGGCAGATTGCTCCGCCATGTGGCCTTCATCGTCCTTGATTTGAGAATCATGGTCGCTCTGCTCACGGTGGAGGCGAGCCCGGTCGTTCAACATGTTAGCAACCTGCTGGGCGTGAGTACCATCCTGCTGCGGAGAGCCGAACGAGCCAGGGGCGGCACCGAAAGGCATCTGGCCAGCTCGGCCAAAGTTCATGCGGTCCAACATGGCTGGCAACTCCTCCCTCGAACTTCCTAGGCCCTCCACCCCGGCACCTATCGGCGATAGACCGGAGGCCGGGCCGGGACGAAAGGAATTGTCAAAGAAACCCGCCATGCCAGGCAGAGGGCCCTGGGTAGGCGACGGCTGGTAACCGCCAGGAGAAGCGATGCTGCCGAAGCTGGGCTGGCTGTGCAGGCTGTGGGCACTAGAGTGGTGGTGAAGCTGGTGCGGATGCATGCCCATCTGCATTTGCTTGACAATAACCTGCTGCTGGGCGAGATGCTCCTTCTGTCGCGCCATGAGGTACTGTTCTTCCTGCTTACGACGCTCCAGAGCATTCTGCTGCTCAGCAGTCAACGTAGTTCCAAAGCTGGGGAAGCTGTTCGGGAACGGGGGTTGGGCACCGGCAGTGAGCCCGGTGTTAGCCCACGCGTTTCCAGGCTGAGTAGACGGCGGGCCGTGAGGAATGCCGATCTGAGGGACAAGGAAGGGCTCGCGAGAGTTGCCAATCCGGCGGATGAGCTGAGCAAGCGGCTCGTACTCTGGGTCTTCCTCCTTCTTGACCAACAGTTCCGGGGAGAAGAAGCCGGCCTTGAACCAGTCGTGCATCTCAAGACCAGTCCAAGGACCCTGCGCCTTGCCCGACGGATCACGGTACACCCATCTCATCCGATCAGGCATGACCATAGTACGCTGCTGGGCAGCTGGCGGCTGGTTGGAAGCAGAGCTGCTGACGTTCGGAGGCTGACCGGGAATTCCCTGGGGGACATGACCGATGGGTCCCTGCTGTTGAGTCGTGGCGAGAGTAGGCGTCTGCGCGGCAGCACTGCTGGCAGTAAACTGGCCCAAGCCTTCCATGGCGCTTCCATCGTTGTTGCGAAGACTGTTGGCCAGCATCTCATCAAATACGCCGCGGCCGCCTCGGAAGGGACTGTCAGTCTCTCTGAGAGGCCCAGCGTTACCGCCAAAGGCGTTCCTGGCAAACGAACCAGGCTGGCGGTCGCCCTCAGCAGAGCCATCATCTCCACCGCCAAACCGGTTCTGCTCGCTGGTCCTCATTTGCTCCTGCATGGCAGTCGGGAAGAGCGATCCAAGCTTGCTGCCACGGCCGATCGAACCAGTACCCGACAGTCCGGCGCCAAAACCAGCGCCATAGAGGTTGTTAGGACCAAGTCCCGCGAGGCTGGGGGAGTGCATTTCGCCGACAGATCCAAAATTGTCAGCGAACTGCGGGTTGAAACGCTCCCGGCTTGGAGTGCCAACCGCAGGTTGAGTTGGCGTCCAAGCCGCAGATCCTCCCAGTCCCGGCAACCCTGCAAGGCCTCCAAGTGAAGGGAATCCTCTGTTAGGCCCGACACTCGACGTCTGGCTACGGTCGCTGGCAGCGGCCTCATAAGCGGAAGACACGCGGCCCATGTTGCCAATGCCACCAAAAGGCGTCATGCCTGAAGCGGCGGCAGGATCGTTCATGAATCCACCTAGGCCTGGGAGCGTAGTGTTGTGGATATCAGAACCGTCCGTATCAATGTCCTCAGATTCGTGCTTGTCCTGCTGGGGGCTCTGGTACGGGTTTGTGTCGGTTGGACTCATAGGTTCATTTCCGTGGTGCTGAGGAGTGTGATGATGGAAGGCATCACGGCTCTGGAGGAAACTGCTGAATCCAGTGTTATCCGCCGTCATGCCGAAGGCAGAAAAGCCACTTTCATCCCTGGAGTCCTGGCGCTGCGGGGTTCCAAAACCGGTCATTTGGCGACGCGGAGGGCTGGTGTCCTGGCCACCACCGAGAGCAGCACTGCCCGAGCGCATGTTATCATCATCGGGAAATGGATCGGTATCATTGCTCAAGGGACGGTTTGCACGAGATTCCATCCACGAAGGAGTCTGCCTGCCCTGATCATTCTCGGGAACCTTCCCAAGGCTGTTCATGGATGCCTTCTCCCTCAAAGTCTTCTGCATGTCCTCGGAGCTGTCCTTGTTCATCAGACCCTTGAAACGACTCTCGCCACGCAAAGCTGCCAGTCCAGGTCTCTTGTCAGTTGGAGTGGAGGCTTGCCCCGTGTTCGCCGCAAGTGAAAAGTTGCCGAAACTGCCCATGGGTGAGAAACCAGCACTCTGCGGGCCAGCGCTCCACGGAGAAGATGGGCCAGAGAGACCAGCGCTGAAGGGACCAGTAGTGCTACGCTTCAAGCCGAAAGGAGGGTTTCCAGCATCGCCTTGAGCCTTGTCTTTGTCGCGCTCCTCTTGCCCAGTGCCCGGACCCGCGCCGGGCTCCTTGTAGTCCGTGCGTCGGCGCAGAAGTGCGGGCGGGGGAACAGCAGCGTTGGACTCTTGCTGAAACCTGCTGGTGGCTGGGGAGCCTGCTGCAGGGAAAGGATAGGCTTCTCCTGTATCGCGTCGGCGCGTGCCTGGGCGGTTGGTTGTCGGAGAGGCTAATCCGTAATTACCTGGGCCATTGGCGTGCGAGACGGACGTCTTGCGACCTAGGCCATCCTTCGCGTTGTTATCCTTGTTCGCATTTTGGTTGGGTAATTTGAGCGGCGAATTGACGGATGAGGTGAAGGCCTGTGGACACGTTAGCTGGCTGGGGATGAATTTGGGGACATGTCCCATTGAGTCAAAACAATCAAGGAAAGCGAGTCAGAGCAAGTGTGTAGCGAAGACACGGCGCAAACAGATTCATGCGACTCCAAGGGAGTGCGCCGGCGCAGAGCTTACCTCTTTCTCCTCCTCGGTCATCTCCGTCAGGCCCAGAGGTTGCATGGAGCCGTCTCGATCCCAGCATACGTCAGGCCCGGGTGGATTCTCCTTGCCGTGCTCGTGACTCCTGCCCCACGCGCCTCCAGACGCGCCGTTCAAAGACTGCGGCTCCCACCCTCCAGCATACAGTGCGTCCAGGCCATCGTCAGAGTCCAGAGGTAGCTGGCGAAACAATGACAGCAGCGAGTCCTTGGGGTATCGAGTTTCAACAGCAGCGGCGCCGTTTCGGTGCGGTGGCACGTAGACGCCGGGGCTTGACGCGTTGATGGTGGCAGCGTTGGAGAGAGAGGTGGCGTGCGAAGGGCGGCGGAAGGTCTGAGTTGCGCCGTTTGCGCGGCGAGCCCTGTCTCGGTCAGCAGATCAGGTGGTAGCAGCAGATCCAAAGCGCGGCTCGGATTTGGGCAGGCGGGCGCTGAGAAGTCGCGTGGCGGGCAGAGGGGCGGGTGTACTGACCATTCGCCGCCGGAGTCGTTACGCGTCGAGTTGGCGGTGGAATTGCTGCCCGCGGCAGCGGATGCGAATGTGGAGGGAGCCATTTGGATAGCGGTCGTGTGGTGGATAGCGGGGTGTGGGCGCGTGGTGGTGTGTGGTGGTGGTTGAAGGACCGTGTCCCTGTGAGAATTGTGCGGTGCGGCGGCGGCGATCCTGGACAGCAGACGGGCTAGCGCGCTGGGCCGAGGAACGTCGGGATGCAAGGTGGCGGGAGAACGCTGGAGTCGCAGGCAAAGACGGGTCGCTTTTGCTTCGAGAGCTGCTGAGGCTGGGAGCGTGCTTGAGGACAGGCGTGCTGTAGCTAGCTGCAACCAGCAAAGTTGATCCTCGACGAATTCTACTGACGCTGCTATCACGTGCGCCAAGCCGGCCCGCGCCCAACGCTGTCCGCGCAGCTAACCGCCCCGTAAGGCTCGGCCTCCAGATCAGGGGCGCTGCAGCTCTCGCCGGTGGCGCTCGCAGACCCGGAGATCGCTGCGCCCTGCGAGATGGGCGGTGGACCGCTGCCGTTGTCCCCGCCGCCGCCGCTGCTGGCTGCGCACCCGGCGAGCGGGTGTGTGACATCACCGCTGCTTGCCCGCGACCACCGCAACACCATTTCTTTGCAATAGTCCCCGCAGAGTGATCCCCCCCTTACTTGTTCTGTCTAGATTGACCATTGCCATTCCTGTGGATTCGAAATGTCCCTTCGACTTCCGTCACGCCTTCGTCACTTTTCCGTGGATTTGCAGCTTTCGTCTGGTCCGAGTGCCTGCCTGGGAGTTACATTTTATGCTTAACGCGTTCGCCGCCATACCGACTTGTTGGGCTCCTGAGTTAAAGTCGCTACGATACTACCGACAGGCCTCAGAGCTTGCAAGCACACCGCATTAAACCGTCTATTCCACAAAGGATGCGCTTACACATCCTAGTACGCCGAAAAGGAATAGACCCATTCAAAGCTCGTCCCTGTTGGGCGCATCTGGTCACCTCGCGCTAGTCACTGCGATGGTACGCTAAATACAGCTTCGCCATCATACCGCCAGGCAAACCTCTTTTCTAGTTATGTGTCATCCTGCCACAAGTCACGATGCAGCTCCATATTCAGGTCTCGGAGTTGTAATTGGAACCGTTGGAAGTCTCCCTGGAAATAGAGTTATTACAACCGCTCTCGTTTCTGAAATCACAAGGTCTGGCCGTCACAGCTAACAATCTACATCGTCCCGCAAAAGAGTTGGTTTGCTTGCAAAAGATGACAGACGCTAACATCTCTCATGCTCCAAAATTGGTAGTTGGGCTTGCTTATCTCTTCGGTGAGTCGTATCTTGAAGAAATGTGATGAGTTGCATCGTATGGAACTTCAACATCTTTAGGAGGAGTGACGTGGTCATTCATGACGACTTGCTGGACTCCATATTTTGGATGAGCTCTTATTATTCTTCTGGCTATGAGAGGCCGTAGAATGAAGTGCTCATTAGAATCGCATATAATACAGGAGATCGTCACTTCGCATCCTGGCTTCTCCATGTAGACAGATTGCTTAGATATCAATCATTGTCGTCCAAGTTCTGCCACAAGCTTGATAGATTTCTTTGATGACGGTGAATTTTGTCTGTTTGGCTGTCTGAATGATAGTTTGGCCACGGTCAGCCATGGAGTTGTTTATGTTCCCATGACTCTCAAAATATTGGAAACATACCCATTATAAAGCTCCTGCCTGTTTAACTTTCGCTTTGCTAAGGGAATATTTAGACAATCTCTTACTTTCAGCCAGGTGTACTGTTTAGCCGCATCATTAAACCATAAAGTCAAGACTAAAGTATTCATTAATGGCCACACAAGCGTACAGGTGCGCTGCAGCGTTTGAAGGATTGGATTTGACCCAGGAAAACTGATATTTTTCACAGCCCCGGGCAACCTCGCGAATTTCCGGAAGTTTGTTTGAATGGTCTAGAGGATTGCCTGACTTACGATCAATAACACAGAGATTGGAAATTCGGAACGTACAATGGTTCTATCTACTGCGGCCAAAACGGCATGTACCAGCTAGCTAGGGAATACGGGCCGTTGGAGAACGCCCGAGACCTGAAAAGATACTTTGATAGGCGGAAGGCCAACGACGAAATCGGATCCTCGAGCAAATTCAATCCGCACCTTCACAGAGCACCTGACGAAGACCCGGTCGTACGTGGGTACTTGAGGCTATCTTACGGACGCGAATGTATAATTTTTAATTCCACATGTACGTCCGGATGATGGCTTCAACGACCCATGACATGAGCGAAAACAAGTTCAGCCAGTCTCCAGCTGCCAACGAAAGTTCCCGTGGACTCCATGCCGGGCGCCTTGTGGTTTCACGCCATAGCTTTCAGAAGGCTCTTGGAAGTCCGGTGACAGGTAGCGCGCCTTCCACCTTAGGCACCAACAGGGTCCAGCATATGCAGGTGCTCACCGTTGCCACGGCGGCGGTCACCTTGCCAGCACCAGCACCTGACTGGCCAGCATTGATGTATATATATCTTTCCAGCTGTATCTGCACTCCCCTTCTCTTCTTCTTTTTGCCAGACTCCATACCACCTCGTGGGACCCAGTGTTGGTAAGACCCATCCCACCAAATTATTGAGCATAAAACTCTGCTCTGCCACTTCAATCGTACCAAATAGTTGGATGGCCCATCTTTTACTCCGCTGACTAAATGATTTGGTCTCCGATAGATACCAAGGCTTTCCCATTACAGCTCAACACCACCGTCCATCCTAAGCCAGCAGCCATGCTGCTCAAGTCTCGTGCGGGAGTCTTGCCTTTCGGCATCCTATGGCTCCTTCTCCTTTTCTGCTCAGTGCTGGCACCTGGTGCTGATTCGCGTGCTGTCATCACCACCGAGAATCTGGACCTCAAGCATGCACTCACGAACATCACGAAGCTCATGAAGAAAGATGTGGGTACCTCTTGTGACATTTCTCTTTGTGAAATCGATGGAAGTCTTTGCGAGACGGACCCCGACAACAACGATGGAGACGAGTATGATGACGACTGCGATGAGGACAACCTTGATGATTGCCCTCCTGCAGAGGTCGACACTACCGATGATACCGCCGCTAAGCGTCGTACCTACGAGGTCCGTCTCGGTTCCGGAGCGGCCGTAATTCTTACGGGCATGAACTATCCCTCCATCGGAAAGCTGTTGAAAACTAAGAAGGGAAGCCTGGTATACCAATATGCCATGCAGCCTGAGAATTCGGAAAGTTGCGAGAACACTTTTGTGGTTGCAAACAAAATTCAGGGCACTGATCCTCCCGAGTCTACCGTCACTGAGCACATCCTCGAGGTAAGTGTTTCTCCCTCGAACTGAGATTAATTCTAACTCAACCTCTTTAGCTCCAAACTATTTCTCAATGGGTAATAAAGGTTAGCTCTGGCAATTTAATTACAAAAGTCGACGACAAGTGCTTTACCGACTTCTGGGTAAAGTCGTCGTTGCCCAGCAATATCCCGAAAATGCAGAGCGGGGCCTTCAAGACTTCTACAGTGCCCAATGACCGGGTGTTCGAAGCCATGGGATCATTTCGGAACCGTGGTATCCTTCTGATTGCTGATTCTCAGATCAACCTGATCAAAGCTAGGGTACCTCGCTCCCCGTTTACTTCTTGTATGGTGCTAATAGCTTACCGCCCAGATCTGGTCGGGACTCAATATTTTCCAGGAACAAGCGGTCAATACGCTGTCGGACAATGCCGCCCTTTCTGGTGAGGACGCTGGCAAGGCAATGGGCATGATCGTGAGGCCAATTCAGGCCTTCAATTACCTGAACAACCTTCAGACTAGGTCCAGGCTATACGACACAATTGACGGCGTTCGAGATCAGCTCCAGGTCATTGAGAACAACATCCCTCAGTGTTCCGGTTTGGCTGCGAGTTGGGACGAGTTTATTCCGTGAGTGTCATGTGTTCTTCGGAGTTTTAAGTTTGTAGTTCGCTGATTGTCTGTAACTTGAACAGGCCCTTCCTCGAACAGATGGCTACAAAAACCGCAGATTGGCTTGAGCGCACAACTCGGAAAATTCTCGACAAGTTTGAGGAGGCTTTAAATGATAACCCCGACGATTCGGATTTGGAGGACCGTTTTATGGCTGTTGAGACTATCGCGGACTACCTGGAGGATGCCGCTCTTGTTACAGTCAAGGCGCCGGTCAGGCCACTTGTCCGAGTTGAGTGGCCGGACATCGACTGATGGTAGTGCTTGCGGTTGGTTGTCCCAAGCGTTTCAGATAGGCACAAAATCTTTGCAGCACAGGCTATGAGATCTTAGTACTGGCGATGGGAAGTGCGGTAGATACCACTTCGATTCCTCAATCTGATTTTACGGCGAAGTCTGTCTCAAATCGATGGAAGAGTGAAAAGCATAGAAGCTATCTCATAAATTCAATTAGCCCCAAAGTTCATTATGGGAGGCAGCTACCATGATTCAACGGTTTTTAGTCTTTGCAGATATAAAGAGAACGTGGTTCCGTATGACAAACCTCATTGAAACCAGTCAACCTATCGTGGAAAAACCGCACATGCTACTCATCCGTCTGTGTCGAAGGTGATAACTATCTATGAGTCTGCAGCCCCGCAAATACTGACTTCCGACGTGCTAATTTCACCATCGCCGCATTTTGACTGATTTCTTTGACTCCAAGATATTACCAAAGAGGCCGATGCGACGAGCAGCTGGACCTTCTCAGAAATGAGAAATGTACGGAGGGCGTGGTCCTTGGTGATAGGCTTCGTCGAAGCCGTAATGCAGCCTATCATAGAATTCTGGCAGCAACATGGAAGGATCTACCTTCATGTATCGTATCTTCTTTGGAATTGCATCGTCTCCCATCTTTTCCATCTGGTCCAGCTCCTCTTGACGATTGCGATAGGCTCCCATGGGCAGCCTGATCCTGGTGTCAAGGACCTTGACAAATGGAGCATCCTTGCGTAGTTCGAGAGCATGAGCGCGTTTCTTGTCGTCTATGATAGACTGCAAAGCCTCAGCATCGACGGCGATGCACGCAGCACGCCGCTGAATGACTCCGGCTGTCTCGGGAGTGTACTGGAAATGCCTAAAAAAAAAGTCAGTAATCTTTTGAGACCTCAGGCGGATTCTCAGCTTATCGTTTCATTCTGTAGAACATACCGAAATACTTGCTCGAAGCTGGCGCCATTCCACACTTCTTTGTTGTCTTCCACCGCCCAGTCAAGCATTGATAAGAGCTCTTTGCCTTCTGGAAGTGCGCTTTCTCGTGTGAGGTTGTTGCGGGTCTCCGAGTTGAGTAGATCCATGAACTTCTGCCAGGCTGCATCATCTTCATAGGTGAGGCGGTAAATCTTCAGTCCGAAGACCTCTTGTCCTTGTTCCTTCAAGTAGAAGAGAATACGCTCAGTCGACCTCATCTGCATGAAGGATTTTGGGCCCGTGCACGCCTTTTCCCTGGCCTCGCGCTCTGCTATCCTTTTGTTAAGGCGTTCCAAGAGGTCTCCTGCTGCCCTCCTCGCATTAGACTGACATGGCCGCTTTTCAGACTTGTCAGCGGCGTCAGGTGGTGTCTTTTGTTCGGACATGGTAGCGGAGGTTGTCGCCAGCGCCTGCAGTTGCCAACGGAGTTTGAAGAAGTTGGGTGGGAAGTGCAGGTAAGGTTGCGAATGCGGTGGTAATATAGACCCTGGGCAACGCCTTGGCACGTGCCCCTTCCTTAAGTGTCATGTGCGGGCGTTGCCCGGCTTTCCTTTCGCGAATTGGTGTCACTCAATGCCACTGACTGTAAATCAAGAAGTCAACTTAGTATTCTTTTTATATTTATTATTGTTTAGCGGGCTTCATCAGTTGCGTGACGCAAGCCTGCAGTCCACTGCCTTTTGGCGGATTCTTTCACTTCACCAAGCCGGCTGGTTGGCGTCCCGCGGGGAAGGCGTTGGAAACGCTGGTTTGCTGCCGATACAGTCCGGTTTCGATCTGCGGGGAGTAGAGCCGCGATTTCTTCCCAAACCTTGTTCCACAAATTGCCTTTCATTGTGATGTTGTCCTCTGCAGGTGAATTTCTTGCACTGCCAGGAGAGATATCTGGCATCCGCATGAGAGGACCATGTTCCTTTCTTCTCTACTCGATTCCGTAGAATGCGCAGACGGGCCCTCACCGCGCTGACAATCCTGGCAGATCCCATCTTGCTGATAACCTCCTTAGCAGTCAGGCCGTCTGTGGTGATAATAATGAGAATACGGCCCTCCTTATTGTATGCGATTGAAGGATGGTTAGTTGTTTTTATCAGAGGCGTCCTTTGCGCCTTGTTCTGACCAACTCCAAATCAATCCCAGCCGTTTTGCCTGCCTCGCAGAAAACCTATCAAAGTCATTAAAACAGGAAGAAGCACTACTTTCGCCTGATTCCCAGCGCAGAACCATAATCCTTCTTTTTCTTCTTTGAGCGGGCAAATGAGTAAGGCGATGCGTTCTCGCCGCCTGCGGGGATGCTGTTGTCGTTTTCGTTGTCATCAGCAGGGACCCTTCTCACGCCCTCATTTATGTCGGTGCGGAAAGCTTGCCGCGAAGCCTCCTCATCCTCGCGGTCCTGTCGCGCCACCTCATCGTCCAGGCCCACATTCCCACCAGCAGGACGGTGCTCTGCGAGTCGCTGCGCTCTGTCAAGTCGTGCATTCCGCATTCTAATCTAGTCCAGGGCGTCGGCGACGGCAAACTCGATCTTTGCGTCGTATGTCTTCACTTCCAGTTCGGCCATGGCATCGCGCTCGGCCTCTTCGCGCTCCAGGCGGTCCAGACGTTCCTCATCGGTCTCTTCGGCGAGCTTGGCCTCGTGCCATGGTTCAAAGTTGCGGGTTGCGCCCTTCTCACATGTATAGTCCATGTTTCGTGGGCCTGTTTTGAACAGGATTTCCGCAGAGCATCGCGTGCAGCGAATGTAGAAGCGGAATATCTTGATTGCATAGTACGACTCATCGGTCGTCTCCTTTCGCGGGTTGAATTTACGGCCCTTGCTAGATGGGAGATCTTGATATCAGTATTAGAGGATTGAAAGTGAAGAGAAGGGGGGACTTACTAGATATACTCGCCGCATGCATTGCATTTCATCGAAAAGGGGGCCATGAGTCGCACAGTCTGCACTTCGTAAGCAGCACCCTTGGGCTTGCGTTGTCAAGTGATCTTGATAGGATCAAAGTCTAGTGGGTAATACTTGGACAGGACTTTGCGCTCCGACATAGTGATCGAACGCCCGTGTTGGTTGGAGACGTTCGGGTTGAGTGTGATTACGCTGTACGCAGTGGCGGCTGCGAGGCGCGCTGGTTACGGCAGGAGCGGTGCAAAGCGGGAGAAGTGCTGCAGCGTGATGTGCGATCCGAGTTGAAGGAGGATGGTGGCGGGGGATGGGCGATGGAATATTGGTGACGGAATTAATACAGACGCTAGTAGAGTAGTAAAGTATAGTAAACGTGAAGATTTTAGTGTTTTCGAAAGAGTTTAATACTTTAATAGTATATAGTAGAGAAAAACTAAGGAAGTTATAAATTAAACTCATTATCTTAGAATGTATACATGGCGCGAGTCTATATAGCAGACGATGTTGAAGCGAGAGTCCTTGTTAAAGATGTGAAAGGATAGAAAAAAAGGACTCTCCCATGTATGGAGGGCGGTATGTACTTACCCGGAGATTTTAGCGCCGAGCTTAGAGCGGCCTAGACCGCGGCTGCCTGAACAACGCTGGCTCCTTCCACCGTTAACACCATCGTCGCCATCAGGGGACCATCAAAAATTTCAGCGTCTTCAAGGAGTCCTGCAAACGCGTTCCGCCCTCGTTCCTTTCGCCGTGAGGCGTGGGCATCTTTTACTGCCACCAGAACTAAGTATTCGCATCAGATCACCAGGTCTCTCGGAGCGTCGAGTTGGCGATAGGATTACAAAATACCTTGCCGCATTTGGCTAATAAACAATCATGCGGACCAATCTGCCCCCGGCGTCTTTACCAAGCCTTCCGGAGGAGATGATTGATGTAATCATATCCTTCACTGATCGCGAAACACAACAGCAACTCCGCCTGTGTTCCAAGCAATTCGACCGCCTCACAACACCACGATATTTCCGCAAGTTTCGCTTTAGGCTCTCGCAGCTCAGTCTGGATGGGTTGATCAGTATAGCAAACCATCCAGAAATTGCCAAATACGTACAAGATCTGGAGTTCAACAGTCACCAGCTGCTCTGGTTCTTCGATCTCGACTCTTTCCTAAGAAAGCTTGATTTGCAACCTGGTAAGCATCGCCCATATTTCCCTGAAGACTTTCCTAATGGCCAAGTCAGGTCAACCTTGGCGCCCAATTCCGGGCCTTAAACACATACCCACCCAGGACTTCGACCGTTCACAACTCCACCAAATCTACGCCGCTTACGCTTCAGAGCGCGACACGCCGGCCGACTACGTCGAATGCATCCTTTCTCACCCTGAATCCAGCAACCCTCTCATCCCCCACACTTACCCCAACCTCCCCCATGCCTTCGCCTCCCTCCCCAACCTCCACACCATCACCGCCACCTTTGGCATGCCGCACCAACAATACCCGCCAACCTACGCTCACACCTGGCGCGGCCTTACCTTCACCCAGCCCGATCCAGACCCTCCCGGCGACCGTGACATCCAGAAAGCGATCGACCTCTCCTGCCTACTGCACGCACTAAGTCAAGCCGCCGCCAACCGACTCTCTCCCCTCCCCCTCCGTACCCTCATCCTCCCCATCATCGGCTATGCAATCTTCGGCCCCAGCTCTCTGCGCCGCCTCTGGGAAGACTATTCCATCACTTCACACGTCATGCCCGACCTCTGGACCACGGGGTCCGGCAACGGCGGCATACAGGCCACCACCGACGCCAACGGAATGGCAGAAGTTGCCATCTACAGCCCCCGGTTCCGCGCCATCACGGCCGTCTTCACGGGGCTGACGCGGCTGGACCTGCGCATCGACTGGACGGGCAGCAACGTCGGCGGCACGGCGCGCATGGTCTGGGGGCTGGCGGCGATGCTGGAGCGGGCGCGCGGGCTGGAAGAGCTGGCGCTGGCGGTGCAGCGCGACGTGGTGCCCAAGCTGTTCGGATGGCGGCAGTGGACGCCCGAGGCCGAGCGCGGGTGGAGGACCAAGGACGTGCTGCTGGTGCTGGTGGGCGGCGAGCACGAGTCTGACGTCGACGACGACAACAACACGTTGTTGGACTGGCCGAACACGGCGGCGGCGCCGGTGGACGTGCGCTGGCCGCGCTTGCGCAAGTTGACGCTCGGCGTGCAGACGACGCAGGACGGCTTGCTCGGCTTGCTGGGCCGCGTCGCGGGCTCTCTGCGCAGCCTGACGCTGTCGAACATGAGGTTCATGCCGCGGCTGGGCGATTGGGACGACGCGCTGCGGCAGATGAGGGGCTTGTTGGAGCTGGAACAGCTGGAGATGAACTGGCTCATGCATATACCGGACTTTTCCTCCGCGGAGTATAAGCGTGAAGCTATGCTCATGGCTAGAGATATTGAAGCTGGCTGCGTGGACGATGAAATGGCGGAGAAGCGGTACCGGATGACGTACCGGCATTATGAGGCGCAGGCGGTTGACTATGTTTTGAAGAGAAGCGAGATTGTGCCTGAACTAGACCAAGGGGCATTCTTTCGGGACCATCCTGAAGACTGCGACTGGTGCGAGGAGAGGATTTTAGAAAATAAATCCAGGTAAACCGTCGGGATATTGTGGAGTTAGTGGATACGGACGGTTTAATTGCGATGGCCAGAATGTAATATCAGTGATAGACAAATTGAGAAGGAAGCACGTCTTGATGAAACCGGGCAAGAAAAGACATGAAATATTCAATCAGAAGTAAACCTCGCTAGACGCCGGACTTCCTTGTCCAACTCCTAAACACCAATATCCTCCCTCAAATTCCCGTGGTATCGCTTTCGTCACAAAATTCCAGAAGTTATAAGAGCGCGCCCCGGATGGTACGTAAGGGAAGAAAGCAACACCGGTGGATGGCTCATATCATCGGACGCTTACATGCGATTCCAGATGTAGTCGGCATAGAAATACCGCGAGAACTGCGGATCAAATGTGACCAGGTGCACATCACCCTTGCTGGGATTGGTGATAGTAGCTTTGTTGTAGTTGCCAGTCGAAGGGTCGATCTCGGGCTTGATGCCCAGCATGCGGTAAACCCGGAGCTGAAGCCTACAATTCACACTATGTCAGTATCAGGAGGCTTTCTCGCCCATGAAGAGGGATGCGCTTACAAGATAGAGTCTTCATCGTTCATGTGTGCCCTTCTGACATCTCCGCCTTCAATACCCTGCGCGTCGACCTCTTCTAGCTCGGCCTTCAGACGCTCGAGCTCCGATGCCAGGCGTTCTTCCTCGATCTCCAGGTCAGAGACTTGCTTCGCGACCTTGAACTTCTCCGTGTCCAGGCGCAAGATCTCGGCGGCGTGCTCGGCCGGGTTGTGCGATTTGGTTGTAAGGTTGTGCTGGGACTGGAGGGAGCCCAGCTGCCGGGACAGCTGCTGCAGCTTGTCCTGTTCGACTTTGATCTGACTTTTGCGCTGGTTCTCGAGGTCATTGTAGGAGCTGGCACTGCGCGAGATCGCCGCCTTGTCGGGTGCGACATTGAAGTTCGAAACGCATTGGCCGATGATCTGTACGGAAACACTGCAGTTAGTTGGGATAAAGCGGACCCAAGATTGGAAGCGGCATACAACTGCGGGGTGCTCGTCAAGAAGCATGTTGGAGATTTCCGTGGGGCGTTGGCACTATTCGGGGTGGGTTGTGTGGATTGCGACGGGACCTGTGGGTGCGGGAGCGGAGGTTGTTTTTGGCGGAGTTGTCAGGCAAAGCTGCGGTGTTTTGGTTTTTACATTTGTGGGCTAGCGCGCTGCGCCACAGGCCGGGCGGTGAACATCGAGTGGCGCCGTACGTCAGTGGCAGGGTGGTCTCAAGGTCAAGCGCGCGATCGGGCGGCGGCAAGCGCTTCCTACGACTCACGAAACACCCGCAACCAAAGCAACACGCGCTTTCTCTCCCTAAGATCGTGACAATATGGCGCCTTCTCTGCCCTGTACGTCCCGTCGCTGCGCATGCTGCTACTCTGGGCGCGCAAGTAACCAGCCGCTGCTAACATGACCTTCGCAACAGATGCCGCCGATGCGGAGAGGTGAGACACCTCCGGAAGCCCGATGGCAATCCCGAAGTCAAGCGACATGCACTCTGACGACGTCCGACAGTCCGCTTAAGCCAGAGGAACTTCAGGTTCTCCGCTCCCAGTACGAGAAAGAGGGCGAATACGTAGGCATTCAGACCAAGTTCAACTACGCATGGGTACAACTCCATCTCCTTGGTGCGACTCTGGATTTACAGTTGCTCACTTTTCGCGCTCCAGGGCCTCATCAAATCCACGCAACGCAGCGAGCAACAAGAAGGCGTGCGCCTCCTCTCCGAGATCTTTCGCAACAGCCCCGAGCGCCGTCGCGAATGCCTTTACTACCTTGCGCTTGGCAACTACAAGCTCGGCAACTATGCCGAGGCCCGCCGTTACAACGAGCTGCTGCTCGACCTTGAGCCTGCCAATCTCCAGGCCGGCAGCTTGAAGACACTCATCGACGACCGCGTCGCGAAGGAGGGTCTGATGGGCGTTGCCATCGTGGGCGGCATCGCGGTGGCCGCAGGTGTAGTGGGAAGCTTGCTCATCAGGAGCTCGCGCAGGAGGTAATCTAACAGTAAATAAATGACATGGACATGAGACAGGCTGGATGGCACGGAGGATGTTTGGGCGGCGTTGGGTTGCTGATACACGATCTTCTGTAGCATAGGTAGCGCTTTGTTTGCAAGGCAACAAGTCTCACTCAGCGTGCCTGTCCCTTGTGGATTGCTCCGGAGGTTGCGGAGAAGGAAGTGGAAGAAAACAGAAGCAGGCCCCAACACGGAGCGAGATGAGTCAAGGCAGGCCAAGGCCGACGTGTCTCAAGTGCTATAACACAGGGATAGAGTGGGTTTGCCGCAACGTGGTTCCGCAGCTGCAAAGCACAGTTCGAAAGTTCGTGGACCCTTGGACTGTGGGCGCGACTCGTGCGTCGGTCGGAAAAGCTTGGCAACAGCGCGTCACAGCTGGTCGATTGCGTTTCCATCAAGCCCGCACCCTTTGGCAATCCAGCTTTCCCGCCCTCCGCTCTCGTCCGATGCCCCATCCTTAACCAGCTCCCTTTGCAGCTGCTCCCGTCGCCTGTACAGCATTCTCATCCCTCGCGCAACCTTGTGCCCGCGCCTTCCAGCTCACCTGGCCTCCCCGCAACGAGCACCCGACCCCGGCGTATGACATAACCCTGCCTGCTGCACACCCGCCGCCAATCCGAGACATCGCAGCTACATACCCCAAACTCCAGACCAGCCTCGCGCCGCCTCACATCCGCGTTCTCACCTGTGTCGCGCCCGTCTGCCATCTCCTCACCGCGCCTGGCCATCTTGGTCGCATTTCTGGCCCCGCAAAGTGCCCAAACCGCTGTCCTTTGTTGGCCTTGCCCGCGCATAAGTACATTGCCACCAGCACGCGCGTCACGGCTGTGACCCGGTCGCCATGAGCACCCCGCAGGCAAATCGCGAGATGGTCTTCTGCCATGAGTGCCAAAACGAGTGGTACCGGGACGAGCATGGTCTGACATGCCCTGATCCTGACTGTCATTCCGAGTTCACCGAAATTGTGAGTTATCAGCCGGCAGCTCTCCCCACGTTACTCTGCCCATGTACTTTAGCTCCCGGGGCGCATAATCACTCGCTGTTATGCGCAACGCCAATTGCCACAACCGCATTCTGTCCCAAAACATCCCCTGCTAACCGTGCGCGGTAGATTGAACCCGACCACGACCCCCGCGACGACCATCTGAACCTCGAGGACGACTCCGAGGACGAGCCTAATCCTTTTACGCACAATCCTTGGAACGCGCCAGACCCTGAAGAAGGCGTGCCCGATCCGATCCACGGTTTCCCGCCAGGAATCCGTCTACAGCGCAACGGTCCCAACAGTTACTCCATCACCGGCACCTGGTCAACGACTTTTGGAGGACCCCGGGGGCAGACTCATAATCACGGCGAATTTGGCGAGCCCAATGCCTTTGTAAACCCCTTGTTCCGTAATTTCGCCACTATGATGCAGGGAATTACTGGGGCTTCACAGCGACCGAATGAGCACGGTGAGGAGGGCCAGCCTGGTTCGTCAACGAGAGAAGAGACTAGGTCAGGTAGCGGTCCACACTACACCTACACGTCAACCGCAAGACTATTCCCACGGGACGCGAACAACCCGGGACCACATGTTGAGCCTACCGATAGCCTTCATGAGTAAGTTTTCAGATTCCGGCTACTTCTTTGACATCTTTATTTTCAGCAGCCTTACACTGGTGCTGCGTACTTGCAAACGGGACGGCCGGTCACCTGCACTATTTGCATCTTTTGGAGCTTTCGTCCTCTAGGGCTGAATGCCCCGTGGTCGCGAGACGTTTCTTAGCTTGCTATATGGCTAGTAGGCTTTCACTTGCATCTGCTAACTTAGCATAGGGTAATTGCCGGTATTCTAGGTGGTGGTGCGTTTGGTCCGCCTCCTTCCGCACGAGACCGTGGTCACGGTCCCGGATCACCCGGTGGCGAAGGCGGCATACCACCGAATCCGCTTGCAGCTCTATTTGCCTCTCTACTCAACCCACAACTTGCCGCCCATGGAGATGCAGTGTACAGCCAGGAAGCTCTTGATCGCGTTATCTCTCAGTTGATGGAGCAAAATGCTACAGGCAACGCCCCGGGACCGGCCTCTCAAGAGGCAATCGCAGCTCTACCGAAGAAGCGTGTCGATCGTAAAATGGTTGGCGCTGCTGACTCTCCGCCGGATTTTCCAGACAGCGAGCTTCACGGCGAGTGTAGTATTTGCATGGATGAGGTCCCGATCGGTGAAGAAGTAACAGAGCTTCCGTGCGGTCACTGGTTCCATGGTCAATGTATCGAGGCATGGCTGCGCGAGCACGATACCTGCCCGCATTGTAGGAAAGGTATCGAGAAGAAGGATAACCAGGGAAGTCAGCAAGGAGGACAAGGCCCCAGCGGCGGAGCCGCAGGTTCATCTGGATCTGGGTCTGGACCTGGAAGCGGCAATTCCGGTAATCCCCCGGGAAGCAACAATAACAACAATAACAGCGGTAGCGGTGGCTCATCAAACCTTCCCGATGATCAGTTCGTTCCTAACATGCCCGGCGGCCTGTACACGACGTCCTTTTATTCTATCGGCACCGCTCCTCGCTCCCGTACGCGCTCGCCCTTCGATTTCCCCCTCTTCGGCATCCCCCACTCCGCAACTTTCCCCCCGCCGCTCTTCCAAGATGCTTCGGACCAGCCGACCATGCGTCACCATCGCTACAGCCACCAGACAAATGAGCCATTCATGCGTATCTGGGAAGGTTCCTTTGACGATCACGACCGCGTCTTGCGCGGTAGCGGTCACACCTCGCATACGCACGTCACTGTCGTACGTCCTCGCCGGAGACACAGCTTTAGTCGGGCACTCAGCAACATGGGACACAGCATGGCTTTAGCAGCAGGTGGTGGAGGTAGTGGTGGTGGTGCTACATCGCACGGAGGTACAGAGAGGCCAGGAATCGGTGAGCGGCTAAGGAGTTTATTCCGCTCCTAAGAAGAAACAACACATGCAACAAAAAAAATAACTTTTAGACTCTTTGAGGGCGGTTTGTCTGACTTTTAAATCTTTTCTCGCCTCTTTTTAATAAAGTGGCCTAGGGAGGAGTTTTATAGTAAACTGCGTGCGCGCGCGGAAACAAAAACAACGAAACCCGGCAGAGAGCTCTCTTTAAAGTCGACCTCAGAGGTGCGAGCGAGCGGACCTCTTATTCCTTTCTCGAAATAGCAGCACCGGTGGATTTAGCGAAAGGAATTAAACCCATGCGGAGATAGAAAAATGGGCGCAGGCAGGTTGGGCTGGCTAGGTGGCTGACTGGTTGCGTGGTGAAGGTTGGGGGGGTTTCACGGCTGAAATGATGATTCTTTCTCTTCTCCTACCTATTGAACTTATTCCTATCGCCCGATGAACGAGAATGTTGCGTGTTGTGTGAGGAGAGATGGTATGGCGGCATTCGGTGACTTTTTTTCCCCTTGATACCTTTCGTTTGTACACTTTGACCTCTCTTCGGATTTACATTTTGCTTTTTTGGCGGTTTTCTCGATATTGTAAAGAAGAAAGCTTGGGATAGGGGGAAGTGTGTACCGGAGTAGATCAGGTTGCGGATTGATTGGTTGATTATTTATACAGATAATGGAAAGAACGCGGAGAGGGCTTCTGAGCTTTCGTATCTTGCTTTTTCGCTCCATCCTTCGTTTCTTCGGGTTTCCTGCTCTTCGGAATGATTTGACAGAGTGCAGTTCAGTCTGAGGAGGCATGGGAAAGGTAGAGCATCGCGCAAATGTCCAGGGAAACAAAAGGTGAAAGCACGAGCAGGGAGATACGAGGACACCGCAGTACACATATAATTGAGAACACAAGCCAGCCAAGATATGAGCAAGATACACAGACGCTGCTGTAAGGATAGGATTGGGGTAATTTGATTTGTGCTGGCCTTTTCCCTCTTCCACTCATGCCGTCGTGACATCTTCCCCCAATTTATTTTTTTCACGAAGGCCTACTCCAGTCGTCCAGCCCTCAATTCCTCTTGATCATATGATTTCCAGAGTGAAGATGAATACATATCGTTCCAACATATTTTCGTATTCCCGATATTATACTTTTTTCTATGACTGCTAAGTCTTCGTAAAGCAGGTTTATACAAGACTTCATCCATCCCCCTCCGCTCGTATCGCCGCCCCATAAAGGACGAAGAAAAAGTAGAATCATTCCCTTATATGCAATACCCATCCACGCTATGCTCGCCTCTCCCCAAAGTAGAGTAAAAAAAAACTCAAATGGTATCAAGAGAAATCGACAAAAAAAAAGGGGGGAAGGAAACCTCGACCCAACCCGCCCCAAAACTTTACACCCAAACACACCACCACCCCACACACAGCTCACGCAATCGACCTCCCAGAACTAAAAACCCTCACCAGCTCCTCTCCTTCCTGCGGACTCAAATACTCGTCGAGCAGCTGATGCGCCATATCCACGACCTCCTCCTCGATCCCCGCCTCCAGCACTCTCGCGCTGCCGAACCCCCCTACTCCCCCCACATCATCGCCCTCACCACCATCCTCCTCCTCCTCGCCGTCATCATCGACGTCACTAAACGCCAGCCGCGTCAGCGCAACCAAATGCGCATGGTTAGCGCCCTGCACAGCCTTGAGACGAGCCGGACGGTCGACGAGCTTGCGCGTGGCGGGGTCGGTGGCGAGGACGAAGGCGACGCGGGTGCCGACGTTGGCGATGGCAGCTAGCGTAGCGGCGAGCGGGGTGCGCGGCGCCGTCGCGTAGAGCGTCGCGACGGCGTCGTTGAGCAGCAGCAGCAGGCGGCCCAGGAAGTACTTGTGCGTGGCCAGCGCCGCGGCCGCGGCGGGTGAGTGCAGACAGGCCGCGAAGGTGTGCAGGAGCGTGAGGCGGAAGGACCACCGCGCGGGTTGTTGCGAGGGGACGAGGGATGGCGTGTCCTGGAGGAGGGACGTCAGGTGGTCGGTGACGGTGATGTCTTTGATGCGGTCGGAGGGCAGCTCCGCCGGGTCGAAGTCGGGGATGGGGCCGAAGGTTGTGGGGGTGATGCTTGTTGCGAGGAGCTGGACGGTGAGGGAGAGGGTGGAGAGGAGTGGGGATTTCAAGAGGGCTCTGATGAAGTCACGGGAGACGAGGGACCAGAACCGCGTCGTGGCTTCGGTGTCATGTATGCAGCTTCGAGAAACGGTAATCATGAGGCGAAGACACTCGTGGAGGTCGATGTGTTGCTTGAGTTCAGGATTGTCTAGGGATGTCCAGACAACGAGGCTTGCCGAAGACTGAACCAACGGCACGATCTCTTCGGCCAAAGACGCCGTCTTCTCAAGCGACTCGAAAGAGAGAACGAATTGTAGGGTGTCGAGGATGATATGCAAAGGGTGATACTGAGAAAATCAGCTCTAGATCTGGCAATAGTGTTGAAGTGTAGCTTACATAACTCTCCTGCGCACAGCGGTCCCATAACGATAAGAGAATTCTACAAAAGTGAATTGAGAAATCGCTTGATTCGTCGTGGTACAAAGATATCCCGTCATAAACGACAGAGGAGAGGAGACGATCGGGTAATGATGGGAAAGCAAATTCGGTAAACGCCTCAAAGGTTCTCACCCGCGAACCCGTCGGCCGATGGTTCATAAGCCTTTTGAGGAGCTACAAAATTAGCAGAGCTTCGGCCGTTGGAAAGAAATTCTCACCTTGAATTTCTTGTCAGTTTTGCTGACGTTCGCAAGAAGATCATCTTCAGGTTCAACATCCTGCATTGCAACAAGTCCATCATCTTCCGGCACTTGGGGCGGCTGCGGCTCCGCGAGCGGGAGGGGCTTGGCCGGACTTGCTTCAAGAGCATTTCGTTTCCGTTTCGCGCCTTGTTTGGGAGTTCCATTTCTTGACTTGTCCCGCGATTTGCTGGGGGACACCTCCATGACACCGCCATCATCGAAACCATCTCCGAACTCAGCTCTCCGGGTCCTCTTAGGCGTAGTTTCCTGGGCCTTTCTAGCATTGCCATTGACAGTACCATCTTTCAGATTCCGCCGAGACTTTGGCTTGCCGGTCTCCGTCTTGAAGTCCTGCTCTAGGAATTTGTACTCGCTCTTGGTCTTGTCGAGTTCCCGCTTCAGCGCTGCGATCTGTGCCTCGAGAGCGGCGGCCCTTTCGGTGTTGGCCTTTTTCTTGGAAGCGAGCGCGTTCATGTGTTCCTTGTCTGCCTTCTGTAGCTTCATGCGCAAAATGGAAGCCTCGCCGGCCTTCCTCTGAACCTGAGCCAGAGCTTCATTCTTCGCGCGAGTGGCATTGTCGATCTCATTTCGAAGCTGCGACCGTCAGCAATGGATTCCCACAAATGCGCGATTCTGTTATACCTCGTCAATCTTGGTTCTCAATTCCTCTATGCTGGCGTCGGCACAGTCGTCGGCGGCGAGTGACTGTTGTACAGAGGGCGCAGCAAGGTCGTAGTTGCTGTTCCTTGCATGTCTGTTTAGACGATGCTCGTAGAGGGGCTCGCGACGGTCGGCGGCCAGGTCCTGGGCGGTCCGTCGCGTGATGGCATTGTTGCGGACAGTATTTCCTCCGAAGCGCTGGGGCGGGCCGGTGACGTTAGTTTGGGGCAATTTGGCGAGAAGAGGCTGGCCGTCCAGCTGTATGTCGTTGGCGTCAGGAAAGTCATATTCGGATGGCGGCGGATCTGCCTGTGGCGGGGCTTGGTGCTCATACGCATCCGCGGCAGACGGCGCATTGGAGAGACGGCGTTGCTGGGTCGAGGCATAGGCCTGGGTTTCTATCTCGCGGACAGCTTCCTCGGGCAGGTCGTCGAGGTCGTCGGCGGAGCCGAAGTCGTCGTCGTCGAGGGCCATGCCATTGACGGGTGCGGACGAGTAGCGGCGCAGGTAATTGAGGCGGCGCGTCGCGGAGATGATAGGCGGCCGGGGTTCAGGCGTCGGGCGGCGGCGTTCACATGTGGGCCTCGCTGCCAGGTGCTTTGCAGCCTTGGCGCGTCGTTGACGTAGATCAGCAGCCTCCGCAGCGCTCCCTCATTCCCTCACCTCGCCATCCGCCCTCAAAGCCTATATCGCTCGCCAGAGCCCCGCGCCCAGTCGCTCGTCATCCAGACGCGCGCTGCAAATCACCTACCTTCGCCTTTGCTAGCGACCGCTCCGCCCTGCTCCGTGCTCCGCCCAAGCGCGAAAACGTTGAGGAGCGCGCCAGCTCCCATTTCTGCCTGCCAGCCCCCATTCGACGCGGATTTATACCGTCAGAAGCTTGCGAAAGAGCTGGGGCAAATCCGTGGTTGTTAGCACCGCCGTGAACCCGTCGCAACCATGACAAAGCCGAGGAAGGACGTCAAGTTCCAACACCGCGGCAGCGGCAGCAGCGGCAAGGGCAGGAGAATGTCCATGTCTGAGCTCAGCGAGCCGCACTCCGAGCCCGGCAGCCCTACGAGGAATGGCGCTGTCGCGAAGCCAGAGGTGGGTGTACCGCCATGCGCTGTAAGATACCGGCGGCTAACAGGCAACAGGAACCGCCCAAGTCGGACTACGAGAAGAAGAAGGAAACCTTCATTACCCGTACTATCTGGACGCTGGTCATGATCGCCGCCTTTTTCTGGGCCATGTTCGCCGGACACATCTACATCATCATAATCGTAACTGCGGTCCAGATAATTTCCTTCAAGGAGGTCATCGCCATTTCCAACGTACCTAGCCGCGCCCGGAGCTTGAGGTTTACGAAGAGCTTGAACTGGTATTTCTTGGGTACGACAATGTACTTCCTGTACGGAGAGAGCGTCATTTACTACTTCAAGCACATTATCCTCGTCGACAAGATCCTCCTCCCGTTTGCTACCCACCACCGCTTTATCAGCTTTATGCTCTACGTCACTGGTAAGTACCACGAGCGCTCAGTCTGCCGGAATAATTCGCTGACATTCTTCTAGGCTTCGTGTTCTTTGTCGGATCGCTCCAGAAGGGACACTACAAGTTCCAGTTTACTCAGTTCGCCTGGACTCACATGGCGTTGTATCTCATTGTTGTTCAAGCGCACTTCATCATGAACAACATCTTCGAGGGCATGATCTGGTTCTTCCTGCCAGTTTCCCTGGTCATCACGAACGACATCTTTGCCTACATCTGCGGTATCACCTTCGGCCGAACCCAGCTCATCAAGATCTCGCCCAAGAAGACGGTTGAAGGCTTCCTGGGCGCATGGGTTTTCACCATCCTGTTTGGCGTGCTCCTGACGAACATCCTGATGCGCTACAAGTACTTTATCTGCCCCGTCAATGTAAGTCCTCATCTTCTCGCCTCTTTAATCTCGGCCAACAAAGAAACAGGACCTCGGAGCAAACATCTTCACCGGTCTGGAGTGTGAAGTTAACCCTGTTTTTATCCCCCGCACCTACCGCCTCCCTTTTATACCTCCCAACTGGACCCATCTCCCTACCAAGGTCACCGTCGCGCCTATGCAGTTCCACATTCTCGTTTTCGCGACCTTCGCTTCCCTTATCGCTCCATTCGGCGGCTTCTTCGCGTCGGGCCTGAAGCGCACGTTCAAGATCAAGGACTTTGGCGATTCGATTCCTGGACACGGTGGCATGACGGATCGCATGGACTGCCAGTTCATCATGGGTTTCTTCGCCTTCATGTACTACTCGAGCTTCATCGCCGTGTACAAGGCGAGCGTCGGCGGTGTCATCGAGCAGGCCATTACGGGGCTCACTCCGGAGCAACAGATGGAAGTGGTGAAGGGCCTGAGCAAGCATCTTGTGAACCAGGGTGTTATTCCCTCTGCCGTAAGTCTTATGCGAGTCGCCTTCCCAACAAGCGCCTTATCTAATCATCAACCCAGGTTCTCGAGTATCTTTCGGATGAGCTCAAGCGGAGATGAATTGAGGTTTGATCGAAGGATCAGCTCTTTCTTTCTACTAAGCTTTTTTGCACCACGTCGCGACCCGCGTATCCGAGACGCTAATATCTCTGGGGTCCCCAGTGCCCTTGCTTCAGCAACGGCCGTGCGCAGCCCTTTTTGTGTGTAATCATACTTAGCTCTTTCCTCTTCTCCTTTGGCCGATGATGTTGAAGTCGGGGTTGGCTGTCTTGGCGACTACAACCCCTCATCTACCTCCACCTATCACAAACCGAGCGTTTTTTCCGATCCCACTGCAGCTGCAAAGGCACAATATTCTTAGGTGCTATTGTGTCTACGAGACACATGATTTGAGGCGTTGTAATTTGATGCGTACAAGCATGTCTCAGTGGGCATGACGCCGCAACAAAAGCAGCGAAGCGTGGAAGTAGTAGAAGGACGGCAGCCTTTGACTGAGTGGATGGACGAAGAGCCCGATTGAGGGTGGAAGCTTCCATAGGGAAAGTGCTGTTTAGAACAATCCAATACCCATTTCTTTCTCGAAAGTGCCTATACTCTTTGAACTCAAAATTTTTTTTCAGGCCCTGAGTGACGTAAGGTCAAGGAACAGGGTCCTGTCCGCGCTCGGTGTTTGAGGCGGCGCCAGCGCGAAGCGAAGCATAGCGGATCTCCGCATGACGACAGATGGTTAAGCTTATCCAGACCACATAAGGAGAGACTCAAAAGCATTGGTCTTTCGGCTGTTCCTTCCTAGAATCGGTCAACTAGAATACTCGCGTTCGAAGACGCGATAGTTGCCAAGATGGGCGTAAGGTGTTTTTTCAGCGGCACGAAAGCGGCGGTGATCAAAGTCGAGCCTTCCTAATTGGTGTGGAAAGCTCTTGTGCGCTCCATTTAGGGAACCCGACCTGTTTATCCTGGTTGTTTGCTTCTTTTCTACGCTGCGGTCGACGCGCGCGACTATCCACCGTCGCCGTCATGTGGCATTCCAAGTCATCATTGCCCGGTTATAGCGCCGTCCGCTACGCCTTCAAGGGCATTCGCGATAGCGGCCTCCACGAATGCGCGAGGCGCAGCATGAGAATCGTTCTTGATACCGCCGGTGGGTGAGGCAGCGCGAATGCACCGGAAACAAGCGGGTTGAGCACGTACGTTTCTTTCTCTACTCGCCTCACCTGAGCAATGCTGACAGCCACGGAAGACTGTGTCAAACTCGAGACTACCTCAGTTTAGTTTTGGGCTAGAACGTTCTTCTTGTTCTCGCCTTCCTTCAGCTTCTCTCAGGCAGCGCCTTCTTGGATTGAGCAAGTATGGGTTCTACACTACAATCTCGTCGGCGCCATGCGCTGCGTTTGAACGTGTCGATTACATGGACAGGGCGAAAATATCACGATTAGCTCGCAAATCGACGGTAAGGACAATATGGGCGCAGGTGAGGGTGAGGCGGACGCGCAAACTGTAAGTGAAGGCAGCCCACCTGGGGCTCGACGTCATTCACCATGAAACACAGCCAGCCACTAGCAACAATAGCGGTCGTGTCGGCGGCCTGCTGCCTGCTACTATTGTTCCTTTCACTGCTATTCATGACGGCGCTACTGTGCGCGCGAACAGTTCTACATCATTTCCTGTCTATTCGTCCACCGACCGCACCCTTCCAGCCGACACTCCGCCTTCATCCTCCAAGCGCCGTCTTTTCGGCCAAACCCTGACCATCTCACTCCAAGCTAACTCAGCTGCGATCGCAAACATGTCGCCTGGATCGGGCGGCGCTGGCACTCCCGCCACTCCTCGCAAATCAACGTCGTCTCGCCTCGCTGGCTCCACTGCTACCTCCATGGACACCGATACATCCAAGAAGCGCTCGCCTACGAGCAAGAAGACGCCTCGCGCGAAGCCCCGCCAAGCTACCTCTCGCGATAAGTCTGCGACCGGATCCTCTCCTGCCAGCTCTGCCATTAAGAAGCGCGAGCGTTCTCGCCGCAAGCCCGCGCCCAAGCCCGTCACTCCGCCCAAGAAGAAGGTCCGCGTCTTGAAGTACTACATCTGGGCCCCCAAGAGCCCCAGGGCTAACACCGAGTTACCCGAGCAGCACGATGGGGCCTTCGGCGCCGTCTTCAACCCATACGGACTCAAGCAGCCGAAGTTCCGTCTGCCAGAGTACTCTTCTCTCGGCCACAGCACTTCGAAGACAAGCTCCGTGAGCGGTCTGCAGCAAGCCTCTGCTTATCAAGCCGCACCTTCTGCCAGCCGTCGCCGTTACTCTTCTAGTCCTCTTTTCATGGAGCGCGAGAAGCCCATGGTCATCAAGAAGAGTAAGGCTAATGGTGGCGTTAAGACCATCAAGAGCGCCTCCAAGACCAAAGCGAGAGCCGCAAGTGCTTCTCCTCCTAAGACTACCAAGAAGGCGCGCGATGCTACTACCTATCCCGCCGCCAACGGTTCCGCCGGAAGCTCCGCCAACAAAGCTATCCGCAGACACGCCGGTGGTTCCAAGAACACCACCTACATGGAGAACTTCGCTCGCTCCAGAGCCAGCGCCACTACTCAGGACACTGCTACCGCCGCCAACGGCCACAAGAAGCGCCGCCCTTCCATCTCCACCAAGCGCGGTCGCTCTGTTTCCGCATCCAGGGCTTCTGCTCAGGACGACAGCTCTCAGTTCAGGACCAGCGTCCCCTCCACTCCTCCTCCTCGTCGCAAGCAGCGCGCCGCCATCGCGCCCATGACGACTTCGGCGGCGACCATCAAGGCCTACTACAACTCCGCAACGCCGGCCAAGAGGTCCGCCAGCCGTTCTCGTTCTCGTTCCCGTTCCCGTTCCCGTTCTCGTGCGCGTTCTGCTTCGGGTTCGGCCTCCTCGACGGCGGCCAAGACTACTCAGGACGACGACGACGATGGCGAGGAGGAGGAGCAGCGTCCGAAGAAGAAGCTCAAGAAGGATACCGACACGCGCACCACGACCAAGGCTAATAATAAGCGCAAGGCTGACAGTAGCACCTCTAACGTGCCTCGTCGCAACACTTTCATGTACAGCAGCACTCCGACCCAGAGTGACGACGGAGCAAATGGAGCGGAGCCTCCTAAGAAGAAGCTCAAGAAGAAGATCGACACGCGCACGACCAAGGCTAAGCGCAAAGCTGGCGGCGGCGGCAGCAGCAGCACCTCTAACTTGCCTAACAAGTTCATGTACAGCAGCACTCCGACGCAGAGTGACGATGGAGGAAGTGGAGCGAAAGATTCGGTTGTGGGAGGAGACACGCCGCAGAGCAAGAAGCGCGTCAGGAAGAACGGCGTTGCCGGCGGCGTTAATGGCCGTAGGGGTGCTGCACGTTCGGCTTCTCCAAATGCCCGCGGCAAGCTGGGCGAAGAGGACGAGGCCAGCCGCAGTGCTGCTCCTGTCGCCGGTTATGATGGTGCCGATGACGATATTGACGATTGTGAGAAGTGGCTTGACATCTTGGCCTCCTTGTAGCCCACCACTGTTCAAGGTTGAACAACATGGTTGGATTCTCGCCTTGCCCCTGCCTTCCTGGTCAGTTGAGGCACAACTATGCTTCGACGCACTGATGGAGGGCAAGAAAGGATCATCGGAGAGGCCTGGCACGGTTGCTGCTGGGCTTAACTTTTTCAAGTTTCGACTCGTCATCTTCTGTCGAGATTTTCTTCTTTTTTTGTTTTCTGTGTTCTAAAGGATGAGTGGTCTTTCAGTCAGGTCATGGACACTTCAGGTCTTCTGGCATTCGGAAGGCGCATTGGGACACGATACCCCCGGGGATTCTATTGCTTTACAGCCATTCTTGAAAAATGTATTCTCAGAGAGAGGGGCTCTCTGCTACTGCTGGCCAGGGATTCGACGCCTCCGAACACATGTATCCCTAGGCTATTGGTAGATTAGAAATCAGGTAGAAAATTCAAAGACGGTGTTTCTTTACAAGTGTTGGACTGGTGTGTCTCGTGGGTGAGTACTGTCAGCGGCTCGCATTTCCAGGGTAGGAATGGTGCATTTACTGGGTGCAAAGCTATGGTGTGGAATATGTGTATGCTCCCGCAGATGATCAATTGACAAGACGTCTTGGAGGATAAATTAAGATCATCCCACAGAGAGTTTAATGGCGCAGGTGTTTATTAAAATCCCGCGTACTCAGCGCTAACAGGTACCAAAAGCTGAAACATGGTCCCCCGCACTACTGTAGTAAGCATCCTATCGAGGGGCACAAGTACCATCGATGCGGACGAACTCGAGTCCTTCAGTTGAAACACCGAGGCAAAGTGATTGGTCGGAGCTTCCTCCAGGAACAGGAACAGTCGATCTCGTCGATCCAGGTTCATTCCCCCAAGCAAATTCCGCTGCATTTCCGCACCTTGGCGGAGTCCAGGCACCAGCGTGAGACGGGTGGGGTACATCATCGCTGGGAAGAAGTGACATTCGATTTTCGTACCAACACGGCAGGCCATGCTCATCAGGAGGGTCGATCTGGCTGACTGCCATGCCAGGATCAATGCTGCATCTCTCGGCGCTGTTTGTGGGGTAGTGCGCAACGTTATTGGAAGACGGGAGATGGCTTGCATGCGGAATAGCCTTATGCCCTGCTTTAAGCAAACCTTCCTTTTTTAGACGTCGCGAAGTTTGATCCCCGCAACATACATGTAGACACACTTCAAGTTTCCACTTCACAGCGCCGACAGAAGTGTGTCGAACTGCTATCTCTGCCTATTCTCAAGTGCCGCCGGCGTTTTGGAAAAATTTTCTCTACTTAGTGTGCGGTGTAAGCGCCGGTAAGCAGTCCACAGGAAGGTCAAGGGCTGATAGTGAATCCACGGATACGGCTGGAAGTGGCACTAGACAGGTCCACTTAAAATATTCCCGTGCGAGTCTGGACTGGAGTTGGACGCATCGGGAAGTCCTGCGGTGGAGCCGAAAGGCGGACATTGAGACATAAACACAGCATTGACTAAGAAGCTTGTATTACTGCTCCATGTCGGCCACGTGAGCAAGAGCCAAGTATGAGCCAAGTATGCAGGGCGCGATGAGCAGAGCAGAGCCAAAAATAAGCGCAACTTGGCAGCGGGGCCGCCGACGTACGCGGCGACGGTAGAGGCGCGCGGCTCCTCGGAGGCTCGCCCACTGCCAGCGTGGGGCCGGTAGGTAGTTCGCAGGTTGGACTAAAATGGTTCGCAGGTAATGACGCAACGTCAACCAATGCGGGGCAGCAGCACCACCCGAGCCAAGCAAACCACTACATGTCTCTGTCCAATGCGCTGCGGCGGGACCCCAACAGAGCATGCACCTTGTCCTAGCCGCAGACAACACCGCTCACTCCACCACCCCAAACGGCATCGTGGACGATACCTCTTTCCTCGGTACCCCTACGCCTTCGTACGAGTATCGCGACTGCGCCACTTCTCCCGCAGCAGTAAGCGCGACTTTTCCACGGGCCGGCAGTCTCGTCCTCGTGATACACCCGTGCCGTGCGGGCTTGGCATCAGCCATGTTGTGCTCTCCATCACGGCACTGCATCAATTGATGTTTTACGACAGCATTACACAGCTATAAAGATGGCCGTCGACCCAGCATGTTTGGTGTCACTCATCAGCACAGGCTCGCTTTCTAGAGCTTGCCTTTCTTCGTTTCCTTGAGGCCAAGATGCACGGGTTCATCTCCTCCATCACCGGCTTAGCCGCCGGCGCTGCCCTTGTTGGACATGCTGCAGGCATCAACCTGAATGTTCATACGAGCGGTGGCAATGCCACGTCCCCGTTCATGTATGGGTTCATGTTTGAGGTAAGCCTTGCTCGAGCACTCTCCCTATACAAAGCACTGACGGTTCGCTCAGGACATCAACCATTCTGGTGACGGCGGCATTACTGGCCAGCTCCTCCGCAACAACGGCTTCCAGGGCGACGATCAAACCCTGACGGCCTATGGTGCTGTTGGAGATACGACCCTGTCGGTCGACTCGGGCAATCCGCTGACTTCTGCCATTCCGCACTCACTTGCCGTTGCAGTGCCGGACGGCTCGTCTGGCCAGGTCGGCTTCAGCAACGAGGGCTACTGGGGTATCCTCGTCAACGCCGACGTGTACTTCAGCTCCTTCTTCATCAAGGGAGACTACTCCGGCCAAGTGACGATTAAGCTCGTGGGCAAGGACAGCGGCACCGAGTATGCCAGCCACTCGATCGACGTCTCCAGCAACGGCGGCGCCTACACTTACTATCAGTGCAACTTCCCGGTCAAGCAGGCTCCTGACGGCAACAACCTCTGGACTCTGACGTTCGATGGCGGCAAGACTGCCGGCTCGACCCTCCACTTCGACCTCGTCACGCTCTACCCCACCACTTTCCACAACAGGCCCAATGGCTTGCAGCCTGCCATTGCTAATGTTCTGGACGATATGGGTGGTACCTTCTTGCGCTTCCCCGGTGGCAACAACTTGTAAGTCGAGTGTCCGGAACTTGAGAAGTCTCTACTAACATGTACATCAGGGAAGGTGTTAGCCCCGAGAACCGCTGGAAGTGGAACGAGACACTTGGGCCGCTTCAGAACCGTCCGGGCCGTCAGGGTACGCATCTCCCTTCTGATTCTCAATCGCATGTGCTAACATTGATCAGGTACCTGGACTTACCCGAACACGGACGCGCTTGGTAAGTAACCCCCGTGACTCTTCTCGGACTTGGCTGACTCCCCTGATAGGTCTGGTCGAGTACTTCGAGTGGTGCATCGACATGAAGCTCACGCCCGTCCTGGGTGTCTGGGCTGGCTTCGCTCTCGGCTCCGGCGGCAACACGCCCATCACCGGCAACGCCCTGACTCCGTACGTCAACGACGTCATGGACGAGCTCGAGTTCATCCTCGGCGACCAGTCGACGCAGTACGGCGCCCTCCGCGCCTCGCTCGGCTACCCGGAGCCCTTCACGCTGCAGCACGTCGAAATCGGCAACGAAGACAACCTCGGCGGCGGCTGCGACTCGTACCCGGAGCGCTTCAACGCCTTCCACCAGGCCATCACGGCCGCCTACCCGTCCATCACCATCATCGCCTCCACCGCCGACCCGAACTGCCTGCCCGCCACCCTGCCCGCGGGCACGTGGGCCGACTACCACAACTACGCCGACGCGCCGGACCTGGTCAGCAACTTCTCGCAATTCGACCAGGCCGACCGCAGCATCCCCATCTTCGTCGGCGAGTTCTCGACCACGTACACCACGCAGACCGAAGAGGACTCGGCCGACCGCGACCACTACCCGTACATGGGCGGCAGCGTCGCCGAGGCCGTCTACATGCTCGGCTTCGAGCGCAACGCCGACGTCATCAAGATGGGCGCCTACGCCCCCTTGCTCCAGCTGTACAACGCCTCGCAGTGGACGCCCAACCTGATCCCCTTCACGCAGAACCCCGGCGGCGTCGTCCGCACGACGTCTTACTACGTCCAGCAGCTCTTCGCCAAGCACTGGGGCAGCACCACGCGCGCCGTCGACGCCGACACGGGCTTCGGGCCCTTGTACTGGGCCGCGTCCGCGAATGAGGGGCAGACGTTCCTGAAGATCGCCAACTACGGCAACGCCGCTCAAACCGTCACGGCCCGCGTCGAGGGCGCCACCTCCGCCACCCTCATCACCCTCTCCGGCGCCGAGGACGCCCAGAACACCATCGAGGACGGCGAGAACGTCGTCCCCGTCACGACTACGCCGTCGTCTGACGGCAACGGCGGCTTCGAGCTGCAGATTCCCGCGTGGTGCGTCGCCGTCCTCGTCGTCAATGGCGGCAGCGAAGCCAGCGGCGGCGACACCACGAGCACCAGCACGGTTGTTGGTACTGAAACCGCAGCCTCGGGCCAGAACCAGGTCGTCACCCTCACCAGCACCGCCACCGGCGCTGCCGGCACTGTGACGCTGACCAGCCTGGCCACCGAGGAGGCCGAGGTCGAGACGCTGACCAGGACTGCGACGCGCACGTCGACCATCACGGCTGGTGCTGGCAGTGGTGCCGCGCCGACGGTTGTGAGTCAGGAGTCCGTCGTCACGCTTGTCAGCACGTCGACGAGGACGGGCCCGCCGACGAATAGGCCGACTGTCAGCGGGACGCGTGGGTGGTGGTTCAAGGAAGGTGGTGGGCCGCCGGGCCGCAGGGTGAGGAATGAGGGGAGTGGGTGGTTTGGGTGGTGGAAGAATAAGAAGGACTGAGTGGGGAACTGATCGGCACTGAGTGGTCGGTGAATTGTATGTCGAGGCCTCAGGAAAAAGGCAAAGGAAAAAGGCAAGGCATAAGGAAAGGAAATGTAAGGAAGTGTAAGGCAAGAGGCAAACCGGGGCTGGGCTCGTTTGCCCCTGTTCAATGCAATATTTTCTTTTTTTTTCTCCCTAACTTACCTTCTTTCTATCATTTGTGTGGTTGTGGCTGTGGCTGAGATGTGCGCGGTTGCCCTATCTGTGTGTCAGAGAGTTCACGGTTTATGGGGGGTGGGAACTTTGTTTGAGGAAGAGGAGGAGGAATAAGAAGAAGGGAGAGGAAGAGGAAGAGAAGGATAAGATGAAAACGTCACCTGATCATCAAGTGCAGCGATTGCACTCAGAACCGCAACTATCGCGACAACCGTTGCGCCAAGTCACCACCAAGGACCTGGCCTTTACGTCAAAGTTGGAATTTCAACTACCTAGCAACGATCGCCCCCAGCCCCTAACAAAGCAAGTCATTACAACGCTCTCCTCGATTAAAATCCTCCAAGCATACCTCCACCAGGAGGTCCCCGCAGGGAGTCTGCCTCCTTTGATAATTGCTGACCGACTGACTGAAAAGCAGTAAAATGACAGCAGATCTCAAAAGAACAGAAAACAAAAGGAAACGCCAACACCCGATCACGTTCCACCTACCACCCCACCACGTTGCTTAGATACAGGAACCCTCGAGAGACAAACAAACATTAGACGCAATGCAATCCCCGCTTTCATTTCATTATCGTCCATCCATCCATCCATCCATCCATCCATCCATCCAGTGTGGGGAGGAGGGGAAGAAGAAGCCCATATACACAAATTATTATTCCCGTCCTCAAAAAAAAAAGAAACCCTTCTCCGCCCTTCTCAATGCAAACGCGAACCTCCCCAATGTGTGTGATAACCTCTTTTTACCTTTCCCTTTCCCAACCACGACGACGACAACAACAACAGCAATGGTTCCAATTATTATACGAAGTGAATACGCAACGACGTAACGAAGAAAGAAGGGGAAGGCAGGCAGGATTAAAAGAAAGAGCAGCACGAGACGAGACGAGACGAGACGAAACGATAGACGTCAAACGCACACAACAAGAAGAAAGCGCAACGACAACAACAACAACCAAAACAGCAGAACACCTGAAAAGGAGAAGGAGAAGGGAGAGAAAGAGGTCCATCCGTTCGTTTGGTTGTTGTCAAAATGATGATACTCTTCTACTTCTGTCTTTCTTCCTGCTGCTCTGCTTCGCGCGTGTGCGCGCGCTGCTGCTGCTCTCTCTTCATCGCTCATGCTGATGCTGCTGCTGCTGCTTCCTGCCGCTGCCGCTGCCTTTCCTTCCAACGATCCTATTTAACCAAGTTCCCTTTATCCAGTAGTTTGTCCCAAAAAAAAAAAGCCCCCCACCATCCCCCCAAGAGAAAACAAAAGCCAACAAAAACCCCCACCAAAAAAAAAAAAGGTAAATTCTGCTTCCGACTGGGATGATAGTTCATCTATCATCCACTCAAAAGCAACAGAAGCAGAAAGAAGAGGGGAAGAAGAAGAAAAAAAGGAAGAAAAAAGGCACAAAGACAAAGCACCTCCCTTTCTTTCCAGGCTTCTCCAACCCAACATCAAGAAGAAAAAGGTAAGAGAAGAAAAAGACCATACCCAGAGGGAAAAACAAATATTAAGACCCCCCTGTATGAACGATGCTGATAGGATGTGTGGTCATCGTAGACGAAGATAAAATAACCAAATAGAAGAGAGAAAAAAAAGGAAACTCGTAGCACTTCTATTCCCACATGAGTTTGATTGAATTCCAAAAGCACGCTCGAAAGTTCGCGGAAACAAGAAGAACAAGAAGAGGCGGATGAGGCGGAGGATGAGGATGAGGAGGAGGAAAATGAACATAGAGAGTTTGAATTAAGGCCTCTTCTTGAGGAAACCACCAATCGGTGCCTCTCTCGGCGGCCGACTGCTGCTACTACTATCGAATCGGTGTCCGAAATTACGCGACACGGTGATGAGAGAGGTCGAGGATAGGTGGATCGCCACCAACCATGCGCAGAGAATGTTGGCGATGTGGTGGAGGAGGTAGGCGTAGGTGACACCGTAGATGGCGGCGTAGCCAGCCAGGCTGAAAAGGAGGATGTTGGTGAAGTAGCGGAACCTGTTTGCCGAACGTCAACGCTGTGAGCCAGCCCGCAAGACCAGCAATGAACACATACCTGTTGGTCACCCTGGGCACCATCCGGCCGGTACTCAGGGTCTCAACCAGAAGGATGAAAGGCATGATGGAGAGGATGTTGTGGTGGGAGGAGAATGGTGTCAACCAATGAACGGCCAGGTTGCGAACCCAGACGACTAGGACGGGGATGTTGATTGGCAGGATCCAGATCATTAGCACTAAGATAGTTTGGCAGTAATTAAAGAAGTTGTAGTTGGCTTCCGAGTGCTGTAGTAGGTCAGTGCTTCCGTTCACGTGAACCTTTAGGGAAAAAGAACATACCGTCTCCCTTGCAATCCTAAGAGATCTCGTCGTCGTTGCAATGTGAACAACGCAAAGAACCATGTACGCAAAGTGGTACGGGATAGCGGTCGAAACCATCAAAAGGAGGACGCCGGTGGTGATTACACGCTGCTTCGTCGAACTAACCGCAAACGCCGTCGGAGACCGTCTAATAGCGATCAGCCCTGAAGTCTCTCTGCACGGATCATCCGAATCGTACCTTCCCTCATCGCACCGTAGTGCGGGTCTCACCCAAGTGTAAACCAGCCCAAAGACATGAAGGATGATGAGAGTAACGTAGTTGATCGCAACGCAGACGCCGGTGCACATCAGGCCGAACAGCGGAACAAGAAACCAGAAAAAGGTGTCCTGCGAGCCGAGCAAAAGATCGTTCTTGGTGAAGTCTGATGGGGTTTCAGTAGCATTGCCATTGCGGGACGGGAACCAATGCGAACCATGGGATGATGACGAAGATTGACTAGCGCTTGCAAGAGACAAGCCGCAGAATGTAAGAGCAAGGAAGAGCACGGGGATAGATGAGCGAAGACATTGGTTCATGCTTTCAGCAAAACTCATGAAAATGCCTGGAAGAACAGTCAGTAGAGCTTCTTTGTTTTTGGTTGTCCAGCCATACCTGTCTCGTCATAGACCTTGAACTGCTTCCTCAGGACCAAGGCTACTGCCACCAGAGGCAGCGTCGCAAAAACGGTCCGGTACCGCATCCAGAGTTTACCTAGGCTGCCGAAAAAGTCGACATTCAAGTCAACCTTCACTGATGCCTCGCAAGTAGGGTCAGTCCAAAGTTGAAGAGAGAGGCCATTGAGCTCGCTCATAGACTTGTTACGCTTGAAAGACGGTGGCATGTACGGCGCGACTCCGTGGAGGTTGATGTCAGCTTCCTTTGCATTGACGTAGAATTTTGATTCATAGACCTCCTGGATGTACTGCCGCAATAGCGGAGCGAAAAGCTCTCCTCCATGGCCACAACCCTTGGCATTGGGGTTGATGTTCAGCTTGTAAGCCAACAGGCTGGAGTGGAGGGCCGGAACTTTTATGTCCATGACCATTGGCCGTTTCGCGGGCAATTTCACATGGAGCCCGTTGGTCAAGAGCTTGCGGAGTCCCATTTTGGTCTTGATGAGAGCTTCAGACCGCGCACTGAACTCTGCCAAAACCCAGCCATTGGTATGCTCGACCGCTTTATCCACGACCGCCACGAATTGGTGATCAGCAAGATCTTCCAAATCGTACTGGAGATATGAGAACGGCTGCACTTTGTCAAAGGGGAATTGAGAGGTCTTGGTCGACGCTGGGAGCTGGATCACGTCGCTCGCTGCGTTCTTGCACGCAAGGCGCGTAGATCCAGAACTGTCTCCGGAAAGATCCATATCCATCGAAAAAATCGCAGCCGACTGCCCTGCCTGCAGAGGGAACACGCTGCAGAAAAGAACCTCCAGCTTGCCATTTTCTCCGGTTGCATCAATTTTTTGGTCCGTCATGAGGGTGAATTTCCTTCCCTCTGGAGCACCCTGGGGAGGGACGGGGAGAAGATAGGCCTTTGGCTTCCGCTGCTGTCCGAATGATCGCAGAACAAGGCGTTCTCCCTGGGAAATGATGGAATTCGAGTTATCCTCCAACGTTAAAAGGGTTCTGGGATCCTTGTGCGGCAGAGTTTTTTCGGCAATGTCCTCGAGCCCGGTCAAGAAAAACTTCTTAAAGCTCCGCATTCTTTCTGCTCGGGGGACTGTCTGCGTGGGACGTGAAACGTCGACAACATCATACAAAGCGCGTATGACGCTCTTCCGGAACTGGTCGCACCACGTAATCGCCAAGTGATCCATTCCTGTCCACACATGCGGAATCGACGCCGTAAAGACTGTGAATCCGTGGGTCTCCGGGACCAGTGAAGCAATACTTGCGTAGTCCGAAGGCACCACAGTATCTAAACCTCCTCCAGCAATCGAAATGAGTGTAACGTGCCATAGCGGATTGTCATTGGCCCAACGTTGCGAGTATGCCTGGCGCCAGTAATCGTTGATGTTCTTGTAGGTGCTGACGATGTCCGAATCGAACGAAACCGGAGGCCTGGCGTGCGGAGCGGATAATGTGAGAATGGTGTTCACCGAGTTCGCCTGGTAATTCGGCATGGTGAGCATCGTCCGTGCCACGATACCGCCCATTGAGTGCCCAACAATGATAACCGAGCTCGGATCCGGAAAGTCGGAGCTCCGCATCGACCGCGACGGGTTATGGTACAAGGAGAGAATGTACGCCACGGCATCATTCAGGTATTCGGCCTGGTCCAGAAGCGTTTGTCCGTGGAATGCTGTGATATCTTCGTTGAAATCGACCGAGAAGAAGTCCAATGCTCGTTTTCCGTCGGCGAGGGCGTCGGGGTCGTTCTGGATGTGGTCGTGGTAGTAGTAGGCAGCCTCTGCAGCTAGGGACCGGACCTGCTTGTAGCTGCCCGCATTGCCGGGGATGAAGAGTACGGGCACTCCCTTGACCTACAATTCGTCAGCTCCAACCTGGCATTGCACCTCAAACACGCCTACCCTGGTGTCCTCATCGATTCCTCCTTCCCTGTACATGTACAACGAGTATTTGCTGGCGAAGCGAGTGTGCTCGGTGTCGAAATCCTCGTACTTGACAAAGGCGGCCCACATGCGAGACATATCACAGCCCTTGGGGTCCAATTGGCGGGTGAAAAACGACTGGACGATGCCGAAGAGCACGACGAAGGCGGCGACGGTGACGGCGAAGGTCAGGGTGGAGATGGACCACGGGTTCCGCCATCGCGAGCGGCGGCGGGCGTAGCCCTCGGCCATGTCGTCAGGTATTATGTCCTTGTCCAGCATCTTGCGCTGGAGGTCCTTCTCGGGGACGGGTTGGGCTTCGGACCAGACGCGCGACTTTGTCAGAGAAGCGCGGGCTACAGTCTCATTATTCCGGCGGCGCTCCTTGGCCACGCCGTCGGTCGAGGTGCGAGGTGTGTAGGTGGTCAGGTCGTCGAGGCGCTTATCGCCATGCTCGGGCGAGCGCGACGCAGGAGCTGGCGGAGCTGGGGCGTCCGGAATGGCGCTGCTGTCGTCGTCCTCGTCGGTCGCAGAGCCAGACGACCGTCTCCTCATTTAAGCAGGTCGTGGTGTCGCAGCGATCGCCCGGGGAGCCAAGAGGGACGGGCGCTCAGCGTGAAGATGGGGACCGGAATCGGCGGTGCGGGTTTTTGGGGGACGACTCGCAGGACTCTGGGGAAAACGAGTGGCAGCTCTCTGGCTCGGCCAGTCTCCGGGGCACAAGACGGTCGGAGGGTCGCTCGTGGGACTGGGTCGCGGCCGGAGGTGGAGGAGGTCTGTTCGTGCCTTCTGAGCAGCGAGCGCGTAGGGACGGCCCAGCTGCGGTGCTTGCGGTGCGGAGCCCGTGCGAAGGGAAATGCGCGCGACAAGCTCCAATCGCAGCACGGCTGGACGTCCTGACGACTTGCCTGCTCAGGTCGACGACTGGCGCGGCTTTAGCCCGGGTCGCGCGGCTCCCTCAAGGCGCGCATGCCCCGTTTCAGCGCTCCTTTTCCGCCCGCAAACAGCCTGCTGCCCGGCCGCCTCCGCTGCGAGAGAGGCCAGCCAAATTAGACCGGCCACAATCTCCGGCCATCTCGAAGCCCCCTACCACCACTCGCTCGCGCACGCGGCCAAGCAGAGGCCACCCGCAGAGTGATATTTTTGCGCCGGCCCACCGCCCACCGCCCCTAGGCCGGGCGGCCGTAGGGGATGGATGAACAAGCTCGCCATCGCGCATCATGCCCGCAGCGCGCCAACCGTGGGTGTCGCTCCCCCGCGACGCCTGCTGCGCGTGTGACAATGCATCTGCCCATCGCGATCGGTGCGCCTGCGTGTCACCCACCTGCCGCAGAAGGGAGCACACGGCCGCAGCACCCCGCGCCGTTGAGCCATGATACATACGGCCGCCGCTGCTGTCTCGCAAAACTGGAGTTGCACGGCGACGGTGATGCAGGACAAGAAAATACGCGTGGCCCCCCAAGCCGCCAGCGCTGCACGAATCCTGGTCGCTTCCGATCATCATTATTTTTATCCCGGTCGCCATCCCGGTCGATCTCCTCGAAATTATTGAGCTGGGATGCTACCTCCTGTGTCCTTCCAGCCTCTCCGCTTTCCCTTGCTCACTCACATATCCTGCGCCAGAGGCCCGACCTTGACCGTGGGGTTCAGCTTCTCCAGCTGCCGCCGCTCCCGCTCCTTCTCGCGCTCCCTCTTCGCAGTCTGCACCCGGATCTTCTCGAACCGTGCTTTGGCACCGTGTTTGATGCGCGTGATCATGTCCTGCGCCCGGCCCTTGGTCGTGTTCTCTTGCGTCAACTGGTGGTCCTTGTCCCGCCGCTTGTTGAGGAACTCGAGCTGCGCCTCTGATGCCGGCTTCTTGCGCCAGGGTGCCCACTTGTCGATGAACACCAAGGGGAAGGTTTCCCCTGCGAACGTGTCGGCACTGTGAATCGCGTGCTCTAGCGTATCCGCCTCAGCGATGACCAGCGGCTTGTAGAATGGAACCGAACCATTCCTTCGTTGCCACTGAGGCATGGGTTTGGTATGCTTGACGATGAAAAGTCCCTCATCATTCCGCTCCACGAGAAGATAGCCGCTTTGATTGCATGTGAGCATGAAGCGGTCTTCGCCAACGCAAACCCACGCGTAATTGCTAATCTTCCGTACGATGCGATCTTCAGAAGTATCGTCAAGCAAGTCGTGGATAGAGCTGTACTCTGTGAATGTGACGGTACTTCTTATCTCGGTCGGGCCAGATGGTGTGCCCGGCCGGATCTGGGAAAGCTCTTGCTCGCGAAGCTTTTCTACCTCCTTGCGCTCCTTAATCTTCTTGGCATCATCCGCAGAAGCTTGGTCCAGCACGACGTCGGGATCCAGCCCCAGTAGAGTAGGCGTGGTGATGATTCCCGTTTCAAGCGTCGCAACCATGTCTATGATGTGGCAGTTCTCCTTGCCGGAATGCAGACGCATCCCTCTGCCAATCATCTGGATGAGCAAGTTCCGCGATCTCGTCGGCCTGGCCAGAATGACGCAGTCGATATTCGGAATATCAGTGCCCTCGGTGAAGACTCCGCAATTCAAGAGCACCGGATACTCCCGCCGCTTGAAGGCATCAATGCGTTCGGCTCGGATTTTATTGGGAGTGTCGCCGGTGACGAATCTTGCGTCAAAGCCGTGCCTGCGGAAAGTTGCCGTCAAATCTGACAAATGTGCCAAGTCAACGCAGAATACCAGAGTAGAATGCCTATCGCTGGCTTTCGCTAGCCATGAACGGACCGTGATCTCGTTCGTCTCGTTCGTGTTGATCGCTTCGGACAGGGAGGCGGTGTGGAAGTCACCATTAGCCCCGAGCTTGACTTTGGAAATGTCGGCCTTGGAGGCAACTGTAGTGAAGATTACGTCGGACAGCCATTTGTCTTCAATCATCTGGACATAATCCTTGTGATAGACAACGTGGTCAATAACGGCACCCAGCTTCTTTCCATCGAATCTTGAAAAGGTCGCTGAAACTCCGACCAGAGCAGTGCTAGATTCTGTCTTGTGCCTCAGCCCGAACCATTCCAGGGCTTCCAAGTACTGCCTAGCCACAATGTGGTGGGCTTCGTCGACCAGAACGAGCTTGAACCTTTTCGGGTCGAACTTTTCAATTCGATCACTAGACATAATGCTCTGGACCGAGGCTACAGTGATGTCGGCTGCGCCTGAAGCATGGACATTGCCCATCTCAATATCAACCGTCTTCTCCGGGTAGGCATTTATGCAGTGGCGAGCGGCTTGTTCGACCAGCTCTCGGCGGTGGGCTAGAATGAGTGTCTGCGTCGCATCGTCGTTCGGAGGCGGGACCCGGTCAATCAGCTGGGTGAAAATGACCTGCGCATCATCAGCGACGCTCTATTGGAGCCCGGCGCCAGCGCTTACCGTCTTCCCACTTCCGGTCGCCAACGAGACTCCGAGTCGCTTATGACCTTTCTCTAGATAAGAGAGGACGCTCTGAATGCATTCCTCCTGGTAATCGCGCAACTGTATCCCGGATCTCGTTATCGGCGGCGGCGGCGGCGCAGGCGAGTCTGAGACCGGAGGTTCGTCGGCGGGCACAGCGCGGGCTGCAGTCGTGGCATGGCGGATGCCAATGAGCCTGTTCCAGGACCGGAGCCCGTAGACGATACCTCTCAACGCATGGCGCGAAGTGCGGAGCATGGGATGTGGTTTCGAGGGAGTACTGAGAGAGATGGAAGTTCCGCGTCGCGTCGCGCTGACGTTGGCCTGCGGGAAGACGCGCCACTGCCGGCGCCTGCCGATCAACCTTCTCCCAGGGCCGCAATCCTCCAGCCCCTCAAACTGTAATCTCAACTACAGTTGAATCACTTCATGTACAATCACTGCTTGGCCTGATCAGCGCGCATACAATGTGTAATGTGGCACTGGCCGCCGCGCATAACACCGGAGATTGCACTGCAAGCCGACACTCAACAATACCTCAACAAGCATGCCATCTCTACTAAGCTTGCAGACAAAGCGCGAAGATAATAGCAACCTGATAAGAACAGAGATCTCCCAAAGATGAGTCTGCAGAAGGTGACAGACAGCTTGGACCACTGAGGTCCGCAGACGCCTGATAAGACGCTACTGATCATCATAGCTGGTCGGTCTTCTGCGCTGAGGTTTTGCATGGCATCAAAACTCCTAAATGGAGCCTATCTGGGCTTGTCTAGAAGGGCCTCCTCGCCTCTATTTCCGGCTTGTAGCGCTCATGGGAATCTTCTTTGTAGGACCGTTTCCGAAGCCCTCTGCCGATTTGTCGGCTTTTCGGTACATCACCATGAGTGCTGGAGCTGCCACCTATCTCCGAAGGTAACCCTGGACGCAATAATGAGGGGTTTTCGTATCGAGATATACGAAAAGGGATGCTATACTCCACGTGGATAGGCATCAGGTCTTGTGTCCCTTCATTAAGCATTCACGCATTCACTGGAATTCGAATCGCAAACCACGCCACTCGCTCGCCCCTTCATCAAGAAGCTCAAGACATGATGCTTAGCAGGAAGCTTGAGCGTGCCAAGACTGACGATGCGGAGAAGGCGAGGGGGATCGACCCGAATGCGGTGTCATGTCGTCATGTTGCAGGCCGCTAAGTGCATTACACAGCGAATCGGTAAGGTTGTAAGGGTGGACGCATACAAGAGCAATTGGTGTCGCTCGACGGCGGCAGCACAATTATATCCCAAGCAATTCATTCCGGATATTCCTCCTCGTTATCCTTCTTCCGTCTACCCAAACGACACCATGAAATACTTCGCGCTTGCCTCGATACTTTCCCTCGTCTATGGCCAAGTCACCTACCAGGACGCTTCAAGTACCATCCTCCGCACGGACAACGGGACATATGGACCGCCTTTAGAGGAGTTCCATTACTACTATGACCAATGGCCCATCGGCCTTGCCGTCTCAAGCACGGGCAGGCTATTCGTCTGCTACACGCGCGGCGAATACGCCTACACTCTCGGAGAAGCAGTGAACAAAACCGCAGAAGCCCCATACCCATCCGCCGAGCTGAACCTCCCCGTCTCCGCCCTCAACACGAGCTACAACGGCATCCCCTTCGGCAGCGCCGATTCCAGCGGCCTCATCAGCGTGCAGGCGCTGTACATCACGCCCAAAACCGCCACCCGCGACGAGACCCTCTGGGCCCTCGACACGGGTCGGCCGTCCATCACAAACTCCCAAGGCGCAGTCACCGTGCCCTACGCCCAACCGGGCGGCCCGAAGCTGGTCGCCATATCCCTCGCCAACGACTCCATCTACGAGACCTACACTTTCCCCGCCGACGTCCACTACCCGGACAGCTACATGAACGACGTACGCTTCGACCTGCGCCCCAACACCACCTCCTCCTCCGGCGGCAAGGGCGTCGCCTACATCGTCGACTCCAGCGACGAAGGGCGCCCCGGCTTCATCGTCCTCGACCTCGGCACGGGGCAGTCCTGGCGACGCCTGACGCAAGACCCGTCCGTCCTGCGCGTCGACAGCGACGTGCCGAGCTACCACGGTCAGCCCTTCTACCAGCGCAGCCCCGGCGGCCGCCAACCGCTCGGGCACCTCCGCGAGGGGCTCGACGGGCTCCAGATCTCGCCCGACGGGCAGACCATCTACTACTCGCCCCTGACCGGAAACTACCTCTACTCCGTCCCGGCGGCCAACCTCCTGCGGCGCGACGCGCTGGCCGAGCGCGCGGCCAAGAACGCGGTGTCGAACCTCGGCCAGCGCGGCGGCAACGCCAACGGCTTCGAGGGCGACTCGAACGGGCTGGTCTACCAGCTGGTCCCGGAGCACAACGCCGTGTACTACTTCGACCCGCGCGACCTGCAGACGCACGCCTTCGTGCGGGATCCGCGCATACTCTGGCCCGACTCGGCGAGCGTGGGCGAGGACGGGTGGTTGTACGTCAACGTGAATCAGCTGATGTTCCAGCCGGCGTGGAATGGTGGGCGGGATGGGAGGGTGCATCCCGGGGTGGTGTTGAGGGCGAAGGTGCCGGAGGGGGGGAGGAAGATTATGGGGGTGTATTGAGAGTTGGTAGTTCACTTGTTGCATGCATGGGAAAGGATTGATTGCTGAGGAGGCAAAAAGTCATGATGGAATTTCTTTTTGAAGATGGGCTATCTGATGGATTTTAGGCCAGGCGGCGGCGCTTGCGGCTTCCCAAGTACTGGACCTCCTCCTCATCCTTCTCCTTCTCCTTCTCCTTCTCGTCCAGCGAGATAACGGGGAGCTCGTCTTGTTCGGGAGGCGTGTAGTTGGGAGAGGTCGGCACGTAGATTGGAGAGGCCGGCAGCTGAGGAGAGGGCGGCGTGTAGATGGGAGAGGCCGGCAACTCAGGAGAAGAAGGTGGTGTGTAGATGGGAGAGGTCGGCTCCGAGGATTGAGGAGATTCATCGCCGACATCGTTGTTGTTGCTGCCTTTGGTTCGTTCGTAATAGGCAGTCTTGAATTCCTCGATATGCTCCTTGATCTTGTCGTGGCAGTCCAACAACTCTGCCATCAGCTTCTCGTACAGGTCCTGGATTGATGCTCAGTGAACTGCGTGCAGAGTATATATAGGAGCAAATTTACCTCGGAAACGGGGTGCGCAACGCGCTCTCCGAGGAAAGCATTGTGCCCAGCGGCGTCGCCGAGATCGGACAAGTCCTCCGCGAGGCGGCGTCCGTACTTGATGATTTCTTCAGCTGAGAGTATGGGCATGGTGGGCAGAGGAGGAGTAAGGAAATGGCGGAAATGGCGGAAGAGCGGCCGCGGAGCAGAAGAGGCAGAGTATATGTACCCTCCGCTAAACAATGCTCCCTATTGTGAACAATAGCGCTATTATGAATGCTTTGGGTGGGCGCCTGCCTAGTTGCCTTGGCACGTGAAACCGTCTACTATTGTGTGGGTGATCCTACATTTATTGGACATTCTTGGGGAGGTGAAGCTATTGTCCGGACACAAATGTAAGCTTTTAAAATTTTACAAATACGTCCGGACGATAGCTTCAACGACCCACGCAAGGTCGATAATATATTTTTGGCAAAATAGTGCAAAAGATGACCGTGTGGTGAATGCGGTGAATACTGATATACTTGCTACCATGGATTCAAGCTGAGCCGTCTCGGAAAGGAACAAATGCTACATAAGCACCAGGAATAGTAGCAAGCCGTAGCAAGCCCGCAGCTTTAGGAAATCAAAGCATGCTTGCTAGCCCGCTCGCCGATTCCCAATCAAAGGTGCCTTTTCTGGCTGTGTCTGATTGATTCCATCACTTTGCCGTGATAACACAGAACCGCCGGGCACCTTCCTGTAGCAGCTCACCTGCTTGCAGCCGTGGACCCTTTCGATGCAGACCATGCCCGTGCGCGCGTGCTTCCCTACCATCCAAGCCCATTTTATACCCAGACCTTCCGAGCCGCACCACCCATCTTCCTTCCTCCACCTCCGCCACCCATGACCGAGGAACCTGCAAGTACGTTTCCTCAGCCCCAACAGCGTCTCAAAACCCTCTCTTACCTTGCTGACAACCCACAGGCGAGGACCCAACAGCTCAACCCACCATCACCATGGCATCATCCACGCCGGCCTCCGACGAGACGGCGGCCCACAAGCGCACCATCCTCTTCCTCAACTTCTCCGAGGACACCATCGAAGACATAGAAAAATTCGAACTCCCTAAATACCTCAAGAGCCGCGCGCGCGTCCTCTGCGCCACCAACCCGGCCACCGCCTACGCCCACCTCGGCGCGGCCGTCAAGCCGTCCGCCATCCTGATCGCCGATGCCGCCCTCACCAACAATTTCGCGCTGAAGGAACAGCGCGAAGCCGGTGTGTACGGCAGCTACAGGCCGCCCAAGACCAAGGAGGAAGAGATGAAGCAGTACGGCGCTTTCCTCGCGTACCTCAACACGTACGTCCGCAGCGGCGGCGGCACCGTCGTCTTCTGCAAGAAGTTCAGCGGCGATTCGAGCCTGCCACACATGGAAGACGTCTTCAGCACGGCCTTCGGTCTGCCGTGGAAGGCCTTCTGCTACCACCGGTCGACGTTTATGCTGCGAGTTGAGAACATGCGCCGTCTGTCTTTGGCGGCCGACCTGGCGCCGCAGTACAGCGTCAAGGCCGTGCACCTCATGGACGTCGAGGAGAAAGACCGACTGTATGTACCGCGGAGCGATAGCTACATTGAGAGCTTCGTCTTTGCTCCGGAGCCCGTCGACCAGAACGAGACGCCTGTGGCGTGGGCCGACGTGGGCGAAGGTATGGTTGGATATATTGGCGACGTGAACTCGGAGGATGGGAGCAAGAGGGTACTGCTGGCGATGTGCGGACTCTAGTACATGACAAGATTTCGAGATTTCCCAGGTACGACTGGTTGGGCGTCAAGGTTGCGGATTGCTGAGTTACAGTGCCTTTGGGGTTCTCAGGCCGGTATGCGCAATCGAACGAACCATGCTTGAGCAGGCCGTGCGCACCATTGGATCGTGCCGATCGTAGATATGGTCCTCCAAGAGCATTCTCTGATAAAGTGCCTGCTGCTCAGTCATTCAGCGCCGAGAAAGCCCGTTCTCGTGCACGACCCAGCCATTGAGGAGCGCGCAAGTCTCCTAGCTGTCCGACCCTGAGGCTTTCCTACTATGTGCCACTGACCACTTACCTCCAACTATGCCCAAATTGTCCCTCTCGAGTATTTCCGACCCATTGAATCGTGTCACCGGGTTTTGAGAACAACGGGTGCGGAAGGTTCGCGGAGCTAGGATGCTAGGCTTGAGCTTTCATCAACGGCCATGGTGACCCGGGCAAGCTGTAATATCAGCATCGCGTTAGCCTTGTTCTCTTGATGAAAAGCAACGTGGCGACTTGCCAAATTCTTGTCGCTGCAGAATCGCAGGCTCTTGAGGGCGTGTGCAAAATCGGAATAGGAGAATACAGAGTTAGGTTGCTCCAAGCCCCTGGAAAATGTGGACGCGCTGAGAGGTGACAGGGGCTCAAGGAAATTAACAGCGATTTTTTCGAATGCTGCGAAGCTCGCAAACCCTCCTCCTGTGCCGGAACGATTTAGAGGGTCCAAGCTAGGTAGCAATGGCCTAGGGGACCAAAGTAAGCAGGACAAGAGCGAACGGCGCAAAAGTTTAGCGACCAAAGAATGAGCAGAGCGGCGGCTCTACTACTTGCGAAAAAGTTTTGGGTTGTGGCTATTGCTGCGAGGTTGTGATTGTCCAGTGGATCCTGCCTGTCTCTGCCCCTGTCACAACCTTTCCAATTGCGCTTTTCTCAGAGGTCCTAGTCGAGGAGGCGAGAAGACGTGGACGGCAGGGTGATTTGATTCGACTGCCGTGCGGCCTCGGTTTGTTCCGAGAGCCTATTGGCACCAGCCGTCATGATTGCTCGAATTTGATCGCTCGCAGAAACGCTTCCGCGCAAAGTTTTGGTTCTCACGCTCCATCCTTGGTTCCAGGCATAGATGGGCTCACAATCGATGTTCCCCAAATGCTCTCGACGTGTCTAAGAGGTGGTTTGAGGAAGAGAATGCTGCACGAGTCTGCCTTTGAATTGGGTCATTAGGCAAATTGGCGGTAGGCGGCTGGGCGCGGCGACGGATACAACGGATACAACGGTGTTGGCGTCTGACCACGAACTGCACAGTCCCGATCAGCAGCAGCCCAACCAGCGATGTTCGATTCAAGCTGTGGGCGCATCGAAACAGTGGATCGACTTGACTAAGTGGGGCGGATTGGTAGTGCTCATTGAGGTAGTCTGGAATCAAAGTGGTCAAATTCGAGCGACGAAGGAGCATCGGGAGCAGATGAAAATGGACAATGCGGGCATGACGTTGTCATCTGGACTGCAGGAAGGAAGTCACAAGAGAGAAGGAGCCGACGGAAGAGATGGCGGTAGTCGCGGCAACGACTAATCCGAGAGGAGCAAGGCTCCCGCCGTTTCATTCAGGCACCAGCTGCCCTGCCCACGCCACACACTCACCCACTCAGTCTCGGATCATCTATAGTTCTTCATTGCCGATTAATACCACTGATCTACACAAGCATTGCCCATATTCATGCCCTAACTCTCCACCCGGGAGAAAGCTCACTCGCTCGCCTTCACCGCAGGACCGTCATCCAATCCAGGCCACTCGGTCGGCATTACTCCCGGCGTATTTACAGTGCTGAGCGCAACCACTCCCGATATTCGGCTGGGATCCTTCCTCCCGAGGCGGGAATTAGCCCTCCATCCGAGCCGGGAAGTTGCTGTAAGGGAAATCCATCACCCCCAGCGGTCCACGCCTTCCACCTCGCCATGCCCTCTTCGATCTCTGGGTTCCCTTCCATTCGCAATGTCTCCCCCGCTATCCCCGGGCATTCTTGACTCACAAAATCTATGTACAAGTCCATTTCTCGAAAGCATCCCGTACTCCGAAGCTCATCAAGGACAAGCCACCACCAGGATGCGCGCCGAGCATTGCCGTCTTCGTCGAGCACGAGAGAAGTGTCGCCCGTCATGAAGCAGTACTCGAGGATGAGCTTCCGGAGGCAGTGTCTGTTCCTCAGCAGAAAGCTGAACAGCTCTAAGTCGGTGAACTGGATGTCGTAGAGATGTAACCTCCGCAGCTGCTTGAAAGTAAGGTTTCGTAGCAGGTAGCCGCTAGACGCCATCATTTGGTGATGGATGAAGTTCAAGTACAATTCCTGCAACGACTTACTTCCACACCTGAGAATGTCGTTTAGTCCTGTGTACCTGGACAATGTACCATCAACCTCTTCCAACGCTTCAGGAACTAGCCGAAGGACTTTTAGATTTGAAACAAGTCCTTTCAGCCGGGCCATATCAAGACCATTCGTCAGAAAAACTGCTGACGACATTCCTTCTCCGCCATTGCAACAACCCTCATGGAGTCTGTTGCCCGGAAATACAGAGAATTCGGATATCTCTTTAAGCCTTTTCGTTTCTTCGAGGGTCCGAAGAATCAAAGAGAGTTCCCGAAATGGCAATCCTAACGGGTTAGGATGGAAACAAGTCACGCCGTTTACCTGCCCAGCTGCAAGCCTGGCTCTCCACTCTTGCCAGCTCAACCTTCTGTTTTGCCACTAGAAAGTATTAGCTTTCTAAGGCATTACCTTGGATTATCGGAGCAAACTTACTTCGTCGAGGCTGCGGCCAGAGTTTGCCAGTTCCAGAATTGCTGGTAACTCACCTACCAAGTTCATCCAACCTACTCTCGGAAGGAGCTCTTGTAGAGGAATGAGACCTGCTACTTCAGGGATTTTCTTTTCCCATTCCCTCATGTTCCACGAACGTGTTGGTAACAGATATGGTTTGTCAGGGCGATAATCGTCGTTAGGAGCCAGGCTAGTTACGATGATGCGGTCGACTTTCCACCCTGCCATAAGGGCTTTCCGCAGAGCATGGATGGCTCGGTTTGTTCTCTGGTTGTGGATGTGTTGCTGAGCAAGTGGTTGAAACCATCTAAAGAAACCTGTTGCGGCTTCCATCCCTCGGTTGGTACTCAAAGCAACGTCCCCGCCGCATTCCTTGGTAGCGGTTTCATACCACTGTCTGCTTCTTTCAGAGTCAACGATGTGGCCGTGGTGGTTTGGATTGTCACGCAAACAATTTGGTGGATGCTGAGAGATCAAATGCCAAAAGCAGTCGAAATTGAGGAGATCTGGATTGAATGTGCTTATATCGAATACCAGTTCCTTTGCGTGATCTCGGAACTTAGGATGGCTGGTAACCCGCTCGAAAGCGTCGATGTCGCGCGGATGGTGAGAAAGGTAAACACGGTCAAATAAGAATCTGCATATATCATCAACTGATTAACTCTGCTGACGCCTCGAGGGGAAGCATACCTGGCGGCCGTTACCCCAAAGACGCGGGAAACATATCGCACGTTGTGGAGATCCTTTTTCTCCACGAACTCGCAAACTGCATCTCGAAGCTCGACTGGAAGGTTTGACAACGTTGTCATACTTGAAGATCTCGATTTGCCTGGGATCATGATCAGTACGTTTTGAATATGCCATGGGAAAGCTTGGCTAACTCATGGCGAATGAGGTCAATACCTGGGTGCTCACTGATAATGGACTTCTGAAATGTGCGTTTTCCTTCTGGACAACAGAAAACGATTAAGCCTCTATGTCAAAGGACTATGAGATTCAGATGTGAGTCTCTCTACGGAATCCGCACGCTTTTAAATATTCCATCGCATCCATGATAGTTCTGGGAATCGCCCCTAGCTCTAAACCAAAGGATACTTCCACCAGATTTCCGGTGAACTTGATTGCAGAGCACCCACCAAGGCCCCCACGAAGCGCGCAAGGAGTCCATGACACGCTTGCCTTGCGAAGGAAATTCGATCCCGACTGGTACACCTAACGAGCGCGGCTGCATCCTTGGCGCCATTGCCACAGCCTATCAATTTTTGACACAGAAGCGCGGAAGCGGTTATTGCCGCACTACGAAGCTGCATCGCGTCTCAAGCGCGGAAAGCAAGGCGCCTTCACTCCATCCTCTAGCATCTTCTGAGGCTTTGTCTGTCAATCAATCGAGCAATGTGCGTGTACCTGTCGTGTGACATGTGCGTCTTGCTCACGTCCCTTCGAGAAGCATGTATAAGACATGTAGCACCAGGAAGATGCAGGGGCGCGTTGTCAATCCGGACGCTGCCGAGGGTCGAGCAAAACATCCCCGGTCACGATATCTTGCGTCCGATCTGCGTAACCTTTGCGGCATCTTTGTGATGCTTCTTACCTCACCGCGAGATATTTCTCCAAGGTTCCAGATCTTGGGCATCAAGACACGCCAGGGATTTTGCCTGCACTTGCATGGTGTACACAAGGTGACGTTTTCTGCAGTTTAACAGGGCCCGCGATCCTTGCACATGATCGACACACGTCTTTGCAAGGAAGTTTCACCGGGTATCCCTGATAATCAGCGCCTGCTCCGTGGTTCAATTGCTTGGATCCGGACACCAGGCCACTGACAGAAGGCGATAGTAAGTGTTACACCACACACGCTGGTAAACCCGAGTTAACTCCTGCCAAATGCCTGTATTACCTGACGTTCGTGGACTACCGTGAAGCTATGTCTAACTGTACGAAGGCTAACGTTGAAGGTCTAACACACTGGTAGCCTGCTAATTTCAGGACTTTCCTTCTTTTTGAATATAACAAAAAGCTGCGAGGGGCAATATGTTGGTAGTTGTATGACGTGGGATCACAAACAACTCACCCGCCCGTTCAATGCTCAAGCAGCAGCATTCACCTGTCCGAGATCCCAACAAACGATGAACGATCACATTTTGTTTGTTGGGCTCTTTTTCGCGATCTGACCGCCACATCCTTTGGCAGCTGACGGGCCGCATTTGCTTGACGACCCCCGGTAAGGAGGCTGGTATTAGCGCACTTGCTGTGCCGCAGTGGCAATTTGACGGCACTCAATGCACGACCTGCAGGTAAGCCAGCAGCTTTCTGTCCCAGATAGAGATAGCGTGAAACTGCACGAATGCCTTATACCGTGTGGTTCGCACTTCGTCCGTCACATCGAGGCTTCCCTTCGAAGGGACGCCGAGGGGTGCTTCGTTGCCCCCCGCTCATCTCCCTATGGCAGACAAGGTAGCGACCGCCACTTCCTCAATGCTGGAACAGCTGAAAGCCGCACCTAATAAGCTGACATAGCTCTGAAGTGAAAGCCACCAGAAGCTCGCAACTTCTTCCCCTTTCGATACGCTGCCTGCAGATGACCAAGGGAGGTCATCGCCGCCACCGAGTGTATGGTATTTGCCTGACCAACAAACATGCATGAATATGCGCTCACGTACTCGCGATTCGCATTCACATAGCCTTAGTTCGGCCCGAGGAGGCGGCCAATTAACTTGGAAACAAGGCACTTCGTCTTGAATTCGTGCAGATAACGTTCGAGATTTACCGGCACATCAGAAAGCGCGTGCTGACCGCCTCCTCTGCAACCAGGGCTTTCCCGAGCCTCTGAATGCAAGAGGTCCCCCCACAGAAACCCCCCACGGGAAGTTTAATGGCTGCATATTACTTATGACGCAGCTTCTAATTAGACGATTTGATTTCACAGGTATCCACTAGTTGATATGCCTGTTGCAAGTCTCTAATGCTTCGTTATTCAGCTACCTTTGAAGAATCAATCTGACTTCGTTGTTCACGATTGGAATCTTCGGATTCATGACCTACAGCTTTCTGCGAATTCGGACCAGCGGATTTATCATGGGAAACTGCCAACCTGCAGCATCCCAGCATCTTGATGTATGCTTCCGCCGGGCCGTGTGCCCCGCCCAATGGTAAAACACCCAGAATCGCTTAATTACGCACTGAGCGACGCCGATTGGCCGGCAAATCATGTGGCGGATCGGCTTCGCGCTTAGGAGCCGCAGCAGGCGACCTTTGAGTTGACTATAGCAAATGCACGATGGCTGCACTGCCATCTCATTCCCTCGTGGAGAGGCCCAATCGACTTTTTGTCAGGCCACATTGGACCAGAAGCGCCCCCTCACGAAAAGCGACGGCCCGGCGATCTGGAAATCGATGCCTCCAGCTCGATCATACACCCGCCATCGATGCTCGCAATTAGTGCAACCGCCCTTAGGCCCTAAGTCTCCGTGCCTCTGACTGATAGAGTGCCAATGCCATGTGCCCTTGTCTCCCGCAGTTCCGAAGTCGGGGGCTCCTCTGCGCTCACTCGACTTCCTCCCCCAATCCTAGTGCCAGTCTACCCGCTCACTTCACTTCCTCGATACCCTAGAACCTAGGATTCTTGCCGCTATGCGGAACTTCTTTCCTATCGTCACTACTCAGTTCTACATATTTGCCAAGATCACCAGGGACTGCATTAGAGGAAGCACTCACCATCCGACAGTTCCGTGGCTTTCTATCACTACGTGTTAGTTCCACCGCATACCATAACTTTCGCTCTCCACCAAAAGCCCACCCGATTCCAAGAAGACTCACGATACTTCTACTCACCGCAACTTTCCGTACCAACCTCACCTGCTGCTGGCAGCGTCACTGTACTTGGCAACCACCATACACCTCCGCATGACCCACTATTCTCGCAAACCTCTGCCGGCGAAATACTTAGGTGCGTTGTACAGTACCTTGAGGTGAGTCACGGCTCGGATTCAGGTTTCCCCTGGTGCTTGCGTCTTGCATGCCAGAAACGCTCATCCACCAACCAACCCACAGTGATTGCCATTGGCACTCCCCCTGCTGCTCATACTCAGCTATTAACTTCAACTTTCAACATCCGGAACGACTTTACCTGCATTGCGGTAGCCATGTCATGCATGGCGAGTTCCAACTTCTGCATCCACTAAAGTGTTTGGGCGCACATACACTCAGGGGCAAAGCGCCCAACTACCGTGATTGAGAGGCGACCCCATTGCAGTGACAATTAGCATGATCAGCAGGATTATGGGACGGCATGGGCTATCTGAAAAAGAGTAGTGAAGTGACTACGGATGTGAAAGCGAAACAGAGACGTATGGCCGCCCGCACAGCGCAAGGCAAATGTTCGGTGTCCATGGCTGCGCAGGCATCCTATCTGCACCCGTTGTCAGCTTGCACGATTTCCATGGCGCAGCTCAGCTCCCACAAACTCCCGCACCGTGCTCATCCCGCGGATTACGCGCCGAGGCCAACAAGGATGATCATGTATGTATGTTGACGAAGACAGCCAGAACCTCCAACGCTAACAAACTTTCCTGCCTGCATCACATACTCGTACCCATACAACACCCACACCACCAGCCAAGACGTACCCTACGGCAAGGGGTTTGCGAGCCGTCATATAGGAGCAGACAGAATGTGCGATCCATTGTCGATGTCCCTCACATCCGTGTGTTGGTGCAGATACTCTGTCGCACGCAAGTGGTCAGTGGCCGTCTTCCAGTAGTAGCCTTTGCCCTCCAGCGAGGTCTAGATCGTACATACACGTTGCCTGCCTCTCAGCCTCACCCCTTTCAGGCAACTGGCCGTGTCGTTCGCCGCCACCTCCGCTCTCCTGTAGCTAGCCGTAAATCCCTGCAAGTTATGCAGAGTTCCAGGTCATGGCAAAACATTGCCTTTCCGGGAGCCTCACGCAGGCCCTTTCAGGCCCCCTACTGCGCCGCAGGCCATGGCTGCCAGCTTCTCCCACCCAAAATAGTGGCATTGGGCGACCATCGTAAAGCGAGCGATTGGTTCACTCGTCCAATGGTAAAGACTCGGAACCAAATCCGAACCCAACGGTTTGGACGATCGGGAAAAGAGATAACGCAGGAAACATGCTCTATCCCCCGTTTCTCCCGCTCGAGAAGCGGGACATGGATGCGGCTCAGGTCTGCCGTCCCGAATGGGGTTTCAACAGTAGCACTCACATTAATCGTACCGACTGCATCCCCTGAGTATTCAGTGATTGCTGGTAGAAAAGTGGTATGGACAACGTAGTGATGCCACACCAGAGGGCGTTGAGCAGATGTGCGCAAACACACGCTCTCTTGTACCTCTATCCTTCATGCTTAGCATTTTCAGGAAGAAATACATAACTAAATCCCGCTTTCAAGACACATATTTCGACAGTGCCAAACAAACACCTTTGGACAATCCACAACAACTGGTCTAACACTACGACAATGCACCTACCGGTCACAGCCTCGAAATGACACACGGTGCTGCTCTCACGCAACTCCTGCGGTGAATATCAAACACACCCAGAACAAAGAGGCACACACACGGCCCTCAATCAACCGCATCCCTTCCCGTCGCCAAAATGACCCCACTCTCTGGCCAAAATACACCGAAGGGCACGGTATGTACTCTCTCCAGTAGCACAAAACACACGCGTAACGCCTGCACCACCACCAGCAGAATCACTTGTTTCTATGTAATACCCGGACGCCCGGCTTTCTCCGTCCTGGCCTCGTTTTTTTTGTCGGGTACTCCCTTGCTTGCTTTCCGCTTTTGTTTTCCACCCCCCTCCTCCTCCCCATCCCTATCCTCTCCACCTCAGACTCTGTCTATCTTCGCAATCCCGCCGGTTTCAATTTTTCCACATCGCGACTCCCGATCAACATCGAATCGAAAACACGTTGGAACAACCCGTGCGAAAAAAAAAAACAGAAATTGTGTATTCCAGCCCAGAAACCAAAACCCAGTCCAGCCCCGACTACTTCCCTGAAATCTATGTATCATATCAAAAGCCAGCCTCTCTACAACGAAAGGGGAAAAAAAAAAGCCATGACGCGACAGTTCGGAAATACACTCATCACGTGTCCGCATACACGCACCGAGAAGACAAAAACAAAGACAGGACAAAATAAAAAAGGAATTGAATTTTAAAGGGCGAGGGGAAGTGGAGGAGCATTATCAGCCACACCCATCATTCAGCCCAGCCCAGCCCACAGCCCAGTCCCAACCCAGCTTCCCATCTACTTTCACTCAATCACTCACTCCACTCACTCACTCCCCCTACAGATCATATCGGCCGTTCCGACCACCCATCATATTCTACCCAGAGAGACCCGCGTACAATCGCTTTGTGTGTGTGTGTTTGAAAAGCCACACCAACCGCCCATCCCGTTTCCCAAAGCCGAGGCTCGAGAGAGTCAAGAAAAAAAAAGGAAAAGGGAGAGAAAAAAGAAGAGGCAACAAAAGAAAAAGGGGGGTGTGGTCAAATGCATATTTTCGTAGTAGAGGTAGTCATCGTTGAAACAGCAGGAAAGGAAAGCTCGAGAAGGCCTATTTCTCTCTCTCTCCCCATTCCCCTTCAAATGCAAGGAATAATGCATTGACCGCCCACATCCCACCCCCCTTTCCCTTCCCGTCAGCATTATCCATGAAAAGAGTTTCCACCCGTCTCCCACTGACGCCTGCCCATGAATGTGCACACAATGTACGAACGCCAGCGCCAGAAGAAGGTCGTTGGTCGTAGCTGCCAGACGGGACAAGACGAGCCGAGCTTGCGTCGCGGTGCGACTTCTCTAGTGCTCTCTCGGGTTTCTCTTGTCCGCTGAGATTTGAAAGTATACTTGACAGGAAAAAAAGCACACAGCGCCTGCCGACGACTCAAGCCAAGTAGCCGAGATCGTTCTCCTCTCCCTCAAGACGCTCCAGGTACTCCTTCTCTAGCAGAATGTCAATGCACTTCTTGATGTCTGCGACCTTGGGCGTGAAGCGAGAGCGGATCTGGTTGATCGTCTCGCCGACGAGTTGCTGGTGCTTCATCTTCTTCCTGGACTTCATGATACGCACAATAGCCGACTAAGAGCAAAGTTAATGAGTGTTCAATACCAACGGAGAATAGTAAACTTACCTGCATGAGGAGCTTCCTGTCCTCCTCGATCGTCTTGTGCGTATCCTCGACCTCCTGCTTCTGCTCACTCTTGATACCGATGTTCAGGTTGACCTTCAGCTTCTTGGTCTTGAAACCGTGGTTGAGGGTGAAGCTTGTCCCAGGCTCAGGCTTAGACCCCTCAGGGCTAATAGTCAACACCTTCGCCTTGAGGAAGACGGCGATGCTGGGATCCATGGTTCCTCTATCAAGCTTCGTTGCCTGCTCAATATCCTCGTAGTTTAGAGTTTCTGAGTCGTTGAAAAGCAACAAGATGGCCATCTGGTAAGTGGAAACCTGGAAGATGGGAGACGCCTTGCTGCCGGGAATCTTAATATAATTAGCGCGCATCTCACCCTTGCACAGCTGCCACAGCCATGTGAGCTTGCGGCCGGAGTGCTTGGAGCCGTAGAAGGAGCCGAAGCGCTCGTAAGTCTTGACGATGACCTGCGGAGGAGCGAATGGGGTGGTTGGAGGGTTGAGCGGCCAGAAACCGGTACCGAGAATGTGGTAGGTAGCATCGATAGCCCCCTTCTTCACGTCGTCGTCGAGGCCGGACATCCACTCCCTATAGGAGGAGTTCAGATCCTTGGAGATCTGCATGTCCTGGAACATACGTTGAAGCTTGTTCGTGTATTCGAAACCGCAGGCATCCTTCAGCTTGGCGATCATGGAAGTTTCAGCATCATCGGAAGCCGAGTTGGTGTTGACCAGACGCTTCGCAAGCATGCGCGAGTAGAACTTCTGGAAGACATCCTTGTCCTCGATGTACTTGAAGATGGTCATGATCTGTGTCAACTGCTTCTCCATGTCATCTTCCTCAGACATCTTGGCACCGGACTTCTTCAGCAGCTGGTCGGTGTACTTGGCTAGAAGCTCAGGCGACTTGGTAGACCCTGACTTGCAGACCTTGTTGCGGTTGACAAACTCCCTGCATGCATTATCCAGCGATCTGACGAACTCCGACTCGCCCGCGAAAGCCTTGTTGACCAGATCCTGGTACTGAGTGTGGACTTCCAGCAGAGCCTCTACATAGACCTTAGGCTCAAGATCATCCGTTGCGACCTTCTCGACCGCAGACAGGCCGGCCTTTCGGACGTGGTTCTCGAAACGGGTCCTAAGAGGGTCGAGGCCTTGGGGAATCCGAGCGAGCAGCTTGTACATCCGTGCCAAATCGTCAATGCGGTCCTGATCCAGAAGAAGCTGGAACTCCTCGCGAAGAGCTTGTGAGTGATCGGCAATCAGAACCGTCTCGCACGTCTTCATGAGGGGAGCCATGATTTCGTCCAGCAGGTACAACGGGACGCGCTCCTTCTCCTCATCCAGGCGTGCCTCGGCCTTCTTCATGTAATCAACAACACTGTTGTCCGCAAGGAAGCGACTCGACTCTTGCTTGTAGTACTCGGCGGTGGCGTTAAGGAACGGCTTCTCGAAGAATTCCTTGTACACATCCAGGGTGGTCTTGGTGCTGTCTGATTCGTCCAGGCCGAGGGACACAAAGGAGTCCACGACACTCTTGATTTGGCTCTGCTCGATCGTCTCTCCATTCCTCTGCTTCTCCACCAGCCGCAGCACGGACTTCATAACGTTCTCCTGCGTAGCCATGAACATGTCCTCCTTCCACCGCACCAGGTGCAACGTGTAGATGTCGTAGATGTTCTTCTTTCCCTCATCCATCTCTCGCTTGACCCAGTGACGGTTCAAGTACCGGAACAGGTGGTTGTTGTACTGACCAGCGGTGGTGTAGCGATTCCATTCTTTAATGTAGAATGTTAGGAGGGCTTCGTCGGCGTGCTCGGTGGACTTCTGGTAGACTTCGGAGAGGTGGACCTTGAGGTACTCGATAAGGTGATGGTAGAGATCTTCACCGAGCAGGTGTGCTTCCTGTGTGTCATTATCGCTAGTCTAAGACAGTGAGCGGATGAGCCGACTTACCTCCTCCCCGGTTGTTGACGCCACCAGCGCCACCGGTGGCCCCGAAGCCTCCGCTACCAACGGCCTTCTGAGCGGTACAGAAGTTGTGAATCGCTGTGTACAGTCCCATGTATGTTTTCATATCAATACCCTCTCGCAGGTCCGTCATGATGCGGTCCACGCCGGCCTGGAGATATGCCCACCTGTAGCGAGGCAAGTCAGCAAGTGTACGGAGGATCGGAGCAGCAACAATACATACGTGCCCGCGGAGTCATCCTTGGTGGGCATGGGCGGCATAGGAGATGGCATTGTGGATGATTTGGGGCGGACTGCCGCTCAGGACAGTCGCAATCGACGCGGTGGAGTAGGAGGGTGGGCGACGCGAACAAGGCGGCCGAGGATAGAGGAGAGGTGGTGTTCTCCTTGCTGCCGAAGCGTTGGCTTCCAGCACGTCAACGCCGACGCTAGAAGGTGCGGTTCGGCGAATGCAAGCACTAAGCTGCGCGTGTCCGGCGGTCCAGCGCAAGTGGTAGCAGGACGCAGCTCGGTAGCGACACGCGGGATCGGGGCGGCTCGCGCAAGATCTTGTCGCAGCGGGCGCAGGGCGGGCGACCGGAAGACCAGGGCGGAGGACTGGTATAGAGCGTCGAGGAAGTCGACGGTGGAAGAGAGGGGGAGGGTGTGGAGGTGAAGTTGTAAGGTGCAAAGCGGCAAGCGGGCTAGGCGTGTCGACTCAACGGCCAAGGTTGCCGCCTACACAGCCCTACCGCCCGCAACCCCAGCTCGCCGCAAACCCCTCCGCCCAAGCCACCGAGCTCCGAGTCACGCGCAGTACAGCATTTCACAATCCGCATCCAGACTACATGGTGCAAGAAACCGTCTTGGCAAACCTTCGGGTACATTTCACCTCGCTGGTGGCGCATGTCCCCTTTCACCTTGGCCACGGCGCCGTCACAAAAGCCGCCGCCGTCCTTCCGTCATCGCCGCTGAACGCATCACCGCCGGCACCATCTTAGGCTGCCAAAACTCAGGCAGCAGCCTCTCACATTCCCCACCGTCTCAGGCTTCCACCGCCGGGCCCATTTCGCCATAGATTGGATCCCTCTCGAACCAGCTTAGCTTCTCGATCCCTTTGACCTTTTCCTCCTCGCCCTTCTCTCCGTAGCACATATCCCAGTTGCAGCCCTTGGGGTAGCTCCCGACCATCTCAAAGCCACCAGCCTGATCCTCCAGGAGCCGGTGGCCAACGCCAGCTGGGACGATGATCACGTCGCCCTTCTCAACGACAGGCTCGATTCGGCCATCGTTGGCCTCGCCGCCAAAGCAGAGCCTCGCGCGGCCGTTGCTGATGCAGAGAACCTCGTGAGTTGTGCTGTGAAAATGCGTCGTAGAGTACATGGTATACCGCCACTGCGGGACCACAACATCGACATCGCTGAGATGGGATTCTATGGCTGAGGCTGACGCGGTGGAGGGTTCAAATGCCGAATGGTAGACAAGCAGCGGTTTTCGCTGGATGCTGGTGTTCGGAGTAAGGCTGTGCGCCGGAATTTGGTGCTTGCTAACTCTCAGGCTTGCCAGCGGCGTCAAGGAAATATTTGGTGCCATTTCTAACAGTAATGATGCACCTGCGAGGATGATGGCGACAAGCTGATCTTCGTACTCAATAGCAAGCAAATAATGGGAATGTTCGAAAAGCCAACGGACTGAAATCGCTTTCGAGGTCCGCGCGCATGGGATAATGATGATTGCATTGCGTCTACGTCATCCCCGTATCGATATGGCTTTGCAAGGGTCCCGCGGCCAAGCTGTCCCAAGCAAAGCCAATCCGAGTCACAAGAATGTGCACACGTCTAACAAGGACTTGACAACACCCACTCCAAAACCAGACCGCAGTGATGGTCATAGGTCTCTCGAGAGAAGTCTGTCCGATGGGACAAGGGACCAACTCCGCAAACGCCGTCCAACGCCGCCATACGTGCCCCCAGTCCAGTCCGCCAGCGGCTCGCAATGAGCGCGATGATAGACGCCAAGTTCCAACCGCCTTTGAAAGCCCCTCGAAAACCGCCAAGACAAAAGTCCAAAGAACGATGCGCAGTACCAAGTATTCACAAACCAAGACGCACTTCAGTCAAACTTATCTCTTGAGCACAGCCTCGTAGATGCTGACAATAGCGCCAATACCTGCACCGATGAAGACACCATTATGGCCGCCAGGCAAAGCCTCCGAAACGGTGAAGACCGTCTCGTCGGCAACCAAACCACTGAAACGAACGCCTTGGGCATAAACCATGTACGACACCAAAGCCTTGGCAAGGTTAAAGGTCAGGGGATCGACCTGGTACTCGGGCTTCGATGCGGGGCGGCCATTGCCATTGGCCTTGGCCTTGACGGTAATGTTGAAGAAGTAGGCGAAGAAAAGCGGAATGAACAAGCTGGTGTTGGCCCAAAGCAGAGACGGGCTCCAGAAAGCGCTGGTCAAGAGGGCGAAAAACTCGGGGATTTGCACGGAATACGAATTGGTGCCCAGCGCGCTGATAGCGGGAATGTCGAAGAAGTACAGCCATGGCATGACTTTCTTCTGGAGGTAAAACGCCTCAACCAGGATGACGGCAGCCTCGACGCCGACGACCGAGCTCAGCACCTCACGAATGTACTCGGCCCAGTCGGTGACCCCCGAGTTTGTCCAGGCATTTCCAACCTTGGTCTTGACAATGGCAGTCTGACGCTCAATGGCGTCGGTGACGACAGCAGGAGAGGGCGGGAGCGGAACCTGAGCAGCAACGCGCTGAACGGCTCGAGGAGTACGCGTGGCGAGAGCCTTGGTCTGCACGGGAGTGGCCTGAGCCTCTGCCTCATCTCTACACCGGGCAATTGTTAGCTCTGTGTTGCATCGGACGCGTCCCCGAGTCCGAGTACGCGTCGCGCCATTCACGCGGACTTACTGCGACTCGATCTGCTCCTGCTTGATCTTGGTGACGCGCCTACGCGGGCGCGTTGAGCGGGGCTCACGAGGCTCGCTGTCTGATTCCAGATTTGCGCGTGTCTTCTTCACGGGCGACGAGCTGCGCTCGTAGTACTCGGCGAAGGAGCTCTTGCCGACGAGGCGCGTTGAATTATTCTTCAAGTGCTCATCGAGGCCGGCGACGAGGTCATCTTTGAGCATGTTCTCGTATCTGGGTCGGTTAGTAATGGATGCGCTCGTGCTCCTGACGCGTGGTGGTGGTAGCTGTGTACCCAGTAAAGCCGGCCTCATCGGCCAGGGCGACAAGCTCGGCCTTGCGCTGCTTCTGTAGCCAGGACGACATGATAGTGTGAGGAAATGATTGCGGTCGCGTAGCTTAAGCGATGCGATGCAGCGGTGATGGAGGTAAAGAAAATAGTGTGTGCGCAGATGGACAGGGTGGGCGGGTGTTGGTTGTAAGTGTGGAGCTGCAGTACGCGGGTGGGATGCTTCGAGGTCGCTGGGTAAACAACTCACCACCTAACTAAGCGAAACCCCGCACCGCATCCGGTAGTCAATCCAAAACAACGCTGGATTCCTGGTCAGACCTCCAGCTGTGAGTCCATCGGCTTTCATTAATGCCAGGCGCGATCTCGCAAACATAGATCAATGACTGTAGTTCGCTTGAGGCGATCGCCCAGCTAGCGTCCATAGCTGTCGGGAGCTAATCATGCCACGGCCTCATGCTACCTATTCTCGTCTTCCTCATCAACGAGAAAGATTTCATTCCCAGGCAGCTGAGCTCATTGATACGAAAGGGGTAGCTTGAGAAAAATGATTTTGGATGAAAGAATAGTGGTGCCAATGTGCTGCCATCCGGTCCGCTACACCGACTGGCTGAAGAAACGACTGCTAGCTAAGTGCTATTAGAATGTACAATGAACCCTAAGAGTATTAATACAGAATGTATAGTCAGCGATTATAATGAAAAATCCTACTTTAAGCCACCAGTCATATAGAGGGGTATTGCATTCGAAGGCTAGCGTTGATTGGTTTTTCGCTCATGTCATGGGCAGTTGAAGCTATCGTCCAGACATGAATGTCGAATTAAAGATTCCACACACGTCTGTACAATAGTCAACTACCCATTAGTTGTTTTACCTTCTTTAAAATAAAAAGGAAAGAAAGGGTGAGGCATAATTACCCTGGATTAGAGCGTGTTGCTATTCTTCACGCTGGCCTTTGGCTGCAATACCCCTCCCGTTCACTCACCTCTAATTCACATCGAAGGAGTGTAGAGAATTGCCTGTCAAACAACAGAGGACAAGAGTCAAATTGTCAGACAATGGGCGCGCTAAATTACGAGCAAAATGAATACTACAGCAACATCAGCGAAGAATGTGCCAATTATTTTTATCCACACTAGGGTCAATAATGTCGTCCTCGGATAAGTGGAGTTTGGAGTTGCCGTGATCTGCAGGTTCCTTTGTTCCGTGCCCTACCCAGTCAATCGCATTTGTTCCGAGAGGCTCTTTGACAGAGTCAGGGGCGAATAAGGGTGAAGCGTGCTTCTCGGCTGAGGTGTGGCGGAGCAGGAGGCGGTTGGTGTTGACGGGCGGGAGAAGGCCGGGGGGTGGGTCGGCCGATGACGCGCGAAGCTAAAAATCGACAGCCGACTGGCCGCCGACAGGAACACCAGGGCCAGCCCTCAGCATCTTCGACATTTCCAATCCGCCCGCTCCTCCGCCGCTTCTCCCACCCCGCGCCCACGACCTTTCTGGGGCCATCCCGCCACCCCATCATCTCAGATATCGAGCGAGTACACCGACATAACGCGCGGCGCAGCGCGCTCAACCGCTGACCCTTCATGGTACTTGCCCGTGTGGCCGGCTTTTTCTCTTCCTCCGACTCGACAAAGGCGCAATTGGTAGAAGATGACCGGCAACTCGAAATCCCCTCACCCATCACGGGAACAATGGACGCTGCGATAGAAGCGGAGGAGGAGGTCGACCTGGAGGCCAAGCGCCCGCCTTACATCCATGTGAGATGGCACTTGGACTAGCGCGCCGCGCAACGATAGCAGATACACAGGCTGACGGGCGCTGTTTAGGCGATGTTGGCTGGTGGCCTGGGCGGTCTCACCGGAGACATGCTCATGCATTCCCTGGACACCGTGAAGACCCGCCAGCAGGGTGATCCGCACATCCCCCCCAAGTATACCTCCATGGGCAATACGTATCGAACCATATTCCACCAAGAGGGTTTTTTGCGAGGGCTTTATGGCGGAGTGATTCCTGCGTTTCTGGGTTCTTTCTCCGGCACTGTTATTTTCTTTGGCACTTATGAGTGGAGCAAGCGCTTCATGGTTGACGCGGGCATCGCGCCGCCAATTGCATACTTCAGCGGAGGTTCGCGAACCCCTTCCACACACTCTCTGGAACCATTTCGCGCTAAAACTCAAACTAGGCCTACTAGCTGATCTTTTCGCTGCACCCCTCTACGTCCCGTCAGAAGTCCTCAAGACCCGGCTTCAGCTCCAAGGTCGCTACAACAACCCGTATTTTCGATCTGGCTATAACTACCGCGGTACATGGCACGCTGCGAGGACTATTGTGCGCTTGGAAGGATGGCATGCGCTTTTCCATGGCTTCAAGGCTACCTTGGCGCGTGACCTCCCCTTCTCGGCGCTACAATTTGCTTTCTACGAACAGGAGCAGAAGCTGGCTAAGAGCTGGGTTGGGTCCAAGGATATCGGCCTCCCGCTGGAAATATTGACAGGCGCCACCGCTGGTGGCATGGCTGGAACTATCACCTGCCCCCTGGATGTTGTCAAGACCAGAATCCAAACGCAGCAGAGTCCGGAGGCCGCAGCGGCGTTTAATGCAAAGGTTGCCAAACAGAAGTCAAATGTCTCGTCAAGTTCGCCAAGGTCCAACTCCAAACCTTCAAAACACAGCACTCCTCCCGGCCCCGGCCCAGGTCATGGAACGCCTAAAGGCTCAAAGCGACCTATCTCAACATCCTCTCCTTCTACTTCCCTCAAGCAACATTCGGCAGCCACGCTCGATACATCGTCAATCATCAAGGGCTTGCGAATGATTTACAAGACGGAGGGTGTTTGGGGTCTGTTCCGTGGAGTCGGTCCAAGAGCAGTCTGGACGAGCGTGCAGAGTGGCACCATGTTGGTCCTTTACCAGACTCTTCTCAGATGGTTTGAACGGCATCCGCTTGTTTCTCAAGAGGAATTGTAGATTTGAAGACTTATCATGATTGGGTTCGGCATGCGGACGGGGGTTTAGGGTTATAGACCGGAGAATATTTGTACAGTAGGTTGTATCATTCCCTTTATTAGACGGAGGGTCTTTTTTATTAAGTCAAAGCATTGGGCGGCGTTGTTACTCCCGACTCTCAAGTCTTACGTCATTGCGAAGAATTGCTGTTACAGGGATTTCCTCTTCCCCTCAGGAGTATCTTCTGCTAGTGCATTCTGCTTCTCTTACCTGGTTGGTGTGGGTCTATTGATGGCTACCTCGTGTCAGATTTTTCTGCCGCTTTGTGTCGCCTGCGGCAATCCGGCCAGCCGCAACGAAGCATGTTCCGATTCGTTCCTCCACCCCACTCTATCGTCAGATCCCATGCCTGATATCTGGAACTAGGAAGGCAGGAGGCTGAGGTGTTCCCCCGCGTCAGAAAGCCTCATGCGGGGCACCGAGGTTCCTCCATGTCTCCGTCCGGCAGCCAAGTGGGCTTTATAAGATAGGGTCTCTCTTGTTCCCCGTCCATGTACCGCTTTTCCTGCAGCTTTCTCACTCAGCAGAACCTACCTCTTCTACACTACCCATCATGGCACAAGTACTAGCCCACACCCTCTTCGGGGTACCTGACTAACAAAAAGGGAAGGAACAGCAACCACAAACGGAAATCAAGATCCCCGCGACGCAGAAAGCGGCCATTAAGAGCGGCCTGACGGCGCCGATCAAGGAGATCGCGGTGCCTGAGCTGCAGGCGGGCCAGATCCTCGTCAAGATCAGCTGGACGGGGCTCTGCCACTCGGACATCGGCTTCCTGCGCGACTACTGGCCGGCGTTCGGCAGCGACGTGCTGGTGGCGGAGAAGGCCAACGGCGTGTGCGGGCACGAGGGCGCGGGCGCCGTCGTGGCCGTCGCGCCCGACGTCGCGGACCTGTGGCGCGTCGGCGAGCGCGCGGGCATCAAGTGGTGCGCCAGCGTGTGCCGCCGCTGCGAGTTCTGCTCCAACGGCGCCGACGAGCTGCACTGCCCGGCCCAGCTCAACTCGGGCCTGACGACGCCGGGAACCTTCCAGCAGTACGTCGCTACCGACGCGCGCTACGCGACGCGCCTGCCCGACGCCGTTGCGGATGAGGAAGCTGGCCCCCTCATGTGTGGAGGTGTCACGGCCTATGTGGCCTGTAAGCGAAGCGGGGTCCGGCCAGGGCAGTGGATTGTGCATCTCGGAGCTGGTGGTGGATTGGGCCATGTGAGTGGTGGATACCTTTTTTTCTGTGTCTCGGCTGTGTGGTTCGCTGACTGTGTTGGCTGCAGCTCGGCGTGCAGTACGCTAGGGTCATGGGTATGCGGAGCATAGCCGTTGATGTGGGTCCGGAGAAGGAGGAGCTCTGCAAGAAGTTGGGCGCCGAGGTCTACATCGACGCGTTGAAGTGCGAGGATTTGACGGCGGAAGTCACGAAGATTACGACCTACGGAGGTGACAAACTCCCTGTTTTGCCCAAATTTGGCGTTCGTACTGACGAGTGTGAAAAGCTCATGGCGCCATTGTGTTCGCCCCCAACAAGCAGAGCTATGACGTTGCTCCTTATCTGCTGCGCCCTGGTGGAACCATGGTGGCTGTAGGCTTTCCTAAAGACTCGACGGTCATGGCTGGCGCGCCGCCTACTGTTGTTGCGATGAGAAAGGTATGGCTCTTGAAATTTGACCTTTTTGACTTCAGTGTCATGGATATGACTAATCAAACTCGTAGCTCAACATCGTGGGAAGTGTGACTGGCACGCTGAAGGAAGTCGAAGAGATGCTTGACTTCACAGCGAGAGGACTCGTACATCCGATCCTGACGAAGGGTAAGCTAAGTGAGCTTGACAAGTACGTCAACCTTGTTGTTGAAGGGAAGCTGCAAGGCAGGGCGGTTCTCAAAGTAGATGAATAGGCTGGTTGCCCGCGGACGCCCTAAACGGCCCAGCAATTCTCCTTTCTGACTTGTCCCTGGTCGTCATGAATGCTGCAATAATTCTTAACAACAAGCTTTATGCAAGCCTCGCGCCTACTTGCAGCGCTCACAGACGACGTTTATGACCCAGCTGCATCTTTTTAAAGCCGGAATCTACCACGGATACAAGGTCCAGATGTAGCTTCCTAGACGACCTTGACTATTCTACGCGGCTTACTTCAGGTCGTCACTTTCCGAGCTGGGAGGCAGCAGTCGCGATGGCTACGTTCATTGTAGAAGGAAGACTTTGCGCCTGGTGCTTCTTAAAGCCTCTTCACTCCTCAGCTTTCACCCATCACCACGCATCCACATCACAACGGGTATCGATACAGCGACTACGAACGTATTTGTTTCATTCGTTCAAAGCTATAACTGAACCAGACGATATCTTTTACAACGAGACCCAAACCATGCCCGGCCTACTTATGAACGGAGATACTCATCATAACTCCACCACCGCATCCAATCCGTCTTCTTCCGACGACGAACATACGAACGGAAATGGGAACCAATATACCTATTTTGACATCTTTAACCTGCCACCCCCCCAGGATGGTCACTTCCACCTCGTGCTGGTGGACGCTATCACAGACCTGGCCTTTGCCCAAAGGGATCGCATCATCGGCATGACATTGGAGGTAGTAAAGAGGCTCTTCATCTTCCACCGCTATCATGCTAATTAGGTCATCAACAGGAGCTCGAGGAGATCGCTTATCGATTCTTCGGATATGATCCCGAAATCTACGATGTCCACTTTCATTACACCAGAAGTTGCATTGGCCCGTTGACACACCGCCAATTTGAGTCGCGGTTCCTGCTGGACTTTGTGACTGGAAACACCACAGTACCGGTGTATGCTCACTTCTTTCAAATCGAGGACAACCCACGGGCCATAGAACTGTTCTCTCGTTCCAGAGGAAGTATCCGACGTGAGACACGACGCGAGAGATCAGGGCAGCCGATAGAGAATGATTCAGGGAGTGAGTAGCTATTTTGGCCCATGCGGCGGTAGGCGGTAATGTTGTATGTACAACCGCATGCATGTTGATAGACAAATTCCATCGTGTTCATGTGGAGATCTTGTGTGTGATGCAACGGGTGAATATTTTTGCTCATGCCATGGGTAGTTGAAGCTATCGTCCGGACGGGAATGTATAATTAGTTACGATGGCTCAGATCTTTCGGCACCCACTGTGGTGGAAGAAGGAGGGAGCAACTGCCGGGAAATGAAGGTACAGGGGGTATTGCAGCCGATGGCTAGCGTTGGTTAGTTTTTTTTTTTTTTTTGGACATATCATGAGTAGTTGAAGCTATCTCCGGACGTGAATGTACATGTATTTGTTAATTCGACATTTGCGTCCGGACGCCAGCTTCAGGTACTTATAACATGAGCAAAAAGCAAATCCACGCTAGCCATCGGCTGCGAGAGGGATTGTAGAAGGAGCAATTAGGATGGGTAGGGGCATTTTGGTGTTGCTGATCAACGGCTAGCGTGTGGGGGATAGACGGGCGCTAGCACTAGAGAAGGCGGGGTAGCTCAGGTGAGCTGCTTCGACCTTTCAGGCTGTCCCCAGACAGGATGGCTGGCATCCTGCGCTGACATGCCACAAAAACCCCGCACTGCTCCCGACACCTGTTCCTTCCTTCGAGTCTTCCCCCTCACCCGTGGTTTGCAGGAAGGCCCACAGAGCTCAGAACCCGCCACCCTCTGCCCAATTTCCCAATTTCACCGAGTGCATCAGCTGTGAACCGTCAAGATGAGTGCGGTTGCCGAGACCAGCGGTGGGCCGACGCCTCCGATCCAGGTGCTCTTCGCCCTCCATCCTGGTTTCGACACGTTGGACGTCGCCGGTCCCGTCGAGGTTCTCCACACGGCCAGGCACAACCCCGGCGACCCTGGTGAGTGATTGCATCCATCAATTGAGGAAAACCGGGGAACGGCGAACCAGCGGGAACGTGCCGTCTCCTCTTCTCACGTGCGGCTGCTAACATGACGTCGCCTTACTATAGCCGGCAAAGCCTTCAACATTAGGTTTGTCTCGGCCACCGAGCACACGGTCTCGGAGCAAGGTGCATCCTTCCGCGCGCACATGGACTTCGAGGATGCGCACGAGGACCTCAACGACTTCGACGTCCTCATCGTCCCGGGCGGCGGCACCGACCCCGTGCTCGAGAAGAACGAGGAGCCGATGAAGCTCATCAAGGCTTTCGCCGAGCTGCAGCAGAAGGACCTGACCAAAGAGCGCACTCTCATGTCCGTGTGCACGGGCTCGCTGCTGCTCGCGCAGGCTGGCGTGCTCCAGGGGCTGTCGGCGACAACTCATCCCGACTACTACACAAAGTTCGAGGTCATCTGCCAGAAGGCGGCCCAGCAGGGCGACCTCCAGCAGACCAACGTGATGGAGGAGCGCTACGTGGTCAACAACGCGCGCTTTGAACTGGGCGAGAACGAGGACGAGAACCCCTTCATTCTCAAGGCGCGCCCGGACGGCCGGCGCAAGAGCATCGCGCGCAAGGGCAGCAATGCGTGGAAGGAGGGCCGCCGCCGCGAGAGCATCGCGCGCCGCTCGAGCCTGCGCCTCGGCGGCCTCCGTGTCATCACGAGCGGCGGCATCACGACGGGCTTGGACGCCAGCCTGTATCTCGTCGGCGCCATGGTGTCGCACGACTCGGCGATCGAAGTCGCGCGCGTCATGCAGTATGAATGGAACAAGGGCGTGACGGTTGACGGCATTGACGTGTGATATTGGCTATGACGGAGCGGGCGTCGCGCGCGCGAACCAAAAAAAGATGGCGGGGCAGATCGGAAACCGGGCAGTGGCGGCGGCGACAGTGACGCGCGACAAGAAGTGAGGCGCGTGAAGATGGTCACGGACTTAGCATGATGACTGTAAGTTTAGCTTCAAGATGCTATGAGCAAATGGACAGGATGCAAACAAGCTTAGCTGCCGTGTTCCCCTGGCGGAAGGCACGCTGCCGCTCCCGCGTGGCGGGAGGTGGGCCCTTAAGCGCCATGCTCTAAGGGGCACAGCCTCAGCCACTGACGGCAGCTTCGAGAGCTTCCAGGACAGAGACTGGGCGCCTGGCAAGCGCGTGTTCCTGAAACCAGAGGCGCGCGCCGGCCGGTGACTGGCTGCGAGGAAGCGTGCGGAGTGTTTCTGTTTCGCTGGCCGGGCCCTGCGTTGTCCCCCGCACTCGCTTGCTCCCGATTTGCGGCGATCCTACATCAGTTCTGGCATTCCGACCGTTGCTCAAGCCCCTTTAGGCCAGCGTCTCGAGCCACACGCCCGTCCGCCACTCACACCTCGTCCTCGGCGATTGCACCGCCCGCCCTGAGCGCTGGCTGCCCCACCTGCTCATGCCATCCCACCACGGAACTGGTGCAAGCTGGCAGTGGGTCCGTTCTTCATTCGTACACGTCGTGTCAGCGGAGAGCGCCGTTCTAGACGCTTGAGTCCGTGGGGACAGGTCCACCGGTGAGGTCCGGATGCTGCCATCCCACCCGCCCTCCGTCCCTGCGTCGAGCCTTTGCAACGCAAGCGCTTTCGTGGATCCAACTGGCGCTGGGAAGGGGCCAAGCGCTCATCCGTGTCGATGTTTCGCGCCGTTCGCGGGAGCGGCGCCGCGCGCAACGCCCATGCCATGCTTGCCTTAGCTCTCAAGGCCAACACCCGCTTCGACTTGCTCTAGAGCAATCCAGTCTCCCGTATAAATGGGGTGTTCGCAGTTCTCGAGGTTAGCTCCAACTGCAGGAACAGACTACAACTTGCGGTGAGAACAGCTACATCTTATCGCCCTCTTCTCCTATCAACACACATCTTTCATCTTTGCCCACCACACATCACCTATCTTTAGAAGCAGAGCTTCGAGACTCGCTGCGTATCTTCGACTGGATCAAGATCAGCATCACCTCAACCTTAAACGCACATCCCCCCCATCAAATCCGCCATCATGTCTTTTGCTCGTCTTGCTGGCAAGACCGCCGTCGTCACTGGCTCCTCCACCGGTATCGGCCAGGCCGTTGCCTTTGCCCTCTACACCGAGGGCGCCCAGGTCGTCTGCGCCGACCTCGAGGAGAGAAGACAAGGCAGTGAAGACACCGAGGTCCCCACCCACGAGCAAATCAACAAAGCTGGCGGCAAGGCCATCTTCGTCCAGACGGACGTGACCAGAGCCGACAGCGTGAAGAGGCTGGTCAAAGAGGCGGTGAGCCACTTCGGCAGGATTGATATGTGAGTCTTCCATCTCTTTCGAAAGCACCTTCCCTATGAGGTGGCCTCTTTCACCGATACTATTCTTCCCCCTCTTGCTTGGCATTCCCTTGTCGGGTGATGTCGTCGTCATCGGATCGTCCATGCTAACCATGTGACAAACAGTTTCATCAACAACGCTGGTGTCACTGGCCAGGATGGCAGCATCATGCTCTCGAATGAGGCCTGGGACAGGAATTTTGCCATCAACGCTCGCGGCACCTCCCTCGGCTGCAAGTATGCTGGTGCCCAGATGAAGAAGCAGGACCAGCTCCCCAGCATGGACCGCGGCTGGATCATCAACATCGCTGGCGTTCAGACCGGCTCAAGTAAGCGCTAGCCCTACCATCGAGAAGTGTTGCGAATACTTACATTTCCACAGCGGGCGAGTCCCCCTCGAAGCACTCCCTTGTCACCGACATGACCCAAACCATCGCCCAAGAGCTCCGCGACCACGACATCCACGTCAACGCCATCACCCCTGGCTGTAAGCACTGCCCTCGACGACTCGTATTACGCAACCCGAACTGACAGCGCGCAGATACCAAGATGTCGATGCCGGAGAACGGGCTGGAGACCGAGGAGGCGCTGGCGGCCATTGCGAAACTGCCGGAAGACGTCGCCAAGATGGTTGTCCAGCTGGCCACCGAAGAGAGCGGCTGGATGGCCGGTAACTCGGTCTCGGTCGACAGTGGTAACGCCACTTTCTAGACCTCTCATTTGTTCATGTTCACGTTCACGTTCATGTTTGATGTATAACCACCCTGTAATGATGTAATGACGATATAGACTGTATATGATCGCTCTCCTGATATTTAGTTGGAATTTGGAGTTATGGATAGTCGTACATTTGCATAGAAACGTTCCCACTTACAACATCAATCGTACATCGCGTTTACTACTCGCCTGCGCCAGCGCCGACGCCGTGAACGACCAGCATTATTTCTCGGATTTCTTCGGTTCCTCTGGGTATGCCGTTGCCTTTTCGATCTCCCGCTTTTCCTCGTGGAGCTCTTCTTTTGCCTTTATGGAGCTTTCAACCTGCTCAACCGCCCGTTCGATCTCGACCTCCATTTCCGGCAAATGATATCTTTCGGCCAACAGCTTGCCATTCCACTTTTGCAAAACCATGACATCTTCTGTTTCGTTGTTTGTCTGGCGCCTGACAATCTCGGCGACCGCCTCGGCCTGCTCTTCAGAAGGCGGTGCTGCATCGCGCGACAGCTGTCGGGTAGGATGAATGAGGCCAGCAGCATACAGCTGATCGAGCTCATGAGACGGTTTCGGCTTTATAAGATTATTCTTAAGCAGAAATTCAAGGTGTTTCGAACCGGACAGGGCCTTCCAGTGAGAATATGCGCGGAAGACGAGGTAGAAAAAGGGGATGTTCGGTATTCTGGAGGCGGGTCAGTTTGGTCAATCCCCAGGCGCATGGTCCACTTACATTGGCACCAGGGCGAACGGTGCGGAAATCGGCATGCCAATGATACTCCACCACAGGCGTTTGCGATGCAGCGACTGCCGCTCCGTCGCCAGCTGTTGCAGAATTGGCGACACGCGCTCCGGCTTGAGGAACAGGCCCGGGTACTTGACCTCGAGCACCTCGCTGCCCTCGAGCTCTGCCTCGCGACGCCTACTGCTCAGCGCAGGTATCGTCTTGAGTCCCCATTCCTGGTATGGAATCCGGCGCAGTACGCGATTGCCTTGGACCGTGACGGTTTTTTTCCAGCCACCCTTGTACCAGGGCACCTCGGCCGGCACCTTCTCCCAGTCTGCCCACGTCTGGTTTGCCTTGTTTGTGACCTTGTCGAGCACCGACGGCTTCTCTCCCGCCGCAGCGGAACGACGTTCGCAGTAGATGAGGGCGCGACGGGTGGAAATTGGAAGGAGGAATAGCCGCATGGTGGCGGGTCGCGACCGTTGGAGAGGTCGGGCGTTGACGAGACGTTTTTGGAGGCGTCGGGCGACGAGACTCTTTTGGAGGCGGGGCGCAGTGTTGGGCGACGAGACTTTTTTTTTTGAGGTTTTGGAGGCTTAGTTGATGCGCGCAACGGGAGCGCTCTCGCTTGCCATGGTAGCTGAAAGCCTCAGGCGTTGTGGTCGGCGGCCTGGCGGTGCTAAACCTAACGTCATGCATGGTCCCTGCGACAAGGCAATCTCCCGGACGCGATCTGCACAGGCAACATCCTCCCAGCTCCGGCCACCAGCCGCCTGTTATTGGAGATCCTCAGCCTCCCCAAGGCCGGTCTTTTCTCACCCGTCGGCAGCTGGAGGCCTTCCCTCCACAAAAGCCGCCCCAAACCACCACGCTCGCTCGACTCGCCCTCGCGCCCGCTCTCACCACTCTGCCGGTCGCCCAAGCTATGGCCTCCGACCATGAGACGCCCCGGACGGTTCCTCGTAAGCCCCCGTACATCTTCACCACAATCGCACTCGCGTGCTCACTTTCACCCGCTCAGCTTGGGTGCGCTCTGCCCACAATGATTCCTCCGACGAACTCCGCCTCGATACCCAGGTGACGCCGCTATTGCTGCCGAAGACGCCACAGACCGCCCGCCCTGCCTCACACAACTCACACCCCTCTCCTCGTCCCGGCGCTCCCGCCGGCCGCCGCTTCGATCACGCCCGCGAGGCTGCCCCGCCACTCCCCAACCTTTCTCCAGTTGAGGCAGCGTCGCGCTGGCGCGCATTTGCGCTCGCCTCCAAATATCCCGATCCGCCGCAGTCGTCCGCCCAACGCGAGGTGGCCTCGCCGGAATGGATCCGCGACAACTTCAACGATCTCGACTCGCCATGGGAGCCAGACGAGGCGACGAAGACGGATCTGGAAAAGCAGCCTGGATTCTGGCTATTTAGCCACGCAAAGCGGAAGAGCCGCCTCCGCAAAATCCATGTGAGACTTTCCCCGGGCCGAACTGCGACCCAAACACCCGTCACGTTTCGCATGTTTCCTCGCTTCCTCCTAGTTTTGGACTTGTGTGACGCTGCCGTTGCGTGACCGGCTCTTCCTGCGTGTTTCAGATTGTTGACATTGCTTGCAGCGTATTCTTATGCGGAACCCCTACATTCCGCTTGTCATTCGTCTTGTCGTCCTCACCTTCTCGGCTGCAGCACTTGGAATTTCTGGCCGCATCTTCCACCTTACCAACCGCAGCGACTGTGACGCTGGCTCGTCCACCTACATGGCCATTATCGTGGATGTGATTGCTATTGTTTACCTTTGCTACATTACCTATGACGAGTATACGGCCCAACCGCTTGGCTTGCGGAATCCCAAGTCCAAGCTGCGTCTGATCTTTCTTGACCTACTTTTTATTGTTTTCGATTCTGCGAACCTCAGTATTGTGAGACAGTCCCGCATCCATGCCAAGCACAATGCAGTTAACAATGACGTAGGCTTTTCAATCCTTAACAGACTCAAGCTGGGCGTGTGTGGACAACACCGAGCGCGACGACCCGGAAGTCCGGACATGCTACCAATCCAGCGTGTGCGACCAGCAGAAATCATTAACGGCCGTTTTATTACTAGCGTTAGTGGCATGGCTGCTAACTTTTGCCATCAGTACGCTCCGGATTGTGGAGCGGGTTACGCGCTGATGACGGCTGACCCTTGCTCTTTTGCTTGTTTATATTTGTTTAATCGGTTCGTTATACCCCGGAATGCTACATACCTTTCTCCGTTTCCCTTCTTTCTCCTGATCATCGTCTTCGGTCCGATTTTGGTGAGAATGCGTTGTTGAGAGTGGGTACGACCAAGAAATGGCGGGTCGCTCGTGCACCAGGGAAATCGACAAAGATTTGCGTCGGCATACAAAAAGAGGACAGCGGAAGGTCCGGATATACCTCATCGGTAATTTCCGGAAGATTGATTGGAGGCCTTCAAGCTTGAGATCTGGTCCTTGCAAGTTTCCTATTCGGCTGACTACAGGTTTGCTTCACCAAGCGAACTGACATTATGCCGCATCACCACCTCTGAGCTTGGTTTGAAGGCAAGACACAAGCATTTGCCGGATAACAAATAGGCAACTATTATGTGCATTCTAGTCACAAACACTTGGACGAGAGTACACGCCCATGGATACCAGACCTTTTGCGCGTCCAGCAAGCTGCTGCGGTAGGTAGAAATACGTGTGATATCCGGTAGGTTTTTCACTGGATATCTCCTTGCTTCCGTCTGCTCTCCGGTTATCTTTCTGGATTTGTTTTTCTATTTTTCTCAGGCGAAGTCGAATCCTCGTACTTCGGGTTTCTCTCCTTAAGGCCCTCGCCTTAACATCATGCCGATAACTCTTCACCGCCGAAACTCCTCACCTATACCCCATTGGGACTTTCCTGCTCACCACCATCACGCTATCCCGAAACATCACCGCCGTTGGGAGCGCACGCGCCGGCGCCTGATCCCCTGCTACGAGCAGCCAGGCTACCATCAAACTTCCCAAACGCGTCAGCAGACCCCTTTGGACTCTGTTCGGAGCCGGCGACTCATCACCGTCCGCCGCCGCGTTGCCCCCTCTCCCTCGTTGAGTCACAGTTGCAGGTGCAGTCGCTGGCGCTGGTTGTGGCCATGCCTCCACATCTACCAGAGCGCTCCTCGAAGCGAGCGGAAAGACCAGGAGAAGCGACGGAGAGAATATCCCTACTCATACGTCAAGTATGACGGCCCTGCGGACTACTTTGGCAGATCGTACGAAAATGGCAGATCGAGGGAGGGGGGCGACCGCGTCCGGGGTTGCGACAGGAGGGGGTCGTTCATTGATTCGCCTTACCTTCCGCCCCAGTCATTTTCGTCGCGTCCACAACCGCCGCTACCGCCGCTACCTCGTCGTGCCGCACCGCCATCCCCACCACGCTTCGGCCGTCCCTATCAGAGAGAAATGCGGAGGGAAATGCCCAGCAGAAGTGGAGCCTGCTCTTGCCCTTCCTGCGTCCGAAACGAGCCCGACCTTATCGACCAGCTCTGCACCGGCGTCGAGTCGCTTCGCCTCGCGCCGCGCGGCAGACCCGCCTTGTTAGCTGCTAGTAGAGGAGGCGGCATCATTGCGCCTCCCAACTCGAGGCTAGCGTCGAGGGTGCCGTCCGTGGCGCCGCGGTCTCCCTCTAGAGAGTCGAGGTTGGACAGAGGTCTGAGGTCGAGGTCGAGGCGGCCGTACCATCGGAGGGGCCAGGACTCGAAGGCTGCTGATCTCCGGGGGGATGGTGGAAGGCATGGCGAATGGCAGGTCGGACGGCCGTCGTTTGCGGGATTGTTGGATACGCCGAGTGATGACGATGAATGGCAGGAGAGGGGACGACAGCGGGAGAGGAGGAGGAGCGATAGGAGAGAGGGTGGGAGGGCTGCTGCGAGAAGGACAGAGGAGGTTCTGGAGGAGAGTAGTGATCTTCAAGCATGGAATGGAGCTCTCATGAGGCGAAGAGCACGGTAAGAGGGGTGTGAAGATTCGTGGGTGTACTCAAAAAAGTATCGGAGTTCATTGTTCAGTAGTCAAGGGTTTGCGAGCTGTTTTTTACGGGGGATACAGACTGTCTAGGAGTTTCACGGCTATTGGGGCTGTCCGGACCTGGGGCCATCCTTTTTTCCTCAACCTAAGAAGATTACAAAAGCCAACAAAGAGGATCTTTTACGAAGCACATTTGAACCTGTGTGTTGGCAGAGAATGGTGGGGGAGACAATGACGATCCTCACAAGGGTTTCGGCGTAGGGCTGAGGCGGTGCGGCGCGCGGGCATGAGCTCCAGCCAGCTTGCGCCTTCCTTCAACTTCACCTCGTTTCTGCCACAACAGCTGCCTAACGTCCGCCAGCTGGAAGCAAATCCATTCCTTTCGCCGCGCGAGAATTTGCCAGACTAACCATCTCTCGCTGACCGCTAACACACACCCGCTACGACCGGCTCCTCAATCCTCAATCGTCTCAGTTGTTGCATATCGCCACGACCCGCCGCTACTGCCGCCATCCGCCCTGTTGTATCTCTCGCCCACTCCACCCCACACACACCATGTCGAAGATCACGCACATCAGCGGCATGCCGCAGTGGAACAGCATCCTGTCGTCCAACACGTACGTCGTGGCCGACTTCTACGCCGACTGGTGCGGGCCGTGCAAGGCGATCGCGCCCGTCTTCGAACAGCTGGCGCAGCAGGAGGCCAAGCCCGGCCGCCTGTCGTTCGTCAAGGTCGACGTCGACGCCCAGCAGGGCGTTGCCGGCAAATACGGCGTTTCTGCGTACGTACTCTCTCCCCTATGTTCTCGTCGCCTTATCCCCCTCCCCCGGGCCCGTTCTTCCCCACTTTCTTTCGAACGGTATGAGGAATTCGGAAGCTGATTGAGAGGTTTCGATTGTTTCTAGTATGCCTACTTTCCTCGTCTTCAAGAACGGCTCCGTCACCGAGACCATCCGCGGCGCCAACCCGGCCGCCCTGCGCGCTGCCGTCACCAAGGCTGCGGCCGACGCGGCGAAGGGCCCCGGGCGGGCCAGCACGGCTTTCCAGTCGAAGGGACACGTGCTCGGCAATGCCGGTGGTGCATCGTCGTCGTCTTCAGCTACGACGGGAGACTGGGCGTGGAACCTGACGCAGAGGCGCGGCGGCCTGTTGGACACGGTAGTGCGGTTCGTTGCGCTGTACGTCATAACGCTGTTCTCGTTCGATGCGTTTGCGGCGGCGAGGGAGAGCCCGTTCAATGTGAACAAGAAGAACCAGTAGAGTTGGGGGGATGAGTTTGCATGGAGAGGTGCTGCATGGGCTACAGACGGGATGCGGCGTTTTATGCGTTTGTGATGGTGGGTTCTTATCTGGCCGCTTTTTATACCAGGGCCAAGGTCTTTTGGAAATGCCCTTTCTAAGGGTATAATTTATTTGATGTCTTTTACTACGTGTGTTCCGCTGTGGATTTCTTTTCCTCAATACAGCTTGACATCGTCGCTGCGCTGATTCTGATCCCAGAGCACTGAATGTCATGACTTCTGTTTTCCTATCAAAAACCAATGGTCCCAATCAACCATCTTTTTCCAAAACGCCAATTCCTGCTGCTTCTAACCAGCCCATGCTTCCATCCCAATGCTCCTGAATGCAGCCTATCCCAAGGGACCTCCAAATTTCCATAACGCCTCCGTATAGAAGCATTGAAAGCCGATTATGTCAAACGCTCGCCCAATCTCGCCCAAACACCATTATCTCTCTCTCTCTCTCTTTCCCCCATCACTTGCAATACTCGTCCTTCTTGACGAAGTGCGCGTAGATGACGAACTTGCGGTCGCCGCGGATGCGCAGCGCGACGCCGTGGTAGACGCCGGCGGCCCAGAGGCCCATCTTCAGGCGCGGCTTGCGCTTGCCGCCGCTCGTGGGCGAGGCGCCGCCGCCGTCCCGGAAGGAGTCGCGGTGAAAGTGGACGGTGTGGGAGGCGCGGTCGACGCTGAAGGTCGTGTAGGCGATTTGGTGGAGTTTCTGTGTGCGGGAATGGTTAGTTAGGTTGTCCTCCGTTTTTTTGTTTTTTGTTTGCGCTTGCGGGTTGGTGAGCTCTCCCACGTACCTCCCAGCTGATGTCGCCGCTGAGGTGACGGATGCGCGGAGTGGTACTCGTGGCTGTGGTTGTGGCGGTGTTGGGGTCCCATATGCGCAGCTCGACGGCGACGGTGGAGCGGGCTGTGGTGCTTTTGGTATCCATGCTTGTGGGGGTAGAGGATACTGAGAGTGGCATCGTGAAGGGCTTTGTGGGATGGAAGGTTTGGAGGTATCGGGACGGTAGGAGTGTCAGAGGAGGAGCAAGAAGAGTGGCCGGGCATTCGCGATGGAAAGCAGAAGGAAGGCATGACTGGACAATAGTGCGATCGGAGCTGAGGATGTGGCATGTGATGTTCTGGTACATGGTTCTCTGGGATCACTTGGTCGAGTAGGAAGACGAACAATATGAGGGCGTGAAGGTGAGTTTTGGTATTGTCTCTAGATAATAAGCAATAGTAAGCTAGATTGAGGTTGAAGGTGAGATTTCTCTAGGCATACGCGCTTTTGGTGATTTGCGCGCGTGAAAGTTGATTTCCTGAAAGTAAAGTTAACGAGCCTCTGGACAAGTATTTGAATTTCTAGAGGAAATCACTTGGTGATTTCGTCTTTAAAACAGCTGGATGGTTAGAAACTTTGGAGAAGACATCGATTTACATGCAACCGAGGTGTTGTTGTGGACTATTTCTAAGCTAATGCACCATGCAGGGTTCACCTGTAGAGTAGACTTTCTGAGAACGGTAGTTGATAGGTATCGGTTAGCTTATCACTCTTCCCTAGATCTCATCATTCCTTTCCAGGCCGAATTTCCGCGGATGCAAGGAAAATCCTCAAGCTAGAGAGTCGACGACAGGTGGGGCAAGATTCCTTGCATCTGGTTGGCCATTTCCGAAGATCATGCAGCAAAATCACCAGGATATTTTGTCGAATCCGGCATTCGGCACGTGTATCATTGCTGTCATACCAAGGTACCTCATGATCGACTATCAGCTGTGACATCATTCCTGGTCCATGCTCTGAAAAGTGTCTGTAGGGCAGCAATTCTATGAGAGCGCGCAAAAGTGTTGAAAACGGCACCAAAGGGGCTCGTAAAGGCGTGCTACGAGGGTTCCGGCGACCTGGATCTCGAACGTCAGACTAGCCGACCAGCCGATCGTAATTAGGCCGTAGAGAGTAGGTCAGAGTCGGCAGAAGAGCATGCTGGAGAGCGGGAGGGCGAGAGGGAAAAAGTGGGACGATGCGACAGACGGCGGCGGAGCACAGGCCCATAGGCGGCTCTGGGCATGATGTGCACAGGGGTTCAGCAAGGAATGGGGCTGGCTCTGGACCATTAGCCACAACTCGGCGCGTCCGTAGCGGCAGCCTGCTGTCTGCGACTGCTGGCCAGCTGCGTGCGCGACTCCAAATTCGCAAGAGCGCCCTGATTAATGTCTAATGTCTCCTGTCGCCATGTTGCTTGCCTATTTTGATTTGTAGGGTGACGTGCCCCTCTTCCTTGCATCCACCGCCCGCGACCCGCCCTACCACATCTCTCCATCCCCCGCTCCAGTCGCCGCTCACGGCGCGCCTGTCTTACGCCTCCTCGCCCCAAGTTATGGACGCGGGTGCGCTTGATCCCAACTCCTATACCGCACAGCGCTTGGTCCGTCGTCTTCTACCGTGTCCACTTTCTACGCTTACTGACCGCCTCGAAGCAACATGCTACCCCCGAACACCTCTATCTTACCTCGCGCCGCTGCTTCATAGGCCCGATTCCTGAGGGCTGGCTTAAGTCGCACCGCCACGATTGGTACAAACACCATCTGCACATCAATTACTCCTCGCGCGCTGCTACATTTTCAACCGACCTCCGTATCACCCACGACCGCCGCACCTCTGGCATTGACGGGCCACGCACCTCGAGACCATTCCGCCCGAGTTTTCCACAACCCGCCGACCTTGACGAAGACGACCATGCTCATGCCAACGGAGATGGGGCCGCCGACACGGGCGCCATCGTTGTCGTGCCGCGGGCGAGCGAGCCAGACCCCGAGATAGTCGACGAGGAGCTGGCAGGACGGCACAGAAGGGCACAATCACGATCCAGCACCGCAAAAAGCCGCGTGGAGAAACTGAGAAGACCGGACTACAAAAGAGATAATACAGGCTCTTATGTCACGGCCCGCGAAGAGATTCGTCCGCCTTCAATCCAGGAGCCGCGCGCCATTTCCGTGGCCGAGAGCAGCCTGCAGATCCCCTCGTCTCCACGTGTTGACGGCTCTACCTCTTCGTTGTTACCAAAGGCCCACACTGCTGCCCCGGAACCTGTGCTAACGCAGCCCGAGGAGGCGAGTAATACCAGGCAAGACAGTGGCCGTGCCTTGGTGAAGTTTGATTTACCCGAAGATTCGATGAAGGCTGAGATCCAGGCAAAAGCACAACTTGCTCGGACTCACCTGGGCCGGAAAGGCCGTCGTCTCAAGAAAACCAAGCTTCGCGATGGCCAGATAGTCAAAATGGACAAGATGCTGGTGCGCGTGGATACCACAATCTCCGAAGTTGGTGAAGAATTTGACGAGAATGAAGCCCACAAGATTGAATCACGCACCAGTGAAAAATGGCGGGAGTACATGGTTGTGTGCCGCGACAATCATGAAGCCGATGAGGATTTTCCTTTTGTACTCCAGATGTACAAATCACGGGTAGGTGCTTTCCTTGATTTCGATTCAAATCGATGCATGCGAGAGAATTTGGGTTCGTTTCAAAACTTGACTGACCACCGATACAGGTAATCGCAGCGGTTGAAGGATCAAAAAATAAAAAGAAGGCAAAGCATGAAGTTCGACTCGGCCCTAAGTACACTAGAGTCAATCTCTATTCATCACTGGACAAGACGGTTGTCATATGGACGCCGTACCGCAAAGGAACGAAGATTTACATCATGCGCCCGCGTTCGGGCTCCAGCGCTGCTGAGTGGTATACCTTCCTCAGGAACGTCCTAGGATGGAACCGAGCCTCGGAGCTACAAGTCAACGTGCCCGATCTGGATGTGAGCCTCCGCTTGGAAAACCCGTTTCAGGAGCTGGAGTCATCCAAGGAGCTACAGGAAGCCGCCAAAGGGAATGAGGAAGCAATGGTGAAGGCGGTCCAGCAGGAGCAAGCTGTTGCTAAAAACATCATTAACCGTGCCATTGAGATGCTAAGCCAAACCCAAGAATATTCCGAGGTTGTCAAGAAATGGACCTCATCCGAACGAATTGGACTTGCTTGGAAGCGGTATGACCGATTGGAGTGGATACACGGACCCAACGAGAAGAAAATGTACGGTTCTATTGCCATGGCGCGAACCCACGAACTGGAGCTACGTCCCAAGGAACACTATCCCACCAAAGCAAGGACCAAAAAGAACAATATCATTGAAGAGCCTGTGCCAGTTGAAGGGTTTTTGATCCGACTGACAAGTCAGAGGGGACTTGATCAGAGGCTTGGCCGTATGTTTTTCAAACGACTTTATTTTTCGACGCACGACAACTATTTGGTATTCTCCCGACCAGCAAAAGCCGTTCCACCACCGCCACCCAAGTTACCATGCATTGGGAGCTCGCGACTGCCCACGCCAAAGGAGATCACCGACGCAATACCTTTGGTGTATGCTGTAAGTTCATGAGATTTGCAGCTTTCTCTATGACTTCTAATCTTGGGCAGGTTAATCCTTATCCCGTCAAGGACGGAGAGATAGAATGGCTGGCAGGGGGCGACGGGGGCTCTTCAGAAAACATCCGTTACCGTGACCGGGACGCTGAAGATGAAGCTGAGAGGAAGACGAACCTGTTGCTGAAATGCGATGGTTACATCAACCTCTGCAACATCAAGAAGGTCCGCAAAGTACACCGCGGTGCATCTGCGGCCGACGAGAACATGGACGAAGGCTCTGATGTTGATTTCGATCTGGATGTGGATGACTCAATGGAGGACGATGGCATCACTCACGAATTCGATGACGAAAGAACGTTTGAGCTGGTCTTGAGGAATGGCCTTATTATTCGTCTTCAAGTAAGCGTTTGCCAACCCTCAGTAATGCTGGACTTACTAACAAGCACAGGCTTTCGACAAAATGACGAAGAAGGAATGGATGCACCGTCTCCGCAAGCTTGTCAAGTACTGGAAGTATCGCACAGCAACCGACATTCAACTCTACAAAACGATCCGGAAATACAACCTGGAACTTCTCAAAATCGACGAGGAGGCTGAAGCAATCGTGGGACAGTTCGCACGAAAGTGGGAAGTCTTACATGCGCATGCCAGCTCCGAACTGTACAATATGTGCGGAATTTCCGCCTGTCGCTCTATTCATGTACGCTACACCACCCTCAACCAATCCACATCATGAACCTGTCTCGTTTCCTAACTCCATGACAGATCTCCGGCGTTCTCTTCCGCAAGCCGCGACGCCACGCGACCTTCACGCGCTGCTCGGTCATCCTGTCGGCGGGCACGCTGCTGATCTTCCAAGACTCTGTGCGCAAGAGCACGGGCAAGCAGCTGGCGCACATCCACCACGAGCACATTTCGACACTGGACCTGCGCGACTGCTACCTCTATTCCGGCCTCCTGACCGAAGCGGACCTGCTATACCAGAACCGCACCTTCGACAACAACCGCCCCGGCCACACGGCGCTGCCGCGCATCTACCTCGAGGACGGCTGGACCAGCACGGACGAAGACTACATGACGTGCTTCGCGCTGTGGCACGGCCGCAAGAAGAGTCTGTTCAGGAGGGGTCATGGGGACGATGAGGTGCAGAGGGAGGTGTTTGAGAAGGAGGGCGGCAGGCGGAGTAGGTGGAAGTTGGTCAGTCAGCTCGGCGTGCCGGGGAATACGATGGTGTTTAAGGCGCGGAGTCGCGCCGAGAGGGACCATTGGGTGCTTGCTATCCAGACGGAGTGCGAGAGGTTGGCGCAGGCGGAGGAGGTGAGGATTGTGGAGAGTTCTTGATTGAGGGGTGGGGGTGAGGGCGTTTGGGTTGGATTGGGATTGCGGGTGTTTGTTCATGGTTTAATGGATGATGTGTGTGAGTGGTTGACGTCTGGGTTGGGTTGGGGTGGGAGGCATTCTTATCGGTTTGGGGGATCACGGTGGTGGTGGTTTTCCTGTCTGTACTTTTTTTTTCTTCCTTTTCCTTTGTTCCTATCTTCCTGAGATTCCCTTGGCTTGGTCCTTTGCCTTTCATTTTTTTTTTAAACGTCTCTTTTTCCTTATTGTCTCTTCAGCTTGCCTTGTTTCCTCTGCTTTTCATCTGGCATACCACTCATTTTTCTTCCTCGCTGTACTCATAGTCATGATTCTTTCCTGGGAGCATACGAGACCCGACACTAAATTCTAATGTTTTCCGAACGCATTCAATGTTCTTATTTGAGGCCACGGTGATGAATAGATTTGCAAATATGGTCTGGGTCCTGAATGCATAGCTGGAACGCTCGAGGAGGCCAAAGCTCGGCATGCGGATGAAATACCTACCCTTCAAAACGCAACAACAAGATGACTTTGTTACCAATCCGAAAAGGGGAGACATCTCTCTCTGACTTTCTAGACAACCGAAACTGAAGACGGAAGGTGGCAATATCTCTACCGCACCCCCTCTCATTCCCCACCCTTCTTCTCCTCCTTCACGCCTTCGATCCCCCAAAGATGACGCGATCAAACGTCTCGACGAAGCCCCTGATCTCGTCCTCGGTGTTGTAGTGCACCATGCTCACGCGCACCACGCCTTCCGGCGCCAGCTGCAGCACCTCGTCGCACAGCCTCTTGCTGTAGAAGTGGCCCCAGCGGAACCCGTAGTCCGACACCGCCTCGACGGCCTCGACGACCTCGCGCGCGTTTTTGCCCTTCACGCCGAAGCTCACCGTCGGCACGCGCTTGGCGGCGTCGGGATCGCGTTCGCCGTAAATCGTCACCAGATCCCCCTTGCTCGCCAGGTAGTCGAGCAGCACGGCCTGCAGGCGCTGCTCGTGCGCGGCGATGGCGGAGGAGACGCCGGCCGCGTTGCCGGCGGCGAAGGGACCGCCGAGGTAGGTGAGGAGGACGGGGAGCGTTTGGGTGAGTTCGTAGTTGGACGCGGCGAGGCCGAGCTTGTCGGTTAGGGTGGTTGTTGGGTTGAAGTAGTGGGAGAGGGGCGTGAGGGCGGTTTGGGCGGCGCGGGAGCCGTAGAGCATGCTGATGTGGGGGCCGTAGACTTTGTACCAGGAGAAGCTGTAGAAGTCGACGCCGAGGGCTTTGACGTCGATGCGGCGGTGCTGGGGGTGGAGAGGTTAGTTGGGCGGTTTGGTGTGGGGAGGGAGGGGGTGGGTTGATTTACGGGAGCGTAGGCGACGCCGTCGACGCAGAAGAGGGCGCTTGGGATGGTGTGGACGGTGTCCGCGAGGGAGCGGATGTCGTGGATGGTGCCGAGGATGTTGGAGGCGTGGGTGCAGGTCACGAGCTTGGTCTTGGGGGAGAGCAGCGGCTTGAGCGACTCGGGCGTGAGCTTGGGGTTGGTGGTCGGTGGGACGGTCCACCACTTTAGAGTGAGGTTCTTCTGCTTGGCGATGGCGACCCAGGAAGCTATGTTTGCTTCGTGGTCGAGGTTGGAGACGACGAGCTCGTCGCCGGGCGAGAAGTCGATGGCGATGGAGAGGTTGCGGAAGAGCTGCGTGGTGGAGCCGCCAATTACTAGATAAAGGTCAGTCTTCACTTGCAGTATCATGCTATTAAGTAGCAATTGAGCGCTGAAAGATGAAAAATCAACATACCAACTTCGTCATTCTCGGCGTTGATGTACTGGGCGCCAGCTACAAGGCCGTCGCTGAAATGCTTGGTCGAAGCAGCACCGATGGGATATGAAGCACCAAGTTGGACATTGTTGGTGGAGAGGTAATCGGAGATGCTAAATTGGAGTCAGTCCTACGGCTCTCTTTCTCCCTTGCTCTTTCGCTCTCACGATTTGATGACATCGCCCAGGGCCTGACTACCGCCGGCATTGTCGAAGAAGACCTGCTTCTGGTTCAAAGCAGGGAACTTGGAGCGCGCATTGGCAATGTCGAAGGTAGAGGCCATGATGAATCGTGATGTGAGGGTAGAGCTCAGAGGCAGACAGCGGGGTATGTCGAGGACAGCTCGGTGTGATTTGGATGACGACCGAGATGCATCCCACTTTCCGTATCCACCCAAGTGCGGGGCAGCCCGATAAAAAGTGGGATCACCACAGCAAGACTTCTTCCCCAGTCAAATCGGCTTGCATCATGCTTGTTGAGATTACATAAAATCAATCCCAAGAAGGCCATGGCTCGGATGCGTCTTGCACATGCGCGGGGACTCCATTCGGATCAATCATGTCTGTGATAAAGAACAAGTCTGACCCATGATAATAAGCAATATATAGATAGGTCTTTGGTCATAATCAGAGTTGCATACAAGAGCAAAGGCATTCAGCAAAGAACAGCAATGATCAATATCGAACAGGACAGCTCACGCATCTTTCCGAGCGCAAAAAAAAAAAAAACGAAGATGGCAGACCAAAAGACAGGGCACACTCCGAAATGTGTCTAAGAGGAGACGATGCAACATAGCCAGTTCGAGAGAGATGCAAGGGCAGGTGCAGCGTGACTGGGTGTCGACCGCGTTGCGAGGACCCGACGAGTGGCCCAAGCGCAGCGCGCATTCGGACAAGGGACGCGTCCCCCGGCGCAGCGTCATCGCATCCATGGCATCATGGACATAGACATCGAAGAGCACAACGATGCCTTCGCCGTCCGCGACCTGTGGCGCCCTTCGCGCTTCGCTCTCCCAGACCTGCAGCGCGATGCGACTCTCTTCCCAGAGCTAGAGCTCGACAGTGAGTCGCCCCAGCCCGACGCGTTTTGCGACTCACCTAACGCGACAAAGTCAACCACATAAAAATCGACAACCCCTACGCCCCTACGAAGAGCCTCGAGCAAGACCTACGCCTTCCAGACCTTGATAGCTTCCAGTATGGCCCGCTTGAGGACCTGGACCCGCTTCAGGAGTCCACCGTCTCCGCCGTTCCTGCCCAAGCGCAACCTCAAGACGAAGCCCAGGATGACGATGTGTGGAGAGATGCGGCCGCTCAGGGGCCTATCAAGGACAGTGTGAGGTTTCATACTTGGGAGTCGTTCGAGAAGCCAGGCTTTCAAGAACCCAGCCACTCCTATATCGCTGAGGCAGGTCCAGAAGCTTTCGACGCCGCCCTGCTTAGGATGCAAGAGACCGACCCCTCCAAAGCAGCTGGCAGGATCGTGAGGTCGGATATACTGCTTGGGTCGCTCTTCAACCTCGGTCTTGGTCGCTCTTCTGTGCTGTTCAGGTACGAGCAAATGGAGCATACCTTCGCTCAGGCCATCCACGACCAGAGAATGTCTGGCTTCTCCCTGGTTTCTGCCCAGAACCTGATCCACGACTTCATTCACGGCGGCTCTACTTTCAAGATCCTTCGTGAATTTGCCGATCGAACTTGCGGAGCCGAAAATGCATTTCCATCCAAGGTGGCTCTGGCGACTGCAATCGGAACCATCGTATCTGCCATGGAGAACCACCTCGGCAATCAGAGGAGTTCCGTGTCGACCCTACTGCAGCTCCAGCAGCTATTTCGCAGGCCTCATCACATATTATTGAAGGTCAAAGCTGTTGCTGAGGCGGTAAAGTCTCTATCCACGAACGAGGACCTGATCACTATGCTGTACATGCATGTCCATGACATGGAACAAGAGGACACGTGGTTGAGGTCCGTCTTCCTGGACATCCTCAAGAGCGTCAGCAACCCCTGGCTTGAATTTGCCGCTGAATGGACCGGCCTCCGTTGCGGCCTCCGGACTGGTTTCACCAACGAAGACGTCAATCACACATTCGTTGGCATCGAAGAGGCGTCCGAAGATCAGAATGAATCCCGTCCGCTGCCAGAACACTTCTACAGACCGGAGAACATGCCATCGTTTGTCCCCGAGGAGGACGGCTATACTATCTTCGAAACTGGAAAAAGCTTGCGCTTCCTCGAAGTCCACCATCCCAGCCATCCTCTGTGTGCACCTCACAAAGTGGGCTTGCAAGCACCGTCGCTGGATTGGAAGTTTGGTTGGGAAGACATGGAAAGCATTGCCACCAAAGCCAAGCAATATGAGAGAAGTTTGGCCGAGGCCATTAGGAAGTACAAGCATACTTCAGGAGACGACGATCAAGTCGGCAGGAGGTCTTCAGATGCTGGTATGGGCGTCGGGCCCAACGTCGAACCGGCAGATTACGAGCGCAACATCTACGATACGGTTGAGCTTTTCGACCAGATCCCCGCCAGCGAGGAGAGCGGGTCAGCAACAACGTTGCACTCGCTCGTCCTTTCATCTATATCTCCACAAAACTCGGACGAGGGTCTCTACACATTCGCTCCACCCATAGCGCTGACTCCAACGCTCTCCCTGACGCCGTTGTTTCTTGCACAAGCCCGTCTCGTCAACGCAACAACACTTCGGCTCTTCTTCCGATCACACGACTTACGTCTCCATCTTTCCGTGCAACGGCAATACCAGCTCCTAGGCGACGGCATGTTCATGTACCGTTTGACTTCGGCCTTGTTCAGCCCGGAACTCGAGACAGCAGAGCGCAGGCGCGGCACCGTGCGGACAGGCGCCCCCATGGGCCTAAAGCTAGGCTCGCGCTCGACCTGGCCGCCCGCCAGCTCGGAGCTGCGTCTCGCGCTCATGGGCATCCTCAGCGAGAGCTACCACTCGTCTCGCCTTTACAAGAAACACGTTTCTTCCTCCCACAGGAAACGCCAGGACCACAAGCGCCTCCGCGAGACGCCCGACCTGCCCGGCAACCTCAGCTTCTCGATCCGCGTCCTGTCCAACGCCGAGATCGAGCAGTGCATGGACCCGAACTCGCTGGCGGCGCTCGATTTTTTGCGGCTGCAGTACGCGCCGCCGCCGCCGCTGCACCTCGTCATGACCGCCGCCGCGCTCGACAAGTACGACCGCGCCTTCCGCCTGCTGCTGCGCATCGCGCGCATGCTGTTCGTCGTCAACCATCAACTCGTGTTGCCGCGCGACGGCGACGGCGCGGTCATTCCGGGCGTCTGGGAGAGCAGGTGCTTCCGCAACGAGGCGCGCCACTTCGTCAGCGCCGTCGCGGCGTACTTTTTCGACGAGGCTATTGGCGAGACGTGGCGCGCGTTCGAGGCGAGGCTGGATGGGCTGGAGAGGCGGATGATGGCGGAGGATGAGTACCGTGGCGGTACTGGTGGTGGTGATGAGGATGGGGAAGGGGAAGAGTCTTCATCTCCTTTCGGCCGGTTGGTGGCAGAGGGCTTGGAGAGCGTGCGCGCGGCGCACGAGGACTGCCTCGATCGCATCCTGTTCGCGCTGCTGCTGCGCCGCCGCCAGGCGCAGGTCATGCGCCTGCTCGAGGAGATTTTCGAGACGGTGCTGGCGTTTGCGACGCGTGTGAGTGGTGGGTATCATCATCACCATGCTGCTGCTGCGAATAACAACAGTACGGCTGGCTCCGTGTCGCCGGAAGAAGCGCGTGAGATGCGCGAGATGTACATGCTTTTTCGCAGCAAGGTCAACGTCTTCATGACCGTCTGTCGCGGGATGGCGGGTAAGCGGGGCAAGTACGGTGGGGACGACAAGGCTTCATCATCGTCTTCGAGGAAGAAGTTTGGTGGGAGTGTGCTGCTCGGAGCGGCGCGTGATGATGACGCGGTGGAGGAAGAGAACACGATCGATAGGCTGCTGTTGAAGCTCGAGATGAATGGGTATTACGCCGCGCCTGTCACGACGGATTTGGGGGCTTGAGCTGGATTTGGATTGTCAGGTGGCTGGTGGAGGATGGGGGGAGGGGGGTTTCGTGGCTGGCTCCTCTTTGCCATTGGATGATGGGGGCGTTTGGATGGATGGATGGGAGGAAGGAAGTGGAGCCCAAGACAGCGCGCTGCTTTGTTGTTGTTGTTGATGATGATGACATATCTGAAAAAAATGACTACACGATCTCTATCTCTCATTCATTCACCTATGAGGCAAGGAATTGAGGTGTGCAACGTAGACACATACGGCATGTCGAACCGAAAAAAAGGCTGACGATACGGATCTACATGGTCGTCGTCAAAACTCGCTCATCCCCAGCCAACGAGATCAACAACCGTGAAATCTTCTCCGACATTGTCTGACTAGTTTCGCCTTTTTTCGTCGATAGCTTCATCAACCACCCCCCCCACCACCCCTGCAACTCTTCCTCTTGCCAATAATCGAGAGAAACAAGCACGACGATTATCACACTAGTACTATGTTTAGCGCGCCCTCGGACTTATGTATGACAGCGAGTCAATACCGGTTAGGGCCGGGCGGCGGCGACGGCGGCGGGCGACAGTGGCGGCGACGAGCCATACCACCGGAGACACAGACACAAGCTTCGGACGTCGGGGATAAATGCCTGTCGACATCGGATGATTAGGGAGCAAAAGAAGCTAGCTCTATTGTCTGTAGGTAGCGTTCTAGAAGCCGGCGCAGTAGTCGCAAATAAGCGCGCTATGCCAGAAGGCGGCCGCGCAACCCTTTCCCCCACGCCACATTATTCCTAACGCCCACCCAAAACAGCCCGATGGCGCTGGCCACGTACTTCTTATGCTTGATGACGGCAAGCAAGGAGGCTTAGCTTGCTTCGTTTGCTTCGTTAGCGTTCCCGGCCGGCAAGGCCTTCCACTACACAGGGGGGGTAAGGAATGGAGGTGGTTGGGGGGGAGTGGATTCGTGGTCACGAGAATGAAGGATTGCTGATGATGATGATGATGCGGCCGTTTTTTCGTGGCCTGCTGGTGGATGTAGTAGTCCCGAGGTTCTGGGAAAACGGGGAAGGAGGCGCAGCAGTTTACTAGTAGCGCGGTGGGGAAAAAGAGAGTCGTTTTGGTTTTAGGTTTGTTTTGGAAGGGATCTGTTATTGGTTTTGTTTCCGTTTGTAGAAGAGATCGCGAGCGGGTTTAAGGAAGGTGTTGGGATCACACAGGCCCGTATGTGTACAATGACGTTGGTCGCTTCGGGGAAGGTCAAGGGTAAGGGAAACAGCACTAGTATTGTGCAGGCAATGAAAGGAGAAACATAATCTGGATCAGGGGAAGCCCCAAGGCTGCGGGAGGTACGGCAATGCACTGCGAGAGCCAAATGCAGTTGTGTGGTGCAAAACGTAATGGTTGATCATGATATTAGTTGACTAGCTCGCATGCCGAGGCATGTGGACGTCGTGTTTCTGTATCTTACTTTACGTGCCATTTGCTACTTGCTGCTATTGCAAGATTACGAAAGATGATGACTGAAGAGAAAACCATGGCTATGCCACCCGCGCGTATGCATCTGCGCGTTGTCTGTGGCTGAAGAGCTCTTGGTGGATTGTTGCTCTTTGAAACGAGGCTTACGCGGCCTTCCAATACCCACTCCCAGGTAACGCCACACCCAAACTCATGAAACTCCGTGAAAAAAGCCATAACGTTTAAATCCATGTCCCAAACATACAGACATACTTACCTATTCCGAGCATACGCGTGCCTACGGATGAAGTGTTTGAAAGAAGAGTAAAAAAATTTTGTGCATGAAATCAAGTCGTCAATTGGTCTCGTGAACTGCACAGTCGCCTCTGATGTGGGCCATATCCGGCTCTCTTAGTCGTCTCTCCTCTTTTTCGCCGTGATGCTAATGTGCGCCCCCGTCTTGAAACGTGTAGAATGAAGTTTTAAGAATTTTCAGAGAATCGCCTTCGTCAACCGAAACAACCCTCGAGTGTCTCTGTTTCTCGGAGATACTCCTGGGTTGAAGCGAGAAGGGCTTAGTTCTTCCTGTCACGGTCCAAACCAGCAGACTCGGCAGTGTCGGGCTCCACGGGCTCCCTCATGGTGTCGAAGCTCGGGCGCGGAGAGACGTCCGGAATGCTGCTTTCAGGAGTGAAGACGGTAGTGACGGAAGGAGTGTACTCGCGGAACCCATCGACGACAATGTCGCTGCTGTCAGCATCCTCTTCGTATGCCGGAGGAGCATCATCCGTGTCCACGCTTCCAAGGTCCGACTTGTACGAAGGAAGGCTGCTGGTACGGGACATGTTGTGCGGCGGGGGCGGAGTGTACATTCCGTGGGCCATGTGATGAGGTTGAGGCATCGGCTGCATGTGAGGAGCCGGGTATTGGTGAATCTGAGGGTGAGCATGGACGTGAGTGTGGGCGTGAGCATTGACACAAGGACAAGTCGATGGGCCAGGGGAAGCCGGAGAAGCTCTTCCCTGCTCAGCCTGGACAATGTCATGAGCAAGCTCATGAGCAGTCCTCAGGTTTCTGATTTCCTCCTGCATGGCCTCCTCGAGCCTATCCTCCTGGTCCAGAATCAGGGCTCTCTTTTCTTCGTAATCGGCCCTGCGGTCCCAGTCATCCTCGCTTCCGTTCCACCACTTCTTCCAGGCGTGGCGGCGAGCAAGGCGACGGTATTGCCTGGCGGTGCGACGCTCCTCGCGAGTAGCACGGCGTTCGGTGCGCTGGCGCAGGGTGCAGCAGTTGCGGCGGATGAAGCTGAAAATACAGGCCAGACCAGTCAAAGAGGCGAAAGCCATCAGAACGCCATGGACGGGGCGGGGGCCATGGTGGTGGTGAGGCGGAGGAGGAGGAGGGGGCGGTCCGCGGCCACCTGGACCATCGAAAGGAGGCGGCGGAGGCGGCGGAGGCGGGCCATCGAAACCATGCGGCGGTGGTGGCGGAGGAGGGGGAGGAGGACCCTGTCCGTGCGGGCCACCGAAGGGAGGAGGTGGTGGAGGAGGGGGCGGGCCATAGCCTCCAGGCCCGCCGAAAGGCGGCGGTCCATGGGAATGGTGATCATACTTCATCGCGAGGGGTCCAGGGTGAGGCGGGCCGTGAACAGCGTCGATTTCAGCGAAAGCTTGGTCGTGATGACCGTGGTGGTAAGGGAAATGCGGGCGGTCCATATCTTCGTCGTGATGGTGTGGACCGGGGCGCAGGTGGATGTAAATAACGCGTACAGCGCCGTGAGCCTTGTGGAGGAAAGCACCGAAGATGCAAGAAAGGTTGTCGCAAGTCTTCAATTCGTCCTTTAGCGAGTGTGCATGATCTCTCATGTGCCGTTGGATGACGTCTTTCTGTTCACGGATGCGCTCCTGTATCCGCTTCTCCTCGGCCTCGAGCTCACGGAGGATCTCAATCTCGTCCTCAATGGATGCGCTTTGGTGGAAGAAGCCCTCGGGGAGGTCTTCGAAGTCGACAGACACAAGCCTAAGATCGGCGGGCGGGTCGCGCCAGTCCTGGCCGTCAAGAGCGTCGGGGAGGGGGACGGGGTTGGTGGCAAGCCTCAGGAGCTCAACCTTGCGAGCGGCTTGCTTAAAGGAGACGGAGAAACCAGCAGAATGGCGGACAGCCTTATCGTCGACCTTCTGGATGTTCACGGTCAAGAGTTGAGCGACATCGTCTCCGTATTCGCTCGCGTCGGGTTCCGAAAGAGATTCAAACAGACAGGCAGTTTCCCAAGATAAGGCAATGTCGTGGTCAGGCTCATGTTCGGCAGTGGCCTTGTTAGCACTCGAGATGGAGCCGTTGCCTTCAGCGCGAATTCCATTCCACTCCTGGATCAGTTGGTGGCCATTCAGAGTGATGTTTGCTTCGCCGCACGGCTGGTCCGAGGGAAAGACTTGGAAGTCGAAAACCTGAGGCTAGTGTCAGCGAGGGCGACGGCGTGTTTTAAGAGCACGCAGCATACGAGCGATTCGTCATCGGAGGCGCCAAGGCAGCCTTGGCACGGTACGCTGAACGTTGCCTGAGCGTTTTGAGCATCTGGCGATCATAAGCAGGCGCATCGTGGAGATAGGCGGAGAGGGAAGCATACCGAGCTCGAGCACGACAGGCTTCACGTCATCGGGCGAAGACGAGCGTTGGTGTGGGCGGTGTGTTGGCGGGAGCACTGCGGCTGCGGCGAGGGCCGGCAGCAGGGCGAGAGCGTGCTTGAGCGAAGCGCGCATGGCAGAAGGGAGGATATCCCCGCGCAGTGGAGAGCGGTGGCCGGCACGGGGAAGATTTGAACCAAGGCGCAAAGACAACCAACACACGAGCAGTAGCACAGCGACAGGCCAAGTGGAGCTGAGGGAGCGGACGGTCGAGCAGCAGGCAGCAGGATTCCACGGGGTAGGGCTGTCACTTTTTAACGCCAGATGCCGCGTCAGCCTCGGGGGGCGAGGCGCTGTTGCAAGAGGCCCTTAGCGCTCGGGCCACTGGCGCTGCGAGCACTGCCGACCAGACGATGCGCCCGGAACGCCCAGCTCAGCGCGCGAGCCACGCGTGTTGCGTCGCGGAGATGGTCGCTCGTTGCAGTGTCGCGCGACGAGCAGCTTGGTGCCTGCAGGAGCGCTGCGAGTGCAAGCAGCAGCACTGGGCCGCCAGCCAGGGGACCGTAGCTGATTGACCTGCGCCCTGGCCCCAGCGCACGCACGTGAGAACCTTGTCAACGGTGAGATTCTTCGCCGGCAGACCCGGCAGATGGGCTGGCACCACCTGCACGGCCCCGACCGGAGCCTCGTCGGCCCGCAGGCTCATCATCGGCCGCCAAGCCGCAAGCTAGCTGTGACGCGGGCGCGCTGCTTGCTAAGGTTCCTTGTGTACAGCACTTGAAGCCATTCACCACCACGCTGATCTTCCACCCCCGCCCACGCGCTAACCTACGCAACCGTTCCCCACACTCGGCTGTCACAGCTGCCGCCGTCCACGTCGAACTTCTTCTGATACGCCCATCCGCACCCCGACAGCGCACCCTTCGCAATGGTGAGCCCACCCCCGCAGCTGCCACCGCCGAGCTTGCTATTGAATGACGCGGACATGCAGGCGCTGACTTGACGTCTTCAAGCTGCCTCTAGGCCTCCTCAATGCCGCCCAAGGCCACCCAATGCTCGTCGAGCTCAAGAACGGCGAGACGCTAAACGGCCATCTGGTCAACTGCGACAACTGGATGAACCTGACTCTGAAGGAGGTTGTGCAAACGAGCCCCGACGGCGACCGCTTCTGGCGGCTACCCGAAGTCTACATCCGCGGCAACAACGTATGCTGTCCTGAAACCCGATTGTCCGGCTGACTGCCGCTAACCTGGAAACAGATCAAATACCTGCGCGTGCCCGACGAGATCATCGACTTGGTGAAGGAGCAGCAGCAGCGCGACCAGGCCAACCGCGGCGGCCGTGGCGGCGGCCACCAACGTGGAGACCACAGCGGACGGGGCGATAGGGGTCGCGGAATGGGCCGCGGAGGTCGTGGCGGCCGTGGCCGTGGACGTGGCGCATGAGCCCTCTACGATTGCAGTCAATAGGAAGATATCTCCGAGCCGGCCTTGAAAAACAGGACGCTGGGGCGCAGGGGCTTGTGAAACATCATGGGTTGGGCGTTCGTGTATACCACAGGGGCCCCATTGGTGGGAAGGGCTGGCGTCAATGAGACCTGAATGATCATGAAAGAGATGTGGCGGATGCGCACATGCGCAAAATCATATTCACGGCCTTGGATTTAGCTAGCATTGAAGAGCTGAGCATGGAGGGAAAATCGTAGACATTTCGGCGCTCATATCCCAAAGCCGTCAATGTCGTCACGAAGTTTTGCAATACCATAATGCGCGCATTGTCGCAACACCGCTGCCCTTTGCTCACCAGATTTCCTAGTCTTGAAATTATCCCGCATGTCAATGAGCATATTGGAACGTACCTGTCGATCGAAATGCTTGCTTGCCGCCGGCAACTAGTGTTGCGGGCGGAGAGCTTCCGCGCTATGTTCCGCAAACTCGAAACTTCGAGCCCTTCCACAACACCACAGGCAACCTGATCAATGACCACGCCACCCTTCATTGCTGACCGGCTATGGCACTCGCTCTGCCCCGCATATGCGCGCCTCTCCACCGGCACCCGGCGTGCCCTTTTGAGGACTTCGACCCAACACCCTAGCGCTCTTCGCCCGAGAAAGGTTTCTTTGCCGGCGCAATGCGCCCGACACTCGAGCACCACCGGGACCCCCGTCCGATTCGTTGCACCCGGGAGCGCAACCACCAAAGGTGGAGAAGTCTTAGCATTGAAGCAGAAACGGAGATATGAAGAGAGGCTAAAGTCGACCGCCGTTCATGAGCTGGATGGCGTCGAAACGGCGCAGATCTACCATCGCCTGCGTCGACTGGCGGCAGACGGAGACATTGACGCGGTTGAGCACGTAATATCGTATCTGTTGCAAAAGAGAGGGGAGGAGCCGAACGTGGCCCTTTACGATGCTGCTATCCTGTCCAATGTGTCTGCGGAAAAGGGCTCGGCGGCGAGAGCTACCGTGCTGCTGAGAGAGATGGGAGAAAACGGGCTGGAGCCGACAGCAGGAACATGCCACGACATACTCAGGGTACGTGCGGGCACTACTCATAAATATCGTTCCCTACATGACTAATTCTGGAACAGGTTGTCGCTGCCCATCCGGACTATCTCCTCAGAGACGCGATCACCCAGTACATGCGCCAGAGATGGTTCAATATTACCGACGACGGCCGCCATGATATAGCCGTGGGCCTTCTTCGAGAATCACAATTGGAGCTGGCGCTGAGTTACATGGATACCATGGTCTCTGAAGGGATTCCGATCAAGAGCTGGTTGTACGACATGGCGATTTACACGCTCTGCGACGTTGAAGAGGTGGACGAAGCACTCAAAATTATGCAGCGGCGGGTCGAGTCTGGCGAGCAGAATATTTCGAAGCCGGTGTGGTACAGCTTGCTCGATGCTGCTAGCAGTGTGCAAAATGTGAGCTTGCATTTCCACAGTAATACGGATTTCTCAACTGACAATTTGCTAGCTTGCAGCAATAGAATATGTTTGGAAACGCCAGGTTGGCCCCGGACATATCAACCCATCATCCAGCATCTGTTTCAACATTCTTGCTGCCGTTTCGCGAGTTGGAGATGCCGACCTGGCAACAGACGTTTTTCGTGTGCTGAGCGAGCGGAAAGAGGTGTTTACACAACAACACTATGAAATGCTCGTGGACACCTACATTCAAGCTGGCGACATGAAAACAGCCCTTTCGGTGTTGTGCATCATGCAGACCAGTGGCGCGCCGCCCAACGACTACTCGACGAGGAAGCTTTTCCAGTGGACGCGCGCCGAGGCTGATCGTCCAGTCGAACTTTTCGACCAGCTACGGAAATTGAAGGATGACGGCCATACGATTCCCCTCGCGGCAATCAACGTGTTGATTGAGGCAGCAATTTTCCGCGACGATTTCGATACGGCCGTCGACATATACAAGGCTCTGCATACGTTATGCGAGGATGGACCTTCGACATCAACTTTCAACACTCTCCTCCGGGGATGCCGTCACCGCAAGGACCTGGCCATGTTTCTGGCGGCCGAGATGGTGGAGAGGAAAGTGGAACCGGACGCTCTGACGTACGATCGGCTCTTGTTGGTTTGTCTCACGGAGCAAGACAACTACGACGATGCATTCCGGTACTACGAAGAAATGCGCAACCGAGGATGGATACCTCGAGCCGGTACATTTATTGCAATGGGGCGTCGGTGTGCGCGAGCGCAGGATGCACGGGCGTGGGAAATTTTGGAGGAGATGAGCCGGTGCAAAGTGGATTCAAACAGCATCAAGGTGATGAGGGATTGGCTGAATAGGAATTGGGGTCGGGCGTCGGAGAAGGACGCGGAGCTCACGCGATAGAGGGGTTTGAGACATGGATGCAGGGAGCTACCAATGAAGACGGAACTTGACCCCTGCGATGACTTGGCCCAACATTGCATGACGCTGCAGAATAGATGAGGCAACAAGCACAGAATGCAGATTTACTAATGTCTTGGCACGGCTTGATGTGGTGTTGATGACATGGATGGCCGGTGTTATGACGTACCGAACGGCGCATCGCCTATCAAACAAGCTACAAGCTCCGGTCGACAACGCCTGCGACTCTCAGTATTCTACACTCCACCCGAGCCATGAGCCCGCCCGCGCGCATCTTCACACCAAACCAGCTACGCCGCGCGGCATGACCATCATCTCTCCACCAAACCTGCGGTTCCAGCTTTAAGAATTCCAACTTCAAGAATTCCATCCTGCCCTTGAACGCGTCATGGTGCGTAGCCTCAGCCTTCAGCCCTCAACCCCCGTATCGGTTCACTCATAATCTAACACGGCGAAACTAACAGGCCTCTCTCCTCCGCCAAATCGTCGCGGGCCCGCGCGCGCGGCACCCGGAAGCCGGGCTCGACCTTTGCTACGTGACAGACTCGATCATCGCGACGTCGGGGCCGTCAGGGACGTACCCGCAGCGGGCGTACCGCAACCCGCTGGACCAGCTGGTCAAGTTCCTGGACAAGCACCACGGGCAGAAGTGGGCGATCTGGGAGTTCCGGGCCGAGGGGACGGGCTACCCGGACGAGGAGGTGTACGGGCGCATCTGGCACTACCCGTGGCCGGACCACCACCCGCCGCCGTTCGCGCTGGTGCCGCGCATCGTGGCGTCGATGCGCAACTGGCTGCGCGCCGACAAGGACAACGTGGCCGTGGTGCACTGCAAGGCCGGCAAGGGCCGCTCCGGCACCGTCTCGTGCTCCTACCTCATCGCCGAGGAGGGCTGGAAGGCCGAGGACGCGCTGAAGCGCTTCACCGAGCGCCGCATGCGTCCTAGCTTCGGCCCTGGCGTGTCGATTCCCAGCCAGCTGCGCTGGGTGGGCTACGTCGATCGCTGGACCAAGGGCGGCAAGGTCTACGTCGAGCGCCAGATCGAGATCCTCGAGGTCCACGCTTGGGGCATCCGGAACGGTGTTCGCGTCAGCATCGAGGGCTTCGTTGATGAGGGAAAGGTGATTAAGACGTTTCACACCTTCAGCCGCGCCGAGCGGCAGATCGTCCGGGGCACCGTCAAGGATTCCGGCGGCCTCGCCGACGTCGTCAACGAGGTCCTCGCTCAGCGAAGGCTGGAGAAGGCGGCCAAGGAGGACCAGTCGTCGTCGGGCTCGTCCACTCCGGTAGACCGCAAGGCTAACAAGGAGCTGCCGCTGAGTCCAGAGGAGCAGGAGAGCGGCGCAGACGACAGCCCGGCGGAATATGGCGATGTCATATTCAGGCCCTCCAAGCGAGTCGTGCTCCCGACCAGTGATATCAATATCGATTTTGAACGGCGGAATAAGGCCATGTACGGCTACACCATGGTCACTTCGGTGGCGCACGTCTGGTTCAACACATTCTTTGAAGGCAACGGCCCGGAGCAGAAAGGCAAGGCAGATGATTCCGGCACCTTTGAGCTTGAATGGAGTAAGATGGATGGCATCAAGGGCAGCAGCCGCAAAGGCACTAGAGCATTCGACAAGGTGGCGGTTGTTTGGAGAGCAATCCCAGATTCGGAAACGGGCCACCCCGATGTCGTTATCACGGAACCGAAGGTGGGAGAGGAAGTTCCACAGTCCAAACCCGCCGATTGGAAGGGAGGGGAGCCCTCGGAGCGTAATGGAAAGGAGCTGGGCTTGCGCACCGAGACGCCTCCTGGCGGAAGTCCTAGCCTCTCCAAGGCGAGCAGCGTGAGGACTCAGAACAGTGCAAACAATTCAGGCATGGTATCTACGGAAGACACGATCAACGAGACCATGGGGTTGAAGACGCATGGGCGTGGCGGCGAGCAAATCGTGCAAGCTACCAGCAGCAGCTCGGAAGAGTCGTCGCCTATCAGGACCGAGAAGCCGCAGGTGATTCCGACCATCTCGAACCCTGAGCTCGCGAGCAACGGGATCGCCGCCAAGGATCAGGCAGCCGGAGCATCTACAGAACCGACGGCGGGAATTGTCCAGGGGAAAGAGCACGTTTCGACAAGCTCGTTACCGGGAGGAGTACCTGAAGAAGAAATGAAGACGGCACATCCGCACGGACTGGGCCACATGAAGTCCAAGAAAGACTCGGAGACAAGCTCGTGAGGCGCAGTAGAAGGGGAGCCCTGTCAAATTAGACGGAGGGATATGCGGAGGAGCGGCAAGGGGAGGCGCGGCAGCGGCATGTAGATGCAGGTCGGGACGATTGGAAACAGTAGATGGTGCCAATGCAGGCCCCCCGTTAGTGTATTTCTTTTTCTCTACGCGCGCTCGCTTGCTCGATCAAGCAAGCGCTTAAGCAAGGGAAGTAATGGCCCCGGTTGGTTCGGCAAGCGAAGCATTGAGAACAAAGCGGGTCTGGAGTGTGACAGTGTTTGTTGCTCTGAATGGATGGCAAATTGAAGACTAGCTTGATCGGCGTGACTGGGTCCAGACCGGTTCGGAGATGTATCTCTCGTTTCAATGGCGATCTCTGACTGCAGCTCTCGAGGTGGTTGCATATGCATCTGTAACAAGCGCTGAGCGGAGAGTCGAGGCAAGTGGACGATCATAGTGCAGGCCAATATGTGATATATCGGTCGGAGAGGCCGCGCCAGCAGCCTTACAAGTGGCAATATTACGGCGTTGTCGGTGAGGCTGAGAAAAGAGGTCGAGTCAAGAGGCCGGGATGACAGGACTAGCGGGTGAAGGCTGCAATACCGCAGGGCCGGTAAGCAGGCGGCGATTGGCCAGGCCGCGAAACTCTCTCGATGCATACGCACGCCGCGGGAGGCAGCGGTCGAGTGCGGCGTCCGCACGAGGCAGCAGCCAGCCCTGTAGCCTCGCGCACGCGCAGCCAGTTCTCGGTTTAGGCATGTATTTAACCACGGCAGCGCCCTTTTCGCAGCACCGTTACCCACGCCTTCGCATGAGCACGCAAAGCTCATGCAGTACCCAGCCTTTTCCGAAGCACTACAGGAGCCAGCGCAGCAAGCCAAGCTCCGTCACTCTCGAGTTACACAATCCCTCTTTCCCAGCGGCGGGGCCCCCCAGCAAGCTTTCTTGCATTATCGCCGGCGCCCTTTTCGTTTTCTCTCTTGATCGGATCACCTGGTCAGCCTGGGTTCTTGCATTCAACCTCCATTGTTGTTTTCTCTGTCAGCAGCCACTGCCGCCAACCCTGCCGCAACCCACCCTGCGCGCGCCTGGTCTGATGACTTGAGCAAACCCGCTTCAGTCATCCTACCATTATTGGAGGCTTTTTTCCCCCCAACTTAATAAGAAAGGGCGTCCATCGCTGCTCTAAAAAAAGACTTTCACTTTTCCAACTCTTCCCTTTCCTCCGTTCAGGGTCCTTCCATCCTTTCAATACGAGTTTTCCCGTCCCGCCACTCGGTCGAATTTCCGCTTTTCCACCCGTCGACGCTTTTCCCCACACATTCACAAGCGATCATCATCAATCCCGACCCGCGCGCCCGCCCCGCCTCCCGGGAAGGTTATCTTAGACCCGGGGCTGCCCGGATCATTCTTTGACCAGTGCGCCAACGGTTCCACGCTACGCCTACCCGTCGGCCTCTCACCACCCACCATGGACAGCGCGCGAGACAAGAGCGCCGACGAGAGTGTCGTCGTGGACATCAAGTCGCCCTCGGCCGAGCCAGCCACGCCGTCTTCGTCCTCACAGCCACCGGCTTCCTCTGCCGAGCTGAATGCCGGTGGCGGAGGAGGCGTTGCCGACTCCAAGTCGAATACCAAAGACGGCGGGAACAAGTCGGCTACGGCCGCGTCTAAGGGAAAGAAGGGAAAGGCGGCGGCGGCGGCGAAGAAGAAGAAGGCCGGCGCTTGCTGCCGCCATACCAAGCATCACGAGACGAAGAAGCGGAGCAAGCACCACGGCAAGAAGAAGAAGTACGTCAGTGACGACGACGAGTCTGACTCGGCGGACAGTGATGATGAGGACTCAGACGACGAGGGGGAGTCGACGGCGGCGGCGTCGTCGTCGTCGAGTGAGAGCAGCGACGACGAGGACGAGAAGCAGCAGCACCAGCTCAAGTCGAGGAAAAAGGCCGCGAAGAAGGCCGCCTTGAAGGCGCGGAAGGCGAAGGCGAAGAGCAAGAGCAAGAAGAAGGCCAAGAAGCACGGGAAGAAGTCGAAGAAGTACGCCTCATCGTCCTCGTCTTCATCGTCGTCGTCGTCGTCCGGGGATTCGTCTTCGAGCGAGTCGGATTCGGACAGCGACTCGAGCTCGGCCAGCTCCGAGTCCGAGTCCGAGTCGGAGACCACCAAGCGCCGCTCGCGCCGGCGCCACAGGGCGGCGAAGGCGCGCCGTGCGGCGAGGGAGGCGGCGGACGAGTCGGATGCCTCAGTGACGGCGGAGGAGGGCTCGGACGACGGGTCGGCGCAGACGGATGACTTGTCGCCTCAGGACCAGAACCAGTTGTTGCTGCTGAAGCAGGAGCTGCAGGCGCAACAGCAGCGTAGAAGAGCACTGGCCCCGCCGGATCCTCTTGATCTTCCGGACCTTTCGAGCTTGCAGAAATTCACCAGTAGCCTCAAGGCGTTGGAGAAGCTGAAGAAGAAGAACAAGGGTAAGAAGAAGGGAAGGAAGTCTTCTTCGTCCAGCAAGCGTGCCAGCACTCTGGAGTTCAAGCGCGTGGACGAGCTGTGGGACAGCAAGATCCACAACTACAAGCTCACCGAGAGTGCCGAAGATCCTGCGGACGAGTTCAACGCCTACATTTTCACCGTGCGCAGGAGATTCGATTGGGAGAACAAGTATAGGAACACCGTGGTTGACATCAAGTCCAAGCTCCTGAAAGAGGCGCTGCAAGAGGTCATGAAGGATGTGAAGGGCGTCTCGCTCGTGGAAGAGCAGCCTTGCATAGATCCGAACATGCTGTTCCTCTACCTTGAGGAGCTTCGCCGTTTCAGCAAGAAGACGTTGAAGGCGAGGGCAAAAAAGCAGAAGAAAAAGAAGACTAAGCGGAGGATTAAGATGATGATTGCCCACTGCAAGATCATGATCAGTTATCTAGACGAGGACTACGACGAGACCAAAAAGACACTCTACCCCATGCTTGAGGCTGGGAACATCACTTTCGATCTTCTGTGGGCACTTTTCAAGCCAAACACTATCGCTTACACCACGACATACGGAGCTGTTGAGCATCCCCGTTGCTTCAAGGTCGACTACGCCACTAAGGAGTCTTCGTTCATTCGTGGAGACTGGTATTCCATCGAGGGACGTTACCTCGAGTACGACGGCAAGACTTTCGGATTGGGAGAGCTTGAGATCAACGTCGATTCCTTCAAGGGTCCTCGGAAGATCACGAGTCTGTCTACCTACCCGCTGCGCTACCACAAGGATCCGGATGGCATAAGAACGCAGCTCATCGAGCGCGGCAAGCGCTTCGTCACCATGACCGGCATGAACTACCGCTTCCACAAGGGCCTGGCTTTCGAGAAGCGGAAAAAGATGGTTCTGAAGCACAACATCAACGGGCGTGTCATGATCGATCCTGCAATCTTCCGCCGCATCAACCCCAACTACCCCATTTCGGTGATCAAGCCCAAGGACCAAGATGATTTGTACGACTTTGGCAGCTGCGGGTGCAGCGATGACGATTCTGATGACGAGAACAGACCGTACGAGGGCCCTCAAAATTACGGCGAGGACGGAGAGGAGCGGCAGAGGTACAGGTTCAAGGTCGTGTACGACGAGAAGAAGGAAGCGCACTTGGTCCAAGTCCCCGTCGACGATGACGGCAACGAGATCAAGACGGAGAATCTGGAGAAGCTGCCGGAGAACGGTGAGGATGCCAATGACGAAAATAAGACGAGACAGGAGTTCACCGAGGAGGAGCTCCTGATCGCCTCGCCAGTAGTCCTGGGGTTTGCTTTCTCCGAGAAGCGCTGGATGGAGTTCTCGCTCTCCGCCGTCCGAGACATTGAGTGGAACGAAGGTGCTTTCGAGTCCCTCGTGCTTCCAGAGAACCAGAAGTCTATCGTCAAAGCTCTCGTGTCGAGCCACAAGTTCCACGCCGCGCAGACGATTGACGACGTTGTTCAAGGCAAGGGTAAGGGGTTGGTCTTCGTGCTGCACGGCCCGCCTGGAGTGGGAAAGACGCTCACTGCCGAGGGCATCGCCGACTACCTCAAATGCCCCCTCTACGCCGTCAGCGCCGGCGAGCTGGGCACCGACAGCTGGCGCCTGGAACAAGAGCTGCAGAAGATCATGGACATCGCCCACAGCTGGGGCGCGATCCTGCTGCTCGACGAGGCCGACGTCTTCCTCGAGCGGCGCCAGGTGCACGACATCCACCGCAACGCGCTCGTGTCCATCTTCCTCCGCTTGCTCGAGTACTTCCAGGGCATCCTCTTCCTGACGACGAACCGCGTCGAGACGTTCGACGACGCGTTCCAGAGCCGCATCCACATGGGCTTGCGCTACGAGGAGCTGGGCCACAAGGCCAAGCGCGGCATCTGGCAGATCTTCCTGAAGCGCGTGCGCGAGATGGAAAAGGCCGAGATGGCGGATTTCTCGGACGACGACTACAACACGCTCGCGCGCAACGACCTCAACGGGCGCCAGATCAAGAACGCGGTGCGCACGGCGCAGGCGCTCGCCGTCAATATGGGCGAGAAGCTTAGCATGGAGCACATCAAGCGCGTGTTGGCTGTGGCTGAGAGCTTCGAGCGCGACCTCAAGGGCGGCACTGGGTACGAGGATGCTATGAGGAGTTATACTTGATTGCCTCTCCTCTTTCATCTTTTTACTACTTTTCTTTTCGTCTCCTACCATACGGTCTTCGGTTTTTTTTTTCTTCCATTTCTTTTCATTTCCCTTATAGTCCAGCGAGCATGGGAAGTACGGCTGGTGTTGGAGTGAAAGATGGGTAGGGAAATTTTCCCTTCCTCCCTAACGGTTCATTCCTTTTCTTTTTTCCCAACTTCTCTCTCTCTCTCAATCTCCCCTCTTCTGGGGTCTTCCCCTCTATAATCGATGACTCGGTTCGGTTTTCATATATTGGAAAAGGGTAGTAGTGTCTAAAGAAAGTCTTGATCTTGGTAAAAGGGTTGGTAACGGATGATATATGACGAGACGATTGATTTGGGCTTCGGGGAGACGGGGGAAGAAGAAAGGGAAAAATTAGCTAGCTCGCCCTGTTCGTCAAATGGGTAGCACTCCAATCTCAAATTGAAAGACATTAGGACAACAGACACTGTGCGGAGATGGTCTTTGTGCCTTTGTGACTTTTGAAGTGGGTTTCGGTATGCGTAAATCTGGAGTTGATAACTGTACATTCACGTCCGGATGGTAGCTTCAACTCCCTATCCCTCGCAGCAGCTGAACTTCATTGTAGCACGGCTCCGTACGACTCGTGGTAGAATAGGCAATGGTGCTCCTCCCCTATAGAGTATGAAGATTTGTAGTGGAAGGTGGAATATTGTGATCAGGTAAGAGAGCGGCTGCGGATTAGTTCGCTGACGGACCACATCTTGTCTTGCCAAGGGGCGGGATAGGTATGACTGTAGAAAGCTTGGAGGGAGCAGTGTCACCGGACACGATTGGATGAGGGAACTGTGCGGAGCATAGGGCGCAAGAGGAGCTGTATAGAGCGAGAAAGGAGGTGGTGGGTGGGGCAGAGCGGCTTCTGCGGTGATTGGATGGGAAAAGGGGGGAGAGGATGGCGAGAGGGAATGGAGGCACTGTGATACCTGAACGTGAGGCTGGCACAGGGGTGAGGTAATTGGAGAGAGTTTCTTTGCCCGAGAGTGGTGCGGTATATAATGCGGTAGGGTGTTTGTTCGGGCGGTGGCACGGCGCTGTGCAACAACGCCCGGAGAGCATCGCGTCCGCGGCATATCAGGAATAGATGTCGCGAAGTTAGATGCCGGAGGAGATGATGAAAATGATCGCGTGCTCATGCTGGCTCGATTCGAAGGGCGCCTTCCGCTTGTTGATATCCGTGCTCCGCTTTGGGGCTAGCTCCCGCTACGGCGTCGAGGAACGCCGCACCTTCTTTCCTTGACACTTCCTCTTCCGCTGTCCACCACATCCAACTTCGAACCATCTCCAAGCATCACTGCCCTGATTCGCCCGACCAACCCGCAGCTCAGAACACTCGTGCAAGCAAGACATGGTCAGCGAGATTCCTGATGGCCCAGCAACGCTGCACGCGACATCTACTCCGAACTAATTGCGAGCCCCTCGTTCGTGTGGTATGTCAGCTTTCTGAGTTCAGAAGTTGAGGTATGCGCACGACTGGCCCCTGATTGAACCCTCGGCGTGCCCTTTATTGGTTTCCCCACACGGCAAAGCAGCTCTGCTCCGAGCTCGACTGTGGGGTCAAGTCATCCAACGCCGGCCTCACAATTTGGAATGGAGAGCCCGTCAATGCTGAAAAGAGCGGGGAAGAGGGGTCGACGAAGCTTGTTGCGTTTTATGGCAGTTTGAAATCCACGTGGAAACGGCCGATCCAGCACATCCCCTTGGGGAAGAGGAGGAAACGGGCCGTCAGCAACAATTGCGATTTTCAGCCGATCACCTGACGGTCTAGTGTAAACGACGCCGATGTCTCGATCTGTTTCGCTCCATTCACGTGTTGCCTATTTCATCACCGCTGCCGGATGCGGGTAGTACGGGTTGACGTACTGCGAGTGCACGAGCATGACGTCCATCCAAGCGTAGTAGCACCAGCCTCGACTTTTGGGAAGCTGATCCTTCCGAACACCCGGGGCTACCGGAAATAGCGGAAGACGAGTTTCCCGCCGGCATGCTTCTTGCCACAAGTGGTGGAAACGCGGCCCGCCTAGCTAGAGGCACTGACGCGACTGTGCGTAGGTTCCGCAGGCCGAGACTCGATGCTCGCGAGCCAAGAAGGCACTATCTCTTGCAGCTCTGGGCAGCAATGCGAGGCGAAGCGTGCAGCAGCGCAGAAAGTGCATTCTGATACAGCGGCATGCTTCCGACTTGGCAATGTGGGTCGAAGAAAGCAGCTACACCAAGGACTCGAGGTTTTAGTTGGGCGAAGCGATCACCATGCCCAGAGATTTGAGGGCATCATGCACAGGGCCGCTCTAAGCATGCTAACCACAGCACCGGAAAGGGGGCGGTACCTGCACCATGTAAAGCGAGGTTGGGCACTGAAGATCGGTCCAGCGCTTTAATGAGCTTACGCCTGCTGGTAGGGAAGGTGTGCAGTGGGTGGCCCAGAGGCTGCCCTCGGCTCGTGTTGCAAGATTTCTGACACCGCACAGGAATAGAAGGTCTTGCGTGACGGGGAATGCGGATGATGAAAAGGGCAGGGCGATGATGAAGCAGCTTAGGATGCGGCCCGGGCAGGGGGAGGGGGAGTCCCGTGCGGATCTGCCGGCCGCCGTGTCGACAAGCGATCGGCGCCAACCTCCAACACCACCACCAAGGTATACCCATCAACGCCGGAGGCAGTGCAGCTCGGGCCCACCGCGTCCGCGGAGCCCGGCCGCCGCCTGGACGAAACGTCGTGGTACGAGCTCGACTCTGCACACCGACGCCTGCCAAGCGCCCTGTGGATACTGGCGATGCACGAACGCGCAACACCGGCGGAACCTCTTGGCATCAGATGTGTGGCTGCCAAGCCGCCTGTAGAAGGCGATACATGTGTTTCGTTCATTTGCGACACGCTGCTTCTCCACCCCCTGCTGCATCTCCTGCCCCTTTCGAACATGGCGGGAAACAAGCGGGAGCCGATCGCAGAACAGACCAGCCTATGTGGCAGCCTAGTTCCGCCGAGAAGACGACGTTTTGGGTGCCCTAATTTGAGCCTCCGCCACGCACTCCGCCCACCGGGAGTACCGGCCAGCCTACCGCTCCCGCCTCCGCCGCTCCACAACACCATGCTACCCGCCTACCGCGTCTATTGTGCCATCGACAAGCTGCCAAATGGAGTTTCGGTACGAGCATGCGCCTGGGTGCTCCCGTGGGTCCCTCTAGCCCGGCGGCAACCCTCCTCCCCTTACTTCCCAACCATATCCCGCACGTCCACCATGACTCTGCGATCGGCGCTCAGCAATGCGTGCCCTTATCTCGCCAAGCAAACAAGTCGCAGTGCCGCTGCCGCGTGCGCCACTCCCGGGCATGGAAGCTTAGTTGTTTGGCACTATGACCACACCCTAGCGTCTTCCATGCTTGTTTTTTGGGCTCGACCGTGAATCCGCGCCAGGAGATCGCTGTTGCACTTGGACCCAACCTGTCAGTGGAGGGTCCAGCTGGCGTCCTTAAAGGATCAAGATCCGTCAAGAGCCCAGGCCCAGCGTCCATCTGCCGCCTTCGACCTTTGTTCGATTTTCCCTTCTTTGCGACCTTCTAGCGTCGCCAAATTATGCGAACACAAGATGGCCGACCACATCTCTCCTGCTAGCTGCGACTCTCGCAGGCCTTCGACCTCTGGTACTATTGAGTTCGAGAAGGAGAAAATCAGAACGCCCGACTTTGGTCAGTGTCCCGAGCCGACTTGTCTGGGCAAACATGCTAACATGCGCCACAGGCTTGAGCCGAGCCGTTACACCTGCCTCACTTGAAGCTCAGGGTGAAGCCGCGTATGACCTCGACGCCGAGCTCCTCACCCTCCCGCCTTCGAAGCGCTGGAGGGCCTACCTCAACCAGCAGATCGCCGTCGATACTCTTCTGGAGCTTGAGCTCTACATGTTGAGTTTCGCTACTGGTATCCAGGACGCCATGACCTTCGCTTTCTACGGCGTCTTTTGTTCCAAGCAAACCGGGAACCTCGTCACCATTGCCCTCTCCGCTTTGGACTCCGACGCTGTGGTTCAGACCGAGACTCACATTGCTACTTCTTTCGCCTCCTTCATCACCGGTGCAGCTCTATTTGGTCACTTCAACAACTTCATTGGAAAGAAGCGTCGCGGCTGGTTAATCTTTGTCAACGCCTTGCAAACCATCATGGTTATCGCCGCCTGTGTCATTAGAAAGATCTCAGTAGACAAGAATGGCATCGACGGAGAACAATCTGGCCCTGACCCCTTCGCTATCGCAGCCATTGCTCTGCTTGGCTTCGCATCCGGCGGTCAAATTTCGCTCGCTCTGTCAGTCGGCATGGCTGAGGTGAACACTACAATGGTACGTGCTGCTGATGAATATTCACAAGTTGTGCTTTCCTAACTTTGTCGAACAGGTTACTGGCGCTTTGGTCATGCTCTCGCACGACAAAAAGCTCCTTCACAAACACAACCCAGGCCGCAATCGCAAGCTGTTCTTCATCGGCAGTATCCTTGGCGGTTCATTCCTCGGTGCCATTGCGAATCGCTTCGCACACTCGGCTCTTTCGCTGCTCCTCGTTGCCATCTGCAAGACCGTCGTCACCTTCATGTTCCTTTGCAACCGTGGCGTCAATAAGAAGCCTGGATCATCCGAGACCGCCGAGAGCTCTGTGGGCCTGAGTCAGATCCTCTGGGGCGATTGAGTCGACACTTCTGGCCATTCTTTGGGCCAAACCTAAATTACCATGGAGAAGGATTCTCTGCCCTGAAATACGGGTTTATGTGGTACACTCGGGGACCAGTGACCAAGCATCTACCCCTTCTGCTGGCTGGTACCAGCGAAGAGCAAAAGCACAAATCGTCATGTGCGTACAGAGCTACATTGGTAGTACAGTTGCCTTAGCGAAACGCCGACTTCTAGCGGTTGCTTGTTCCACACCTGCCTACTCACTTCCCTCCAGTGAGAGCCAGAGACAGGAACATTATGCCTCACTCGGGCCGCACGTTCTTTTCATGATGGCTAAAAGAAAATTTTGGCTGCCAGGTTACATCCTTCAAATTGCGATGTTCCTTTGAACATCTTACGAGAAAGCTGCAGGGTACTGGTACCTTGACTTCTCTGACAATCGTTTCTGCTTTCGTTTCACTTGACCTCTCATCCTTCAGCAACCAAAAGCAAGCGACATGTTTCTCCTCTCGATTTCACTCGTAGCTAGCGCAGGCGTTGGAGTGGTTTATGTTTGAGACGTTTAGAGTCTTCAGAAAAAATTGCGCATTAGGCGATGGCGTTGGAAAAGTCTTTTATTCACCCTCACACATTTCATTATACCCCCATCTTTTTTGTCACGGTCGCCTTCTTCTCCTGCAACTTTTCACATTCTGCTTGCTTCTCTTCAGATACGTTCTCACCAGATATCCCAACTTCACAAACTCTTTGTCACTTCCATCTTCTTTGGAAGTGCTGATTAGACAAACTACAATTAAAAAAATATATATATGCAGCTTCTCGCAGCTGGTTTACCAACTTCCGTGCTCAACTACACTCCAAAGTCAAGCAAACGTAAACACCATGTTGTCCCTTCCACTTGGGGCTGGCCAAGACATGCTGACCCACCCATCAGGCATGCCCAGCACAGAGAACGGTCCCGAGAACGTGCATACGAGCATATGCCTCGCTTCCGGTCACGCAGCCAAGACCATTCTCTGCAACAAGAGTAGCCAAGGAAAACGCTTTATCCGGATCTACAAGATACATGTACGCAGTTCTCCGCGGCGAACTTGTGTCCCAGCCAGGCGGAGTAAGACAACCCGCTCCGGATGAAGCCCCTCCATTCAGTTCCATTTCCTGTGCTGCAACCCTCTCCCATTCGCGTAATTCCCGCTCTCCACTGCCAACTTCGTCTCTCTGAGCATGGGTCCTCCATTGTGAGACGTGCCAAGTCCAAGAGATCCCCCCTCGTCATCACTCTCGCTTGAAGTCTTGTCCTTTCGGCTCGTTCCTTCCGCCCCATCAGCATCATAATCTGCTCCCGCCCCCTGCCCGCATCGCGCCGTTCCGCCAGCCTCTCTCTCCACTTCCTTCCCTGCTTCCCTGTTTTTTCCTTAACTCCTTGCGGTCTGTGATGTGCACTTCTGCAGAATCCCTAGCGCCGCTTGGCATTTCTTACTACCCAGATTCCCCACCTGCTCGCACCTTGTTCAAACCTCGTATCGTAGAAGAGAGAGAGAGAGGGAGCGCTCCCAGCTGAGAGCTACTTCAAACAAGACATGCATATCAACTCTAGACTTCTGACCTCGCATATGCAGTCATACCCACCCATTTTCCACCCACCCCACCCACTCATCTCCCGTCATATCACATCTTATCTCGGCCCGACAGAGATAGAGAGAGAGAGAGAGAGGAAGTGACAAAGAGATACAACGGGGCGCGAGAGCGGACTCCCCGCCTCCCTCCCCTTCCCCATTTCCTCCTCTCGGACGCTCCGAAGGCAACGTTCCCACCCCCCACAGCAAACCCCACTCATCTTTCCGCCTACCTTCCCTCCTTCCACCTTCCGGACCTGAAACTGCGCTTTTTTGCTCGCTTCCCGCCCGCATGGTATTACTGGTGGGGAGTCGGAAAGCGCGGCGGCCGCGGCATTTTGACCTTGTCCCACCAACTAAACCGACCAACCAACAACATTACCGCGACATCCACCACCTATGCACCGTAACTGTATCATTTTTCGCTTGCCGCAGCGCTCGCCAGTGTAGCACCGCTTCCACCTAGCCCAGCTCCGTCAGCCAGCCAGCACGCAATACAGCATCACGATCATTTCCCAAACTTCTCGGTAGCTTCGCTTCCGCCAAACTGGATGGAATGGGGCTTGCTGGCGGGGCTAGATAGCTAGCGAGCTATGTAGCTGGCAGGCAGGTAGACTGGCTGGCAGGCAGGCTAGAAGCAGGTGGAACACGGATGGTGGTGGGGTGCCGCGCTGTTTTTTTTTTTTTTCTTGTTTTGGTTCTCTTTGCCTCCGTTGTCGGAGGACCTCTTTCTTACTACCTCTATAGTATATCTTATTTCTTTCCATTCTGATTGGCTCTTGGCAAAGCAGAGAAAGGTAAGAAAATAGGGTTGAGAAGCAGTGAGACGGGAACGGAGGTCCGTTCTTCCACACCTTACCAAAGGAGGAAGGGAGAGAGGGAGGAGGGAAGTGAGAGTAAGGTTGCATGCAGCAGAAACCAGTAAGCACGCGCTGACAAATTCCGTGAACACCATCAACTACGATAAGGCTGCCGTGTCAGAAATCATCATCATCCCGAGCGGCAGCAGCATTGCAACGTCAGAAAAAAAGTCCCGCAGTCCCGAAAAAAAAATTCCCTCAAGTCAATTTTTTGGATTGATTGGTATCTCCTGTGCCCTCCACCCATCCATCTAAGCGCACCGCTTCCAAGGTCACCACCACTCCGGGGCGAGAAAAATGAATAATCGGCCGATCCCTTACAAAATCAGGAAAAGACGCCAAAAGAAGTCGTAGAATATGGAAGAAAGGAGATAAAGAGGCAGAAAAAACAACATAGCACCCATTTTTTGTTGCTGTATTCAGCAAAGACCCGACGCCGGTACCCCCGCCAAAGGGCACACGCATCATGCATGCAACGTGACTTGATGCGAGCCCAGTCCATATGCAAAACAGAATCGAAATAATCAGTGAAGCAGAGTGCCATTGCCTCAGTCGTGGCATCAAGTTTTGGCGTTCCGAACCTCCTTTCGGCCTGAAGCTTTGCGGCCTACAGGTGGAGGATCATGCGTGGTGTTAGGGTATCAAGCAGTGGCCTCCTCGGGCTTGGCCTTCTTCGCGTCGTTGCCGGCAGCGTCATCCTCGGCAGGGCGCTTCTTGCTAGGCTCCTCGCTGGCTTCGACAATCGGGATGCCCCTGAACAAGATGTTAGTTCTATTCAGTTGACTTTCAAGCAAAAGAGAGATTACTGACCTAGCATCAACCTTCTGCTTGGGGACGGCCCTCTCCTCGTTGTTCTCCTTCGAATCACGGTCGCGGTTGCGGTCGCCGCCACGCCTATCACCACGGCCTCCACGACCGCCACGGCCGCCACGGCCGCGGCCCTTCTGGAACTTGTCGCGGCCCTCCTTCCAGTTACCATCCGAGCCCTTCCTGTCATCACGGCGATCACCACGGTGGAAGCCGCCACGGCCACGGCCACGGCCGCGGTGGCTGTCAGCAGTCGAGTAGTGCGGAGGGCGGGTGGGCTGGGGCTTGATCTTGCCCTCAGCAATGTCCTTGGCCTTCATATCGACATATTCCTTCTTGCTCATGTAGATCAGCTCCTTACCCTCGAACTTGGGCTTCGGGTCAAGAGCGAGGAAGTTCTTCTGGGTCTCCTCGTCCTCGAACTCGACGAAAACGCTGCCCTTGAACTTCTTCTCAGGCCAGGTGCGCCGGAGGCGGACGGACTTGAAGGGGCCATAGTTCAAGAAGAACTTCTCGATGTTGAACTGGGACATCTCATCCTCCTCGGGGAAGCCCTTGGCGTAGATGCTGCGCGGCTGGGTCTTGTCATCGATGACACGGACGTGGTTGTCGTCGTAGGAGTTGCCGAACTTCTCGTCCAGAGGAACCTTGCGGCGCACCTCCTCACCCTCGGTGAGCTCAAGGACCTCGCTGGTCTTGATAGCCTCGACAACGGCCGAATAGGGCTGGAAACGGCGCATGCGGCTGAAGTTGTGGATGACCTTGAGGGGAACGGGCTTGTTCTCATAGCCAGCAACCTGGTTCATGAGGTACTTGTCCATAGGCAGGTTAGAGTCAGAGAAGTAGAACTCGACCTGGTTGACAGTTAGGAAATTTGAGGTGCATAGCGAATCGGCGGTCTACATGCCTGCTTCCTGATCTGTTCAGGATCGCTAGACTCCTCGCCGGCATAGGTCGACTTCTTCTGGAACTTCTGGTACTTGCGAGGGCCCCTGTGGTCCCTCTTGTTGTCCTTGGCGTCCTCAGTAGCTGCGGTTGTGAGTTAGCGCGCGCTACAGCGATTGAGTGTGTGAGCGTACTCTCGTCCTTCTTGGACTCGGCCGCCTCCTTCACATCATTATTGGCCTCGGTGGTGGTCTCAGTGACGGCTTCAGTAGCAGCCTCAGCAGGAGCCTCAGTGGTAGCCTCAGCGGGCTTCTCGACAGGCGCGCTAGCAGTCTGCTCGGCGGTAGGCTCGGTGACGGCGGGAGCGGCCTCGGCGGGCTGAACTTGGTTGTCGGACATCGTGATAGTATAGACTTCTGGCTTGCGAGCAGAAGGTGGTTGTGTGAGGCTAATATAGAGGAGGGCGCTGTCGAGCAAAGCGCGTTGCCTAGCGGGGCAAGAGCGGTTAGAAGTGAAATTTCGGAAGGATGCGACAAGGCAATGACTGGGCGAGAATGACTCACGGTTGGTCGGGGAATTGGAGACGGTGCAGCGACCCGCAACTGGCGGTTCAAAGGCTGGGCAATGGAGTTGGAGACGAAGAGACGGTGGCGGCGGGCGCTGAAGAAAGTTCCTGATAGAGCGCGCGCAAAGACGCAAAGATGGTGGGCAGGCGGGAGCTCGGACCACGCCAAGATTTCGAGGTGCGCCCGCGGCGGGTGAGGCCTCCGATTGGCTGCGGGCCCAGCAGTGCGGCGCGACTCCAGCGAAAGTCGTGAATCTGCCTCGAGCCATCACTCCCATCGCCCATCCCCAACCCAGCCCTCAGCCATGCGCAAGCGTTTCCACTGGCTCAAGAAGCCCGTACGGCCTCCTCTCTGCATCTTTCCCATTGACGTCCGCCCGCTCACTGCTGCCAGAAAATCAGGGCCGACTGGTCCAAGGAAAACCTCTACAACATCGCACGCGCAACCATTCCGCCCACCGGCAGCAAGACTTTCTTCCAGCAGAAATGGAACGCCAAGGCCTTGACCCGTGCCTACCACGGTGAACAGATCCGCGAAAAGCAATGGCAGCGCATGTTCCGTCGCACCTTGCCCGCAGTTGTGCCCATGGACCACAAGTATCTCGCCCAAAACGACGGCAGCGAACAAGCTCTCGGTCGCGGCTCCGGTGAAGACGAGCCTACCGACTTCTCCTCGCGCCGCACTCCGCAGATGACTCCTTACATGCACATGACCTACTATCCCGTCGAACGCCGCCTGGATACGGCTGTTTGGCGTGCTCTGTTTGCCTCGAGCGCTCGCCAGGCCCGCCAATTCGTTGTGCACGGATGGGTCAAGGTCAACGGCAAGAAGGTGCGGCCAATCTTGATCTCAGCTCTACAGTGTTCGCATACTGACATGATGCATCGGCAGATGAACTATCCTGGCTATATGCTGAACCCCGGCGACCTGTTCCAAGTTGACCCGGAGCGTGTCATGTGGGCCACCGGCGCCCGCAAAGACGAGAAGCGCCAGATGATCACCGTGGGCAAGAAGCCGACCGAAAAGGCTGAGTCGCAAGATACCGCCAAGGAGGAGGGACAGGAAACGGCTGCCGAGACGGACGCGGAAAAGACGGATGCTGAGGCCAAGTCGGAGGAGGCTACGGAGGCAAAGGAGGCGGAGAAGGAACCTGAAACTAACGAGGAGGAAGTGAAGAACACTCTGAAGTCCTTGATGGAACGGACCGAGGCCATGATGGCGGACTCCGAAGAGCTGTCGGCAAAGCGCAAGCAAGATCTTCGCGGCTTCCGTCAGGCCCTTCGCAAGATGCTTTCGCGTGCCAGGGGTGTCTCGACCTCCGTCACCGATGACCTGGAAGCTCGTCTAGCTGAAATCTCCAACAAGCTCGTCAAGGCCAAATCTCCCAAGCAGCAGGTCAAGGAAGCAACCGCCGTCGATGCCTTTACCGAGGAGCAGGAGGAGTTGCTCCAAGAAGCCCTGGAGAAGATGCGCGAGAACCCCTTCGACCCGAGCAAGCCGTATCTCACCCCCTGGAGACCTCGCAGCTTCATGTCCGCTTTCGCTTTCATCCCCCGTTACCTCGAGGTCAACCAAAACATCTGCGCTGCCGTGTACCTCAGACACCCGGTGGCAAGGCCCGGCATGGCTGAGGTGCCCACTCCTTTCCACTATGAGACCAACCAGCTGGCTTTCAACTGGTACCTGAGGAGACGGTAAACGCATCGAAAGGGCATTGGGATCTGGTATGAGGCGTCATGTAGAACAAAATCGTTGCATGATTGGGTGGGAGGTTCATATATCATTGTACATTATTTGTGAAACGACATTCAAGGAGTCAAGGTCAGTCGCGCTTTTCGCATGCATCTGTTCGTGAGAGTACTTCGTTACAACTTCACATATGCTTTCAGTAGCGGGAGGCAGAATTCGGTAAGCCCATTCATCTCACATCATTACATTACTTAGCGTAGAGTCTACTTAGTCTTCGCACTCGCATAAAACCCGCAAAGAATTACCCGAGCACAGTAACCCTCAATCCCCCCCTCCCTCTAAACCGTCCTCTTCCCCGCGCAGCTCCCCCACGACGGCTGGCACCAATTCGCGGCACCACAAAAGTCCTCACCCGTGCCGCAAAAGTTGCTCCCGCTGCAGCACAGCCCATCGGCACACCTCTTGTTCACGATCGGCCCGCACGTCTCGCCCTCGCCCGCCGTCCCGGTCGACCCGGACGGCGTGGTCACGGGCTTGCTGACGCCATTGACGCCGCATTTACCGAACCCGGCCTGACAGCCGTCGCCGCAGTACATGGCCGCGTCCTGGATGTCGTTCTTGGGGCCGCAGTGGCCCGCCGCCGAGCAGCACCGGTAGAAGTAGCCGCCGGGCCCGGCGCCTGGGCACGAGACGCCGCCTTGCGCGTGGCCGCAGACGTCGATGACGGGGATGGAGGCGGCGAAGGTGTTGTTGGTGTTGGTGGCGGTGGCGGTGGTGGTGCGGGTGGTGGAGGAAGTCTTGGTTGTGGTGGTGGGCTTGGTGGTTGTGAGGTTGTTGTTGGACTTTTTCTGTTTGGGACGGGAGAGATGCTGGGGATTAGTAAACTGGATCTGGGGTCGAGGGCTTGTGAAGGGGAGGAATGGGGAGGGTTTACTCACAGCGCAGCTGGAGCCTGGGCCCGAGAAGGCGCTCAGACAGGTGGCTGGGTCGCAGTAGTCGGCGCCGGTATCGCACTGGAGAAGGAATGCGTCAGTCGGGATATCCTTGGTTGACAGCTGTGATGACGTTCAAGGGTATCGGACGCATGCAACGCTGCGTAACTTCTCTTCCTCTCGAAACAACTCACGGCTCAATCTTCGCCGAGAGTTAAGATACTCGTGGTGCATATCTGAGGTTACGTTGCACAGCAGAGTGAAAAGGCAAAAAAGAAAAAAAAAATAAGCGTGGGAAGGTAGCACAACAGCCGCAGCGGTGACAGCCGCATGGCTCTCAGGGCTGAGCTCGTAACGAAAAGAGAAACGACAGCTGAGATCGGAACGAGGGTGATAGCAACGAACCGAGAATTGGCGAGACTTACCCATCCATATTGGCTACCTGTCAAGTGAACATTGGTCAGAGGAGGCGACAGCGTTGAAGTAGAAGTGTACGTACAGCAAGTGTTGGCAGCGCAGATCTGATTGTTGTACTTAGGTCCGCAGTTCTGGCACAAGCCGCTCGCCGCGGCGAGCAGAAGTAGCAACAAGAGTGAGATGTAGGAGGGCATGGCGATGGTGGGTGTAAAGACAGAGAAACAAGCTCTGGCAAGACTTTTAGCAAGCCAGCGGTTTATATATTCTTCCGCCTGCGCCGTCCTGATATTTTCAGAGGCTGGTTGGCTTGCTTGCTTGTCTTGTCGACTGGCACATGCATGACTGCGTTCAGCAGAGTGTCTTGGCGGCGCAGGGGCAGGGCAGACATGCGGCGGAGTGGAGTGGAGAAGGCGGGAAGAAAAAGAAAGCAAAAGCTGGCTGGTCGGAACATAATGATGTGGCGCTCCTTCGATCGTACTACTCGAAGCGCCGTGCTCGTATCCTTTTCTGGATCAGGCGTTCGCTTGTTCCTGGCGGCTGACGATCCAGATGTACATCGTCTGGGCGGCTACGAAGCGGAATGGGTCGACGTATGACAGACACTCGGCTCCGTCGATTACTGGGGCTCAATGTTGACCGGACAATCAGAAGAGGTTATGGCAGGCATCCTGGTCAATATGGATTTCTATTTTGGATCTGTTGCGTCGCGCGGCTGCAGCTGCGATTGCGGGCCAACAGCAGGCCGTGACAACAGCTGTCGTTTGCTGATCGTACAGTCCCCTCTCGCAGCCGATGGCTAGCGTGGATTTATTTTTTGGTCATGTCATGGGCAGTTGAAGCTATCGTCCGGACGTGTATGTAGAATTTTTAATTCGACATTCTCGTCCGGACGATAGCTTCAACTGCCCACATACGTTATTTTTCTGAAGCAAAGCTGGGGGCATAGTTACGCTATGTTCTAGAGCCCTGCTATCCTTCGCGCTAGCCATCGGCTGCAGCACCCCTCTGTATGATCTGAGACCCTGGTTGCTGAGCTCACAAGCTTGGACATGAGCGTTCGAGCGTTCAATCTCAATTCTGATGGCACAATTTTGATTTAAGTTTTTAGTCGGATGAGGATGAAGTAAGGTTATGGTTTTGTACCCCACTATTGAAGATGAATCGCTGCCTTAAATTGCCTCGGCTCGGCTTATGCCGAGTGTCGGTCAAATATCAGCACATCTCATCCGGCATTCAACACTTGAGCGTAGTTCTTCTCTAGCACCAGGAAAAGAGACGGAAGAAGAAAGATACCATTGTGATCACATTCTGTAACGCGTGTCGAAGAAAGAACATCAGCAAGAATGGCGGACGTCGCAGATTGGACCCACCTCTCCCAGATGGACCCGGAGTTTGAACAGGTACGTACACCCTGATATACCCCCACAATCATGATTCAGGAACTCACGAACCGTTTCAGTTACTCCAAACCCTTTCCGAACCACCTTCGCTCTCTGATGTCCTCCCCTATGGCATCTCCACGATGCGCACCCACCTTTCGGCCGCCAAGCAGGAGATGAACGCCGAACTGGAGGGCGACGCGCACCTGGACGAGATCTCCGTATCCGACACCACGGTACCAGCCCGCGACGGCTATCAGATCCCTGTGCGGATCTACAAGCCCCTCGCCGCCGACTCTTCCGGCCACCCTTTGATCATTCTTTTCCACGGCGGCGGCTTCTGCCTCGGCGGGATCGAAAACGAGGAGCTGCTGTCACGTAAGCTGGCCGCGCCGCCGCTGCGCTGCGTCGTTATCAATGTCGACTACCGACTGGCGCCCGAGCACGTCTTCCCCGCCGCCGTGAACGACGCGTGGGATGTCGTTCAGTGGGTGAGTTCATGGTTCTTCTTTTCCTCTCCTCTTCTCTCTTCTTCATTCCAGCTCTTTTCCTTTGATCTCCTCCTTCCCCACATCCGCGATATAGAATGTGTCCGCATACGTAAAACCAAAAAGGAAAAAAAAAATAATGGGGAATCGAACTCGAAACCCTTGAGGGATGTTGCTACAATAATGGCCGGAACCCAGTCTGAACATCCAAGTGGCCGGCACCACTAGTTCGGGGGTTTCGCTATGTTACACTAATCTCGCCCTTGACCGGGGTTTGTAGTGGCAGAATAACTTACTGGAGGGCCTGATATACACCATGTTAAAGTCCTTGTAGCATTCACTCCCCCCACTGCTGCTCACCGAGACACAAGACACCCTACACAATCACAACCCACCCAACCCAGCACCCAGCACCCAGCACTAACCACTCTTCCTACCAACCAGGCCGCCGCCAACGCCACCACCCCCGCCCTCGCCCCCGCCAACCCAACAACCGGCTTCATCGTCGGCGGCGTATCCGCCGGCGCCAACCTCTCCGCCGTCGTCGGCACTCTGGCGCGGGACGCGGCGCTCACACCGCCTCTGACAGGGCTACTCCTGTCCGTCCCACCCGTCTTCAACTCGTACGACCCGCCGGCCGCCTTCGCCCCGTCGCTGCGCTCGCTCGAGCAAAACGCCAACGCGCCCGTGCTGGACCGCGCGGGCATCGACGCCTTCTTCGGCGCCTACGCGCCCGACCGGGAGTCGCCGCTGTTCAACCTGTACACCGATGGCAGCACGCGTGCGGGGTTGCCGCCCGTCTACTTCCAGGTGTGCGGGTTGGATCCGCTGCGCGATGAGGGCTTGGTGCTCGAGCGCGAGTTGCGCACCGAGCACGGCACGCCGACTAAGCTGCAGCTGTATCCGGGCCTGCCGCACAGCTTCTGGAGTTTCTTCCCGCAGCTGCAGGCGAGCAAGCAGTGGCCGCAGGACACCCAGGACGGGGTGGAGTGGCTCTTGAAGACGACCAAGGAATGAAAGGCCTCGTAGTAGAGGTTTAGAAGTAAGAGAAGGGAGGGAAAGAGAAGAATTCCGGGCTTCTCTGTGCAAATTTCTTTGGTCCTGTTTCAAAGTCTGCTGTCTCTACCAATAAGTTACCACAATCTAATCATCCTCTTCAATTCCTGTCTTCCGGGGGGCAAGGCAGCGTCAGCTTTCATTGTTCCTCTTTGACATTCTTTTCTTTCTGGGGCTTGGCGAGCATGGGCTGCAGTGTCTGCTTCATCATGCCGCAGAAACTCTCGAATAGCACCTGGTCCTGCCCCTGAACCCATCTTATGAGGAGCTCGTCAGTCTGAACACTTATTTCGAACCCCAACGCAATCTCATTATCACTTTCATCCTTGAGTTCCACATCTTTCTCCAGAGTCGCTTGCTTTCCTCCCTCTTCCCTTTTCCTCTTCCTCCGCGCAGATCGTGACCAGACGTTCTTCGTTGCTCTACCGTATCCGAGGCGTAGCTCCTCGTTCCATTTCCACTGAAGCGCCAGATTGTGCATCGTCTCGTCGATTGCTTTTGCAAACCGCTCCATCGGTATATCGGAGATGGGGAGCTTGTAGTCTGTCGGCAACGGAAGGATGTGTTTGATGTTCATATCCCGCCGAGCGATTTCCTGTACCAAGGTCAGCGGTCCAATGATATCGAGCAAGCTGACGGATCCACATACCGCTCTTGGTCGTAGGTCTCGCCAACTCCAGCCGACAGCCCATCTCCTGGTTTTATGTTGCGCACCTAGGCAGCATACGGCCCAGTTTCTGCAGCCAAGCTCCCGGAGTTTCTCTACTAGCTTGATGGTGCTTGATAGTTTCCCAAGCATTGACGTGTACCACGCGACCTTTTGTCCAAGCACGCGGCTTTCTTCAACCATTCGTAGCACGAAGCCCAGGTCGCCCCCTTCTGTTACCATCTCCACCTCGGAGCCGGTGCAGACGGAATTCGGGCCTTTGGTCTTACCTTCTCCGGAGATGGAGGCCTTCCATTCGGCAACGGACGAGAAGAAAGGGGGATTGCAGATGGTGAAGTCGAGCTGGTCGAGTTCAAGTGCCGCCAGCGGAATCAGAGGACCATCGCGCTTCGTCTTCATGACATGACAGCGTGCCGAGAAGCCGTTCGCCTGGACATTTCGAAGCGCGTACGAGAAGTTCAACAAATCTATGTCGGTGGCATTCATGCGCCATTTTGGCCGGGTCCGTAGCGCGAGAAGAGTGTATATGCAAGATGCTCCACAGCCGCTGAAAGGACGTAAGATTGGACACTTTTTCTTGGAAGCAAAGTTACGTACATATCTAAACCTATTACCTGGCGATCCTTGTGCGGGTTCGGAGGTAGCGAGTCGGCTGTGATATCAAAATCATCAAAATAAGACGGGTTAATTGACTCGACCAAGTCCTGGATCCAGCGGACGTAGAGATATCTGAGGGCATGGTCAGAGGCTCGGTTCCAAACATTTATGACACAATAAAAGATCCAAGCAGGTCTGTTGCTCTGAAGAGCGAGGAGATTCGAGATGAGTACAGCACGAAATGGCAAAGGTAGTGTCGCTGCAAGGCGTACAAGACTCATGTGTACGCAGCAGGACGGAGATGGCGGCGCGGAATCCTTGCAGGGATAGCCGCGGGCCGGTCGGGTGCAGTTGCAAGAGGATGAGGAGCAGCACGGGCGATGGCAGTGAAGCCAGACTGAAGGGGAAGGAAGAGCGGCACTTACCGGGATGTCTGGACAATGAAACGTGGAGGTCAGTCACCACTCGCGCGGGTCACAGTGCGGGGCAGCTTACGGGAGGGCACAGCCTGTCGGGCGGAAGGTCGACAGTGAGGTCGAAGTCTCGTCTCAGCAGCGACGCCGTCAGCTGTCTGCAGGGTCGTCGTCAGCCAGGTACCCGGCGATGCACTGACCACGACGCGACGCGACAACGTACCTGACAGCGCGGGGGTCGTGGAAGTCGACCTTGTCCTTGGTCGAGGAGCGGATCTCAGTCAGATCCGGGTCTTCCTCTCCGTGGAGCATGGTTGCCCGGTAAGGGTTTGCGGCGCCGTGTCAAAGTTTGAAGGAGGATCCGCGAGCTAGGTGGGTGCACAGCGCAAATCCCATTTCGTTAAGAGCGCCTGAGGCAGCTGCCCGTCGCCCCTCCCACGCTCAGAGGCAGGAACAAAGTATGCCGGGAACCTTTCACCTCGATGCCAATGCACTTCAAATTTGCTGTAAAGCAAGTGTACCGTGGTCTTGAAGCGAAGGAGACAAGGGTTCGGGAGCCAATGACACTAGAGTGTGCATCCAAGACACCCCTATATCTTCATGTGAATAATAGCCACTACGCTGTACTTGCCGGCCTTAATGTCGTAGACTGCACAGCACAGCGGAAGGGGCCAAGACTGTCCTTCGGCTACAATTGTGCACACACAGTCAATACTTCAGCATTCCAAGCCCACCATACGACCAATCCTACACAGCACAAACAGCCCCCTAACGCCCCGCCGATAGCCCTTCCGTAGAATTCGCCTCATTCGCCCACGAGTCGTAAAGTAAAGCAAAAGCCAAGCCCGATTGTCCTCCGGTACCTCCTCACCACCAGCCAAACGCGCCAAAAGAGCCCACCGTGTTGGACTGCTGGCCGTATCTGATCTCTTGGAATGATGGAACGGTATTAGGCTTGTAGAATCCCAAGAGCTTTTCCATATCGCCTTCGTCCATCTCCACTAAGTCATCCAAGCTCCAGGTTTCGCAAACCTTAGACATCCTTTTCCATGGTCAGCGAAATTGATCCGGTCACATCAGGACTCGCGAGGCTCACCATTGCATGCGCTTTGGACCTTCTTCTTGGCGCGACGCGATTTTCCTTAGCTTCCGCCGCAGCAGACCAACCTTCTGGATGGCGGCGCCGATATTGGGAGGCAGGGTCGCCGCAATCTGCCTCCGCACAATATTGGCCAGCCTTGGCCCGTTGCCGTTGGTGCTGACCATTATCTGCAGCGGGCCGTCGCGGTGCACGCTCCCAAAGTAGAAATCGCACTCGGGGGGCACGTCGGCAATGTTCGCCGCTATCCTCCTCTCCTTGCATAGCTTGTAGATCTGGGTCGAGGCCTCGGGATCGTCGACGGCTGTAAGGACCATGTCGACGCCATCGAGGTCGGACGGCTCGAATTTGCGATCGACATAGTCGACCTGCTTCTGGGCGATGCGGTATGCTACTTCGTCGTTCAGGCCGTCGGCGGGCGAGACTACCGTGACCTTTGCGTCGGCGTTCAGGACGTTCAGGATGCGGCCGGCAGCGACCTGGGCTTTCCGTCAATGTCAACACTGCAAGGACCGGGGGAAAAAAGTGAGCATGTGCCTACCTCGCCGCCGCCCACGACAAGGACGCGCTTGTTGCGCACCTGCCACGCAAGGATGAGCGAGCCACCGCCCTGGACCTCGGGGAAGCGAGCAGCCATGATCGAGCAATCGTGTAGTGGATAGAGCACGCGAGCGGGTTGTAGCGCGAAGAAAGCAGCTCACACATCCATGATTGATGAGATCAGCACCGGCGCTCACAAGCCACAGCCGTGGCTCCAGTCCCGGGGTCTGCCCAGACCCGCCGAAGTTGCCGGCCGCGGCGTCGGGAGCAGAGCGCGCGCTGACGCGCAATTGCGACGGCACGCAAACCAGACCAAAGGGCGGGCCGGCGGGACCTGCAGGGGCGCGCGCGACTTGCGTGCCAGGGCGGTGGGCGGGCGAGGGTGGAATGCAGGCATAGAGCGGTGCAGAAGAGCCGCTGCGGGCGCCTCAGTGCTCCGCCGGGCTGCCACTAGTCAGGCCCCACGCCCAGCTGCACCACCACCGCCTCGCGCCCAGCATGCTGACCGCGCCCGTTGCGACTCCCTGCTCAGCACCATCATGACCTCGCGCCCGGGCAGGTCGCTGGGCGGCGGACGCACCTTGGGCAGCGCGAAAGCGCTGTCGCCCGCCGCCGACCCCCGTCCGCACCAACATCACCGCAACTCCAGCTTGCTATCGCCATCCGAAAGCTCCGTCTCCCTCGCCTCGCAGTCGTCCGTCTCGCCCGCCTCCACCATCGATCCCGAAAGCCTGACCGCCCGCGTGAACCTCGAACACTCGGACAATGTCGCCGCCGCCTCGGCCAGCTCGCGCCTGGTGTGCCCCATCTGCAATGAGGAGATGGTCACATTGCTCCAACTCAATCGCCATCTGGACGACCTGCACCAGGACATCGAGGAGGTCGAGCAGGACGAAATCCAGACCTGGTTCCGCACCCAGATGGTCAAGGCGAAGAAGTTCCAGCCGCTCGCCGTCCTGAACCAGAAGCTCAAAGGCCTCGATGTCTTCGAATCCAACGACTCACCCTTTTTGCCCGCCCCCGCCCAACCCTCCGCTGCCCATACCCAACAAGAAGCCCAGCGCCCGCTGGATCCAGAGGAGCTGGTGACGCGCACCCACTGGCAGCGTCCGTCCTACTCCGACGCCTGCAGCGAGCCAATATGCGGCAACCGCCTGGGCGCCGCCAACGGCAGCGTCAACTGTAGGAAGTGCGGCCGCCTTTTTTGCGAGGAGCACACCATGTACCAAATGAAGCTTTCGCGATCCGCCCAGCACGAGCCGGTGCGCGGCATCTGGTGCCGCGTGTGCGAGACGTGCTACAAGTCCAGGGAAGGCTACAACGACCACAACGGCGCGGAGCGTAATCACACCGCCGCCTTCACCTCTATCCGTAGAAAGCACGTCGACAAGGCTAATCTGGACATTGGTCGTCTGGAAAAGCGTCTTACCAAGCTCACACAGCTACTTGCAGATCCCCCGCCCCCTGAGCAGCAATCCGGCGCTGGAAGCCTGATTTGGCCGCTATCCAATGCCAAGGCACACCAACGCGCTTTGGAACAGTCAATAATTGCATGGGAAGATGATGCAAGTATCGTGCAGTGTCCCTTCTGCCAACAGGAGTTCACGAGTTATACGTTCAGGCGTCACCATTGCCGTCTGTGCGGCCGTGTTGTTTGCGGTGACCCCAAGACAGGCTGCTCTACGGAGGTGGGGTTGAGCGTTGCAGCGCGTAAGTCTATCAGGAGCGGTCTGAGCAGGGCTGATACTGATCCCCTTTTAGCAGCTAACAGATCCTCAGAGAAACTCACTGGCCAAGTGAGCGTTGACGTGCGCATGTGCCGAGATTGCAAGCATACTCTTTTCAGCAAAAGCGACTTTGCTCGAGAACTCGCGGACAAGCCCCGCGACGCACGGTCATACGAGAACTTGGTGCAATTTCAACGTGGCATTCGACTGCTCCTTCCGAGATTTCAGAAGCTTCTTGCTGCTTTGCAGTATGCCACGCACTGTTCAGGCCTAAGATGGCAGAGCTTCAGCTAATTGAGAAACGCCAGGGATCCCGAAAACCCTCCGTCTTCCGCCCAGCTCCAAGATGCCACCAAGGTCCGGAAACGACTGATGGATGCCTTTGCCCAGTATGACACCGCCGCGCGCCGGATCCGTGACCTGCCCACGGAATCCCCGACGCAAGCCCGACTGCAGAAAGCCGTGTACCAGCAAGCGTACAACTTCCTCAGCTTGCACATGCTCCCTCTGAAGTCCTTGCCCAAGATCCTCAAACACGCGTCGCCAAACGGCGCCCCGCAAGCATCCAAGCCCAACGGCCGCGCCAACGGCGCCCTCGCCGCGATCAAGTACAACGACCACGAAAGCAGCAGCGTCGCGAGCAGCAGCAGCGCCATCTCCACCATGGAAGCCGAGGAAAAGGAGCTGCGCGAGCGCCTCATCGTGCTCGAGGAGCAGAAGTTCTTCGTCCAGGAGATGATCGCCGACGCCAACCGCCGCCGCAAGTTCGACGAGGTCAGCTCGCTGGCGCAGAACGTCGAGGACCTGAGCAAGGAAATCGACCAGATCAACGGCCAGCTCAACCAGTTGGACTTTGCCGCCATCTACAGCGGCGAAATGTTCCCCCCGCCACCGCAACGGCAGCAGTCGAACTAAATACTCGTCGGCATTCTTTCCTAGTCACCTTTTATGGTTTCTTGGAAACATCACTTCCCTTTCGTCGTCCTTTTTTGGGAGAACCTTGGCTTGCCCGGGAACGATCTGAGCAAAAGCACGCCTTTTATCCGAAATACTACCTCGTAATCCGTCCATCCATCCTCCTTGCGCAAATTTACCGCCTTTGGGCGGCCAATTCTAGAGCTTTAACTTATTCCATCGAATCGATCCTGGATTGATCGAAGGATTACCACCCGCGTGTGTGAAACGAGAGCATCAGGGAAAGAGGCGTTGGGGGTGCAATCATCATCAATCATCAGTCATCAATCATCAGTTTGGTTTTTCTATTAAGGCATGGCAGGAGTTTGGGGTGGGGACAAGTGAATTCGTCAGTTTAGGGGCTGTTTTTTTTTTTTTTTTTGGAAAATGTTTTTTTTTCATTCCTCAAATGCAGTCCTTTTTTCTTTTATACAGAGAGGCTGGATGTCAGTCTCTTCATCAATACGGGAATCCTCTCTTGAGACTTTCGTGATTCCTGTGTGCTCGCAAGACTTTAAAAGTGAAGAGCTTCCGTTCAGCCTGGAGAACTGTCAACGCCGTCAATGTGATTATTGCGATGCAAGAACGGGCAGACCATGGATCTTTAAAGAAAAGACTCGTGGATAGTGAAGCAAGGTGGGAATATCGGCGTAAAAGTAGCACATTCACACCAGAAAACACAGCGAGATCGAAAGGGACATAGTCACAGCATACCGGAAGCATAGTAGCCAAAAACCAACCAATATAATTAGCAGTTTGAAGTCGAGTCTGATCTACGACCCTTATCTGACCAAGCCGTCTCCAATACTCAAAAAAAGGAAAAGGGCTAATGATGGCGCCAAGAGCAAAAAGAAAAGAGAATTTCGTAACCATCAATGATCGTAAAGCCCTAGCAAGAATTGCAAGATTTCTCTCGACTCTTGCCACGTCCGAGAGCGCCGAAAACCAAGCCAGCCTTTTAGACTCAACCGACCTCGGCCAATCCGATCCCACACCTAACCCAGTCCTGAAACTGATGGAGGATAGCCTAAGGCTTAGGAACCAAAGGCTCAACGTTCCAGATCGACTCCGCATATTCATCGATGCAGCGGTCACTGGAGAAGAAGCCCATGCGGGCGACGCTGGTGATGGCCTTGGTGAGCCACTCTTCCTGGTTGCGGTACGACTCGTCGATGAGGTCGTGGGTCTTGCAGTACGACGAGAAGTCATCCGAGACCAGGTAGTAGTCACCGTGGTCGACAATGCCGTTGATCAGAGCGGAGAACGAGCCAGCGTCACCGAACATTCCACTCTTGATCGCATCAAACACTGTTGCGAGCTCCGGGTCGAGCTTGTATTGGCCGTAGACGTGCGCATGGCGAAGGTCCTCAACATCTTCTGCCAGGTTACCGAAGAGGAAGATGTTATTCTCACCGACCTCGCGCGTGATCTCGATCTGTTGGGGAGGATCAGTAAGCATAAATTATTGGCATGGTTGGTGAGACAACTTACGTTTGCACCGTCACAAGTGCCGATGATCAGGCCACCATTCAGCACGAACTTCATGTTACTGGTACCACTAGCCTCAGTACCAGCGGTGGAGATGTGCTCGCTGATGTCGGAAGCCGGGCAGATGATCTCTGCCTTGCTGACATTGTAGTCTTCCAAGAAGATAACCTTGAGGAGATCTCCAACATCAGGATCGGAGTTCACGACCTTTCCAACTTGGCAGATCAGGTGAATGACGGTCTTCGCCATCCAGTAACCGGGAGCAGCCTTGCCTCCGAAAATAGAGACACGCGGCTGGAGCTTCTCACGCTGCTCTGGAGACATCTTCTTGATGGCAAGGTAGCGGTGAATGACACCGAAAATGTTCAGCTGCTGACGCTTGTACTCGTGGATACGCTTGACTTGCACATCAAAAAGCGCCTTAGGGTTGACACTGACTCCCTGAGTATCCTTGATGTACTTGGCAAGGCGGACCTTGTTTGCGTACTTGATCTCCTGGAACTCCTTGCGGAAGTCGGCATCGTCGACGTATGCCTCAATCTTGTGCAAGAGCGTCAGATCCTTCAGATACTCGTAGCCGCCAAGCTTCGAAGCAATGAGCTCCGACAGGCGAGGGTTAGCCTGGTGAAGCCAGCGACGGGGGGTGATGCCGTTGGTAACATTGGTGAACTTGTCCGGGCCGTAGATTTGCACGAAGTCCTTGAAAATGGTCGTCTTGATCAGATCCGAGTGCAGCTCGGCGACACCGTTGACCTTGTGAGAGCCAATGACGGCGAGATATGCCATGCGAACCATCTTGGGCTGCGACTCCTCAATGATGGACACGCGTCCGAGCATGTCGCGCTCCTTCGGGAAGGTGCGCTCAACGAACTGCAAGAACTGCAGGTTGATGTCGTAGATGATCTGCAGGTGACGAGGCAGCAGGTGCTGGAAAAGCGGAACGGACCACTTCTCGAGAGCCTCGGGCAGGACGGTGTGGTTGGTGTAGCCGAAGGTCTTGCTCACGATGTTCCAGGCATCATCCCAGTCAAGGCCCTCAACATCGACGAGAATTCTCTGCAACTCAGGAATCGCCATGGTCGGGTGCGTGTCATTAAGCTGGATGGCGACCTGGGAGGGGAAGTCCTTCCAAGCCCTCTTGGTCTTCTTAAAGCGGCGGACAATGTCGTATAGAGATGCAGCACACCAGAAGTATTGCTGCTTCAAGCGAAGCTCCTTACCACGGTCCAGGCTTCCAAAGCTATTAGCAAACATACGAGTCTAAGATTGGAGCACACGTACTTGTCATTGGGGTACAGGACGGCCGAGATGGTCTCGGCCCGCTGCTGGTCGGCAACCGAGCTTTCATACTCTCCCGAGTTAAACTTCTGGAAGTCGAATTCACCCGAAGCTGCCTTGCTACCCCACAGCCGAAGGTTGTTGGTGGTCGATGTGCTGTATCCGGGAACTATTCCTCACGTAAGCAGTTGGGTTGCACATTCACTGGCAGTGTACCTACTCGGGACGTCATAGGCCACAGCCTGCACAATTTCCCCGCCCTCCCAAACCGACTTCTGCTTACCGCTTTCGTCGCTGTTCCGCTGGTTAGCTGGCATCAGAGAAGCCCGTGCATTAGTGGCCTTACGTGTATTTGCGGACATGGCCGTAGAACTGGATGTCGACCGTAACATCGTGCCTGCAGAACTCCCACGGGTTGAAGTCCAGCCAGTAATCGGGAACCTCGACCTGGTAGCCGTCGACGATCTCCTGCTTGAAGATACCGTAACGGTAGCGCAGACCATAACCCCAGGCGGGATAGTTCAGGGAGGCCATGCTGTCGAGGAAGCAGGCAGCCAGGCGACCGAGACCGCCATTTCCAAGAGCAGCGTCATGCTCCTGGCCGATCACGTCCTCGATGCGGAAGCCAAGATCCTCAAGGCCCTCTGGGGTGGTGTGTGGTCAGCTGGGGCGAAGTGCGGAAATGGCGATCTACTCACGCTTTGCCACATCCTTCTTGCCGACGTTGAGCATGGCATTGTCAAGTGCCCTGCCCATGAGAAATTCCAGGGAGAGATCTGCCTGCACATCAGCATCTACGCCACCAGATCTCCAGATATGCCGCACAGTAAACTCGCTTCTGATCAGCCCAGGTCTGCTCCTGCTGCGTCTTGTTCCAGTCGAGGATCAGGCGATCCCGGAAGGCCAGGGATGTGCCCGCATAGGTGGCACTGCACTGCATGAGCTCCTATCCGTGTGTCCCATGCATGGTTGAGGCCTTACAAGTCATCGCAGTTGTACAGGGAGCGGGCGAGGGTCGTCTCGATGTGGCGGATGGTCTCTCTCTGCAGGGTGTCAGCGGCAGAAGCGTGCGGTAAGCAGCATGATCAGCAAACCTCGAATTCTTCGGTTGTTTCAAAGGCCTTGGGCGTCTGCAGTGATGTTCATCAGCTCCCGCGTCCCGCAAGCTCCGGATGGTGGGGTGTGCGGGGCTCACGTTCTTGGTCCATCTGCAGCGTGATCGTCAGCCCTATCCGCGCACCAGAGGGTCAATTGGGACCTTACGCCTGCCTTGCCGGCTCAGGAATGGCGGCCTCGACCGCTTTGATCTCTTCTGGGCCGAAACCAGTGGCGGTTCTCTTGTGCTTTGGCCTGCTGAAGCCAGGACCAATGGGGCCCTGTAGATCAGAAAGTGGGGCACTCATCGAGGGCCGGCGCTCGCGGGTCGACATGGCGGCAGTTCAATTGGCACTGGAAGGGGGAAATTGGGAGGGAGAACGAGCAGAGAAGCAGCGGTGGCGGCAGCAGCGGGGTTTATGTAGGTGTGTAGACGTACAACGCGCGGTGGGACGCGACCAAGCTGCCAACACGCTCTGGGCTGATGCGCGGTGGACTGATGGGAAGCAGCGACCGGGGTGAGCTCCAGAGCGCGGGCCAGCACCGGGGTTAGCTGAGCGGGGAAGTGCCTTCGTCCCGGCCGCCGCACTCGACGATGCCAACGCCATTAACGCCTATCCCAAGCCACCTCCCGTGCATGAGGCTCGCGCGCATCGCTGCATCTTCCATCGTTCCTCGTCCTGTCGTCCCCGGTGCCGACCGTCCCTGTGGGATGTCATGACATGCCGACCTCGCCGCATCGTACTACCTTACCATTTATGTACTTGCTAAGCGCCGATGGGATCGATGATCGGTGGAGCTGCAAGCTGTGCACGTGTTTTGGCTGCTGGCAATCTCTGCGAAACTTACTTTTTGCTTCTCCGCATGCTTGATTAGCGCATGCACCCCAGAGACATCATAGATCAACGGCGCTGCGGTCGCTCTGTAGCATCGCAATTGCTTGAATCCGTACTCGTGCCGTACCCTGCCTTGGGCTTGGAATAAGGGCTGGGATGCGTTCGTATCCCTGATAGGCGATGCTATCAACACGAGCATCCTGTTTTTCGCCTGATTCAAGCCGCGGCGGGCCGGGAGTGGAGCAAGAAACGAGGCACGCGCACACACAGCAGGAAAAGTGTACAAAGGATTAGAGTTATAGAATTAGAGACACTTCGATTAGGCTGCTGTCATATGGTCGTGCTCTCCTCCATGAGCCAATCCGTAATCGCGGTTCCATTCATTACCGACCTTCTTGGGTTGAGATGGCCGTCCAGACATTAGCTGTAAGTTGCTTTTCTCCTCTGTTCCAATTCTGCAATGACATGATCAAATGCTGCGCGCGAAAGCGCACAGCTACAAAGGGGTATCTCTGAGCAGTAACCAGTCCATAAACGCCCGCTTCCAGATAATAGGGATAAGAAAATGAGGCAAGGGATGCTTTTTAATCCCAAGCATGATCGAGAGCCATGACGCTCGGGCTCGGTTCCGGTGTCGCAACGCCCTTGAACCACGTCGCCGAGCCATGGAGCGAGAGCGGCGCTGGCCGGTTCTTTTCACCGACCGCCGCATACGGCTCGTCAGCAACAGCCTTGATGGTAGCCGTGGCGGTAGTAGCGGCGGCGGCGGCGGCGGCGGCCTTTTGGCGGTTGCGGAGGCTCTCTCGGTGCATATCCTCGATGGCGTCGCGAATGAACTCGAGAGTGAACGAGTGCAGGTCATAGTCCAGGTCAATGAGCATGCAGCGCTGGGTGGTGGACAGCTGGCGAGCGGAGTAGACTCCGCACGAGATGCGCTTCGCCCAGTGCTGCAGCGACACTTGGTGGTCGTCAAGGTACGAGGTCGCGAGGGCCAGAGCAGCCAGCACCAGCAGCTCGGGGTCGGCACAGCTCTTGATGGGAGAGCTCAGCACGGGAGCAGCGGACATGAGAGTGGGCGAGGCAGGAGGAGAAACGGGGGCATTTGCGGCCTCGAGGAGCGGTGAGGCGGCGGGAGTAGACTCGTTGAGGGTTAGGGCGTGCCGCCACTTTTTGGCGAAGCGCATGCTCAGAGCATCGAGGATGCACGCCGTCAGGCCGAGGATCTCGAAGGGCAGACTGGAGCGTTCCAGGTAGTCCTGGATGGTGCTGACGGACGGACGACGGCTGCAGGCGTTTGAGGGAACCATCTTGGCGAGGTGTGCCGCGGGCCCTGGGATTCGCGTCAGTAGGTGCTCCAATTGCGCCAGGCCAGCCGCAGCAAACTCACCCCGCAGATCGCTCTCGTCCGCCAAACGGCCAGGCAGGCTCCTGGGCGACTCAGCCCAGGACGCGCCGGCCTGGGCAGGCGGAGGGGTGGGCAGATTGGACAGCGGCACGTAGTTTGCCAGATAGGCATCGAAATCGACCGAATCAACAGAGCCGCGGCGGCTGCCGACGGACAGAGGTGGGCTCTCCATTATTATTGCTGCTTGAGGTCTTCTTGGGGGCAATTGCGTGGGACGACGGCAGCGACGCTCTCCGGCTCTGGGACAATGCTCGACATGGGCGTGGTCGGCGGCTGGGCGGCCGCGGGAGTTATATAGAAGGTCAGCGCGCTGAGCTCGCGCACCCCTAGCAGGACCGCCGAACCCCGTTTGCACGGGACCCTCCTGTGGCTCTTGCGACCTCCTGCCTAGCCGTTCGCGGAGCTTGGGCTGACGTGACACCCATGATCCGAGGCCAGGTTCATCGCGACAGCTCGGGCGCGCCAAGCGGCCAAGGACGGCCTGCGAAACAGACATGGGTACGCTGCTCCACTTGCGCCTGCTTGCAGGACCGCCAGGCACGCGAGCCACACGAGCGAAAAAGGCGCTGCACTCTCGTCATTCGCGCCAGCGCCAGCGCGTACCAGAGCGCCGTGAGCCGCTCGCTCAACCCCCAAGCAACGCCGCCCGCTCCGCCGCCCGATCGCTGCCCGCCGTCGCCTGACTCAATCGCCTTCAGCCTCTCCTCCTCCTGCGGCGTGCATCATGCACGGCACCCGCAGCCGTGTAGGGTGATGTCGACGCTGACCCCGCCGGATGGGGATCATCTTTGCAGCCGCAGGCCCGACGACACGAGCTGCGTGCATCGTGGGTGCTTCTGGCCATGTGCGATGCAGCTTTCTTCTCTCAGCTCACCATCGCTCGCGCCGAAGCGGCGGCCTGTTTCATCGTCGACGAGCCCTAGTGACGGTCGCGCACACCGACCGGGTGGCACTGCATGAAGACCACGAGCTCTCAATACCACCAAGTCCACAAGTCCACAAGTCCACAGTTGTCAGATGCCAATTTCCACCGCGACCCGCCCCGTCAGCAGCCCGTGGGCTCAGCAGAGGTCGACCGCGCCCGGCGGCAGCTTTCACCGCTCCGTGCTTGCTTGTCATGGGCTAGCCCATGTCCTCGCCAAATAGATTGACATCAAGCTTGCCTGAGGCAACCCCTCACTATGGGCTCAGCCTCCTCCCGGACCGGGCCTGCTCCATAGGCTGGGGCACGGGCGTCAGTGGAGAAGCGGCTTGTGCCTGCTTGGCTCCTGAGGATTCTCATCCGGTTGTGATGCTTGCTGCTCTGCTCTCGGCTCCGGCACGGCCAAGGTCCGCTGCTGCCGCCGGCGCGCAGAGCGCCTCATGCCGGCCGCGCCGGTACACAAATTAACTACTGTGTAGCAGAATTGGGAAGAAGCTCATACAGACGCGCACACCACATACGCGTTTGGCGTAGGCGATGGCAAAGATCCGCGATCTCTTGTACCTACCGCCCTCGTCCCGAGCTCCGTCCTGCCGTCGAAGCAGTCTAGAAGCTGCAGGCCGCCTGTGCAACTCGCTCGACCGCCCGCCTATCATCCCCTAAGAGGAGCAGCAGGCTATCTCGTCTCATCTTCGGGTGTCACCAAGTAGTCCCTGACGGCAGACCTCACCCGTAGGTGCAGGCCGGCCTACGGCCCTGGTGCTCCCGCCGCGCCCCTTACAATATCAGTTCAGCCTTTTCTATGAACTGACCTACTCCAAAACGTATCGATAGGCGGCAATCGATATTGACACTGGCCACTCCCATAATCCCACTATTCTTGGATGCTTCGCTAGCTCTGAATCCGTCTGTCGCTCCGAAGCAGCGGCCACATCTTTCTGCGCATCCCCATCCTCATCCCCACCCCTTTTGGCCCAGCCAGGCCACCTCTCGGCTCCAGATGGCGCATCTTTAATATCATCGCGGTGAGTACCGTCAATCCCGCTCCCACCCGCATCTGACCGGCGTATGTATGTCTCGCCTGCCCTGCATAAAACACCTCAGCCTGCACAAAAGCAGGCTAGCCTAGGCGACCAATAACCGCACCTCGCGCAACCATAATGAAAGTCAGACAATTCCCACGGGTATAAGACACTCAGCCGTTTTCTCCCGTCGCCGCGGCCGACTGCCGACTCGCGGCGCACTGTTGCGATGACGACTGAGAAACGCCGAGCAGAGCCATTGGCCTTGCACTGCCACAGCAACCCACCTCGTTTTCTTTCCGCCTTCTCTACGTTGAGCAGCGCACTTGGACCCTGTCCATCCTCGTTCTTCTTGCCTATCACCGTAACGACCGGCACGACACCGCCGCAAGCACGAGGACAGATCGACAATCGGTAGGGCTTAGGGAGTGAAAAAAGCGGGAACTCCGACTCGTCAATTATTATCATGAACGTCGCTGTATATCGGAGAAACCTGCCTTCCTCTTTTTCCGTATCGCACGAACACGGGAGGAGACGAGAATACGAGATCTGCCCCGGCTCAGCCAAGCGGTAAGGCTGAACGCTCTGAAACGATCCCTATCCAACCAACCACGCGCCAGCGTTGAATCGGAGACTGTGAAGTACGCTAGAGAAAAAAGCCAAGATACGAGAATACGATTGTCTCGCACGCAAGGGAATGTGAATGGTGATTGTCCCCTTGCAGGCCAGGTGGTCTGATGTTACGTCCGCCCGCCCATTTCCCGCGCCCCAGCCCCAATCCCGCAAGAGAATGAAAAAATTGCGGTAGTTTCCCCGCGGATGTGAGAGGCTGAGACGCGGTGAAACCTGCCAACAATACGGTTAAGGCTGTGCGAAAGAAAAAAAAAAAGCACAAGCGAAGGAAGCGGGGGGCGGCTGGCGGCTGGCAATAAGGCCGGCCGGCACTACTACCTCAAACTGATTGAACGAAACGTCTCATCATGAATAGGCATCTGCGGGGCCGGTGTTTCCGCGGGAAACTGTTTTGAGATTTGGATTTACTCAGATGTGCTGTTCGGGAGGCTGCCAATCCTTTCTCCATCCTTCTGTGGGGAGAGATGGCGCAGATGATACCCACCGTCCGACGCGAGCAGGGTGACCCCAAGAACAACACCAGCGCCCACGACGGCCGAGCCCGAAAGGGAGCCCAACGTGCCGACCGACCTACTGTTTCCGTGTTACCGCCGCGGCTCCGCTTCTGCTAATAGTGGTGCCTGGAGCCAAGCGAAAGGCGATCTTTCTTGATTGTTTTTTTTTTTTTTGCAGTTCCTCGTGATGTCATCTCGTCATCTCATCCATGGAGTTGGAGAAAGCTAAAAAACCAAGTAGCTACGGTTCGGTACCGAACCAAAAGAAGCAGGACAAACGAGCGTGACAAGCTCACCCATTCCCCGCGCGGTGTAACCAACAAAGCACGTCGGAATAAAGGGATGATGGGGAGCGACCCGGAATGCAAAAGGACGTCACGACGCGTTCCAAGATGGAGTACCTGGGACGGCAAACAGCAATTCTATCTTGTTCTCGCACCACCAAAGATGTCATTGGGCTTAACCGAACCAGGGAATCGCTAGGATCGAATGCCTGGGATACCTAGGAAAGGATAGTATGTATACACAAGCCGTTTCAACGAAACCCGATGGCGGTTGGGTGTTGCCGAGCGAATGATGACGTGACCATGTATGTATGTACAGCCTCCTCCCATTTGCCCAAACCAGCCATCCGATCAAGATACGCTTTCATTGCAATTGGGCTGGCGCTAGCGGGTTTCCCGAGCGTCGACCAGGAGCCGTTGTTGGCACGTTGGCCTTCTCAGCCACACACACAACAATCACAAGCCACCCGGGGCCGGGGTATCCCGATTTACGCCTTGCGGCAAAACAGCTCACAATCTCTTGCGATCTTCGTCGCTTTTTAATTGCATCGCTCGCCTTACCTTTTTGACCCTCTCCAGCCACTCGTACCAGCCTCATGATCTGAGCTAAGCGAAATGGGTGTTTGACAATTGCTGCATCTTGCGACCTGCTGAGCCATTGCTTACTTCATGGCTGGGACCCATGCCCACCTCCACTACACCGACCTTTCAGGCCATGGCCATGGTTCGTAATATCGTTGGGCTGGGGATTCATGTGAAATTGTAAGGGTAGGCTAGCCAATATGACTGATAATCACCGATATCGCACACTACTGACGATCATACCTACAATACGGACTATACGGAGACTTAAGCTCTAGAACTTGATGAATAGAAGGAAAAAGAAAGGGACCGTATAGGTAACAGCTAGAAGTTACTAATTGCCTTTCTCCAGCCCCTAAATTTAGGTACTTTCTTTTTTCGCGCTAGTATGTTTGAATAGCACTCTATTTTTACGAAGTGTCGGCATTTAGTTGTTCTCAGGTAGAGTTCTCAATCAAAAGTTTCACGAAAGGCTGTGCAATTTAACTACAAATCAAGCCATGACCCAGACACTGCCTGGCTGGTGACGAAGAGGGTACGCGTAAGCGCGCCTTCACGTGACAATGGACATGAAACCACCGAACCGCACGGCAACCTCACCCTCTCGGATGCTACAGAATCCGTATTCTGGTATTTGTGCTCTTTCTCGGAGAATATTCTGCCAGATCCGTGAGCGCGTGCCCCAGTTATGACCTATACCAGCTGCAATCTGCCAGTCATTTATCACGTCGAGAAAACATCTCTATATCAAAGAATTACAAGAGGCCAGAACATCATCTATAAAACTCCACAGCCCAATCAATCCATCCTGCCGTCGGACCGCTTTCCCAAGAGCTACAAAAGATGACTGCACCCCGTCTTCACCGACAAGCTGTTCCCCAGGACCTTCCACACCGTGACCAAAGTCCGGATCGATTTCGCCGCAGACGGACAAGCTACCATGGTTAAAGACCGTTGACTTCAGCGGCCTCGAGGATGTGGACGGGAAGCCGATCATGTTCCAGACGCACGGCGTGTATGTCGACCAGCTGGCCAAGACGGCCGATGGCTGGCGTATTATGAGCCGCGTGTGGCAGGAGTTTTGGATCGTTGGGCCTTTGGAGAAGATCAGTGGCATACCAACAATTTTGAACGCCGCCGGAAGGCAGGCCGATGCTTGATGGTGCTGTGGGTAAGATGACACTGTGGTGGGTGTTGAACACCTCGAGATCTTACGTTGTTGCCTGCTGGGTCACGGCTGGCCCAATCCAACCCTGCAGCTTTAGACTTTCTCCTCGAGTATGAAGGACAAAAGAAGGGGGAAAAGGTTCAGTCACAAACCTCCCACTTTCAAGGGATATCTCGCCAGGAAACTTCATGCATCACAGAAGAGGGAGGGAATGTACGTATAATGCCATAATAATTTGACTAGCCATCACAAGAACACCGAAATATGGACGCTCCCGGAGTGAGCACGATGCCACCACGATGACAAAGACGCCTTTGCGAGATGAGAGTAGTGCTGGAAGCCAACTGACACTCACTCCAAGGAGGAAAAGATGGGAAGACAATCGAAAGGAGCACCTCGCGCTTCATCATCAAAGTTACATGAAAGATCGCTGAAGCTATACCAAGAGACAAAAAGACAACGAGAAAAAAAAGGAGCACAGAAAGAGTTAGATGGATGAATAATGAAGTTTCTTTTGTTCCGCCGCGTTATCGTTCGTTTGCCGGTGTCTAACCACCTTGCGCCATCGCGTAAATGTTTGGTGTCTGGCCGATCTAAACCTTTCCAGGCTACCTCATAAATCCTACATCATTGATACTTTCTGTCCATGCGCCACGTATGAAGAACGGCCCGAGGGTGTATCCTCAAGCTCCCAAGACCCCCCTCTACCGCTCGTTCCGTTGAGCGCGCGCTGGTTGCACCACCCGCCTTTCTCACCATGTGTATTTGTAGCAATAAGCATAGGATGTGTGATCAGGCTGTGTATCACCCCCCTGTTTCCAAGCAACCGCAGAACTTGCCAGGTGGGATGCTTCGGAAAGCGCTTACTGGGCCTTCTTGGGGCCGGCAGCACCACCGGCGTACTTGTTCAGGTCGGTCGCGTCAAAAGCCTGCTTGGCGAAGCCCTTGGCCGTCTCCCAAGCCTGGCGGGCAGGCGGAGGGGTGCTCTGCTGCTGGACGAGGGCGTCAGCGCGGGCAGTGAGCTGCTGGATGGCCGACTGGACGAAGGTGCTCTGCGAGACACGAGCGCGGAAGAAAGCGGTGTAGAAAATCAGCAGGGCCCAGGAGCCACGCTGGAAGAGGAGAGCCGAGCCAAGAACGCGGAACCACAGCGCAATCTCGAGGACAGCGACCAGAGTCATGCTGGTGTCGTAGTACTCCTTGACAAAGCGGCCGATGGTGTTGGACAGGGCGGACTGGTTGGGCTTAGCGCCCTCAGCTGCCGGAGGCTGCGGCTGGAGAACAGGCAGCAGGTTGGTGCGGGTGTACGTGAGCACGTGGAACACGGAGTAAACGGCGAAAGGCAGAAGGGCAAGCGGGATCTGGAGCACGTTGTACAGCCAGAGGAGAGCCATGACTGTGGGGTAAAACTGGTTAGGATCAAAGATAGCCATTGCCAACGGGGTCGGGGCCTGGACGCACTCAAATACTGAACATTCTCGTCGGCGATCATGCTAAGCGCACCGCCCTGCTTGCCGGCCCTGACGCGCGCGCGGTATGCCTTGTAGACCACGATACCGTACGTAACCGCGGCAGCGACGAAAGCCAGGCGGTACGAGAAACGGGCCATGCGCGAGTAGTAGTTGAACGTGAGCCACGACAGGCTGTAGCGCAGAGTGCAGAACAGCAGCGTCAAGTGGCCGCCGAACCAGGCAAACTGCAGCGTCTGCGCCAGCTGCAGAAGCCTCTGCTGGAGAGGCATGGACGCGGGGGGCGGGGGAGCCATGGCTGCGTCGAGAGAGGGAGTCGCGTGAGATAGCTGAAGCGGGTCTGTAACGGGTCAGTTCGTGCGGAGGAGCGGTGGGAACGGGTGGCGTGGTGTGTTTGTAGAGTGACGGGCGGCAGTGGGAGGGGAAAGCGCGATAGTGAACTTCGGTTCGCGGCCGCCGCCTGGCACATGCGCACAGAGAACACCTGGCGGAAAAGGTGGCTGGGCCGGCGCAGCGCAGAGGCAGCAACCGCGGAGAGCCGGCGGAGCTCTCACGAGGGCGCAGGCGAGCATTGTGACTTACAGCAAGGGTCTCGCGGTCTTGGGAGGGGATCGCAACGGGGACCTGGAGCGTGGAGGTCGCGGTGAGGTTTTATGGTGATCTCTGACGTGAACGAGCAGAGCCCAGGCCGAGATCAGGGCAGCGCGCTGCCGGTGACGAAAGTGCCGCGCCCTAGCTTGAGCTCAGCTCGCTCCTTCCAGCTGGGTGTCACGTGCAGTGCGGGCCAAAGATAGCACGGCGCCACCATCGCAAAGGCCGCGGCTCAGACGCACACTGCTCGCCCTCGCGGCTCGTCCCGCCGTGCGCTCTAGCTTCAATCCTGCATTGCTACTAATATGGGCTACTTCTGACAAGGAGATTAAATTGAATACTGGACATGTCGGTGTAGTAGAATACATGGGAAGAAGCAATCTGTAGCCCCTGCCACCTACTGCCCTCCACAATGCGATCTACTTATGTGAATAGCTGTCGACGTCAAGGAGATTGCAATGCTGGAGGTATCAATCAAGCAGACGCAAAAGGAAAAAAAGAGCAAAGAGGAAAAGGGGACCGCAAGCGTAAGAACAGAAAATAATTGAGCCAGTCCAATGAAACCCCCCGACGCGCTCGAATCCCCAACTCGCATCGCCAGTCGTTGAATTAAGTGGTCCCTACGGTTACCCCAAAGTGTCGGAAGACGGAAAACGGGTTTAATGAGCGTTCGTAGAATATGATAGTGAGACAAAGAGAGGCTTTTGGTCCAGTGGTTGGTGAGTGTGAGACAATCCGCCTCGAAGCCAGGGGTGAGCGGGATCGCCCTATGCGCGCACGCTGCTGGGCTTAGCGCAGAGAGAAACCCTTTCTCTTGCCCTTCTCCTCGAGCGGCCTGCCACTCTCGATCCGCGCCTTCTTCTCCTCGAGGTCTTGCCGCTGCTTCTCGAGCTGCTCCTTCATCTCCCGGTGCCGGGCGTACAGCTCCTCCTCGCTCTGCCGCAGCTTGCTCTCCTTCTCGGCGACCTTCTGCTGGAACACCATCTTCATTTCCTGCTCCATCTTCTGGAGCTTCTGCTCGTGCAGCGTGCGCTCCTCCTCCTGCTTGACGGCAGGGTTGACCTCCTTGAAGACGCTCGGGTCCTGCGACACACCCATCGAGATAAGCTTGTCCGAGCGGTAGTTCTCGTACAGCGTGTTGTTGGTGTGCTCCTTGAGCTCCTCCATGTGGGTGCGGATGAGCATCTGGCGGAGCTTGACGAAATCGCAGTGCTCCTCGTTGTCCACCTCGATAACGCCCCAAGGGTAGCGGCGACCGCGGACCGTCCGGCCATCAGAAGTGGTGACGTCAGTGTTGGCGCCAACCACGGCGAAAGGAACCTTGGACATGATCTCCTGGTTCTCGGCGATCGTTTCCTCGTCATCCATTTCGTAGCGGGGACCCTCGAAGATCTGGATACCGTGGTGGGAGATATCGGCGAGAATCTGTGGTGCACCGTCAGAAAAGCGTAGCTGTGGAAATCTCACATGGATCCTACCCTCTGCTTGAAAGCGTTGATCTCATCGTCGGTCAGAGTGTCAGACTTGGCGATAACGGGAATCAAGTTGACCTTGGTGTGGAGCCTGCGCATGACCTCGACATCCAGGGGCTTGAGCGAGTGGCCGGTGGGCTGGATGAAATAGACGCAAGCGTGGATGCGGTTGTCAACGATGTTCATGCGGTTGACCTTGTTCTCCGCGTCGAGATAAGCGTCGAAACGCTGCTCAATGTTCTCGACGATCGGGCGCCAGGAGTCATCGTTGTTGACAAAGTCACCGAAACCGGGAGTGTCAACGACAGTCAAGCGGAGCCTGACGCCGTTCTCCTCAATGTCGGCGCTGATCGACTGGATGGCAACCGTCTTGGGAATGATGTCGAGCGACGGGGGCTTGCGCTCCTTGGGCGGGTAGAGAGAAGTGTTAAAGAGCGTGTTGACAAGAGTCGACTTTCCGAGTCCGGACTCGCCTGCGCGTGCCGCTGTCAGTTGTCGTCTGTCAACGTCAAAAAGTTAGGGTCCTACGCACCGACGACCATGACGTTGAAGTTGAAACCCTTGCGGACACTCTTGCGGTGCCACTGGTTGGGCAGGTTGGCGAAACCGACGTAGCCCGTCAGCTTCCTTCTCACGATGTTGCGCATGTCGGTAGCAGCCTGAGCGGCGGCCTTGGGGTCCTTCGAGGAGACAGTCTGGGGAGAGCTGCCTTCCTTGCCGGCCATCATGTTACTCGACTTGACGTCGCTGCCGCCGGGTGACGAGGGCTTGCCGTTGGGAGTGGGAGAAGAAGCCGAAGGGACGGGCGAGGCGCGCGTGGGAGCGGCCGGGATAGGAGCACCGTTGGTTGCTGTAGAAAGGTTCGCGTTAGCTTGCGTGTCCCACGAGTTCTGGCCAATGTCATCCGATGGGCATCAACGCGGCGGCCAGGTGGCAGTTAGCGCCAATTGTGCGCAGACAAGGACAGCGATCCACCGTGGCTGCATCGCTGCGCTGGAGCGGGGGCATTGTCGCGAAAGCTGCGCGTCAACAGCGCCACCCAGCGAGGATGGATACGGGGTAGGGGTCGGAGAGAGCTCACCCATGGCGAAGTGGAGGTAAACGTCGACGGTGGACTTCAGAAACGAGAGACTACTGTTGAGGAGGCCCCAGCATCAGTACAGGAAGCTGCGACGGCGCGCGAAGGCGGCGGAGGATTGGACAGAGGCCAGCGGATGGCGCTGGAGCGGAGACAGCCTCGGGTGGCAGACGGAGCAGGGCGCGCAACATACCAGTCAGTCTAGCTATGCTAAAGCTAGGGAGGAAACAGTGCCAGAGAACGGCGGGACGGAGGCAGGGTGTTGTCAACAATCGCCGACCGCTGCTGCTTGTTGGGTGCTGGCTGAGCGGGCTGGGGGCAGGTGTAGTACTGAAAGTCTGATCGTGGAAAGGGGTCCTTGGGGCAGGGATTAACTTGATTGGTCTTGGCGCCGCTGGGGTCAAATAACGGGGGACGAGCGTTGTGCAGAGCGTCCGCGCGCAGAGTCGAGCTTGCAACGACAGCAGAGGTGACGAGAGCCGCACGCTGCGATTGAGGGTGTGCAGGTTGGGGATGCGCGGTCGCAGCGGAGTCTCGGTCGTGGCCTGCCTGCCGGCACCCGCGGTCGCACCTCCCTTGCCCGCCTGCGCAGCCCGTCAGCGTGTCCGCAGGGGAAATTGCCTATCGCATCGTCGTCGTGCCACGACAACTTGCCTCGCGCGAACCAATCACGCGCGCATCTTGCGAACCGCCCGTTCGTTGCTGCCCGCCCACGTATCACGGCCGCATCAATTCTCCGGCTTCGTAGCCTGAGCCTCACTACCCGCCCGCCTTGCGACGTCCGCGAAACAAGCATTGCCAATGTGAGCGCCCGGCAGGGATTGCGAAATTATATGTACATGTATTATCCGCGATAATGCAGTTCGGTGAACATCCGTACGCCATAGCCACAAGAGGGTATACCCAGAACAACCCAGCTGCAGAACGAAACCCCACTCCGCCTCCTCACGCCAGGCTCGACAGCGTCGCTGCCAGTTGCGACTTGTCATATTTGACGTACTTGCCCTTGCCCTTGTCGATCTCATGGTACCGGTCCCAAAAGCGCCCGTACAGCGGCTCGATCATCGTCTGCACCTCGCGCGCCAGGTGCGCCTTGACCTCCTTCTCCATCGCGTAGCTCTTGTGCTTGGCGATCAGCTCGTCAAACGACGTGTTGAAGCTCTTCCACTTCTCCTTGACGTTGTCCTTGTCCTTGGAGCTGAGGTTCTTGACCACCGCCGCCGAGTCGACGGATCCTGCGCCACCCGAGTGGGGCCGGCCCCCGCGGTTTGTATACTGGACGTCAAGAAGACAGCCGGATGGCTCTTTCCAGGCGTCCAAGTACATCTGCGTGGCCCGTTTCCGCCATGTCTCGATCACCTTCGCCGAGCCGCCCAGCAGTATGGAAAGATCAGAGGAACGGATCATCCTGTCGATGATGGCGACGTTGTTCGCAATGAAGACGCCCTGCAATGCCTTGCCCTTGTGCAACATGCGACCCTTGGCATCGAGCTCCTTCAATTGAGTTTCGATCATTTCCATGGCATAGTGAGCGAAGAGTTGCCGGCCATCTGCTCCAACGTCGAACGACTTGCTGAGAGAAGTTGTCGACGATGAAGCAGAAGCTGTCGACCAGCCCCCATCTCCCAATGATATGAGAATCGAGGAGAGAGGATCAAGGTAGTGGGTCATCTGTTGAAGGCGTGCCATCATTTCATTAGTCGTGTTGGAGGCACCGCCATCAATGGGAATGGCAATCAGCGTGGCCACCTTGTTGCGTGCCTCTTCCAACAGCGTACGCAGCGAGGTTTTCGCAGTTTCGCGTATAGGCTTGACTGAATCAGCAATCGGCCGCTTCAACTCTCCCGTCTGCTTTTCCAGGCGCAGCGAGAGATTAGAGACGATGTCAATAATCTCGTATGCCAGAAAGCAATCGGTAGTCAGATTACTCTTGACGTGATTGTTGAGCTCCCGCAACGTCTTAGCAAACTCGTTGAGAGCCATCTGGCACGTTTGGGAGTAAACGCGAGCCCAATCCTCACGCGCAAAGATGGGACAGATGTTCTCATACTCGGCGATGAAGAGACCCTCCAGACCAGAGGCATAAGTTCCAATTCCATTGGTGCCTTGGCGGTAAATCGCATCAGCGGTAGTCTTTCTGGCGGTGTTCATACAAGCAGCCGCCAGATTACGCATAGTGTTCGTTATGTACTCTCCGCGAACTTCGGCATAGATCTTCGCCGAGGGCGTTTCTCCAGTCTGGGACATTTGCGCAACCGAGGCCGCCATGTGCGAGTTGATGGTTCGCAAGTTCGACGTTTTCTCCTGCGGCAATGTGGGGAATGGCAGTTCTGGCTCAGGGGTCAGTATAGATGACAGCGGGCCTACGGAAAGAATAGCACCAACGCTTTGTAATGTAATGCAACGGCTCGACTGGACGCGCATCCTCCCGGAGGATTTCTTTGAAAACATCCTCTAATTGTTTGGTGCCTCTCTTCAGCAGCGAGTTCAACTCCCCAATAGCCTGCTGGTTTGAGCGGAGGTTCGAATGCTTGAGGTCACTAAGCGCCTGTGTAGTGCGGTCCAAGGACGCTATGAAGTCTGGGAGGCCTGCTTTCTTCGGACTGTAGGAGGTCAGCATTTAGAAGAGTGAAGGCGGGTATAGTTTACTCACCCAGCATTGATGATCTGCTCTTCGCGGCCTCTCTGGTCGAGAGGCTGCCTTATGCGGTCGATGGCCTCTATGATTCGATCCACATCTACGCAACAGTCAGCGAATATATAGGCAGGCGGTGAGGCGCGAAACGCATACTGGAGTTGGTGGTCTGCAGCTTCTGCGTGTTTCCGTAGATGGGCCCAATGGCCTCCTGGACACTCTTGCCGCTGGTTTCCAACCGGTTCAGCGAGCCTTGGATCTTCTTCGTCAAGCCCTTCAGCTTCTCCATATTCGCAAAAAGCACCTCGACCTCGGCGCTCTCCTCGGCGAGCGCGGCTTTCTTGACGCCCACCATGGTGTCTGCGGGGGCGCGGCGGGCGCGGAATCAGCCCAACGGCGGCGAAGGTGTAGATGCGGTCCGAGGCAAACGAGAGGGCGCGAGCAGGGCTGAGGTAGCGAGCATTCGGCGTGGCGCAAGGGAGGGTTTAGGCGGGGACGGTGTCAACGGGGGTGATCGCTTTGTGCATCGTGGGGCCTGAGCCTGAGCTGACTGGAGCTGGTGACGGAAGTGCTGGGTGCCCGAAGCCAAGAGCGCGGGCACTAGTCGATCGGGCATGGAAGCCCTGGCGTGCGCCGGCGGGCAGCCAACGCGGACGCCAATGCCGACGTAGCTATGACCGAGTTCAACAATTCCTGTTTATCCCGCAATGCGCTTCTTCTACCTTCCATCGCCCCGGATCGCAGAAACTCTCCTATTCCTCCAGTTGCGCTAAGCATATGTCACCTCCCACAACACCCTCGGCCTCTAGAATCGCGCTGAACATGCCCTAAACCGATCCCGAACCGTCCCGCGATCCTGACCATTGCCATGGCTCGCATGTCTCAATTGTCAAAGCGCTCGGTCGCGGGACTCTACTGCCACCTGTAGGTTTGAAAGAGGAATCCGACACCAAGTGCGGCGCTAATTCGCTTCAGTCCGAAGAGCAGCGCGCTACAGAGACGTCACATCGCCAATGTTACCCGTAGGCCCTTCTTCCAGCGCACATTCAGCGCGCTCGCACTCGGCTCAGCAATCGCAGGCCTCGCAACATACGGTTACTCGAATCGCACGCACCCTGGTTGGATTCCCATCCGATATTTGCACAATGATAGCTCTACCGACGTCTCCGAATGGCCCAAAGGCCCCGCGGAGATCGCACCGCGCCGCCAGACCCGGGATACTGGGGAAAAGGGCCAGTATGGCAAAGATGAGGGCAAGCCGGGTCAGCAGGCTCCGCCGTCTCAGTCTCGCATAGCTACGGAAAAGGGCGAGAAAGAAGCAACTCCCGAGTCTACCTGGGATGGAATTATGATGTCCATTTCCACCATTCCGGAAACCCTCTCATCCTTTGGCGGGTCGCTTTCGGATTACCTGGTTCCGGATTGGGTCAAGATATTGCCAGAGTTTATGACCAAGCTTCAAACGGAACTTTCCATGGCACCTGGGTCCTTAGCAGATGAGATCTGGCAGGAAGCGAACGACCCCGAGATCAATCCTGAAATTCTGTGGGATGCGCGCGTCCGTATCTCCAATGAGCTGTGCGATGAGGAGAAGCTATTCTTGCGGAAACGCAAGTTGCATGTACGCCGCGCTCTCGCCAAGTATCTAGGTTTGGATGAGAAAGACATCCATCCAGACGACGTGCCGACCATCGCCATGTGTGGCTCTGGAGGCGGGTTGCGAGCGTTGGTTGCCGGCTCATCCTCGTACCTTTCCGCTCAAGAAGCGGGGTTGTTTGACTGTATTACGTATACTGCTGGCGTCAGCGGAAGCTGTTGGCTTCAGACGCTGTACTATTCTTCTATCGCAGGGCAGAGCCATGAACGACTGATCAATCATTTGAAGCATCGGCTTGGCGTGCACATTGCCTACCCTCCTCCGGCACTGGCAATGATCAACAGTGCTCCCACAAACAAATTTCTTCTCAGCGGTGTCGTTGAGAAGTTCCGTGGTGTTCCGGGAGCAGATTTTGGCATAGTGGACATCTACGGTCTTCTCCTTGCTGCGCGTCTCATGGTGCCAAAAGGAGAGCTGGACCTTGATGACCGTGACTTGAAACTGTCCAACCAGCGCCGGTTCGTTGATAACGGTGCTAACCCACTGCCCATCTATACCGCTGTCAGACACGAAATACCGCATGAGGAGGGCCAATCTCAAGAAGATGCTAATGAAGCCAACAAAAACAACGATGCTTGGTTCCAGTGGTTCGAGTATGTGAACGCTATTGTCCCTGGACCCACATCGTGCTAACTAAAATAGGTTTACACCGTACGAGATGTGGTCCGAAGAACTCACAGCCGGCATTCCCACCTGGGCTATTGGCCGTGAATTCAAAGATGGTAAAGGCCAATGGAGAGAAAATGGCCTCGCCCTCCCGGAGCTTCGCATCCCGCTTTTCTTGGGCATCTGGGGCAGCGCTTTCTGTGCAACACTGTCGCATTACTACAAGGAAATCCGGCCTGCGATGCAGGGACTGGCCGGTTTCATGGGGATCGACCAGATGATCATGGAGCGCGATCATGACCTCGTCAAGATGCATCCCATTGACCCTGCCGTTATTCCTAACTATGCCCTCGGGTTACGCGACTATCTGCCTCATTCATGCCCGGAGAGCATGTTCACGGCGTCGAACTTGCAATTGATGGACTCTGGCATGAGCAACAACCTGCCCATCTACCCGCTTCTCCGCCCCGGTCGCGATGTGGACATTATCATAGCCTTCGATGCTTCGGCTGATGTCAGGACTGACAACTGGCTCAAAGTTGCGGAAGGCTATACTAAGCAGCGCGGGATTGTCGGCTGGCCTGTCGGTGCTGGCTGGCCGCCTGCAGACGAGTCCAGAGACCAGATTGGCGCAGAGCTGAAGGCAGCGCAGGCTGGGACAGAGGGACAGGCCGCTGAGAAGCTTGCTGAAGCGCAGGAGAAGCAGCTTTTAGAAGATAAGGGAAAGGAGCACGGTGATCTCGGCTACTGTAACGTTTGGATTGGCACGACGGGGCAGAGAGTATCCGAGGAAGAACCGTCACCATCAACAGCCAAGCAAGTGCAGGAGGACTGGGAGCTGATGAGACCAGACTCTGGCATTGCAGTCATCTACTTCCCTTTCCTGGCAAACCCGAAAGTTGAGGGAGTGGATCCGCGCAAGTCAGACTTCATGTCGACCTGGAACTTTGTGTATACACCAGACAACATTGAAAAGGTGGTGGCATTAGCACGGGCGAACTTTGAGGAGGGCGAGGAGCAGACCAGGCGCACGGTCAGGGCCGTGTACGAGCGGAAGAAAGCCGCAAGGCTTGAGCGGGAAGCTGAGGCAAGGGAGCGGCGGCAGCGGTGGAAGCTCCGGAGTGGGCGGGCTGGGAAAAAACTTGGAGAAGGCGACCACGGAGACCATTTCAGCTGAGCGCGAGTCGCGACGTGGGAGGCGTCAGCATGTGCGACACATAGAAATAGCGTGATACCCCGGGGCAGAGCAGTCGCAGTTGAAAATAGAGGCACGCCAATGCAGCATGACATCATACGACTTTGTTAGATCGCCAGCCCCGCGATGGAGGGGCAGGCGATAAGACGCGCCCAGCAGGGCCGGTCGCGGATCAAGCAGGAACGCTGTGCCCAAGGCAGGGCACCCGAGCAGGGATCGCGGCAGCTTTTGCAACGCGAAGACGGCTTCCGGCACGAGCGCAGCCATGAGCCTCTTCTGCCTTAAATCCTGCGGCCCCCTCCGCTCTCCGTCGCAAATTGACTCCGCATCCCCACCCGCTCGTGTCTTTCGCTCACTTGACTGCACCATGACCTCCCCTGCACTGGATGTAGGCAAGTCGCCGGCCGAGAAAGATGCTGCGAAGCACGACGAGGAGTCGCACAATCCCACCGGCATCAAGGGGCATCTCAAACACCCGTTCCCCGGCTTACGCGAGAAGCTCAAGAACACGCACCTGTACGACCTGAAAGTCGAGGCCACGCACCTCAAGCACAAACTCGGCAAGGTCGGCAACCTAATCAATCCCAATCACCGCCATGACGAGGAGCACGAGAAACGCACCGACGAGAAGCGCACGAAGATCGCCGAGAGCCACCGTTTCCAGAGTTTTGCGCCGGAGCACGATGGCAATCTGATCAAGTGGTATGTCGACGGCCGCGACTATTTCTGGGCTGTTTCCGTGGCTCTGGAGCGCGCAAAGGAGACCATCTACATTGAGGACTGGTGGCTGTCGCCCGAGCTATTCCTTCGCCGCCCGCCCTACTACAATCAGGAATGGCGCCTCGACCAGGTGCTGAAGCGTCGCGCCGAGGCTGGTGTCAAGATCTATGTCATTGTGTACAAGGAAGTCAACCAGGCTCTCACCTGCAACAGCGCGCACACCAAGCACGCCTTGCGGAACCTGTGCCCGGAGGGCTCGCCCGGCCATGGCAACATCCATGTCATGCGCCACCCCGACCACAACATGTTCGAGAATCTCGGCGACATGACCTTTTACTGGGCTCATCACGAGAAATTCATCGTCATCGACTACAATCTCGCTTTCATTGGCGGTCTTGATCTTTGCTTTGGTCGTTGGGACAACAAGCAGCATCAGATGGCGGACGTGCACCCCGGCGGTGTCCAGCACGAAATCTTCCCCGGTCAGGACTTCAACAACAACCGCATCATGGATTTCCAGTCTGTCGAGGATTGGAAGTCGAATGAGCTCTCCAAGGCCGACTATGGCCGCATGCCTTGGCACGACGTAGCCATGGGCGTCATTGGGCCTTGCGTCTATGACATTGCCGAGCACTTTATCCTGCGGTGGAACTTCATCAAGCGTGACAAGTACAAGCGCGACAAGCGCTTTGACTGGCTTACCCTTGAGGGCAGAGAGGGCGAGGACGAAGACTTGGTTGCTGTGCAGCGTCCCAAGTTCCCTGTCGGAGAATATATCCACCATCCGCTCAGTCCGCTCAAGACGAAGCCGCTGGACGGTACGCAAGGCACTGTGCACGCGCAGGTCGTCAGGAGCAGTGGCGATTGGAGCAGTGGAATTCTGGTGGAACACAGCATCCAGAACGCGTACTGTGAGGTCATCAGAAACGCCGAGCATTTCGTGTATATTGAAAATCAATTCTTCAGTGAGTATAGCTGAATTCTCGCTACATAGCTCATGCTAACCATCGCAGTTACCGCCACCGGAGATCAACAATCCCCGATCCACAATCAGATTGGCAAGGCCATAGTCGATGCATGCGTTAGGGCCGGTAAAGAAGGCAGAAAGTTCAGAGTCATCATCCTCATTCCCGCCATCCCTGGCTTCGCTGGAGATCTTCGTAGCGACGCGGCCACAGGAACCCGGGCAATTATGGACTACCAGTTCAAATCGATCAACCGTGGAGAGAATTCTATCATGGGTCAGATCAAGAAAGCAGGCTATGACCCCACTCAGTACATATTTGTCTTCAACCTCCGCTCGTTCGACCGCCTCAACACTACTCCTGCGATGAAGAGGCAAGAAGAGCAATCTGGAGTGAAATATCAGGATGTTCAGCGTGCTCAGGCAGACGAGATCATGTCTAGCGGCGTTCACGGAACCAAGGGTGACTCCAGCAGTGAGGGCGGGTTCAACTCGGACAGCGATGATGAGGCGAAGAAAGAGGTTGCGGAACGTAGACGCCGCTTTGAGGCGGAAAGAGAGAATGTTGGCTTGATGAAGGATGGCAAAGAGAACGTTCTCAGCGCTGACACGCTCGCACATGCCGCCATGAAGGATGGAAAGAAGGTTTCCGAGGAGCCATGGGACCCTGAGGATCCGGATTCGGAGAAGAACAACTTCGTTCAGGAGGAGCTGTACATCCACGGAAAGCTCTTGATCGTTGATGACAGAATTGTCATTTGCGGAAGTTCCAACATCAACGACCGCTCTCAGCTTGGCTACCACGACTCGGAACTCAGTATCGTCATGGAGGATACGGACAAGATTGACTCTATGATGGATGGTAAACCCTACCAGGCTGGACGTCACGCGGCAACGCTTCGCCGCATGCTCTGGCGCGAGCATCTGGGTCTTCTTGAGGCCCAGGAGTTTGACGCCTCTAACGACCCTAACGCGCAGCCTCCGGGAGACTGCCCCAATGACATCAAGGATGATGACCCGAGCTACGAATTCGTGGCCGATCCCCTCAGTGACTCGGTCTGGGATATGTGGACTGGAAGGGCATCCCACAACACGGAAATCTTCCGCGACCTCTTCCATGCCGACCCTGATGATAACAGTGAGTACTATCTTCTGCAATTCCGTTGGGTTAGTAGCTGACAGCAAGCAGTCAAAACTTTCGACGACTACGCCAGATTCCTGCCGCCGATGGATCCAGCAAAACCTGACATGGCTCACAAGCAGGGTCATATCTTTGATCTTCATCGTCGGACTGGTGATATCAAGAAGACTCTTGATGAGATCAAGGGTCACCTGGTCTGGATGCCTCTAGACTTCCTGAAGGACGCTGAAATGGCCGAGAAGGGTCTGCAAGTCAATGCATACACCGAAAGTATCTACACGTAAGGAGTCAAACCTTCATTGTAAAGCTTGGATACTGGGGTGTCCAACAAGAAGGATACGAAGCCTGGGAATGGGCTGGCTTGGCGCCGAACTGCGATTCCCTCTCCTTGCGACTGGTTTCGCAAGCACACCTGATACCTATTTTTCCTTCATTCTCGATCCTATTACGACCTTGTTCTTCTAACGATAATGCTTTTGATGATAATCAATACAGAAGCTGCTTGCTCAGTCTTCCGGACGCTGTTTGGAGGCTAAGCATGCTGGCATAATTTTTGTTTGACGTAATGGCTTTTGTTCCACTAGTCCTGGTCCAGAGAGGGCTTCTTGGTATTCCCAGTTGATCATGCTGAAGTCCCCCCACTGGATTTGGAGTTTTGTTCTGGCACGAGGACTGCGCTAATTGAAGTCTGAAAGTACTCGTGATATTAATTGACACCCTCTGCCTTTGGAGTCGAAATCGCGAATTAGTCAATCGTGGATTAGTCAATTCGACAAAACTCATATTCTTCACAGTAGCTGCATTCGGGTAAATACAGAAAGACAGGTCCTTGGCAGTGGAGATGCCATATAAAGCTAGCCCGTCCTTGGAAAGTCCATCCGACATCGCAACCCACATGCAACCGCACTCCACTTCACTCGACGTCCCGTCAACTGATGCTATAAATACTAGGACTAACGCCTTGCTACTTTCAAAAATGTAAACTACCATTTCAGTATATCTTCTTTTTCCTCTCCAGCAAAACACCACAAAGCTTACAAAGTACAGCAAGAAGTACCCCGCGATTCAACACCACTTTACTTTATCGGCCCGCCCCACATGACGACCACCACCGTCTTCCAAAACGGCCGTTTCTTCACGGCCTCGGGCGGCCCCAAACAACCCGAGAAGCCAACCTTTGCGGAATGCATGATCACGCAGGACGGCAAGATCAGCTTCGTCGGGCCGGCCTCGAGCGCTGCGGTGACGGAGGCGGTGGCCGCGGGGGCCGAGACGCGCGACGTCGGCGGGCGGGTGGTGGTGCCTGGCTTCGTCGACGGGCACATGCACCTGATGCTGATGGGCCAGGCGCTGACGGCCGTGCCGCTGGACAACTGCAAGAGCCTGGACGACATCCGCGCGGCCATTCGCGCGTGGGCGGCGGCCAACCCGGCGGCGCCGCACATCTTCTGCCGCGGCTGGATGCACTCGATGACGGGCGCGGAGCCGCCCACGGCGGCCTGGCTCGACGACCTCGACCCGCGGCCCATCTTCATCAACGCCAAGGACCTGCACTCGACGTGGTGCAACAGCGCCGCGCTCGTCGACATGGGCATCGACGAGAAGACGCCTGAGGTCCCCGGCGGTACGATTTCTAGGGACGCAGCGGGCAAGCCAACGGGCCTTCTGAGCGAGGCGGCCAACATCAACCTGGTGTGGCCGCACGTGGCGCGCGTAGCCACGGTCGAGGACCGTGTTGAACGTCTGGAGGCGGCGTTCGCGGCGTACAGCGCGGCGGGCTACACGGGCGTGGTGGAGATGGCCATGGACGAGACGGCGTGGGAGGCGCTGCAGGAGCTGCTCCGTCGACGCTCCGCCAGCGGCCTGCCGCCGCCGCCCGTCCGCGTCGCCGCGCACTGGCTGATCAGCCCGAAGGACACGGAGGCCGAGAACGTCGCCCAGGTCGACAGGGCGGCTGAGCTGCACGCGCAGTTCAACATCGACACTTCGCCTTCCTTCCGCATCGCCGGCATCAAGGTCATCTGTGTATGAATAGACCCGAGCCTCACCATCCCCCCATTCTGCTCCCGTCGTGACTAACCAATTGCTTCTAGGACGGCGTCATCGACGCCTGCACCGCCGCCCTGACCGAGCCCTACTCCAACAACAACGTCGACTGCCCCACCATCTGGTCCCCCACGCAGCTCCTCCCCGTCGTCCAGCGCGCAGCCTCGCACGGCCTGCAAGTCGCGCTCCACGCCATCGGCGACGCCGCCATCACGACTGCCATCGACGCCTTGGAGACAGCCTCCACCCCTTCCCAACCTCTCCGCCGCCCCCGCATCGAGCACCTCGAGCTCGCCTCCGCCCGCGACGCCGCCCGCCTCGGCGCCCTCGGCATCACGGCGTCCATCCAACCCGGCCACGCCGACCCGGCCATCCTGCGCGCCTGGCCCTCGCTGCTGGGCACCCACCGCTGCGGCCGCGCTTTCGCGTACGCCGATTTCTTGCACCACGGCGCCACGCTCGCGCTCGGGTCCGACGCCCCGACCGCCCCGCACGAGCCGTGGGGCGGCTGGTACACGGCGACGACGCGGCGGAGTGCGAGGGAGAGGGGGTATCAGGTGACGGTCAATGAGGAGTGGAAGTTGGGCCTGGCGACGGTGGTGGCGGCGCAGACGGCGGGCGCGGCGTGGAGTTGCTACGCGGAGGGGGTGTGTGGGCGGTTGGAGGTGGGGTTGAGTGCGGATTTTGTGGTGGTGGAGGGGTTGGAGGGGTGGGAGGTGGAGAGGGTGGCGGACGTGAGGGTTGGGGAGACGTGGTTTGAGGGGCGGAAGGTGTTTGATGCTAAGGCGAAGGCTTAGTGGGTGGAGTGGGTGGGGTGGGGTGGGGTGGGGTTTGTGTGGTGGGACGATGTTTTGCTGTTCAGTGATATTGCATTTCGTTGACAGGCTGGACTTTTTGTAGTCAGGCATGTAGCTTTCTTCTGATAGGTTTTGATGACAGCCAATCATGGTGCGGCACATTTGCAAGGCTGAGGCTGAGCTGCTGGAGAAGCAGCCAATGCTTTACCCCTGTTACGCTGATGCCTGAATACCCCGCCTGGCGAGCTGCTTTAAGCACGAGGCTGCCAGCCGCCATACGTCTCTCTTTCCTCTCAGCCTAGCATTCTGCTTGGTTGAGCGCACAGCAATGACACGTGGAATATGTCGACTGAAAATACCAGTGATAGGGCCCTTCGTCTGCCCGAATCCCGTCTCTGCTTCCAGTGTCGAGCAGTGAATTTGGATGATAAGCTGGCCTGCCCGTCACAAATCCGCCTTCGTTACATGGACCCAACTTGCCAGTTATGTACGTCCTTGAAGGCAACTCTCTTGGAGAAAGGTCTGTCAGCTAGCGACACCTTGTCCTTGGAAGCTCGCCAGGGGTACTATACTAGACATTTTCGAATTGGCCCGAATCGAACGTACCATACGTTTTCCTATTTCAGAGTCATACAGGCAGGATCGAACCTTGAAGGAGAGGTTGTATGGCTTGCAGAATGTCCAGAATCCAAGTGCATCCCCATGAATGCTATTACCCCGAGGCTCGTCGACAGTAAGAGGGCCGACTTCGACTCAATAAAATTCTGGATGAGCAGATGCCTGTCCTCACACAATTGCGCGGTACGGTCTCCCATCGGCTTCGTTCCCAACCAGTACGTCATCGATTGCTATACAAGAAAGGTCATACCAGCTCCTCATGGATGTAACTATGCCGCGCTCTCCTACGTCTGGGGTCAAAATCAAACCACGTGTTATCATGGCGGAACTCTCGGTGCTGTACCAAAGACAATCGAGGATGCTATTCAAGTCACGCGAATCATGGAAACTCGCTACCTCTGGGTAGATCGCTACTGTATACGACAGGACGACGGACGGCATAAGACGGAGCAGATTCGCTCAATGCACAAGATATATTCGAATGCCAAATTTACCATCGTAGCGGCTGCTGGCGATGGTCCGGATTATGGGCTGCCTGGGGTCAGTGACCGACATCGCTCCGAACAACCTCAAGTGCGATTAGGGTCTCGCCTCATGGTGCCAATGTCCAAACCTTCCAAACTGATTTGCTCGAGCAAATGGTGGACGCGAGGTTGGACTTATCAAGAATGCATGCACTCGAGAAGACTGCTCTTCTTTACCAAGGAGCAAGTTTATTTCCAGTGCCAAGAAAATGCTTTCTGTGAGTCTTTTCGTTGTCCCGCCAACGGCATGCACCCGGACCCCCTCTTTGGGATCTTTCAAGAATTGGATATCTGGACGTGCATAAACCAGTATTTGAAACGCGATCTCACTCTTCCCTCCGACGTACTGAACGCAATAATCAGCGTCCTGCAGCGCTTCCAGGACAGGAAAGGCAGGACCCTTTTCGGACACGTATGGGGTTTACCAATACAAAAGGAACTCTTTGCCATAAGAAGCTGGGACAATATGTTCAAAGAGGCCTTGCTGTGGAAATTCGAAGGGCCAGCAACGCGGAGGGAAGGCTTTCCGAGCTGGTCATGGACTGGCTGGTTCGGGCGTGAGTGCACGCACTACAGTGGATGCTTCCGGGTGAGATCTCTTAAGGGGCCCAAATTCATGGTTCACGCGCCAAACCGAGGCCTGATACCGCTCAGGGACTTCTTCACCGATGGTCATGACCTTGAACCGCCCTCCTCCGTACTCATAGTTCGCGCCGATGTGGTCAGACTACGGCTCAAGTCCAGACCTGGGACCCATGAAGTGAGAAGCTTGTATGCACTGGATGTTGAGGAAAGGCTAATATTCCTAACGGTAGTATTGGAGGAAGGGTGTTTTTTCAAACAATCGTGGGGATGTAGTCTTGACAAAGCTACTCAGGATTTAGAAGCATCTCATCTTGGGATATACATGGGCTGCACTTCCATTGCTAACTCGGATAGGGATGGGGGTTCCTCCTTATATCGGAACGAAGAGGCTGGCTCAGCAATTCTTCTGATTGTGGAGCAAAAGGAGACTTTCTTCGAGAGGATCGGCATGTGCTATGTCAACGATGCGGAGGTGAGAGCGAGAATGAAATTTCAGACTATCAGGTTGGGATAGAGTCTCTGAAGAGTCGGATCTGATGCAATGCGGCACACCTATTGTCCGTAATTTCCCTTATGGATTTCAGTTATCTGTTCTATTTTCATTTCATGTATGTGCGAGATTGAATCTCTATGTCCTTGAGATGATTTCCATCTCATAACGTCGAAGCCCTCGAAAACTCTCCCCTCGCCCTAATCCTCTTACCAAAAACAAAGAACAAGTATGGAATCGGTATCAACGCAACCGCAAAGAAGCCAAAAATGCTAATACCCCAGCCAACGCCGAGTTTATGCAACATCGGGGTGATAAAAAGCGGGAAAGCCCCTGCAAAAACGCTCCGCAAGAACGTGTTCGCAGCAACGGCAGAAGCGGCATACTGGCGGAAGGTGTCGATGAGGTAGTTAAGGGCAGCCTGGAAGATGGTGAAGAAGCCGACACCGACGCAGGTGGCGCCGATGACGGGAGCGATCCAATGGACGCCCTTGGCGTCGCCCGTCCAAGCGAAGATGAAGAGCCCCCCCGAGAAGAAGACGGAGCCGAACATCATGGGCGGCAGGCGCGCCTCCGGGACCGGTTTGCCCTTGTTCTGCTGCAGCTTGCGGAAGTAGTACTTCTGGTTCAGCACGTTGGCGCAGGCGCCGAACAGGATGCCGACCAGCAGCGCGAGGAAGGGCAGCGCGCCGACGACTTGGTTCCAGCCGCGGATCTCTTGGAAGACGACGGGGAAGGCGGCGAGCTGCGCGTAGAGGATGGCGTAGACGAAGGATGCGTAGAGGGCGACGAGGAAGCAGATGGGGGTGAAGAGGAGCTGGAATGGTCGAACGAGATATTTGCGGCCGAGCTCCTGGAGGCTGACGTCCCATTCTTCATGCTTGGCGTGTAGAGCCCAGTTTCCGGTCTCGTGCCTGAGGCGGCGAGCTTTGTACACAAGTAGCTTCGGCGGGTAGGACTCATCAAGGAATATGACATCAAGAACAAGGATGAACATTTGGAGAATGCCGGTAAGCTATCAAATGATTAGTAAGGAGCATAGTCAGCAATTGCATATCAACTTACATATTGTGTCCATCTCCAACCTAGATAGCTCGTCTGCACAACGGCGCCACCAACGATCGGTCCCAATGTTGGTCCACCAACGACAGCCATGGCGTAGCCGACGATTGCGACACCTCGCTGCTTCGGTGTCCAGATATCCCCGAGCACACCGCCGGTGTTCGTTACTGGAGCACTGGCAAAGAGACCGGCAAAAAAGCGAGTAATCATGACTGTTTGAATGTCCTTGGCGGCGGCTGTTCCAAAAGCGAAGATGGCAGAGATAAAGTATGGAATCAGAACGGCGGGTTTGCGGCCATAAACTTCACTCAATGGCGCCCATAGCAGCGGACCGAGGCCGAAGCCGAACAGGAGTAGGGAGGTTCCAAGAGTGCTAACTGTTCTGCCGACATGAAATTCTTTGGCGACTTGCTCTGTACCAGAACTGTAAACACTACTGGCAAAGGTGGCACCCATGGTTGTGAAGCCATACAGGACGGTGGTAATGACCTTCTTCCGATTCTCCCAGTTGAGCGGACGGTAAGGATCGTCCTCGCCATCGAAATCAACAATGACATCTGGGCCAGTCTTGGCGTGGGAGAGAGCGTGGGAGAAAGGTGCAACGGGTCGTCTTGAGCGTACTCTAGAGAGGACGGAGTGGGCACGTGATTGGGTGCGGGCGACAATGGAGGATTGGCGACTGTTGACGGGATGGATTGTCTCTGCCTTCTCCAGCTCAGCAGATACGCCGGGGATAGGGATGTCTCCAGCGGCACTGATGTCGGCCGAGGAGGAGCTAGCGGTTGACGAGGGCGTGGGCCTGTCGTCTTCTCGACTGACGTCTGCGTGCTCGATTTGCGGCATGTTGTGCGAGAGGGTGCAAGAGAAGTTGATCCAACATGGCTGGTGGACTTGGACTGCGGTATATACGGTGTGGGAAACGGGACTTGTGGCGATCGGGAATGACGTTATGTCCGGGCAGGAGTGTGCAAGATTGAGGCCGAGAGCAGGCAAAGACCGTTGCGGCGGCCGAGCACTCGCGATCTCGCGCCTCCAGCCACAGAGCGAAAGGCCGAGAGCGAGCCGTCCCAGAACGCACAAGCCGACATTGCCGAACCTCGACGCCGGCGAATTGGACGCATAGCCATCTGCACATCTTAAAGCCGCTAGTGAATGAAGATCCAGTGAATTCGGGCGCATCGGACCTTCCGTCGCCGTGTTCCTGCCTTTTCCTCGACTTCATATTTGCAAACGCAAACCGTCGGGGGCTGGTCGAAGGCCGCTCTCCCACTTTAGTCGAGTCATGGTAGCTGCAGGTGGACCACAAGCCGATAGTGGGAGGGGCGAGACATGGCGGCTGTTTGCAGAGGTCTTAGAGAGATGCAAGCAATTGGTGTTGAGAGAGCGAAGGGATGAGGCGGGAAAAGAGAGTTAGGAGCACGGACGACTGTGCATCTGTATATTGAAGCTAGTTTTTGGCTGGTTCCCCGGATGGGACAGTAATCAATAGCTGCGGGGTCAAGGTGCGAGAGAGCTTGATCGGTTGCTGCCGAGGGTGGGCGTGGCGCATCCTTAGCCCGCAGTGGGCCCGACAGCACACCTATGTAACACCCGACCGTTATAACTCAGCCTCTGTCTTCACCCCAGGCCCTTGACGGCACGCCCTTGAACAATGCTGAGAGTGGCTGCAGGCTCGTATCTGTGGCGCGGCAGGAGGGTGATTGGCGAGGGTTGCACCGGCAAATAGAGCCAACTGCCGGCAGCCCCGAGGTCGATCGCCAGAGCCTCGGCCCAGCTGCTGCCCCAGGAACCACCATGCCGTCCCCGATAAAGCTGCTCCTTCGTCTCCGCTTTCTCCGCGCCCTCAACCCCAAAGCCCACCGTCACTGTTCACCATGGCCACCGACAGACTCAAGTCCATTGTCTCGCACATCACCCCCGCCCGGAGCGGCCTTGCGACCATGTGCGTTTTCTGAGCTCCCAGCTCTCCCCGCAGCTGCTGATTCGCCCTTTGCAGCACCCAGAAGAACCCTGACGATGTGGTCATCACCCTCGCCATCCGCACCCCGCTGTGCAAGGGCAAGAAGGGCGGCCTGAAGGATACGCCCCTGGAGGGCATCATGCTCAAGATGCTCGAGCAGGTTGTCGCCAGGTCGAACCTGGACCCTGCTCTGGTCGAGGACATTTGCGTGGGAAATGTACGACAAGACCCTCCCTTCCCCATACCCTCCTGCTAATCTTGCCGAATCCAGGTCAGTGACGCCAAGGCTGCCTACTACGTCCGCGCTGCCATGCTCGCTGCTGGCTTCCCCAACACCACTGCCGGCTCCTCGGTCAACCGCTTCTGCAGCTCTGGACTGAAGGCCGTCCAGGACATTGCCGGCCAGATTGCCTCGGGTTCCATCGAGATTGGCGTCGGTATGGGTGTTGAGTCGATGACAAGTGGCGGTGACCGCCTAGAGCGCCCCTTCTGGCACGAGGTGCTGAAGAACCAGGAGGCTTCGGACTGCATGCAGCCCATGGGCCAGACGTCGGAGAACGTCGGCAAGGACTTTAACATCTCACGTGAGGAGCAGGACCGCTATGCTGCCGAGTCATACAGGAGGGCGGAGGAGGCACAGAAGGCTGGGTGGTTCGATGACGAAATCGCTCCCATTAGCGTCACGGTCAAGGACCCCAAGACAGGCGAGGAGAAGAGGGTTACGCTCACCAAAGACGAGGGCCCTCGCTACGGTACCACGTTTGAGTCGCTCCAGAAGATCAAGCCAGCATTCTTGCCCCACGGCGATCGCAGCCACGCTGGCAACTCCAGCCAGGTCACCGACGGTGCCGCGGCGATTCTGCTGATGAAGCGCTCGCGGGCCGAGCAGCTTGGCCAGCCAATCCTGGGCAAGTATGTTGCCGCCACGGTCGCAGGCCTTGCTCCCCGCATCATGGGCATCGGCCCGTCCATCGCCATCCCCAAGCTGCTCAACAAGCTGAACATCACCATCGACGACATCGACGTCGTTGAGCTCAACGAGGCCTTCGCTTCCATGGCCGTCTACTGTAAGGACACGTTGAAGATTCCGTACGAGAAGCTGAACGTCAGAGGCGGTGCCATCGCACTCGGTCACCCGCTGGGCTGCACCGGAGCGAGGCAGATCGTTACCGGCCTCAGCGAGTGCAGGCGGCAAAAGAAGAAGATTCTCCTGACCAGCATGTGCATCGGAACGGGCATGGGCATGGCCGGTCTTTTTGTCAACGAGCAGTTGTAAATGATTTCTTGTCTGAATTTCTCCAAAATGTAGCACCAAATAGCGAAATGTACATGGATGTTTGAAGCAGCTGTTCGCATGTTTCGGATTTCACGCGGCGTGGGCTAGCGCGCCAAGCAAGTAGGCCCGGACGTTCCCCGCAGTGGTCGTGCATCCAATGTGGCGGTGCGCGGCGGCTCGAGCGCAACCGATAACCAGGCTGGCTCCCATCCGGGAACGGTGACGGCAGCTCGCTCCTTCGACTTCCGACTAGAGGCCTGTCCTGTTTTCCTCTTCATTTATCCGTCTCCTGGCCTCTTCTCGCTGAAACATCACCCCTCGGGAGCTTCCTCGTACTGCATATACACCGCCACCCCACCATGCCGGCTCCACTGGCCAAAGGTAAGATCGGCGCCGCCACCCTCAGGCAACACCTTCTGTGCTCAAGCCTGATCCACCATCTGTCCCCTTCCACGCCTTCTCCTGCGCTCCGGAATCTCCTTCTTCCTCTCTCCTCACCCCTCTTTGACCATGCCGCTTCCTAACCGTGCCTTGTCAGGCGCCATCATCGCCGCGTCGCTCATAGTAGCCGCCGGTATCGCCGTCTACCAGAACCCTCAGGTCCAGCAGTGGCTCGACGCCAGACGCCGCAAAATCGCCATCGCCCTGCACAATCTCGGCGACGAGATTAACCCGCCCGCACACCGCAACCGGAATGCCCGCGAAGCCGACGAGCAGCGCCGCCGCCGCGAAGACATCATCCGACGTAACCGGAATGAGCTCATACGACGGGCCCGGGAAGAAGGAGTGGCTGTCGACCTGGACGAGCTCGCTCGCATCGGGGAGGAATATGACGAGAAAAACTCGCGGCGGCGCGGCCAGAGCTTCGACGACCTGGTCAACGAAGATGGCATGCTCCGCGAGTCAGTATCGGGCTCTACGCTCAACGAGAAGCCTGTTGCCGCCACCGCCGCCACCGCCGTCGACACTAGCGCAGGGCAAGGCCTCAGGAACCGCGGCTCTGGCGCCCGCGGATTCGTGAGCGGCTCATCTTACGCGGATCCATTCGCCGACGAAGGATCCGTCTTGTTCGACCGTGACCTGATCGGCGCCGAGGAGGAGGAGAACTCGGTCGACGGAAATGACGACGAGGAAGCGCCCGTGCCCCACGACTTCACTACCCCATCTCGCGAGAGTACCGCCACCGTTGAGGCCGACCAGCCCGCGCCCCGACTAGTTGACCTGTCCGAACCGTTCTCCGCTCCCTTCAACCATGCGCAGCTCGCTCCGCCCGCCGATGCCGACGCCGCCACGACCTCGTTCTACTCCACCATGTCCGGCCCCGCTGCCGACGCTGGCAATGACGCCGACATGGACGACTACGACGACGATATGGGCGCGAGCACGGGTACCTTGACGCCGACCGAGGACAACTTCTCGACCGACGCCTCGCTCATCGGCCGCGACGCCGACGATGTAGCCGTCCTTTCCACCCTGCAGAACAGCACCTTGTCCGTCGCCCACAGTGAAGGCGTCGATGCCCCTGGGAACCCGTTCAACAACAACGACGCTGCATTCGAGGAGGACCGTTTCAGCGACGCCAGCTTCTCTGACATCGGAGCCCGCACGCCCAGCAGCTGGACCGACGTCGGCAGCGACTTTGAGAGCGAGACCGCCAGCCAAGCCGGCCACTAGACTTATTGGGGGATGTACATTTTCATTGGAAGGCGTTTGAAAAGGCTTCGCTATGCACCTATTACCATTTGGTTTTAAATTGATACAAGGCACCCTTGGGTTATACAGGGAAAGGGAGGGATTGGTGTTGTTAGGATTTCTTATTTTTGGGGGCACAAAGCATTTGCATTGTATTACCTCTTTTCGACTTCGTACATCGCTTTCATCAGGCGGCGTTTCTGCGACTAGCTCCTCTCAAGAGAAGCTTCGTTGGGGTTGGGTGTCAATCAAAACAGCGCAGGTGTTGCGGCTGCATTACAGGTGGTGGAAACCGCATGACACTGAGTAAAAGAAGGCCTTTCGAATACCAATTACAGATATATCGGTGAAGAAATCGTATATATCTTTTTTTCTTTCTCCTTGCTCAGTACAATCTCCTTTGTTGTCTGTGGTGTGTTGAACAAAGCTGAATGGGATTGTCAGGCGTCCTGCGCTATGTAGCACTGGTGCGTCACGCGGCACGCAGGGCTGAGTTGGGGCATATCTGCAAGGCTGAAGGATCGGCGGTTGTTTAGTGTGGTTGCACAAGTGCACCGCCTCTTCCAGGGTGCCTTGCGGATATGCAATTGTCCGTGAATGAGTACCATGGCGTTTGTTACTGCCAGGTATCTTCGGGAGTGGAGGGCGCTACTTATTTCCCCCGGTAAATTTTTGCCTTTGGCGGGTTTACCTGGTTGCACAAGCAAGTACTTGCAGCTATAAGCGTGGTAGGTCCCTGAAGAACCGTAATATTTTGAGATACTTTTCTAGGAACGGGTTATCGAAGATTCTAAAACAAGGCAAAGTCCTTGTATACCAGGCGAAACTTGGTTGGAAGCTTGTGAACTGTAAATTTCACACTTCATCTATCTCAAAACCGGAAAGACACAGGAGTGAAAGCCTGTGTAGTACAAAGGTTGCACAGAAATCTTGACCCGTGTCCACTGCGCCAGCGTTGAACACTCTTGATCCCAACGTCAAAACCAAACATTCGATTATCCTTCAAAAGGCTGATCGTTATTTGGAGTACTTGATATCACGCCTGAATATACCATGCGACGGTTACCAGAGAACATTCCACGCCATTCGTAACATCGACCTTGCGTTCTAGACCCAATCTGCCTAGTTAATAGGCCCCTCTCTCTTTCTTTCTTTTTTTTATTAGAAAAAGGTAAACAGGTCAGTGTCCCGGGGAATGAGAAAGTCCCTGAACCGCAAGTAGATGAAGTGCTCCAAAAAAGTTAAAAAAGAAAACATAAAGATCATTGCATTCTTTCTCGAATATACAGAAAAAAAAAAGTTGCTCACCTCCATTGATAGACTCTGTTTTGCGATATTTTACCAGCGCCGCTGCCTCAAGTGCAGACTGGTCGATGTCTTTTGATATACTGCAGCCCAGTGTTCAATTGCAATTGCAGGGTAAGATTACACAACGCAGGACCCTATTCTAAACAAAGTGGATTCTCAACATCTCTGATGACTGTTCCGCAGCTGCTGGACTGGACCGTAGAGTTCGATTTCTGGTAGCGCGTACCATAAGTAAAATAGGTTTGGCGGCAAGGGACTAGCGAAATGTGGCGGTGCGCTGAAGCCACTTTCAGTCCGTGATTTTGCATTCTTCAGCTACATACGAACGACATCAGCCACGGATTATACCAAAGTCGGCGTGCATCTATAGGGTGAGTGACGAAATACGGGATACCCACTTTTTAGCTCCTGCTGTTTTCATCCATCGCACTCAGGCTGTCCCATATATCCGTGACGCCGCAGAACGCCTGATCCGCGAAGATCGACGTCTTTTATTAATTCCCGCTACCCGCGCGCGAGCAGGCCACCTTTCTTCCCGGCGCCCCGAACTCTGGCGTTTGCACCTCTTCAAACAGCGGCCGTGACACGACTCAAAGCAACAAAGAATCAAACCTCATCATGCTCCGGTAAAGGAAGCTACAGGAATCCATGGCCCATCGCTGGTAATTTCGCCAACCAACAACATCCAACAAGACCTGCATCATCTCCAGCCTTCACGTGCATCCAACCATCGGCCATCGTCAGTGCAACTTGCCCGAAAATAATCAAAGATGTACGAGAAAGCAACAGTCCAATCCACCGCCTACCTTGACGGTCTTCGCGGCATCGCTGCCCTAGTTGTCTTCACCTTCCACACGCTTTGGGCCTACTGCGGCTTCGTCGAATACGGCTACGGTGATGGACCCAAAAACCACCACTTCCTCCAACTGCCGTTCATCAGGCTCATCCACGCCGGCCACGCCATGGTCCCCATCTTCTTCGTCGTCGGCGGCTACGTGATGGCGCTGAAGCCGCTCCGCCGGATCCGCGCCAACGAGGTTCAAGGCCTCCATTTCCAACTCGCCGGCTCCGTCTTCCGCAAGGCGATGCGGCTCTACATCCCGGCCATCGTCACGACGTTCGTCTCGATGCTCACGCTGCGCCTAGGGCTCTGGGAGTACCCGCGGCACTTCATCATGAACCCGCGCCTGTTCAACTACCCGGACAAGCACCCGCCGCGCGCGCCGACGTTGGTTGCCGAGCTGGGCCGCTGGGCGGGCGCCGCGGTCGACCTCGGGAGGGTGTTTAGTTATGTCAACGACGGCTTCGTGCTGCCCTGGTTCAACCCGTACGACCCGCACCTGTGGACGCTGCCGTTCGAGATGCGCTCCACGCTCGCCGTCGCCGCCGCCCTGCTCGCCATCTCGCGCTGCCGCCGGGCGGCATTACGCATAGCCCTCGTCGCCGCCGCCGTCGTCTTCGCCTGCTACCTCGACCGCTGGGAGTGCGCGCTCTTCCTCTCCGGCACCCTGCTCGCCGACTTCGAGCTCTCCTTCCTGCACGACGACGACGACCCGTACGCCGCCCTGGTCAGCCCCAAACCCAGCCCTCCGCTAACCACCACCACCCTCGCCGTCCTCCTCCTCCTCTTCCTCCCATCCCTCTACCTCCTCTCCACCCCCAACCTCCGCATCGCCCACACGCACCCCTTCGGCTACTCCCTTCTCGCCACACACCTCGTGCCCCCCACCATCACCGACCCCAAGCGCTTCCTCCACGGCCTCGGCGCCATTCTCCTTCTCGCCTCGCTCCTCCTCTGGGCCCCGCTCCGCCGCCCCTTCACCACGCGCCTCGCGACCGCGGCCGGGAAGAGGAGTTACAGCCTGTACCTCGTGCACGGACCGATCTTGCACGTCGTCGGGTACGGTGTTGCCGGGCGCGTGTGGACGGCGTTGGGCTTCGCGACGGGGTTTTCGAGGCAGATGGTTAGTTTGGAGGTGGCGCGGGCGGAGAGGATGAGGTGGGCGGCGGGGGCGGGGGCGGGGGCGGTGTGTGCGTGGGGGTGCGCGTGGTGGGTGGCGGGGGTGTTGGAGAGGGCGGTGGGCGGGAGGAGGGTTGGGAGGTGGGCGGAGAGGTTGGAGGGGTGGGTTTGTGGGAGGAGGGGGAAGGGGAGCGGGATGGCTGGGGTGGAGGGGGAGAGGGGGAGGGAGTTGCCGAGGTGATGGGGGTTGGCGTTGGTGGGAGATGTGTGTTGTGCGTTTTTATATTTGTAGGAGGTCTACTCTCGATGCTATCGGAGGTTTGTTCGATTCTTCTCTGGAATCTAGCGTCCGGATATTTTCGTTTATTTTAAAATCTCGCATCTGCGTCCGGACGATAGCTTCAGCTACCCATCACATGAGCCAAGTGGTTTCCTTGGGGATGCCCCGGTCAGGGCCTTTTTTAGAAATTTTGAGCCTCACTTAGATCTAGAGCCGGGCAGCCGTTTACTCTGTCTCCGGGTTTTATGTCATCAAGTAACAAAGAGCGATATCGACGGTCTACACTATTCTTTAGCTCTGCCCATCTGTCTGCGAATGATGTTAAATCTGCATCTACATCTAGATAGTGCCTCCAAACCTGCGTAACTCGAGCGCCATTACTCGCGAATATATGTGATGGAGGCGAAGGATGCTCGGTGAGTGACTGTAGCGCGCATGCGTGAATATCTATCCCCAGCGAGCAGGCTACACTAAACCTAATTAGGCAATTAAGAGAATAGAGCAAGCGCGGCTTTTCAGACTGTCGGCCTGCCGGCATGCTTCTTAATATGCGATCGCGGAAGACTGTTTCTTTTAGCGCCCACTACGTAGGTGATTGTGACTCGTGAAGGTCAGGTTACATCACCGGTGGATGCCTATTGCAGCCCCACATCTCAGGCGCGTTTCCAATCTCTGAAAAGCGCGCCGACACCGGCAACTTTTAAAGTTCGGAACGGGTGTCATTCCCCATGTCAGGGCTTTCACCGCACCCGGTCACAAGCAAACGGGCAGCTAAGAGCCGCAGGAACGGCCGTAATCATGGGTTCGTGGGCAGCGGGTGCCGTGACCGGGTCAGGTGGTGCGGTCGACCGATTGGCTGAGGATGGCTGGAGCATCCCGCTCGGGGGCCCCACGCCCCACAACACCAGAGCGGCCCATTCCCCGCAAACGAGAAGTGATCACGGGAATGGGGTGGTGAACATCTCTCCCCACACCGAAAATCAAGGTTTCGTGTGACCGGTACAAAAAGCGGGTTCTGCTGCACTTTCCGCGCGAGATCTCGGTTTTGCATCTTCTCTCACTTTGTGACAGCGAATGCCAGCGGGCAACTATTCACCATGACAGACCAAGAAGCTGACGGGGAGCTCTACGCTCCCTCGGACAAGAGCGTTGTGCGCCAGCTGCGCGAGAACCCGTACATCCTCGGATTGGCATCAGTAAGCACTTCATCATACACATGAAAATGCTCTGGAAACTGACTTATTTCCTGCAAAGTTCGCGTCTCTGGGAGGGTTTCTCTTCGGCTATGACCAGGGCGTCGTCTCGGGCGTCTTGACCATGGAGTCGTTCGCGGCAAAGTTCCCGCGCATCTACCTGGACAGCAGCTTCAAGGGCTGGTTCGTGTCGACGCTCCTGCTGCTCGCCTGGTTCGGATCGCTGGTCAACGGCCCCATCGCAGACCGCGTTGGACGGAAAGGCTCGATGCTGGTGGCCGTCGTCATCTTCACCCTCGGCTCTGCTCTCCAAGCCGGCGCGAACTCGGTTGCCATGATTTTCGCAGGTCGCGCCGTTGCTGGGTTTGCGGTTGGAATGCTCACCATGATCGTGCCCATGTACATGTCCGAAGTCTCAACACCAGCCATCCGCGGCACCCTGGTCGTCTTGCAACAACGTAAGCAACAACCGCATTGATGAAGCCTCGATATTAGCTGACCACGGCAGTGAGCATCACGCTGGGAATCCTGATCAGCTACTGGCTGGAATACGGCACGCAGTACATCGGAGGCGCGCGGTGCGACCCGCACATTGCCTACACCGGCGGCTCATCGTCCGAGCCCGAATTCGACCCGCTCGCCGACGTCGGTCCCAGCGGCTGCACCGGCCAGAGCGAAGCATCCTGGCGCGTCCCTCTGGCGCTGCAGATCCTGCCCGCCCTCATCCTGGGCGTGGGCATGCTGTTCTACCCGGAATCGCCGCGGTACCACCTCATGCGCCAGGACGAGGACGCCGCCCTCTCGGCCCTCGCGCGCATCCGCCGCGCGCACATCGACTCGGACCTGCTGTGCCGCGAGTACCTGGCCATCAAGGCCGAGGTGCTGTTCGAGGAGTCGTACGCGCGCGACAAGTACCCGGGCAAGACGGGCGTCGCCCTCTACCTGGCCCAATACGCGTCGCTCGTGTCCAGCTGGCCGTCCTTCAAGCGCCTCGCCGTCGGCTGCTGCGTCATGTTCTTCCAGCAGTTCATGGGCTGCAACGCCATCATCTACTACGCGCCCACCATCTTCGCGCAGCTGGGCCTGTCGGGCAAGACGACGTCGCTGCTCGCCACGGGCGTCTACGGCATCGTCAACACCCTGTCCACCCTCCCCGCGCTCTTCCTCATCGACAAGGTCGGCCGCCGGCCCTTGCTCATGTGCGGCGCGGCCGGCACCTTCGTCTCGCTCGTCATCGTCGGCGGCATCATCGGCGGCTACGGCTCCTCGCTCGTCGAGCACAAGGCCGCGGGCTGGGCCGGCATCGCCTTCGTCTACATCTACGACGTCAACTTCTCGTACTCGTTCGCGCCCATCGGCTGGGTGCTGCCGAGCGAGATCTTCACGCTCGGCAACCGCAGCAAGGCCATGAGCATCACGACCAGCGCGACGTGGATGTGCAATTTCATCATCGGCCTCGTCACGCCGGACATGTTGGAGACGATCGGCTGGGGCACGTACATCTTCTTCGCCGCCTTCTGCCTGCTCGCGCTGGCCTTTACGTACTTCTTCGTGCCTGAGACGCGCGGGAAGAGTCTGGAGGATATGGACGTCGTGTTTGGCGATACTGCGGCCCATGAGGAGAAGGCGAGGTTGTTCAATATCGCGGCTGAGCTGGGCATTGTGGAGACGGTGGCGGGTGACTCGGGGAAGGCGGGGGCGAGTAGGATTGTTGCTGGGGAGGAAGCGTAGATGGAGGACGGAGGACTCTTTTGGGTGGCTGCGGAATGGAGGTATGATGGCAGGGAGGTGAGGTGAAGTTGACGGCCTTTGATACCCTTGACGAGTATTGACGATATGCGAACACGAATTACGAGATATATACCAAACTGCTTTCGATATATGGCCGGATTCAAGACGGGAGATCGAGCCCTTAAGATTCTCAGGCTCTTCGTAGTATATATCAGATTGTTACGGAGAAGGAAGCGAAGTCCCTACCTGTGTTCCCTTGATTCGTCTGCGCGGTTCGCGTCAGCGACGTCTTCTGCAATCCCGAGCTGCTTGAACATCTACATCTGCGTCCGCCTGCCAGCTTCCACTCACCTTCTCCAAAATGGGCACATCACCCAGGTAACGCCCCGGACCCTGCATACACCCTCCCCAGGTGACGGCCCAGCGCGCACGGACCACCTGCCTATAAATACTCCCTCGCTCTTCGCCCAAGCTAACTTTTCTTCTTCATCCGCTCTCTTTGCCTTTTGGCTTGGAACGAGTGACTAGTGTCCTCACTTGGGATACCTCGTTCGAGGCACTTCGGGCAAGGATGGCCCGCGAAACATCTATGGACGGAGCGCTGGCCTTACAGTCTCACTGGTGGGTCCTGGGGGCTCTTGGTGGGGTTCTGGGGGCTTGTGGGGCACTGGGGGCTTTCGGTGCCGACTACCGTTAAAGGTTGGGGTGGAGTGGGAAACTCGGCACTTTGTGCTGGGGGTAACAGATCCTCTGGGGGCTTTTTCTTTTTGACTTTTTTTCAAGTCAGCCAATTCTGATGGTCGATATCATCTGGTGTCACTCAGGGAGACGTTGTTGCATCTTAACCGATGACAACTGCATCTTAACCGATGACAAGTCTCCCTGAGTGTCACTGGAATCTGATGCATGGCCTGAAGTGTCAAGGTGACGACTACCTAAAGGTCGGGGTGGGTTGGGCTGCAGCCTTGTGCTGGGGGAACAGGAAACAGTGGTTTTACTTGAGTTATTTATGAATTCATTTGCGGAAATCATTTCTTTTGGCATCTACGTGACTTGCATGGAGTGACTTGTATGAATTTCTTCACGGAGTGTCCACACAGAAAGTGAAAGATCAACCGTCCCGAAACCGGTTCGGTTCGAGTGAGAAAAAGACCAACCAGATCGAACGAGCCTCATTGAACCAACCATCCTTCCATACCCACCGGCCTCCACCCAACCCATCCCCCCAACCAAACCAAAGTGAAGCCAACATCATTTCCTCATCATCACATTCTCAATCAAGTCCTCGAACACCCCGTCTTAGCCGTCAACTCGCTAGGGCACGCGACCTCCTCCCAATCAACAGTCGGGTTGTCGGCGTTCTCGAACCAGTCGAAGCGCCAGTAGCAGCCGTCCTTGAATTTGGCGGGCAGGTTGTCGCACTGCGAGCGGCTGGAGAAGCCGCCGTACTGGTTGCCCATGTCGATGCCGCCCCACTCCTTGGTGCAGCCGTCGAAGATGCCGACGCCGCCGCCCGGCATGGCCAGGTCGAAGTGGTTGTCGCCCAGGTCGCCGCCCGTGTTGGTGATTTGCACGATCATGGATTTGCCGGAGACGGCGGTGGAGGTGAAGGTGAGTCTGTGCGGTGGTGGTGGGTTAGTGAGGGTGTGGGAATGAGGGCGAATGACTCGAGACGGGGGTTTAAATGAAATGAGAGGGTTGGAGAGGTACGAGGAGGGGGGAGACGCGGAGATGAAGAGCAGCGAAGTAGGTTTTCACCACAAAAGACAAAAACAATAACAAAACTCACTTATAACAACCACAGCACCAGTCCGACTCGCTCTTGCCCGACAGCTTGGCCGCGGCGAAGCCGTACGACAGCGAGTCGTTAATGGCCCACGGGCTCTGGTTGGAGCAGTAGTAGGCCTCGCCGCCGTCGCACGACGACTTGGCGTCGACGTCGGTGATGGGGTTGTCGTTGATGTCGCAGGTGCCGACGGGGCTGGTCACCGACGCCTTCTCGCTCCACGCGCACGACGGCTTGCAGCAGTCCCAGTAGCGCGTCGTCACGCCGCTGGCCGCCATGGCCGTGCTGGCGCCGCCGAGGAGGATAGTCCAGGTGCGTGGGATCATGATTGGTGATGATCTGGAGAGGATTGCGGGAAAGAGAGAGGAAGTGAGAGTGCTGCTGCCTGCAAAATGATGATGTCTTTCTTTTCCTTTGCTTTTTCGTTGTTTTTCTTTTTTCTTTCCCGTCTGGACATGTCTTAGACGTCTTTTATATGGTAGCGCCTAAGATGGCTTTAACCGTTTGTGGTATCACCGTCAACTGGGAATAGGGGAAGGCCGTCTCGCACGATGTGGTCTGTCAACGCGAGTCAAGATTCGCCCGGCTATACAAGATGGCCAGATTGGTCGACGTTCCAGTTTCAACCGCTGGCACGACGGCCCGCGATGCGGTCCGCACGGTTCAGGAGTGAAAAGGTGACTTCGAGTGGGGCCCTTCCTTTGCTGCCAAGAGCTCATGATAGGCTATCGGGATTGTCGTGGCCGGGATTATCAACATGATAAATGCTCGGTTGAGCTTGCTCCGAAATTTTTTGCTTAATGGGGTTGTTTTAAACTCCGGGGAATGCCTGCAGAATGATGTTCTTTGCCCTGCCAGGGCTTATTCGCTTAGGCGCCGGCGCACGAGCCGAAGGATCCGGAATGCCCGCGGGGATTGGATGTCTGTCAAACCTGTTCCTGAGTTAAATGTGGGGTACTGACGTGAGTCTCGGTCCAGTCCATATGAGCTGGTTGCGGAGCGATTGAAATTGAAGGGCGGTGAAGAGACATGCCACAAACCGGCTGATATCGTGGCTCAATCAACCTTTGACATGTCAAGCAGTGTTGGTATAATATCTGCCTGGTGCATCGTAAGGATTAGTATGGGGCCTGCTAAGCCAATGGCCAGAGACTCACAACATTCAGTCTTTGATGAGGGGGTAAACACTGGATCCTTGTGTCAAACAGAGATGTTCCAAAAAAAATGTTGCTTTTTGATTCTTTTCCCAACCACGGTAATTCACAAATCCTGTTATGCAACATTCGCCAAACGCCTCTTCCCATGCAATCTCATCTTTCAATCTCCCTGATTAACAGTCCCGCCAGATTCAATGCTCCTCAAGGCCGTCTCGAGTCCAATCGTACATTCAAATAAGGGGGAGGCTCCTGCGTGTCCGGATCAACGCCGACGAGCACGGCAAACGGCGCTTTCCGTCTCGCAGTCGATCGAAATCGGGGGTCTAATTTCACGTCCTGCGAGTACACACACCGCTGATTCCTGTACAGTCATCATCAGCACCGGAACGAGACGCCAGCTGAGCCAGGGCAAGTTGATACTCACAGCCCCCGGAAAACAATCTGTTTACCTCACTTTCAACAGCGTGGCGCACGCCTTCCGCGAGCGGGCGGCGTACGAGCTGACGTTCTTCCACAGCGACGCCGACTTGGGCAGAGCCGAACTCTCGCCACGCTCAGCAACATCCTCATCCCCAGCCTTGCTGCCCGCCTTCTTCATGCGCGGCATCATAGCCCAGATAGTCAGCAGGGCGGCCAACAACGCGACGATGACGGGCTGCAGCACCTGCACGCCCTTCGCCTGCGCCAACACGCCCACCGCGAAAGGAAAAATCGCCGCGCCGCTGCCCCCAAACGCGGCCGCAAACCCAATAGCCGATACATGCAGATGGGCCGGCAACAGCTTCGTCGTCGCCACCACCACAGCCGGGAACAGCGGGCCGAGGAAGAAGCCCTCGATGGCGACGGCGACGGCGGACACGACGAACTGCGGGACGAGCCAGAAGAGCAGCTGGAAGCCGATGGCGGCGGGCACGTAGATGGCGACGGCCAACTTCTCGCCGATGCGCGGCGTCACGAAGCCCAGCACGACGCGCCCGACCGTGATGCCGATCCAGAAGCCGGTAGCTACCATGCCCGACTCGAAGTCGCCGCCGTCGCGCTGCCGCGTCATGAAGACGACGATCCAGCCGCCCAGCGCGACTTCGACGCCTACGTAGCCTAGCAGGAAGATGGCGGCGACCCAGCTGACGCGCGAGCGGAGGGCTTCTTTGAGGAGCTTGCCGCTGTTGCTGCCGCTGTTGTTCTCGTTGGCGGTCTCGCCATCCGCGGAAGGAGCGCTGCTGGAGGAAGCCTTGAAGTGGTGGGCCGTCGCGCCCCAGAAAGCCGCCAACGACGTAACCAGCTCGATGGCGGCGGCGCCAATCATCAGGTAGTAGAAGCCCCACCAGCCCCAGCCGGCCTTGGTGATCAGGCTGGTGGCGATGAGCGGCGACAGCACGGCGCCGACGCCGTAGATGCCGTGCAGCAGGCCCAGCAGCTCGTTCGGGTTGGCCAGCTTGCCGATCCACGCGTTCCACGCCGCGTCCTCGATGCCGTTGGCGAAGCCCGCGAACAGGAAGAAGACGATCAGCGCCGGGTACGGCGGGTGCGCTGCGATGCCGACGTATGCCGTCAGGTGGCAGAAGGGCCCCAGGAAGGCTACGCCGCGCTGGCCGAAGCGGTTGTGGATCCAGTTGTTGAGTAGTGCCGCGGCTGCATAGCCACCCAGTGGGGAGAAGAAGACGAGTGAGACGACCGTGTAGTTGAGGCCGTAGTACTTTTCGAGCTAGAAGAGAGAGGTGTTAGACAATATATCTATTGAATTGAAAACAGAGAGGCTCAAAAACGCGGGGTAATGTTCTTGAAGAGTGCAAGAGGCGTTCATACATATGGGATAATGGCCTATTCAAAGTTAGCTGTTAGCCCATTGAAGTGATTGAGAGCGAATTGAAGACGTACGCCGTATGCAGCATCGTTGCCGCCCATAACCAGAAAGCCCCAGAATGTTGCAAGCAGGCGGTAGGTGTTTGTCCGGTTGCTATTCCATTTCTCGACTACGGGCACCGCCGTGTCTGGCGGAGAGCTGGAACCCTGAGAGGTGGAGGCGGCATCGTTGGCGTCCCGTATGGGCTCCGACTTTGGATTGGGAGCTGGCAGCTGCTGCAACTCGATAGTATCTGATTGAGTTGAGGAGGCCATGATTGAAACTGTAGTGTGGAGTCGGTCGACAAGGCCCGCCCGAGCCCAATTTATAGTTTCATGGCAAACATTGTGTCATCGCACAAGGGGGACCAGCCCTGTGGGGCATCTGCGGGCTGACCTGCGGGGTCGCTAACCCATGCTGGCAGTACTGAGCGCCGGGGATCCCAGTGTGCCCAATCATGAGACGCCTACGGCAAAATGCCGGCAACAGACACAGGTACGAAGCCGTGGATAATCCATCGGTGAGGAACGCCACCTCACCGTTTTCCGTTCCCAAAGCGGAACTACTGTCCTCTGGCTGTCAGTCTTCACGCCATCCGCTGAGAAATCAACGGAATGCCATTATTCGAAGCTACTAGCCGTCAGCTGCTGTGAAAAATGTGGTCAAGCACGACGAAACTACGCCGGCGAACTAAGCTTTCAGATTAGCATCTACGGTCTATGTACGATCTTTCCTTCAGCGATTCTGAACGCAGAAACGGGGATTTCAACCGATAGATCCGAGCCCAATCGCATTATAGCTAGGCTTATGCGGCTCCAATGGCAAAAAGTCGGGCGGAGAAACAGACGTGGGGAAAACCCCGCGGCGGAAGCCATTCCGGGAAGTTGCCAAGGAATGAGCTGTTCCGGGGAAATCCATTGCAGGGAAGGAAAATACGGAGTTGTCTGTGATAGCCACTTTCGCTACAGACAGAGAAAACTCACACCAGGTGCTGTGGCGATCTGAGAGGCTTCGCCCTCCGAATACTTGGACGATGCGTCAGGAATGACAAGATTCCGGGCGAATCTTTATCCGCCTTTTCTTCCCCCGCAGTCGATGCGCTGTCTCGCTGCGCTTGGCTTCCAGGAGGAGCCACGATTCGCAGACCTCCAGGCTTTCGAGCCTGCATGGATGCGATGCTCGCCTTCCTCGGTGGACTCTCAGCCGCAGCAATGCTGTGTCGGAAAAAATTGAGCATGGCCTTGAAGCCGAGCTCAAGCGTGCGGGCGTTGATTAGAGCGACGATGACTATGAAAAGCGTGACAAAGGCTACACCGATGGTGCCGACGATGGGCAACCACTCCGGCGAGCCACTCATGCTGAAAATCGAGACAGCGAAGCCGAGCGGCAGGAAGAAAGCTGTGATGTAGGTAAAGAGGCGGATGTCTTCAGCCCCGCGCAAGTTCAGGTCGTCCCTGACGCGGTCCAGGCGATCCGTGAGCGACTGCCCGAAAGAGCGGATGCGCGCTCGGCACCGCTCCAGCTCCTGCACTCGCCGCCCGTTCGACACTTCCAACTTGGTCACCGCCGACCGGTACTTGCGCTCGTCATTGCGCGTCCACCGCGGCTTCTCTGGCCCTCGATCTTCTTCCCTGCTTTGCCAGCTGTGAATCTTCTCAAGGTTCTCGCTCAGGTCCTCTTCCAGCACCTGAAGGATGCGCTCCAACATCGCCCACTCCTCCCGGAACGACAGGTACGCGTCGCTGTCAATCCTGAACAAGGAGATGGAATCGGTGAGAGCGTCTGACAGCATGTCCGAACGCGCCTTCAGCACTGCGGCATTGGTGCTTGTGCGTACTCCGAGATCCTGCTGGACCTTCGCTTTCGCTGCTTCCAACACTTCGTTCGCGCTCTGCGTCATATCGTCTACGATCTTATCGAAGAGAAGCAGCTCGAGCACCTTGCGCTGCCTCCACAGAGGCTTGTCTCGGTCGGCTTTAGGCAGCCGCTTGTCGAAGATGATATCCTGTAGCCGCGTTCCGAGGTCTTTCTCACCCAAGGAATCGTCCGCTGGCCTACGTTCCAAGAAGTGGCATGTCCAGTACCTGTCAAAGAAATCGCCGTCGAAGCGGAATCCCGCAGCCGCGCGATCGATCATTTTGTCCCTGCCGGGGAAACCGTCAACTTCCAGAGGTGACATTTTCTCACCCGCCTCCACTTGACCAGGCGCTTTGTCTACAAGCTGGTAGTACGACAGATGGAACTCGGTTTCCCACATGTTTAGCACCGACGCAACATCATCCAAGAGGTACTTCTCGGCCTTGGCATGCCTGTCGAAGAAGGATGACAGTTTCGGCTTCTCGCCACTGGGAGCCGCCAAGCAGCACAGAATGGTGGATCCATCGTCCACACGCGGCAGCCAAACGAGCCGTTTCTTTGCCGAATGTGCCGTCCTGATCTTGCTCAGCGCTTCTTTGAACTGAGAAGTGCTGTGCATGCGGATATTACGACCGGGACTCCCGACATCATGGTGATGGTGATTCTGACGGTGCTGTTCCGACTGGGCGTGGTGCATGAAGCCGCACTTTGCCACTTCCAGGACGGTACCCCTGGTGCCCTCTTCGGCAAAAAATTTCCCATCGCGTTCATAACAGTTCCGCACAACCTCCCACGTCTCGCTACCAAGCTCGCAGAGCCACCGTCCCACGTTGTATCGGAACCGATCATCGACGCGGATCTCGTCCCACAGGTCACTGTCCGGTGAAATTGATCGTAGTAGGTCGTAGAGGTTGAAGTTTTGGTTAATTTCAAAGGGCTGAAAGCGCTCCAGCTGCGAGTCGAACTCCAGAAACGCAGGGTAATTGTATAACCACTCATCCGCAGGCTCGATAATGCTTCGGTGGTCGAAGAGGTCATTGAAAGGTACAGTCTTTTTCATGACAAGACCATGCCTCCTGCCACCATGAATTGCGGCCGTGTTAAGACCGATCACATCCTCCGTTTCGGATCTTGTATCGAAAACAAACGGTTCGATATGGGGGGTGATGACGGTCCTCGGCTCAAGCAGGCTGAACTCCTGCTTCTGGTTTTTCCCATACTTGAGAAGCGCATAAGGGATTTCGAATGCAGCGTGCCAGTAAAAGTCCCAGGTACGCTTCTCCTGGACCATGTCGGGCTCCTTGGTCACCTCGTCAAGCTGTCCAGCGAACAGTCCGCTAGGTGAAGAACTTCGGAGAAGTACCGTTGTTGCGACATTGCACATGTCCTCGGCCGATCTCTGATTAATCGCATGCCCCTTCTTTCCCATAATGATGGCTAACGCGTAACGCAGCGGGTTGTCCCACCCGGCATCCTGATTCTCTTCATGGTATCTCTGAACCTCGATTGTGCGGTCCCACGCGGCAATTCGATTCTGCCCCCGCGAGGAATCCGCCGCCGCCACCTCGAAGAAGGCCGAATTCATGTCGTGGAACAGGGCCGTATCTCGAGAAAAGAAAAGGAAACGGCTCTCCCCAGCGGAGCGGGATACAGCCAGCATCCGCTGATTCATGAAAACGGGGTTGTCTGTCGTGAACCTGCGGATTATTTGGCGCTGGGCTTCCGCAGAAGAGAAGTCTCTTGGAGGCCTCGGCCCTTCTTCATTATCCTCTGCTCTGTCAGGTCGTCGCCCCACACTTCTCCGTGTAGTCTTCTTTCGTCTCGCCCTGACAGTCTGCGGTTTCAGCAGCGAACCAAAGCCTAGGTCCTCGATGCTTCTCAAGGCCTTCCAAATCCAGACGTGGTCGTCTAGGCGGTACTCGCCCGTGAAGGCACTGGTAGGCCGAGCAAACGCGAAGCACTTTCGCCTATCCAGCGCTTCCAGGCTCTTGATCCACGGACCAACGCACTCCCGCACGTTGTCACGAAAACTGTTGTCTCTGAACGTCTTGGTAAATTCGGCGGCCTTGATGACCTGGAAAGGCGTGTCCGTCAGTAACTTGGCACCCAGCTTGGAAGAAACAGATGCAGTCGTCGACCCCGAGATGGACTTCCCCGTGGCCCAGTAGTGCGTTTCGAAGCATCCGGTTTCCCCTCTCTCAGCTTTCTCGAACACCCACTTCAAATGACCTTTGCAGGTCACTCGTATGCGCTGCATCACTTCGACAACGTACTCTTGTGAATCAGGAGTTCCGTCATACTGACTCAGTGTAGCCTGCAGGTGCTCGTAAACGGAAAGCAGGAACACAAATGCGTAAAAGCTGGCCGCCGTGACGATGCGATGGCCTGAGAAGTCCCCACAAGTGAGAGCGACGGCTGGACAGACTTTGTGCTCATCGGACACTGGAACGCTACACACAGAGAGGACATGCTCTAGGTTCCTCCTTAGGGCAAAATTCTCGTGTGGACATGGCGAGAGTGAAAGGTGTGTGAAGGGTGTTGTACGGAAGTGGTCATGCAGAGTCCTCAGAGCTGACGCAGGGATCAGAGACGACCGCCACACTGCACTATTGTGCGCTGCTTTGGAGGCGATCTGCAGCCGGTAAGCTAAGGTGATCTCCACCCGACCCGACCTGATGAATCCGGCTTCGGCTTCGTTCCTGTTGGCGATCTTGTACCACTTGTTCTCCACCTCCTCGATCCGATGCGGAACACCGTCAATGAAGAGCGCCAAAACCATGCTGGCGGTATCTGACGGTCGCTCATTTCCATCACCATCAAGCCGCTCTACCCCAGGCGGGAAGCTGGTCGAACTCGGTGAACTCGGTGACGACGACGGAGCACTGTCGTGCTGGAGAACGAGACTGTACCCATGTGGACCGAGGAACGTCGAGTACAGCTCAGCAGCCCCATAGCCCCTCTCTCGGCCCGGCCCATCAGCCGCAGTACCATCCCCACTGCGGCTCTCTTCCGCCGTAGCGAAGTCTAGCTGCCGGATCAGCACGTCCGTGTCGATCATGACGTTCGGTACGACCAGCGCATGCTCGTCCACCCTCTTGCCGGGCTTCTTCTCAAAGACATGCTGCTGGTACACCGTCCCATCGCGGACGTAATACTGCACCGAAAGCGTGAAGGGAGAATCATACCCCTTCCCCTCATCACCACGATCATCATCATCCTCGAAAAACGTAAACCTCGGCCACCGATCCCGCACGAAGTCAATCCGCGGCTTGCGCCCGTCTAGCGCCCGCATCACGTCCGACCCATCCTCCATGTACAGCCCGCATAGCGTGGCCGACGGGTTGGTAGCTAGGTCGGCTAGCTCGTGGGCCCGCTCTTCGATCTGCGCCGGCCCCGGTGTGGTCGGCAGATCGACCGAAAGGAAGCCGGAGCGACCGACGAGGCCGCCATCGATATCATGGCTCTGGACGCCGCCGAGGTAGCGGGAGAGCTGGATCAGGTTGCCGTAGACGTTGACGGTGGCGGTGGTGCCAGCGCCATCGCCGAAAGAGGTGTAAGCGTCTGTGTGGTGCTGTTGTTGATGACTTTGTTGCTGTTGATGTTGCTGGTGGATTGTTGTGGTGGGGTCGGTGGTTTTAGGGGTGGAGAGCCTTTCTTCTTTGGGGAAGGAGTATTTGGGTGGTTGACGCGCTGGCGAACCTGGAACTCGGCAGTCTTAGCTGATGAAGTTAAGGCAAGGGTAATGGAATGCCACATGGCAGTCTTTTTACGCACCGAATAGGTAAGACTGGAATTCCTCACTATCCCTTTCAGGAAGCCCATCGAATGTAGTCGGAGAGAGTACCGATTCGCCCGCGGACATGGAACGAACGCGCGTTGGCGAATGCCCGGAGTTCAAGGATGGAGACGACGGTGACATTCTCGGTGAGGGGCTCCGTGGCGGGAGAGCCGCGACCATGGATATGCTTGGGAACAACATGTTCGACATATTTGCTATGATTTTTTTTTATCGAGGATGCAACCCCTACGATACTGCGAATGTCCGTGATGGTTCTTCTCCGGCTCTATGTCCGACCTCGACCCTAGTCGCTTTTATATGGGATGGGAAAAATCGTACAGGGCTGAATAAAGGTTAGACTCTGGTCCGCAGAGCCGCATCCTTCATGGTTATCGATGTCCGCGACATCGGGGATACTCTCTCCTCTTAGTCGTGAGAGGGCTGGCTGGTGGATCTCGTACTGCATGCAGCCGGAGCAGAAAAAAACAGCATCTCGAGGCGAAAAGAACCGACTCTCGCCCCGCCTTTTTGACCAACGTGTTCACCGCAAGATTCGAATCTAAGACAGCAAGCAGTAAAAGATCGAGGGGTGTTCAGCTAGCCACCTTTTGACTCTTTATCATAAAAAGGGCGCTGTCACGACCCGTTTCCAATGGAGGAAATAACGATGCGGATTCTTGCCTGGAAACGACCGCATCCGCCGAGTCGTTGCCATTCGTTGCCGTTCGTTGGATGGCGAGCACCTCGGTCCTCAGCTCATGCAAGAACAGGTGTCAGGTCCGTTCGGGGCTATCGACGAAATGGAATGATGATACCACCGCAGACATGCCGTGATTCGATGAGGGAGAAAAAAAGGGAAGATCTGGGCCTGGTGATCTTCACCACGGCTTAACCGAGGAGCGATGACACGTCCCCCCTCGTCGAAAGGGGCCCACTATTTTCTTTTTTGCTCCACCCGCCTGCGCTGGCGTGAACGTCTTGTCGTCGAGACGAGGCTGCAGAAAAAGGAAATAAGGATCGTTTGTTTGACGTGCGGATCTTTCCGGGCGTTGCGCAATAGTATAAGATCGGAGGGGAGATTTGGTTTGAAGATCAGATGGGGATCGAGATAAATCCGATGTCGAAGTAGTTTCGGAGATACCGTGGGGAAAGAAGTGAGGAACATCTTGAAGTCACAACTTCCTCCCAACATTTTGCGAGCATGGTAACCGAAAAAAAGAAGGTACGGGCCGTATATTGCGGCACGGCTCGGAGCGAGAGGGGTGAAGATGAGATACCCGCACGCGACATGGATGAAAAAGGTGAATGGACCCGTTGAATTGGGACGCACCCCGGCCATCTTCCAAGGGTTACACAGCAGACGCCAGCGAATACATACGAAAATACGGATATCCCCGCTGACAAGACTTTGAACGAGGACTGGCCGTCGGACTTATGACTGGATATGGCGCAACACATTCGAGCACCGCGTGTTTGTTCAGACCTGTTGAATCATCCTCAGATATGGTTTGTGCAAAGGGCGAAAGTACTGCCTTCAAAGTTATACCATTGTATTTTTTGCTTCTCCCTTTCGTCCGGAAGGTTGCTCTGAGCATCCGCCAAGATTGTTCAAGTATTTACAAAAAGATTGCCTAAGTGTATTTACAAGGAGGCAGAAGAGGCGGAGGGAAAATATGTACCAAGGAGGAGAGAGACAGAGCAACGGAAACGAAGACTAACCAAGCAAATCGCTCGCAGTCTCGAAAGGGAGGGTGGACATTGCGGTCAACACACTAAAACCCCGCAAAACGATCGACACGACCGCTTTAGAGCGCACCAATAGCAGCAATGCCGGCCCTAGCCTTGCCGGAGCTGTCGACGAGCAGGTTATCCGGGCAGCTGGAGCCGAGGGCGCCGTTGCCGAGCCAGGCGGGCTCCCAGTAGTACAGACCGACACCACCGCTGACGCCCTTGACGATAGCACCAACGTCCTTGATCCAGGTGGCCTGGCCGGCGGCGCTCTTGGGGACGTAGTCGGTGTCGGTAGGGAAAGCGTAGGCCGGGTTGGGGCAGCTGGCGGGCCAGTTGGTCTCGGCGACGACGAGCTGCTTGCCGTACTTGGAGGCGAGCTGCTGCAGCGAGTACTTGAGCGAGCCGAGGTAGGCCTCCTTGTTGTAGAAGGGGTAGTACGACACGCCCATCATGTCGAAGTCGCTGGTCAGCAGCGGGCCTTGGCCCAGGATCTCGCCGTACCACCACAGCTGCGTGGCAGAGTCCCACCCGTTGTCGAGGTGGATCATGATCTTGGGCTTGGGCGACAGGTTGCTGTCCTTGATGCCCCACGCCGCCGAGTGGAGGAGCGCGGCGATGTTGTAGTAGGACGAGGTGCCGCCCAGCGGCCACAGCAGGCCCGCTCGGATCTCGTTGCCGATCGAGATGATCTGCGGCGTGATGCCTGCGCTTGCGTACGAGTTGGAGACGGACTTGGTGTACTGGTAGACCGTGTTGGTCAGGGCGCCGATGGTGGAGTCGTCCCAGGCGGCGGGGGTGGTCTGGTGAATAAGTGTCAGTTGATGAGAAAGAACTGAAGATTGCTGCGGGGATGTCGCGGGGGACAACTGACCTGGTGCGCGGGATCGGCCCAAGTGTCGGAAAGGTGGAGGTCGAGGTAGACGCCCATGCCCGCGGCCTTGACGCGCTTGGACAGCTTGAGGTTGTAGTCCAGGTTGTAGTTGCCATCTGACGGGTTGACCCAGATCCTCTGGCGGACGGAGTTGACGCCAGAGGCAGCAAGGATCTTCTCCAAAGGAGTCGTCACACCTGCAGTGTTCTTGTACGTCTGACCCTTGGCCTCGAGCATCAGCAAGGATGAGATGTCGGCACCCTTGTAGGCAATGGTGTCTCCGAGCACCGCGCAGGGCGCAAGGAGCAGGGAGAACACAGTCGCTGCGGTGAAGAACATGATGTGACTGTGGAATTGAGGAATGGAAACGAAGAACGAATGAACCAAGGGAAAGAAAGAGAGAGATCAGCGCCAGATATAATGCACGGCGGGATGGTCGGGGCGGCAGCCAGCCAGCCCAAGCATTCACGGCTACCAAGATATCCGAACCTCGTTTTTCCTTCCTGTTCCTAAAATTCCACAGAGAGCTTGTTTCAAACTTTCTCCACCAATTGCACCTGCAAATGTGAGGTCATGTGGGAGTGTTTCACGACGGTCGCAAGCGATGGTGGCATTACCCAAAATACCCGGCCGTGTCCGTCGGCGCACCGAGCCATTTGCGGGCAGGCGGGCGACGGCGGGTAAACGCATTGGGGCTGCGCGTTCGGGCCGTGTGGGGGCGTCTTGCCCGTCTCAGCGCTCGCTTGCGCTCCGGATCGGGTTCCCCTGAGTCGTCGCTGCGAGACCGACCTTTCTTGGCTCGTTGGTACACAGTAGAGCTTCGTATTTCTTCGCTGGTGGCTTTCGAAAAAAACGAGGAGGCTTGCGGGTTACCCCGGATGTGGAGGCGGCCCCAGAAAAGCTGCTCTCCGCATCTCGTCTCTGAACTGTTGTGTGTGTGGTGTCGGAATCTGCTGATGGAGATGCATGCATGCATGAATGTTTGTTCCATATTGCTGCCAAATAAGCATAAGCTTTAGCCCGTGCGAGGCCGCCTCCGTTGGACTGCTGATTGGTGGCATCGCCTATACCTTGCTCTGGTATTGTTCCTGCAGCCTTATCGAGAAACAATCCTTGCAGTTTCGGCAGCCCTGCGAAGGAGTATCGGTTGAGCTTCCGATAATATATATCGTGCAGCGTGATCGCCTGCCCTAAGAATAGGCCAACCCCTCGTGGGTATGGCAGTCTTTCTACATATACTGTGTGAGTTCAGCTTCGTTCTGCGAATTGAGATGAGATGGGTGTTGAAGAGTACCAACTAACCTAAAGCAAGCAAAATTGGGTCTTTAGTATCATCACCTTGTTTCATTCTCTCCAACTCGAAGCAGACTCTATCGCTATTGCAACAAATTTCAACAGTTTTCGATATACGGCACAAAAAAAAATAAGCCGCCCAAGCTCCATACACCCACGCAATCCATGCTCTGATCCCGTCTATTTTTCTCTGTATGTCCTTCCTCCAATTCCCGCGAAGGAAAGAAAGGGGAGTGTACACTATTCTTACATCTCGCGTCATGCGTGAACATATCTTTCTACACCACCACATACACGTCTGAAATATCGCAAAAGAGAAATAAAAAAGAAACCAACAACACGACTCTCACTCATCTCTCAAGAACCTCGTCTGCAGATCATCGTCAATCATCGGCATCGCCTGCAGCGCAGCCATGGTCCGTGGCGCGTTCTCTCTCAGCAACCCCTCATTCAGCGGCTCTTCTTCCTTGTTGCCCAGCGCGTTTCCGCCACCGATGGCCGCCAAGCGCCTGACGTACTTCAGGGCGGTGGCCAGGAAAACCATGGTGCGGTACTGGGGCATGTTGACATTGGCCTTGGCCTTGTTGGGGTTAATGTTCATGTAGTCCCAGCCGCGCGTGCGCCAGTAGCGGCGACGCAGCTGTTCTTCGTCGGTGCGCCAGCCGCGCCACTGCGGCATGAGGTGTTTTTCGCAGAGGCTGAAGGCGGCGCTGATGCGGCCGGAGCGCGCCAGGAGTTGGATGTACAGGTTCCACGACAGGTTGTCCAGCGCGAAGCCTTGAGCCAACAGGCCTGAGACGGTCCGTTGGGCATCGGCATACCGACCCTGGAAGTGCAAGGTGCGGAGGTAAATGACGAGCGGCCGGGCGAGCAAGTGGCGACGCCCAGGCGGAAGGGCATTGGCAGGTGGATATTTGTACTCGGGAGTGATGGCTGACTGTGGTAGCGGTGCCTGTGTCAAGATGGTGGCTTGCTCCACCGCGAGATTCCACAACCTCTCCACTTCATCGTAGAGCTCTGATTTGAAGTGCGCGTTCATGAGAGCAACCAGCATTCGCAAGGCAGGCGCGAATTTCTTGTCTCCGTCGATGGACTCGCCCTTTTTGCTGAGGGTTTCTCGTTGTTTCAAGTACTCGGCGAAGAGTTGCTGTACGGTGTCGAAAGACTTCCTGTCTCCCTGGAGGAGCATGACAATGTCAAGGTAAGCCCCACCGGCCTGTTCTAGGTTGCGGATGCCAAGGCCAGTCTGTGGCTCAGAAGCCGATTCCCAAGGATTCTCTTTCCACAGCATTTCATTCACAACCCTATTCGTACGCTCCATTACCTCGCTCTCGTCCTTCTTATACCGGCCAGCGTGTTCTGACAGAGCCACAGCCTTGACATAAGCCATTCTGGTACTTGTAGTGGGGCGAATGCCTCGCGCTTTACGAAGATTGTCGACGAAAGGCACCTTCTCATAGCTACCTTGGTTAATGTAGCCGGCCATGACAATGGCATAGTGGAGCGCCAAAGGCTTCGTTAGTTTGACGGGTATGACGAGCTGAAGGATCTTGTAAGCCGAATCCGTGTTGCGGGTCAGACACAAGGCTAGTAGCAGCGCAGCGTAAGTCCTGGCATCGGGGGCGGTGCCGCTTGCTTCCATCTCTTGGTAGATTCGCCGGGTCGAAACAACATCGCGCCGTAAAGCATGGGCAGTCGCAAGGATGTTCCAAATGGGCCTGAAATCGCCCCCCATTCGACCAGATCCCAGGCGCTGCCTTAGTTGCTTAGCAACCAATTCTGCAGTCTCCATATCGTCATTGTTGACGAAAGCCGTGACCAGGTATCCGGCCACATCAGTCGATTGGATGATGGTCGGATCAATGTCCGCAGCTAAGGCGAACATGTCTTTGACGCCATCGACGTCACCCCTCTGGGACATCATATCCAGAATTGCAGTGAAACTGTATGCGTCGGGCTTGGCAGGGGACTTCATCAAATCGTCGAAAACTTGACTGGCTCCTACAAGGTCGTCATTCTTGGCATATGCACGCAACAGTGCATTCCAAGTTCTGACAAGCGGAGGCTTGTCCATTTCCGCCGTCATCTCCTTGAATGTTTGAAGAGCGCCAGCAGTATCCCCACGTGCAGCGTATGCCTTGAGGACGTACTCCTTGTGGAACATTTTACGCTGGCGCACTGGAATCTTTCTGAAATGATATTTCACTCTCTTCACATCTCCAATACGCGCGTAAGACTCCATAAGCAGCTCCAACATGGTGTTCGAAGGCCGCCTGTAGAATTCGGTTGCAGCCTCGGTGACGTGGCCGACATCCAGGCGCGGTCCTTGTCCTCTTGCCTTCGTTCCGTGGGATATATTCATGCTCCGTGTGACGCCCTCAAGTACCTTGTAAAGTGTGTTTTCACTGACCGTAAAGGAGCGATCGGCCCTTGCAGTCGCGACATACATGTGGAACAGCTTCCGAACTGCCAGGGACAGTACTCCAGTGTTTTTAATCGTTGCCGATTCTAGTATACCTTCCAGGGCGCGCTCAAAATGACGGGACTCCAGAGAGCGGTTCTGCTTCAGCCTCATGATGAGGCGATACAAGTTACGTCCACTAGCCGGACTGCGGGCCTCTGGTGCAAACTGTGTAATCGCTTGAGCGCCAAATTCCGCAGCGAATGTTCGGATTTGGTCCTGTTCCTCCAGCTCTCTCCCAGTCATCAGCCGCATTCTCCGAAAGTGGACCAGGAGCGACTCGACAAGAAAGGAAAGCCTCATGTTTTTCTCGGCCTGTCCCCAAAACTCTTGCATGGGCCTGACGACGGACGTGATTTCTGCATACGCCTCGATTGCTAGTTGCCATTCCTTTTTTGCGATTGCAAATGCCAATAGGTCCGAGGTGCCGATGTTGCCACGCAAGGCATGGCCGGACTCAATGCCATGCTTGTGGATTAGAGCTGCTCTCCCAAGCTTACGCTTCAAAAGATGTGATCTGATCGCACCCCTGTAGGACGAGGCCCGGCGGTCTTTCACATCCAGGGCATCAAAAATGGCAATGACTTCGCTAGCAAGGGTCTGAGGAAATGGTCGTACGGAGCTGAGATACTCTAGGACAGTAGCGGATAAGTCGGGGGTCCGACTCGTCTCATCGACTCTCTTCCATAGGTTCCAGACCACCGAACTGTCACTCTCGCCAGCCTCCAGATGGGAGCGAAGTGTCTCGGCCGGATTATCCACTTGGTGCACCCATTCCTTGTCTTTCTCCAATTTGTCCAGGTAAAACCCAGAGTCGGATTCTGCGCCCAGGTGATCCAGATAGCGGGCAGAGTCGGATTGTTTGCCCAAGTCGTCTCGATAGCCGGCAGAGTCGGTTTTGGCCAAGTCATCCGCCGGCATATCGCCGAAAAAATCGTCACTCTCAGGATCTGGCGCATAACCGGCATCGGAGTTTTCAATGGGACCGAAGGCATCGTATCGGATCGAGGGATCCCCATTTGAAGGAGGAGCAGGGTCATCGGGCTCGTCGCCAGAACCTGAAGCTTTCGAAGAAAAGTGTCGTGCCCGCCCGGGAGTCGCTACACGAACTTGACGCGCCTGCCAGCTTTCCCATCCGAAGCTAGACAGGCGGTGCATCAAAGCCAGTGTCTTTGCGGGGTATAAAAAGTCCAGAAATAGCCCATCTTGTCCGGTGGCACTCCTGCCATTGGCCGCGGCGGAATCGTGAGGCTGCGAATCGGAAGGCTGCAGCACCGAAGCCCACCAAGCGGGAAGGTCGAGGTCACCGGCGCCGTGATGCCAGAAGGACGAGTGCAGCATGCGACGGCTTCGGAGATGGGGCTTGGGGCCGCGCAGAAGGTGTCGTCCTCCGGATTCGAGACATATCGACGCCCGCTCCAGCATACCCTGGCGAGCAGTTTTGACGAAAGGCTACCGACGCTGGGAAGTTCTTCGAGATGCTGCGTGGATTAGTGGGAGGCGGTAGCGGTCAAGATGGCGAGGACGTACAGCGCTGCATAACGCCCCGGGAGGAGGAAAATGGAGGATTCGAGGGCGCGGGCGACGGATGCAGCTGGAGTCGAGCGGATGGAACGACAGCTCGCGAGGAAGAGGCGGCTTTGCGGCGGCAATGGCAGTGGCGGAGGTTTCTGCGCGCAGCGCGTCGACCATCGAACGACTGGCGCTGGCCATCGAGAAAACTGGCCGGCCAAACCATTTTCCCGCGCGCGTCATCGCCGGCCTGCCCACCGCCTACGCGCCGACCCCGCCGGTGTTTCTGGTAGCTGTGCTTCACTTGACGGCCTCACCTACCGCTCCAATGGACATCACCGCCTTCATTGTCGCCCAGCGCGACGAGGCTCTGTTGTTGGGCGACTACAACACCTATCGCCAGACCTGTTCGCGCCGCATCCTCACCCTCCGCAAACGCACCGGCCGCGCCACCCCCAAGAACGCAAAGTACAGCGCAAAAGCCCCCATTGCTGCCGACGATATCGCCAAGAGCCATGAGTATGTCAATCGCTCCACCAGGGCAGTTTGGATCTGACACCAGCTCTCAGCTTCGTCCACCTTTTTCTCTTCACGGCTGAGCGCGCTTGGGCCCATGCCATGTACATGAAGTCTGTCCACGCCGAAGACAACGCGGACAAGAGTATTACTGGTTCCACCCGCAAGCACATCATCTCGCGACTGCACAAGGCTGCCCACACGGCGAATGAGCTTGCGTCGCTACTGGCCGACCAATCCACCGGGGCCACCCCCACCGATCAGCTGGAGGCTCAGGCATACGTATACTCGCTCCGCGGCGCCGAGGAGTTTGAGAAGCAGGCCGAGGGGATCCATCTCCGTAGCCCTCAGTCGCCGGACCAGAGGTGGAAAGCCTGTCTTGTGAATTATTCGGGAGCCCGCATTATCTACAACGCCCTTCTCCAAACTACCAAGAAGGATCTCTACAAGGAATTCCTGGCCAGCACAGTTGACCCCAGTATTCGTTACGCCGCGTACCAGTCTCGCCTCCCCCGAACCGTTTCCGTCGCTACAGTCGCACGCCAATATTTTCCCAAGGAGGACGCCGCCTTGCTATCTGCCGTCGAGACAATCTATCCGGATGCTCTCAAAGATGAGACAGTAGCGGCCGGTATGTACAACGGATATCAAGAAGCAAAGCAGTTGAACTAACAAGAAATATAGGCAAGGGTGAAGACTCCGTCGAGAAAATCCCCAACACCATCACATGGCGCTCGCGGACGGCCAACATCGTTGATGCCGCGGTTGGCCAAGCCCTCGCTGCAGTTACGTCCGCCGAGGCCCGTCTCTCCGCATTCTTGACTTCTGCCTCGCCCGAAACTTCCTTCCGTGATAAGGCTGCGGCGTACGATGAGGTTCTCATTGCTAGCCAGGACGCCTCAGACTCTACTCGCCACGCTATTGAGGAGCTGGAGAAGGAAGGCGTGAGCGAAGGAGACTCGCGTATGCAGGACCTCCGTGTGACGGATCTGGCCGTCAACTACGACCTCATCGGCTGGCGCGTGGGAAGGAACCGGGTGCTCATCGGCCTGGACGACGGCGCCGTGCTGCACTCCGAGAACATTAAGAAGCCAAAGAAGCCCAGGAAAGACGGCAAGGAGTGGGTCGAAAAGGAAGAAGGCACCGGCCGCAAGCTCGCGAGGATACGCGAGCGCAACGTGCTCTACGACTCCATCCTCCAGAGCATCGACTCGGTGAAGGACCTCCGGGGCGCTATGCGCGACGCCGCCTTCATCGAGGAGCTGGACGGCAAGCGGGCCTACTACCGCGCTCTCAAGTGCCTCAACCTCGGCTACTCGCACGCGCTCCTCTCGCAGTCCAAGAACGCCCTCGCCCTGTACGCCCGCGCGCTCGACCTCGCCGCCAAAGCCGTCGCCACCGGCACGTCCGAATCCTCGTCCGCGCTGCCCAAGCTGGACATCAGTCGCGAGCAGGCCGAGTCCCTGCACCGCCGGCTCGAGGGCGCGGTCCAGCAGTTCCGCGCGCTCGTCGACCTCCAGAGCCACGCTGCGGGCGGCGGCGATGATGCGGCCGCAAACAAGGGCGTCGTCCCCACCCCCATCGCCGAGCGTCTCAACCAGTACCCGCCCGAGGGCGTCGACCTCAAGAACCTCGTCGAGTGGCCGCCGAGGCTGCAGTCCGTGCCCGTCAAGCCGCTGTTCTTGGACGTCGCGTTCAACTACATCGACTACCCGGGCAGGGCGAAGGCGGTCGTGGAGAGCGAGGGTGGCGGCGTCAAGTTGGATCAGGCTCAGGGTAAGGCGGAGGAGCCGAAGAAGAAGGGCTGGTTTGGTTTCGGTCGGTAAAATGGGAATCAGGGTTGGAAAGGGTCATGACGGTACTACGAGGCGATTCATTATAAAAGACAAAAAAGACAAGAGAGACGAGAATCATAATCGAGAAAAGTTTGAGACGATGAGTAAGTATTCTGAAGGCATGATGAAATGTGACAATTTGTTGAACTCTAGGACCTCTAACAATCTATGAAATCTGATTCTACAACCCAGAAAGGAGCTGAAACCAGGCCTTAGCACCCGAACCAGCAACCATCCATAGAGCTGATCAATCCTTCCTCTTCCCTCGTCCCTGCGCCTCCACCAGCGCTCTGAACATGCTACCCTGCGTGTTTAGCAAGGTCCGTGGAGGGCCCACCTCGACGATCTCGCCCTTCTCCATGACGACTACGCGGTCAAAGTCTAGGATGGTGTTCAGCCGGTGCGCGATGGCGACGACGGTTCTATCCGCGAAGGCCGACCGCAGGATCTCCTGCATCAGCGCGTCCGTCGCAGCGTCGACGCTAACGTTGGAAAGTAGATTGTCAGTTCGACCGTTCGACCAAGTAACTTCCGTATAGAGAGGGATGGTGGACAAACAAAAAAAAAACTCACCTGCTCGTCGCCTCATCCAACACCACAATCCTGCCTGGCTGCAGCACCGCCCGCGCCAGGCAGAACAACTGCTTCTCGCCCTGACTCAGCAGCGCATCCACGTTATCCAGCTTGACGTCCAACGCCGACGAGGCTCCCGCCTGAGCAGCGGCGAAGCCCTCCAGCTTCTCCCACAGCCTTACGCGCCGCAGCGCCCGCTTCATCTCCGCGTCCGACGGCCGCGGCCGCACATCTTGCTCCTGCTCCTCCTCCTCTCCCTCCTCACCGACGCTGGAAGCATTCGTCACCACCCACGGCGCCAACTCCCCCCTCACGCTCCTCCCTCTCGCACTCCCCGCCAGGAAAAACGGCTCCTGCGGCAACGCGACGATGCGCGCGCGCAGCGCGGCGACGGGGACAGCAGTGGCGGCGTCGACGTCGTCGATCAGGAGCTGTCCCTGCCCGTCGCTGCCACCGTGCAGGTGCAGCAGGCCGAACAGAGTGGCGACGAGGCTGGATTTGCCGGAGCCGGTGCGGCCGCAGATGCCGATTTTCTCGCCGGCGGCGATGGTGAGGTTGATGTTGTGGAGGACGAGGGTGGGGGGTGGAGGGGGTGGTGCTGGGGTGGATGCGGATGATGGGGATGGGGGTGGTGGTTGGTAGCTGGCGGATAGGTTGCGGAAGGTGATGGAGCCGTGTTGGGGCCAGGAAGGCGGTGGTGGTGGGGATGATGGAGAGGAGGAGGAGGAAGCGGGACGTGGTGTTGATTCCTGCGGCGTCTGCGTCGAGAAGAGCCGGATGCGGGCGACGGCGCTGAGAGCCGTCTCCAGCTCCGTCCAGGTGGTGATGAGGATCTGGATACCGCGGCCGAGATCCATCTGGCGTTTTTGCAATCCGCATTAGTTGAAGGGTTTTCCTTGGGGGGTGGAGTAGGGGGGGAAGAGAGAGGACTTACAGCCCCGACGAGCGCGAGACCGAGGTATCCAGCATCAATCTTGTCACGCAGCACGATGGCCAGGCCGACAAGCACGACGACCAGCCCAGCGACCATCAGCTGCAGTACGAGCCGCAGCCAGTTCTGGATGGCCTGCAGCAGGTAGAAAGGCACCTGCGAGACGTCGAGCAGGCTATCGCTGCGGGCGCTGAACGCCGCGCGCCATCCGAAGGCTCGCACCGTCGCGATGCCCCCCAGCGTCTCAAGGAAGTGCGTGCACAGCGGCGCCTTGGCCTCCAGGTCCATCAGCCGGATCTGCCGCGACGTCCGCAGGTAGACGCGCTGGATCACGTAGCCGATGCCTGCCAGGAAAGGGAGCAGCGCGGCGATGGGCGGCGTGGCGGCGATGAGGATGGCGAAGTTGGTGATGTTCTCGAAGAGGTCTGCTGCCCGTTAGCAAGTGAAAAATGGGGGATTTAAAGGGGATATCTGTGGCTCACTGTAGGTTGAGTCAATCCAGGCGAACGCGAGAGACGTGTCGACCATCACAATGTCTTGGGAGAAGCGGTTCGTAATCGAACCGACGTCTGTTGTGACGAGGTACGAGAACCGGGCACCCATGAAGGCCGCCAGCTGCTGTGCGTGCAACGACAGGCTGGTGCGCGGGCAGAAGACCATGGTGAAGTGCGTTATGGTTGCCGCCACGAAGAGGACGGCGACCGCGGTGAGGGTGGTGAAGATTCCGATGCTCTTGCGCAGAGAGTCGTCTGAACCGCTGTCCTTTGCTAGCTCCTTGAGCCAGATGTACTGCAGCGCGGTGCCGACTTGTGCCAGGATCATCAGAAAGAAAGATGTCGCGACAGTTCTCTTGCCTATGGATTTGAGATAGTACCCAAGTGTGCGCAAGTCGCCGGATCTTCTGTCGTACCCATCTTCTGGGTCGAAAACCGTCACAGCCGTGATGGCTTCTGGTTTTCTTTCTTCCGCCGTGTCTTCAAGACCGTTGCCGTCAAGATCAGAGTCCGAGGAAGAGTCTGAATCCCCACTGTGTGGGAAATACGATTCCAGCAAGGCTGACTTGGAAGCAATTTCGGCATAGGGGCCATTTGCAACAACTCGGCCCTCGGAAATGATGACGACCTTGTCTGTCTGCGGAGCCCAGCGGACTGAATGCGTCGATAGAACTGCCGTGCGTTTTGTCTTTCGCAAAAGCCCGTCCCGGCCGAAGACGCGAGAAAACACGAGACTCTCCGTCGTGTTGTCAAGGCCGGAGAGCATGTCGTCGATGACAAGCACGGGCTTGCGAGAATACAGCGCACGCGCGAGTGCAATCCTGTTCTTCTGGCCTCCAGAAAGCGAAATACCACGCGATCCAACCATCGAGGCATCACCCCTCTTCAGCTCTGCAAAGTCTCTCTTGAGGCCGCAGGCCCAGGTTACGGTGTCGTACCAGCTCTGCTCGAAATCGCTCTCACCTAGAACGTTCTCGCGGAGCGTCGCGTTGCGCAACCAGGGTGTCTGGGCGCAGAAGGCGATGCCAGAGCCGTTTGTCCTAAACGTGCCATTGAAGAGATCCGTCTCGCTGATCAGCGATTGCAGAAGCACGGACTTGCCGGAGGCGACCTTCCCGATGACCATGGTGAAAGAGCCTTCGTCGATCTCGAGAGTGATATTGTGGAGGAAAGGTTGCGTGTGACTAACGCCGAAGGAAGCATTTGACAGTTCGAAGGCTTTCGATAGCCTACTTCTGTTGTCGAGCGCCCTGAGTTCGACATCTCCCGACATAGACGTCCTGATTTCGGCACATTCGGAAATTTCGGTACCCTCTCCGCCTGTGAGATAGACCTGGATGCGGTATAGAGAGGCGGCAGCGCTTTGGAATGCCGGAATACTCTCAAGTACGCCCAGCATGGGCGAGGTCACCAGCTTCAGCGCAGAAAGAGAAGTAAACAGTGTATCGAAATCGAGGCTGTGGCCGCTGTACAGCGCGATGACGGCGAAAGTCATATATGTCGAGAACAAAGCGACCTGGAAGATGAGGTTTGCTGCCATTGTCAGAAGAGAATCAATGGCTAGAGACTGTGGGAACTTACAAGCGCTCCATACCCACGTCATCAATTTGAAAACAAACCTATCTCCCAGGTGAGTACATCTTCAAGGCATGTGGTGGCTTTACATATTACCGTTGGGCTGAGACTTCATCAACTCTTAACTCTGTCACCAACTTATGCACCGCGGCAGTCAGGCCGAGCATACGAATCCCCTTCGCCGATGAGGCGACGTTCGCAATCGCCGTGACGCGCTTCTCGGTGGCCGCGTTCCAATTCAGCTGACGCTTCTTTACGCCGCGACCAATGCCGGAAGACAACAACGTGGAGAGGAAAACCACGACTAGCGGCGCCACGAATGCTGCTCCGAGCTTCTGGTACAGGATGTACAGGGAAATGACAGCGCTGAAGGTGACGGCCCAGATGTCGTGCATGTTCTTGACGCCCTGTAGGACCTTCTCGACGTCGACGTTCATAAGTACGGTTGCAGAGCCCAGGCTAACGTCCTGTGAAGAGATCTGGAGGGCTTTGTGATATATTGTAGAGATTAGGACCAAGCGGAGCTTGACCGAAAACCGCGCGACGTTTTGGGCATACCACGAAGAAAATACAGCGAGAAAGGTATAGTTTAGAGCGAAAGCTCCCAGTAACCCATACCCTTCATTATTTGTAGCGCTGTTGACTGGCTTCTGGACGTACGTGATCATAGCAGAGATAAGAAACGGCTGGGCTAACGTTGTACCCATGTACAGAAGTCTTGCACTTCATCAGCAGGTGTTGGTTCACAACGGGTAGGCTTACAAACCTGGGAAGCACAGGCAGGAAAATATCTTTCCTTAGCACAAAGCAAATGGTGCGCAACAGGGCATTCTCTCCAATCTGGTTTTTCGGGTTGTCCCAATGTCTGTGAAAGCGCTCACGTAGGTCCTGGGAGATCAACTCGTCATCGATTTTGTGCAGATCCTGAGGACGAAGAATCCTGCGGTACCCTGGGAAAAATCAGCTATCGAACCTGAATGAGATATGTGCGGTCCTCACCTGCTCTAAAGAGGTCGTTCAGGTACCAGAATAATCTCTGCCCAAACAAGCCAATCAGTTCCTCTGGGGATTTCCGTTTGTCCAGTTCAGAGACAAGGAGATCTGTCTTGCTCAATGATTCCAGAAGCAGCAACATCCCTGTCAGGGCAGTGTGTAGTGACGCGGAGCTGACTAGGGCTGCTTCGTACTGCATGAGAAATAGCGTCCTTAGTCGGACGGCATCGCAGATGAACAGCAAAAGCAGGAAGAATTGGAGCAGATGGCTAGGCCTTACGGCTCTGTAATGCTCTAGCCGCGAAAGGACCACGATGCACCAGGAGGAAAGAAACTCCAAGCATGCTGAAGCAATGGAGGTATTCGTCTTGTACGTGTCCAACTGTGCCCAAAGAGCAAACAACAGCGTGCTGGAAATGGCGTACAGCGTGCTCACAACCTAAAAATGTCAGTGATATGATTTCTAAAGAGTCCTCAAGAGTCGGTACCAGTTTCAAGAAGCCGAGGTGGGTATTCTTTGCAATGCGGACCTGACGACGCCGTAAAGTCAACAGGCGCACAGGGGCCAACAGCAGAAGGATCGTCTGCGGCAACAGGCCAAGCACGCTTTCCTCAAAGGTTAGGGTGAAGTCGAAGCCTCCGCGACAAGCACCGACCCCCGGCCCGAACGAGCCATCGGAACCGCAGACCTGGCTCATAGGTGCGTTGATCTCTGCGTTGATGTTTTTGATGGGGATTATGGCCCCCAATCCGATTGCAACAAGCGAAGCAGCCTCGTTCGAGAGAGAAGTATTTGTCGTCCGTTCCTCTGAGTAAGATTTTTGGGTTGACAATGAGGTACTCTAGTGTGGTGGAGATGCTGCTGTTCAAGAACAAAGTTTCTGCCTGGACGCGGCTCCGTGCAAGGAAGGGAGTGGTCCGATGCTGGGCGTTGCTTATTCGCCTGCCTAATCAGATGCCCCGCATTGCGTTATCAGCCAGCAGAACGCGGAATGGCCAATCCCGTTAAACGTCAATTGAACTCCGCATCTTTATTCCGTACATAATTGCTCTCAATTCAAACTCCGAAAATCCCCTCTCCGCCTCCTTCTCGTCTTTTATTCACCTTCCGAGGTAATCTGATGTGGTTCATATCGAATTGATCTGCGGCTGTTTAACAAATCTTAAATTTAGCTCACGGGCGTGAAGACTTTTAGCGCTGTTGGCTTGCTTGAAAGATAGTTCGTCTTCTACTAACCATGAACCGGGTGGACAGTGAGACACGCCATCCCTTCATAGGAACTTGCTCCGTCAGCAAGCGCCTGGGACAATCCCTGATCGAGGCCAACATCGGCTCACGACCTTTTGTTGCGGCATTGCGTCTATGTAGGCAGTAGCAGCAAATTTATCCTCTCTCTGGTTTGCAGCTCCGCTGCGCAAACCCCCAGCGTCAACTCTTGTGATAGGTTCGTTCTATTCTGTGGGTTTTCACCGAGAACTCGGCGGAATCAGAGAGAGTAAATCAGATGCGTCACCTTATCCAGTTCTGTGAGTACCGGCATGGTTGCCCTTTGTAGAAAATAGCCCTTGTTCCTGAAATAGGGTGGGTGCTAGATCCTAAACGGGGGTATCAGTGCTTTGCTAATGCTACAACATGTTACTCGCAACAAACACAGGTCCGCTGTAAAAACAAAGTGAACCTGTTCAGGATAGCTGGCGCCTTGAGGGGTCAAAGATGATCCGTTGGCCTCAGCCTTCAATAGAACATGCAATATGAGAGTGCCTCTCGCCTTGGCAAATAAAGGAAGTCAGTATTGACTGCCGCAGCTTACAACATAGATCGTGGGTCGCGCAGGTGAGCGGAACTGTGTATGAAGAGTGGATGCGGTGACGGTGAGTTGCTTTGGTGAGCCAGACTAGCGCGCGTGCCTTTTCGGGAAACCGCGTTCGAGCAAACGGCACCTGACGTAACGTCTCTCGCGGCTGCCTTCCAAAGCCAGATCGAAGCCTATAAAACCTCCGCGCGTCTTCAACTTCCACTCCGCATCACCAATCCCGCGTCCTCCACTTGCGTAACACCGGCTTCACTCTCAACTACTTGACCGTCAACTTCACCCTCCTCCGTCTTCATGTAAGTGCTCACCTCATTCTGTGAGAAACTCAACTCACTCAGTATCCTACAGCATGGGTTATTGGGGAGAAGGTCTCTTCCAGAACGACTCAGATCTGGATGTCGTCATACTCCTTGGACAGCATCTCGGCGTCGGAGAACTGTACTATCCCGATGACCCTGAGAAGCTGCGCCAAGAGCTCGACAGCGGCAAGCTCGAGGCTGAGTTTCGCAAGCTTCGCGATGGCGTCTATGATTCCGACGAGGAATTGAGCTTCTACGGCATCAAGACCACGATCGTTCTCCTTGCTGCCGTTGCCATGCGTCACGGTGCGACCATCTCCGACGAGTTCCGCCAGTGCGTCAAGGACTGCCTCAAGAAGCGTCTCACGATGCACAAGCGCGCCAAGGACGACATGCGTAAGGGTATCGATACATACCGCAACGGAGTTCCGCTCGACCTTGCTGGCATGGGACTGGATGAGGTGGTTGCAACCATGAGCGATACGCGCTCTCAAGGTGGTGCATCTAACCCGGCTGCTTAGAAGCACAGTTCCCTGTGGCGTGGACAAAGAGGCAACCTTCCGGCTGATGATGGTCTAACCTATCCGCCTATCCATATTCGCCTTGACCATGCTTCAATTGGTGCAAGACACTCAGATAAAATGGCTTCAATGAAGGGTTCTATGAGAATGGCAACTTCATGGGTAGCATATTCCCTTTCTAAAACAATCAATGAAAATCACATGCTTCCCAGTCCTGAACATTGTCATCGCATGCACGTTTTATGCAGGGTAAATAGATACGCGACCCGAGCTCCGTGCGCATCAGCTGCTTGAATGCCCGCACTTGCTCTTGCTGGGTATAAAATCATCTCCATCTTACATCCTACGAACCCACAACAACAACCCAGCTCTGACCACAAAGACCACTGCAGTGAATCTGCTCTACACCATGACTTTCGTGAGGCTTAGCTTCGAAGAGGAGAACGGCGACAGCCGCACCCACAAAGTCCCTGCTCGAGTCGTGCCAGACCACGAGGCATGCTTCACCCATGAATTCTCCTCTGGATGGCAGTGCTGACCATGAAGTATCGCAGAGTCTCACCACGTATGTCCTCAAGTACCTGAACCGAGAAGCATATGCGGAAGATGTCCATATACACACGAATCCGGGACCTTGCCTTGAGGAGACGCTGATCTACGCCGACACCTATGATACCGGCTGCTTCCAGAATGAAAACGCTGGCCAGGCAGAGATTCTCCACGTTCATCTGCGTCCCAGGAAGCGCGCCCGCACTCCGACTCCGACCGTTGCTTCGGTCCCAACCTCAACAACTGCTCCAGCTGCCCCAACCATGGCTTCAACAGTCGCTCCAGCCCTTGTCTCAATCCCGGCTTCATCCCCAAGCGGCGGCACACGCTTTTCGATGGATGATCTCACTGACGAAGCGGCGAGAAGGATCACGAATTGGAAAGATGGCAGACTTGTTGTTGGTCGTGTCAAGGCAACCGGAGCAGCTGTCTATGCTTACCTTTGCTGTAATGGGGCCGTCAAGTACTACGCGACGGAACGCAACCTGAACGGTGAACAAATGGATGCAAAAGGTGTGTTGGTGATGTACAACAAGGTCGAACTCTTCCCAGAGACCAACCAGCTGGAAATCCGCGAGAAACTCATGTCAAAGAGGAAGGCAATCGAGGAAAGGTGCAAAAGAGCAGTACGGGCTAAGGGCACTAGCTATAAGACTAACCATAGGCCTAAGCGACGGCTTATGGCATCGACAGCTCCTATGGTAAGGCGGGAAGCAAGTGTCTAATCTTCAGATCAAATGCCCCAAAGATGGCAGCAACGGTGGATGAGACGAGTATCAAATTGCTTAATATTGCGGAAGAAACAGATTGATGTTCGGTGTTTCCAGGAAAGTATCAAGGCCTGGAAGTTTTGGAAGGTTTGAATATATGGGGGCATTGGAGTTCGGCTTTGGTATTGGACACTGATCTCAGGGACACTTGTTGGAAAAGATGCGGCAGCATGTGGGTTAGGATTCGTCTTCCTCACTAGGAAGGAAAAATAAAGATGCTGGTTTTCAAGAAGACTATGCGGTGATTGGTTCTTGAGTGCGGCAGCAGACGTGCGCGTTGCTATGGGCGCGTTACTGTGCTGATGGACGCATCACGTGCTCCGACCACCGCGCACCGCGTCCTCCAGGTACCTACATTTGCGACGCCGACAGCCTTACAACAAACACTCTCTTTCCAAGCCACCCCAAGATCTCGCTGCGCCGCGTCCACCGTCAACGATCGTAGCGCCTCATCAAGAAGCAAACTTCTCGTCGACTACAGTCTCCGCAACTCTGAGACGCAAGTCTGCCACGCGCCGATCAAGACTATCCAACAGCACCCGACGCGCTCGAGATCTTCTCATCGATATTGCGCAGCCAGCTGTGTCTGCAGCCACCCTGCGCGTCTCCAGCTTTCTGTGGCCACTTGAAAGCACCGCGAGCTGCTACATCTGCTGTCATCACTGGACTACACTTGCGCCGACAACCTCTACCAGTCTTGCAACCGACCACCTCCAAGGTTTCTACGGTTCATCTCGTGTGGTGGCCATAAAGCAGCTGTTTCTTGTGCCTCGAAACGCCCAGCTCAGCAAGCCAACTCCAGATATTCTGCCTTGGGCCGTGGCTCTCCCCTTCTGCGAACACTTTCGCGCACTTCCCCACATCAGCGCCACCACGCATTTCAGTGCGCGCCATCCACTTTCCAACCTCCGCTACAGAGACATCCAGAGGTTGCTGGCTCAGATACTCTTGCCCCAAAGCTCCTCGACGTGAGATCTCCTCTGCAAAGCGGCCACTACCACTTTGGGCTCCACGCAAGCCACACTTCAGATCATCACCACATCTCCTGTCAGGCATTCCTCCTCAAGGTCGAGTCAACCTACTCCTTATTAAGCCACGCATTACTGTCGACGCGTCTGCAAATCACAACAGCACGTCCGAGATCCACCTCTTTACGGCGTACACTCTAACGGCACACTGCTGGATTTCTACCGAGATATTCCATCTCACAACACACACCTTCCAAGCACTCAAGCCACCAACGAATAATCGTTGGAGGAACATCTCGACACTCCATCACCCACATCCAACCCGACACCCACCCACCCCACGTCATCAAAAATGACCACCACCTGGATCCGCCTCAGCCTCTACGGCGGCGACGAGACGACAAATACGTTCCTCATCCCCACGCTGAACATCTCAACCTACTCCGTAAGTCCTACTTCTCTACCCTCCTAAGAACAGAAGAAAAAGCCATTTATGTTTCCTAACAGCGACCCCGAAATGAACAGGACCTGACCAAGGCCATCCACTCCATCTTCCGCATCTCGGCGGAAGCCTTCCCGTCCTTCGACGTGCACACGGAAAACGACTCCGAGTGCGACAACGAAGCTGTCTTCCTGCTCTCCCCGCACCTATGGGACCTCGGCCTCTACTTCTCGCACGCGCCAGAGAAGGCCGTCGAGGTCTTTGTGCACTTCAAGCCGCCTTCTGCTGCGCCAGTGCAGGAGAAGGAGGAGGAGCAGCCGGCTGTCGGTTCGCCGATCAAGTCCCGCGCCGCAAGCCCGAAGGACGAGCAGCACCAGCACCAGGAGTGGTCACAGGACGAGATCGACGCCGCAGAGGCGCTGCTGGCGCTGAGCCGGGCGCAGCCTCAGCCAGCGCCACAGCTGTCCCCAGTGCCGCAGCACCCACAGAACAGCAAACGGGCCCGCAACAACAGCAACAGCAGCAGCGACAGCAGCTCGTCGGGCAGCTCGCCCATCGTCCGCAAGCGCCCGCGTGCCCGTTCTCTTGCCGGTGCCCCTCCCACGCGCCATGAGCCATCCTCCTCCAGCTCGGCGCCGCTCTCCAGCGTCCCCTCCAGCGTCCTGTCCAGCCCGCCCGCAGACGACGTGCTGGACGCGCAGGCGGTGGACCTTCAGCAGCAGCAGCAGCAGCAGCAGCAGCAGCAGCAGCGCGAACTAGACTCCCCCGTGGCAGTGCAGCAGCAGGACCAGGAAGAGGAGCAGCAGGGTACCCCGCCAGCACCACCAGCGCCGCAGACCGTCACCCTCCACCTCCGCTACCTCAACCGCATGACGCGCTCGCACGGCGCGACGGTGCCGGACCTGGTCCTGCGCGCGGTGCCGGCAGCGCGGCGGCTGGCGGACATGGAAGACGTGGTGAAGAATCATGCGTGCGAGGCGTTTCTTTTGCTGACGATGGGCGCGGGCGAGGGTGGTGGTGGCAGCAGCGGGCGCGGTCGCCGCCGGCAGAAGCAGAAGCTCACACAGAGGCAGGGTTTGGAGCTTGTGGAGTGTCTTGCGGTTAGGGTGGTGTTGGATGGATTCACTGGTGATGCGTTGAGGGAGAGGAAGACGGTGGGGGAGTATGCGGTTGGGGAGGAGGGGGAGGAGGGGGAAGAAAAGGTGGTGAGGGGGACGGTGGAGATGTGGAGGGAGGAGCATATTGCGATGGAGGTGTTGAGGAGGGAGTCGCCGACGGGGGATGGGGAGTAGATGGTGGACAGGCACTCGTGATGGTTCTTTCGTGGTCTGGGGCGCGATGAACGTTTCTGCTATTCGTGGAGGACAGTTGGGCTGGCTACTGGACACTTGACGACACTTGATGGCTGTTTCTCTGTATTATTATTTGTTTTTATCACTGTACTACTACTGTACTAATGTTTACATTTTGTCCAACCTGTAACACTGATTCCTTACGCATCCGTCCCTGTCAAAGATTCCGGGCTTAAGAAGCAATCATCTTCTAGTTCTTGTTCATTCTCCTCCCTTCCAGACGGGCTGTCTGTCTTTGCCTACTGAGGCTGCACTTCAGAAGAATACCAAGGTTGTGAACTTAGATATTCCAACTCTAATGCATCAAAGCGGAGGTACTACTGACGCTCGCTCGGCAAGTGATTACTCAAGCCATCCGGCCATTCCGGGGCTTCCCGAGCGGCATTCGACACTGTATCAGGCGACCGGCGGGCGAGCGGACAACTCCGTCCGCATTGCCCATTCGTCATGTCATCAGTCGTGCATGGACCAGCACATTTTGCAGCCCAAGCGACTCATTTGCGCATCCGCGGGCAAAGTGACCAGAAAAGAGAAAAGAAAAAAGCAATAGTGACACAGAAAAAAGCCTTGCAGTAAGCCGGAGGTTGTTCCCGAGACAGGTGGAGACAGGTTCGGGGTGGAAAAGCCTTTGCTGAGCAAGATGAATGTTGGAGCAAAAGGTGGGTCGATTAAGCGGCGGCACGGCACGGGCAGCCGAGATGGAGAAGGTGATGGCGGATGCAGCACAAGCCGCTAGCCCGAAGAGGTAATCTGCCAAGCAAGTCGAGCGCGCCGCGCCGACCGATTGGGTGTATGCACGAGTACGCTGTACGCACTCGAGCTTGTTGGTCAGGAAATTCATTTTACTGTCACGGGGGGGTCACGCGCGTCCAATATGCGGCCTTTTTCACGTGGGAAGCGCTTGGGCTGAACGCCTGAACCGCACGACACGTAGGGAATGCGAAGGATGCCGTAAGTGTAATCCCCAAGCTCAAGATCATCTCTCCCCGCAAAGCGCAGGTACTCAGACTATCACGCAATAGCGTCTCCGTGCTCCGAGATCTCCCTCGTCCTCGCCGCAGCAGCTACCAACTCCGACGCATCGACATGGTCCAAGCGTCGTGATAACAGCTGTGCTATAATAGCGCAAGTGACGTCTGTTATCACCAAATATAAGCTTAAGTATTGATGAAGATCTTGCATGCTACATTCAGATCGCATCGAGGGCGCTAGTCTTTCCAAGCAGAAAGAATTTCAGTTTGCTTGAACCTTCTTCCCGCCTTTACGGGAATGCCCATGGCTCGTATGCAACTCAATACTTCCCCAATCACACGGCACGGAGACGGTGTAAGCGACCAACTAACACAACAGCCAAGCCACACTATCAGTTTCAGCCATGACACGACGATGTGGTGTACGGCATCAAGGCTCGCTTAAAGCAGACATGCTGCATCGAACCGAACTCGAAAAACTTTAAACTAACTTTCATGTTGCGTCGGGACCTTCCTCATCAGTGCCATCGTATTAACCAACACGACCCCATACTATATCCAAAGCCACCTTGACATCTTCCACCGGCATGACCCGACGCTATTCTCATCTCTTCCGCCTGTGTGGTAAACTGATGTCGTGGATGAAACTTTGTCGAAAGTGCCGGGACTAGCATCGGCAGTGATTGTTGCCCTATGCGACATGCGTGAACGAAAGCATCACAGAAAATTAGGGCGGCTGCAATTCTAGAATTCCACTACTGAAAGCCACATGAATTGTCTACATAGCGATGAACGCCATTCAAGGAAACGGGGTATCCATACTGGCTATTCTGTACTGTGCAATACTTATTACGAAAAGCGCTATGCTATCCGCCGTGACGATAAAAGTATAGAAAAAGTTTTGTTCAGTGAGATGAGGAAACAGAGAAAAAGTTTTTATGGTATCCAGTGAGAAAAATGAACAAAAAAGAACAATAAGGGCTTATTTCTGGTAGTACTGGTATTTTCAGCCCTTCCACCGGTTCTATTTCCCCCCTTCCGATGATGTAGAGTAAAAAAAAAAGGAATTTTGATATTTGAGACTGACCTCCTGAACCACCGACCTACCAAATGCTACAAGAGAAAAAAAGACGAAGGACTGTGTATACGATAATGCAGCAAGCCGCCCAGTCGACACTCATCCACCAGGGAAAACTCAAACCAGAGCGCCAAGCAAGGGGAAAAAAGGTACTAATGCAGTCGGCACGAAACTCAAGAAGAGAAGAATGATGCCAAGACCAGAGCTTCTCCACAGTTCATCATGTGAAGTAAGCAAGACTGCCTGACAGCAGAAATAGAGGAACAAGGAAATGGCAAGGGACGACTCCCCCTCCTATAAAGAAGAAAGTTGATCAAAGACGGAGGGTATTGTAAGAACGTGACGTGCAGGTTGATGTGCACGAGAGTTGGTATCACCACGCTCGAAGAGAAATAGAAAAAAACGAAAACATAACGTGCATGCCGCGCCGTAAGGTCGTAACCAATTGCGGATAAGGATCCAGCTGAATCGATCGTATCCTCCCTGCAAGTAACAGATCAAATCCGAGAAAGAAAGAAACAAAACTGCAAACTCGAAGAATTAAATAGTTGTAGGTCGAGGCAAGTGAGGCCACTCGAGGCCGTGCCGTCAGTACTGCGATCTTACCAGCCTCGATGGTCTGTGCCAATGCAAGCGCCGCTGTCGTCTCGGATGGTTCCAAGTCGCAAACCTCAAGGGGCTTCTAAAAAACAAACCATCTATAAATCAGCGCACTGGAGAATCAAAAGCACTCATGAGGCTGCTATAGGACTGGGCGAGAGCAGAGGCGGACATGTCATCCTCGTCTTTGCACGCTCCCTCATCACCCTGCCCCTCTTCCTTCTTAGCTGCCTCTTCGGCCTTCAGACGCTCCTCGCGCTCTTTGTAGATCTTGTCCCTCATCTCATTGGCATAGTCGAGCGCATCGATATAAGTCTTGAACTTGACAAGCTCACGCAAAAGGTAGGCAGACTTCTTTTCAAAGTTGGCCATAGCCTTGGCGGCATTCGGATGGCGAGGCGAGAACTGGACGAGTTAGTACGTTTGACTTGAACAGAGACGAATGGTAAACTTACAGCGATCATCAAAGGCGCCCTCAGCTCCTGGTGTCTTTGCATCTCCTCCTCAACATTCTTGACATACGCTGACAGGGCCTTGTGCTGATCAACTTCCATAAGGTTGCTCGCCATCATGCTCTGAGTCGGAGGCGTCCAGTCAGAAAGGACCACCTTGTCACCCGGGAGACGCGGCTTCATAGTGCCATGATCCATAGAGCTGCGAATAGAGCTCTGGATGCTCTGTCGAGGCGCATTGTTCCCAATCGTCGTTGGAGAGCTCTCTGGCCTGCTGATGAGTGCCATGTTGATGACGTTGTCACTCCAGCCGTACTCGATGTTGCTGACACCACCGACGAGAGGTTCCTTTGACAAACGCGCGGACCAGTAGTTTGCGGTCTGAACGTACTCTCTCACAATGTCCGCAGTGCCTGCTTGGAACAGGTGCACCGCACCGGTGGGGAGCGAGAGCGCAAACACGTGCGGCCTGGTCTTGGAGTATCCCGGAGGCGGCAGCGTACTAGCCATGGTTTGTCGTAGCAAGAACGAATGGAGTTCTTCCGCGTTGTCGGTCCAGTTGCCACCGCCCACAACGCTATGAGCAGAAGGTCTCCTCTTGGCCTTCTTGGCATTCATATTGAAAGTAAAGACCTTCATGTAGCCCTTTTCAATGACGGCGAAGACCTCGTTCCAATGGCGGTCCTTGGACTTCTTGTCCATGGCCTCGAGGTGGTGCTTGTGCTTCAAGATACCTTCCTTGGCCCACGGTGGGCCGTGAAGCTCGAGAGACTCATCTTCAAGAAGGGGAGCAGTACGGCCGTACTCTTCGTAGCTTGCAATGGTGTGGTTCTCCTCATTGCCTTCCCGAATGATGGCTTGACTGAGCGCATTTGCAAATCCAATCGACTGTTGGTAGTCGGGAGGAGAAAAGTGCGTCCCTAATGAGTCCACAGACATGGAGGTGCCAGTCTTGCCCATGGAGTAAGTACTCCACTTGCTCGAGCCAGCCGGGCTGAACACGGATTGGTCGTCCAAACTGGTTCGGCTCGAGCCAATCGTAGAGTTGGGGTACAACTTTGGCCTCGAACGAGTCTTTGAGTTCCATCGAGCAGTTGCTGCGCGGAACTCGCTGTGACGGCCGCGGTAGCTGGTAGTATCCGAAGGGGCTTTGCTGAGAACAGACGGTGTCCGTCTGAGCACTCCAGTAACGGAAAGGTTGTTCGATGACTGTGCTGGAGTGGTGTCGACACCGTGCAACGGAAGCTTTGAGCTCTTGATCGAGCTGTAGAACTCCTTCAGGACAATCTCAACCTGAAACTCCCAAGCCTTCATCGAGCCCTCAAACGGAGCTTTGACCAGGACAGTGCATGCATCGCCGGCCCCAGAGTCCGGATTCGTAGGATAGCCCTCCGGATCCATGCGAAGCCCCATGGCCGGTCTGATTGAAAGGCGGTTCTTTGATCTCTTGGTGTTGAGATCCACGGACGGCCGCTTCCTATTTTCAAAGGTTGGTGATATCGGGGTAGAGTTATCCTCCACAGGTGTCTGGCTTCGGGAGTGGGTGTGCTCCTCGGCTTCTTCCAACTCGGCATCAACGACGCTGCGAATGGTCGGTAGCGTGTTCTTCACGAATTGACCGCGGGTCATCCTCGACTCGATATCCGCCATATGGAGATCGGTATTCAAAAGAAGCAATGAGTAGCAGATGGTGTGAACCGCGCCTATACCACAGTTAGCATGGATGAGAAGCTACAAAAATTGAGATGTGTACCTGGTGACTTGAACCCGTGATTTGGATTGCATTCGCACCATCTGTTGGCGAACGAATCCAAAATACGGTCCACTTGCTGAGTCTCTCCTTTCAGGACTAGCCTGTTACACAAATCCCGCATGGCGAGCAGAATGCTGAATCCGGTCCATTCGTAAATCTCCATGTAAGCCTTACGACAACGTGCGCTAGCGATGGTGTTCTCGCCAAGCCATGCTGCCGCCTTGCCTTTCGCAAGGAAATTCTCGTCGCCATCGTAAATTTGCTGCGCCTTCTCACGGTCCTCGTCGGTTGGTTCTTCACTAGCCGTAGCAGGAGCCGTGCGTACGACCTCTGCCGAAGTTCTGACATCGCCACCCTCCACCTGCACAATAGGGAGGCTCGATGCGGATTGATAAGCGTCGCTGGGAGTGATGGGGGAGCGATCGGCAGGAGAGTGTTCAGACTTGGCGCCTTCCAGGGGCAGGGAGAGGGAGGTTTGTTCGAGTTTCTCTTCCGAAGATGTCGGTTCGAGCCAGACTCGGTTATTCTTGCCATTGATGTCACTGTCGGCAGTCTCCCTTCTGGACGGTGTCGTAATGACCCAGCCTTCCTCATCAGTACCATCTGCAAACCTCTGCCCGGCTGAGGAGCTCGGATGCGCATCCGTCCTCTTCTCGCCAACGTTCGCTTTTTGTCGGGGCCCGAGGTTCTCCTTCGCGGACGACGTGTGTTGGGTCGACGCGTTCGGGCTGGTGGCAGGCCGTCTGGACTGCTCAGGCACGTACATGTTTTGGCCTCTTGAGGGAGCTGAGAGATGGCCGGCTTTATCTTCTTGCTCGCTGCTGTCGGCGAGGAAGGAAGAATCGTCGTTCGCCCTAGCGGATCCCCCTTTTCCGCGCCTCACCTTAAGTTTATACTTGGGACTGTCGACGGTGCGGTGGTGCAAATCCTGAAGGTCCTCGACCGCAGGTGCCACTCCGTCGTCTGTTCCACGCGATCCCGGTCTGACGGTTCGGATGGTCGCATCCTTGTGGGGCGTGTATTCCGGTGAGAACCCACCGGGGTGGTCGTCGCCGTCGCCCACGGGACTCTGCAGCTCTCTAGTGTCGTAGTACGCCTCGCGGGGGGTTGCAGCCTGCTGATCAACCAGATAATCCTTCATCGCATTTCGTAAGCTGCTCGCTGCCGGACTGGGTAACACCGAAGTTCCGATATCACCTACTCGCTGAACTTGTACAGGCACCGGGGGTGGCAAGGGATCCTCGGTCACAGACTTCTTTCGCCTGCGGAAGAAGGAGGAATTCTTCTTGGTGAGGGTCCTCGGTTGTTGTTGGGGGTCGGTGGGCTGCTTCTGCGGTTGTGTTATTGAGCTTTGACGGACGGCTGGTCTGGCTCCGTTCTGGGGAGTATAGTTCTGGGCAGGTGTCGTTGAGGGACGCTTCGCCTGCTCTGGAGATCGGGTGTCGATAGGTGGCAGCTGTGGCGTCGCACGAGGCTCCTGAGGAGGCTGACTCCTGCCACCTCCAAACACACGACTGAAGAACCCACGGCGCTCCTTGGGCGGCTCTTTGGCCTGTGGTGTCGACGGCGGCTTGCCTGGTGTCGTGTTATCCGCGAAAGCAGGAATTGGCGGGAGTTCTCGAATGTTGACCGCATTGACGAACTCGGTGGCTTGGGCCCGGATGCTCGCGTCTGGGCCCCGTGCCTTGCCATTCCACGGCCCCTTGCTTGACGACGAACGAATACTGTTTCGCCTTGACGACGGTGCCGGAACGGCGGGAACATGGACCGGCAGGGACCCGAACGGCGATTGCTGAGACGCATAATCGAAGTGCGGCGCGGGAGACGGAGGATCCTCGAACCTACGCGGCCTCGTCGGGATGGTCGGCGTCGGCGCAGCATCGTAAGCGGAGAAGTCGAGGACATTCGGCCTACCTCTGTTCAGGACTGAACTGTACACCGACGAAGGCGACATTTCGTCGCTGCCGAACGGGCGGCGGTCGTAGCCGTTGTCGAAGCTGGCGGACCGATTGGTGTGCCTCGAGCCAGGAGGAAGAACCTGAGTGCTGTAGCCATAGTCCATGCTGGACGAGGAGCTGCCTTTGCTTCCCCTCCCTCTGCCATGCTGCGCAAAAGCGCCCTCGCCGTAGACGGGTTTTCGGGCGGTGTCGGAACTCATCCTTGCAGAACCATAACCCCTGCTTTCTACTTTGTCCAGGTCGGAACGGAAATTGCTGGTGCTATTGCTGCGGCGGCCGCGGAGGGGCGCATAGCGGACGGAGGAATCATCGTGAGGGTCGTAGTCGAGCGAGGGCGAATGGGTGTGGGCCGGGCTACGGAAGTGCGGCGGCGGCGAGAAGCGCGACACGGAGGACTGGAAGGGTTCCTCAGCGTCGTCGAAGCCGTTGTACATGCCGCCGAAATGGGCAGGGCCGGTGTGGAGGCTGTCGAGCGAAAGCAGCATGTTGTCGACGACCGACTCACGCGTCACGTCCCTGAAGTGAAGGTCGTGCGAGTCGCGCGACATGATTGACAGCTCGGTGGCTCCGCTGCGTCTTTTGTCTACCGGCGTATCATCGTCGAAGAAGGTCGTCTCGTTCGCGGCTTGGTGAGTCTCCAGGGCGCGCATTGGAGCCTTGCCCTTGTGCTGGGTGGGCGTGCGCGGCGGCGAGTCGTCACGCATGGCTCCTTGGGTTGGGGGATAGTTCGAAGCTTGTGGCGGGAGGGATGGGTCGCGAGCTTCCATAGCGCGGCCTCATGGGCGTCGCGCAAAAGGGTTCTGGCGCACAGGACTCCGTGCTGCAAGCGGCCAATGGGCTGGAGAATGCGCGCGGGAAATTGCAGTTTGACGATGCAACTGCTGCGTGATGCCCCTGGAGAGCGATCCGCGTGGTGCAGCACTGGCCAGCGGGAAGGGTGAGCTCAGCAGCCGGCAGCGATGGCGGAGACCATGTCCATGGTGTGGTGTAGCACGCTGCGGGGCTAGCAGCACGGTGGTTTTGCAAAAGTGCCCCTGGATGGCTGCGCGCGCCTAGCAGCCATTAAGACGGCCGCGGCTATAGCACGGTCGAAAGCGTCGCCGTGTGCGTCCCTGCTGCAGCCACGGCCAGCTGGGACGCGACGATTTGCGCGCTCCCCCAAAGCGCCGCCTGTCAGGGACTGCCCTTGCGTCCACGTCGCCCCATCCTGCAGCGCATCAAGAGCTCCGCAGCGGCCGGCCACGTTGGATCCTGGCGATCGCCCGCTAGAGTCTCACCAGAGCTGCTCCAGAGACCGGGTTGGCTGTGCCTGGCCGCGATGCGTGCCACCGAGACACCCCCTGTCAGCCACTTCCCGGCATCCCAGCGCCGCTCGGCGAAGCGATGGATGCACTCGTGGCTCGGCATAACGCGCGTGGCCAAGAGCCAGCACCACACCCTCCCGCCGTCCGGACGGACGAGCCAGGCCGGTGCTGCATCCGCAATCGCGCACGCGCGCGCTCTCGCCCCTACCTACGCGAGCCCTCGTCCCGCGCTTTGAAACAGCGCTCGGGACCCATGCCGCCCGTTGCGCCTCTGATCGCCCAGCGAAACACGTTGTGCAACGCAAAACACCATCTTTCTCAGACACCCACAGCAGCGTGCAGCTCCCGACGGCGGCATCCTCAACCCCGGTCGCGGCTGCCGCCGTTGAACCTTCTTCGCCCCACGTCCTGCGGAGACCCTCCAGCACGGACTCGGGCCCCGCCTGTCTACATCGTCATTTTCTTTATCCTCATCCGTCTTTTCCCGCGCTCCTGCAATATTCGCCTTCTCCTCGACATTTCCAGCGTACCGCATCTCAACACTCCTCAGCTTCTTCCAGACTTTTCCCCCTCTCAGCCAATCACGTTTTATCAGGAGGCTTAAGCTTGACGTGAACTAACCTTCCTTCCGCCCGCATCCTCCGTTTTTGGGATCCTTTCCAAAACACTGGCTTGACAGCCAGTGCTCGGGAACTAGTCATGCCCTGCTTCCCTGCCTCGTGGGCCCTTTAAGCTTTTGCGCCATATCCGCCCTGAGCATCCATGCCATCAGCGTGGTCAACCCCTCCACCCACGAAAAGAAAAACCATCTTCCCCACTCAGTGACCCGACCGGCAGCCACCATGCATACAGATTCTCCAAAACCGGCGTGCTTTGAAATTTTGTGGATAGTGTTCCCGATGTAATGCTTGAATCGGACATATATCCGTCGTCTCGACTCTTTCTTGGCATGAACATCAGAGATCTAGACAACAACCCTTGTGGGAGCAGGTTTCAGGCGGAGGCAACTGCCGACCATGTCTCACCACATCTCCCGAAACTAGCTTCGGTTGCGGCAACTTCGGTTGTGCTATTGGTGCCCTACAAGAACAGAACCATCAAGTGAAAAAGCAATATGGGCTCCAGATGTTCCACTGATTTTTTTTTAATGGATCACGCTGATTGGTGTCTCAGTATTTAATAATCACGCTTCTTCATCCCACCCTAACCCTACCCTAAGAATCCTCGCCTACAAGGTCCACGGTCTGTTGGGCACCTACGCATGCAGACTACTTGTTGACACCCACTTTGCTAGGCGATCGTAATTGGCATTCAGGAAGCCTCACTTTTTTTTCTTCTTTTTATCACAAGCAACAGGAGATTGGCTCATGCGTACTGAAATCCTGGCAGTGTGGCACATCTCAACCATCTCTCGGGCCCGAATTTGCCCGGCTAAAGATGTGTTGATGTTCACCTCAATGACGTACAAGGAGAATACTCCGCGAAGCATTTAGCTCTCTTGGCATTCCCTCGCACTCGTATCTTACTCAAAGTCTCGTAAAAAAATTGATGCACAACACATCATTCCTCTCTAGGTCCGGGACTTGTCGGCTACCTCGTGGGCCGTCATCTTTCTCTTCTTTCAATAACGCTTGTCTTCGGTGTTCTTTCCAAGATTTATCTCTACTCCGTCATCACAAGCATCACCTTTCTCGATAAACTTCGGGCTCGAATCATAGCTTGACTAGCCACAAAGCCATGACCATCCTCCTGACCTGTGCGTAAGGTTGTGGCAGCATAGTGAATTATGGAAGGTGCGTGCTCACAAGATTTAGGCGCGGCAAAGGCGCCGCGCGTCCCGCTGCCTTCTGAGAGAATAGGCCGTATCTCTAGATTCTAGTGCTGCCTGCTTAGTAGGCATACCCGGTGTTGTTCATTCCATCATCCCTATCAGTTCATGATGCTCCGTCCGAAAAGTGCCCCGAATGAGGTCTTTGAGTTTATAGGGGAAATTGGCGTCAAGCCGGTCGGTCCGGGATTGCTAGCTAGCAGTAAGACAAGTCCAACCTGCATGAAAAAGAAATTTATCTAGCATAACAACCGGTGAGGGTAGTAACGGTGACCATGATAACTTCTACGGCGTATGGAGGGGAAGTTCCGCGCAGATCTGAGCATGTTTAAATCCACCATCAGCCACGGGCCTTGGCTCCGGCTATGCCTTACGGGCTGAAAATCCAAATTCTTGCGATAGCGCTTGTCGAGGAATGCTTTTATTAGTCATATTCTGTGCACCATCCCTGACATTAGTAATTTTGAAGTAAGGTTTGTTCACAATTTGGGATCATGTGCTCACGCGGCATCGTTGGAACAAGAATGAGAAAGTGAGCCTTGCATGAGGATGTGCCGGCATGACTATCAGCAACATCGTTCCCCGTTTCAGTACGATTAAAATATCCGAATTCATGGCAAAGCCGCAAGCTATGCAACCCTCTATACGCCGGATCATCGTGTCGTACCGTCATCCAAACAACATCCATTTCCAAGGGAGGAGTGCTGTTGTCCGGTTTGTCGCCACCCCTCTCGTTGCTAACAACAACAACGGCAAGGGGGAGTAGCAGCAGCTCATTTCTTGCCCGCCTTCTTCTTGTTGGCCAGCTTGTTCTTCTGCAGCTCCCGCTGGCGCTCCTGGCGCGCAATCTGCTCAGCCTTTGCCTTTTCGTGCTCCGCCCTCTCCTCAGCCTCGGCCTTCTTGCGGGCGGCCTCCGCCTCGCGGCGCTCGCGCACCAGCTTCAGCCGCTCCAGGTCCGCGCGCGCCTGGTCCGTCTTGCCCTCGGCGTGCAGCTTCTGGTAGCGCTCTTTCGCCTGCTGTGCCTCGAGCGCCTCGCGCTCACGGCGCGACAGCTGGCTGACGGGCGTGTCCTTTTTGGGCTTCGCGGCCGATTCAGACGAGTCGCCGGTAGTCGTCGTAGCTTGTTTGGCGGCCTTGGCGGTGTGGTTGGGGTTCGCAGGCAGGGCGCCCTCGTCTTCGTCGTCGGACTCCGAGTCTGACGGCGGCAGGTCGCCCGGCTCGGCGGCTCTGGCCTTCTGCTTCGCGATCGCCGCCTCCTTGCGCGCCTTCGCGGCGGCGCGGCGCTCCTCGCGCGTCATCTCCTGCTTCTGGGGCTTCTCGTCCTCGGAGGATTCCTCCTCAGAGGACTCCTCTTCCTCCTCCGAAGACTCGTCCTTCTTCTCGGCGGGTTCCTGGAGTGGTTGTTAGTTTGCACCGCGAGGGAGAGGTTGTGGGTAACGTACACCCCACATGCCCATTGCTTCGCCATCAGGGCCGATGGGCGCAAGATTTCTGCTGAAGTGCTTGCCACCTGCGGGTGAAGCAGTCAGAATCCGTGAAAATTTATAGCGGGTGCGTATGGGTGCGTACCGCCACGCTTCGGCTTCATGAACTTTCCGGCGCGACCTCTGGAAGACATGTTTGCTGAATGTGTGGAATTTCTGGTGCGGAGGTTCGACGATCACCGGCGGAGTGGGTTATGACTCGAGCAGAGCGCGGGGTTCGCAGCGAGTTTATAGTGTTCTCTGGACGCAGGCGTGGGTCGAAATAGGGGCCCTGGGCAAAAGTGCGAGCGGAGGTAGCGGCGCGTCGACGCGGTGAGTGTGTGGAAGGCGGAACAAATCAGGCGGGCGGTATTTGCGAATGACTGGAGGGGTCTTTTTGGGCAGCGAGCGAAACAGCGCTCGTTCTTTTGTCAAGCGTCTCTCCGGCCCGTACAGGCTTAGCGCTAGGGCCCGAAATCCCTTCAAAACTTCACGCAGCGCGGCCTCCAGACGTTTCTTCTTCAATACATAAAACTACAACCCTTCATATTCACTCCGAAATCCTTTACTCCGTGGGTAGCTGGAGGGGAAAGTGGAGGGAAGAGCGACGTTCGTCAGCTTACCCCTAGGCTCTTTTGATTATCTGTGAGAGCTAAGGAAATATTTTTGGCGATACATCTACGCGTCTGCAACCCTCTGGAAAGTTGCGCTCTGATTCAGGGATCGAATGATGGTCCGGCGCACCTATCACACTTTGGGCCAGCAGGCACAGTGGTGTTTACACGGGTGCTGAATCATCAAGGGAGTACCTTGTGATGTACTTGACAGGAATCGCAGGTACACGTCTGTTGTCGCCTAAGCCTCCGCATACTTCTCGAGGATAGCCGGAAGCTCTTCCAGGCTCTTGAGAACAACTGTCGGCTCACCCTGCGGCCCAGTAACCAAGGCATCCTGCCATCCTTTGCCAGCGCGATCCACCCATGCCGCCTTCATCCCCACCGCCCTAGCTCCGACGACATCGAAAGGGTTGCCGCTCACCAACCACATGTCGCCCATTTCAGTCGCCTTTTTGTCCACGCTTTCAGCAAGATGCATATAGACCTCCGGCGCAGGCTTGTACTTTTTGATCGGCTCGACGACCACAATGTCTGAGAATACAGAGGCATGGGGGGCGAGGTCGGGCGAATGATTGACGCTGTTGGAGACCATGGATTGAGTCCCGTTTGAGAAGACGACGGCTGTGATTGAGGCTTTGGACTTGAGGGCCGTGAGGCACGGGGCAATGTCTGGGAAAATAGAGAGGGAGTCGTAGGCTTTCATGAGGCCGTCAATGTCGCCCTGGGATAGCGAGACGTTCGACTCCGCGAGGGCGTGCTTCAAAGACCGCTGAGTGACAGCTGAGAAGGGCTCATACTGGTCTGGCAGAGCGTGTCAGCCGAAGGATGTGCCGTCTGCTGGAGGCTCTTGCATACTCATGCTGTTGAGTCTCCAAGTATACTCCAGCTGGTATTTTCTCCATGTTGCAGCTATAGTCTGAGCCTTGTCTTGTCCAAAGTGCTCTGCAAGCTGCTTGGCAATTGACTCGGTCGATAGAAGCGTGCCGTACGCGTCAAAGGCGACAATCACTTTGCCAGGCATGGTGAAGAGATGATAAGGCAGACCGGGTTTTAGAAAAGCGTATGGTGCCCTCAGTTTATTATCTCAAGTAATCATTGCGGATGAGAGGGCGCGGGGACTGAGGGGTCTTGCGGATAACCTAGGCACAGAGGGGCGCTGCAGCCGATGGCTAGCGCACGAATAGCAGGGCTCTAGAACAGCGTAACTAGGTATGCATCAGCTCTACCTTAGAAAAATAACATACCTATGGGGGTAGTTGAAGCTATTCGATTCCACATTCTCATCCGGACGATAGCTTCATCTACCCATGACATGGGCAAAAAAAAAAAACAAATCCACGCTAGCCATCGGCAGCGAGAGGGGGTTGTGGATGTAATCGCGGCTATGACGCAGGTCACCGCCGGTGTCCATTTCCGAGCCACCTCAATCCACCATGAAACTCCAGGCAGCAAACACCACAATCCTACTAAAGATCATGGCTAGATCTACAGCCTCCATCTCTTCACTCTTCAGCAAGATTGAGCACGAGATCCGGCAACATGATCCCCACTGACGAGGAATCCAACTTCTCCACCTTTCGCGACTGCCTCTCCGAGCCCGTCATCCGCAAGCTTGCCATCCAACCACCCAAGGCTACCAAGCGCCGTGGAGCCAAGAATCGCAAAAATGCAATTAAGCCCGTTCATCCAAAAGACGAGCAGGACGATACGCGTCAAAGCAACGACGCCGAGGAGCTCGGAGAATTCATAGAGGTACATAAGCATCCTCCGCCCCGCCCCGCTCTCAACTGACATCTCCACCCCAGTATCTCGCCCTCGAAATCTTCCCCTCCCTCCCAACCGACCTCCGCACACTCTCGTACGCAGCCACACAGGCCGACGCCTCCCTCGCCACCAAGTACGCCGACCCGCTCTCGCCGCAACTCCTCGACGCCATCACCGCCCCGCTACCCACCTCAGTCAGCGACTCGCTCACCTCATACCACCTCCTCCCCGCGGACGACGACGACGGGCCGACGGCAGCGCTTCCCGCCTTCCTCGGGCCGGTGCTAACAGCGTACGCAGCAACCGTCGCCGCACCACCGCCGGTGTGGGCGCAGACGCGGGCGGCGGCGTGCGAGCTGTGCGAGCGCGACTGGGTGCCGCTGACGTACCACCACCTGATCCCGCGGTCGGTGCACGCCAAGGCGGCCAAGCGCGGGTGGGTGGCCGGGGAGTGGGAGCTCAACAAGGTCGCGTGGTTGTGCCGCGCGTGCCACTCGTTCGTGCACTCGGTCGCGGGCAACGAGGAGCTGGCGCGCGAGTGGGCGAGCGTCGAGAGGTTGGCGGAGCGCGAGGATGTGCGGAGGTGGGTGAAGTGGGTGAGTAGGGTGAGGTGGAAGAGCAGATGATGAGATGGAAGAGCGGATGAGATTGATGGGGAGAGAAAAAAAAAAGAGATAAGCTTGGAAGCAATTGCCACCTGCCTAACGTTCCCCTATGTATTGGGCGGACGGAGTGTGTACTTTTTCAGGGCCGCGTGTGGCAGGGATGGGCAGGGATGGTGTTGTTCTTTCCCTGTCCTATACTAGGACACGATATCACGGCACATCGTGGTTGGTGTTGAGGGCCGTCGCGCCAAGCGCGGCACTCATTCCTCCTTCCAGATGGCGGCACTCGCGCAATTGGGATTTTCAAAGAGCCAACCTCACGAGACTGTCAGGAACCGTGGCCGTCCGACCCTTCGGAGATTCGAGCACCAGCGTCGGACGTTAGTGATATCAGCGGGATAGGAAGCCGACGCAAATTGCCATTCCAGCACCGATTTCGCAGCTGATAGGTCTGGTTTTGCGGGGTCCTGTTCCGCAACCGACGCCACCACGACAGCAGCGAATCTCCCAGTGGTGGCCTTTCCAAGCGCAAGCGGTGAGCCAACGAGTGGGTCGATGGTGAAATCCGCCGAGGAAACGGAGGCCTGGAGAGCTGTAGCATTGCATTGCTCGCTTCGCCCTTGCCGATTTTCGCGCTCAAACGCAAGGAATTGCACGGCGATGGCGTCTAAAAGCGTTGGCGTTTCATGGCTGACTCGCCGATGGACCCCAATCGGGAAGTTTGGAATCTTGGCCGTTGATGTAGTAGAGGGCGACGACTGGAAGGAAAATCTTCCTACCTCGGAAGGACGGCGTAGGGCAACGCACCCCAGGTTCTCGATAAGCTTTCAGCCCCGTTTTCCTGGCAGGATGCAGGAATGATTGGTGGGATCTTGGCGTGTTGTGGGGAGGAAGCAAAGGTACCCCCGCATTTATCCAATAAGCAGGTCCAGTCGCTGATTGGTTCATCCTTCGAATGGTACTCTGGCTATTTACTATACGCCGGGTTTCGGGAACACCTCCGTTTTTCAGTGGACCGTTCTATCCGTGAGAGCGTTCGCGATGTTTGCTATCACCTCACCAGTGCTAATATAAATACATGTCGATACATTCCCAAAATTACCAGTCTCATCCACCGGCTCTTTGTGCAAGATGCGTCCTTCAGTTTCTATTGCATTTTCTCTCTTGGCATTTGCTCTAAGAGCATGCGCTGTTGGCGTGGTCGGGAGCCCCGAGGGTTTTGCTTCGGGCACCACAGGTGGAGGGAGTGCTACGCCGGCATATCCCTCGAGTACCACGCAGTTGAAGGAATGGTTGGAGGACGATGTTGCTAGAGTCATCGTTCTCAACAAGGAGTACGCAGCAGAGACAGCTTTCAATGGTCTGACTCGAGCTAACGGCAGTCAGATTCAACTTCAAGGGCACTGAAGGAACCACAACGGCAACGGGTTGCAGGCCCACTTCGAACACTTGCCCCGGCAATGGTGGTCAGGACGCCATCAATGCCAATGGATGGTCCGAACTTCAATTCCCCCAAGTTCTGATACCTGTAGCTAACGCTGAGCAGGTGCGGAAGCGCTCCGTCCGTCTCCGTGACTTACGACAATGCCGGAGTTTCTGCCATCAATCTCGGCTCAAACAAGTCTCTCATTGGCATTGGATCTGCAGGTGTTATCCGTGGCAAGGGCTTGCGCATCGCCAACGGAGCCAAGAACATCATCATTCAGAACATCCACATCACCGAACTCAACCCTCAGTACATCTGGGGTGGAGACGCAATCACTCTTGACGGTGCTGATCTTGTCTGGGTCGACCACTGCAAGGCATGCAATTCACCTTCCCCTTCTTAAGTAAATACTGACCGGAATCTACAGATCTCCCTCATTGGCCGCCAAATGTTCGTTGCTGGCTACGGGGCATCCAACCGAGTCTCGATAACCAACACCGAGTTCGATGGCTCGACGTCTTGGAGCGCAACATGTGACGGCCATCACTACTGGACCATCTTGCTGCTCGGATCTAGCGACTTGATCACCATGAAGGGCAATTACATCCACCACACGTCCGGCCGAGGCCCCAAGGTCGGAGGCAACACGCTCCTGCACGCCGTAAGCTTTTCCTCCTCCTCACCATACAACCCTCCTCCCATTCTGACTAACTGCAAAACAGGTCAACAACGAATGGTACGCCATCTCGGGCCACGCCTTCGACATGGGCGAGTCGGGCGCCATGGCCGTGGCCGAGGGCAACGTCTTCCAGAACGTCGTCACGCCGCTGCTGTCGCCCGTCACGGGCCGCATCTTCACCGCGCCCAGCACGAGCGCCAACACGGCGTGCTCGACCTACCTCGGCCACAACTGCGTGCTCAACGCTTTTGGTAGCAGCGGCACTTTCTCCGGCACCACCGACACCAGCTTTTTCTCCAACTTCAACGGCAAGACCGTCGCCGGCGCCAGCACGGCTGCTTACACGGACGGCACGGCGGGTATCGGGAAGATCTGAGCATATGGTGTGGAAAAAGAGGGTGGCGGGATCTCGGTTCTTTTTCTTCGAGTTTATGTTTTGCACGTCCTGCGCTGGTCGTGCTGCGTGTCTGTTATTGCATGTTGCGGAACACAATATATATGTTTGCATGTACACTGGGACCCGCTCGTGGCAGCTCAGCCTCCTCAGTGGTGCGCTGAGCGCGACAGCGGCGGGCTACTCTGAGACCCTCCCCCTGCACTTCGGCCACCAGCCCCCAATACTAGAAGCCTGCAATCGCCTCCAATCAAACCTCTAAGTGCAGCTAAAAACAGGGGTCTGGTTTGCATCACCATCTTTACGTTTTGTAAAAAGCTTGTTAAAAGAACGCCATTTTTCTTCGCGCCATGCTTAAGATTTGGGGAGGAGCAAGGCAAGATTTGATGCCATTTGTAGCTGAAATACCCAGGCGATGACTGTCCGGGAGTGCTTCACTGTGGTTTACGAAAGATGCGACTCTTCGCAATCATTTTTTATTTGCAAAAACCTAGACTAATGCTACTTGTGAGTGTAGCTTGTATACCGTTTCTCGCCGTTCCTGTATGCTATGTTACTGGACCGCTCTTACCGAACCTGTCTTTGGTGATTTGACTCTGTCTATACTCCTCCACTTTTGGAAAGAAATAACATAAGGAAAAAAAAGAAAAACAAGCCAGCCCATTATCATCATCACATACTAATCGTTGAAATAAACAATCTCCAGTTTTGGTGAAAGCCAGGGAATCAAGCTGGTTCTGTCAGAACCTGAGGAATGACGTTGCCCCATCGTATCCTCGCCATCGAGTTGGAACCCCGTCTTCCTTCGGCTACACTCATTTGGAAGTAGCAACCGCTCATACATCAAACCACAGGGCAGTACCAACATTGTGAACCGTTTACGGTTTCTTGACAAAGTCCTTCAGCTCCTGCTTGACCTTCTCCGATGGTTCATAGTCCAAAAGTGCCAGCCTGTCCTTCACCTCCCGTTCGAGGATGTCGACCCTGGCCTTCACCTCTCGCTCGAGGTTTTCCATCCTGGTCTTCATGAGCTGCTCCGGGCTATCCGATTTTCCTCGCACGAGCTTCAGGAGCCCAGAGCGCATGCCAGTCGTGACGGAGTTGGAGAGCTTGGTCCGCATCTTAGACATGCGCTGCTGCAAGATTGCGCATTGCTCGCGTGCCTTGACTTTTCCCTCCATGAGAAGACCAGCTGTGCGGTTTTCCTTTTGCTGTTGCTTCAAGTGTTCGTCCAGCACCAAGCTCGTGTATCTGGAGATGGCTTCGCGGATATCTTGAGAGTGTTCACCACCACCGAAGATATCGGGCATGTATGTGCGATATTCACGGAGTATGTTTGGGGAAGGCAGATTGAGGACGTCCTTGTTGAAAGTCAAGCTGGAATGCTTCTTCGTATGTTGATTCATGAGCGCCTGTGCGAGGACGATGGCTTCGAACTGGCTCATGGCGTATCTAGCACAGTGTGCATAGATAAATTTGGCGAGGGCTTGCTGGGCATCTGTGGCATGCTCGTAGACTTCATCGGAGAAGTTGAAGCTAAAAAACGGGTCGACCTCCAAGTCTGCACATTCGTCGGGTGTGTCGCTTGGAATGGCCATTTTGAAGTCGTACCTGAACGGGGCCTGAACGGGGGCTGGGTCATTGCTTCCCAAGTTTGCGACATAGTCCAGCGGTACATCAAGACTCATCATGATGGCCTTCTCCTTTGATGACCACTCCAGAGGACGTAGCCCAAGTGCTTCAAAACGGTAGGCCTCCGGGAGCACAATCCGTGTGCAAGCCGATAGCAGTTTGTGCATCCAGTCGTTCGTTAACATGCTCAGCGGAATTGAAATGCGCTCTAGGACTTCCTTCATTGCACCAAGAACCGGCGTGGTGGCTTCGTCTTCGTCGGACCAACTTGTGCCAAATCCCACGAGCGTGTACGTCATTCCATCCGGACCCAACACCTCCTTCGCCCAGCTTTCTAGCTTTGCCAACCAGGCGCCCGAGCTCTTGATGTTCCAGGTGGGCAAAGGATTAGTCGTAATGATGAAGAAAGCAGCCCCTTCCATGCGGTGTACGGTAGCGTTGAGCCGTCTCTGCTGGTCGAGATATTGAAGCCAGTTGTCTCGCAGCTCTGCTAGAGTCATGGGATCGAGATACGAGAAGAGCAGCAGAATGTTCATCAACAGTGAACGATTGAATGCATCTCCATGCCGTTGGAACTTGCGATTCAGGTTGCCGGCTTCCAGCTTGGCCTGCACTTCAGCTTTGAGTCTTTCAAGGGAGGCCGCCGTATTCGGCGGTCTTTTCGTAGGAGCCATGAAGGTGACTTGCTTAAGCAAGTCCGTGTTGAGCGAAGGCAATTGAGGGTGAGATGACAAGTCTAGCGATCGCAAAGGAAGTGCGGTCGACAGAGGACGACGAGTTGAAGAGAGGTCGGGTGCATGAAAATTCTTAAAGCTGGAAGGTGATGGAAGCGTTTCCCGAATTGACTCGATGACGCAACTTGCCATGTACGGAAGGAGTGCACATGCGCTGGCCATGGCTGGGGATGCGTCAAGAGATTTCATGCACGTGCTTTCCGGTCACTCACTGGCTTGACCGCGCGTCCAGATTCACCCCGTGGTCACTGCGCGTCGCGGGGTCTTTGTCGTATTTGACTGCCCTCTTTGCTATTTGACCTGTTTGCCGGTGCTTTCTCACATATCCTTTGCCGCCGTTCACCTGCAATCCGCCATCCGCTGCATCACCGCCCATACATCAGCTCAAGGCTGCTGCTACTCATTTTCTGGCTGCACGCCGGCGTGATCCACCGTCATTGCGTCCACTGCCTATCCTTCGAAACCGCCTCACCAGCAACTGTCAATGCTCACTTCCCTTCACCTTACGACACAAAACTGATTCGACCACCGACACCAGACTCTGAAAGCCTGACATCACCCCCGGTCAAAGCCTCTCCTTGTGCTCAGCCAATGGATAACAACACGAGTCTGGAGAAAGACGTCGAGACGTCCGTCGGAGAGGCTGCGCCAGCGACACCGACAACTTCCACCACCCGCTCTCCGCTGCGTCGCCTTGCCTCTCAACGTACTCAGAGGGGTGTGCTAGACGATGACGCGCAGCACACTAAGACAGAGGTAGACCAAGAGGACAAGTCACTGCCGCCCAGTGACAAAGAGGAGGAAGGAGGAGATGGAAATGCCCCAAGGATGAGCAACCTTGCGCGCTACTTCTGGTCAAGGCTGGATGTGGTATGTACATTAAACCCTATCACTCCGTGAGACGGCTTTACCATTTCCAATAAGACGGTATTTGATAACCAAATTACTGACTAATGGAGTAGGCTACCCAACTATTCAAAGATGATCGAGATGATGAGTGCCGTGAGCTCGTTCTCGAGACACTAATGCGCGCAAGGGTCCCTCACGCGTGCAGGTGCGAATTACTCCATCTACTTGCTTGCGTCATGCCTTGGAAACAGGCACAGGACTGTCTGGATGAGGCCGAAGAGTTATGTGAAAAGATGGAGAGGCTAGTACCGGGTAGCGAACTGGTCATGGAGCTAAGGGCTCAAGGCGCCAATGTCCGACAAGCGGTAAAGGAATACCATGAAACCCCCGATGACGACGAACCGACACCAGAGGAGTCAGGACAAGGAGAGGGACAATCTTGCTAAAGGAGTGTAAGAGGAATTTCTAATTTCACCAGTGAAGGTTTGAACAGGCCGAAACCCAGGCGGCCGTCTTGAAGAGAGGAAACCTTTTACCCATAAAAGCACACTCATTCCCAAAAGCCACAAGAATGAGGATATGCAGGCTGCTTTGCATGAAGGCTCGATTTAAATGAGATTCAATGACGCGTGAGAGCAGCCTGGTGGTATTTTCAAAGCGTATACTTGAACCAGAAAATAGCAGGGTTGAAATTGCAAGGCGAAAAAAGAACGGAAGAAGGGAGAGGCATGTTACGGAATGGGCGGCTACAAAGTCTCAAAGTGGGTGCAAACAGGGTTTCTTTCAATGATTTAGGTAGTTGATAAGAGCAAATAAACACAGGAGATTCGCCGTGGTCAAGGCACATGTCTCTGCGTATTCCTGCCGTACTCGTGAAGTTTTCAGCTTCGCTGCAGAGATGTTCTGGCAGCACAACGTTGATAATGCTCTAGAAAGCACAGAGAGAGGCGAGACTGTTTGGATCTCTAGGCAACCGCGGTTGTTTCTTGAATGCACTTTTGTTACTTTCATTTGCCATCTACCTAATTGACTATTTTGTTTTTGAAACCGCCTTGAGCATCTGTAGCCATTAAGCTCATACCGTTCACCTACTCTCTTCCTGATTTCCCTTTTTCGCCACCCAATTCTAATGCTGATATCCTTTTGGTCAACTCCTACTCGTCTGTAAGGCAGTATTGTTCATCAAAGAACACAAAATTGCCATTCCCATGACCGGCCAAGTCTCTTTCGTTTGGCCTTACTGCACAAAACCCAGCATGTGCTCATCCTCATTGCCGCTTTCAGGTATGGTGGTTCCCTCGGGGGCAATCAAGCCATTACCCATAAGTGCTGGTCGTTGACTAAACCAGAAGATCCTCTTGAAGTCACTCGGCCAGATCATCCATCTCCTCATCATCTGACGTTGACCTGCTCTCATTTGCAAGTTCGTGGTACTCTCTCAATGCGCCTCTAATGTTGTAGCCCTTGGTTCTCAGCTCCAGAACCCGTTCGGAGTAGGGTGCAAGAATGTTCATCTCTTGGCAGAGCTCGTCAGCCTCGTTCAAGCAATCCTGCGCCTGCTCCCATGGCATTACACAGGCTAGCAGCTGAAGCAACTCGCATCTGCAAGCAATAGGGACCATTCCGCGCGGCAATGTCTCGAGAATTAGCTCACGGCAGTCATCGTCTCGGTCGTCAACATAGTACTGGTAAGCCTACTCTCCGTCAGCTGGACATTCATTAAGCGTGACATGGCTTGCATCTCAACATCCTCTGTAAAAAGTGGAGAGGCTACTTACAACATCGAGTCGTGACCAAAAGTAGCGTGCAAGGTTGCTCAGCTGCGGTCTGTCTTGTCCTTCTGGTTCATCCTCTTCACCGGAATCGCTCTCTTCGGCCAACCCTTCCTGGGAATGATGATCTTCTTGATCTGTCTTGTCTTCCTCCACGGGTTGGTCATCGGAAGTATGTTGGACGTGGAACTGCGGAAGTTGTGGTGGGTAGTGAGCATCGCCGACGGGTTGCTCAATACTGAGTGAAGGGACCGGTGCCTGCGTGGGAGACTCGGTGGTGGGAGTTGCTTGGTTGCCTTTCCGCTGGTTAATATTGAGCCCTGAGACCTTCTTCTTCAGTGCTTGGCCTATTTCCTTCATGGTCCGGTGCTTCTTGATCTCTCCTGGTACGCTGAGGGTCGGTCGGACTCGGACGCCCGAATATCCTTTGACAGACTGTGAGTGGTTGCTGTCGAGGATCGCGTTGCGGGTTACACCGGGTCGATGGGACGTGCCGGAGCCTTCCGCGGCACCCGTATTTTTATCCATGAGAAGGGTGCATGCAGTTATGAGACGATGGGATGTGCCTTAAGCTGGGGTGGTTGGTAGGTCGACGACGATGAAGAGTGGTCGGATGTTGGAGGAAGACGGGTGGCAGATATGAGCACGACCGCGCAGCGCAGAATACGCTGGGAGCACTGGCAAGCGGTTCAAAGAGCAGCGATTGAGTGAATGGAAGCGGTACGAAGCGCATGGGCCCACGGCGCATGGTAAATATGAGCGGCCGACGCAAGCGCATGCCCTTGAGAACAGCAAACTACGTCATTGTGTTAACTTAAGCGAAGCAGCCACTGTCCTCTGGCGATATATCTGCCACTCATTTTCCCTCTGTCGCTCATCTTCCTCTTCCACCCATCCCCACGTTTCCGACCTTCTTCCTCAAATGCCGGTAAAGTCCACCATCCCATGAAAGAAGGCATACCCATCATCAGTCATTCTAATATCATTCTTCTAGAATCTCTAATCAAGAGGTCCCACCCGGGTTTTTCGGCGTCCGCACCCACCTGTCCACCCCTCCGGTCTTACGCTGTCATCGACTTGATACTCTCCCGCCAGCCATCCGCCTGACACAACCACCGAAGAGCCGGTCATCATGGCTGCTTCCGACGACCCGCCGGAGACGTCGTCTGACAGAGGAGCCCGCATGGCAAAAGTGAGGTCCAAAGCGAAGGCCTTCGCGAACCACAATGCACCCGGAAAGCAAGAGATTGTCAACATTGTCATTGAGGACAGTCCTCAGCCGGAGCTCGACGAGAGCGGGAAGGGCCCAAATAGGCTTCGAATGGAACAAGTCCAAGCAAGCTTGAAGTTTGCCAAGGAATCCCATCCTACGAAGCTGGGGGGTAGTTGGCTTCACGACATGCTCCCCGAAACACCGCAAAGGGAACTCCATGCTGCAGTACACCGATTCGAGGACAGAGCTTTCTTCATCCTCACAACCAAGCCCTTGCCGCCTCGAGGCAATATTACAAGCGCCGGCGGATATGCGCAAAGACTTAGGTCCTTGAGGGAGAAAAAATGGAGCCCGAATGACATCACCTACATCTCCACCAAGAACGAGGTAAGTCGAACACTTGTGGGGAGCTGGAGCCTTCATCCGGACGCAAATGTCATAATTCTATTTATACAAATGCATCCGGACGATCGCTCCATATCCGCATATTTGTCCATTTATCATTGCACTGCTAACTTAAAGCATCAGAGATGGGTAACGAAAGACGAGGCTACTCAACCCGTCATTGACACTATGAAGATCATCATGGAGCACTACCCCGAGCCGCTCAGCCGAGTCCCGTCGAGATGGATGCAACAACTGTACACATCCTGCGTGCTGGTTGCACTTCCCGATCCCTACAGGAGCGGAGCCTTAGTTCTTCCTAAACTTAAGTGGGCTGCGTCGCGGGACGCCATTCAAGCCAACCTCGATATACCGGCATCCAACACAATGTTCTCTGTACAGAACGAACCGCGGGAGTTCCCCCATCCACTCACGGTTTACATTAGCCGTGATGTAGCTGAGCACTGTGCAGAGCTGGAATTTGATCCCATTTTCCGGCTTCGTTTCTCAAAGGACGTTGAGAAAAAGGCCACAAATGCCCAGAAGGGACTCGCTAAGCTGATCTTGACACGATGCGCTGAGTCCGTTATGAACCAAGGAGAGGCTATGATCCTTGCCCAAGCTCTTGTCAACCAGTACGGAAAGAAGCGCAAGAACAAGCATACCGGGCCCTTTCGTAGCGAGAACATGGTGGTACACTGTGACATCCAGAACTTTGGGCCATCCTGGTTGGTCAAAGAAGCATGCCCGGACCTGCCGAACATTTTCGTTGGCAATCAAGCGTCCCAGTATGACTGGAAATTCCACATCGCGCAAGCGGCGCACATCCGATTCGCAGAGACAGGCAATGTGGCAGAGGCATGGGAAGCAGGTAACGTCACCTCTTGATGAAGCACTCAGAGCACTCTCACCAACAACACCCGTTCTTCTGCCACCAACTCCAACCACATATACTATTCTATCCACTTTGCATCTCATCATTGGGCTGGATGGCGTGCCAGTCTGGCCGCTGGACTCTCAAGGCTGCCCCTTTGCACCTCCACACGCTTCCCAATCCGGCAATCCACAATTGTTTCGAGGAACACAAGCTAACAGTTATGGAAACAGCCTGTGAGACTACAGACCTCCTGTTGGATTTGGGTCGGGAACTGTTCTTTCTTCCTTGTAGTGAAGCGGAGACAGAGAGGGCGCACACTCTACATGCTTGCTACGGCTGCTGGTTCCCCTGGCCGTGCGTGAAGCTCACACTCATCATCAACCGCCGCTACTGCCCATTATGCATCAACGCTATTGGAGCAATGCGAACCGAGTACGCCTTCACACGCCCATCGGCGAGGATGGCCGGAGTAGATCCAGCAGAGGCGTTTGAGGAACGCTCTCGCGAACGCGATATGATCCCCCTGGTAACACCCTACAGACAGTTCACTTATGGGAAGATCGCTGCCGAATGGGAACATTTGAATTTGCCTACAGACATCCGGAGGCGGGAGATCATGCAGATGAGAACCAAGTTTCCGAATATTACTGCTGCGGGAGTGGGATCTGAGGAAAAGGCAATCTTATGGGAAGATGCATACTCCACGGAGGACCTTGATCCTCGTCGGGAGAAGAGCAAGTCAAGAGCACTAATTCCTAGCATCGACCCCATCCTCCCGATCTATCTGGCTGGTGACGAGGCCATTCGAATCCACATCCCCGTCAACATGGCTTCCACGGCCTTCTACCTCAATCTGCTCAAAGGCACATTCCCTCCCATCGTCCTCAAAATCACCCACATGATCTACAACACCAGCCTGGAAGATACCGAAGCACGCCGTGAACTCATAAAAAGGCTTGATCACATCTATTTGATTAGACGCCAATTACCTCGCTTCCAGAAGCAGCAGTTCACACATTCCATGAAGCCTTCTTCGTTTGACGATTTCAAGCGACAATGCCAGTCTGGAATTGCATCAGCGCGAGGCTGTAGCAATATTCCTCTCGACAAGCTTTGGGCTTTCAAGGGATTTGGAAATTTGCGACACGCCGGCACGATGACTGATGATTCCATCCCATCTCGACTTCCACAGCTGAAAGAGGTCAAAAGGATTCTGCTTGAGCTTGAGCACATCACTGGACAGAAGCTTCACCGAATTTCAGGCGTGCCATATCCCTTCCAAGGAGGACCTGAGCCGAGGGTATGGTCCTGGGGTATCCTTTACCGGTTCCTCGGCCCCAGGTTGCGTGTTCTCAGATGGGCGTGCAACAAGCGCTGGGTAACAGACCTGACGGTGCCGATCTTGATCGTTGTGCTCTGCTACCAAGTCCTTGAGCGCCAGAGGAAGATGTCGGAGATGCAGTGGCCTGAATGTCAAGAATTCTTGAGGCTGCCGATCTCACTTTATCAGATGCATCCCTTGTCAGTCTCTATCGGAAAAGCTGATCATTCGCGTGGTATGGTCAGTGGATTCAAGAGCGGGAGCAAGTTGTCGCTCGAGGACTTCGATCCGGTAGAGTGTAACTTGTTGTTCGAGACTTGGTCGTCCAACTGTGCCAAATCGAACTTTGGTGCGGATGTGGATTGCATCATCAAGCATTTCACGGAGACATTGCGGAAGGAAGCACTGCCGTACTGGCCGGCTGATCTTGCGCCTCTTCCTCCCGATGGAACAATTCCTCAGATGCAGCCTCCAGTCGTCCAAAGTACTAAGCAGAAAGACCACTTCAGCAAGTAAAACCAGCAGAAACGCCAGCAGAAGGCAAAGAAACAGACCACTGTCACGCAGTTCAGTAGTGTCGTACACGAGCGTCGCAACATGAGCAATCTGGGCGCCACTTGCTACCTATCGGGCGTCATTCAGGCCTTGCACAATACACCACAGCTTCGAGATTTCGTGGGCCGAGGACACAACTTCCCTTTTGTCAACTCACCTAAAGCGAAACCGCTGGTGGATTGGATGAGGAAGCTCTTCTTGGAGTTGGACCAGGGTGGTGCCAGATTGGAGCCTATCCACACGCAAATATTGCTCGACAGTCTCCAGCAGGTGAGCTCGGAGTACGGCAACACAGCCAATGATGCCGCTGAGGTGCTGAACAAATTGCTGGACGTACTCATTTCGTCGTCTTCTGTCACATCAAGCGAAATTGGCCCCGAAGGACCTGTCTTGTCGCGCTTGCTCAACAGTTGGAACATCAAGCCGATCTTACCGCTTCGCCAAGCCGCGAGCGCGTGTCTGCAAGCTATTCACCAGGACGGTAATTGGACTGAACTAGCGGATATGCTACTACTTCAGATCGTTGGTGAGCGGATGTGTAAGAAATGCGGACACATCGACCGTACCTGGGACCACGCCTCCACCGTGTTACTGCAACCTATCGAATCTAACCCAGAGACAGTATTCACTCTTTCGGGTATGCTCGAAGAGTATTTCGCTCAAGACTACAACGAAAACATGCTCGAGCGAACCGTGAACAGCATGAAGGATTGCGAGCAATGCAAAACCAAGTCTGCGCTAAGCCGCAAAGAACGCCGCCTCGTCAAAGCGCCGCCTATTCTTGTCTTGCAATGGAATAGGCGTATGTACACAATGTACACAACGGATGCTAACAGAAACACGGTTTTCGGTCAAAATGGCGGACCGGTCCAGGAGACATGGCCAAACCGCGTCGTGGTGCCGGAAGAGCTGGACTTGGCTCCCTGGATGAAGGGAGTCACTCTTCCTTCCGAGAAGACGTCTCAGGGCCAAAAGGGCAATCCCATGCTCTGGTCTATTGATGAACAGACGCAGTACACCTTGAGCTCAGTTGTCCACTACAGACCTACGGGGGCGCACTACGTATCCTACGTGCGTCACGAAGACAGGTGGGTTCTTATGGATGATATAAGACCTAACCCAACGTTATGCACCCCTGAAGAAGGAATTCGGAAGCACCCTGGGGAGGTTGTCTACGCAGCGATCTACGTTAAGCGTGACTCATCGCCTGAGACAGGACCTCCTCAGAAGCAGCCGGCTTCTCCAGCGAAAAGGCATTTGCGTCCGCTTACTTCCAAGTCGACTGCCGAATTACGAGGCATCAGGAAAGGTTTTCCTCTTGCTAGTATCGTCGAGGAGGACGCGCCGAGCGATGGTCCTTTGAGCATCAAGGAGAAAAGGGACGGGGCTCATGATACTCTTTCTGGGAAGAAAGACGCACGCGAGGAGCGCATAGCCTTGCGACAGCGTTTGTCGATTGTGCGTGCCGAGCTGAAGGAAAAATTGGAGCTTCTGGACAGCTTGGCGAAGAGGGAGCAGGAACTCACGGATTTCATTGGGAAATCATGATCAGGCCGCCATGCCGGTACTGCTCTCAGGTTTTGTGGTTATCATTTGGAAAAGATTGCGGCTGAAGACGGTTCTCTGACTTGACAGCGAGGTCAGTATGGTGCAACTGCAGGTCTATTCCTTCGGGGTGTTGAAGACCTGCATGCTTCTTGGCTTTCATTGTACAGGAGATTATGGGATTTGAGAGTTTCAGTGTGTGATGGTAATGGCCTTTTCTTTTTTACGGTACCTTTCCTTCCTTAAAAAAATGGTGCAGTGTAGGTAGAATACAAGTAAATGGAGATGGAGAAAGTAAGAAACGTACGGAACTCGGGGCAACAGAGAGCGGATGAAGGGATGAACATACAGCCATGTGACTGTACCGATTCAGGTTGACCAGGTCTACACCATCATCAATCATCATCCTCTCTTGTCCCGCAAGGAGCGAGGCCACTCGTGGCGCTGCTGCCCGAAGTTTCCAAGGTTACAGTAAAAAGGGTTCGCGATAAGGTTCGCTCGATCCGGCTAGCGCCGGCAATACCCGGCGGGCCTGTGTTGCTTAGTAAGACATCATCCAAAGTGCCAGTCCGAAGTGGCACGCAAGGAGAGCACAGCCTTACGGCAGCGTGTGTCGATTATACATGCAGAGCTGAAGGGAGAATTGGAGCTTCTAAAGAGCTTGGCGAAGAGGTAATGGGACTGATGGATTTTATGGAGAAATTATAATCAGACCACGCTGTAGGTACTGCTCTCAGGTCTCGTAGGAGTAGTTGTCCTTTTGAAAAGAGTACTGAAGTTTGCAAGGAGATTCGAGAGACTAAGGCCTCGGTTATCGCCGGCTGGCGTCGGCTGGCTTGGTGCCACGTCTTCGCTTACTAACCCTACACCCGAAAAGCCTCCACCGGAGGGTATAAAAACTCTTCTCCTCCCCCTCGACACACCTCTTTTCCTTCTTTTTTTATCCTGGTGCTAGGGCATACGCGTGCAAGTGAAGATTCGTCTGATGCCGCGTTATTGCTAGTTGAAAACTACAACTAATGACCGCTTATGTTGGTCTTCGGATCGGCATGGAATATTTGGAAACCATCTGGCAATTGCCAAATCCTTTTCGTTGCGACGTACTCGCCTTGTGCGGGACCGTGAGGAAGAGGCAATCAGGCATCTACAACTTCTGGATAATATCTAAGTGAGGTGAGGTCTGCACTGGTCTTCGGATTCATCTTGATGCTGTTGCTGAAGATTATCGCGTTCGTAGATGAACGACCTACACATTTCGCTGTCAGAAACGCCTGTTGATGGTGTCTAGACAAAATTTTACTGTCGCAGAGACTTCCAAAGGGATGCCACCAAAGGGATGCCCCTGCAGTGGCACCCCCGCCTCCCATGCACTACGTTCTCAAGAATCCTCTGCTCGATCATATGCTAACCATTAGAATAATGATTTTTATGGGCGTCGACGCGGCTCAACGCATACTCGACGCGTCGCGTTATTGTTTCCTGCACCTCGTTCAATGTTGACTGTACCTAGAGCGACGCGACGTAGCGCCACGCAACACCACAGAACATCGGCACCGATCATGAAAGTTGTCCTTCGTGAGCATCGGTAGAGAAAGCCAGCCATGGCAAGTAGTTGTCAGTTTCGACTGCGTTGTCGTCGTCGCCGCCTCAGCGCAACCCCGTTTCCCATGGTCGACCGCGACCGCGACCGCGACCGCGACCGCGACTTTTGCCTCCACCCACCACCACACCACGCTGTCCCCACTACGACCCATCCATAGTCCATCCTGTGCCATATCGCTGCCGCTTGCAGAGCTACAATGTAATGAGAAAGGACGCGACGATACTCTCCGCACACGAGAGGGTCTGTTGGTACTCTGGCAGCCGTCAGGCAGCAGCACCACCCTACAAACGCCGTCCATCCCGCCACGCCATCATCGGCCTCGCTCCGTCTCCGTTGCTGCCTATACACTACTTTTCGCCGCTGCCCTCTGCCCGAAGCTGGGATGGGCATGCTCCGGTTCGGTTGCGTCAAAGGACGACTGGCTTTGGACTAGCAACAACCGGCACCGCTGAGTCGGTCACAAGTGAAAGAACTGGGGAACACCTCTTCGCGCTCTGCGTGCGGCTGAATAGTCATACTGGCAGGCAGGCAGCATGGGTAGGACGTTTGAAATCGGACCCCGCAGCAACCCGCCTTGTATGAATGCTGCCTCGACCGTCTTCGAAGCCGGAGAGTGCCCGTAGCTGAGGCTCTTTTTCTGTCTTCACGCCATTCTATTTGATCGATCTTTTGGTTATTGAACAAATGAATGGTCAAAGCTTGGCTGTCTGCTACGGTATAGTAGTAGTGGCAACGGAACAGACGACCACCGAGAGATTCTGATATCATGAAGTTTGCTTGTAAATGACACTAACATTCTGCGTAAAAAAGTATCATACATGACATTTCCACATATCTACACGTCCAAGCTAAACCAGAGTAGAGAACTCAAAAGCAACCCGCCGCCCAATACCCGTGCAAACCCGCTCAAAAAAAAAAAAAAAAAAACGACATCTCACAACCCCACCCACGCCATCTACAACCAGCTCTCCTCCCCCCTCTAAGCCCTCCCCGCCTCCCTCAACCGCACCTTCACGCCATCGCCCGGACAGCTCGTCAACGTCAACCCATGCAGCGTCCTGCCATCCACATTCAACCCCTCCACCTTCTCAAACCGCTGCAGCAGCCTCACAACGACATAGCTCGCCTCCGTCAGCGCAAACTGCTGCCCGATACAAATCCTCGGCCCGCCATTAAACGGCAGGTACTCCCAGCCAACCTTCCTGCCCTCCCACCGCTCCGGCCTGAACGCCGCCGCGTCGGGGCCCCAGATGTCGGTGCGGCGCTGCATGACGTGCACGCTGTATCCAACCTCGGTGCCCTCGGGCACGAAGACGGGGCTAAGGCCGTCGGGCCCGCCGCCCAGCGGGAGGGTGGTGTCGACGGCGGCGCGGCGCGAGTTTAGTGGGACGACGGGCTGCAGGCGGAGGGTCTCGTTGAGCGTGTGTTGGAGGTAGGTGCAGGCTTTGAGGCGGGCGAAGGTGATGTCGTCGGGGTTGCAGGAGTCGTAGTCGCCGAATTCTTCGACGATGACGCGGCGGAGTTTGGCGAAGGTCTCCGGGTTTTGGGCGAGGAAGCGGAAGAGCCAGGAGAGGAGTGATGCGGTGGTGTCACGTCCGGCAAGCAAGATGTTTAAGCTACGTGCTTATTAGTAAGAGATTTCTTGAGTTGTGGTGGTGATGGTGTTGAAAAGGGGGTGGTGGTGTTGGGGGGGGGGGGGCTTACAGTTGGTCTCTCAGGACCACGGGGTCGCGCGACTGTGCAGCAAGCTCATCCAGGAAGACGTATTTCTCCTTCTTGCCCATTCCCTTCTCGAGAGACGTCTCCTTCGACTCCTTGGACAGGGCCAGCTGAACAAAATAGTCGACAAAGGCGTGCACATCACGACATTGCTTCTTGAAGTCCGCCGTGTGAGCCAACCAGTACCGCTTACCAAACCGTCCAGCGCGAGCCAGATGCCACTGAGCCTTGTCGAAAGCAAAAGCGAACACGCGCTCGTCGCGCTCAGGAGGGACATCACCTAGATCTTTGCTGCCGCGGTAGTTGGGCAGGTTGGCGAGCTGACTGTCGACGCTTTCGCCAAAGAGAAACTCGGTGGCCGAGTCGAGCGTCAAGCGGAAGAAGAGGACTTGAATATCAGTCACGTCCGTCCAGCCGTCGGCGTTGGGCGTGAGTGCGCGCAGCATGTTCTGCACGTGCGTCTCTTCCAGCTTGAGGTCGCTGACCTGTTCGCGCGCGAACTGCGGACGCAGCAGGGCGCGAGAGTGCTCCCACGCTTTGCCGTCGGAAGCGAACTGATTGAGAGTTAGATGTGCTTTAAAAAAGAGTAGGGTTTGGTGTTGTTGCTCACGATGCCGTGGCCGAGCAGGGGCTTGAAGTTTCCGTTCCTCCGCTCGCCCAACTCGAAGTCTTTGAACTGCGTGGCTAGGATGGCCTGGATGTTCTTGGGCTCTATCGTAAAAAACGATTCCTCCATAGCTATGGTGTTTTTCAATGTAGTGACCCGGCGGCCCTCGCGCTCGCTGATGAGGGCCATGCGTTCCTCGCTGTATTCCGGCAGCCGCTTCTCCTTGTCGGCCTTGAGCAGCATGCGCACATTGTTGATTCCAAGCGGGTCATTCAGATTCAACCTGGGGACCGGCTTGCATCCGAGCTCACGTGCCTTGCGGGCCCGCCGGCGTGAGGTGGCAATGTGGGTGATGGCGCTGTAGATGAAGTAGGCGGCGATGGCCCAGAGGCCGAGGAATGCGACGGGCTGCATTGTCGATATTGTTACTGTTGAAAGGGAACGGGGAATTGTAGGACAAGTATTTCTAAAGACCGGGCGAGAGGTAGATTTAAAGATGTAGGTGCCTTTCCTTTGCAGGCTTCAAGGTCGGTCCACTCGGGGCGCTGACGTTCTCCGACGGGCAATCAGCGGGGTCCGAATGGCCGGACAGTGAAGGATTCGAAACAAGGATTCAGGTCAGATTCGCGTGCGTGTTCGCCAAATTAAAACAACGATGCGGGGCGCACATGGAAGTTTGTCTGCAGCACGAGCTAAGCCTCCGGCTAGGCCGAGACCGGCAATTTTGGTGCGGCGGTAGGCGTTCCGGCCATGGCAAGAGAGACGTCAGTTCCAACAAAGCAGAGGGCGTTTTCGTCGCTGACTGGCGCAATGATGGTTGTGGAATGCAACCATGCGGAGTGGTGGTGGAGCAACCGAGGTCCTTGGAGGTAACATTGCTCCAGTCCTGATTGGACGGGTGAGACTCGAGGCACATCTGCCGGCGGACCCGGCACGTTAGTCTTCCCGCTGCACATGCGTTGGCGGCGGTCGAATTCTTTCGTCCGGTCCCCGCTTGCGACGTTCCTCCCGCTTTGGGCGACGCCATCGCCGTTTACGAGTTACTATGAACACACTGACGTCGATGCACTCGTTCGCGCCTTTCGTAGTCCAATCCCTTTCATTTCCCCGCATCTTCAACACGCCGAAATTCAGATCAACGAAGCAGTTTGTACGAGTCAGTGTACCACAGGAATTTTCGAGACCAACAGGCAGCAAGAATAATGCACAGTCTTTTAGCGAGAATGCATAGATCAGGAGTAAGATCCTTAACTTCACTGAACCCCCTCGTCCAATTATTGCCGCCACGACTCGGACTTTACCGTCAGCATAGCTTTCTATGCAAGCTATTCCCAGCACCCGCCTTACTCAGCGGAAGATGGATAGGAAAATGCTCCTACTGGGGCGTACCATCAAGTGAGCCACAGATACCACAGCTGCACACCGGACAATTCGGACTTCTTGGAAAAATGCCTTGCAGCCCTGCAGGGCGCCGTTGTGAAAGGGGCTACAGCTGTCGTGCGGCGTAAGCAGCCAAATATGCAGGTGTAGTCAGATTTGACTGCCGCTCTTCCTCTATTTCAGCATCCACACAATTGATAGGCGCCACCACATGACAGCTTCCTTCCGTTCGTTCATCGTCACAGACACCCAAATGGTAGTATGGTAAAATCGTAATAACTTCCTCGCCTGATGACTTTCTAGTCTGGCCAGCAACTACAAATGTCGGAGGTATCAAGCCAAAGGAACGTGGTCAATTTCAAGAAAAAAGAAGAGGAGGACAATATCCCAGCATTCTCCTCATGCCCACAGCTGAATCAAACCCAATCCCACCTACTCACCCGGCATCCCCTTCCTCAAATTCTCAAACTTGCTGTCCGGATACGCCAAGTTATTCTCGACAAACTCGGCCTTTCCGCCATCGTAACCGCACATGTGCTTCGCCACCTTTTTGAAAGAAAAGAATCCATGGTCAGTCGACGAACTTTCGTGGTGATGATGTTGATGATGATGTTGTCGTAAAGCATCACTCACGTTTCCGATGATGCTTTGTTCGCCCTTCTTGTCGGCCGACGACTCCCACCACATGGCGCCGCCGAGGCCGTTGTCGCGGATGAAGCTGGTCTTCTGCACCGCCATCTCGACCGTGTCGTACGACACCATGGTCCGCGTGGATGGGTCGTAGCAGTACGTCGCGCACGCGTCTCGGTCGTAGTGTTCGTGGGCACCGGGGCGGGGGAGGTCCTGGTAGAGAAAAGATTATGTGAGCATCCACACGATATCAAGAAAGGAGAAAGGAGAGACAGGAGATGCAGTACCTTGAAATCCCACACGCCATTCTCCCAGCTCCCCTCGCCAACACCGCTGTACGGCTTCCCGGGGCCGTCTGTATTCTGAAACGCACGGCCATACAGCGGCATGCCGACGACCATCTTGGACGCAGGCACGCCGTTCTGAACATAATAACGGATAGCCTGCTCGGCATTGAAAGGGGTGCAATTAGGATTGTGGTGGCAAGGGTACAGGTTCGCCTGGTGGCCAGCACAAGAGTCCCACGACCCAGCAAAGTCGTACGCCATCAAGTTGATAAAGTCAAGGTGCTGCGCCATGGCGCCGAGGTGCAGCTTGCAGTAGTTCTGCGGGCCCGCCGGCGCCGCAATCGTCAACAGGAAGCGCGCATTCGGGTTCGCGCCGCTGTTGCGCAGCTGCGCGGCGTAGGCATCGAGCTCGCGGCGCGTTTCCTGGAGGAGCAAGTTGAGGTCGCGCGCCTGCGCGTCATCCTGCGGGTACTCCCAGTCAACGTCGAGCCCGTCCAGGCCGAGGTCCTTGAGCAGCTGCACGGCCGACTGGGCGAAGCGCTGGCGCCCGGCGGGCGTGGAGGCCGGCGCGGCGAAGTTGGAGCTGTAGGTCCAGCCGCCGATGGAGAGCAGGATCTTGAGGTTGCGGTTGCGCTTCTTGAGGAGGTAGAGCTGCTTGATGCAGCCGTAGACGTTGGTGCCGATGTCGTTCCAGGAGTCGCTCGGGTAGTGCTTCTCGACGTCGGACCAGCTGTCCGTCATGTATCTGGGAGAGATGTCAGCTTCTTTTCGGTGCATGGTGGCGGGTTGGTTGTGATTAATACACTTCACCGGTGTCCGGTCGCACGTTGGCAAAGGCATAGAGCACATGGGTCAATTTCTCGGCCGGGAGATCTTGAGGGTTGTGCTGGCGACCGTAGATTGCCTGAAAAAGACGCTCATGTCAGTTCCGCGATGCAATTTGATGTTGTTGAGGTTGCACCAACCCAGTTGACGAAATACGCCACAGTCCGATATCCGTCACCGCCACCCATTTTTGAAGTCGTCGATTTGGAGGTAAAGTATGCAGGTGGAAAGGCAAGAGTGCGAAGCAGCTGCTGTGTGACGGCAGAGAGAGTGTCCGGAGGGGCGAAATATATACAAACGGCAAGGGCAGCGATAACTGTGGCAGTAACAGTGGAGAGGGCCGGTGTCCAGCGCATCGTCACAACTGTGGCGCAGCAGTTGGCCGAGGGAACCCTGAGCAGAAGCTGAAACAGGTTTAACGGGCCGCCGCCGATGATCTTAGTCGTGTGCGCCACTCAGAGCTGTTGTCGAAGCGCTACATCGACTCATTGACTGTGTGGGGTTAGGCAGCGTAGCATCCGCAGATTACCATGGCGTGGTCGTCGTTGGGGGCCCTTCATTCAGTTCTTGTTGTGTTGCCGCTGATGATTGTGGATGACGTGGGAGTCAGCGGCAACCCGTATTCTACCATGGCCGCCGTTGTCTAGGACCAGTTGGTGGTCAGTGGTCAGATGTGGCGACGGAAACACAAGGGCGTGGCCATTCAAGGTGCATTGAGCTCCATCAGGTTGCTTCAGCTGCTATTGCTAAGAAAAATGACCCTACAACGCCTTCCTGGTATAAACCAAGACTCCAAACGCCATCCGCTTAATGCCGAGTGTGGTAAGCCAAAGCTCGACCGGTGAAGGGACACCGGAGTTGCCGAACCTGAGACGATGGCCCTCAGAGCTCGGTGCCCTTGACATCCTCACTAGAACAGACCTCCTTGTATGGTAGAAGCCTCCTGTAAGCTTCTTCGCCATGTGTAGCCGCGTCTCTATGTCGCAAGAAACTCTGGATTCTCTCCTCGCGATCGCCACAGGCCATGGCGGCTTGCTTGACCCTCTTCAATTCTCTGCTTGTCTCGGCGTGCACAATGTCCCTCTGCTCAATCATGGTATTCCCCCATTGTCCAGCCCGCGTGGCCTGGCCGTACCCACCCAAGGCAGCAGCGAGAAAGATGAGTCCTACGAAAGTTCCATTGGACATAAATATGGGGTGCTGATCGCTCTTCTGGTCGCGGTTGTACCAGCGCTCCCAGTCCTCCCAAGTCGCATTAACCGTCGGATCCTCGCCAGGCTTCCACTTGTACACGCGGTCGTACGCAGGGGGCTGTATGTCTCTCGCGCTGCCCCAGCCGGCGCCCCAACGGTCGTATGCGCTGCGTTTCGTCGGATCAGACAATATGGTGTGGGCGGCGACGATCAAGCGGTAGCGCTCCAGACGAATGGGATGCGGACAGATGTCGGATCGGACATGCGAGGGAATAGCGCGATCCGGGTGGTATATCTTCACAAGCTCGTAGAAAGAGCGCTTGTTGTAGGGCGAGCCCTTTCTCAGCTTGAGAATCTCGTACGGCGTCGGGAGCTTTCCCTGACTGGCAGACGCCGGCCACGGAAAGTGTTCGCTATCGCATGCGCCATGCGTGCTGGCGACGTCGGCGTAGGTGCGGATATGGACTGGGTGGTGTCGGGAGCGGCGGGCGGATGATGACGCATTAGACGGTGGCGCCGCACATTGAACGCTCTGGTACGAGCAGAGGACGAGACCGGGCTTTTTGATGAGCATCTTCGAGGCGGGTTACCGTGGGGCACATGGCTCCAGCAGCATTGGGGGCGGAGCGAGAGCGGAGGAGGGGAGGGTATATGAGTGAGAGCGATTGCGGAGTCCGAGTCTAAGGTGTGGGAGCATCGGCGGCAGCTATCGATAAGCACGCGCACATATGAGACACTTTCTCCTGGCCACTCACACTACTCCACTCCCACTGTCGCTGCTGCGAGCTCTCGCAACTTTCTCTAATGTGCTCACCCCGCAACTGATGCATCCTTTTGCACATTCGCTTTGCGCACAGTCGCCATGGAACACCGCCCGCAACCTTTCCTGACGCGCTTCATATCGCGCCGTCGCGTTCAGCATGCGCATGAGTCCTATGACCAGGGAAGTGGCCAGGTCTTCTCCGAGACACACTGCGGCATGACTTCCATGTACCCCTCATGGGTCACTGCGACTACCGGAGCTGTTGCCGATCTTGTCGACTTTCGGAACACCGAATCCACGGGAGCTGCCTGCCTGGAGCAGGTTGCCATTCGCTCTGTGCTTCTGCAACTCAATAATCTGGACTACGAGACCATTGCCTGCGTTCCGTGGACCGTTGGAAGAAAGATTTGGGCCCAGATCCGACGCTATCGCCTTGACTCTTTGCGCGTCTGGCGCCTATTTGTCAGAGCTTATCCTGACGAGCGCCACGCTTTCCAGGAAACACGCAAAATCCCCTTGTTGAACTTGAATGCTCATTACGCATTTAATGAAATCGCTAGGCAAATTACTGCGCCAAACTTCGAATGGGTCACTCACTTGACGCTACAAGACCCTGAGCTTTCCAAGCATGACTGGGCCGAGATGACCAAGATCCGGAACCTCGGTGCTCTCGCCATCCTTGGCCCGAGCTCGGATAGTATGGATGATCGCGTCATAAGAGGCTGGAGTGAAGCTGCAAAGGACGGCCATGTCTTCTCCAAGCTCCGCGTTTTACTTCTTGTCTGCCTCCCACACATATCCACCCGTACATTGGGCTATCTACGCACTTTTCCAGCTTTAACCCTCTGCAACCTGAGTGCATGTAATATTCGCCTCGAAAAAGCAGAGGAGCTTGGTTGGAAACCAGCTGTCCGGTAAGTTCCATTCACAGCGACTGATCAGAATGCAGGATGCTGAACTCAGATCCAGAAACTCGACGGCTCATGAGCTCAACATCGAATGGACCTTTAGTTCAAACGTGCATGATGCCATGCGCGCCTACTATCGACGTGCCGCATCCCCAACCCTGTCTTTACCCGCCAAAGTCGAAACCGATGAGAAACCCGTGCTCTCGTTATTCAAGCGCTCAACAACCTCCGCCATGCCAGAAGAAGGCAGGTCATTATGGTTCTGGCGGACCAACCCCACAGAGCTTGGTAGTGAAGAGACCAAGAAACCTCCAACTCCTACAGAGCCTCCGAGAAAGAGACGCAAACTGCGCCCAACGAAAGAGAAGACCTTAGGTGATGTCATGAGTAGCTTCGGAATATGACCACTTCATGCACTTCAGGAAAGGCCGCATGCAAGGTTTCCGTTCGTATTTAAGATACCCCATCAGCATTTGATAATACTTTTCTTTTTGCGGCGGCTTCTCGTTAATTTATTTGAACATGGCGCTTTTTGTTTACATCTCGAAGGGGGAGTTGCAAATATCTAGCCCGCTACAAAATCTCTTCCGGTTCTTGGACAGCAAAAGTTACGCCTTGTCTTGGGACGGGAAACGCGTCTTCCAGCACAAGGGGCCACGCCGCGTATAGAGGGGTACTGCAGCCAGAGGTTAGCGTGAAGAATAGAAAGGCCTCAGACATGACTATGCCTCGGCCTTTTCTTTCTTTCCTTCTTCTCTCTTTGTTTCATTTTTTGTTTTTAGAAAAACAACATATATGGGTAATAGCTTCAGCTACCCACGACATGACTTCGGCTGCGATACCCCTCTCGCAAATACCGTGGTACGCCAATGAACTACATTGGTTGCCATTGTTCGAAGTATCCCCCTCCCAAGTCTACATACGTGCCCTTCCACCCGTTACCTACGAGCTCTCTGCTCTCAGAACGGAGCACCAACTGGATTTAGTTGGTTACTTGTTGAAGCTAACGCACTTTGCCGGAGTCTACATTGACTTCTTCTTTCCCGCCCTCATGCCATCTCCAAGCTTATACGACGACATCCATCCTCTCAGCAGTCTGCTCATCTTCTGTGAGCTCGTGTACAGTCACGTACTTGAAAATACCCTCCTTGATCACCTTTTCATTCAGCACGGCGGTGGTGCCGCAGGGGAAGCCGTAGTTGTGCTGCTTCTGCTCGCGCTTGGTTGGCTGGACGTAGTTGCGCATGACGGGCTCAATTTCCCACAGGTGGATGTCATTGGTCCCTCATCTGCGAAGCGCTGCTGGAGCGCGCCTTGAGGAGCCGATCCCGTTGAGCTCGTGGGAAGACGTGCTTCAGGTCATGGCTGACTCCCGACGCTTGGTGCATTGCCAAAAAAAAAAAAAAGCACTCGTTCTTACTCGGGCACCGGTGTAATCCGGTCGTACTCGGCAGGGCCGACGGCACTGTCCAGTATTTTCGCCATCCAGATGCCTAGCCTGTGCGTTCTGTCGGACGCTCTAGTTGGTCGCCGCAGCTGGTTCAATGCGGAGGTGCCTTCGCGAAGCTGAAGAATGGCTGATCGGCCCGCGGCCGGTGGAAACGGTATCGTACCTGGTGTAGGAAGGTAGCAATAGCCGTCAAGGAGACTCTAAGGCAAGAGTTTGCGAATGAGGAGCGCGGAGTGAGAGAGAAGAGCTTTAGGAACTATAGACCCGGCGACAAAAGGCCGCGCAGCGCCATGGTTGCGGATGCGTCAGCGTTAGCGAACACTGCCTTGAGTGGACGACGGCGACACTTGTAGGGCGACGTGTGTGACTGAAGTGATTGTGGATGGGCTCTGTTCCCTTGATCGTGCCTTGGCAGTGTGCGCGTGCATACGGAAACTCTAGAAAGTGAGAGCTTTGATCAACACTGTTCTCACTCTGACATTAGTTTGGAAGAATGCTACCACTAACACGTGCCTCTGTTACGCATCCGACCAATCACTGAGTGAGAGCGTTGCCCGGACAAGTGACCACCAGCCAGTGCTCTGCGCAGGGGCCACTTCCAAAACTACATAAACCCCCCGTCCTCTTACTTTCTTCGTCTTCAACTCTCTTTGCCTTCTGGCTTAGATCAAGTGGGAACCTGGGGGTTACCGTCTGCTCTTCCTTTGAACGCAGTGGGATCTGGGGGCTATGGGTCTTCGCCTTTAGGCTTAGATCAAGTGGAATCCGGGGGTTACAAAGCTTTGCCTTTTGGCTTAGAACAAGTGGGAGTTGGAACTACATAAGACTCTTTGACCTCTAAGAAGGCTTGGAGCAAGCGAGAAATTGACGGACGGAAGGCTTCAAGAGGAAACGGACGCTATCCTCTATAAATATTGCGTGGTCAGGGTCTTCGAAGGCAGATAACCAATGGTTGGAAGCCAAGCAACAAGGGCGCTGGCCCAGGGGTCCTTTTGGCGCGCCTTCGAAGGAATTCAGTCTTTCCAATTCATTGGAGGGGCTGGGTGGGTAATAGACCGATTCGGTCAGCTTTCCGGTTCTCTTCTCGTCTTCGATCGCGTATAAGCAACTTTGAATGAAACTTCTTCACTTGACTTCCACTTTTCCTCGTCCTCGTGATAATGTTGACCAGTGAAACGCCATTTATCCCAAGTCATTCCCTCCAATTCCTCTGAGAATCTCGTGCGCTGCGACCTAATGGAGAGGTATTGTCCACAGCCTGTCTGAATGCGCCGCGAGTTACTACAGTCCCTCATCTCCGCGCACTTACAGGGCCGTGCTCTTCCAAAGGTGCAGCTGATAGAGACCAACCAGTCAGCTGCTTCTATTGACAACAATGTCACCGTCGCCGCCGCCGCAGACACCGCACAAAACCCGATCCATAACTTCCACCCGGACACTCCCTCCACCCACCCCCAAACCCGAAAACGCGCGCACACGATCACCGACTCACCAAGAAACCACCACAACCTTTCCCCATCCGTTGCAAGATGGCGCAAGCCCACGACCAAGCCTTGGAGTCCGAGCTCCACACCTGCGCCCTCATGATCGACCAGATCAAAGGTACGTCCGCGGCACACACAGCTTCCGTGAAATGCCTTGCACCAGCGACCTCTGCGCAAGCGCGCGCGTTGCATTCAACACCTCTTATCCGTCCATGTCCCTCCTATCATACATCATCATCCGATCCCTCCCAATCTTCTCCGCTAACCCCGCCTCGCGCAACACGCACAGCCAACGCCCGCGTCCTCTTCGGCTGCCGCTACACCTACGACGTCGCCATCGGCCACGGCGACGACGGCGGCTACCGCGCGCTGCTCTTCCGCCACGACCGCCAGCAGCAGCAGCAGCAGAACCACCGCAATGGCAGTCAGCGCAACGTCAGCACCAACGCCAACAGCAACAACAGTGGCAATGGCAGTGGCGGCGTCGGCGGTAACAGCGGAGGCTGCGCACCGGACGGACCGAGGGGAACCAGGTTCCAGGAGCTGCGGCGGGCGCACGCGCTGCTGCGGCTGGCTATCGCGCCGACGAGGCGCGAGGCGGTGCGGAGCGTGTTGGGGTGGACGGAGGAGTTGATTAGCGGCGGAGGTTGAGCGGACAGGACTCTTCTGATCTTCGGTTGGATGATGGAAATGGGAGCAACAGTATGCGACAGGGACTTATGGAGGGAAGCGACAATACACAGGGAAAACTTAAAGGTTGGGACACTTGATTGCAGGCAATGCGGACGACGAGAGGCCACGGCTTCTTCTGACGCTCTCACCGTGTGTGGGTTATGGAAGCATCTGCCTAGGATATTCGACAGGAACAATATGCGGATACCATGCATATGGAGATGCTGTTTTAGGGCCCCATGCAGGCGCTGGCGCTCGGCACATCTGTCTCGGAGCCGGCTGTCCATGAAGCCGAAAACTCGGCGTCCTTCTCAGATAACTTTAGCCGTACAAACTGAGAAAGAAGCGCGTGATTTACGAGCATCACCGAAGTTCTATGCATTCTCAAGGAGCAGATCCCCAGGCGTGAATAAGGTCAAGGGTCGGCATGAATATCATCGAGAGTACGGAGTGCGGGACGAAAGTGACGGGTTGTAATAAACCTGATGCTGGGGACCGTAGAAGCCGGAGAACTTGCATGAAGATCGGGCTCTAAAAGTAGAAATCACCCAGAGACCCTCTACCGAGTACTAGATGCACTAGAGCGGTGAACTGCAGATAACGTATGAATGGTAAGGACAGGGTTTATCCGGGATAGTGGTAGCGAGAGATAGACTTGAGCTTAGCATGTATGCTTAAGCTTGTCCCTTCAATGTTTGACTCAGGCACGATCATTCGCGATGAGTTTCGCAGACAGATAGAAATGTTAAGGTCAGTGTGCAGTAAATGATCGACAGATTGTTTGACCGCTTGGGCATGGTTCGTTTCCTAGAAAGATCGGGCGACCGCGGACTCCGAAATTGACCAGTGCAGGGAAAAGCGGCGAACTGCCAAATGCAGCATCTGACGTAAAAGGCAGCTGATCCACCGTGACTTTGTTGTTTCTCGGGAAGCTCAACTGCCGAACTTCACACTATAAGGAGAAAAGGACAGGGATCGGTATTCGTATCATGCGGCAAAAGACGATGGGTCAGGATTGGCGCCAAAAGTGGATCGTAACGGCCTTGTTGCGCGTTCCTGAAATTTGCGCACCCCATCCTTCCTGCCGACAAGCGGGGTCGGCCAGGCGGTATAAGGAAGTGGATGGACGACTTGGCTACGGTAGTATTGGTCTGACGCATTGCTTGGACTTGGCGGGTGGGTGAGGCTCTCGGGCGTAAAGCTTAGCCATGTGTGCCTGAGTCGGCGAGCATGGTCAGCTCGAAGTGAGACGACGACATGAGAGGATTTGGTGATGAAAAAAGACGGTCGAACCACGGGTCCTGCCGTGACAAGTCATGACAACGTTTGCCGGTCGGCAAAGGCGCTGTTGGAGAAGGCGTGGACTGACGGAACCCCTGCACCCCACGGGGCTCAAGCGCGTCCAGGCGCTTCCTGATTCCAGAAACGGCCAGGGTTGCGGGCCAAGGACAAGCCAAGGCCCGGTGGCCGAAGACCCACCGCATCATCGACATATCGGCAGCAGGGAAGGTACTCCTCATGGCGCAAACAGCTGACGGCGGGCGGGAAGGCGCGCGGCACTTCGCTGACGCTGTGTTGTTGGCTGCGCGGGTCGGGTCTGGGGTGCGGCACAGCGTGCAGAAGATCTCTTTGCGGGGAGCGTCTCGCTAATTCGTCCCGGCGCGGCGGTGCAACGCCGGGGTGCATTTTCCGCGATTTCGGCGGCGCTTCTTGCCTTCTCCATCATCTCCGCCTCCACCTTTTGCACGTCCTCGATCAAGACAGAGCCCCGCCCGCGCACCCCTCAACATGGCATCCCCGCCCCGGCTTTCGTCTCGTCATCGCTCCGAGTCCAATAGCCTAATGACTCGCCTCAGCTACTTTCCCTCCCCACAGGCACCACTTCGGCAATCCACAACATGGACCTTCGGCACTTCCCTCTCTCCCCGATGATCATTGCCCTGTGCCGACCACTATAAAGCTCCCAGCTCCAGCACTCCCGTTTCACGAAACACCAGGCGATCTTTCGGCCTTTTCCATCTTTTTCCCGAAAAGTCAAGATGCGTTACGGCTACAGCACCATCTTGCTCGCCGCCTCCGAGGCTGCGCTTGCCGCTCCCGCCGTGCGCCGGGCTGCTGCTCCCACTGCTTCCGTGAAGAACGGAACTATTGAGGGCATTCACAACGCCGAGTACAACCAGGACTTTTTCCTCGGCGTTCCCTTTGCTCAGCCTCCTGTCGGCGAGCTCAGGTTCCGCGTGCCTCAGCCCCTCAACAGCACCTTTGAGGGTACCCAGTCCGCTACCAGCTATGCTCCTTCGTGCATTGGCTACGGCGTATGTTTTGGTTTCTGTTCTCATGCCCGAATCATTCACTGACAACCATAATAGTCTGACCAATTTGGCTACGAAATCTCCGAGGACTGCTTGTACCTCAATGTTGTGAAGCCTTCAGGCTATGAGAACCAGTCTCTCCCTGTAGCCTTTTGGATCCACGGTGGCGGCTACACCCAGGTTTGTTTTCAATATTTCATACCCATGTATTCATCAACTAATATGCAAAAAGGGTGGTGGTGGCGACCATCGGTACAACCTATCCTTCATCGTCCAGAACGGCGTTGATATCGGCAAGCCTTTCATTGGTGTCTCGACCAACTACCGCCTCAGTGCCTGGGGTTTCCTGAACGGTGATGCTGTTCAGGAGTCTGGCAACACCAATCTTGGTCTTCGTGACCAACGCCTGGCCCTTCACTGGCTCCAGGAGAACATTGCCGCTTTTGGCGGTACGTCATTCCGTCACCTCCATCTGTTCTTTGCATCACTCATCAATTTTTAGGTGATCCCGACAAAGTTACCATCTTTGGAGAATCCGCCGGTGGGTCGTCTGTCGGTTTCCAGCTGACTGCCTACAATGGCCGTGACGACAGTCTCTTCCGTGCTGCCATCATGGAGTCTGGCTCCCCTATCTACTACTCCAGCCTGAACGACAGCGCCGGCTTCCAGGCGAGGTACGACACGGTCCTCTCGCAGACTGGCTGCTCCAACTCCACCGATGGTCTTGCTTGCCTGCGTTCTCTTCCCTACGAAGATCTGAACGCCGTCATCAACCAGACTGCACTGACCAGCTGGGGACCGGCTATTGACTACGACTTCATCGCTGGCAAGACCTCGGAGCAACTCGTCAAGGGTGACTTCGTCCAGGTGCCCATCATCATCGGAGCGAACTCGGACGAGGGTCAATCTTTTGGACCTCAGGGTATCAATACCACCGAAGACTTCGTGAAGACGCTTCAGTGTACGTCTGCCCGTCCTTCCGCTAACAGCCAAAACAAACCGGACTCATGCGAGGTCACAGCCTCTGGAATCCCCTCCAACTTCACATCCACCATTCTTGCTGCCTACCCGGATATCCCCGCCGAGGGTATTCCGGGCTCGCCGCCGCTGGGCTTCCTGCCCCCTGACTTCCGCTACGGTGCTCCTCAAGGCGCTCAGTACCGCCGCAGCGCCGCTTACTACGGTGACCACTACTTCGTTGGCAACCGCCGCCTGACGTGCGAGAGGTGGGCTGAGCACGGCCTGCCGGCCTACTGCTTCCGCTTCAACGCCATCCCCAACGGCGCTACGGCTGCTGCCCACTTCCAGGAGGTTGCCTTCGTCTTCAACAACATTCTCGGAACCGGCTACAACGAGCCCATCTCGTCCAAGCCCTTCGAGAACCGCGGCCAGAACTACGTCGACCTCGCCAAGTTCATGAGCGCCTCCTGGGCCAGCTTCTTCGTCGACCTTGACCCCAACGGCTACAACCTCCAGGGCAACGCCACCGTCGAGAAGTGGGAGCCCTACAATGTTGCTGACCCCAAGGACATGGTTTTCCACGCCAACGTCACCAGCTACATCGAGGATGACACCTACAGGGCTGCTGGTATGAAGTTGTTCAGGGATTACGCTTCCACCGTCTACCACAGGTAGAGCGTCTTTGAGGGTTGTATGGAAAATAGGTTCAGAGTGGGAACATAATGTCTATATGTAGTTACTTGTATATATGAATTGATGAAGGGAATACATGTTCACCAATATGCAAACAGTCTTTTTTTCTCGTTTCCTCATTCATTACCCGCTCGATGCGGAGGCAAGATGTCTTCATGAGCCAAGTATTAAAGAGGTAAGTGACAGGCATCTGGTGGATTCCATGATATTCGCGTCTGTTTGTTATTCACTAGAGTCAATCACCTGGCAGCGTATATATATGTCTACTCTATTGCTGCAGGTATTCTACGTATATCCTATGTACCTCCTTCGGGTTTCATGGAGCATGGACATGCGTACTTGCCTTGTTTAGCCGTGATCAAAGCATTTGCACATAGCCTCCGATTCTACATATTGAATTACCGGAGAATGCAATACTTCGATGAAGACATTGTTGAACATAGCTGATTCCCTTGACATTTGTCACTCGAGAAGAAAGCTCCTCCTTCTTCAATCGGCCCATGATGGCGAAGTCAACACTCTAGATATTCTACAAGCCAGTCTTGATCGCCAGGGTGTGAACAGCACTACCATCACGGATACATTGCCCGTGTTCTGCAAGCGCAGCTGGCCCGTCAATTATCTCAAACAACACGGCGCGAAAGTTGAATTAACGATCTCTGAAGACACTACGTACTTGGTCAAGGGTGTCATCCACTGAAGCGGGACGAACCGACAGCACAGGAATAGGCGGCATTTCAATAAGCAAGCGTCCAACATCCGCGAGCTTTCGGGGCGGGCGATCGCCATAGCCAAGGTGTTGTTCAAAGGAGCTGACGCTGCTATTGGGAAGAAGCAAACGGCGGGTATGGAATCGAAAAATTGCTGGGCGGACTCTCGGAGCCAGTACAATTAAGAAACTGACGGAATTCTATGATATTCATTTCTCTTCCGTCAGTTGTTTGCCATTCCATTTGCTGTTTTCCAGCAGCCACTCACCTGGCAGCGTATATATTCCACGCTGCCTGCAGGTTTTCGATAGATCATCCTTTCGGATTGCTCGGAAACGCAAGAAAGAAACCGACAAGCTCGGCGAGAGCGTCATTCAGATCCGTGAAGGACTCCGGAAGAGCTTCGGGAAATTTCGAGAGTAACACCATGAATCCGGTTCACCGTTACATTGAAGCGGTCAAGCGAATGTCTACAAGGCTGAGACACTGGATGAGAAGGCAACTGAGGAGGCTATGGAAACGGGCGTGCGTCTCTCGGAAGGCGAGAAGATAGAGAAGCTCAAAACCTTCAAGATATGTTTGCTCTGGTAGAACAGGATGACAAGACCGGCCACCTCTCGGACACCAAGAAAGGTCTCACGTATAAACATGGATGTCAGGAACCGAGTTAAATCAAGCGCAAGCAACGGTCACTGCAACTTTGTATTCTACTCGACTTCTCAATGTTCAGGATCTTTTCCACATCCACATGGGTTGTTATACACAAACCTCTCCGAATATCCACAATCAAACTCCACAAAACCCCAAACCAATCCACCCCATCAGCACCAATTCACCTCAGTACGTCGGCTGCCACTTCCACGGACTATACGGCCTCCTCCACCCATTCTTCCCACCACACCTCCTATCCAACCTCCCCCAAACCTTCTTCGCCCCCTTCTGAGCACCCTGGAACCTCGGCCTGCGCACGCACTTGGGCGCGAAGAAGCCCGCATTCATCGTCATCTTGCGGTACCACCTGGTCCAGCGCGGGGCGTCGTGATCGAACAGGCCGGCGCGGCGAGCCATGGTGACGGTCGAAGGGCCGACGCGGCGGAAGAGGCCGGCCTGGTCCCAGCGGCGGCGAGCCTGCATGATGACGTCGCCGCGCCAGCGCCAGACGAGGTGATCGAGCTGGGCGGCGACTTCGGCGCCCTCGATCTGGCGCACCAGGCCCAGCACCCAGCGCAGCTTGTTCGTCGACACCCATTCGTGGTTCTCGAGAGGGCCGGTGACGGCGGTGCGGACGAGGGCCTTGGATAGGAGCGGGCCGAGCGACGCGCCGTGGTCGCGTAGCCATAGGTAGCAGAAGTAGACGTTGCGGAAGCGGTGGCGGTGGGGAAAGGCCGTCTGGGTGGCGTAGGCGTGGGCGATCAGGTGGACGAGGTCGATGCGGAGGGCTGAGAGTCTGTTCCTGAAGTTCTCGCGGTGTTCGGGTGGCACGCGGTCGAGCGGGTCGTTGTGGTCGAGGAGACAAAACAGCTCGTCGCGCGGGAGAATGCCGTGCTCGATGAGTGCGAGAGGTAGTCGCGGGCACAGGCTCAGCCAAACGTTGTTGTTGGCTTTAAAGTACTTTAGCGCTTGTTGAGGATAGTTCTCACATGCTGCTTCCATCACGGCTGCGACAACATGTGGATCTGGGATCTGAAGTTGTTCAAAGACTAAGAATCTTTTATAAAGGTCATGAGCCATGTCAGGGCCATACAAGGCTGAGATGAGCTCCATAACTTTCGGCAATGCCGTTTTGTACGGCAGCTTTTCGTCTTTGAGAGTCAAAATTGCAACGAAGAATTGGGTAATCCTCGGATCCTGCGGTTTGTCGGGGTGCTTCATCCGCTTCTTGAAGCCACGCTGCAGTTGTTGTCTCGAAAGCTTGAAATTCTTGACGGACTTATCTTTAGCGATATACTGCGGCATCCAATAATGCATCCATAATTGGCAGATTTCGTGAGGATAGAAACGCTTGAGGTACGGAACGGCCAGAGTTGGATCCATGCGTGAAGTAACTTCAGGGCATCGCGCAAAGATTTCGATCTGTTTAGTGGTGGGGTTCTGGAGGTGGCAAGTCTTGGAAACGCAGGAGAACCAAAGCTGAAGGGCTTTTTGCGTCTCCTCATCCATCGAAGATTTCGCGGGAAGAAGTAGTGCTGTAGTCTCTGCCATGACTTCTTGCGCTTTTTCTATGCTCATGGAATCCACCACGCTTCTGATGACCAGCCACTGCAAACCATCCGAAGTGGAGGCAGAGTCGCTTATGTTGGACTTGGCCAGTAATCGGGCCCAAAAAGCGAAGTGTGCTGCGAAATCGTCTGGCTTCGCACTGTCTGCAGTTGGCCAAAGATGTCGGTAAATCTCTAGGCGGAAGAGCGCGGCATTTGTATGGCCGGTAGATCGCAATTTCTGGAGCTTTGCGATATCCTGGATCTCGGGAGGTGTTTCGAGCACCAGCAAACGTTCAACCATTTTGCGGACGACAGAAGTGTCGAAATGATCCAGGGGTATGATTTTGCATGATGTCAACCCCCGCCATATGGCCCAGTACGCTCCAAATTCCCAGTCATTAGTCACATCGGGCTGACGACAAACTTTGCGGCATAACTTGGGTATATTGTCCACGATGTCGTCCAGCTCCGAAGGCAACATTGCTCCGAGTTTGAGTGAATCTCGAATCCTGTTGACGAGCTCGCCGAGGCAACCGATTGGCATGCCTTTTTTGATAACTGCATGGATGAACGTTTTGATGTTCTTGGCCTCAGAGACGTTCAGCTTTGGGTTCCGTAGAAATCCAAATAGTGCCGGATAGCCCATCCCTCTTGTGCCAAGGTTGTCCAGGAAATGTGTGTTGGCCATCTGGCTGAACAGATGCATGTGTTCCGGCTCAACTCCAATATCCGACCAGAGTGCTTCCACGCCATTTACATCGCGGACGCGAGCGAGGCGGAGTCGGTATTCTTGAACAGGGTCCAAAATGCGAGGCTGCTTTTCCTCTGTGGAAACATTGTAATTGGACAGCCATTGCGGTAAATCTGAAGGGGTTGGTTCTAAAGGCGCATTAGCAACAGGTTCCTATAGATCCATGTAGTCGATGGCGAAACGTACGCTCCCGGCTCAACCGCTGCTCTGTTCCTTTTGGCGGCTCCCAGCTCCAAGCTTGGTGCAGCGACTTGTCCGGACCAAAGAGCGCGCCAATGCCAGGGCCAATTCCTGGACTGGCGGCGGCGAGGCCCATTATGCGCCTCTTCGAAGCTCTTCTCCTAGCCTCCAATGGCCCTGGGACGTTGCTGCCATAGCGCTTGCGACTTGCATTGGAGACGTTGAGGAAGCGGTGGAAGGCATCGGCGAGGACTTCATCGGTGATCCAAACTGGCTGCGCGTGTCGAAAAATGTTGTACTGCGCTGCGCCACGGCAGGCAGGTGTGCGGGGGGGCATGAATGGCGAGTGGTGAAGTCATGCCTGCACGCGTGAGCTCGTTGGCGCTGGTCGAAGTTGTAAGTCGCGTCGTAATTTTCGGATTTGTATCACGTAAGATGTCAATACACCAATCACATCCACCCATTTACACAGCTTGCTTCCTCCACAACTGGACCATCGCGGGGCTGGCATTTACATCTGAGTAGTGAATCAGAAACAGCATTGTCTGAGATTTTACTGTACTACCTCTACCGACGTTGCTTCGGTCATGCAATGCTACGCTGTCTGGCTGAGGATACTGTGCGACGGTGGTTGTGCAGGCATGCCTTATACACAGCACTACGCGCGTGGCTGCTTAATCTATCTGCCACAAGCGGAGCCAGCAGTGGCTTGTGCCAGCCGATCTGTTTTGCCGTCAGTTTGATAGAGCTACGCTGCCTGTTCAAGAGCATGAGCCGAGACAAAGTGGATGCAGCCCAGTCAATATTGAGGGATTCCAAAAGCATACGACACGCGGCTGAGTTGTCCCTGAGCCAAGTGTCTGGAGGCCGTAAAGCTTGAAAAAGGCGCATGTGCCTGCTGACGACTGCGCCTCTGCCACGGGGGATACCCAGCCAACCCGGCGGGACGGTCTGGGGAACCGTATCCGCGCGAGAGTGCTGTCAGGGTGGAGAGATGGCTCGGTGTGATCGCCGAGAGATTATTATAGAACCACTGCGAGCAGAGTCGAAGGACAGAACAGGCAACGCATTCGCGGGCTGCACTGATTACGCAAGAGGATCGGCTCTAGGGTCGAGTCTGGACTCTGGACAGCACGAAGGCTCCCCGCAAGGACTGAATCAGGCGTAGCGGGAAGAGCAGACCAGCCTCACATGCCTAGGCTCGTGTTTGCGATTCCTGGCGGCGCAAGCGGCTCGCGGATGGCTCGGCGAAGGCAACCTGGCAGCTCAACTTTGACCACTTTCGCTCGGGCTGTCCACCGCTTCCCGACGCTTTCCACTGTGGTTCGCAACGGCGAAGGAGCGGTCGCTCCCCTGCTGAAAACGGCGGGCCTGGGTGCCTGGCCGCCGACGGAGATCCGGCAAACGCGTACGTGGAGAAGGCGGCCGCACTTCCCTACCGTCCCGTCCGTTCTGGCCTAAGGCTGAAGCAGCGGTGCGCGCCCTGACAGCAGGCTGACGGCGAGCCTTGCCCGCACGATCTTCAGGGACGGCGTCGACGGCAGCGCGGCGGAGGAATGCTGGAGAGGCGCGATCGCGGTCGCCGGCGGAACGGCCGGGGCGCGTCGCCTCGCTGACGGGTGCGACTCTTTCACAGGACTCGGGGATTTGTGAGTGGGAATTATGCAATGTCATCTCACGTGCGCGCTTGTGCTGTGCAGCTGGTTCCTGCATTAGCTGCCCAGCTGGTGCTGCTGCACCCCGGCGCGCAGCGGCAATCAGTCCCGTTTCGGTGTGGTCAAACAGCGGCAGCCCTGGCGGCACCCTTGGCAGCGCAGCCCTGGCGCGTCGCCGGCTCCGACCGTTGGGGCTTGTTGAGAGCGTCGGCCGTCTATCTGCACACGCAGACACAGCCATTGTGCGCGCGATAGGGAGCGTGGAGCGCGGAGGATGCGCGTATTAATAGGCACGGTGCGAGGGTGGGCAATAATTCATGCAGGCGGGAGGGTGGTGGGCGCGCTGGGCCGGCTGCTGCGTGACCCTCGGGAGCACTCCCTGGCGCGTGCGGGCGCGAAATTGCAACCTCCATGCTGCCGCCGGCGCCCTCTCCTGACGGCCAGTAGCGACACGCCTCGCGCTGCCCGGCTGCTCCACCTTCGCCAGCATCGCCATGTCCACCTTCCGTTAACTTCCCGCCCACGTTCTTTACCCAACCCTCAAGTCGTTGTCCCTCCCACCGCCAACGACACCACGCTCTTTGCCCACCCGCTCCTTGAAACGCGTGTGCCCTCAGTTCGCCGGGAAAGGGGCCCATCAAACACTCGCCCGCTGAAACACACATTCCACGCCCACCCGACCGACGTGACCTCCAATTCCAACGCCTGGCGTTTCAGCCTCCGCCGAGCGCTGTGCTGGAACGACGCCGTTGATACTCTCGCTCTCAGCTTCAAGTCACCGCGACTTCAGTTCTTCGCACCCCATCGAGCCCTTTGTGAACTGCCGCCAACCCGACCGAGTGTCACGCGTGACGCCTGAAGCTACCCACACGATCCCGCACCCAGGACCCGCCCGAGCATCTCCCACCCAGCGCTCGCAGGCAGGCCCACGACGCGGCTTCATCAACATCAACAGCCCCATCCGTACGTCGCCGACCGAGTCGCTCGCAACCTCACGGCTTCCGACCGTGCCGCCGTTAGTCCCTGACTAACCGACTGTCAGGCTTTGACGCTGTCGCTTCCGCTCCACCCTTTGGCAACACCCTGATCCATTACCATGGCCTCAAGACTATTCCTCGCCGCCATTGCGGCATCGTCGCTGCTCTCCACCGTGGCCGCGATACCCGGTACCAAGACGCAGACGTCGACGCCGACCTACACGGGCGCTCTTCACTCCATGACAGACAAGGGGTGTTTCTCGTCATCTGAGCCGCTCGAGGACCAAGGCTCTTATACCTTCCAGACGCAGGGCAACTGCCAGCCCATCTGTGTGGGTCTGGAATACCCTGTCATGGCTCTCGTGAACGGCAGTAACTGCTTCTGTGGAAACATGCTCCCTGCAAAGTCCAGCAAGGTTGACGACGACAAGTGCAATACGCCTTGCAATGGCTATCCCCAAGACGACTGTGCGTACTATCGCTCTGATGAAATGAAGCGAATGCTGACGGATTGAATAGGTGGTGGTCGCAACTACTGGCAGGTCTATCTCAGCGGTCTGGATAACAACGAGGTCGACTACTACGATGGCGGCTCGTCTTCATCATCTTCGTCTTCCAGCTCCACGCAGGGCACGCCTGTTGTCGTTACTGTCGGAGGTGGCCAAACCATCGTCGTTACCAAGGGCGCGCAAGCCAGCGACGCTTCTAACAAATCCGATGGTCCCAACAAGGCTGGCATCGCCGCAGGCGTCGTTGTCGGTGTCGTCGTCATGACAGCAATCATTGGAGGTGTTCTCCTCTTCCTGAGGCACAAGCGCAGAAAGCAGGTCGAGGAGGAGTACCGCCAGCGCCAGAGCATGAACAACTTCGTGGCTGGTGGCAAGGCTCCCGGCACCTCTTCTCTCAACGACACCATCCTCGACCCTGCGTTCGCGAGGAGAATGAGCAATGGCAGCGTTGCCGACAACCAGGACTACTCGAGAAGGATTCTCCAGGTAGGCGACAGCGCGCGTGAAAATTTTGCCGAAAGTGCTAACAGCTAGCGCAGGTGAGAAACCCCGACGACGACTAGACGACTGCGCTGTCACGATTACGAATCTCCCTCGAATCACTTGACTTCTCGCCATATTTCCACCTCCGCGCGCGCTCCTCTGGCCAGCATCATCTCCAACCTCGGAATGACCGGTCGTCGTCCTCTCTTGTATTATGTCCTTGGGTTGTTTGGTTTCTACCGGCGTAAAACGTACTTGACGAGAATCTAACCAGAGGCTGTTCTCTCGAATTTTTCGGAAGCCCGGAAGCGCAGAATAGCCCGCAATTCGATACCTCGCTCTCGACGATGATGACGTCGCGTGCTCTTTCTCTGTCAGATATTTTCGGGGTCTTTTTTCTCCACAGCCTGGGTAGAAAGGCGTTATGTTCGGGAAGCGGCTTGTTTGACATTCGGCACATGGTCTCTCATTTTCTTTCACTTCTCAGACCGAGGCGGCTGTCGCTGCCACCCACTCCACCTCGCTCTCCTTGCATGCCGCGTCGGCACCCCCGCTATCAACCCGGACGCCTTCACCCGCGGTCTGATATGGAAGCTCGCAGCCAAGCAACGGTGGTCAACCTCAGCTTGGGGCGCAGAAAACTTAAGTCAGCTGGTTTCCTTGCTCGTCTTTTCTCTATACCGGTGGACCGAGTAGTGGTGGAGGAAGTGGCTGGCACACGACTCCGAAAGCATCTTCCTCGGCCACTATTTGCGTTTAATTATTTGCTTTACAATTCTGAATCATCCCCAGCATGGTGTCGGTAGGGTGGGGGTTGTCATAGGCTTATTTTTCCCTATATTCTACATCTAACCAATACTCGCGAACTCGGAAGTTAAAGCGCCGGGTACGGTCGGATTCACAATACCCGGAATGTGCTGTAACTACGAAATGGAGAACCTTTGATAGCAATATTATTCGATGAGCTCGATGGGACGACGTCTGGCATGTGAGGATAGAGTATTGTGTCATGGTGCGCTGATTGGCCTGGCTGAAGGGCGCACCCGGTAGCGTACCGCAGCGCAGGATTAGCTGGGAGCCAGTCGTTGGTCGACGGGTAGCCGCCTCTTGAGCGGGAGTGCGGGATGAGGAGGGAGTTCCCTCGGTCTCACCGAGCAAGGGCGGGGTAACATTGGATCGGCTGCATGTCATTGAACCGCACTTGGGCGAGGTGCGGCAACGAACGGGGGGAGACGACGATATGGCGTCTAAGGGAGGCTGACGGTCAGCAAGCACTGCCGCCGCGACACAGAGAGGGGGGAGGCGCAAAAGCCAAGCGCAATGCGTGAGCGTTGGAAAATCACGAATTGCGCGCCGTCTGGGTACTCGGCAACAATCACACGCGCGAGACGTGTGGGCCCCTGCCCAGCTGAACGACAGAAAGTCTTGTGTCAGGACTGTCCGTGTGTCAAAGTCGCAGACATCCAGGCCGGTCTTTTTCTCTCTCTCTCTTTCTTTCCACTCTTCGTTCTTGGTTCTTTCCTGCCTACTCTCCCCTGCCTCTTCTCGTACAATATGGGCAAGGATCACGTCGAGACGCTAGTGCTGAGATGTGCAGGAGATCTAATAGAACGAACACTCATACCTAGTGCGGCCGCCGCCGCGGCCCCCATCTCGCTTCTCCCCGAGTAAAGCAACGCAAGGGAACAAAAAAGGCGCGCGCAGGTGCACGGCAGTCTCCTTGTTCTTTCTGTCTGTGAGGGGGAAGGGTTTTCCCGGGGCGAAAATGTCAAACGGGGAGCGAGGAGAGAGGCGACCATGCTTCAGCCACAGGTAGGAAAAGCTTGGTGCCCAGGAAAACCGGTGAGGGGGGCCTGCGGCGCCCTGCGAGATTTGCGGCGCTTTGCGCAGAGCCGCCCAGCGATCATGATCGCGTTCACAATTCGTTGTGTGGAGTAGATGCGTCCTAGGGTTTTAAATTTTTGATTGTGGCTGGAGTGAGTTTTGGAGTCGTCGTCGCGGGGAAGGGGACTAAAGGGTGGGAGGCCGAAACGTAGTGAAATGACGATGATCAGGCACACGGATTTTGCAGATGTCACTGCGACTGGCTTCCAGTCGCTTGTGCGTACACGTGTTGGGTACTGTCAAATTGGATCGTAAGGTTCTCTTGAATTACTATTGATCACGCCCGACGACGGGCGGACCTCTGGTGTGCGTGCGCTTTATCATTACAAGAGGTGGTGTATCTCGTTAAGTCGTGCCATATTACAATGGAGAAATTTGTCTCTTTCCCTCCCTCTAGTTGGAGAACTTGTCGGGAACATCCTTGCCGGTCATGCTCTCGAACTTCTCGCGAGCGGTATCGGTCTACGTAGCGAAATTGTTAGTATTGTGGTTGAGCGGGAAGAGATAAGGTTTGGTTGGAGGACATACGATCTTCTCGTTCATCGCCCTGTGCTTCTCGGTGTCCTGGCCCCAAGAGCCGCCGTACTTCTTCTCGGCAGCATCGAGACCTACAAATGAGTAAATATCAGTTTAGTGATAGGATAAAAGGGGTCGAGTATCTGATACGCACCCTTGTCAAGGTAGTCCTCCTGCTGGTTGCCGGTCTGCTTGTTGGAGGAAGAGCCACCACCGAGCTTGCTTGCGAGCTTGTCCATGATGAATGTGTTGGATGTATTTGTTTGAATGAAGATTGATGGTTGGATAGAGTGTGATGGTTCCTGTAAACTCTCGAGTCTGGCCGTGTTATATACACCTCCCACCCTGGCGCTACGTTGCTATTCTTTGATCCCTATCCCAGTTAGGGGCTTCTAGAAACTTGGCACAGAGCAGCGAGAACCGGTTGATAGGCACAGTTACGCCAGAGCTGCCAGCCATCGCGGGGTATGATGTTGCTTGCGGAAGTCGAGAGCTGAGATAACGTAGTATGACATCATCGGGCGCCAGATTCCAAGGACCCTGATCCTCCAAGACGACTACCGCGATCCGGCTAGCTGCGACATCAGTGACGAACACTCTGCTCTGCTGCCCCGCTTGTTCAGGTACACTTGGCCGGATTCCGGAACGGCGGCCCCGGGTTTCTTCGATGAGGTCGGCTCATGGCTTGGTACGCTTGCGCGACGCCGTCTCGATGGTTGTCGCCAACATGACGCCACTAGTGAGGTCACTTGGGATCGTAGGGGAGGCGCTTGATCACGGAAAGGATTCTTGATAACATGGGTGATATGAGCGATTGGTTGGTTGATGTGTTGATGACGGTTCGGCGGAGTCTGGTCCGCTTGCCATCAATTGGCGCTTAGTTGAAAAATGGTTGCCGCAACTTCTGTTTTAGCAACCCACGACTTTCTTCCTTATCGCTATCTCAAACTGGTCTGGTATACGCATTTGGGCAATGGCGTTATCCTCGCTCGGCGTTGCCGGTTCGGAATTGCCTCTGCGCAAAGCGTGGCATCAACGAGTCGCCCTTGCATGTGACGATTCGTGTATCACAGCGGCACAGAAGTTATGATGTCTTCCAAAAATTATCATGTTGTGGATACTTCCAAGCATTCACGCGAAGGGTCCAGGGTAGTTCTAACATTCTTTATCGTCATCCTAGTTTCGGCGGGCCATATTTGCGTTCAATATATCGAATGGCTCTATTTTCAGAAGCATTCGATGCTTGCAATCGCCCTTCTTCCATGCCGATAGCTATTGCGCCACGTCGCCTGACCGGTTTGTGCCTTGCTTCACAACGAGGCTGAGCATGTATCCCTTGTCTCCTCGTGGGCCTGAATGACATTGTGGCTTGCGCATAAATAGAGTTGACTCTGAATATCGTAATGGATCGACTTAAAAGCTCGTATTAATGCTCTGGGGTAGATGGTCGTAGCAACTACTCGCATTATGAGATCAGTTCAAGCGCACGTGATGACAATTGTGCACCTACATCGGGTCCCCATCTGCAAGTCCTCCGAAGCTCGGAATTTGAGGCTAATATACGCAACGTGTAAGGGTTTGGAGCCTTACAATATGCAAGGGTGGTTGGTGTAGGCGAAAGAATATCGAAGGCAGTAAACGTGAAAGGCGCTCCCTGCCCATTCCAATGATTGAACTAGAAGCTTAAACTTCGGACAGCTTGCTACTATGAGTCTGCACGCTGTCTTCTTATCTTGACGGTGAGATGGTGGGGTGCCGACCGAAGATTTATGATTTATTCGTTTTCTTTACCTCTTTGAGCTCGAAAGTGCATTTGATTGGCCACCTATCCATGAATCTTATTCCGTCCTTACTCCCCCAACGCTGCTGTGCATTTATTGAAAAAAGTTGCTCCCATTTAGTTCTGTACACAGAGTGATCCTGCGGCAACGGGCTAATATTTGGATTGAAATAATATGTTTGTCGGTGTATAATTTTTGACGAGGTTGAGGACTGTAAATTCCCCACAACATGTAAAAGGAGAAAGTAGAGATGTTCTTAGCGATTAAAAATAACTGACAGCGCTGCCCTATGATTTAAAGGAACCATAGCTCCATCGGGTTCGGGTACAGTCGTAACATTGTATCCACAATTCTTCAGCATCAACGCCAAACTGTATGTACAGTAAGCTTGTTACACTGTGCAGGTAAGGTATGATTTAAGCTTCTACGTAAAGAGGTCTTTTTATAGCTTCTAAACGTATAGGAAGATAACGGAGAGTACCTTTAGGTTGTTGTCTTTCTCGTGTTGTTCGTTAGGTGGAGGCGGTATGGGCAGTCTGGGAGCCTAGGGAAATCGGTTACAGAGCGCTCTGCCGAGGCAGATTAAGACGTGATCATAGAAGGTCTCAATGAACCAAAGGTAACAGTAGCAAATGGAGAGACAGTAAGGAGTGAGCTTTCACAAGCCCCGTTTCGGTCACCAAGATTTCTACACCCCGTCTGGCCTGGGGAGGGTTGTTGACTGCGCAGTGGTCCAATGAAGGGCCAAGGCTATGGGAGGACCCGACCCTGCTTCTTTGTATGGCTGGCTTACAGAGGATGGACCAGAGACCCTTGACCGAGATCTGCCTGTATCGCACCACGTTGGGTGTTACGCAACTGTTCGACTGTATCCGTGGTACTGTATCGCAGCTAGCGCAGTATTGCAGTACATACGGGAACAACTGTACTAACAGACGAGAGGGGGCACCGCCACTCGCTTGACGTCTGCTGAGTTCGAACCGCGCCATCACCATCCCAACACAACGCAACGTGATGGTGGCTTATATTGCCGTGGAAATGTAGAGAAAACACTGTAGATTATATGTGCATAGCGGCACGTTGCTACCATCAACCAGAAAGGCGTTTTGACAGCGAGAAAACCCACTACCGCCGGGACCTGAATCCAACCAAAAACCACCCTTACCCACCCTATACAACTCGACAACGAACAGCCTGGTGGCTTAGTGCTTTGGTAGGATCAAAATGCATACTTTATATACTATGTTGGCAGTTCCTCTTTCAACAAGCGTCCCAATAGGAGCCCCAAAAGGGCTTGGTAAGCGATGGTGGTGTAGTTGGTTATCACGTCAGTCTAACACGATTCCCGTCATTCAGCGGGTTTGTGGTACACTGAAGGTCCTGGGTTCAAGTCCCGGCCGTCGTACAGCGCATTCTTTTTTGCCCGTGATGGTGTTGTGGAGGTGTTGAGGTGGGTGGGTCGAAGGGGGGTGGCGGCGGGATTTTTTTTGGGCCGCGGCTGACGGCGGATTTTTCCGATAACGCGCCTCTTTAGGCCTGCAGCTTCTTACGTAGCGCTATGTAAGCGAATACCGGACCACGAGTGTTACGTAGTTAGGTGTGCGACATGGGTTGTGGAGAAATTCGTCTTGTCGATGAAAGGCCAACTGGAGGTAAGTTCCCTTAGAGATTTCTTGCAGCGCCACGCTCCCTCTTCCAGTACAGCCCTTTTTAAGAGATCTCTGTTCATTCTGCTGTCAATCAAAGCAAGCAACTTAGACGCTTAGAAGGAATTCATCACTGCCGGCTCTCGTCCTCGACTGAACGTGTCAGTCACCGCTCAGTTGATATAAAGTCAACAAGCGAGCCGGTTTGCCACGACTAGGGTGCCACTGGCATCCTAACAGAGAAGGTCACAGGCCTTCCCACAGTCTCTGTGGTCTAGTCGGTTATGACGTCGGTCTCATACTACAACAGTGTGACTTCCTCTCAGAGGTAGTGATCCGAAGGTCCGCAGTTCGATTCTGCGTAGGGACATTTCTTTTGCCGTCTGGCAGTATAATCTTTTTGCTATCTTGTTGTGTTGTTGTTGGGGTTGAGCAGACATCAAGCGGAGGTCCTAAAGTGGGGTAAACTCGGTGGACAGCTCGCATGACGATGCCGCTTTGACTTTTTATTTGGGACTATCAAATTTTCGGCACTTGTGATCAATTAAGCTATGGCGGAAGTTGCTTGGAGATGGTCTTGTAGGTGGGCGCGGGCCGGCATCCGGCCATGAGCGCAATATCTTTTTTTCCTTCGGCTGTCTCAAGCAGGCGCCAAGCCTTTAGCGATCGCCGACCCTTATCCTCCGGAATTTCAATTCGCACCGCACTCTCTCAACACCTCCGTCTCATCGGCCACACTTTTACGCGCCATGGCCAAGCCAATCTGCCCGTCTTCTCACCCAGGCTGACGATCAAACACTCCCTCTTTGGAGAATGCCGTCATCGGAACCCGGCACTGCGCCGCCAGCATGGCTCGCCGGGCACATCGACCGTCGGCGCAGCGGCTCAGCCTGCCTTCGACTTCGAGCAGCGCGCGCTGACGTGGTCTCCGGGCAGCAGGAGCCAGTTTGACTCGTAAGGCCTCAGCTCTCACGTCGCAGATCTCGACCAAGCGCCCTCAATGAAGCGAGATCGTCACCGAGCCAAGAGCACCGCCCATCCTTATACGGGAAAATCCAGGAAGTCATGCGGACGCAGCGAATCGCTCACCCGCCTCTACTCTTCGGATATATCGGCTGTGAGGCAGCCCGCCGGCAGATTGTCATTGTTGGTGTCGTAACCGACCCCATCTCCACATGGCCGGCCTCAGCCACGACGGCGCATAACCCGTCGTTCGCACCAACTGCCGCAAACCACCAGCCGCCGCCGTTGCATTTGGCGCTTTCTCCGTCGATCTCGTCGGCTGCACGCGCGAAAAGACGAGCCCAACCGAGCGGTAGGGTCCCTGTGCCTGGCACGCGCCGCCGCGAGGCCACACCGTAAACCTCCGCCGCCACCATCGTACGTCCGAGAGCGTCACCGACACACATACGTCCCGTGTTGTATGGCTATCGAGGCATCAAATCAGCTCCGGTGTGTCGTAATGCCTGGCGATCAGGCCGCCGCTGTCACCACAACGCTGGGTTTTTTGCATCTGCTGCAACAGGATTTCACGAACAAAACCCACCGCACTGCCACGTGGATGCGCATTTGCGAGACGATACGCCGTGAGGCTGGGAATTTACGTCGTGAATGAGAGATCAGCTACGTCGATACGGCGCTCCCTGTGTCAGTTGCGAGCTACAGCCATGGTCGCGTGGCCAATTAGCCTCGGTGGTGTTGGCGCTAGAAAACGACGGCCGCTCTTCTCTGCCCTACCGCACAGCCCTGCGTCAGGACGGAAGGTAGGTCATTCTGAAACGTGGAGAAAGAGCCCGGAGCTGCAGAATTATGCTTCTTGGCATCATGCACCATGGCATCATTTTATTCACTGTATAACTTTCATACTTTGCTGATCTTTTCTTGCTGCCACTTATGCCGTACCAAGCACAAGATAACTAGTCGTCGGCTCTGTCCATCTGTCAACCAAGGTTTGCAAGATTGAACTAGCCGGCAATGGCAGATCATCCGCGTAGCTTGATCCAAAGGTCCATTGTGATAGGTCGCTGATTCAAAGGGACATTGAAGACGACGTCCAATGGAACGTTTCTTTTTTTCAAGCACTTTTCTTATTTCATCATGGTCTTCAATCAAACCCCACGATTTGCCTGCCTCTTGCGTCTTCCCATGGCCCTGAAGCATACTTCATCAATCAGTGGAAGAGCGAAATAGGCTTTTAGCAGGGCCGCGTCATCTCCACCCTACTGTTCTTGCTCAGTGGAGCTGTAGGACTAAATCACTGACGAACATGTCATTCATTGCGTTTGCTTAGTATTAACTCGATTCAGTTATGGAGTCAAGAATAAATGAAGGTGTGTCATTTGAAAAATGCGTTCTATTCATCTCATCACATTTGTGGTTATACTGCATCAACCCTCAAGCTTGCCTGCTTCGCTCCGACCCTTCCTCTTTTGCATGCCTCAAAACTCAGCCTTCAGACTGCAGCTTCCGGCAGGGAGAGCCATTGCCGTGAACTCAACCAGCGACGAGCCATCGAGGTTGTCCCTCATGCTCGGGTTAAATCTTTAGCCATAAGAGCTTTCCGTCTGCAGCGCTCCACGGCCTTACGGGGGGGGATTGCAGCCGACGGTTAGCGTGAATTTATTTTTCTCAACTACCCATACATGTTCCTTTCCGTTGTGAAACAAAAAAGAGTTGAGGCATACTCACGCTATGTTTCAAGGCCCTGTTATCCGACAAGCTCCAATTTCGTAAAGTCTAAAAACTCTAAATTTCTTGCAGGACCATCATCTTCAACTTGCTCTTCAGAGATGAAACAACACCCTGATCAACAATTCAGGAACAAAACGTGAAACCACTGCCTTTCCACCCCAGGTGAGCACCACAGCAAAACTTGGATTTTTGAAGCAACCCAATGAAATGATGAGTCTCCCCAAATGAAGAAGGTTCGGCTGAAGCCCGGAGCTCAGTACGGAGGTTACCCAAACAGGTGCCGGCCGGCCCGAGGTGGGTCCCACGGAAGGGCAAAAAAAATGCAAAACGTACAACAGCCGGGATTCCCCAATGGTCACCCACTTGAGTACTAATCGGCCGGTTCGCAGCTTGAGTACGGCTGAGCGGACGGGAAGCCCTATATTCTGCGACCTATGGTCGTACGTGGTGTAGGTGGTGATTTGGTGGTGTTATATACAGAGAGCAAAAGTCGTCCGACAACGCATGGCCCTGGAAGTAGTGATCTTTTTCTTGCTCGGTTTAATCATTCTACAACCTGTTTTAATGTGAAAATGTATCTTCTCGATTGATGGACAAACTAGAAGATGTTGCAGGTAAGTCAAGCCAAGCCACAGTGTCCAAAAAAGACCAACGCTGCTGCAGTTTTTGATACATATTCATATGAAAATGAGGCCACCCTTATGCTTCTTCAAAGGAGTATTTGATGTATAAACACGCTAGGATAAGCGAATGTGGTGTTTGGGTAACAAAAGTCACTCGACGAATTGGATGTGCGCTCGAGAATCATATTTAGACCTACAGTACAATACCCCACAAGAGGCATTTACACGACATCAGATATTTCCACAGTAGACGACCGAAATACCATCGCCCACAATCGTACTCGACACAAACCCGCCATCAGTGCTGGAAACCCAATCATTATTCCCCTCCCCATTCTGACTATCAAACGCCGCCGTCCTCAGCGGACCAGGGCGCACATCCTGCGCCGCATCGCCCAGCGCCTTCAACGCCGCCTTGTTCGGCTTGTCCGCCGTCGGGCTGTTGTAGATCTCAATATCGAGACCGTAGACGGCGAGGCCGTCGGCCGGGATGGAGCCCTTGGTGGTGTCGTACAGCCAGACGTGGCCCGTGTAGTCGGCGGGCACGTCGAAGCTCCAGAAGATGGGGTCGCCGGGGCGGATGTCGGTCCAGCCGTAGCCGTCGAGCATGGTCGGGTCGACGTGGTCGACGCCCGCGTAGGCGCCCGTGCCCGTGATCTGCGGCTTGTAGTCGCGGTTGTCCTCGCAGATGCTCGTGTCGACGATGATCTTGTAGGTCGTGGCGCGCGGCTGGAGGACGGCCGCGGCGCTGGCGAGGCCGGTGAAGGCGAGGGTGGTGGTGAAGCGCATGGTTCTTTTTTTTTTGTTGGTGTTGTTGTTGCTTGAGGGTTGCGGGAGGGATGGGGATCGGCGGTTGACTGCAAGAGTATATGCGTCTTATAGTGTTGTCCTGGTCAACACAATTGCCGTTGTTCGTGGCCGAGAAGCAATGCTGTCAGTCGAGCATGGTGCGAGGAATACGAGAATATTGCTTGTTTATATCAGACTAGACCGGATCTTATAGCTAAGTGTTGTCTACACTCGGATAAGCCCTCCGCCATGGTGGAGTCTGTTTCCTTGGCTCGGCGGCTCACTTTAGAAACAGCAGAATAAAATAAGCCTCGCCGAGAAATGATGCAATACATGTCCTGAGGTCCTTCCGGAAGCGCTCTCTCCTCTTGCAACTTCGGTTTCTCGGGCCGCACCGCCTCTAGTGCGCCTTCTCTTTGAGGAAACACAACTGCGATTCCGGGCCGTTCTCGTTTGATATTGATGAGCTGGCATGTGTCGGAAGCAGGTGCAACCGCCCGCATTGATGTCCTTGCGCTCCTCGCCCGAGCACTCATCGAAGCGACGCCGGATGGACGCCCTCCACACGGGCCCGTTTGCATTGATGGAATTGTCTGCTCTTTCGCTTTCTCACCACCTGATCTAGCCTGTGAAGAAGGGTCGAATGTGCAGCGTTATAATAAGGGGTAATGTGCAAAACTCCAAATCCAGCCATCGCCGGCCAAACCCAACTATCACCGGCCAAAACCAACTTTCCACCAAACCTACCACCTTCAAGTTGTTGTTAGCCTATATATATCTGTTATGGTAAAAAGAAAATATTTTTAATAAGAGAATGTTCAACTGCACGGTCCAAGAGTTGTGTTTGGTCAGAGATGGGCTTGGGGTTTTTTCGCAAAAAAAGAGTTGGGTTTGGTAATTACCCCTGATAACGATCGACCGAGGAGAAAGCTAGTCGTACAACGCAGTACTGGCTTCTCCCTTAGTTCCTTACGTCTTCACGGTCTGTGTGTCTGATATTGTGCCTTGCGGCTCCTCTGTTGAAAACATGAGATTCTTGGTTTGTAACAAATTGAAGGCTCGCTGCGATAATAAACTTCAACGCTATCACCAATTAGTATAAGTAACTCTATATATTTTTCTCTTTCTATCTTGTTAAAGAATTATCTACGTATCTTCACTTGCATAAAAGATAGACGCATGATAAAGTTTTTGTTTTTCACTTGATTTTTTTTCTACACTTCTTGTACTATTTGTTGTTTTTCTCTCTTTCGATTTTTTAAACGTAGATACTTGGGACTTTCTTATCGTCATTGATACTAAACTGAAAGAACACGGCGCTCTCTACCTTCCCATCGCAGTGTCATATAAAGAAGGGAGTTCACTGCCGAACAGACAAGCTACACAGTCACTACGGCATCCGCCAAAACCTCACAACACCCACATCCCGATCCAACACGACCACCATCCTCCTCCCCTCGCACCACCTCGCCACCACCCCTTTCTTTCTCTTCTCTTGTTGCTGCTCCTCAACCGGCTGTTCAATCCTCCACTTCACATTCCGCTCCCGATGCCAAGCCTCCACGCCCCCGTTCCTCCCCGTATCAAACACCAGCCCCTTCCCCCCATCCACCCACTCCACCCCACCCACCTCACCCGCCAACACCTCCATCGTCCCGCCGCCCTGCTGCCCCTCCCGCCGCTCCTGCTCCACCACCGCCTGCACCTCCTCCTCATCCTCCCCGCGCCGCGCTTGAAGCCGCACCACCGTAACCGCGCCGCCTGCGCCGCCGAACGCCACGCGCGGTGGCTCAGCAACGGCGGCGGTCTCTAACGAAGAAGCGGCAGGCTGCCACGCCGGCACACAGCGCGCCCACCAAGCGGGGGCGACGCGCACGTCGGCCAGCAGCGTGCCGGATGCCGCGTGCCAGATCAGTCCGCGCGTACCGGCGCTGAGCGCGATGTACGTGCCGCAGGGGGAGAACGCGTGGCGCCAGGGTTGGAGGTGGCGGTGGTGCGGCGGCGGCGGGGCCAGGGGGTGGGGGTTGTTGTTGTTGTTGGTGGGGGCGGTGGTGTCCCAGATGTGGAGAGGGGGCGAGGGGGAGGTGGTATCTTCGGAGGCAGAGGCGGGGGCTGAGGGGGTGGTTGAGGAGAGGGTGCTGAAGGCGAGGAGGGGGGCGGCGGGGTGCCAGGATGTGGCGGCCGTGCTTGTGCTTGTGTGGGCGGTGTCGAGGGTGGCGTCGAGGGTGGGAGCAGTGTCGGAGGTCGTCCAGACCTCGAGGTGTGACTCTGCCGGCAGATTGGGTTTATGTTGTAAAACCAGTCTGGTGCCGGAGGGGTTGAACGCTGTCGCGGCGAGACTGGGGACGGCTCGATTTTCAAGACGGTGAGAGGCAACGACCGTGAGGGTGGTTCTGTCGATTTGGTAGAGTGTTGTGAGATCTGGAGTGCTGAAGAGCAGTGCGTACTGCCGGCCCGGCTGCCACTCGAGGTGGTAATGGTGTGTGGGGCTCTCTGTCCCTTCGAGATCGATGGTCTGATTGATGGTGACAGTGTTGAGAGAGGCAATCACTATGGCCCCAGGGATTAGGATTGCCGAGAATTCTTCATCTGGGCTGATGGATCCCGTAATGCAAGCTCTAGAAAGAGTGAGACAAGACGTTTCGCTGTTCCAAGTCGAAGGTTGTCCGTCGGCCCAGGAGGCTGGTACGCCATCCCTGCTGAAGTCTCGCTCAGGCGCTGACATTCTGTGATTGCGCTTGGAAAAGAGTGATAGTTATGTGGCGAGGCTGGAGAGTGAATTGGCTTTTTGAGCTTTCCCAAATATCGCCATCGTAAAGTGGAGCCGGGGTATTGATACGATCCGCTTAAATCATCCTATCAGAACGCAGCATGTGGACGGGGTATTCTGAAAGCTGCTGCCTAGATACGGTATCCACATTTTGAGTGCACGGGAATATTATGACATTCATAACGGCCGTAGTGACTATAAAAGAAGGGAGAATGGATAAGCTCTTCATGATCTAAGATTTAAGTAGAGTTGATGGTCTTAATAGCGTGATTGAGATTCAAGGCTGCAATTCTCAGGATAGTTGATACTCTGCTGCTGATTTATATCGAGACTCTGTCATCTCTTCCGGGCTCTGGTTTGCCGAATCCTTGTGGCTTTCCCTCCTTCACATCGCTTCCGCCGTCTGAATCTCGAGTACTGGTGGAAGCTTCATCCTTCGAAGAACGATCTTATTTCACCATTGTATTTATTTTCGGCGCAGTCGGAGCTGAAAGTAAGATGTGGCTATGCGCGGTCAATTTCAGGGTTCAGTTCCAGGCAGTGTCTTGTGATATCGGCTCCTGTGCCGCACACTGCTGCCTGAGTTCCGGTCCATACCCAACAGTGTAATTCATCCGAAAAGCTGGTTAGCCGCTGCCATCATGCGATAGTTCAACCAGAAGTGCAATTGATTATCAACCCTAGCCATTGGTTCTACCAAGCTGTGCTGTACAAAGTACGATTCTGAAGCTTGATTGTCCTATATCGCCATATTAGCCCCTTTTATATTTTGGCCCATGTAGCGACGGGCCTCTCTCACTACGCTTCGAAGTTACCTGTCAATTCGAAAGAGGTTGAAGAATTCTTCGTGAAGATAGTTGCGGGATTATGTTTATTGGATCACTGGGGAGCGCGCGCGACGTTGGCGTTCAGATCGGTCTTTTCGGAAACCGATTCCAAAAAGGATCGGGAAGCTTTATTTTCTGCGACCTATGGTCGTACCTGGAAGTGAAATTTGAATGTGGTGGTCATATAAAGAAGTGTTTGGAAGACTCGCACGCAACCAACGGCCCGCACGGACCAGACTTCTATATGCGACTGAAGAGCTGGTAACTACTTCACTGGCATTCTGAGATACATGGATATAATATAGATATAAGGATAGGACTTGAAAAATTACTTGAGAAAGACATAGTCGCCACAAGGTCTTGCTGACACTGCCTCTCCAGACATGATACCTTGAACGTAGCAATCGCCAATGACGATGTGATGTTTTTGAACACCTTCTGTCGCCGCTTCATGTTCTCCAGGCTTTGGGGTCTGCAAAGGCCGCAGAACAAACGGGACACAGCCTCCAGAGAGAACCCACACTTCGTCTCCTGGTCGCATCCATTCCGGCCCCAGGCCGACGTACCCCTGCTTTGTTAAGAACATTTTCCTTCCTGTAGCTGAAGTATTTAGCTCTTGAGCCAAAGATGTCTCTATGGGGTCATTTCTCTGCCTCTTCTTCAACAAAGACTGAACAAAACCTTTCAGTTTCTCTTCACTGAGACCGGAACTCTGCCTGCGCAACTCAGGCATATCTCCGCTTAGAGTCCTTGAAAATGTATCGAGCCAAGAGACACTAGGTTGGTAAGAGACTTGATGCTTATTCAATTTAAGAAATTGTGCCCATTCACGGAAAGTCGAGAATTTGCATCCGGAATACGTAGAAGCTGAATGAGCATTTGTTGTCACGTTGAAGACGATGTCTACCCGTGTTCCAAGGAACGAAAGAATACCGTCGTTACATTCCCGAAGTTGAATTGATCCACCATTGGATGCATCGTAGAACCTGCTTCGTGCTCGTCGATTGAGTGCCGTCGTCTCTCTGTTGAACTCCTTGACCCATGAGGGATGTGGACCAGAAGGCTCAGATTCTCGCCACAACACCGAGAGTGACCGATCTGGAGATTCGCGAAGCAGATGGAGACTGATTTTTTGATACAATTGTTGCTCGTTGCTCTCGTAATCTGCATCAAGGCCAAAGTTCGAAGGCGAAAGGCCCAGACACGCAAATATCTTGTCCCGAGGATACTTTGACTTCCGGTCATGGAAGTTGTAGAGGCAGTCCATGAGATTTATTTTCGTGCCAGGCTCTTGTATCCATTTTCGAGTCAAGTCCAGGGCGTGGACGTGTTTCTGAAAGTTGAAAAGAGCGTTGACCGTCGATTCATCACATGACAGCTTGTTCAACCTTTGGATGAGATTGGTAAAGAACTCAGAACAGCAGTTCTGCGAATGGTAAAAAAGCTTTTCAGCCGAACAAGCCATCTTCATCAAGGAATAAGTATATCTTCCCCAGCATAGAGTCGAGGTAGGCGGTAAAGCCGCTTCTTGAACGGTCCACATGCGTGTCCACCAGCTTCGACTCATCAGCGCCCCAAGTGCTATGAGCGGCTCCATAATTTCGAAATCCAGCTTTTCTCGAGATTGATTCGTATGGTTCAAGGCGGGAATTTCGTGAAGGTGCTTGCCGTCCTCGAGAAGCTTCATCAAATCTTGAGCTTTCGAGATGTGAGGTCGTCTGCCGTGCCATCTGCAGTTAAGATGCTTGCATTTGAGCTGACTCTGTGAGGCGGAAGAGAGGCTCAGGCGGCGAGGGTTTACTTTGAGTGTTGGCTTGTGCTTTCCCGCAAAGGGTTGGTCCTCCTGGACCTGATGAGTTTTGAGAGAGCAGATATCATCAGATTCATGAGGGCGGAGGCAGTGATTACAGTCGCTCTGATTTTCGGCAGTGCACCAGGCATCACTCGGTTCCGACTCTTCCCCAATCCACAAAAGCCCATTTTTGCAGTTTTTAAAGATCGCGCCCATAATGCTCACTTGCTTTTGCTTTTCGTCGTAATTCTGTTGATCAATGCATAGTGCATCCACCCACAAGACCCGGGGCTTTTTGTCGCCTCGGATGCTTCGGAGCGCAGACATCAAACGAGTTGAGACGATGAATGGTAGTTTGTCAAGCGTGATCGTGTTTCCACTGTCTGACTCGCCCCATGCGTATGAGAGCGCCTCGTAGTGTGGACTTTTATCCAAAGAGTGCACTTCGACGGTGCATTGAATGGGATCGTTCGGGGCCCCGGGGTCCAGCCGGACCAGACGGATTTGGTCGAGGGGCCGGCTCAGCGCCGTGTGGTTGAATGTATCAGACATAAAGATTCGTGAAATTTGGGGTAAGGTAATCCAATATGCAAGGACTGGTAGAGATCATTGTTGTCTTCATTCTGACTCTCTGTGCTTGGAAAGCAGAGGTTTAAATTCCCGTGGTTCGCACCTCTAGGCAACGAACGCACAACTGTGCGCCCCAAAGAAGCCTTGCACACCGAAACCCACAGTATCTTCACCCATCAGGAAAACTCATTTGAGCACGGTTCGTGATCTTCGCCATCTTCTTTGCAAATACCCGATTTCCAAACACCGCCCGCAGACACTTGCATAGGTCCGCGTCCTCAGAATGTCTAAGAGTTTGTGAGCAAAGCTTTAAAACAGGTTTATCATCCGATAATCATGAGCTGGAGCAGAATAATTGATGCGCACTGCCAGAAACAGCCCGGGTAAGCAGAACGGGAAACGAGGCGGTCGTTTGGCGCGGGACAAATGCCATTGGCTGCATCGGCGTGAGACACCACACAAGCGCTCATTGGCTTCGGAGACTGGTTGCCAAGACAATTTTTCCCACAGCATATGCAGGTGAGGCTGCAGCCTCGAGTTCCGCCCAATACTCCGCCATTATTAACCCCTCTTCTCCACGCGTTCCGTAGGGCACTCACATCACTTCCGCCAGCGCAGCATTTTCCCGCATGCAAAATTGTCTGACATGACTTCAACCTGGGGTTGAGTTTTTCCCGCTTTTCCCGGATGTCATGCATCGCTCGTTTCCCACCCTTGACTCAGGCCCCGGTCACGGCCATCTAGGCCGGAATTCGGGCATGACTGCTCTGTGGCCGGGTGCCACTGCCTCAACCAGTTTTCTTTGAGAACTATTGGCCGGCAAACACTTCCGCCTGGGTGGGGCATCATTTTCCCATCAACAACATGCCATGATGGTTTGACATTGTAAAATTTGGTTTGCCTGGTATCTGGCACTAATGATATTTAAATTGCTCAAGTCCCTTATAAACTATCCGAACATTGCGCCTCATTCATCAGCCACTGAATGGATTGTCTTTTCGTCTGGAGACAATATTGCCAGCTTTTTGAGCAGAGCATGAATACCCTGGACCAGAGGTAACGATCAGCTGCCCACGGATACTTTCTGACTCATATCTGACATCCTTTGCCTTTGCAGCCCAGTACTCTCGAGCTTCAGAATGGCTTTTGTCAACATCAAACGCCTTTTTTCTTCGCAATGCGCACAATGCTACTGCGACCCACGCCCAAGAAAACGGATCAGCCCAGAGACAGTCTTCGGCGAATTCTTCAACAGCATGTATGGAGCAGAGGGATGAAGCTCTACCGATGAGAGGGGAGAGGAAGAGGGAGGAGCAGCGCCTAGCTTGTTCAACTTGAAGAAAGGCCAACGAGCTCGCCAATCTCAGATCTTACTACAATGATGCAGTAGTGGAACTAGTCCTGGAGACTTTCTTACCCATGCAAAATCGGGATTTGGAAGTGCGCCTTTATTCTTTCACTCTTGATTTACTCTGCTTCTTTTATCCATGACTTATGCAGAGCGTCTTGGACATGTCATGATTCATTGTAGCCAAAATTATTTTTTTTTGGAAATTTGTGCAGCAGAAGTAAACAGTGAACCTCTTTAGAGTGAATATCTCAAATCAATTTCGATGTCTGTCTACTCCGCCCTGTTACTCCACTAACACCTTCCTGGGCTCTTATCGAAGCTTATCCATTGGTCGAATACCTCAACACCATTGATGGTTGGCTGATAACGAGCAATAATGCCTGACAGACTCCTCGACTAGAAATGCGCCAGACCC